CCTTAATCACCTCATAATCGACCTGTACTCTGACCACCCCATGTCGCAAAGCGATTATGAACACGATTTCTGGTACTGCGATTCTGCTTTTCTCAGCTATTTGCTCAACGTCTGCCTTTGGTTTCGAGCTCTGACGCGCCTTTGAACACGCTACATATTCAAAAAGGTCATTATCAATTGACTCCGCATTTTTTCCCACCGAAATCGAGCGATTTTGAGGCGAAATCGCCAATATGGGTATAAATCTTCTGTAGAAAGTCGTTGTTTCGTCACAGTTACCTCATGGGGTACCTATGCAACTATTTTGTCACTCAAATCCGCACGAAATATGTCTTGTATGGGCTATAGACGGGGAGACAAGTGAGACGAAGGGGGTTGACACAGAATCGCAAGAAGCAGAATCGCGATTATGGAGGGCATAAGCTCCTCCGGAGGAGCTTACGCGATTACACGCGATTATGCCAAAATCGCGATTACGGTGTCGGAATCGTCCTCAGAATCGCATCTCATAATCGTCATATAATCGCTCCGTAATCGCGAACTCTGACCACCCCTAATCGTCATATAATCGCTCCGTAATCGCGAACTCTGACCACCCCTATTGAGCGTTGTTGCCATACACGGAACGATACCGCCTAATGCCGCACGTGCCGCGGGGCTCTGCTTCAAGCACCGGCATTGTGTAAAGTGCATTGGCAACCCCTTGGGCCTCACCGCGATATAGCTTCTCTGTGTGCTCACGGACCCTCTGTCTTTCACGTTGCAATCAGCTTTCTGGGGCGATGGCGGAAGGCGACTCTATTCGCCAGAGAATCGTGTCTTCAGTATTCACTACCAAGTTGGTGGACGAAACCTACGTTGGGCATATCAAGATCTGGGAGGAGGATGCTACGGACGACGGTGGCAAGAAACCTCGCTATATCATCTTGTCGAGTATGTCATCACTCTTGATCCGATTTGCTCATGTAGGAACATCCTTGTTGCAGAGTCCAATAATGGGTCTGGCTTCATCCACAAGTCCAAATTAAATTCGAACGGCTCTTTCTCCGTTGGGAAGACATGGAGGCTGTTAGAGCTTCGCGGGATTGAAGTTCTCAACGTAAGTTCACATTCCTTCACCATGCTCTCAGCGCAAGCACGAGTCTCACCACGACCCGCAATTTCTAACTCATTTTCGGTGTAGCCGCTCGCTTTCAACATCACTATGTCCCGGACTTACCGGTGGCAAACGGAGAACCAGAAGGATCAAAGCAGCTTCATCTCCGACCTGATACAACTCTTTCGTTCGGTGACAGGTGGCAACGCCCCCCTCGAACTCGTCGGTGTGCGCGATCCCACGAACGAAACTTGTACGTTCCCTCTTGCATCGTAAGTGTTCATGCGCCCGAGCTATACCTCATCAGCATCAAGGCCGCCGCCACTTGCCTTCAGCCGCATGGAGCGTGCGCCGACCCCCACAAATGGCGTGCCTCTCCCTCCCACCACACCTCGTCGCAGCGCGGCTCCTCTGAATGGCTACTCGGAAGCGTCACCTTCAGTGTCATACACGAATGGCAGGATGAGCAGCATCTCCAACTATCAGCCTTCAACGCCTGGTCCCCGGTCCACGTCGAGAGCACGACGAGCACGAAGCCCCGCTCGCGCTGATTCCCCTGACTTATCTAGGCCACCCCCCACTGCAATCCCAGAGCGAGCTGGGACCCCGTCGAGAACACGTCCGTCGACACCGTCGCGAGAACCGTTCCCACCTCCGAGCGCACTGCGTCCCCGGCATGCTCGATTGCCTTCGAACGCAACCACCGAAACCTCCAGTAGGACGTCCGCAGCTACGACTTCTAGCCAAGTCCCTTCGATCGCATACCCTTCCTCGGTCACTTCCGTGCAGTCGGAACCTCAAGCGCAGTACACGAATGGGTTCAGAGCCACTCGTGACACCGGCGCTTTGGAAATCCCTACCCGTTCTGGGTCACCTGCTCCTATAGTGCAGCCGTCGCCGAGGTCAGCGTATGCTGTATCACCAGATGGGCTCGTCCCCTCGCAATCTATCACGCCAACACCATCCGCTCGAGCGACCCCGTCACGAACCACTCCTGCTCGGCAGATGACTGAATCCGGTCAGAGACGAGAGAATACGCGTGTCTCGTTCTATGACCCGCCGAATCAGGCTACGCTCAATCGCGTGCTATCAGGCGATGCCATGCTCCACGATGCTGGGGACGACGACGGTGAGGGCACAGGTGAAATCGAAGATGAGAGCGCGCGTGCAACGCTCGAGAGCGTTGAGGAGATGCTTGAGGGCTACGAGTGGGCTAGCGACGACATCCTCGGTCGTCGGGCGCTGACGGGCACTGCGGAACAGATCGAGGCGAGGTTGTTGGACGAACTCATGGCACTCGACAAGGTTTGTTTCGTCTCGTGCCTGCGCCACCTTCTCATGTCGCTGCGCAAGCTGATATCTGATGCTCCTTGAACGTCTGATCTCCGCAGGCAAACATCCACTCGTTCATTGAGAGTGATGACCGAATAGTTACTGTGCTCAAGCTCCTGGACGATGCCATTAATGAGCTGGATAATATGGAGAGCGTCGTATCATCGTACAAAATTCACCTCAACGTGAGTTATTTCGGGCCTTCCAATGTTAGACTGCGGCCGCTAAGTCCTCGCCAGGCTGTCAGCGATGACATTGCGTACATTCAGGGCCAGGGACGCGGTCTGCAAGTACAAACGCAGAATCAGCGCGCCCTTCTCAACGAACTCGAAGAGCTACTGGTGAGTTCTGTTACGTTGAATGGCTCATAATGTGTGGCTTAACATATACATTGCAGCAAACCGTCCAAGTGGACTCGAGCTCGTTGCTCGCGCTCACGCAAGAATCATTGGAGCACGCGTGGAACATCCAGAAGTTGGAGACTGCGGTGACGGTACTATACAAAGCTCTGCTTGCTGGGCGAGATCGAGGTTTGTGTTGTGTTCATCTAAAACGCGGAAGATTGCCGATATCAGCATTGCAGATATGGCGGCCACCATGGAACGCTTGGACGAGTACAAGAAATACAACGCGCAATTTTGCAAACGCGTTCTGGATTATCTATCAATTGTCTTCACTGCGCAGGGCAAGATGCTCTTGGGCGACGACAACGGCGTTGCCCGACCTATGCGTGGTCGTGTTACAATCAAGGACCATAGAAACTTTGAGAGCTACCTTGAACGATACCGCAGTTTGCTGCTCTACCTCAAGGAGATGGACGAGAGCGCCTATGCAAAAATATGCGCAGTGAATATGCTCACCTTGTCACAATGTGCAATCTTCTGATATCTAGCTCAGGCCTACTTCTCTGCAGCTAGCGAATTGCATGCAACCCAGATCAAAGCTCTGCTGTCTATATACGGCAATATGGTCAAGAAGGCGCCCACCGAGGAGGAAGCTGAGGGTGAGGATATACGCTGTATGACTGTATTAGATTTGAACGTTTCCGACAGGTTTCTCTGGTACGACTCCAACGAGCAACGCGTCCAAGGCAGCGCAAGGCATGCGTCGTGCGGGTACCATTGTTCGTTCTCCTCTTGATCGACGGGAGAAGAAGGAAGCGAGTGACGGGGAACTTCGTGCAGCCGAGGTACATAGGCCTGTTAGCCGTTTCGATTCCGCCGCTGAATCAGTAATGCAGGCATTGAGCATGGTACTGGAGCAGCTCGCCGGGACAATTTATGCAGAAGAAAGTTGGATCGCTAGATTTTTGCAGATGGATGATGCGGTCGAGACGTTTGCCGATCATATGGGCCTGGAGAACTACTTCCGACGTCAAGCTGCACGATGGGCTGGTCTCAGCCAAGCAACGACAAAGCTTGTCCGTGGAGCTATGGACCTCATCTTCGGCTTTCTCCCTTTGGAGCTCAAGGCTTGGCTGGACAGCGCTATCGCCCGAGACAGCTTGTGAGTAGCCAGCTAACATGCCTTCAGATGTGGCTTACAGGCAGGTGATAGGCAAGTTGTGGGTATGCTAGTCTCGCTCGAGAAGTTCCAATCAGAAGCCGAGGAGCGAGGCAATACTTTCCTCTTGTCCTTGCTGGAGAAACAGCATATGCGTCTCAAGGCTTTGTTTGAGCGTCGCGTGGTACGAGACTCAATTTTGTCCTGCGGCTGTGGCTGAAGCGAATCACCTCCAGAACGACCAAATCAAGTCCATTGAGGAGACGAAGCTTACCAGCAAGAAGCGGAAAGGCGTTGCACAGTTCATCAAGTACTTCCCGACGTACATCAGTCGCGTCGAGACGCAGCTTATTGGCGCGGATACTCTCGAGATCCGGCAAACGGTCGATGCTGCATACGATAGGATTGTTCAGGCTATGTTCGATGCCCTCAAACAGATGGCCAAGATGGGTGGTGACGAAGAGGACAAGGGCCAACTCAATTACCATGTCATCCTCATCGGTTCGTGCCTCATTTCGCACGTGGGATTGTGTCCACTCACAAAGTCGCAGAGAATATGCACTACTTCGTGGCGGAGGTCTCGCAGATCGAGATCGGCACCGTAGCGGTGTTTTTGAAACGTGCTGAGGCTATCTACGAGGAGAACCTGAACGCCTATGTCAAGATCGTCCTCCGCAGACCATTCGCCAAGATCATTGTGAGTTAAGGAAGCCACTGGGGGATGATTGTGGCTCATATCACATCGTAGGAATACTTCGAGGGCGTCGAGCGTTTGCTTAAGACTACCGCTCCCTCCGAGATCTCGTCGAACAGCAGCTACTCGAAGTCGTCGCTCAAAAAAGTGGTCAAGGAGTACAACGTGAAAGATATCCGGAAGTATGTCGACGCTCTGTTCAAGCGCGTCGAAAAGCACTTCGATGAGGCGTCCGAAAAGACGACAAGCGAGGACGCGAGCGCAAGCACTGGAATCGCCCCTGGGACTGTCCTGGTGGGTGTATGGAAGGCCTGTGAAGAGGAGCTCTTGCGTATTACTGGGCTGTTCAACAAGACTATCAACCAGTGCTATAGGGATACAGGCGTGACGCTGGAGTATTCTGCTGCTGATGTGGAGGCCGCCTTCAAGCGGCATCGGGTGACGGGATAGTGGGCGATCTTGCGTACATCACTTGTTTGAACAGACATTAACTTATTGTATCCTGGGTTGGACTATGGCAATATTGCTTGTACTATTATTACCTTGGCTGTCGCAGACACTACTAAGTGGTGACAGTCGTGTGGCATGCGTAGCTATGGTTGATCGTGGATTGTAGATATAGATCTGAGATACAAGGGGTCATTGAAGCGCCCAAGGCCAACCGCGCGCCGCCGGAGCGTCGCATCCGAGTCCGAGCCACCTTTTGCATTCTGCTTCTTCCTCTGTGCTCTCCTTCCAGCCCACATGCCATGCCTGACGCTGAATATGACTCATCTCCCGACGTCGAACCAACCCAAACGCAATTTGATCCCGATGGCGAAGGAGACTTGTGGGAAGTCGAGAAGATCTTGGCGGAGAAGGGGAATAAGTATCTAGTGAAGTGGGCCGGTACAGACAATACAGGAAAGCCATGGCCGAACAGCTGGGTCTTCAAGAAGGATACCACGGACGATCTTATTCAAGACTGGAAACGCAAGAAGGAGGAGAATAAGAGGAAAAAGACTGGTATGTGATCCCTCCCAGACGCGACTGTGGCGTCTCACCGCAGCATAGTCGCAACCAAAAAACGAGGTTCGTCAACATCGTCGAAGACAACCAAACGCGCCGCGAGTACATCTACTACATCTACGACGCGTCGAACGCGTCAATCCGTTGTAGGTGCATCGACCTCGCCCCTGAAACCGCGTCCACTGGCCAAGGTGCCCAGCTCTCGCGCCAGCCCCGCGAGTGTGCGCGATGAGTCGCCGTCTCCACACAAACGTCGAAGGAACACGAGCGGTAGTCTGGGCGCCGGTTTGGAGTCACCAGAAGCCGAGCTATCCCGCCCGCGCAAGAAGCGGAAGCTGGAAATTGAGGTTATGCAACCACCTCCCCGGTATTCATCAGAGGATGAAGAAGAGGCGGGGACAGTGTCAGAAGAGGACGAGGACGATGAGGATGACGAATCTACGGGGCGCGTCGTACCTATCACGAAGGTTGGTCCGCCACGGAATGTGAAGCGACGTCGGAAGACGCAGGCCACCGTGCACACTTCCCCTCCTCCAGACCGTTATCCTCCCGATCTTCCTGTTCGCCGCAAGCCGTCACCTCCGGCCAAACGATACCACGCACCCAACTCTCAGTCTCATCGCAATGGCGAGCCGTCGTCATCGCGTCTGCCGAATGGTACGAAGAAGCCTGCAAACGCACCCTCCAAGGCCAGTTCTTCTCGAGCAGCTGCCGAATCAATGAATGCTGCTGGCCCTAGACCGTCGCATCTCTCTCTTCAGACGAGACAGTTGCTCATGCAGGAAGATGAGGAGAACACGCAAGAAGCTCTCGGCATCATCCACCCTGTCGTACAGCAGAATTTTTCCCAGTCTCCTCGGGTGAGCCCTCCTCGTCAAAGAGCGTATTCAGCAGAGCCGGAGCCAGAACCAGACGGCGAACCTCGACCTATACGCTCCAACACTGTACAGGGGCACGGTCGACCAACCGCAAACGATACGTTCAGTCGACTAGGTATCGTCCCGGAGACGCAGGCCATGGAGGCTCAGGATACTCTTGACGAACCTCCCTATGACCCCACTCAACATGACCTTACTTCCGAGTTGAGCGTTCTCCGTACACCGCCCCGACGTTTGGAGGGACCACTCAGTCATCCTGGAAGCGTTCCGTCGGTCGTCTCCAAAATGAAGAGCAAACGCAAGGGCAAGTCGAAGGAGCTCCATCCGATCCCGCGGCTCTCTCCTTCAGATTTCCGCCCTTACCTACCACAGGAGGAAGAAGACATTGAGCAGTTCAGCTCTCCGGAGAAGGACGCACGCAGGACTCAACATGCTGCGCAGCCGCTGACGCAGGATACGATCGAGGAAGACTTTAGTCAAGACATCGACAACTTCATGGACTGGGAGGGTGGTGCGCAACCTCACGAAGATCCCTCTGCTTCTCTGCACGAGAATGGCCCGGAGCTTTCATTAGGCCCGGAGCTGACGCCACCTGACGCTGGAAGCGGTCCGCGGAAAGCCATGGAACAGTTGTTGTCCAAGGTGATCTTTCATATCATCAACTTCTCTGGACAGAGTTGGCTCACACTATACCGTCCGACAGGAGAAGCTAGGCAGGAATGCTCCGATCTCTCCTGAGGTCTCAGCTCTGCAGGAGCTGCGGCCTACCAGCACAACACAACAAGCTGAGGCCGACAGCATGTCGCAGGTCAGGATGGTGTCCACTCTGTCCCGGTCCACCAGGCTAACGTGGTTGCAGCAACCGTCTATGCGTAGCAGCCAGATAGCGGAGCTCAACGCGATTCTTGAGGAGAAGGACGAGAAGCTGACTCAGCTTGAGGGGCAGATCGAGGAGCTCCAGGCTCGCATCTCGGAACTGGAGAACGAGAATGCCGCGGTGCGCCCAATATGCTTTATGGAGGGACTAATGCGATTTGTTAACGTGCCGCGGCACATCGTAGGGCCGCACGAGCTTCGAGACAGAGCTGGAAGTGCTTCGAGCCGAGTCTGGCGAGAAGTCGGAGCAGATAAGTTTGGTCGAGAGTCAGCTGGTCGAACTGCAATTGCAGATGACGCAGCTGACCGCGGACAACAAGAATGTATGCGGTTCAATATCATCACTTATGGATCTTGTTTAATCGTGCTCATCTCTCGGTCTTCCGTCAAGCAACGCGCCCAGCATGAAGTCCAGATCCGGGAGCTGACCGAATCCCTCGAGGAGCGCAATGAGCAAGTGGCACAGCTTGAAGGAGCGCTCGTTGAGCTGCAAGAAGAGGTGGAAGCGATCGGGGCGGAGAAGGAGAAGTTGGAAGCAGCGCAGGAGTCGACCACTCGCGAAAGCGACGCCAATCGCGAGGACGAACTCGCCGCTCTTCAGCAGGGTCTTGCTATCCTGCAAGAAGAACTTGCTAGCGCGCGGCAGCGGCATAACGAGACGGTCGCTGCGCTCTCCGATCGCCTCCAGCAAACCATACAGGAGTGCGAGCGTCGCGTCAAGAGGGCAGAAGACGATCGTGATCTATTCAAGAAGCTGTACGACGAAGCGTCTACGCATGCGCAGCGCCTCGCGAAGGAGAACATCGAGCTCGAGGAAGGCAGGCAACGTGCGGAGGACCGTGCTCAGGCTGGGGTAGCGATGGTCAGGGCGACGTTCAGCGAGCAGGCGAAGGCGTTGCAGTCCGAGATCGAGCAGCTCAGGGTGCTCAACAAGATCCTCACGGACAAGGACGAGCGGACGAACGACGAGGTGCGGGCACGTGCCGCACGAGAGCCGGAGTTGCAGGAAGAGAACGTGAAGCTGAGGGGGGAGTTTCAGGACATGAAGAGGGAGATGCAGAAGATGTCGGCGATCATTGCGCAGATGTCGAGCATCGAAGCCCGGGAGGACAGGCGAGGGGGTGACGAGACTGATGAGGACGAGGATTACGTCCCTGATTCTGACGGAGAAGGGAGCACTACGAGCTCGGGCTCGGAGTCAGGCTCGAGCAGTAGTGATAGCCATGGCAGAGCACTGTCTGTCCGAGTCCGCGAGTCTTTGAGCTATGCTCCCTCCCCTGGTGGAGAGCTGTTATCCATTTGCCAGTATGTGACTGGCGAAGTCATGTGTAATCAAACCTTCGCCACCTTCCAGGTCAGCAATCCCTCTTGCTCCCGATCGGTATATGAGAACGCTGACGGCCGATTGTAGGAGTGCATCAACCATGCCAACGACGTTCACTACCCCGATGTAGAGATGCTGGATCTATGATGGGAAAGAATCTAGCACACGAGGTCTTGCTTTCTTTTTGGTTGTCCCATGTTACCAGCCGGGCATTCCGAGCTGGCGACCTTAATTCATTGTGACGAAGTACTGCAACAAGTAGAAAACGATCGACATGCGATTAACCGACAGCGTCATAATACAGTGTCTATGAGGTGGTTCCTGCAGCGATAGCCCATACAATGAACTATTCATGCAGCAGCGACCTGTGGCTCGGGGAACGGAGGGGAAACGTTAGAAGCCGACGACGAAGGCGAGAAATTGTTGACCATCTCCGACGAGAAAGAGTTCTGGTGAGTTTGGACACCGCTGGACGAACCGACATCGTAGGGGGTAGGAGCAGGGCGGCTGGCCGCGGCAGCCCCAGCCTGCGCACCAGTAGCGGGACGCGCAGCCTGCTGGACCGCGCCGATCAACGAAGAGCCGTAAGAGGCCCACAGGCCGCGGGCAAGCTCCGCGTAGTTGGCCGCACCGGCAGGCTGCTGGGGAGCAGAAGGGGCAGCACCAGAGGCGCCTGTGGGGGCACGTGCCTGGTTCTTGGTGGCGAGATCCCAGAAGGTCTGCCAGAAGACCTGGAGGCGAGACTGTATGAACGAGAGAGCGTTGCTCTGCGCCGCCGCGAGGCTCGCGTCGATATCGGCCTGGTTCTTGGTCAAGAAGGGATGAAAATAGGTTTGGTACACCCAAGTAGAGCCCTGTATGTCCACCACGCGTTAGGGGGGTGCCATGTAGGAAGCAGCTCGTGACGGCGTTTGCTTACCTGCGTCTGGGGAAGCGAAAGGAAGAGCAGGAAGACGGTGCGTGCCTCCCAGTAGAACGGGACCCTGATAGGATACAATAGATAGATTGGTGGACAGGGTCAGATAGTGGTATATGCTATGAGACTTACCAGTCCAGAATGAATCCCGTCACATACTCAACCGCAACGAAGGCGCCGACCACGGCCCAATACATGCACCACCTCTCGAGATCCGGCTCGGAGACAGGACGGTGCGTGAGTGCCTTCCATGTGCCATAGCTGGGTAGTAGGAACGCAAACCAAGCACTTGTACAGCGCGTAAGCATGTGAAAGTCCCGAAGGCTGCGTGTCACGCGAGGACATACCTCAAGACATGGGAGATGAAAGACGTCAACATGTATGCCTTTTTCTTGGTCGGTCGCTCAGGACGATGTTGGGAGTTGTATGATAAATAGGAGCGTGGCCTGTCGGTCGAATGTTGGCGATGAACAGGCTACGTGGACGAATACAAGTGAGCGGTAGCGCTCTGCCTCCGCAGAAGACGGCGCTGTATGCGGCAGACGTAGGCACGCAGCAGCAAACGGAGCGCCCGTGCTCGCCCGGAACGGACGGGATGCGTCCGCGCCGGGGAAGAACCCGTGCACCGTCAACAGGACACGGGGCTGCACAGTCTGAGTTCCGTCACCAGATACGGTTGTTTGTCGTCAGAGCTTTTACGACAGCCCACGGAGACGGAGGCCGTCTCCTTGCCCAGTGTAGTCGATTTCCGAGGTGCTTGCAACGGAGGTAGCTGGTGACGACGCATACTGTGCTCATCCACCGCCATTTCGGCTCAGAAGTGGCCGGCACAACGACGTATCAACGACCGGATCTCAGGTAAATCTGCGTAATACCTCCGATATCAGCCCATGGGTTGGTGGCCAAGCGCCGCGGCGCAAGCCACGCCTGAGACATGTTCGTGCGCTCGACCAATCGAGACGGATGCGCGCAGATGTGGGACGAGCACACGGGTGTCATTGACGCGTCGTATATGACATACAAGAGCCGACGCTCGGCGAACGTACCAAGAGAACTACCTGAACTAGAGCTATGGTTGCGCGAGCGCCTGCGGGATGAACCGGTATGGTGAACACCACTACAGCTTCACAGTGTGGCTTGATCCAAGGCACCTGTACCATGTCGAGTGTGCGAGAGAGAACACCAGGCAGCCCGTTTGTGAAGGCCGACTTTATCTACTGCATTTGCGCCGAGTTCTCAGGCTCGCGCTTGAACTAGTCGCTAGCGATGGATCAGACTGAGGCCCAGATCAGAACTGACAGAGAAGCCAGAAGAGGGATGACTCGTGGCAAGCTTCGTGAAAATGGACTGGTTCTGGGTACGAAAACAGGGACGCCGAAAGCCTTCTAGGTCGCATGCGGGAGCCGTCTGGGAGCAGGGCGCGAGTGCAAAGTTGGAGTTCTGGCCGAAGGAGGCAAGCGCAGATCGCGAGGATTGAGGAGAGCGGAGAGTTTAGGGATGGACGGGAAGAGGGTGCGATAGGGCAGCTGCGGACTGCTTTCCCAGCGACAGAGAGATGCCGTTGGTTCTGGAACACGAGGAGATCAGTTTGGTGGCAGGAAGAGGGCGATGAGTGGGAGATGAAGGGCACTGAGAAGGGCGGTAAAATGGGAAGGGAACGTGGACGGGCTATCCCAACTCAGCGCATGGCACGGGCACGCCCCGCTTGGCCTTGTTTACCCGGCATCCCTCCATCGACCTCTCCCTCCTCCGCCTCCGACTCCCAATCGTCCCGTCCCCCATCTCCGTCTCCGTCCCGCCCTCCCTCGAGTCCCCCTCCTCGCGCGTCGTCCCCGCGCGCCCCCATCCATCCCCGCTCTCAATCGCACCATCGATTTCACCCATGGATCCCGGCAGCAGCTCCAGCTCCAGCGTAAATATGGGTGTCAAGAAGCAGGAAGACTTGGACGGCGCTGACCCGAAGTCGGGCCAGAAACCCGACCAGAAGCCTGTGGTGAGGACGTTGAACAGGGTCCCTCGTAAGTTCCCTTTTCTATACTCCCGTCAGGCTTAATCGGACCGTATTCACCGCGATAATTCAGGCGCATGTGTAAGTCCCACCATTCGCTGCCCCGTCCCGATCGCGGCGTGCTCACCTCAATCTGCGCTAGAATGCTTGTCGGAAACAGAAGATGCGGTGCGAAGGGGCGGAGAATCCCCCCTGCAGGCGTTGTCGGCACGCTGGTTTGGAATGCCTATTCGAGAAGCCAACAAGGGAGGCTAGTCTGACAGGCGAAGCCGGCTTGGAGTGAGTGGCCTCGGTTTGTCTTTGGCTAGTGGAGTCTGAACGCGTTCGAAATCGTGTCTGACAGACGTATACGAAGTCTGGAGGCCCATGTCGCCGACATTCGGTCAACACAAAACTCTATCCAGGCGACCCTCATGGAAATCGCGGCGCATTTGCGCGGTACCGTCCCGTTGACGTCGCGTTCGCCCTATCCACCTCCTCCGTTTGCCCATCATTCGCCTGGGGCGCAATCATTAGGATCCCCGGCGGTCTCCACGCCATCAACAGGTGTGTTTCTAACCGCTAACTTGCATAGCAGACTTTTTGCACATCCTAAATTTCGTTTGCAGTGACCAGTACCGTTCCTTCCGCGCATCCGATGACCAACCCAGCGGCGCGGCAGCCACACAGAGAAGGCCATCCGCCAATGTATGCGCAACCTCAGAATGTCCGTCCTGCAGGCCCCGATTCTCATCCGCAAGCAATGTACAACAACGGCGCCCCGGGCCACCCGCATCCTGGTGCCCACGGCCCGAGCCTTCCTCCGTTCTCAAGTATCGACTCTATGGGTCCACCGCGGTCTCAACCTACCAATGTCTCTTCTATGCGATACAACGCCTCCGATTCTAGAAGTCGCCCGCAGGACGGTGTTTCGGCTGGATCCAAACGGGCTGCTCACCCTTCTTCCACTGTCACCAGTGCGGATTCGTCGGAGGCGGAGGAAGAAAGCTCGGAATTGCCTGCTTCCGGTTTGGTCGCTCCTTGGGAAGTGTTGCGAGGATTGGCCGATGTCGCGATCGAGCGAGCCGCGAAGGTTTGTCCTGAGGACCTCATCTGTTCTTCTTGCGACTTACTCAACAATTTCTTTCCAGGAGAACGGCGGCGAAAGTGAGGCCCCAAGTCGCGCAAGAACGACATCGCCCGAGCCGCGACAAGTCCGTCCGGCGAAGCGGAGAAAGGTGTACCATGCCCCTCGATCAACGACATTCCCTGATGGTAATGGATACCATTCTCTCTCATGTCGCGAAGCAAGTTCCTGACGATTCCCTTGTCTTCACAGTCGTAACGAAGAAGATCTTGTCCGAAGCGGAAGCTCGCGAACTTTTCAGGATGTAAGTGTTTCCGAAATTGCGCCGATGGGCCTGTGCATACGGGAGGCCGACTAACTAACTGGCTGCTCTCAAAGATTTTACCACGGGTGCTCCACATTTTTGCCTGTCTTCGACGCGAGCGTGGATACGTACGATGCCCTCCATGAGCGGTCGCCGTTCGCTGTCGATGTCATCTGCATGGTTGCTGCCAAGGTTCGAGATGGCGGCGGTGCGTTTCGAAAGCTAAGAGTGTTCTCATGTAAATGCTGACCTCACCTCGCGTTACCAGGCAACCCCAGCGACATCTTCTTGAAGTGTCTGGAGGAGGTCCAGGCTATCTCATGTGCCACCCTCTTTTCTCCCGTCACCCGTCAGGAAGCCGTGCAAGCAATGGGTAAGCGGGACCAACGCAGCGCATGCCTGTCATCTGACCATTTCTTCAGTGCTGGTCTCCGGTTGGTCGGATAACGGCTGGTTGAGTGGCGGACATGCTGTTCGCATGGCCATGGAATTGTGTACGCCGCGGTCCATAACCTGTCTCAAGGTCATCTCTTACACCTTATCTTCGCAGCGATGCACAAGGCCTGGCCCGAGCTTCTCAAGCGTATGAAGGCCGGGAAGGCTTCGACGTCAAGTAAGGACAGACAGCTGGTCGTATCCGCCCGGACATGGCTATGCTTGTATCTATTCGAGCACCAGTACGTTAACTCTATTTTTGATTGACGCACGAACCTCTGTGCTAACGGAATCTAGAATGTCTTACGGCACTGGCCGTCCAGCTATCCTGAAGGATGACGAGAGCATCTGGCAATGCCGTCTCCTCTTGCAGCACCCGCTTGCGATCGAAGACGATATGCGACTGGTGTCGACAGTGGAGCTAATGGCGATCCGCGAACGCGTTCACAACAATCTGTCGCCTCTATTCGACCGCGCGGTGGACGAGATTACGTTCAACGTCCTCCGCGAGGCGGACATGGAGTTCCGCAACTGGTACGCGACTTGGGATCAGGCTTTCTCGCAGAAGTACGAGGATGCCGGTGAGTCATATCCGCTATCTTCCTGTGGGCCCAACATTCATCTCGGTCTACAGCGTTCTATCGGCAAAGTCTGCAGATTCAGCATCTACATGCCGAGCTGTTCCACAATGCTACCGCCTTGCGGGGCATTGATGGGCCTGAGGACGTGCAGAAGATGCCCCCTGCCCAACGTGACCTCGCCATTAGGTCGATCCAGATCGGAAGACAAATCCTCGACATCACCGTGAGCTCGCCGGCCTATAGGGAAGGCATGAAATATGGTGTGTGTTCTGTGGCGTCACTTTGAGTGTACCCTCAATCTGATTGGACATTCTATAGCGGTTCACTATACTCACGCGACTGCGACGTTCTCGGCCTCCTTCCTGTTGCGTCTTTCGCGGCTCTTGTGAGTTCTAGGCTTGGGGTCCGCGCCCGTGATCGTGCAACTAATGCCTCGTGTAGCCCTGATCAATGCAATCTACATGAGATCAGGACCCTCGTAGAACAGCTCGCGGCTCTTCTAGCAGAAGGTACGTAACTCACTGACATCTCCGTTGGAGTCATGCTAACCGCATTCTCTCAGTCCCTGGCAAGCGGTATGCGTTGACGCTTCAATTGATGCTCAAGCGGTTCGTGAGGAAGCGGCGGCAGTCAGTCTCGACGTCGCGTTCTCCCACGATGGCCAGAGACCAGAGGAACCGCTCCCACAGTGATGCCGCAGGATATTCGTCTGACGCCGTCAGCCACTCCGCGACTTCGCAGCCTCCGACGTCCCCCACGTTCGAGCCTCCTTACCAAGCTTCTCCAGACGCCATGGGCCACATGCCTATGGGTGTGCCCCAACAATACGGGCCGCAGTACACCCCAAATCTCGAGAACATATGGCGCGGGTTCGAGACGACCTCGAACGAGCAGTTACCAGTCTGGCTGTCCGATCAAACGCTGGGTGGTGCATCGTTTTCTGCGAACGGTATCGACGCCTTCCTGCTCCCCGCAGACTACCTCCCTGCCGCTCCCCAAATCTGGTAAATTTACAGACATCGCTACCCGTTTGTACGTATAGCTTTCTGCTCTCTGCTATCTACTCTTGTTTATCTGCAAAGCCGAACTGTTGTCACGATAAGGGGGACTCGTCCGTGTGTGTTGTCGGACCTCTTGCTACGACGGTTACGACGACCAGTATGACCTATGTAACTTGATACCCTGCTCGTCCTCATGCCCCGCTCACTGTATTGCTTCCGAATTATCTGACGAATGTACATGCGACACCCCTCACGCCATGCATTCACATGCCTTTCAGCTACTTAGGTTATCACGAACCCTCATTTGTTGTTACCGTAGACAGCCTTGTACATACACGTCGCAATGCATCTACTGCATCGCGTACTTATGCGACGACTGTTCACTTCGGGCCGCGGGACGGTGCCGAAGAAGCGGCATGAAGCGCTCCCCACCGTAGATTGCCTATTCGGGCACGTGGCAAAATTTTGGTAAGAAGTTGCTGTGCCTGCAGTCTGCCTTGACCAGGCCCCGACTATGCCTGTGGCTGTTGACCGGACGCGTGCTATGACTGCGTCTGTCGTCCCTGATTCTCCTCTAAAGCCTACTCAGGACGCTCCGAATAACGATGCGCAAACCCCGAACCCTCGCAAGCGGAGAAAGGCCAAGGGGAAAGAGGTCGAGGAGCTAGAGGAAGAAGCCTGGTCGTGGAAGTCTTTGACGGACTCGTCTGCAAGTCGGGTTCCGCCCATCTTCACGAGGGATGGAAGGTGCGTGGCCAACGTCCGAGCACATGTGCAGAGCTCACTCACGTTTCTGCAGTTACTTTTTTTCGGCGGCCGGACCTTCAGTGAAGATCCATTCTGTTGCGACTGGGGAGGTTGTCTCTACCCTGACGCCGCCTCCAAACAGCGTGTCGGGTGGTGCGGGAACCTCGCAGCATACGGACACCGTCACCGCGGCGATCCTCAGTCCACATAACCCGTTCCAGCTGATCACCGGTTCTCAAGACGGCTACATCCGCACATGGGACTTCCTCGATGCATCGCTCCTTCAGACCATCAGCATATCTCACCCTATTTTTCACCTCGCCGCACACGAAAAGTTCCGGGAATATGTATTTGTCGCCACCGCTCGGTCGACTAAAAAGAAGACCAAAGGTGCGCCGTCTTGCGTCCCTCCTTCAAGAGATATGCCATTGAGCATGCTCCATCGTAGGGGGAGTTGCGACCGCAGAGGACAACGTTACTGTCTCGCGCGTTTCATTGATTCCCAAAGCCGATAGCACCACGTCGGCCGTCCACAGTTCCTCGGAGATCATCAATGTCGGGAAGACGAGGTTGACGAGTGGCCTTGCCGTATCTCCGAGCGGAGCTTGGCTGGTTGCGACTGCTGGCCACAAGGCGTATGTGTGTCAAACGGGAGACTTGAAAGCAGGCTTCACGAAGTTCGTGTCTCCCGAACGGTTGACCTGCTTAGCGTTCCACCCGTCTGAGGAGTACTTTGCCACTGGGGACGCCACTGGATGCATACGGCTCTGGTACTGCCTGAACGAGTCTGCTACGACAAAGACTCCCGGAGTCGAGAAGACTGCTCAAACGACCACTCTGCACTGGCACGCTCACGCAGTCACTTCGCTGAGCTTCACGGCGAACGGCGCGTACTTGCTCAGTGGTGGCGAGGAAGCCGTCCTTGTCATCTGGCAGCTACACACCGGTAAAAAGGAGTACGTGCCTCGCGTTGGTTCCCCAATCCTACATATCGCACTACTCAGCACTGGTGGAGAGGAAGAGTACCTACTCAGCCTCGCCGATGCCTCCTTCGTCTTCATCCGCGCTTCCTCCCTTAAAATCTCAAGGTCAATAGCTCGCATAAAGCTAGGTTAGTTGTCGCCTTCTCCTTGCGCTTGAGGCTCTTCTTGACATCATGTAGATCCCGCAATATCCTATGATCGGCCATCCACCTCTAGTTCCGTCCCACTTGCCGTTCACCCGCTTTCCTCCACTCTCATCCTTCCTTCCTCCCATCCATCCTCCCTGCAAACTTTTGCGCCTTCGTCGTCAAAATTGGTGTCCGAGCTCGAGGTATCGCCATCAAACCGCGTCTCAAGACGAGATGATAAGCCATTACAACCCGCTCGTGTGGAGCGTGTTGTCCTTTCTGACTCAGGAGACTGGATGGCGACAGTAGACACGCGAGAAGCAGAGGACCCACCTCGCCCTGAGGTGTATATGAAGATTTGGCAGTGGGATCGCAAGTCTGGTTTTTGGATATTGAATACCCGAATCGACCGTCCGCACGGGCCAACGCGGCTGTCCGGTATCGCGTTCAGGCCAGGTTTACGTAGCCAGGAGGATCTTCTGCTTGCGACGGTCGGTGCAGACGGGAACATCAAGACATGGAGGATACGTTCCGTGAAAACGAAGTCGGAAGGCGTCGAGGGTACGTTCAGGTGGTCCTCTCAACAGCATCAATCTCATGGGCCATGTACAGAGTTTTGGGTCGCCCGTTCATCTTTGCGCTTCCGTGCGGAGATTCCTTCCGATGTGTCATGGTCACCCGATGGTTCGTTGCTCGCCGTGTCGGTTGGCTCCCATGTGGCTATCTACGAGCCGGATTCGAACACACTGTGTCAGGTACTCACTTGTCCAGATTGTCCGTCGGCTTCAACCTTGCAATTTCTTGGGGCGAGCGGTCGTTACCTCCTTGTCAACGGCCCACAGGATGTTCTACTATGGGACCTGGTCTCTCAGACGCGTACGTCTATATCATTCCTGGTGGTTTGCGGTAGCTCATGTATCTCTTTCTCTCAAAGTCCGCTGGCGACACCGTAGTCCCATAGCGATCAATCAAGTGATTGCTCATCCTACCGAAGAGCAGTTTGCCATCCTTGAGCGCGTTCAGTCAACAACAGCAGACGCACCGTCCACCCGAGTATCGATATTCCAGACTGGCTCGTCTGTCCCCGTTGCCATTCGAACACTGCCATTCCGACTACGCAGCACCATCTCCGTTCCGCCGACAGGATCTCTACCCACAGATCCGTCTGGCTTCGCTCTGGTAGGTATCACTGAGGCGTGGAGCGTCGTCGTATTTGGGGACGACATCCAGTTGCCGGAAGAGGAAGGTGCCTCTGCGCACGGCATTACTCAGGACGCTTCAGTCAGAAAACGCACTCTGTTCCACGATATCTTCGGCGTCTCGGCCTTTGCGGATCTCACTTCTATTCCTGGTCCATCTACTGCGCCTATACCTACGCATGCCTGGGATGGAAAGGAAGCTGTGGAGATCTTCGACGCTCCTGCGCATCTCCTGCCGCCTCTGGAGTCCCTATTCGACTCCGTCATGGACAGCTTCCTTGCTGCGCGACCCGGGGAAGACGAAGAAGAACCTGAGCAGCAACGGGAGGACGAGATGGACGTCGATGAGCCTGCGGATGAGGACGATCGGCCTGCGAAGGGTGGCGCTCCCCTCGATCGCGTTGTGGACAGGCAGGAGATGCACGGGTTCGTGGAGCTGTTCATGAACTACGCCATCAAAGGTGCGTTGTTGCCCCCGTACGTTGTTGCAGTCCGAATGCTTACGTATATGGTCCGATTAGCTCCTCCATCGAGACCGCCGCCAGTACAGGCTAACGGGATACACAAGCCCAACGGGATACCGCCACACCTCAACGGCCCACGCGCCACGCCCAAATCGACGCCCAAAGTGAATCCCAACGGTGCTACCCCTAATGGCCATGCATACACACCCAGTCGTCCACCCCCCGCCGACGCGTCCCCTGCCTCAACAGCCGGTAAGAAGCGGAAAAAGTCTCTCGGCTGAAATTCTATGTGAATCATGTCAATATGTCATCTGTGACGCTCGGCGGTGTGAACGAAGGGTTGATGGCGTTGGAAGAGTCGTGTAATCATCTGCATCTTGAGTCGCATATATAGCGATTCCTCCGCACTCATCAAGTATTCTATATCTGCATCGATAGCCGTCATGTGTTGGTGTTGTTTGATACGCAACAAGCATCCTATCTCTTTCTGAACAACCCAAAACAAGTATGCGAGTGGAGACCACAGAGGGTATAAAGATGTGCAGAGGCGTTAAACGTGTGCAGTGTGCATGAAAGTGCGAGATAGAGCCTATAGGATGAGAGCCTGACAAGAACAACGAGAAAGAGCCGACAACCACAGCAACCCCAGAACCCAGGAGAGGAAGACAGGCGAGGCGTCAGAGCTCCACAGAAATCGGCTTGTGTCTCAGTCTTAGTCCGCGGAGTGCTTCAGCGTGAGCAGAAGAGAGGCACCCATAACGACGTCCGGAGAGAACAGCGCGTGGTACTCGCGCGGAATGGCAACCTCACGGAGAACGCGTCCATTATCAGCCGCTTCTAGTTTGGCCACAGTCTCATCGGCCAGGTCGGGGTCGAATTCGCAGCTTTCCCCTGCAGAGTCGTCTTCGTCCTGGTAGATGAAGAGACCGTGCCTCCGCCGCGAAGCCGAGTTGGCGCAAGCCCACTCCAGCGAAGGCTTCTGAGGGCGAGCTGTTGTGAATCCGCGAGACGGCGCGAAGTTGGATGCGTTCCCGAGAGGTTGCAACGGACTCTCGTTTTGAGAAGGCGAACGTCTCGAGAAGGATTCATTGCGGTCAGTCGGAGTTGGCGGGAGGATCCTCCACAGCTCTGGAGAGCGGTTGGCAGAATAGAGCGTGTTTGAGTTTGACGAGAGGCTGCGTGAGGGCCTGCTGGACGCCGTGAGAGAAGGCTCACAGAGATTCTGGTGGCTATATGCGCGTCCCAGCGGCGACGGGGGTGTCCTGAGTTCCACAAGCTGGATCCTCTGCGGCGTGGCAAGCGTAGTCTCGCTAGAATCAAGCATTGGGGTGAGTGATGGGGAGGGCAGCCCTTTCGCCGCCTTCTTGGCCCGGGCGGCCGCATTGTCGACTGATGGCCTCGTCTTCTTTGACCGGGGCCTGCTGGACCTTGTCTCCGTAGTACCAACCTTCCTAGCCAGAGCTGGTATGGCAGCCCCCCTCCCCTTCTTGCTCCTCTCTTGCCTGCGGTTCTGGAACCATATGAGGACGCTCTTGGCGCTCCTGCCGTCCGACAGGATATCGTGCTTTGCCCCAAATAGTAGTACGGGAGAGCACTCACATTCCGACCTCCCGGGCAAGCGCCTCCTTGGTCCCTCTGCTCGGGTGGCTGTCTGCCTGGTAGAGCTCCTCGAGCCTCTGCAGCTGGTAGTCTGTCACTTTGTGCCGTGCCCGCTTGCTCACCGAGGGAGGAGACGCGTATGTTTCCATAGAAGCAACCTTCATGATAGGAATCGCAGAGATAGTGTGTGCGTCGAACAGAGAGTGCCGAGAAGACGACCTGGTCTTGCGTGGTGAGGGATCCATGGTATCTGGCGGGTCCTGTGGTTATCGTCGCGGTTGAGAAGGACGAGACCGATGCCGGTACCAGCAACCGTGTGCGCCTTGATGCGCCCCGACGAGGCTGGCGGTCAGCCCAACCGTCCAGCCGCCGCCGCCTCTACTACGCGCGCCACGGTCCCGTGATCGTGTTCGACTTTGTGAAAAGCTGCCAGTACTGCCAGTGTCAACGTCCGTAAACCACCTTCAAACCAACATCGTAGAGAGAACCATGCAAAAAATGGATCTTGAAGAAGGCCGTAGATTGTCAAGCAAAACTGTGAATGTGATACAGTCCCAAACAAAATGTCATAAAACACGCCAAAGAGTCGAGAATAGTTCGTTCAACAAAAATAACGTCTTGTATCGTATTACTACCGACGTATGCTGCAAATGAGATAAGGGGAGGGGTCCAAGTGGTCCATTGCAAGTACTAAGTATCAACTACCTACTGATACCGCCACACATCATCACATTAGTCAAGTCCGATCTCTACTACACGCTCCAGGCGGAAAGTCCGTCGTGTAAGTGCCTTCTCTGGCAACCGTAGTACAGTAGTGGTCCATTGCAGTTATCGTGATCCGCACCAGGTGGGGAGGCGCAGGTCAGTTGTGGCTCGTCAGCGTCCACTGATCGATGGGCACCGACGGCGGCGTCACAAAGTCGCTCGACGACGCCCCGGGCCACTGCGGGTTGAACAGCACCTGCAGGCTGTACGTGCCCGCCGGCAGGTTGATCATCACCACCGTCACGCCCGGGTTCGGCTGGTCCACCTGGCCCTGGGGAAGCGGCGGGTCGTTGTCGAACCGCTGCGCAGGCCCGGTGGTGATGGTAACGCCGTCTGGGGGATTCAGGATGCTCAATTGCACCGTCTTGTCGTCGATCTTGAGCGTCGCGGACGTGCCAGACACGGCCACCGTCGCGTTTGTGTGCATACGCCACATGATCGAGCCTTGTGCGTTAATGTCGTCCTGCAGGAGTACCTGCTTACGGCCGTTGATCAACCTAATACCACGCTTGAACGACGTCCTGCGGCCAAATGTCAGCGGTCGTGCCCACTATGTGAGAAACATGTTTCACTTACACGTTGCCGTACGCGCTCGTGAGATCAGCCGTGAAGTACGCCGTCGAGTCGCTCGAGACATCAAGGACAGTGCTCGAGCCCTGCTGAGTACCCGACGAGTCAAATTTGACCGTCGGCGCGGCCGTGACGAGTTGGTTGTCCTGGTTCACGAGGATGGTGTTCTGCCCCTCCGTCCGCTTGCGGTAGTACAGCCACCGCTGGCTGTCCTGCGCATCGCTCGAGAAGTAGCCCTCGGATAGGTAGTCCCCGGAGCCGAGCTCGCCCGCCCACCGCGTGCCGAGCGCGTCGATCACGAAGTCGCCCGCGTCGAGGTCGTTGTGCGTCTGGTGGCCCGTGAGCGTGCCGGCCTTCATCGCGACGTACAGCGCGTTCTCGTCCGTCCACGACGAACGCATCGACGCCCACTGGTCCGTGCTGTTGTCAAACACGTGGTCGAGCGGTAGCCCGTCCCAGAATGCGCCAGACACCTCTGGGTTGTACCAGAACATCGAGTTCGGCTCCGGGGCGTCGTGCTGATCGCGCTGGAAGAGCACGTACTCGGGGTGCTGTAGCTGGTCACCGTAGAAGAGGATCGAGTTCGCGGTCGTCGAGAACTTGTTCGGGCCGTGGTCGCCGTACGCGAAGAGCGAGCCCGGGCCAGTCACGTACATGTGGTACAGACCGGTCTTGTTCAAATTCGGGTTGTTCTTGAGCAACCCGAAGTCGGAGCCCGTCGCGGTCATCAGGGAGGACGTCATCTCTGCGAGCCCGGTGGTACCGAAATACCAGTAGTTCGCCGTCTCTGACCAAGTACCGTCGGACGAAACCGCGAAGATGCAGTTCGTGAGCGCGTTGGGGATAGACTTTCCGAGGATGGCCTCCGCGGTGCCGGAGGTATCATCCCCGAGGACGGCGAGCGCACCCATCGTGAGACCGCTATTGCTGACACAGTTCCAGTTGCCCTCGATGTTGTTAGCCCACCAGCCAGTCGATGTGTTAGAGTAGGCGTTCAGACCCGGCTCGAGACCATAGAACATCATCGAGCTGAGGATGGCGCTCCTCTGGTCAGACGACCAGGCATCGTACAGCCAATCGTACGCGATGGCGAACGCAGCGGTGAACTCGGCGGTGTCAAGGAAGTGGGTGGGGTTCCATTTGTCTTGGCCGTCGGGGCCGAACGGGGTCGTTCCGTTTCCAGCAGCGTTCTACACAAAGAGACGTTAAGCCGGCCCCGTCAATATCGGCGCCTAGCCCGAAGGGAAAACACTCTGCATACCTGGAGCTCCGTGAACGTTCTGTCCAGCCACTTGGTGTCGTTCGTCATGCGGTAGACGTACGCGAACGCCTTGATTCGCATTTTGATCTCGCGCGCGTTGTCGAGGATGCCACTGCCACCGTCCAAGTGGTAGACGACGGGGGGCAGACTGAAGTAAGCTGTCGCATTGCCGAAGATGGTGTCGTTCCAGAACTTGAGGTACGGGTCGTTCTTGATCAGGTTAGGCAGCGCCTCCCACTTGTAGGATGGCGCGAGGATACGCGGGCGGTCAGTGCGGACGGAGGTCGGCTGAGGGTTAGATGGCTGGAAGGGATCTTTGGGCCACGCTAAGGCGGCGTTGTTCGAAGGAACGAATGTGGGTGTGGTAAATGCGGCGGTGTTTGTCTTGCCAAGCCAAGTAGAACGGATCAGGATCCAGACACAGGTACATAGAGGCGGGGTCCAAAGGTCCGGAAGAGATCGGACTCACCGTAGAGGGATATATGGGGAGCAGGTACTGGCTGTCGGTGCCGGTCGGGTACAAGCCAATGTGCTCCTTGATGCTGGCAGCTTGGCTGGCGGCGGCCTCGCCGCTGGGGGATGCTTGAGCGGCGCTCCCGCTGCTCGACTTGCTCGAGTTCTTGTGAGCACGGCTGCCGAGGACACCACCGAGGACGGCGGCGAGAATGACGACTATGGCGACGGGGACGCCGATCCAGATCCATTTCCTCTTCGTAGACCTTAAACGGGATGAGGTTAGACCCGCATCCTCCTTGTCGTAGTCCGACATGGCGGCTTGGAGGTGAAACAGAGACAGAGACCAAAAGGAGGGACTGGTAAGTGGGCAAGCTGCAGCTGGATAGAGGTCTGTGGGATCTGAGGCTCCCGCGCCGAATATTGTTGAGAGGAAGAGGGATGGGGATGGGGAGGGAGGCGGTAAGGGGTGTCATTCACATAATATAATTCAGGCCGGCCTGGTGGCGCCGTGCCGAGACGTGCCCGGCTGACACTCGTACCCAGCCGCTGCCTCGTGAAGCAAAACCTTCACCGCCATCCCACAAATATAATCAATACGCCCATACCCATATGCACTTGCCGCTTCAGCTCCACCACATTGGCCCGCACTCGCCCCCCGCTAGACTTCCATGCATCGAGAAATTGCAAGGTATAAAGTGCTGGAGGTATGCAACGGTAACAAACAACATTGCGCGGGTGGTGGTGTATCTACAGAAGGATAAGTGTCATCGTAAACAGTCGTGCGGTCATAGAAGTCGTTTCTAATGTTGGAACCCCAGCACGAACACGCAGGCGTATGCGTGCAAGGCCCAAAAATACAGCTGCATAACGTACACGATCTTGATGCAAAGTACCTCCATAGCCATGGTTCCTGTCCTAAGAATGTTCCTACACGCGCATACGGTCAGAGTTCCTCCGTGCACCGTCGTCAAACACACAGCGCTCCGCATCTAGGCTGCAGGATCGGGCGCCATGAAGCCTAGCAGAGCGATTGCCGCCTCCATGTCCATGTCCTCGTCCTTTACAGGCGGTTCCGGCACACCGGCATCAAGCTCCTCTGCTTCCGCAGGCAGAACGAAAGGTGGGAGGAGCTCGGTGCTGACGTTCGGTGTGATCGCCTCATCATCCTCCGTCTCCGTGTCGTCGTCGCCTACGCTCGAGTTTTTGCGGGGGGTAGCGTCTAGGACGAGCATGGGCACGTCACTGTCCTCGTCCTCCGATGCAGCCGGCTTGGCAGCGAGCCTCGCCCGGCGAATGCTCGCCTTGCGGCCCGCGCGCGCTTTTGCACACGCCCACTCCAGCGTCCGGAGTCTTTTCGTGCACGGCTCCAGAGCGAGGAGAGGCTCACCGAGGGAGGGGGACGACGGCCGTGTGGGAGGCGAGGAGGGAAGAAGCTCCCATATATCCTTTGACCTCTCCGCTGTTGCTGCCCGACGTCTCGGAGTGACGGGGACGCGAGGCGGTAAGCGCGAGCAGGGCAATCCCTTGGCCTTGTAGGGCAGCTCGCGTGACGACGCGACGCGGTCTAGGGAAACGACCGAGTCCGAGCGCGGCAGCGCTTTGGGGCCATCCGGCGGGCGGACGTGCTTGTTCTCTGGCAGCGAACCTTTGGACCATCCAGATGAAGCAGACCATGTCCTCTTCAAGGTGCGGCGCTTGTTCTGGAACCATGCGTTGACGGCCTTCAATTCCCTGTAGGTATAGGTACAACCTCAACGTGAGCTCGTGCATGCGACCGACGGAGTATATGCGCACATTCCAAGCTCTGCAGCGAGAAGAGCACGCTCCTCTCTCGACGGGTGAGTCTTCACCTCAAACACAGACACCAGTGCGTTTGTCTGGGAAGGTGCGAGGCGTCTACGCGTGGACAGGGGACCGCATGCCAGGCGGGTCGGGTCCAGCTTGGGCGAGTCTGAGGACGAAGCGGAGATCGTTGGGGAGAGCGGGACAGACATATTGAAGACGGGAGGGGAAGAGTGGACGGTGCGCTGAGGTTATGGGGGCTATGAGAGTAACCCCATGCGCAGGATGAGGTCGGACACACGGTTCGAACGCGGTCCAACCTCGAACCGCGTACCTGCCACCCGACGCGTATATACGGCCAAACAACGCGCCTCACCTGATCCGCCTCTATGCACACGTGAACCGGCGTCTTTTAGAGCGTCTACGCGCACCCCGAACGCGAACTTGGAAACTCGAACCATCCCTGCGGCGGCTACGCGCGCGTCGTTCGCTAGTATGTAGCATACGTATTTGCATTCTCGGTCAAATTCAAATACAGCAATCTTGCTTGTCTCCCGAGATTAGTCAAATGTAGTGGAGATAGCGACTCGTGACTCACTATGCGCTACAGTAACCCAAGCCTCGTCTGACCTCAGATTGTACCCAGATCCTACAAGTGCGACAGTACCTCCTCCTCCACCACCTTCTCCTCATACATCGGCGTTTCCATGGGCACTATCATGAATTCCCCAACGGAGGGAGCAATGTCAGCCTGCTCGAGGAGCGCCTTCATTTCTTCGTACTTCGTTTTGTTGCGCACGCACACGCGGGGAAATTGCTTGCCCAGCTGCTGCCGCGCGTTGAGCCAGAGCGCAAAGTCTCGGACGTCTCCCGTCGGGTCGCCGACGTACTCCCAGAAAATGCTGAGGTACTCGAGCTCGGGGCAGCAGATAGGTATCGCGAACGGCTCCTGCCTCGCCGCCTTCTCCGCGATCGCCGCGAGCTCCTCCGGAGCCAAGTACAGCTCGGGCACGCACAGGGGCCGGAGCAGCGCCTGCACGCCGACATACAAGAAGCCTGATTTCAACACCCTGAGCTTGGGCATGCTGCGCAGCAACCTCCCGAACTGGGCGAAATACTGGTTGACCACGGGGGGCGGGGCGGGAGGACCGTGGCAGGCGATAAAGCGGAGCGCAAATAGACGCAGCTCGGGGAACCGGCCAGTGAGCTGTTCGCACAGCGACTTGAAGTTGATGCTCGCGTTCCTGATCGATAAAATGTTGAGAGCGATGAGTCGCGGGGCGTCGATGTGCGCGAGGGTGAATTCGGTCGCCCTCCTTTCAGCTTCGTAGTGTATACTTAACTCGAGGAGATTGGGGAGCTCGACGCGCACCGAGGGTGGCGGCGTGTTCCATTCGCAAGCAACCCAGAACATACGGAGGTCAAGCCGAACCAACGTCGATGCCGCCGCGAAGAGGATCTGAGACCACTGGTGGGACTGGAGGGGCGGCATAGTGCCATAGGTGGTTCCCAGACGCAGGTCCTTGACGTTCGAAAACATGGTCGGTGACTGACTCTCCCAATCGATCGCGACACCGTCGAGGTCAATCTTGCGCAGATTCGGGACCACTACCTGCCCCCTGAGAGGGATCATGGGGGGTCGGTCATAGAAAATAACGACGTTCCCGTCGCGATTCCTATGGTTAACGTGGTGGAGCACGAGCGTCTGCAGACACGGGAAAGCCCGTGTATTCCGTGCAAGCCAGGTACAGAATACAGGCATAGAGCTTTCGCATAGCCCAGCGGTCACTTCGCGTAGCTGGGGAGCGGCTAAAATCAGCCCATGGAGGAGCACGCCGAAGTCGGTAGCGTGGACGGGGCTGGCCCCAGGGAGCACCGGAGCCTGGCCGAATCCGATAGTGAGGGGCACACCCTCCGCGCGCGAGATAGCCCGAAACGAGAGTTTCCAAGGACAAGCGTCGGTGAAGATGACCGTGCGCCAGAGCGCACGGTACCCGTACGCGATGTCTCTGAAACGCCTGCAGGTCTGGACGAGCACGGCGCGAGCGGCGTGATAGTACTTCATATTGTCGATAGGGTGGGAGTAGACGACATGGTCAAAGATCATACCGAGGATCTCATTCGGGAGGTCGCGAATGGGGAAGAGAGCGCGGGTAAGGATTCGGTGCCTCCAGATAATGGATGCAAGCTCGTTGCCGATAGCCGCAGGCGGACGCTCTTCCATGTTCTCTTCCATGTTCTCGCGGAGAGCCTCCAACTCATGGATTCGTACCTTGAACATCTTGACACGGCTGTTGAAGCGCGCCCGTAATGCATCGTCCATGATGGAGGGCGGAGGAACGGTGGCGAGGTATCTTTTGTACATCATCTCGTCCTCCCAGATCCTGGCCGCATAGGGATCGCTCATGGGGTCAGGATCTAGCTTCTGAGCAACTGGAAGCTTGACACCGAAAATGTCGGGCTCTTGCGCGACATAACGAGGTCGAGACATCTGCATAGCAGCGATGAGGGTGCTGGGAGCGCTCTTGTGATTCGAAATCACTCACCTCTGGTACAGAGGGCGCGCCACTAATTCCTTGAATACTCTCTGAATTGTGTTATTGAAAGGTCGGAGAGGAAAAAGGCCTTGGGATAGGGGAAGGGACTACGGATCGCAAGCGAAGACAAGGAGAAGCAGTTTGGCGAACGAGTGGAAGCGAGGATTATCCTTTATGCTTCCCTGGACGCGGGTCAGAGGGCCGTGGAAAACCGCTGACGGGTCGGGTCATGCACCAAACATCAGTGTTTGCAGCTGTGGGCGTCCGCCCTATCAAATGCGCGTTAGCCTGCTGTCGTGACGACCTGAGACAAACCGTGTCTGTCTTACTTTAGGGCCTCCTTGTTCTGCGGTTCCTGCCTTAACCTATCATAGGAAGGGACTCGGTCCGTCTAAGGGCAAGTGGATATGTCGAACTGAACAGCGATCCGGTCAGGGAAACGCAGACAGACAGTTGATTGGTGCGTGGCATATTCAATGTCGTAACATGCTGCTCTGTGGTCCGCTAAGGATTCAACGCGGGTTGGTCTAGGATTTTGTTTCCAAACGAAGCTGAGGATCAGGCTTCCAGGATGGTGCGCCGCCGCCTGCATCTTAGTTACTATTGCATTGTTCTTGGACAGCTAGGCTCAGACATCCCAGAACGCCGTTCAACAATTTTCGTGACCGTGCTTTGTACCATGCTGGTTTCGTCGGACAACAGAGCTAGAAATTTGTGACCTGCGACAATCGATGCAGATTCAAGTTGTTGCGTTCCGTAGGAATGGATTGCATCGTGACAGCAAGTCTTTGTCCCATACCATCTAGATCATAGAAGCTAAGCCCATCTCACAGGTTCCTTCAACAATAGAAGGGACTCACATGTTCAAACCCAGCTCCCATGCTGAGAAGGAGGCAATACATATCCAACTGGGCTTTCGGCGTCTAAAATACTAGGCGCCTTGACGGCCGTACAATAATAACATAGTACAACACCGCGCGCAGAGATCTGCCATGCGCAGCTACTAGTATGGTCATATACCAGCGGCCAGGTTCGTTACTCAGACTTCGTTCATCGGGGGCTCCTCATTTCAAGCTCGGAAGAAACTCATCGATCTGAGCTCATGCATCTCAAGGGTTGATCAAGATTTTTGAGTTTCGCAAATCCTCAGCGTTTCCAAGCGTCTCCGGCCGCCAGCGACGCTGAAAGTGTCACGCGTGGAGGGCTCTTCGTTTGTGAGCTTCAAGTTTTTTTTTGCCGAGTGGCACCGCCGATTGCTCTCCGTCAGAGAGAAGTTTCGAGATCCAGCTCCTGTCCGCGCTATGAGGACAAAGCACTCGCCATATGGGATTGCTATTGGATGTCTCCTGCCTTCTTTGTGCCTCCCCTTCTCTTCGGTGACTCCCTGACACCAACAGACAACCGCGTTTCCATGCTCATCAAGCATGCCTACCGTATCGCAGTCGATCATCGATTAATCCTCCATTGGACTTAGCCCAAATTAGGAGACCTATTCTCCAATGATCACTATATATATGTAATAGGAGCAGCTAGGAGCTCGAACAGTGAACAGAAACCGATGGCGTACGTGACATCCGATCAATGGCGATGCCATACTCGCAGTGGCCTGAGTTGATGCACGGCAGGCATTCCCGGGTTTTCGACAGGAGAGAAATATATGGAAAGGAGAGGCATGAGGTGAGCCATTCGTCAAGACGCGGCTTTTCTGAACAAGAGCCTCTGAAACCCCGGGTACATCGGGGGGGTTGCCTCCTGCCACGCCCTTTCGTCGACACCGAAACATGGAGATGTCTGCCGTGATGTGCTCAAATATGTTTCCTGCTCTTAAGGAAAATCCAACGGGCCCTTGGACAATTACGGACCATTCCGCGAGATGGGTGGATGGCTACCGCAGCACACGGTTCACCGATGTAGGACATTGGTACTGGGCAAATAAATACTATTTTCGTTTACACTACCTGAAGTACAACTACATAGCACGGCCTACAGATTTCAGATTGAAGGCTTACCTTACTACTAGACTAAGCGGAGAATAGGGAACAGAAGAACAGGCCAAGATAGAGCAACGACAGCAGAAGAAGCGGGCGGTCCATGGAAGTGAGGACATGCCAGTCTCTCAACTGCGATCGTACCACTACAAGAAAAAGAGGCCGTAATCGATAACTGAAGCATAAACGATACAGCGACTCCGCGACGCGTTCGGCATATCTTACACCTCACAATTCAGATTAGAGGACTTCGAGCTCATTTGCGGCGTGCGCCCGAACCCGACGCCTGCTGAGGGCTCGGTGGAGCGACGAGGAGTTCCTCGATAATCTCGCCTACAATCGTGTCCTCGCGCTCCTTGCTCACCTCACCGTTGAGCGGGATGTGCGAGTCGACCTTCGACTGCAGCACGGGGTACTGATTAGATGTGATTCCCATCTAGGAAACAAAGAACGACAGACCGTCAGCATACGGATCAGGGCAACCACGATACAAGGCCAGACTACAAGGGAACAGAACAATGGACGATACTCACTTCAGCCAGACGATGGACAATGGAGTCTATGGCGGCCGTGCGACCTGCATTTGTGTTGCCTGACCCAGGCGCAGAACCGAATGTACCCCACGAGGCATCACGGCGATGCCCAGTACCATGGACAGTGTGGGATCTGCGAGGAATACTGTACAGCTCGAGTCGAGGGAACGGTCCCCGAGCGTTGCTGATGACTTGCGGGGCCGCCTCTGCCTGCTCTTGCGAGGCCTGGGGGCTAGCAGAAGCCGATGCTTGAGCCGACGGGCCGGCAGCGGCACTGGGACCGGATGCACCCGGGGGACTGATTGGGCTGTCGTGCACGTCCTTCGTCTCGCTGCAAGAAAAAAGCAAGATACGTCGGTCAGCGCGCATGCTCCGACGAGAAAATCCGCGCGTAGCACACACGTACCTGTCGGTCGAGACGTTCATGCGGCGCTTCTTGCGCTCCTCGCGGAGGCGGCGGTAATGTTCCTTTTCGGCAATGTAGGCCTCCTTGGCTGCCTGCAGCTTCTTCTTCGCTTCGTCGGGAGACTCCAAGGGTGACGCACCGTACATCTCAACATCAAAGCCCTCGCCACTGGCGTTCGGCCTCGGAGGGAGAGCGGGGACGGTGTCTCCCCAGTCGGCGCCATGGGAGGGGTGACGTCTCCAGCCACGAAGGCGTTCGCCGCCGTGGCGGGGAGGCCCGACGAACGGGTCGTCGTCGTCCCACTCACCTGGATAATGATGACGATGACGCCTGTCCCATGAGTAGTGGCCGAAATGGCCGTGGTGAGGAGGAGGCGGGCCAGCGGGGCTGTCGTGGGGAGGGAATGGGCCGCGACCTCCGAAAGTACCGTGAGCTCCCAGAGGAGGCGGAGGGCCGGGGGGAGGCGGTCCGGGAGGCGGAGGAGGACCAGGCGGCGGGGGCGGGCCAGGTGGTGGTGGAGGGCCTGAAGGGCGCCCCGGGCGTCCGTGGTGAGGAGGCGGGCCAGGTGGGAAGTTGAAGAACGGAGGTGGCCCGGAGAACGGGAAGCCGCCTCTACCGCCCCATCGGGAGTCGAACGAGCCCCACGAAGCGCGGCCGGGGCCACCCCTGTGCGGAGGAGGCGGACCACCAGCCCACCTCATCCACGACTCCTCCATTAGGTCGGTAGTAGTCCGCCGGTTGCGCGACGGGGTGGAGGTTTCGAACCCGGGCGCCGAGGAGGACTGAACGTTGGGGTTCGCACCTTGAGTGCCAGTATCGGTGATGTCCGCCATGACCCGGATGACTTCAGCGAGGGCGTCCGCGACCCTGCGGCCGGCGGCCTCCTCCGCGGCACGTCCTCCGCCCAGAGCAGCCTGACGAACATCCTCCGCGCCCATGATCGCGCTGCGGCGGATCTCCTCCGCGGCCCGCACGACCTGATCGCGGTGAGTCTGCCAGTACGTACCATTGGAAGCGTTGCGGACAATGTTGCGGATGCCCTCCGAGAGCTCTGGGTGGGAAGCGAGTATGGTGGACAGCGTGCTGAAGAGATTGGCGACGTCGTTCGCAATATTGGTCTGAGGCGCGGCGGCGACATCGTCCAAGTCGGGGAGCGGCGGATCGTCGGCCTGAGGGGTGCTCGTGGACTTCCCCGTACCAGACACGGGGGTTCTAGCCTTGGGGGTGGGAGTACGAGGTCCCAAAGCAGAGACACTGCGGCTCCGGCTGCTAGTCGACCGCCCGTGGTATGTGCCAACGTTGGAATTGCCCATCGCGAAGACGTGAATGGGATGCTTAGGGCCAGTCTCCTCCTCAGCGATGATAGATTGGGTAGAAGAGATGGTGTCCGGTGTTTGGGAGCGACGAAGACTTGCGGAGCGCGCCCGTCTCTTCCCTTTGTCGGTAGTGGGAGTCGCGTCAATCTCAGGGAGGGTGTTGGTAGAGTTGGTGCTGACGGAGGCGTCGTCCTTGTCCCCCTTATTGAAGTAAGAGATGTCGGCGTCGCTGTCGAGCACCTCGACGAAGGCGTGGGGCTGCTCTCCGTCTGCTTCGACGATGATACCGCCGAGACCAGACGGGATGGGTTGCCAACCGTCGTCGATCTCCATCTCAAACAGCACCGGGGCCGAGCGCCCGAATGTGTTACGGTAGTTCATTGCAGAGCCAGTACGAGGAGTGTCGGGGAGAGGCTTATCGTTGCGAAGGGAGTCGAGGTCGTGGACGTTGAGTTTCACCAGCATGAGCGTACCGTCCCTCTGCTGCAGCACGCCCTGGTAGAAGTCCTGAAGCTCTTCTTCGGAGCTGAGAGTGACCTCGTCTCCATCGTCGTCCACGTACGAAACGCCAACGCTGGGGAGGGGTATGTTGTACAAGGATTCGATCTTGGCTGCGAGGGCTTCCCAAGAGGGCCTCTCCTGGAAGGTGACGCGTCGAACGAGCCCGTCCGGGGGTCTAGAGAATTTGAACTGGATGGGAGACATGGTGTAATAGGATGAGGAGCAGTGGGACGGAATGGGGGGTTATATAGACGTCGTAATGGCCAGTAGTACTTGTTCTAGTCAGTTCAGACTCCGCTGCGCAGTGGGCGATCGAGAGTTGCGCAAGCGGCCCCGCAGCGCCTCGGCACCGCTTTCTGTTAACTCTATCGCTCCCTACGCAGACGCCGACAGGCCTCGTCCTCTGCCGCGACGCTGCGCACATGGCAATATTCATGGATCACACTCTGACTGCTGTCTCGACATGACTCTCTCCATACGCAAGTCATAGTTGCACATGGTATTCTTGAGTCATTCCGCGGTCTATTCGTAATCTTACAAAGCTAATAAGCACTGCTGCGGCCGTACATCGTCGCCGACGACGCGTATGTCTCCTCACGCGAAGATCGCCAGTCGGGGGTCGAGGTCGACCGGGTCGTTGAGCTGCGCCATTTCAAGATCAGTCTGGAATCACAGCGAGTCAGGCAGATCGACTCACGCGGAGGTTAATGTTGAGTGCGCTGAGTGCCTTGACGTCCTCTTCGGGTAACTCGAAATCAGTTATTGCCAAGTTCTGCACCAAACGCTCGTGGTTGTTGGACTTGGGGATGACCGCAAGACCCCGCTGGAGAGCCCAACGAAGTAGAACCTGAGCGGTGGCTGCAAGATTCATTCGTTAGTGAGCATGGTTTGCAGACATTGATGGTCGACTGACTCTTCGAGTGCTTAGACGCAATGTTCGCAACGAGGTCGTGCTGGAGCAGACTGCTCGTGTTCTTGTGGGCACCAAGCTCGACATAGCTTTGAGGGCCAAAGGACGAGTAAGCAGTAACAGCGATACCCAGCAACTTGGAGTAGTCAACTAGGGCCTCCTGGGTCAAGTAAGGATGAATCTCGACTTGAAGAACTTGAGGCTCAATGCGAGCGTAACGTTGGACATCGTAGATGAGAGCACCCTGGGCGTTGCTGCAATGAGGTGAATTCGTGGTTTGTTGTCACATGGAATCGCACTAACCTCAGACCGATGTTCTTCGTCAGACCCTTGTCAACAAGATCCTCGAGCGCGTGCCACGTCTCCTGGAAGGGGACGTTGACTGAGATACCAGCTCGTCAGCTGTCCGATGCCCGCATACTCAAAGGAGCGAACTTACTGGGATGAACTTTGCCGTCGAGTCCCCACCACTCTTGGGGGAACTTGACCTTGGGGTCGATGTACTCGATAGAAATAGGGAAGTGGATGAGGTAGAGGTCGAAGTAGTCCAGACCCCAGAGCGCCAGAGAATTGCGAGCACCCTCCTCGACCTATTCCATTTCCAGCCAGTCAACATATGTGGGAGACGGTCCAGGACCCTGTGATCACGTACGCGCTCTTTCTCGTGGTAAGAGTTCCAAAGCTATGTCCCATGTTATCAGTTTGCGGGAACCAATCGGAGAATTCACGAGCAGACCTTGGACGTAATCCCTATGGATATGGTTAGTGCAATGCGCATCACGAGTTAGGGAGCTTTACTCACAGACATCCTCGCGGGTTACGAGACCATCCTTGATGGCACGCGCGAGACCCTCACCGGCCTCCTTTTCGTTACCATAGTCAGAAGCGCCGTCAAAAAGACGGTATCCGGCCTTGATCGCGTTGTACACGGTCTGGCGTTGTAAGTTCAGCAACTGCTAGGTGATAGGCCGCATTAAATATGGACTTACATCGGCGCAAGTCTCCTTCGTGACCTGTACACCATCGACGTTTCAGTTGTAGTAGCGCAAGTGAATCTGTACGGCGTACCTTCCAGAGACCGAAGCTAGCATCGACAAGACCCGTCATCAGAGATTTACAACACTGACGCACGATCAATAGCTTACCCGACAAGAGGCATCTGACAGAGCCAAGAGGTCAGTATACGACGTGCCTTGGGCATATTTGGTACGCAGGACGAACCTTCGCGCCGGTGCGCTTGAGAGTAACAGTGGTGGCCATGGTGTGTGATGAGAGATGGAGTGAGAGATGTTGAGGCGGGATGGGGTTTTGTCTGTAGGGGGTGCGGGGCTATTTGAGTCGAAAGTGGGGACCGGGGCGGTTCGAAGGGGAGCACGGGCCGCGGGTGGGAGAGAGTATTGCAGGATCGATGCCTATCGATGTGCTCGCAAGCAATGCCTGCCACTTATGATATCATCCTCGCGCGCGCGGCGTATTCTCGGCGCTCCTTCCCTTCTTGAGCACCTTCCCCATTGGTCCATCGCGGCACTTGCCGGCAAAACCTCCGCCGTTCTCCGGGCCTGTCGGGGCGACTGGCGGCGGCGCGTAGGTCTGCTCAGCCGTCGATGCGCATCCACGTCGTTGGCCTCGGTGCAGTTGGGTCCTTCGTCGCTTTCCACCTCCGTCGCACCCTCCATCCCAAGCACACCGTCTTTGCTCTCCACCATAAATTCTCCGCCCCCACCATCTCCAAAGAGCACCCCATAGTCATCGAGTCCGAGGGCGTGGTCCATTCTCAGAGCGGCGTCGAACATCTCGCCTTCACCCTATCTCCTCAACGCGCTCGCCCGGACCTGAACCCACGTCTCGACCCCTTGCGCCAGCCGCACACCGATCTCCGGGTCGCGCTGGACTGCCGCAACGAACCGCACGAGCTGCACCGCATCTATGGAGCCATCGAGTCCCTCGTCGTCACCACCAAGGCGCACGCCGTCCCCCGCGTCATAGCCGCGCTCTCCGGCCACCTCTCGCGCAACAGCACCGTCGTCCTCCTGCACAACGGCATGGGCATGTACGAGAAGCTCGTCGAGGAGTTCTTCCCCGACCCGTACGACCGCCCCAACTTCGTCCTCGCCACGAACACCCACGGCCTCTGGCGCAAGGACGTCCTCCACGTCGTCCACTCCGGCGTCGGGGAGATCCAGCTCGGCATCGTGCCGGACCCGCACGGACGCGACTACGAGGCCGCCGTACGAGGCACCGGGAACGTCCCCTCCTGGAAGCCGCTCTCCCTCGACGACATTGCGAGCATCTCGGACGAGCACGCGCAGTCGGTGAGCCCGCGCTATCTCTCCCTCCGGAACACCATCTCGGCGCTCACGGGCGCGCGTGCGCTCGGGGCGACATGGCGGCCGTACGACGACGTGCAGACGGCGATGCGACGCAAGCTCGTCGTCAACTGCTTCGTCAATCCGCTCTCTGCGCTCCTCCAGTGCAAGAATGGAGACCTGCTCAGCTCGAACCACAGCCGCTGGATTCTCGATCACCTGTGCAAGGAGGCAGAACACGTCTTCAGGGCACAGCTCGCGGCAGAGGTCAAGGAGATGCAGAAGGCGTATGAGGAAATGAGCGAGGAGGAGAAGGCGGCCGTGGGGCCGCCGCGGCCGCAGCCGTACCCTCGCGCTCTTACATCTCTCTCGCTCATGAGGGAGGTCGAGCGGGTCGTCGATCTGACGAGGGAGAACTACTCGTCGATGTATTGGGACGTCAAGTTGGGCAAGCCGACCGAGATCAAATACCTGAACGGGTATCTGCTCAAGCTCGGGCTGAAGTACAGTGTGAGGACTGGTGTCAATGACATCCTCTTCGGTCTTACGCAGATGCGCACCGCAATTCCGTTCGTCGGGAAGCCATCATAGTCAGCTGCGTTCGACGAACCTTCGTCCCTCCTCAGGTGTGCCTGACTTCCTTCGCGCATCTAGTCATTGCTGATATTGTTGATCACTCAGCACTGTCTGTGCGGCTTTTAGGCGTCGCCGATCGTCTATCTGACAGCCCACCTGACTGTTCTTATGATGATGTACCCCTAGCGATGCTACGCTATGTGCATTCACTTACTCAAGATGCCGTCCGTCCAACTTCATGAGCCTTGCCATGAAATGTATCAAAAGTTGCCATATAGTCGCATAATATAGGATACACTGTAGTGCTAGCTGGGACTAATGACACACCTTCTGAAACACATGCCACTATCTACTAGGAGGAGCATACCCTTCAACTATCCGTCCGCTGGGTTTCGAGTTGTTGTTCGGACCACCTAGCTCCCACCTTCAGGTCGTCCGGGAATTGCGTCTGTAACTCAAGAACGGGAATAAGACGGCCGCCGACACCGTCTTCGCGTGGTATATGCGCGTCCTCGAAGAATCTCCCGAACATGTAGACCTCCCTCCGCAAGCGACGTAGCCTCTCGAGTGTTAGCGGCGCAGGGGTCCAACATCTCCCGGAGATATCCGGGTGTACAGTCACGTCCCCGATGCCGTCTTTCGTGAGGACTTGAAATTCTGCCCTCCCCTCGTTGATCTGGTGATACGAATAGGTTCATGAACGTATCGCGGATGGAATAAGACACTCCACGTACCCTCCAACCAATGACGCACGCTTCTCCGTGATCAGGATGGGCCAATGCAAGCCCTACAAACCAGTCGAGGCCCTGGAGAGGTGAAGCCAGCCTACGACGCGGCGACTGGATCTTGTACTTGGTATGTCTCGCGGTGTACTCTGCCAACTCCGATAGGCACAATTCTCGCCGGTCCTCAGGGATGACAGGCAGCAGCGCGTCCATGACGACCGCCTGGTGGTCCAGGGGGCAATCCTCGGTGACCATTGGGATGATCTGCACCCCAGGGGCGTTAATAGTCGCGAAGGCAGCGGAGGCCGCGTACCGCACCCTGTCCATCCCGTAGCCACTCAGAGGATCGACATGACACGCATCGGTGCGCATCGTCGCGAATGCATTGTGGACCGCCCGGTTGACCATGCTCGCGAGGCCGGCGGGCATGACGGCGTCCGCCGGGAAGCTCGAGTGAAAGCCTGCCTCCGAGAGCATGACGGAGATGTCCCTGCTGGAGAAGACGATCGGAGGCGTCGTCGAGCAGGGGTCGATGAGCATGTCGCCTTGCTGTGGGTTCGGGGATTCGATGTGACAGAGCACTCTGCGCGGAGTGTTCGTTGGGATGGCTTTGATCTGCAGACGACGACATATCGCTGAGTAGACGTAATTGACTGAGATTGGGAGCGTCGTCGCGCGGCCGACTGTGAGAAAGTAATGTGGGAACTGGTTGAAGGGATTGTAGAATATGGTCGCTACAGGCAGTCGATGTTTAGGACGAATCTTCGCCCACAATGTCAGAAAAACGCTTACGATCATTAGCAAGAGCGAAGCCCTCCTCTTGTACAAAGTTGCGAACGAAGACTGCAACTTTAGCGAGGTCGTAGGCGGAGTCTGTAGGTTGCAGCACAAACTCGGCCTGCGTGAGGCGTTCTCGGCATCGGCTGGCGAGTTGGTCGAGCTGCTTGAAAATCTATCCTACGTGTAAGTAGGGCCGCCCTGGGTAGGTAACTTGATGACGTCACTTACAACGTACGGGGAAATGTCCACGAAAGCAGAGAGACCAGTCAGCGCATCCTCGAATGTGCAATCCTCGTCTTTCTTGAGTATGCGGGCCCAAGCGTTCACAGCGTGGTTGCGCCCGATAGCACCCAGAGCTGCCTTGGCCCAAAACCTCCTTGGAAGAGCATGCGGGACCGCTTCTTGTGATTCACTTTCTGCGTCGCCGGGTTCGCGAAAGACGTATGGTATTGGCACCTTCGTTTCCAGCTCTAGGGCGTCCCACACGTCCCAAGAGAACTCCAACGCGAGGCGGTGAGAAGCTGCGTCCCTATCATCCGGATGTGTGCGGATGTAATCGACCAACTGCAAGGCGGCACGATCGAGTCTGACGCGCTCAATGAACATCATCTGCCAGTCGCCCCCGAGTCGAGCGCGCCGCTCGTCCTCATGTTCCGGAATGTTGTGAATGTAGCGCGCGAGGTATAGTCTCGCCCATATTGACCTATCGAGGGCGGCCGCGCGAGCGACGGAGTTTGCGGAGAGAAAGCTAACGACGGTCTTGAGACTGGAGGGTTCTTGAGGAGGAAGTTGCAGGAGACAATGAGTATACAGCTCAACAGGTAGGGGAAATACCATCTCGTCACGTTGCGGTTAATCCGATTGTACAGGATCCCAATTGTAAGGAAACGAAGAACTGGAAAAGAGCGTGATGATTGTCGTCGAGAGTCGACACCAGGGGGACGCTGCCGTAGCCTGAGAGTGCAGATTGGGCAGGCAGTTCCATTTCCGTCGTTACTCCGAAGACCGTTCTCTGACCCCTGACGCGCAGCCTGTAAGACCGCTGTCCATAAGTACATATTTGCTGCGCTACATTCTGCGACCATATATAACCCAACTGTTACTAATGGTTGGGAGTCTGATACCAGATATTGGCACTCATGCCTCGGTGGTTCCAAACACACCTCGAAGGATTCTGAACCAAGAAACGAGAATACAAACACAATGGTACGGGACTAGATATTGTCTATGTTACACGCACGACGGTCGAGTCCGCCTGGCCGCTAGGGACCGCGTTCATAGAGTCTTGCAGGACGTCGTCGTCAGGATACAACGTCCGCGCCTCTGCAGTGAGGACAAGGCCCATGGGATTCCCATCAGAATCGACCTCGGAGAAAGACACGTCTTCAAAGTAGCGTCCGAGATAGGGAAAATTAGCGAAGAGCTTGCGCGCCCTCTTTCTGGACAGCCCCGCCCTCTCCAGGTCAGTCATTCCCTCCTCTGGTACTATAATATATACGATTGATCAGTCCAAGCAGCGGATAGTATAGGCCCACGTACATTGCCAGTTGCCCGTTGGGAAAGCTAGCGTATATGTTACTGTCTGACCATTGCTCTGTGCTCGGATCTGAGCGCGGAAGCGCGCAATTCGTGACAGTGGTGCGTACCTCCCAACCAAAGATAACACCTCGTGGCAAGTATGGTTCACTTGGCCTGGAAGTGATAATTGTCCCAATGCGGCCAAGCTCGGGGCCGAGATGTTGCAGGCGACGTTTGACCAGTGTCTCGAGATTCTCCGACCGCTGTGCTAGTTCCTCGACTGCTTTCACGAATGGCTTTTCCGCGAATGGTCCCGAATGTCCAGACCAGACACCATCAAGAACGACAACAGGGAGGTCAAGCGGTAGCATGTCTTGCAGCTGCTCAGGGAAGTTATAAGTCGCGTCCCATTCAGGACGAGCAGTCGCCGCAAGGGCACACTGCACTGCATATGATGCAATGAATCTCCTATTCGGATGCCTGGTAGACCATTCCCAGACACGCGCGTCGTCATGCAGCGTAAGATTGTTGGATGCGTCTCCTATGGCCTCCACGAGAAACCATGTGCGAGGTAGTTCTGCGATAGGATCCCCAGCCTCGTACGGCTCCTTCAAGGAAGGGACGTCAGATAGAGAGCAGATCGACGGTGCGCTTCCAGTAACACTCATTTCTATAACCACTGGATCATCAAGAGCGAGAGCTTGAGCGCCGCCGCCCCTCCGGACTATGCAAGCCGGCCTCGGTACTGGCCCCGGTATGGTTACGGTGTATGCAAACAGTTCCAGGCGGTCGCAGAGAGCCAGGAATAGCCATGTAAGGGAGAGGCGACTCAGAGGGAACGTTCGCTCTCCCCTGAGTATCGCATGCGGGTACGAGTTGAAGATATACTCGTTCGAATCCGGGTCGACTGAATCGTCCGCGCGCATGAGACAACGCAGAGACATACAGAGGTAGAGAGGAAGAAACTAACAGTCGTCGCCTATCCATTCCTGATCTTCCATGTACTCGATAATTGTCCTACACGCTCGATGGAGGTTGAAGTCAGGATCCGAGGGGTCCCAAACAATCTTCTTTCCGGACCGGGGCAAGAACTCAAGGCATTCCTGGGCGCAATAATCCAGCTCGCGCTCAATCTAGGTGAATGGCAATAGAATGAGGCGGTCTATATCCACAACAGTAACAAGATATGCGTCTTACCTCCTGAGGGGACCATCCGTAGAAAGCTGACCAGCCAGCCAGAGCCTCTGTCGTGCTAACAGTTGGATCACCCGCGTAGAGACGCCGCCACATGGTGACAGCCCAGTACCGTGCAATGATGCCCTGTGCCGTTTTCGCCCAGAACCTTCTCGGCATCGCGTGCGGGGCAGGAGGGAGGTCGCCGTTCTCGTCGTATGTCGAGCGGAAATATGTTGGTAGCGGAGCCGTCATCTCGTCCCCTAACGCGTCCCATACATCGAATGAGAGTTCTCTGGCGAGTACCGAAGCCTTTGAAATCCGTCCCGGTATTTGTGTTCGGATCTCGTCGACGAGACGCAGGGCGCGACGGTCAAGTGCCACACGCTCGAAGTACATGTGGTACCAACGATCGCTGCCCGACCATTGAGAAAGCCGACGATGCTCGTTCGCGGGAACATGATGGGTATAGCGCTCGTTGTACAAGGACCGCCATATGGGGTGGGAGGAGACGATAGCACGTACGTAAGAGTTAACCGCTAGGAGGCTGAGGAGCGTTTGAATGGTCCATGGGGATTGCGGCGAAAAAGACCCGAAGATGTGATTATATAGCTCGACGGGAAGGTGTACTCCAGATGAGTTAAGTGTCAGACGTTGCATAGCAAATTCCTGGAGAAGAATCAGGGAGAGACCGGCAGTGGCTCAGAATGGAGGCTGGAAGAGAGTTGGCAATGAAACTCGATCGGGCTTGACCACCAAATAGGCGCTGGTGGGTTTGTTCAATCATCAATGGCCAACACAGAAGAAACCGGAAGAACTCGTCTCGTCTATTTGTTCAGAATAGTATTCAAGGCAAAAGGCGGCTGTTTTCGACGTGATGTCCACGCACTCACCTTCATTTTGCCTCCGAGTCTGCATCGTTGGCATCATGCATATTATATGCATACTGTACATTAGTGCACCAAGCGTTGGGATCCCTATTTTCATGATTGCTTCATTGCCCAACTTTGTTTTACTCCGTCAGATTTGTTAGGTGAATACATGCGATCTAGAGCATATTGTCATCCGGGTACAATGTTTTCATCTCCGCCGTCAAGACAAAGCTGGTAGGATTTCCTTCCGAGTCAACCTCGCTGAATGAGACATCCTCGACGTATCGCCCAAATTGGGGTAACATGTTGTGCAACCGCTGCGCTTTCTCCTTGGGCAATCCTGCGTATTCGAGTTCCGCCTTTCTCCCTGTGAACAAAGGCGATCAATCAATCGAATGAGCTTAATAGTGAATATCTTATAAGGCAGCGTACAATATTCCACGCCGTGAGGGAACGCAACTTTGTGAAGCACTATCTCACTGTCATCTCGTGAAGACTAGGTGACACCTTAAGAGATTTCTGCAACGCAGGAGAGCTACTGGGCCACGTACCGTCCAGCCGATAATAACACCCTTGTCCCCCTGGGCTGGTTGGGCGGTGACGACCTTCCCAATCGCGCCCAAATCGTGCCCAGGAAATTGAGAAGGGCGCGTCACCAGCTTCTCCAGATCCTCCAGTTGCTTCGCCATCTGTTTGACAGCCTCTACGTGCGTATTGTTGACGGCGACGACGTCGGAGGTTTTGTAAAAAAGGGCGTCAAGTAAGATGACATGAGCGTCGAGAGGGAGAAAGTCTGCCATGCCCTCTGGGAAAACGATAAAAGTGTCTTTAGAAGGGATCATAGTGGTCGCCAGCGCGCATTGGGCTGCGTGAGATGCGAGGAGGGCTCGATCCAAAGGGCTCTCAGACCACTCGGCGACGCGATGCTCGTTGTATAGCGTGAAGTTCCGAGCTGCTTCTTTGATAGACTGCAAGAAAAACCACCTCACGGATAAAGGCGGCAGATATCCATTCTCGTCGAGGAACTTCTTCAATACGGGGAGATCACTGGCGGGATAGAAAGAAGTGTCCGAGGCGAGGTTGATGAGGAGCGGATCGTGGTCCGCCTTCCCGGTATGGACAACGCAGACCGCCGTGTCCGACTGCGGGACGAGGGTGGCATACGCTAGTAGACCAAGATGGTTACAGAGGCAAAGGAAGATCCATGTCTTGGAGAAAGTGGTAAGCGGGAAGTCCCTCGCCTCCATGAGCAGTGTGTGCGGGTAAGAGTTCACGATATATTCGTCGACATCTGGGTCAACTATGGAGAATACATATCAGCGGGCCTCCGAACGTTATTCACTGTAGACTCACAAGCATTGCCTATCCAATCTTGGGACCTCATGTAGTCGATGATCGTGTCACAGGCTCGCCTCAAGTCGAAGTTCGGGTCGTCCTGGTCCCAAACGGTCTCCCGCCCATGCAGAGTACGACACTCTTCCGCACTCTCGTCAAACTCGTCTCTGATCTATTGACAGTCAGGCAATCAGCTTCTGGGGAATTGGGACACACAACATTCGACTCGCCTGGTGAGGCGACCATCCGAAGAATGCCGACCAGGCAGCAAGCATATCCTCCATCTCGATCCCCAGGTGATTCTGAGCGGCACCATGCCATATCGTGACCGCCCAATGTCTAGCAATGACGCCTTGGACGGCCTTCGCCCAGTAACTCCTGGGTAATGCGTGCGGTGCGGCCGGTTCATCGGGACAGGGGTCGCTATCGGAGCGAAAGTATGGTGGAACGGGCAGCATGATCTCTTCGTATAAGGCGTCCCAGACGTCGAAAGACAGATCCTTCGCAAGTACCAACGCATGTTCCGCGCGTCCAGGGATCTCTGTCCGTACCTTGTCCACAAGGTCTAAGGCTCGGTGATCCAGCGCGCGGCGCTCGAAGTACAAACCACGCCAGTCGTCCCCAAACCGCTGGCGCCGACTGGCTTCCTTCTCGGGCACGTCATGGGTGTATCGATCCTCGTATAGCACCTTCCAGATTGAGAGTCGTGCGACGATGGCACGTACGTACGAGTTCACGGCAGAGAGGTTCACGAGCGTCTTGATGTTGTCCGGGGAACTCGACGGATTGAGAAAGCCGCAGATATGGATATACAACTCGACTGGGAGTTCGGAACCGTAAGCATTCAGCATTTTCTTCAACGACTGAGGTTCCTGCGCGCGTTGAATTGGATGTCTTCTGGTGGTCGAACGTTGGCAGCAAAGTGGTACAATGTACGGACAAAGCCTCCAGTGGCAAAGGGTCGAGCCCGGTTGGGATTCACCCGCGGGCGTCTGATGCGGGCGCCGTACGAAAGTACTTAGAGTTTGCAGTAATCGTGGCTCCGCTGTGAGCAATGATGAGTCTCGTTCTCCAGGACGTAGTGCGTCTAACGCCTTTCGTACAGCTTCTTCCAGCATTGCAATCGTGCTACGATAGAGCACAAGTACGCACTGATCTGTAAGAGTTGAGGGGGGAGGTCTTGACCAGTTCCGATGGCGGAAGGAAGTCTGCGATCAGCCTGTAGGGTTCTACAAGGAGCATAACGCGCGAATCACGCGTCTGAGATATTTCTGAAAGGCGTACAAGAGTTGGCGCGATGGGAAGCTAGTGTACGTGCCCTGAAGCTTAAGACGCGTTGAGGATGGGCACGGAGTCAAGTGCTTGCTTGCTATTAGCGCTGACGGGGACCGAGCGTCGGTTCGTTCGGCAAGTCTTCAAGGCAGCCCCGAGATTGCGACGCGCAGCCCCCCAAGTAAGTAGTACAACAAATCGGTTGATACGCTTTTAATACGACACAGCAAGCTATATTCAGCAGTGCCAGTATATATACAATATTAGCTATAAGGCAGCAGCGTTCCTCGGTGTCGGTCACCCAGCGCGCTGTGTTCACGACACACGATCCGAAGTCGCGGAACGAGCTGCAGCTACTCAATGATCGTCTGCGCCCTTAAAGCCCCACTTGAGGACCCGCGTCACGCCGTCCTGCCATGACTGCACCCTACGCCGCGAGACGATCGAGTACGTCGACCGGTCGGTCCCCACGAACCCGACGGCGGCCGACTGGATCGCAGCATCGATGATGACGGGGTACCACCGCCCGTATACCGCCGCTGTCCGCATGGCGTCGTGGTCGACGGTCCTCCAGCCCAGCGCCTTGATCTGGTCCCACCACGCCGGGTCCTTCTCGTCGCTCGAGATGAAGATGCGGTCAACGTCCAAGCCCTTGCGCTCGCGGAGCTCATCCTGGACCTCTCTGCGATGCGGGTGATAAGCCAACAGATCAACCAGAGTCACTGATTAGCACGTACTTCACCCTCCGCTCAATAGCAGAGATGGGAGCAAAGCAATCCTCGGGGTTCTCGGCAGCCCAGCACCAATTGCTGAAATCCCCGTGACGTATGTGAACGGCAATGAACTGTGATAGCCTCATGGGATGAGCATTCAACACGGTAGAAACAAGCGACGGGAGAAACCAACCGGCGGCATGTTGGTCCCTGGTGGCAACTCAAACACCTCGCGCACATACTGCTGCGTGATCAGCTCGATGCGTTGTGTCCAGTGGAAGTGTCGCAAAACATATCTCCACATGGGAGCGTAGTCAAAGTCATACTCGTATGACTAGAAACGGAGGGGCTCAATGCGCACTCTGAGGAAGATGAACGCAAAACTGACCTGCTGAGCACATGCGTAATACAAGTAATCATAACATAGCACATGCTCTTCGGGATCCAACACGGCGTTGTGAAGTGGGGACGGTAGAGCGTGGCCGATATTGCGCGAGCGCTCTTCCGGATAGCTGAGGCGTGTAAGCGCCATGAAAGTGCTGCACGAATCATGTTCGTAGTTCGGAATCAGCTTCACCCAGTCGGGTGCTTTAGTGTATGACAGGTCTGCCAAATAGAGTTGGTCAGGGAAGGTAGCTTACACGGCAAACAAGGCTTCGAAGTCTTGTCAAGAAGGCAGGCTCACCGAGCTTGAGCCAATCCGGTGCGGCGCTGGGTCTTGGGTGGTGCTCGTGGTATTGGACGGCTTCCCAGATGTTCCAGCAGCCGAGATCATCTACTACGTTGCTCTCGGGATCCTTGACCTCGTCCCATTCGACGATCTCGATGCCAGACTCTTCTATGAAACGAGGGACGTCGAAGACCTCTCCGAAAGGAATGGGGGCGGCGTCTCCGCCAATGTGAGAGGGCGTGAACATGGGGATGATAGGTACACGCTCGGTGAGGCTGCCGAGGTAGATCAGGTTGGCGTAGGTCATGACATCGTTGGCTGGGGCGATTAGAATGGTTAAAAGACACAGTAGAGAGCGGCTAAGGGAGACTCACTCCATCCAGCGGAAGGCCATGAAGTGATGTATTTGGTGTCATTCCGTAGGTTGTCGCGGAAGCTTTGCGTAGGAGGACCGAGCAGACGCGGCGAATATGAATACTCCTCCTCTTCCGATACAGGCTCCCGGTCGGGCTCTGAAGCAGCAGGAGGGAGCGGGGGGTGGGTCAGATCCACTTCAGGTCTTCGGTCGTTCGTCTCAGGTTGCTGTGGCGGAGCGTTCCCGTGCTCGGGTGTCACCTGGAAAGTCTCCTCAGGAACGCGACCAAAGGTGGTGACCGAAAGGGCTACGAAAGAAAGGACAGTGAGGGAGAAGAGGGCACCGAGTAAACGTCGTCTAGGGAGGTAGGACATGTAGGAGCGGGACGAAGAACGAGACGTGGGAGAGGAAGGCGGGGTGAAGTCAGCGTAGGGCAGAAGGGGTATCCTGGAGTCGGAGCGTTCATGTTTCCCGCTGGTGGTGTCCGATCGTTCAGCCATGGAGGTCCCGACGCGACGACGAAAGGCACAAGACTACTCGGAGTCGGCCAAGGTCAAGGGGTGAATAGATAAAGGGGATCATAATTAGAGCGCAGGGGCGGAAAAGCGGGGCCTGCAGACATGGGGCGCATGGAACGGAGCGTGGCGTCTGGCAAGCAGAGCACCTCCGCGTCTGGCCCATCCATCGAATCGCACTTGACGCATCCGGCAGAGCCCCTGCGCCTCCCAGATCTCGATTCATCGTCGGCTAATCCCCACTCTTAGATTTGTGACCTCCCGATTAATTTCGGTCTTATCTCGTCCCTGTCACACACTGTCACACTTCCGTTGCCCGGCGTCTGGTTTGCGCCGTTGGGCAGCTGTAACCTGTCGCAATCAGCTTCGACTGTCCGCTTCTCGTCTTGAGCCGCCGTCTCCCCCGCAATCCCATTGACTTCCGAGGCGTATCGCCCGCTGTCAGTCTCACCATACTGCCACAGGTCAGGCGCAGCGTACGTTGCGGGTTGTCACATTCCCTGGAACGCAATGCAGTAAATCGCAATCGATGCCCACCTTTACTCGATGCATTATTCCGCAAGCGTCTACTGGAACCTCGGAACGGAGGCAGGCGTGCTCCTGCACGTACGCCTCATGCCCCTCTATTGCCCGCAATCCGAGTTCTAGCCTAAAAATGAGAAGTCGTCATTCAGTCCCTTGTGTCATCCTTGCCGTCGACGTTGGCCATCGGCCCCTACCAGCGCTCGACTTTACTAGCTGATCCCTTCCTCATCCTCTTGTCTCGCAGCAATGGACACCAAAAACATGTCTCAGCGGTCGCTCGTGGCGGGTGTAGTCTCGTTCTACATGTCTGCGGCACTGGTGGTAAGTGGCATTGAGAAGAGCCCGATCGCAATAACAATGATCATTGTTTCATGTCTTAGATGGTGTTTGTGTAAGTCACCCGATCGTTGCGTGTCTTGCATACATTAATGCGAGATCGACAGAAACAAGGCTGTCCTCAATGGGTCTCCCAGTCTTCCGCTGTTGTTCTTGCTCAATCAGCTAGTCCTTGCGGTCATCCTTCTCCATGGCGCTGCCTTCGTCACTCCCAAGGTTGAGATCCCACAGCTGAAGCTCGAGACCGCCAAGAAACTCGTTCCGGTCACGTTCGTTAACGTGTCCGGACTGGTCTTCAACATCCTTTGTCTTCGAGGTGTTGAGGCGTCGTATTTTCAGGTGAGCTTTCGCGCTTCTCGATGGCACTCATTTGCTGATCCACCGTGCTGTAGATTGCCAGAGGACTTGTCCTCCCGTTAACCATCGGCGTATCCTCAGCGCATAGTCGTTCCATCCCATCTGTCCGGGTCCTCCTGGCCGCATTCATCGTTACCTTCGGTTTCTTCATCGGTGTGGCACCGGACGCGGCGACGACACAGCAACTTCGGGAGGCCCCAAGCCAACTATCTATCTTCTACGGCGTACTTTCGTCGCTGTTTATCGCCATTCACGCAGTTCTCATCAAGATATCGCTGCCCCATGCCGGGAACTCCACCATTCAGCTCGCATACTGGCAAAACCTTGGTTCTGCCATACTCTTGGCCCCTTTCATCCTCTTCCAAGGAGAACTTTCGGAGCTCTCCGAACTCTATCGCGACCCGGACTGGAACTCGAAGATATTTGTCTGGGGTAGCCTCGTCACCGGCGTGTTCGGCTTCCTGCTGTGTGTTGCCGGGTTGCTCAGTATCAAGGTTACTAGCCCGGTGACGCACATGTTCTCGAGCGTGAGTTCATCAACTCTACAGAGTCTCCATGTGCGCAGTACCTAACCTTGCTTCCCGTCGCCCCCGCTCTGGTGCCCCTCTGGTATCGTGGCATGGATCCTCATTCAACTATCTGTCTATTCTAGGCCGCGCGCTCAGCCATTCAGACACTCCTCGGGGTCTGGTTGTTCAACGACCTCCTATCGACGTAAGTGCTTCTTTGCGAGTCCATCTCACCCTTTCGCCCTTCGCGTCGTTTCCAGACCTCTGTCACCCGCCGTATCCCCGTTTCACCAATCACCTTCCACCGTGCCTGTGCACTATCGCGATCCCGATAGACTTGCCGCATGACACTCGCCTTCCCTTCTCCACTTCTGATCCTTTCAGGGACCAGCAGGAATCGAGCTCTGACTGGTAACGTAACACATCTAGGAACCGTGTTGCCTCCATCCTCGTAATCGCCGCCGGGACGATGTACTACACATGGGTCAAGTCTGTCGAGACTGCGCCTCCTCCGCCTTCGCCCCGCGATGATGTCGAAGCGTCAGCCGCCAATCGTCTCAATCGCATCGGGGAAGACGAGATGGTCGACATGCAGGCGGAGAAGAAGAGCCATCCAGCTTAGGTGCTATGGCAATGGCCCGCCAATCTGTCTCATACTTCACGTCTTCGACGTTTGGCGGGAAGCTGGCGGGTGTCCCTGCTTGACATGGACGCCGACGCTCTACGATAGCGGGGTTCGTGGGGCATTTGCGGACATCAGTCGTGCAGGGAACCGAGCCTCCTTACGATGTCCAGGGGTATTCTTGTCACTTTGCATAACCGGACGCTGTATCGTTTATGGGACTGCGTTCCGTAAGGGACCTCCTAGAGTATGTATCAGACAACTTCGACTCGACTAGAGCACACCACGCGATGTTCCGATCTCTTCGCGACGTGCTTCCTCCTAAATAGTGTGTTCTGGGACATCTCCCAATGGATTCCTACACTAGCCGCGGGACCCGTGGCCTCAGCAGACCACGAGGGAAACCCAAGGTCCCGAGGCCGGACCATGCTCTACTGAGGCCGTCCTCTTGGCGTTTCCGCGGCCAGCTCCCTCCCATGCAAGTGCTCCGTTCCCTTGGGACCTCGAAACCTTTGTAGACGCTTCCGTGTGCTTCCTCGACGTTTGCCATGCTGTCATTCTCAAGAGCATGGGAAAACCGCCGCTTCGTACCGCAGCCCGCCGTCGTGCGCGTGCGTCGGATGCTCCAGCCCGCAGGCATTATTGTGGCTGCTAGCACAACGTCCGGCGTCTATCCCACGCTCTGCAATATCCGAGGAATGCTGCAAGGCGTCGCAAGCCGACGAAACGCCACTCCTGCCTCTCCGTGCCTCGACTATGCCCGATCAGGTGGTGACATCGACCTGTCTGAGCGTTGGGCACGAGGCGTTCTCGGACGTCGAAGTCCGGGTCAAGTGTGACAAACCTTGCAGTCTCGGCCTCCACTCGCACGCTGGGAGTCTTGTTTGGCGAGCGTTTTGCACTCCTACGTGACATCGCCACCGTGCTACAGTTCTCCCATTGATGATCGCTGCCACGCGTACTGGAGGTCTGGTGCGCCTGAGGGTCATTTAGAATCAATGCATCGCTAGTCGGGTGTAGTTGACCTGAATTAGAACGCGCTTATTTGACATGGGTGATCCTGCGAGAGGGGCTCAGGTGCGGTTGTCTTCCTCCGGCTTTCGAACTATCGATGTATTGGACGACTTTCCATAAGGATTTACGGCTCTACGAACGTCCGTAGATTTCTAGGCGGGGTTTGAAACAGTCTCTGGATCTTGGGCGCTAAACAGGCGGCATGTTCTGCTCATCATCAGCACGTGACTGGAGTGGCTTATGTCATGTCTGTATTTGGCATGCAGTTCGCTTTGTCATGATGGCTCCTTCCTTTCTCGTGGTCACGGCACCGTATGCCGAGGTCTACGGACTGTCTACGGCCTGTTAGAGATTTAGAAAGGGGGGTCGGACCCCCCTCCTAGATTTTGACGTCCGTATCCTAAATTTCATCAGCGGAGTTCAGATCTGGTGTCGGCAACACTGCCCCTTGCCCAAATCGGTCTGTTTAGAGATTTACGGACGTCCGTAGAGCCGTAGATAGCTTATGGAAAGTCATCCATTATACGTTCCTCGCGTGTATGCGACCACCGACACTGACATGCCCTGCTTTAGTCGAAATCTAGCATTACGGAAGTACTATGAGTCCGAGTCCATGTCTGGGACACCGCATCTCGCTCGACAGGCCTGAATATGCTCTTGTCAGCGGCGTCAAGTTTCCCGCGACCTGACAGTCGTCGATCGCTACGGATGCTGTTCTTGTACCTTGTTAACATTGTTGTTTGTAGAGTTTAAGGCGCGACTGGCACCGATAAACGTTGATTGCGGAGGCTTTGTCGCACTAAACGGTATGTCCGAGACGATGGTTCCTCCCGGTCTGTCATCCGGACCTCATTTGGCCCCTGCAAACGGGATGGCTCGAGCTGGTACCGGTACCACCATCTACAGTACTAGTGAAGAACATCGTCACAGGTAGGTCTCGTGAGAGACGTCGACTTCTGCGCGAACACCGCACTCCACGTTTGGGCTACCGTCCGTGGAAGCTCGAGGGGAACTTTGCGGATCGAGGCCATGCTGCTTGGACTCTTGGGCTGCATTAATGCTGCCGCAGACAGCAATCTGAGAAATGGCATGGGGTTCGCCATTCCAGGTCTTGATCAGGATTTAGTCAGGTCACAGGCCGATGGAATCTAGCCTTCGATTGCGATCCGTACATTGATTACTTACTAGCAGTCATCGTGGGAATGGGCAAGAATATCTGTACTGTTGTGGGTATCTCATTTTGCGCTCCAGCCTTGTTCCAGCGTCCAAATGCATAGTAGTTGCTGAGGAGTCAGGACGACTGGGGTCCTCTGGGATTCCACTGGATCCGCATGGAAGACGGTGAAGCTCCATCATCGATGATTGGAGTGATTGTTCTGGTGCGGCGAAGAGAGCTCCGGACACACGTCGCTGGAAATACACGGACGTTGTCTCGTTCCGTGCAGCCTAATCTGAGTATTCCCGGCGCCCTCGGCCTCAGGATGCTTACGGGCCTCGGTCTCCTTCGAGAGATCACTTCTGTCTCTTACCATTTCGCTGCCGCTGTGGCTACCCCGACACCACGGTTTCGTGTCGAACTAACATCCGGGTGCATCGGTGCGCATCACGTCCGCGCCACCCGCAAAATTACAAGGATGCCGCTGGCCGTTGACACCAGCAGCCCCCGTGCTAACTCCCCTCCCCCCGAGGTGATCCATTTATTGGTCCTTGTGCGGCTGCAGCATCGCGCTTCCTCTTTCTCTGCCGCACCCGCTCTCCATCCACTCCTGACAGCTGCGTCTCATCTGGGACCCTTTAAACCCTAATTCCCGCGCGGTCTACCTGGACATATACTCGCTTTCACGCACGTCGGGCACCTCTTGATCAGGCTAACATCCTCGACTTCACCTCGCCATGGCATCCAACCGCGACTCCGCTGAGCTCCTTACCCCTCCTTTGTCCGCTGTTGCCAGCGACTTTGGCAAGGCATTCCCATTCGGCGACGCGCAAGGCACAGATGCCTCGCGCGCCACCCTGCGGTACGAGAGGAGGATGGGCGACACCGAGCTCTCCTACTTTCTCCCCTCGCGGCAAGCAGGCGTGAACGACATGTACGCAGAAGATGTCTCACATGTAGCAGAAGATACGCTGAACGTTGTATCTGCAGGTCTTTGCATCTTGGCTTCAGAGCAAAGGAGAGTGTCGCGAGACGCTCAAGGGTTCGCGCCGTTTGGGCGATCCTCCGCATGCGCCATCCCCTGCTCTGCGCGCGTGCAGAAATGCACGACTATGACGACGTGCGATTCGTGTGAGTTCGCCCCTGGCTGTATCGTGCGGAAGTTAGGTGCTGATTGCGGATTGCAGCTTCGACGCACCGTCGTCCGCACAAGACGCGCTGCTCAGCGCGGACGCCAACCTTGAGTACCGCATGCAGACCAAGGACGGTTAGTGTTGAGTTTCGCGCGCAAGACGTAACGCGTGGCACTGACATCTGCGGCTGCGCAGAGCTGATGGAGTCCTTCATGAACGGCCCGCGAACTTTGTCGAACGACCGTCTATCCTATCTCATCATTTCGGAACCCATCACCTCACCGGAGCTGATGCCTACCCCGCCGCGCACTCCCTCGCCGGCCTTGAGCGAGCCGCACGAACCGGAGCTAGAAGCCGCGGATGACGAAGGACATCAGGAAGCCGAGCGTACTCACCAGTACGAGCTGCTCATTTGCGCAATGCACTTCATCGGTGACGGCATGGCCTTGCATACATTCGCGAACGAGTTTTTCGGCCTCCTTGGAGGCGAGAAATCTGAAGACGAATTACGAGATATGCTAGAGGACGAATGGCGCTCTCGCTGGGCCGTCGCGCCTGAAGAGGTAAGGTTCTTCAGATGTCTATTCCGGTTTGCAACATATGCTTACCTGCGCGTTGTCGCCGTCGCAGTGTGCTCTCCCATCGGCGCTCGAAGATAACATGCCGCTCTCTCCAGCCAAGTTCCGCCGCGTCGCTGCCAAGGTGGACTTCCAGCTCTCCGAACAGCGGCTCGTCGGTGGCCAGGTGTTCCCTCGCAGCAAGCACCCGGAGCGCCATACTATCATCCCGACCGTGACGTTCCCAGAGGACCGCACAAAAGCCATCCTGAAGAAGTGCAAGGCACACGGCGTCTCGGTCTCTGCGGCGCTCTTCGCTATCTGCAACGTCGCCTGGGTACGCACGGCCGCAGAGGGCTGCAACAGGGAGCTGCCCACGCTCATGTATTCCGCGCTCAACCTCCGCCCCTACTTCACCAGGAAGCCTACTTCCGAGCTGTGGAACTCGTACTGGTACCTCGCCATCGGCTACTTCAACGTCGTGCTGCCGTCCTTCCTCCCCTCCGCTTCTGCACCGGAGGGGCAAGAGTCGACCTTCTGGCTTCGAGCGCAGCAGGCAAAGGCGCAGAGCACCAAGGCGGCGAAGAATCCCCTCATGGCTTCACGCGCGCACGAGATGTCGCGGAAGCGCGGGGCGCAGGCGCGTGCATGGGGCCGAGAAGATGACGAGCGCGAGAAGGGGACTTGGGTGCCGCCGCCGCCGCCTGTCCAGGCTGCTCCTGTGAAGGAGTCGGCCTTCCCGGCAAGGGCGAAGGCGCCGTCTTCTGCACTCATCGGGCTGTCTTTGCTTGGTAACCTTGACGGCATCTACAAGCATGCCACGTTCCCGAACACCGAGCTCCACACGTTGACCACGGGTTCAAGGCAGCGCCATGGTGGGATGCTGCTGTTCGGGTACACGTTCAAGGGGAAGCTCTGGATCAGCCTGGGGTACGACGAGAATGGGTTCGCGGACGGGGTCATTGACCGCTTCTGGAAGGAAGCGATGGATTGCGTCGACCAATTCTTGGGATGAACGTGCGAGACTGGACTGGGACACTCACTTCACTATCTTCGCATTTCACAGACTTTGCTAGCCATGGACGTCTCCATCTTACGTTTATGTACGCATGATTCTTTGGATAGGTTTCCGAGTGCCTTGTATGACGTGTGTAAGTTACCGCAGCAGGACGTAATGATGACTGTCACCTGAACCTTGTCCCTCACGTCGGGTTGATGCACAGACGTCGTTCAGATACATGAAAGCGCTATTGCGCAGCTCGAGGGTTTAGTCCATATGTATCCATCCCGGCGTATGACGCGTGGCTGTAGTACGGCCACTTTGCCAGTCAATGCCTAACGCTGTCGTTGCTACCGAGAAGACGCACCATCCGCGCTACCATCATGCGACAGTCGCGATCACCTGAACGGCTTCCATACGTTGCGAAACCTGACATGCCGCGTATGTATCGAGAAGAATCTGATATGCGGAGCATGAGACAGCTTGAGCGACATGGCAGTTTGACAACGTAAGATAACGGGTGGCACATACGTGAACGCTCGAGTTCTACCTGATACATTGCTCGTCAGCTATGATTGCGGGAATGCAGGAATGCCACAAGGGCTCGTTACCGTCAGTTCCAGCTGAACCCACCACTGTCCTCTGAACGGTGAGAGAACTTGATCCCATTAGAATGACATGCCTCCGCGACGCGGGATAGGCACTCTGGATATCCCTTTGAGTAGAAGACAAGTGAGGTAAGGCGGCCGCCATTGCGACGGGCGCGACTAAGGTAGGTAAGGAGCGCCTCCTCTTGCTTGAACAAGACGCTGTCGCACGAGAACGCCAGGGTGATCAGGGTGGGAGGCAGGCGTTCGAACATTCGAGCAGAGTACGTCTCTTCGGCACAGCGGAGATAGTCCAAGGCAGGGTACTGTCGCACGAGGACGTCCAGGAATGGGGGAGCACCGTCACGCATGTGAATGGTGGAGATGTATAGCTTCCTCAGACCAAGACAATGTATCTCTATGGCGGAGATCAGTTGCCTGTCTTCGAGACTGTCGTACCCCATGTTGCATGTAAGCTGCAAGGATTCTAAGTGTGGGCCTACGGCGGCTAGGAAGGCGTCGATGATCGAGCCGTGCCCGATAGAGAGGTAGAGGTTGAGGTGCCTCAACTGAGACGTCAAGGGTGCGACTAGGTTGCCCGTTTCGCGGCCCGAGAGCTCGAGGGTGAGATACTGAAGATGTGGCATATCGATAATCGACTGCAACCTCTCTGAGTCATGTAATCGACCTCGGAAACGGGCACGGGGTGCAGTGCGGACAGCTGGATACCATACGACCGCTGGAACCATATTGCCGCGGACCCAGAACCAATGAAATTCACGGAGGCCATGTGCGGGTAGGAGTCGGATCCAGTCAATGTCGTTCGGGTTGGGCGAGTGATTCCACAGTGTGATGAGCCGCAGTGTTCGGACGTATCCTCGGAGGTGAGGTGATGTGCGCATCGTTCGAGCGAAGAGGTTGTCCCGCTGTCGGTAATTCGAAACCGAGAACAGGATGTCCCTGTACAAGACACGTTGTACCGGCTGCGTCCATGCTTGGCAAACGAGGGCTGCGGCAGGAAGCGTGCCGGCCAAGACCTCACACTCGAAGATATGGTCAAGGACGTCCTGGTTGAGCATGGTCAGCTTTGCAGATGTGGCTTGACTTCCCTTCTGAGAAGTAGCGTTCAATTTTGACAATGAAAAGCGTGACCTGCCTCTTACCTGGAGAGAACACGCGCGATGCATGCCTCATAAGATGATGCCATGTCTCCTTTCATCCTGGACGGAAGGGTTACTGTTGACATGGGAAAGTTACCACATGGATTCGAGCGACTCACGTGGTCATCCTCATGGCATTGCATGACGGTGGCTTTGTCATAGCCGCTGCGTTACATGCCTGAAACTCCCATCACTACAGGACAGATCATCCCGAGCCCAATCCTTCAATGCGACTGACGTGGTGATACAGTATGTAGCCTCCAGCCAAATGATGTTCCCTTGAATCCAAGCCCACTGGAATTCGCGGATGCGATGCGCCGGGAGCAGCTGGTTCCAATCGCAGAAGTTGGGCGTGGGTCCGTGGGTCCGTAGTGTAATGAGCGAAAGACTGCGGACAAGACGAGAGACCATCTCATGTCCAGCCGCCGGCCTGGAATCCGCCACGTTTCTCGTGAGCTTTGAAGAATAATGGCGATTGAGGACTTACTAGGACACTAAAGGTGACTGAATAGATGTACAAACATATTTCAAGCACTCCCCGAGCTTATATACTCTCAGAGAACACAAGATGTAGTAGTTCTGATCTGAGGGGGTGTGGACGTTGAGAATACCTCTCAGGTTGCGAGCCACGACTAAGCGCCAATGAGGGTGATTCACGTGCTCGACGCGTCGGACGCGTCTTTGCCTTCACCGCAGTCCACCGCCTGCTCCTCTCCCACAGCGTCTCCGTCACCCCCGCCCGAGCTCTCTTCCCCTCCCAGCCTCTCTACAGCTTTGGAACTCAGTACAGAGGACATGTCTACTACTGCGAGCTCAGCGCAAGCAGCGACGTATCGACCAGGCCGTCAAACCCCAGTGCCGCCGCCACAACATCGGCCCGTCGTAACTGATGATTACGAGCGTAAGTACTATTCTCAACTTTCCATGCACAATTGACCGTTTTCGGTGGATAGGCTGGTACACGGAGGCGACTCCCAATAATCGAATGCTGCTCTCGTTACGTTCTGGCATCGACTCCGAAGTCGCTTGGGCTCTTGATCGTCTTTGCCGTCTCTGCCTTAACGAGCAGTTCATGCTCATAGCCATTCCAGGATTGACGGACGCGCTATTTGAATGGCCGGAATGGTACGTCAAGGAGGGGCACAAGCAATATACCGAAGCGGACAACTTTTTTGCGACTCCGAAGGCGAAGGAACGAAAACGGAGGCATGCTATTGAGTCCCTTTTCATCCTCCGCAATGCAGGAATGCACGAGGCCAATGCTCGTGAGCTTTCCAGTTACCCTAAAATTCCTGATCTTGTCCTCCGCGCTCTACATGACCTCGAATTGAACTCGGATGCCAACTCCGAGTTCATCCTCTATATCCTGGAAATACTGCAATCCATCGCCTCCACCGTTACCCTTCCCATACCATCCGCCCCATACTGCAACAGCCCAGTTGGACCGCTACAGCAGATAGCCGGCTTTTCTTCCAACCGAAGCCTCATCATCTCCTCCTTGATCACGCTCACCACGATGTACTCGAATCCCGTCAATACCTATCAACTCTCAGCCGAAGCCCCCGCACTCGAAACATCCATGAACGTGCTCCCGTTGATACTTGACAAGGAGCTCATCGACGCCGCCTTGAACTACTTGTACGCTCATCTCTCCTATCCTCCTATGACCAAGGCCTTCCTCCGGCACCCCAGAATGCCAGGAACACTGAGGTTACTCGTTTCCCTCATCCTCGCCGACCAATTGGAAGAGACTGTATCCTTCGAAATCGGCTTGCCGGTATACACCGCTCCCTCACAATCAGTCACCGTCCACGACCATGAACTTACGAAGGAGGAGCTTGATACTCTGTTACCAGTACCTGAACCTCAGCGGTGTTATGAATGGTGAGGTCTCATGTTAATGAACGTGTAATGAGCACGCTCAAGCAGACACACAGGATGAAGACCATGTTTGTGGCAAAGGCAGACGGCGAGCTGACGCAGGTCGACTTCTGGAACTTGTACAAGGACGCCTTTGCGCCTTACTCGGACCGTTATCCACCGCTCGTTGCATCTGACGTGATCAAGAACGTGAATGCGGTTTTCCCACAAGCTCAGGCTATGGTGCTACCTGGTCCCCCTCAGCGTTTCGTGGTACGCGGCGTCGATCGTCGAAAAGACTTCTCCACGAGCACTCAGTTCAAGTGCCTATGGGACCGCTCGCAGTGCCCCTCGGAGCCCTTCGTCTCTACGAACGAGCTCTATGAGCACATCCTGGAGCAGCATATCCAACCTTTCGAAGGCGCGCATCTTCCGTGCCTCTGGTCTTCGTGTCCCCAGACAGAAATTACGAAAGCACAGATGCGCGGCCACGTCCTTACTCATCTTCCGGACGAGCAGCCGCAGCCAAAAGACCCGAATCAACCTGACACCATCACGCTCCCTTCCGTCAACTATCCACACCCCATTCCCAATCCTACATCACGACCTCCTCCGCCGGCGCGCTCAACGCGAGTCACATACATGCGGCCCCATGTCGATCCTCCGCCAAGCTCGCTCACTGCGTTGCTATGCTTGCGAGTGCTTTTCCGTGCGGCATATGCTTCGTCAGATGTTGCTCCTCGCGTGGACGAGAACCATTTTGGCTTCCCGGGTATCGTGGACGACCTGAGCGATGAGGATGAAGAGCAATACGGCGACACGGAAGAGGAGAAAGAGGGGAAGCGAAGAGGCAAGAAGGCGTTCATGGCGATCCGATATCTCTTGGAGGACGTACGGTTGAGGCATGATACGTTCCAAGCGTGGGTGACGGAGATGATAGATGCGGGATTGTCTGGTGTTGCAGATTGACGTCGGACTTACTGTGGCATGTTCTGTATTGCCTTTTTGTTCGTGGCTAGCTTTTTGCGCCTCGCCAACCGTCCTATCTCGTGAACGGCTAGCTATGTCTTATCTCAGAGTACAACCTTTAAGAATCTGAGTGTCTTGAATGCGTCAGTGGCTGCAAGGCGACGTAAAAAGTATACTTGCGGTCTCCCCGGACCGCGCAGCGGTGCGAGATCTGCCGCGCATACTAATGTACTGCCACCATACCTCAGCGCCGCGGCACTGGCAGGACATGTCACCGTGTCACGTGAGATGCATCTACAACTGTCTGCCCAACCACACTCGCGCTCCAGTAGTCTTTCACAACAACTCTTGTACAGCCCATGCACTCCACTGTGGGATTGTAGCATACAAGAGGACTCAGACACAGAAGATGGAACGCCGGGCATCCATACAGTTCAACTCGAAGTTCGCGACGACATACGGCCGTCTTTTCCAGGCAAGTCCACGCTACAACGCATTGTATGACAAAGACTCATCGTCATCTTGCATCCTGAAGGGCGTGCAGCCCGAGGAGCTTACCGGGAAGAAGCAGGACGTTGCCAGCTTTTGGTCTCAGCTACTCGACCTCAACGTAGACCGAGAGTTCCTGTCTTCCAAATTGCACGAGGTTCGTAAGGACGACTGCTTGGGCACCCTCAGAGTGCGTGACTTGTCGTTTCGTTTATCTTAATATAAAACCAAAATTGACACTAAAGCCCGCACTGAATGGCGTGGTGGGCGCATGCCTACAAGCTCTCCGTTCCCATGATGCGGATGAAAATAAAAAGGCGCACGCCGCTGCGACGTTGAGCGTGCTGAGCCGAAGTCTTCTCAATAAGAATCTCGCCGGATGGGAAGTCATGGATGTCTTTGCAGGAGGCGTCGGCCGAAGCGACACTGTCTTCAAGGTGGTTATCTACAGGAGGATTGACAGGACAAGCCGCTGACAATAGTGAACAACTCTAGGACTTCACCTGTGCTATTGATGACATTCTCAGCAACACAGAATTGTCAGGTATACGAGGGCTACTCGCGCCTTGTGATGCTGGATTCTCTAATGCGGACATTCAGCCAGCCTACGGCACGAAATGCTTCAGCTAGCCGTGATCTTCGTTTGCGGGATAAGCCAGCTGAGCCCCGGAGCATATTTCCTTCGTCATGATCTCTTCCCATGTATCGTGAAGGTAGGTAGAACGTCAACCCGTACAGAACGGTAGCTGATGGGCGGTGCAGACAATCAAGTCCCCGGACACGGAACAATTCACCTTCGAAGCAGTTCTGCTTCTCGCCCTCCTCGCCAACTTCCACAAATCTGACGCTGCGAAGCTAAATCCATATCTGAGGCGTATCAGAGAGACGGAGGATGAAGCTCTGATGCGCATGATATGCTGGGCGGCGAACTTTGCCCTTGCGGCGGCGGTCAAGTACGTTAACAGCGAGTCTCGGCCTTCACCATTGAACAGTTAACGGAAGATCACGGTAGAGCTTACCAAACTGTCTCGGACGATTCCCCGCCGACTCTGGCGACCAGCTTCAATTCCTTCTTGTCGTACTTGCGACCGGACCGCGCGTTCGCCTCAGCACCAGTCGACCCTCCCCGGGAACTGTTCAAGAACCAGTACGCAGGTGTGCTACTGATCGTCATGCGCCATGTCTCACGCGCCATTGCAGGCCAATTGAAGCATGTGTCATCCTTCTCCCCCTCTTCGAATTCCTGCACGGTAGCTCGACCTTCCGCATGGTCTTCGCCAGTACGCTCCAAGCTGAAGAAGAACTGGGAAAGAGGGCGGCAACAAGGATAACGCCGCTTCCTTTGACCCTGATTTCATTATCCTCATACTTGTTCTCCCATGCCTCGTCGACGTCATCACCTCGCGCAGTTGCCTATGCCAATCTTGCGATGAGCACACTGTTGGTGCTGGTAGAAAGTGATGACGTTATGGCTGCCCTGCACCTGGACAGCAAAGAAGATATACGACTGTGTCGTCAGGTAAGTGGGTTGCTATTTAGTGATCATCCGCAATCACCGACTGCACCTCCAGAGGCAACCGCCGTTGCCTACGGTTGCTCCCCCGCGACCACCACTATGCGCGCTATTAGACTGCTGTATACTATGGCTCCGACATAACTTGCATAAGAAGCTGGAAGTCCAGTGTTATTTGTAAGTGTCCACATTCCATCGCCGGCAGTAGAGCCCTGATGGAGCATTCGGTGCTGTGCAGACTATGTATCCGAACCTGTTACAGGACATTATGGTATCTGCAGCGAGAGCACATCCGACTTGGTTAGTCTCTGTTGATCAATCCCTAAATTTAGTCCCCTAAGACGAAGCCCCGCACGCAGAATACCATTGGCAAGAGCTCTGGCAAGCCTTGGTTCTTCTCCTGGACTTCCTCGCGAATAAGCTAGACAGCTTGGTGACCACAGGAGGGGTGGAGATGATAACTCAGGAGGTAGGGATTTGCGTGTCCGAAGTTACTTTGCACGAGACACCCTGATCATGCTCGTGATAGACCCTGCTGTTGGTAGACCTCGCGCTGTGTCGCAACGAGCAGTTGTTCCCGAGCCCGAAGGCCGTTCACGAATTGGTGGTACGCAACTTTACAGCGCCGCCGATGGCAGCTTCTTCTGATTGATATATTTCCAGTACGAAGTTGTGCGCTCCGCTGAGGTCTTCCGGAAGCAGCGCGCGCTCCTGGAAAAACTTGCCAGCCCCCACGCTAGAAGACGCTCATCCGGGTCGAGCTCCCCCTGGTCGCAGGCCTTGACGAACATCAGCGCCGTCGCCGAGCATTACGAGACGAAACTTCGAGAAGCGGGCGTGCGTTCGGCGAACCAAGGGCTGCGTGCGGTGGCCAAGGAGATCGAGAAGGATGGGCTGTCCTACGGCGAGGACGTCCACGGGACAGATGACCCACCGTGAGTGCGCATCAAATGCTTGGACTTGGAGAGATTCTTAAGCCGTCGGCGATCCTCCTGAACAGGAAGCAGTCGGAGGATGTAGTAGGATTTATACGCTTCGCGTACGCCGATGGGATGGCGCTCATGCCGTGACGTGTTCCTACGCACTACGCGCTTTCCGACGCCAGCATTGTGCCAGTACTCAGTTGAATGGTTACGGGCTTCACTGTACAACTAGAAGGGTTTACGTGTTTGTACTTACATATCTTTGCGCGGTAAAGCAACGCCGAGCAGCGATGTACGTGAATGTGATATTCCCACTGGCCTGGACCGTCTAGGCGAGCTTCCAGATAAGAGGTTCATCGCAGATCTGCGCGCAGGTTATACAGGCGATGTCCAATTTTATAGGCAACAGGTCAACGCGTTGCTGAGCTGACGACCTCAAACGTCGCGTGGGAGGCGTCTAGGCCTTACGTAGTTCAAGCGGGAGCGCAACATAAGGCTTCGGTGGCGGGGTTTTCCAGATTTGGGAGAGAAGCGGCGGGATCGAGGACTCGGAACGGAGGAGCATGGAGCCGAGTCAGTGCAAAAAACTTTTTCACCACGCGGAACAGCGCGTAGAGTGCTACCCCGTGAGCAGGGTCCGTTTGGCTATGGCATGTCACTTGCCTCACATGACAGATCGTTTTACGACGAAATGCGTAGTAACGATGTCAAAGTCGAGTTGGAGGTTCCATGGGGCGTATCTACTAGTGAATAAGGGGAGACCGCCCGGGACCAGGCTGGGAGGGCAAAGGCGGGGGAGAGACGCCTGTCGGAGCGCCGGGGCGGGGAAGCGAGTATGTAAAAAGTGAGGAGGACGGGTTGGACGATAAGGGCCTGCTTTTACTCGGTGAATGGCTCGGTGAACACTACGCCTAGAAAATTATGGCCGCCCCTCACCCCATCGTCTCCCCCCAGCATTCTTCTCCAACTCCCATCTCCACACCGTCCCCTCACCGGGTCGAAAGGTGGCCCCTGCCCGCCCATGGCGGTCCTCCGTAACCTCTCCGCCCTCCTGGTCCGGCCCTTTGCTGTTCATGCCCGCGCGACGAATCGCGCCCATTTCAAGTCACCCGCGCGCGGTCTCGCGACTGCTAAGGCGCCCTCATCCCTCTTCACGCCGTTGGACACCTTCGCCGACCGCCATATCGGTCCCGACGACCATGAAATATCGCATATGCTGAAGAAACTTGGTTACGATTCCATGGACGCGTTCATTGCCGACACTGTCCCGGACAAAATCAGGACTTCTGCCACATCCGTCAGCAACGACTCTATCCCGTCTCTCAGCGAGTCGGAGTTGTTCCAGCGCGCGAAAGAGCTGGGCAGAGCGAACAAGCCGTTCAAGAGCTACATTGGTATGGGCTACCACAACGCGGTGGTACCACCTGTCATTTTGCGGAATGTATGCCGTATTCTTCTGCTCGGTTCGCGCTCTTTGGAAGTTTACATGACTATGACGTACAGGTTATGGAAAGCCCGGCTTGGTACACGCCGTACACTCCCTACCAGCCTGAGATCGCCCAAGGTACGCCTACTTGATTGTTCTGTGATTGGGTATGTCCTAAACGCGTCTGGCTCGTCTCTGGCAGGTCGTCTCGAGTCGCTGGTGAACTTCCAGGCGATGGTGATGTCATTGACGTCGATGGACATCGCCAACGCGTCTCTTTTGGATGAAGCCACGGCTGCAGCCGAGGGCATGGTCATGGCCTTTACCGGATCAAACGGCAAAAAGCGCACCTTCTTCGCGGACAACGGAGTCGCCCCTCAGACCGTCGCCGTGCTCAGGACTCGCGCTAAGGGTTTTGGTATCAAACTGGTTGTCGGTGATGCGTTGGAGGATCTTGACGACGAAGCCCTTCGGAAGGACCTCTGTGGCGTGCTCGTCCAGTATCCGGATGTCAACGGTGCCGTCAAAGACTTCTCCGGTTTGGCACATTCCGTACATACCGCAGGCGCTCTTCTGGTCTGCGCTACCGACCTCCTGGCGCTTACGATGCTCAAGCCGCCCGGTGAATGGGGCGCGGACATCGTTCTCGGCAACTCTGCTCGCTTCGGTGTTCCTGCTGGCTATGGCGGTCCTCACGCCGCATTCTTTGCATGCACGGACAAGCTCAAGCGGAAGATGCCTGGTCGTCTCATCGGTCGTAGTCGCGATGTCAACGGGAAGCCGGCGTATCGTCTGGCCCTTCAGAGTATGTTGGAATCTGAATATCTGCTTTGACGTGTACTCATGATATCCAGCTCGTGAGCAGCACATCCGTCGCGAGAAGGCTACTAGCAACATCTGCACGAGTCAGGCGCTCCTCGCGAACATGGCTGCCATGTACGCCGTCTACCACGGCCCCGTCAGCTTGCAGCGTATCGCCCAGAAAGTCCACTGTCTGACGCAGACGGTCAAGACTGCGGTGGAGTATTATGGTTACAAGGCAGTCAGCACTCACTTCTTTGACACCCTCACCATCGACGTCAGCAGTGCAGTCAAGGATGCGGATGCGGTCCACGCCGCCGCCCTGGCAGCCGGCATCAACTTGCGCAAGGTCGATGCCAAGCACGTTGGGCTGACTCTGGACGAGAGCGTCGGCGCGGAAGACGTCGTGTCCTTGATCAATGTCTTCGCTAGGGCCGCCTCCCAGCCTGCCATCTCCGCAAGCGACCTTACCCCGCCTGAGACCCTTGCCGTCCCCGACCCTCTGCGTCGCACCTCCAGGATACTACCCCATCCGGTCTTCAACACGCACCACTCTGAGACGGAGATGCTCCGCTACATCTACCATCTCCAGTCGAAGGACCTTGGCCTGGAGCATGCGATGATCCCCCTTGGTAGCTGCACGATGAAGCTGAACAGCACGAGCAGCATGGTCCCGCTCACCTGGCCCGAGTTCAGCCCGGTGCATCCCTTCGCGCCCAAGGACCAGGTTGAGGGTTATCTCCAGGTCATCAAGGTAAGCCATCTTCTTTCGTCTGTAGTGAGATCTCAATCGACGGGTTGTCGCAGGAATTGGAGGAAGACCTCCGCAAGATCACCGGTTTCGCTGCGTGCTCCCTCCAACCCAACTCCGGTGCCGCTGGCGAGTACGCTGGCTTGTCTGTTATCAGGGCATACCACGAGTCTCGTGGGCAGGGTCACCGAGATATCTGCCTTATCCCTCTCAGCGCGCACGGCACAAATCCTGCAGTAAGTGTTTAGCATCCGTATGTTTTCCTTCTTCGACTGACGGTTCCTTCGCAGTCTGCTGTCATGGCAGGTCTCAAGGTTGTTCCCGTCAAGACTCATGCAGATGGGAACCTCGACCTAGAGGATTTACGCACAAAGGCCGAGAAGCACAAGGACAACCTGGCAGCTTTCATGGTACGTCTTCGTTACTCATTCTTCCTAAGCGATACTCATGAATGCCTTAGATCACCTATCCGTCGACGTTCGGTGTCTTCGAACACGGGGTGCAAGACGCGTGCAAGATCATCCACGATAATGGTGGTCAGGTCTATCTGGACGGCGCTAACCTCAACGCGCAGATCGGTCTTACAAACCCTGCCATCTGCGGAGGTGATGTCTGCCATATGAACTTGCACAAGACATTCGCCATGTGAGTTTCGAGGTCTGAGCATATTGGGTTTTGGCCGCTGACACATCGACTTTAGTCCTCACGGCGGCGGTGGACCCGGTGTCGGCCCTATTTGCGTTGCCGGGCACCTTGCGCCCTTCCTTCCATCACATCCTCTCGTTGCTACTGGGGGTGACAAGGCAATTGAGGCCGTCGCAGCAGCCCCCTTCGGAAGCGCATCTATCCTCTTGATCTCCTGGGCGTACATCAAGATGCTTGGAGGCTCTGGCTTGTCTGATGCCTCGAAGGTCGCGCTTCTGAACGCGAACTACATGGCCCACCGTTTGTCCGGACATTACACCCTCCGCTACAAGAACGGCAACAACCGCGTCGCCCATGAGCTCCTGATTGACCTCGCCGAGTTCGACAAGGCCGCTGGACTGAAGGTCATGGACTTCGCGAAGCGTCTGCAAGACTACAGTTTCCACCCGCCCACCTGCTCCTGGCCCACTCCCACCTGCATGCTCATCGAGCCCACTGAGTCTGAGACCCTCGAGGAGATCGATAGGTACGTCAAAGATCACGCGTACTCCTCATCTCCGTCAATTGCTCAAATGCTCCCGCAGGTTCTGTGATGCCATGATCCAAATCCGCAAGGAGGCAGAGGATATCATCACCGGCAAGCAGCCCAAGGACAACAATGTCCTAAAGAACGCACCCCATCCCATCTCCGTCATCGCCCTCTCCGAAGAGGAGTGGAATCGGTGAGAACTTCTGGATCGTGCCGCATACTGACCTCGCTGACATCTGTCCGCAGTCCCTATTCCCGTCAGACTGCTGCATACCCCGTGCCATGGCTCCTTGAGAGGAAGTTCTGGCCCACCACCTCCCGCATCGATGATGCCTACGGCGACCTCCACCTCATCGTGAGTAATTGATATACAGCCTCCGTAGCCGGTAACTGACCGTGTCGTTCTAGTGCGACTGTCCCTCCGTAGAGGAACTTGCCTCTACCCACTGAATGAACACACCTAATGGACCATCGTAGAGATGTTAGTATACGTTATTACATGGGCTTTCGCTCTCCCGGATGTCCCGCCCCGACCAGCGTACTGTTCAACCACGCGCACACATCTGTATTATACCTTGCACGTTATCGTTCACGCAATAGATTGCACGCATCGCTATCGAATAGTCTCAACTTTGCCATCCCATTTCACTCTGTAAGGAATAGTACAACTTAGGTAGGAACCGTTTGATCTTCGACCGCACCTCTGGCTCCTGGCCGTGCTTCGCGGCGAATTTGAGCAGTATCCGTATGGACTCCTTGTCCGGCTCAATTCCGTCTTCTCTGCCCATCATCTCCAGACACAGCACCTTCATCGCCTCATCAATCTTGTCCAGTCGGCAAAGACACTCCAGGAGCGTGTTCCAGTTCCTCACGTTCATCGGATACCCCGAGTCCACGAGGCCGGTGAAGACGCGGACTGCCATATCGTGGGCCTGATTGAATGCGCAGGCGTCGATGATGATGCTCACGCTCACGTTGTTGAACGTCCGCGTGGCGAACAGCTTCTGCCAGATCCGGCACGCCTCCGTGAAGCACCCCGCGCGCTGGTACGCGTCCATGAGTTGGTTCCAGAGCGCGACGTCGGGCGTGAAGCCGGAGTTCACATTCAGGTGATTGTGAACGCGCGCGATGCTTTTCGCGATCTGGGTACGCACGTCGCCCGTCTCCAGCACCGAGGGCGCAGACGAGGCGGCGGTGGCGAGGCGGGCGAGGTGGCCGATGATAATGGTGTAAGCCTTGTGGTTGAGCTCGAGGCCGTGTTTGCGCATGTCGGTGACGATCTGGAAAAAGTGCTTCGTCGACGGGATGCCGTCGGGCCACGTCTTGAGTTTGCAGAACGTATCGAGGATAGCGTTATATCCCTCCTCGTCCAGATGGGGCTTGTCTGACTGGTCTGGAGGCTTGCCCAGTAGACGGTACGTCTCGAAAGACTCGGCAGGCGTAGGACAGGCACGCATGAGGAGAATGATCACGCTGGCAGTGGTCTGGGGGTCGAGATCAACGTCGAATCGCCGCATGTCGTCCATGAGGGAGATGGCGACGGGAAGGTACTTCTTGTCGTAACCGCGCGTGAGGGTACGAAGGAGCAGTTGGTATGTCCGCGGTTCGGGATGTTTCCGCCTTGAATGGTCGTCCTTGTCCGGACTGGCTGCGTCGTCCTCGCGTATGAAGTCACGATAGAGTGCAAGTGCTGTCTCGACAGCTCGTTCAGAGGGAGCGGCGAGAGCGGAAGATAAGAGAGCTTGAATGGCGAAATGGAGCATATAGGAGGACACTGTGTACCCCTTGTTCCTCTCGTGCTGGTAGAACTCGACCAGCCGAGGTCCCGATGAGCCTCCCGCTGCGAGAACGTTCTGCATGACCTTTGCGGCGGCCTTGGAGCCTCCGCTGACTCCTAAGGTCTTGCACCAGTAATCATAGTCGTCTATCTTGGCGTCGCCACCTAGAACGGAGAAGAGGGTGTCTTCGGATGGCCTGAGTCCAACCTCCTGGAATCGTCGCAGTTGTCGAAGAACTTGCTTTCGCGTACCATTGGCCGCTGTGGAAGCAAGAGCCTCGTGCATTCGCGCCTCCGAGAGCCCTGTCCCAGGTCGAACGAGCGTCGAGGTGTACAAGAGCTCTACTCGTCGACCGATCTCCTCGTCTGCATCAGTGTACCCCTCTTTGATGACGCTGAGCGTATGCTCGTCGTACGGGATCCCGGCGGAGTGGAAGAGGTTGATGAGATGCTTCATCGTGTCATAGGACGGAGGAGGCCGGGCTTTGTCAAGAGAAGCAGAACGAAACATTGCTGCGACGATGATCCTACCGGTATCCACAGTCGGGGAGACTTTGAGGCGCTCCATCTTCGTGAGGGCGTTGGCAATGAGGTATTCGTTCCGGTTTCCTGCTCCTACTTCGAGAAGACGATGCCACGGAGCAAGGACGAGCGCGTACCCCACGTCTATACCGCTCATCTTCCCGGTCACCCAAAGCCAGTCGAGAGCGGACCTGACGTCGCTCTTGTCCACAAGCCGTTTGAATACGTCCGCCGCATAGTCTGCCGCCGCAACTCCCAAAAGCTGAGCGGACATGAGGAGACCGTCCTTCACGATAGTGCAATCGTGGGGGTAAGGAGATCGGCACAGGCGCAGGAGGGCTTCCTCGAGTAGTGATTTCGACGGCTCTTGGAGCAGAGAAGACGCGTCGGACAACATACCGACACATCCACGAAGACGGTTGAACGCTGGACGGGGGGTTTTTCTCCCACCTGCGCTGACTACAGCATGGAAGTGTTCTATCTCCTTGATGAAGGCACGTGCGGGAGCATGGTCGGAGACCTGGAGGGTCGTTGATTCCCGATGTTTGTTAACATGTTGCTGAGTAGGTTGTGCAGCCAAAGAGGTAGTGCGGGAGTGGATCGAAGAACGAGGGCGCAACGGATGACGAGCTTGAATACGTCTGCCTTCAACGAATGCCCTCCTCAATAACATTCATGCGGCGCTGAGCAGGGGTTCAGGGGATCGACTATGCCGAGTAACAAGATAGCACATACCTGCACATCTGCCAGCAACTCGCAATGAGCAGATGAGGGTCCGACGGGGCGACGACGACGAGTACTTGGGAGGTGAGGTGGGTGTGGCCAAATGCACGTCTTGGGCGTCTGTTCCTCAGAGCAAAGTCTCGTGATCAAAGGAGGTACACGTCGACGGCAAGGCGTGCACGACCGCCAGCAGCTCTTTCCCTCTCCCCACAAAAGTACTCTCTGTATCGTTCTCCGTATCGTCCACCGCCATGTCTGATAAGCTCAAGGAGTTTGTTGAAATTCCCCAGCAGTTCGTCCGCGATGGCAACCAGGTGCGTTAATATTTTTCGACGCCGAACGCAAGCGAGTCTCATGCAGCGCTGTCACAGTTTCTGACCAGGTGTACGAAGCCCTCGCGCAAAGGTTTGCTCCTACAGAGGTGCTACTTGCAGGAGGCTCCTAACGTGCCGTGCAGAGTTCATCCAGATCTCTAAGGCTGTCGCCATCGGTTTCGCGGTTATGGGCTTCATTGGTTACTTCGTCAAGCTCATCCACATCCCAATGTACGTCTCCTCTGCGGGTCTATTCGGTTCCATTCTGACCACACTTTTGCAGCAACAACATTCTAGTGTGCGTATCGTCCGCCTATACAATTGACTCTCCACTAATACTCCAGACAGAGGCGGCGCATGATGTACAGCTGTGTGGGCTACTGGACGTTACGTTTGTACTGTACATACGGGGACTATTTATCTCTTCTTTCTTCTTCCATCGCCACTCCTGTATTGTCAACGTGCCCTACGACTGGGAGGACAACCCGCGTATCCATGATGTCGGCGGGGAACCAAGCTTGAGCCCTCTCATGCTCCCAACGGGGAGCGGACGTGCCGCCCAGCGTGGCCGTGCACACCCTTCGGACTCAGGTGAGGAATAGTTGCGGTCGCAACTGTGCGGGCTTCTGAGCAATGTTAGAGCTCGAAAGCCAAACCGTCCGGGCGGCACCCTGGCAATATTTGCGGATGGCGTACCATAGTCGGTGCCGTGCGTCTCCGCGGTGTTTGTAGAACCTGACCCTTTGCAGTGTTCCTTCGTCTTTGTCACACGATTGACGACGCGGGATGACTACCGATGGGTGTCGTCGATTCGATGGTTGCCTCAGAGGCGATCGAGATGGACCTGGTGACCCGAGGAGATTCGTTGGACGCTCTGATGCTATCCTCCTTGTTAGGTCCATTCCACCGGCGGCGACGATGACATGATAGCCAGGCTAAGAGCACATCCTATAATTTTGCAATCGTCAGAGATTCTGTTAACATTCTAAATAATACGACCAACCTTTTGCAACCCAAAGATGAGGAAAGCTGTAAGCGGGAGGGCGGCTTGTATCATGTATGCGAAGGGGTTCGAAACTTGCTTTAGGTCCATGATAGCAGCCCTATATGGCTATTCTCAGATCATTGCGAACATATAGCGTTGCATGGACCAAGTTACCCAAGAGCTAGAGAAGAATAGACGACAAACAGGGCGGCCTGGTAGTGGAAACGGTTTATCAACATAGCCGCGCGACGTGCTATTTCAGGAGATGCTCACTCTGGCCCACGGCGATAGGGAAGGCTTCTTCGCTGTCACCAGCGGGAAGTCCCTCTTGATGTTCTGTCGTCCTCGAACATATTGCACAATGCTTGCGACTGGAGATTACGATGAGATGATCGTCTGACAAAGTAGAATGACATTAGCCTACCTTCGAAACCAATGATGAAGACAAGGAAGACGAAGCAGAAGACAGGCACGGCGTACTTCTCGCTGGGTGTTTACAACGCTGTCAGCGGAGAAGCAAGGATCGTCGAAATCAATACGACATACAAAGATCCGTGCGTAAGCCCACAGTAGAGTCCGTTCTTCACGTCCACCCAATCTGGGTGATGCAATCCGACTACCGTGGCAGGCATTGCAAACGATATGAATGTCAAGTAAGGTGGACAAATAATCTGGTATCACTATGGGTGAGGCACAGGCCAATGAGAAACTGGTGACAGAGAAACGTACCGCAGCCAACTTGACCCAACGGGGTATGCAAGCAAGCCGAGCTTCCTTCCATGGCTCTAGGAAGGTGCTCCAGATCTAAATGCGTTCTTAGCCCTGCAATGGCCCTCAACTGAGCGCGCGGCCTGCATAGGACTCACCTGAAGAACGACCTCGAGACCGGCCACAACAGCCATAGGAGGGGCCGCGTAGTTCATGGCTGCTTGTGCTAAACACAAGTCGTGTGGCGGGTCGTCTAACCAGACATCCCCGCGATAAAGGCTACCACTTATTTAGCACGTCTCGAAAGCAGCGAATGCTTTCAATGATACTCACAGAAGACAGTAGATGATAGAATACAGTATCCATACAATACAGAAGTTAATGACAGTGGGATGGCGATTTGCCGTCTTCGAGATAAGGAACGTTGCGACTACAATCGGCAGTCCGATATGTCCACCGACAAGATGGATAGCGAAGAATACCGACGAGAGGTCCCGCAAGTCTAGTGGGGTCGGCGCTGCGTAAATTCCACGGTCCGTTAGCATGCTTGTTCCACACTTGCCGGGGAGCGATCCCGGCTCAGTACCAGCTGCGTAAAGTGCCAAACCGTACCTTGCATACTGTTACCCCGGGCTACAACCTAAAAGTCTCCTGGAGTCTCGTCCGTCGTCGTTGCGATCGTGATTGTAACTGGGGCAGCCCGTAGTCTTCGTGTCGTGCTCGTCCAGAGATCAACTCCGGTCCCGCGTGCTGCCTCGAACCTCGTCCAGGAAGCTGGGAAGCTGGGAATTCAGTCCAGGGAGCCAGCAACTGCCAGTGCTGCTGGGACGGAGCCGTGTTGAGTGCTCAAGGCGAGAGCGGAATTACGGAGGCTGAGCCGTCCTTCATAGGGCCTGGGACGGGGGGAGCGAGAAGAACAGAAGCCGATCTGCGTTGCTTCCGTCCTGTGATCCAGATAACGCATTGTTGCGGCGGAAACTGGCTGAAGATGTTGATTGGATGACTTCCCATAAGGATCTACGGCCATTTTGTCGTCCGTAGATATTGAAAGTGTCCTATCCGCCGAGATGCCGACAACGATTTGTACTCCGCTTTTGAGACCGACGTCCGTAGATGCTGCAAGCGCCCAAAATCTAGAAGGGGGCCTAAACGCAGCCGTAGATGCTCGCTTGAGGTCGTAAACGACTCGAAAGGAAGGTGCCATCATTACAAATTGTGTTGGGATCAATCACCTACTACATTGGGTGCTGATGTAAGGCCCAAGAGAACACGTGCATAGCACTAGACGCTCTCCGGATATCCCTGCCTGATCATTGAGCGCCCGAGATCTCTAGACAGATTAGAGCTCCGATATAGGTCTACGGACACTCCAGAGCCGTAGATTCTTATGGGAAGTCATCCATTAGCTGCAAGGCCGCGGCAGGCGGTGTCACCGTGTCCCGCCCAGGCTCCCGGGATCACCAGAGATCACATTGAGTGTACATATCAGAGATTTGACGTTCTCGGCCGCGCGGCCGCAGCCATGGTCGCTCCGAAAGAGTGCGCTTTCATTCAATGGCTCAACATGATAAGGGGTAAGTGAGCCAGAATTGGTTATGTGAAGTATATGCACACGTTGGTGTGCGTGCCGTGGCTGATGAACGCCATTCCTGATCATTCGAACTCATTGCGTCAATACCCTATTGACATGGGCAGCGTGATTATAGAATAGCATTGATCGGAGAATGGGCACGTATGATCGAGCAGTTTAAACGTGAATTAACTTCCGAGGCACGTTTTAGTTGACTGCAGCTTCCAGCATTCAATGTGTTTTCTCAAGCTCGTCATTGTCACGAGGCGTAGCATTGATTCCTGCGTGACTCCAAGCAGAGTCTGATAATCACTCCGGATGGAAGAGTGATACTGAGCCCAAACTGATGTCAGAATCATGGGGAATCTGACGAACAATGCGCGATGCATAAGTAGTCACCACGTGGAGGCGTGGTCGTGGTGTAGTCTCCGAGGATACATATACATTCAGCGAACCGCCGCGCCGCCTACTAGGAGCAGTCCGAACCTTGGAGGTGGCTTGACCAACTCGAGAGCGGGCTCAAACTTCGTGTCCACTGCTGGTGTGCCGTAAACCAGGAGGTTTGACGGTTTCTCTGCGTTCACCATTGGCTCGGCCTTCCCGGGATTGCGGCGAGTTTCGAAGGGGAGCAACCCCGCGAAAAGTATTTGCGTCCTGGACAAGTATCCCAGCGCCGATGCGGCTAAATCAGGTTGTGGCGGTACCTTCGCACCAGTCCACGCCTAAGACCGCCCGCAAAATACGATATAAGCGCCTGGATGTTTGATAACCATGTTCACTCACGTCTCGCCTAGCTGTGATACTGGCTGCAAGCCGATCGGAGGTGTCCGAAGTATCCTTTCCCCATAGTTGAGTTAGCTTTTGCAGGAATGCGAGATCCCACAAAGTCTGAATGTCAATTGATTCCGGTGCATTGCGTTCCAGTCGAGCAAGGTAGGCGACAACGAATCGACGGAGCGCGGATGCGACCTGGAGTCTTCGACGATCTCCCTCTAGGCAAACGCCAAGTTGCTGCATTTCGAGGGATAGTGAGAGCAGTGCCTGCGCGAGGGCATGAGATGGCCGACTGGGCGCAGTGGAGTCATCTACATCGGGTCAACACGCCAGTTCATCAGGGTCAGGGTCGAAGGTCGCTTACCCGATGAATGTCGGATATTGTGACCGAGAGGTTGTTCCGAGAAGTTGACCTGTACGATTCGCGCGACGGTACGCTCCTGCCATGTCTCCGTCAAAGTGACGTATAGAGTGTGCACGCGATCTCGGAGCACTGCAAATCGATGCGGTCAGAGACGTGATGAACGCTGGTGACAGAACGACGAACCGTCAGTCGTGGTCGGACTGCACCCTACCCGTGTGAAGAAATCAGAAGAGGAAATCAGTTCTTGACAGATCCTGGCAATGAACACGGAGTTTCTCGACAAATCCTCTAGGGGAACAGTAGGAAAATCAGTAGATGATGGTAGAAACAACTGGAATTGGACTAACTCTCGTTGGTGCCTTCCAAGACGTCGCAAATCCTCTCGCAAAGAGCTTCTGCGTCTGTACGATAGGCGGACAACATGTGCACAACCTGCTCACTGACGCAAAAGATCCGTGAGTTCCCATCCTATCCACCTAAGGCGCAGAGTTCGGTGACCTACCTGCTCGGTTCAGATGGCCTTGTCATCACGGCCACATCCTTCTGTATGTCAGAAGCGTGCCGCTCCAGGGTCACCAGCGTGGACTCCAACAAGGGAGTGCGACCCGTGAGCTGTTGTCGCAACGCTGACTTGTATTTTGAGAATTGAGCCGCCGCAGCGGAACTTTGCGCAGCTGTCTGTAATAGCGGGATAGATGGCGCCAAGAACAAGTGCTCGACAGGCTGGGTATCTGTCGTGGCTATGTCAATTAATTGTCATTGCGGCACACAGGGCTGTGGCTGCGACGCACCAAATTTGTGGTCCGCCGCCTCCTGTTCCAATGCCCTCATCGCGGAGGTCACCGCGTCGCGGAATGACACCTCCAACAGCCCCAGTGCGCTCTTCCAGACGGACGTTGCCTGGTTTTGAGATGCGAGATCAATGATAGACTTCAGCTCCTGGCGCTCAGGCGACTCCAAGCCCTGAGTCCCGCTTAGCCAAGTGAGAAGGGAGCCGCGGACATCCCAGACTTCCCCGATAGTCTCTAGGGAGGCGAACCAGTCTGCGAGGGCCTCTCGAGCGTCCTTGATCATCTTCTTGAACCAGCCCTCCAGCTTGTCCCTCAACTGTGGCTGCAGCGCTGGGGTCAACGCAGTGGCACTGTCGATGTATGGCTTATAGGTACGGATGCTCTGAGGGAGTAACAAGAGGTGGCTAGAGGACGGCAGCGTTGTCAAGATAATTTGCGTCGTAAGCTGCAGCTCCGGGGGGAGCGATTCAGGGTTGTCCGAGGGGGCCTGGAAGAACTGCAACGCCTGCTTCATCAGGGACGGGCTCGTGGAACCATAATCCGCAAACACAGTTCGTGCCGTGGAGACGGTGCGTGAGATGGCGTCCAGCAAAGCCTCTGCCTTCTGCTTTGTTTCTCGTAGAACGACTTTGCGGGGTCGGTTGGATACCCTGCCGTTGGGTTTCGCATCCGTCGCAGAGCCGTTGGCGGAGGTCGACGCGTTGCGTGTGAGGAGACCCGACAACGTCTTCGTGCGTTGGGCGAGGTATATTGTAAGCGTCTCTGGCAGCGGTCGCGATTCGAGGAGATGTAGCGTAAGCAAGGTAGCACAGACCTCCTGTATCATGATGAGTACAAGATTCGAGGCTGAGGCGGAACAACCGTACCCCAGGCGTATTGCTGGCTTCTCGGAGCGACAGTGTAGCCCTGTGCGATATTTGAGAGCGGAAGGGGGTGATTGTGTCCCACTGCCGCTGCACCAGCGGCATTTGCTCCTGTACGGGGGTAAGATATTGCACATCAAGAACCAATTGGTTATAACACGTACCATGACATCGATACCATAGGAATGCCAGCTTTGATCGTCGTCCTCTTGAGAAAGAGCACGATAGACCACGCGTGCCAGAAGGAAGAGCCATGCCGCATTCAAATACGACCGTTTCTCCATCAGTCGCCAAAGGTGTTCTGGAGCATCCAGAAGCAACTTGACATGGGCAGACAACGACTGCAGCGCTTGCAAGTGCTTGTCTACATTCGTGTATCAGAACCCGCCTGAGCGTACGACATTCCGCCAAAACCTCACACCTTCTCCTGTAGCTGCCCGCTTCGGTGCGCGAACAGGGGTAATGGCGTTCACAGTCTCACGCATCTCCTCGAGAGCCTCCAGAACGTGCTTTGAGGACTTGGCTAGGCCGAGGATAGACGTGGAGGCCTCCAGAAGGTCGCGATACCGTTCCCTACGCTTTCATGACGCCTCTGAACACCCGACGGAACAATTGAGTATAACTACACGCACCCAACCATGAGCCGAAGTTCCTCCTGCTTCGCGTCCGCGTCCGCCCTACATGCCAACCTAGATTACCGCACTGCCCTTCGTCCATACACTTCGAACGCACCTGAGGCGTTGCTGTATCATCCTAACCTCCGCGACGCTGTGCTTCGCAAACAGGTCGTCAGGGTCAAGGTCGCCCACATTGGCCGATGTATCTAGCTTCTGGAACGTGGATGCCGAGCGAACTGAGGGTCGTCTGGAGGTATCCAAAGGCAGGGGAGGGTGGCGTTTAGATGTCGCAGGAGACAAGCCATTCTGACGAGGTTCAATTGAGGTTACCAGCGAGATTGAACCAGCAGACGGACGACGAGCCATGGAGGTGATTGGAGAGACGGCAGGGACAGCGAACGAGGCTGTAGCTCAATAGGCGCTCACATGGAAGCATCGAAGCATGTCCCAGCGTCATCCACATTTACGGAAGCTGTCATGCTCAAGACGTCTCGCAGGGCACGATGTCCTCTCGGCTAGTCGTTGCGATGCGTTGTTAACCACAGCGAAGGGGTCTTGCTTGACAAATTCACATATACGCATAGGGACTGACGCGACGCGTTTTGTGTCATTAAGCGCTCGTACATACACACGAGGACGGATAAGGTGTATGTAATCATATGAGGGAGGAAATGGGTCATCGGCTTTCCGATTTGTTCTCCGTAATGTCTGTAGAGGGCTCGTCGTTGGATGTCGATGATACCACAGACGGTGCTGCGGTCGACGGTCCAGGGCGAGGGGGTGCTGCGGAACCGTTCGAGGCCCGTTGTGGTGTTGGAGAGGCAGATGCAACTCGCTGGTCGAGTGCCTTCAATGCCATCGCACTGAGCAGAGCAGCATGAGAGATGGCCGATGGACGATGCATGGACCGACTTACCGCCTCCGTTCTGCCTCCGCGCGTGCCCCGCCCGGAAGCTGACTATATCCTCCAGCTTCAACGTCGCTGCCACCAGTGGGGATCAAGTGGAACTTGTTCGCGACTGTGTAGGCGGTGTTGGAAAGGATCGTGATGGGTACACTAGGGTCTCCAGTTAGTACGGGCGGTCACGTTCGATGATGCGGGCTAGACTGACTGGATGAATGGAGGGAACCAGTTCACGAACGCGAAGGTCTCGCTGCGGTCTCCATACACCGGGCCTCCGCTCAGCGTCTCGACATTGTTCTTCTTGTAGAAGCGGAGCCAGATGTATGACACGAGCCAACCAAACTGGATGATGATGAAGGGTACTTGGAATCCGATGATGCACATGACGGTTGAGAACGTCACATAGGCCATAGGCAGTGTCTAGGATGGACCATGAGTACACTTCATTGTATGAATCGTCATTGAGTGCTCACCTTTACTCGTGCCTTGATGAAACCCATGACCTGAACTTGATGCTCAGGAATAATCTGCGTGAAGCCGACGAGGACTCCGATCTGCAGTGCCATCAGCCCATGGTATTGGTGCCCATACCTACGTGCAGTGAGCATACACAAACAGTGATGGATTGATGAAACGTACAGAAATACGGGGGCCCTGAAGAGTAGGTACTCCAACCAGTTCGCCACAAATGCGATGATATTTGAGGCGACAATCGTTACAACGACGAACTTGGCAGTCTCAATGGAACCCCACAGTCGCTCCAGGTAGCGAAGAGACCCAGGAATCACGATGAGAGAGAAAATGAGCTATAGAGCATATTTTAGAATCTGAAAGGCAGCCAGGGGACAACTAACCAACGCACCTCGAAAATGGTACTCTCAACAAATGCGGATGTCAAGAACGTCCATGGGTAGAAGAGACTGGACCCCGGGACGAGAACGAGATACGGAGCGGAGAAGGTCCCGTCACCTGTCCAGAGCAGGAAATAGTAGAGTAGCGAAAGGACGATAGTGGCGGCGGTGACTGCACGGGTTGTGGGAGGGATCGAGGCTACAAATTGCAATGGAGCTAGCGAGAGGACGGCCATGATGATTCCAGCTCAGTAGTGACTTCACAGTATCATTCAATAGTGTATAGGCGCAGCGTGCAGGAGAGTGATCGCCGAGGGTTTAGGGAATACGAGGGAGGACAACCTCTGGAACGGAACCAAGAGGAAGGACGACGTCTGCAGCGACATCGACTCGGGTTTGGCGACGCGGCGCGTGCGCGTCAGGACAGGTCACACCTCACTGATCTGCGCTGGGACCGCGTGACGCGTGACAGCACTTCTCCATGACTTGGACGACCACCACTGCACGCTCAGCGGTCCATGTCCTCTGACTACGACTTTCGCCCAGGCGGCTCCCTCAAGCTCAAGGGGGGCGTCAAGGATGGCGGCATCGTGAAGAAGTGAGTGCTCTGACTCGTTCGCATGCGGGCTATGCTGACAACAGTGTAGGAAGAAGAAAGTCAAGAAGGATAAGGAGAAGGCTCCTTCTCCTGACGAAGATCGCGTGCAGGCTCTAGAGCGCGCCATCCAAGAGGAGAAGGCGCGATCTGCGTCACCGGTGGGCAGCGGCCGTAACTCTCCGGCGGTCGCAGGTAGCAGCAATAGCGAGAGGAAGACGGCTGCGGAGAAAAGGTTTGAGGAAATCCAGAAGAGAAGGGTGCGTGATAACCTGTTCCATGTCGCGGGTTGGGATGCTAACTCATGTGCGCTCCAGTTGGCGGAGAAGGTTGCGAGGTTGGCCAGCAAGAGCCACAAGGATCGGGTCAGCGAATTCAACGCAAAGCTCGAGGCACTCAGCGAACACCACGATATACCCAAGGTACGTCCGTGCTATATGTGTCGTGGCGCGTCCCTGACATGCAAGCGTGCAGGTCGGACCAGGCTAATGCATGCTCTATCCTGTACGAGTCGTATCCTTGTGTTTCCTGTGCTACAATGGCATTGCTCTCTATCCTATCACCGACCTTGTAAATCTGAATGCTTCTATTGCGCTGCGTCTTGCTCGCAAGAAATCATGAATTTACTATCCCGTAAGATAACTAGTGTGTTGGCCTGTGTTTGTACACTAGATATGACGGAATAGATGGTGGGCCTATAAACGTGACCGCCCACCGCGCCTGTCCGTGCCTCACCGAACTCTCTCCCGTTCATGCATCTCCTCTGCCCGCCACAACCACGATGAAGGCCGCTCTCCCAGAACCTACTATCGATAGAAAAGGACACGTCTGTCCACCGTCAACCGCAACGCACCCGTCGGACCGCTGGGAATCGCTCTTTGTGTACGGCTTCATTTGCAAGTTTACTCAGCTGCGTTCCAAGGTCGAGGGGTTTCATACACCAATGGAGTGCGTCAAATAGTCTCCTAGCGAGCATGGATAGACGTGTGCTGACGTTTGCGGGGCGACATTGCCAGTTTTGAGGACGCGCTACTGTCGCCGGAGCCCAACCCTATAATGACCCAGATACTCTCGCGCTTTGTTCTCAACCTGCGTCCGGGAACGCGTAATTTGAGGTGCGCATGGTTTTAGCATGCCCACGGGCTCGTAAAACACGTTTTACCGACGTGGCAAACCTCGCAGTTCGGACGTCATATCATCGACTGTGGCGGCCCTACTCCAGGAGTACTTCAAGACCTCGGAGAGAAGCGTATTCTGGGATGACGCGTTGAAGGTGAACGTGGACCCGTTCCAGAATATGGAAGGAGGATTCTTCGCCGCAAGCTGGGACTTGAAGGTGCGTGGCAGTGATTCCCTGACCACCCACTACGCTGCTTCATCAATGCATCTCTACCACACAGCTCACAATACTGCGGCAATTGGTGGAACTGCAGCTCTGCCATAGTCCGGAGATTAAGGCGATTATTGACCGTGCGTGGGGCGTCATCCACAATAAGCACAAGAAAACCGAGGCGCCGTCCGTCCCTCCACCTCCCGGTGACCCACATAGTCAAGAACGATTACAGCTCATCCCTCTAGGCCAGGACAAGGAACGAAAACGTTACTGGGTCGTAGATGGTGAGTTAAGTGGCGATTTCTTTCCATCTGATATTTGCGAGTGTTTGCCGTCCATGCGGCTCCAGGATCGTATCGGACTGTCGGCACTTTGCGGCTTCTAAAAATGAAAGGTGTTTTCATAGCTGGTAACTGACCACATGTCCAATTCGCCAGATTCGCCGCGGGTGTACATGTCTACAAACCCGTGGAAGATAACTGCGACGTTTCAGACCATTGCCTCTACACGCGACGAATATATGGCTATTCTGGACAAGGTAAAAGAGTCCGCGCCTCCTGAAGGCAAGCCAGGGCAGAAGCGGTCAAAACTTGAGAACGCCCACCTCGCTTTGCTCAAGGCGCTACAGGATAGAGTAGAAGTCATTGACAACGAACTAGCGGTGAGTTTGGCTGGTGGAGCCATTTCTCGAGGTTGCGGCTCTCCAGCTTGCGCTGGAATTTTCTGGCCATGGCTACGAACCCGCTGGCGACGCCTGTATTGCACGTGACTGACGGATGCACATCTACAGCGGATCCAACGGGTCCAGCGAAAGATACAGCAGAGAAATTTGCTTATCGCATCAGCGGAGTTGCGAGAAACTCGCACTCGCCGGCGGACAACTCGTCCGGACTACGCTTACATGAACAACCCGGAGAGCGACGTGAGTTTTGCCGTCCGGTCCGGTGTCAGGGAGCGAGCTAATCGGATACCTCCAGCATGAAGACGACGAATTCACTTATCAACCTCAGGAAGAAGACGATGAGTATGAGGATCAGGCAGAGTTTGATGAATTCGACGAGTCGACTTCTCGACGGGGCGCTGCGAGCACGCGGCGGTCCACCCGAACGAACGGTGCTCGGGCACAAGATGACTGGAGTGAGTGGAGAGGAGAGCGCCGCTCATCGCGCCTGGGTGGGCCAGCAGACATGCAGCTTGACGAGCCCCCACCAAAGCGCGCCCGGACCGACGACAGCGCCGTAAGCGGGACCTCCGGCGACGCCCCACCGCCAACCAATGGCAAGGCAGGGAACGGTTTGAGAATCAAGATTAACGGCGCGGCCGCAATCAAGCCTACGGAGACAGCTGTAGAAGCTGTTGCGGGGAAGAAGAAGAGCAAGTTCTGGTACTACGCTGTCGAGCCTGTTCCAGGAGTTCCTGCTCCGGCTGTCGAACGACAGCTCGCATCCGATGGGGCACCGCAGTCCGCAGCCGACAAGGTAGATGTGGACGATGCTATGTCAGACGAGCCTAGCGGCAACGGCACACGATATCCTTCGACGAGTCCATCTGCTTCGGGGTCGAACGCTGAGGAGCTCTACGAGAAGAGCATTGGCGGTAGTTTGTCACCAACATCGAGCATGGACGAGTCATGATGTCTCAGCCGCCGTCTGTAGGTTATATCTTGTTTACTACCCACTTAACCCCGCATATCCTTTCGACGCGCTAGTCAACGTTCTGCCGCCATTGCATTCTCACTGGTCCGGACGATTTCATCGTTTCACACAGCTCTTCCCGCCATTCATACAAGCATCAGCGCGCTGCTCCTACTTATTTGCCTCGTAATTGCACGCTCGTATAGACCCATTATTCTAGATCACAACACCCGATGTTGAATCGAGTTGGTTGCTTCCTTGTTATGCAGCCAGTGTCCGACTCGAAATAGCGTGACAAAGCTGCCGGCGATGACTGGGCAGACGTAAGTAGATACTAGAAAGGACGTCCAGAACGAACTCGCCCAAGCCGGAATTTGCCGAGGTCAATCAAGTTTAGCAAGAAGCTGTTTGGGGGAGGGCGTGCCTTGCTCCCTCTCCTCCCACTTCTTTCGCTGAATGCTCGCACGAGCGGCCAGAAATGTGCTCTTTACGCCTGTCAAACCATTATACTTCCTTCCTGGGTGCCTTCACGCGACACGGCGGGCCAGGGTCACGCTCAATAAACGAACGATTACTACGTCTGCGATCCGGCCGGCTTCCGTCGATGACACGAATCTCATAGCCTTCTTCGACCAGCCCTACGCGCCGCAGAAGGTTACTTCGTCGACCGGGCTCTTTGGACATCACATGCTCACCACGCCATCCGCCTTCGTTGCCCTAGCTGACTCTACGCTTCGCCGCGCGCAACTGCTCACGGACCGAATTCTGAGGGCACGGGAGTCACGGGACGAGATGTTCAGGGTCGTAAAGAACTTGGATAGGCTGAGCGACATGCTATGCGGCGTTATAGACCTTGCAGAGCTGTTGAGAAACGCCCATCCAGATCAGGCATGGATCCAGAGTGCCGAGGAGGTGTATGAGAAGCTTTGCGAGTTCATGAATGTGCTCAATACCAATGTCGGCCTGTACGAAGTACGCATGCCTGTATTCTGTATATCATATCCTTCACTGAAGTTACTTGTTTGGACAGGTGTTGCGCGATATATTGTCTGACAGGGATATCATCCAGTCTCTCAGTCCCGAGGCTTACCAGACTGCACTCATCTTCTGGCGCGACTTCGAGAAATCGGGCATTGACCTTCCTCCGGAGCAACGTAATCGCTTCGTGTCGCTATCCACTGAGATATTGGTACTTGGTCGACAGTTCCTGAACGAGACTGCGGCACCACGGCCTCCCGCACAGATCCAATGGTCAGAATTGCAAGGCATCAAAGATCTAGGCATGGGCGCAAGGCTGCGTCTCCAAGCTCAGGTCACCAAACGGGACCTCCTTGTGTACCCTGGCTCTCTTCAGGCTCAGATGATTATGCGTTCGGCCCCCGCAGAGGAACCACGGAGAAAGTTATACATGGCAGCGAACTATAGTACACCTGGACAGATCCAAGTTCTCGAGCGGCTCTTGCGTGCACGCGGAGAGCTCGCGCGGTTGGTAGGGAAGGAGAGTTATGCGCATATGGCGCTTGTGGACAAGATGGCGAAAAGCCCAGGTACCTCCAGAGCTGATAATATGTTTTGAGTTTACTGAAATACCTATCGTACCAGAGAACGTCGAGCATTTTCTCAATGCTCTGATGGATCACACAACACCGCATGCCAGACAAGCCCTCCGCACGCTCAGTTTGCGTAAACAGGCGCACCTTGACACCCCACCTTTCCCCATCATCCAAGCATGGGATCGCGACTACTATTGTCCCCCTGAACCTCCCGCACCTCCGATCTCATTGCCCGCACTCACCCTCGGAACTGTTTTCATGGCGCTTTCGCGATTGTTTCAAGCTTTGTACGGCGTTTCTCTACGGCTGTCAGAGGCGTCTACCGGAGAGGTCTGGCATACCGACGTCAGAAAACTGGAGGTGGTAGATGAACGACGAGGTCTGCTCGGTTGGATTTATGCGGACCTCTTCGCGCGCGCAGGGAAACCGGGTGGCGCTGCCCACTACACTGTACGCTGCTCGCGACGCACAGATGATGACGACGGACCTGAAGATTTGAAGTTTGCCCATGACAACGACCATGCCCTCCTTCGGTTCTCACAAGACTTTGAGGCGGGGGGACACGTTTGGCTTCCCGACCAGCAAATGACATACCAGCTGCCTGTCGTTGTGCTCCTCTGCGAGTTCATGCGCCCAACGATTGGCGGCAGCCCTACCGTCCTCGAATGGCACGAAGTACTCACTCTTTTCCATGAGATGGGACACGCTATGCATTGTGAGTCGTTCATGGTCGTATCTAGGCAAATTGCTCAAATTTCGGATGTTTGCAGCCATGATCGGGCGAACAGAATATCAAAACGTATCCGGAACACGTTGCGCTACTGATTTCGTCGAGCTTCCCTCTATCCTCATGGAACATTTCCTGAGCTCGCCGACTGTCCTTTCGCTCTTCGACCATAGCAGCACCTCTATCCCCCATCATACCCCGGGACATCATGAAGATCCATGCCGTTCCATCGACACTCACACACAAATCCTCCTTGCGATGCTTGACCAACGATACCATTCCGCCTCCGTTCTCGCGGACACGTTCGACTCGACTGCGACCTTGTCAAGGCTATCTGATGCACGCGGTCTCATACCCTACGTTCCAGGCACTTCGTGGCAGACGCAATTCGGACATCTCTTTGGATACGGTGCAACGTACTACTCCTATCTCTTCGATAGAGCTATAGCATCAAGAGTCTGGAGGAAAGTCTTTAGCAGGGACCCACTCAATAGGGACGTGGGCGAGCGTTATAAATCAGAGGTGTTACGTTACGGCGGAGGTAGAGACCCATGGGAAATGGTTGGGGTACTTTTGCAGTCGCCTGAATTGCGCTCCGGGGATGCAGGAGCCATGGCGGAAGTTGGGAAGTGGAGAATCGAAGATGAAGTATCTGTACCAGGCAGGCACTGACAATTCATCCGATGCGCGGCATAACATTGGTCCAATGAAGTTACTATTAAGTTCAGATTACGATGAGAGGATACGACGTTTGACATGGGAAAATGCGGTCGTGAATAATGATATATAACGATACATCGCTGCAAAACAGTAGTAACGGGTAGCAGAAGAACACTTGATACATGCGTATGAAAGCTGATACTGAGCAATGGACGGCGAAGCGACAAGCTTAAGTGGACGAAGTGGCGATGGATGGGGGGTAGCCTAACGAGCTGATATCATGGATGTTGGGTGGTAGTTTGATACTCACGTCCATAAGAGTGCAATCACTGCTCAGCGTGTCCAGCGGCGACCAAGTATATCTATGACCAGTCAGGCGATCATCAGCATCTAAGACGAGGGGATCGACGAGAGCCATATATGGAACTTTCGGGGTCGACAAGGGGGAGTCGGCTTCGCTACTAGGGCTGGTTGCCAGGGAGGACCAAGAGCATGTCGATGACGCCCTCGATGACACGACGGTGCCTGATCGCGTCGGTGTAGGCGCGTCTCGGATACCGCATCCAACCGGCGGGTTCTTCGGTAAGCGTCTGGGTAAGGACCGTTTGGTTCGATGTGGACACGCGACGGCAGCGGTCATCTGGAGCGACGGGTCATCTAATTCGGAGAGGATAGACGGTTGCCTTGTCGAAGTGAATGCACAACTCGAACGAGAAGTCCTCGTGGGCTGACTCCTGTCCGCTTTCGGGTGCACTTGCGTGATCAACGCGCATGCGGAGCTACGTCGAGCCCGCGACGCCCTTCGGGGCCTATTGATAAGAGCAGGTAGAGGTGCACGGAGGCAGGGCGTAATGAAACCGACATAAAAAAGGGAGGGGAGATGTTTCGAGTCACGCATTTTCGGTGGCACAGTACAACCCGCTGCGTCCACATGCGGCTCAGCGAGTGTAAGCTTCGCAAGCATGTGGACTACGTCCTCGACATCGATGTTCCTGACGTGAAGCGGGGCTGGACTAGGCAGACGGGGCCAAGGCGTCTCGAGTGTACGTTCTCCGGGCACGATCGGGAAGGGGTCATATGGACATACGGGAGGCCATGGGTTGGGGAATGCGTGTGCTGGCACCTCCAGATTGAAAGCGGGGATGTCACTAAACGACTGCCCATTACGCTGGAGTCAACACGATTAGTGTCTGGACAAGATAGCGCTCGGCTTGGAAGTTACCTCTTGCTCGGAAGGAACTCCTTCGTCTTCGGATGCGAGAGGCAATAACGTATCCACAACGACCTGTTCCAGGTCATGCAAGAGCGCATTGCCAGAAGGGCGTTGTTTGAGATCCTTGCCTTCCTTCTTGAAGCGACGCCGACGGTTTTGGAACTGATCCCAGGCGTGAGCTACCTATCAGGGTAAGTGAACCCGACAGCGAAGTACATACCCAAACGTCGATCTGACGATACCGCATGCCCCATCTGACTGCGAGTTCGTGTTTCTCCAGACGGGACGGGAACGCATTCTCGTCGAAAAATGCCTCCAATGCGGGAGTCGCATTCTATGTGCATGGATGGTGAGTGAAATGATGTACCATTATCGATATCAACTTACGTGGTTGAAAGGCACTTTGTTATCTGGATCGGATGGTGCGGTATGCCTGCGCAAGGATTGTATATGGAGGACACGAGGGGCGACGTTTGTGAGCAAATAGGACGTCCATTCCCGGATAGCACGAGCATAAATGGCACTAAGGGCAGATGGTATCCGAGCGAACGCCTGACAATCATTGAAGTGAGGACTTGGGGTCGCAAGGCGACGCTTGAACTCTTCTTCGCACAGCCCCTTCAGCTTTGACGCTGCACGCGTCAGACTCAACGAAATACGATGAGCAGACACCTCATCGACTCCTAGAGATGTGAGCTGAGGTGCTAGAGGGGAAGGAAGGGGAAGGAAGGGGCCATCGGCATCGGATAGTAAGGGTCGAGTGGAAAGATTTGCGGCGTATGGGGCTGTTTTACGGGCGAGGTAGAGAGCAGATTGTTTGAGCCGCAGTATTGCATCGGGTTTGAAGCGAGGGAGCTCCATGTCACCTAGACGAGTGGGAGGAGGGTGGACGGTCATGGTGGTCCGGATCGCAAGTATGAGGACACTCGTTATCTGGAAGGAGGACAATGAGCGGAGCAGCTGCCGTGGGATTTGTTTATATATATTTACTTGCATTGTTTCTCCGACCATATTCAAACACTCCCCACTTAGCGCCCAGCCATCAACCACATTCCTCCCCCAGCCTCCCTCCCTACTCTCGCTATGCCGTCGTTGAAAGAACGCTTGCTTTCTGCTGAGGATACCTTCCTCTCTGCACTTAGTCAAGGAGGAAGTGCTCTAACCACCTTTAACAAAGATTGGGTAGCCCTTATGGCCGAAGTCGATTTGGCCGTGGACGCGGAAGCATTGGACCCGGAGACGTCTCTGCTCGTGCAGACAACGACCTACCGTATAGCCATGCTAGCGGAAACATCCATTGAATTAGTGGAACTTCATGAAGCCTACACATCCCAATTCATGGACCAACTCGACTCGTTGATGTCAGAGCTTTCTTTGGTAGACCATGCGACGATGTCTGGCCGCTCCCGTTCCTCCTCCCCCTCAGCATGCGAATCAGACACTCTTGCGACCTGCCGTTCCACGTGTGGAGGGGTTCCCTACACAAACAGACCACCATCTTTGAAAAGGCGGAGGGATCCCGATGACACGATCTCAGAAACGCTCAAACGTCCCCGGTATGTTTACCAACGCCTGACTCCAGTGTCACCGTCGAAGCTAATCACCCCAATAGCTACATCTGCATTGTCGAAAACGATGACACCCCCTCCAAGGATATCTCATCCCTCCCTGTCCCCTGCCGCAATCTCTCAACCCCCGTGTCCCCCGATTCTCCGGTATATCCTCCGGCGCCGTCGGGAAGGTACCCGCATCCCATCAGCGTGCCTATTCCCTCTAGCGTAAACAAGCGAAAACGGCGGCTCTCGGAGTCAGACGGGTCCCTCTCACCTCAATCATCCAAACGCCACGTGGTCGGGCCACGTCTCCATGCCGTGTCCGAGTCCTTTGTCGCTCGAGCCACCGCTCCTCTTTCTACAACATTATCGCCGGAGGCTCCCCTCACCACCAATTCCATCGAATCTCACGATTCCCTCGCGTCATCGGGCTGCCAGACTTATGAAGAGCAGTCATGGGGGCAAGTCGACATATGTGAGTGTACTTCTGCTTTCCTGAACTCGGAGCGGACGTCTCATCCCTTGTTCAGTATCTCATGTGCCTCTACCTACGGATTTCTTCCTCGGAAGCTATTCAGGCAATATCTGGAGCACGACTGCATTCTCGGAGTCTGGAGACGACGTCATCGACAGTTTGGTCCAGTCCCTCTCCGAGAATGTTGATCAGTTCGCAGGGCGGCTTGACCCCTCCGCCATCCAGTTCTCGGCGTTGTTCACGACCCCAGCGTACGACGTGAATGCGCTAGATAACGATACCTCTTACACTCCTCCATCTGATTGGTCTCCGGCGTCGACACCACCGTGCCCTGCAACTCCTCTTCTCGTACCTTCTGGTCGGACACATTTCACGGGAGAAGTCGATGTGGCCACCATTTGCGAATCCCCAACAGAGAGTGGATGCTTCACATACCCAACATCCCCGACCACAAACTCGAAGGCGCTATCGGTGCCCTTCGTGGTCACGACCAATCCTTGTGATATCGAATCATTCTGGGATTCCCTCCTTCGACCTCTCGAGCCATGCATCTTGTCTTCCGCCCTTCCGGGTCCAACATCGCCTGAAGGCGCAGCAAGCAACTTAGCTCACTGTTCGCTCATAGCTGGCGTAAGCGTTTAGTATGATGAAACTTTATCAAGTAATCTTTATCCACTATGTTGGACTGCTGATATCTGACTATGGCACAGTATCATTATTGGCTCGCCCATCTCATTGTCATCATGTTACCCTGCATCTGTATCGCTATCATTGTGTGTTTTGCATGCGTATACCACTGTTAATCGTCATCTGTCAGTGGATCAATGTTTGCTGTGTGGTCGAAGTCCTTAGAATGATCTGGTGTTGGGGACGTTACAGACAGCAATGTATCACTGCTTCCTACGCGTTGCAAGTCCGTCTCTTCTTCCTCCGTTGCTGCTATGTACTTTAGGATATACCCGCTGTTCCACGTCATCCGTGATCAATTTAGATGCCATGTTGCATGATGCCTAATGGACAAAATTATGGTCGATTTGTGACCAGTTGTGCAGCAGCCTGTGGATGAGAAATGGCGGAGTGCGCTGAGGACCAGTCCATTAATGCAATCGACGCCAGGGTTCAAAGGCTCAAAACTTTGCTCAATGACGATCGTTGCCGTTGCCGTACGGTTGAACATGAAGGCAGGAAACACAAAATGCGAGATTACGCACGTTTGGCGTGATACCCTTCGCGGTAACCGCCTTCAAAGTTATGACGAGAATTGTATGTTCGGCTACTAGCCCTCGAACCTTACTGTGGGGCGGTCGATCAAGCTACGTAATTATCAGCGAGCGAAGGCTACTGTACTGGCATCAGTGTCTCTCATCAGCGCTTCAGCCTCGAGGCTCTGCTCACCTAGGATCGTGGAAGCCAGAGTCATACGTCTTAGACGTCGCAGTGCCAGGCTAAAGTAGTATCTCCAACTCTCCCGGGCCTGTGCGCGTCCGAAAGTCTTTGTACGTCTAAAGTCTTCATACATCGTGTGTTCATGATCGAGTGATCTATGTCTTGCTGTGCTGGAGTGCTATCCCGGGTAGTGGGGCTAGTGCAATGCTCATTTACGCTAGCAGTGTCCAGACATGACATCCCATCCTCGCGTCTTCAATATATCATACATATTTCGCATTCTCATGCCTTGAAGCCTTATGATGCGCTCACAAAAACTTCGACGCCTGCGATAAACTGAGTGTGTTTTTCACTAAGCCTGGATAACGTTGCGGCTCACCAGACCCATCAAGCTCCCCAATCCACCACTGTTGCCACCGCCAATGATGCCACCACCGAATTTGGACTGGACAAGAAGCTTCATGACGGTCATTGCGGCCCCGTTCACGGCATCCTGTTTACTACCTTGTGAACCGCCGCCGTGCTGATCAAACAAGCTGGATGCCTCGGCCATGGCGACGCTGATGAGGTCGGTCTGCGACTTTCCGCCGCTGCCACCGCCCGAGGTGAACTGTTGCAGGACCTGAGTTCATGATAAGTGACACGAACTCGGTTGGCAAACAATGTCGGGAGCTACCTTCAGCGCAGCGGCGCTGCCGAGAGAACTGGCAGGGAGTGCCTTCGCTTCCTCGGGGTTCCCGTGGTAAGCTGTCTTATAAGCATTCTGGACTCCCTCCTCGTCAACGGGGCGTACGTGTTCGTCCTGCGACGATTGCACGTCAAGAACAGTGTTCCGGAATAGCGTGAGATCAAGAGATCGCAGACCTTGTTCTGCTTGAGGAAGCCCAACGCGTTCGAGAAGAGCGACTGCTCGTGTTCGGTAGAAGCTTTGTTAACGACTTCGTTCTCATCGACTATTGTTCAGGAATCTGTAAGCCGAAGATAGAGTGCGATCCAAACGGATACGCACTTTCGGGACCGCCTGCACCGCTGTAGCCACCCTGAGAATGGTGGGGGGAGTTGTATTCCTGACCGCCAGTCTTAGAGACGTCAGCTGTATCGACAGCGACGTTGCAACCGGTTGAGCGGTGTGAACGGTCAGTACGCGGGGCCTGTCCGAATATGGTACTCACACTGGGACCGCTCGTAGGCCTGCAGGCCCTGTTTGGCAAGATTCACGAAGGAGTCCTGCTCGAGGTGTCACGCGTTGAGCGTCGCTGATATGGGAAAAGACAGGTTGTGAACGCACCATGGTTGCGGGTGAATCTCTTGTTGCTAGAAAGATGCTACGGGGATGTGGGGTGACGCAGTTATCTCCAACAAGCGCCTATCTAAAGCATCAGTGCATCGCCCCCGGGGATCTGGCTGCCCAGAATGGCAGGCACTGTCGTTTCCGGTGTCGCATGCCGAGCTGCTCCTCTTACACTCATTCTCTTACTCACCTCTAGGTTACAGCTGCCGAAGCTTTCCCTTGTCCTACTATAAAGGCCCTTCCATGGAGCTATGGACGTGCGTGTTCTGTGTTCAGAATGACCTCCGGTAGCTCACATAGTCCACGTCTAGCAGCTCAGGACTCGCTCAGCATTGAGCCTCCCGTCCCACCAGAGGCGCCCAGCACCAATCGCCCGGAGTCCCCAACCAGTGTATCGCAGACCCTGCACTCCGAAAAGGATGCTAGGACAGACGGTCAAGGGTCTGCGCTGGCAGGGACCGCAGCCAAGCCAGAAGCGGGGGACGAGAACGTGATAGTGGTGGGCTGGGATAGGCCGGACGATCTTGCAAACCCCAGAAAGTGAGTAGCAGATCTCCCTCTTGGTCCACTCGTAAAAGCTCAGACATTTCCAGTTGGCCGAAGAAGCAGAAATGGGCTGCGGCATTGACCGTATCGGCATTCACATTTATCTCGCCCGTGTCGTCTTCTATGGTAGCTCCTGCCGCGCAGCAGATCGCATCCGGCTTCCACATCACCGACCAATTCCAGGTTAACCTGACTATATCCATATTTGTTCTTGCATATGGTATGTAGCTCAAATTTTTCGCCTTGAAATGGTCACAGCGAGGCTCATGCCTTTGGTAGCTTTTGGCCCTTTGTTCCTTGGGCCACTATGCGAGATCTTTGGTCGCACAAGAGTACTTCGAGCGTGCAACCTGTTTTTCTTTGGTGTGTTGGATGACCCACCTTCTACATTGCACCTTTTTTGAAGGAACGATAGCTTGGAACCTAGCGTGTGGGTTCGCCCAGTCCGAGGGGCAATTGATTGCCTTCCGTTTCCTCGCAGGCATCGGAGGCAGCTCTCCGTTGGCCGTGAGTGTCGTTCACGAACATGCCGCTTACGTTCCTGTTTACTCATTTTCTCTCAAGGTTGGAGGTGCGGTTCTCGGAGACATGTGGACTCCGGAAGAGCGCGGCCAGTCAATCGCGATCTACTCCCTCGCACCTCTCCTTGGCCCCGTCGTTGGCCCTATAGCTGGTGGGTGGATTGCGGAGAGGTCCACTTGGCGATGGGTCTTCTGGTCCACATCCATTGCTGCGTTCGTCATCCAGATAGTTGGACTGTGGACGTTGCAAGAGAGTACGCATATTTTCGTCACTGCTCTCATCATATGTATCAAGCTGAGACTTTTTCGCAGCGTACGCCCCCATTTTGCTCGCCCGCAAGGCGAAGAAGATCCGCGCGAAGCTTGACGCCGAGGGCGGAAGTGCGGGCAAGGAAGTGCGAACCATCTTCCAAAAGACGGCCAAACGAGAGTGAGTACCCACCTTCCTGCCAGGCCTGTTAGCCATCTGTGTCGCTCTACGCGTGACGAATTGGTCGAGAACGCGCATGCAATCGCCTACGCGATCTACTACGGGTGTTCTGTAGCTCAATCAATAGCGAGACGATGCGTTAACCCCTTTTCGTACGCACAGCTACAAGCAGTTCATGTTTGTCTCACTGTGCAGGCCGTTTATCATGACGGCACAGGAGCCTATCATCATCCTCCTCGGCGCATACCTGGCGTTCGTGTACGGCGTTATCTACCGTGAGTTTCAAGATTCCCCGTACCTTTCCAATATGTCTCAAGGCCCACAAATTAATCGCAGTGGTACTTACCACTATCCCATTGATATACACGGACATCTATCACGAAAACTCGGGGATCGTTGGCTTACAGTACATTTCGCTCGGCGTTGGTGTGTACCGCTCCCTTCGGCGACTCGATTCCTCTGGCGTCGAGGCTGATCTTCGAAACCACTTGTCAGGGCTTACCATCGCATCGCAATTCAATGCCCGACTGCTAGACGTCGTCTACATGCGGCTCAAGACGAAGAATGGCGGTGTAGGAGAGCCCGAGTTCCGCTTGCGTCAGTGCATCTGCCTATAGTTCACTGACAGCCTGAGAATGCCCGTGCTCATCGCTCGTAACTCATCGCAGCGTGTGTCTTCCCCGGAATGCTCCTCTTACCCATCGGTCTTCTGATCGCAGGCTGGGGAGCACAAGAGCGCACGCACTGGATCGTGCCTGACATCGTGAGTCCTAGGCTCCCGTGCGTTAGTGTGGCCTACCAAGCTCACCCCTCGCCTTTGTACAGGGCTTTGCCCTCGTAGGCGCAGGCATCATACTCACGTTTCAAGGGATGCAGATGTACATCATCGACGCGTTCGCACAGTACGCCGCTTCAGGTAAGTCGCCTCGTCGCCCCTCTTGAAACAGACTCTGGACGGACGTACTGACAGTTCTCTTCCTCACCTAGCGCTCGCCGCGACGTCCTTCCTCCGGTCCGTCGCCGGCTTCGGGTTCCCCCTCTTCGCCCCCGCGATGTTCAAGGCCCTGGGCTATGGCGTAGGGAACACGGTCCTCGCCGCGATCGCGTTTGCCATCGGCTGCCCCGCGTACGTAGTGGAATCTTGCTTGTCTCAAATGCTGTCCACGCTGACATTGGCCGTCTGTTCGGCAGGATCTGGCTGTTCTGGGTGTACGGGAAGACGATCCGCGAGATGAGCAAACACGCGCAGTCGAAATAGAGGAGACACACGTACGTTAAGCTCCTTGGCCGCTGATGTGGACGCTCGCACAGACGATCATAGCATACCCGGCTCATAATGCATCTACCCTACCGTAAACTGCACTTGGACAGTTAGTTTGTTGTGATAATACGGACGTGTTTCTGCTACATCGCGTCGGAGGGTGGAGAGGAACCTACATGCGATAGGAATGTCGGTCTTCGTGAGGTATGCGGTTCTTGTTTCACCGGCATGCCGATCCATATACGAAGAATGTCGAGGAGGAGCAAGGCTAGTGGTCGTCAAGTTTATATGTTCGACCAAGCCATTGTGCATTTATACGCATAGAGTTGTGCACGATACAATGTAGCTGGCACTGGATGGAAACCAGTGGCGCCACATTGTACAAGCGGTGTCTAGCACTGGGTGGCGGGTTGCCGCCACACATACAACGTGGTTGCCTATAGTCCCGCAGGCGTTCACAACAGATACCCAAAGAGCCAATGAGCAACAGGAGACAGGCTACACAAGCATGCCGGTACATATCTCTCACGGAAACTCTTTCTGTTGCATTGTTGGATGGCACCGAGGCGCTGCATGGTTACTCCCAATGTAGTGGTTCTTGTATAATTACATCGAGGCGGTATAGCATACATATACAGGGGCAGTCCCAAAGCGTCTACGTTAGCGTCATAAAGTACTCGTCAAGGGCAACTGAAGCGGCCCGGTCAACCTGAACAGCCTACAACTCAGCGACCTTCGATTCGCCCGCGGAATACGGCGTATCGACGACGTGAGGCCCAGACTCGAGGCTGGCAGTCGAAGCAGGCACGTCCGAGGGCTTTCCAGATACGGAGGCGCCGGTCTGGGTGGAGGGTGACACGGCGCCCTTGGCCTTCTCGATTGTGGCATGGGCAGTACCAGCCGCGGTCTCGATGTATGGCTGTGCGGCGGCTTGCGCGGAGGCGAGGTACTCCTTGCCGGTCTGGAGGGCGGATTGCACGGTCGCGCCGATACCGGCAGCAGCGCCGTTCGTCGCAGGGGGGATGCCAGAGGCGTACGACTAGGCGTGGATGTGAGCGTGCTGCTCGATGTCAGCTGAGAATATGGTCAACGTACCTGGGCCGTAGTGAAGACGTTGCCAGCGATATTCTTGGCCTGTTCGACGTAGCCGGTTGCCGAGGCCTTCGCAGACTCTACGTCATATGCGCCTTCAGATGCGGCAACGTTCGTCTTCTGGCTGAGGCCTTGCTCTAGCTGGTCGACGGCAGAAGCGGCCTGAGGCTCTTTGAACTATTTGTTCACCATGCGTTTGAGTTCTATGTGGCTGCAAACAAAAGGCCTAGAGGGACGAACCTCAGCAGTCCGTGCAGCGTTAGTAGCCGCGGCATGAAGCTGGTTCGCATTCTGCTGGACTTGGGTCGAAAGCGTAGCGTTGGAGGCCTCAATCTCAGCAACGGCTGCGGTGGTAGAGTAGCGAGCGTCGCTCCTGCAAGATGGAATTGCGATGTCAGTCTCTCCGAAGAGTATCGCAAGGAAAGAACGCGACGACGCACGGGCCAGTGGGAAGAGTAGCAGAGGACATGGTGATCAACGGTATAAGTAATGCAAAGATGGGCTGCGAGATGCGTGAAGTGGTGATTCTGAGGACTTTGGTGCGGTTTGCTGAGGCATCTTATAGTGTGTGCGAGGTGGTCGAAGTGGAGTGAGGAGCAGGTCGGTCGACGTCACCGCCAGCTTCTCAAAGCACTGCAGTCCACTTGCCACTTGCCACTTAGACGCCGGTGTCCTCGGTGGACGAGCCCATGACGTCACTCAATCCCACCTACACGTTGGTCCTCGAGCGGCTGATGCTCATGGCGTCCTAAGTAGTCTTGCGAGGCTAGTCGTGACAGTTGCGCGACTGTACAAACAGACGCTGTATCCCCAGCAGTCGATCCCAAACACAAACACTATTGCGTACGATTGAACACAAAGAGCGACAAACAACATAAAGACAAACAATCCTCCACATCCGCAATAGGACTATTCGCGACGAAGGCATTCGCGTGTCTGAAATAAACAAACAGAGGACAATGAGCGATGCTAACTACATGAGGGTATGTGGTCGAGTCGAAGGTATGCGGATAATGTTGAGGAGACGGAATAAACACACAGGCGTGTGGCAGATTGCGGTATACAGAGACGGAGGAGGCGACATTGCTCGGGTCACAGGCACAGACGATGATGCGTGAAAGCGAGAGTCGAGAATGTGGAGACTGGACGATACCGAATGGAATACATACATAGGAGACAGGAAGGGAATAATGAGATAAACAAGCTCAATATTCACAGACCAACGAGAAAGCCTGCAATGGAGAGTGAATCGACACCGAAACCCCACAGCCAACGAAACGAGCTATCTACACGTGACGTCTCTGGCCATCTTCCTCGTCGAAGGAACCCGATCGTAAGAATCGGGCAAGGACCTCCTCGGATGAACGCTTGAATACGTCCACACCGCGGGCGGGGTCCCAAACACGGCCGCTTTTGCGAGGCTGGAGACTTTGGGGACCCAGAACCGGCGTACCCTCGGGCGTCTCAACGGGACCTGTGGTGGATGGCGAAGAGGTGAGCGAAGTGTCATTCGAGGACATGCGATGGAGCGGCGGTGAGGAGAGCTTGGACAGCACAGGGGACTGACGAGGGGAAGAGCTCGTAGACGGACCGATGGCAGGCGAGCCCGGCGTCTGCGGAGAACCAGCCAGTTTGCTCGTCGGTATCTGCGAACCAGACAGTCGGCGGGGAGTCATGGACGTCCTCGGCGAAGATGGCCTTCGAGGAGAGGAAGTTTTTGGGGAAAGAAGGGGCTTTGACGCAGCAGTCCGCGGTGGCGAGGGAGCCCGCTTGGGGCTCATGACCTCCGGCGGAGAGTACGTGCGCGGAGATCCGAGCGTCTGAGGCGACCTGAGTCCCGTGGGCGACGCCTTGCTTGGGAAAAGCAGGAGGGAGGAGTGCGGCGGCTGAGTCACGGTAGGCGTTCCGACTGCCATCTGATCCGGATCTACCTTCAGCGTGATCCCAGGGAGGAGCGAACCGACTGCCGGTGAAGTAGGCGACGTCGCCCACAGTCCTGATCCCACACCGGCACTGCGACTTGTTCTGGGACTCCTCTTGCCCTTGCGACCTGCGTCGTTTTCGTCTGCCGAGACGTTAACCTGCACGCCCATGCTGCGCGTTTCAATAGGAATCGTCTGCACACCTCTCGTGCGATACTTCTTGCCCTTTCCGGCCGTCAAGGACGCGTTGCTGCCTGCGCGTGAGCGCCGAGACTGATTGCGTTCTTTGCCGCCGTCGCTATCCAAACGCGCAGGTTGGCCACCGTCTTCGTCCTCTTCACCTTCGTCTTCGTCGTCGCCATCCATGCTGCTTGCATCCTGCCGGTCCTGGTACTCGCGCTCACGCTCTTCGTCCCATTTGCGCCAGCTCTCGTCGTGGTCCGGAGGTGGCGGCTGGAAAACGGAATGATGCGGACGCACAAGCTTCGTTGCGTACTTCTGAATGCTCGGTACCGTATCCCAGGCATTCGAGTAGGTTAGGCTGAACGGAAGAGCGATAGGCGGGGCAGTGCTATGAGGCCGCTGTGAACTAGGTGCGTGTTTCGGGATCGGCTTGATAATTGGTGCTGGCTCCTCAATGAAGTTGGCGACAGGGGGCGGAGACTCCGAAGCAGGAAAGACGCGACGGGGCGCATGTCTCGGCTTTTCCTCCCAAGGGAAGACAGCGTGCACCTTTGTGCGGTCAGGAGCGGGAGGGGAAGGATGAGATTCCCCGGGAGCGTCAGAGATGCGTCCGATCACATTCTCATACTGGCCATCACGGAGGAGTTGCTCTGGGATCTCAGAAGGTGGAGGGGGGTGGAAGAAGGTTTCAGATATAGGACCAGGTAGATGTGCCGGGAAGGCTTGGAACGAAGCATCCTGTTCACGACTCGGTCCTTGATCCCAGATGTTGGGGAAATATGTATCCGGCGGAAAGGCAGATGGTGGAGGCGGCGTCTTAGGCGGAGGCTCGATCGCAGGATTCCATTCTAGCTTCGGAGGAGATGCAGGCCGCGGGGCCCGTGTCTGTTGTTGCTCTTGCGTGACAGATACGGGCGAATGCTGGTGATGCTGATGATGTTGATTATGCTGATGATGATGAGGTTCGTGCTGGTGATGATGTTGGTGGGGAATATGTTGGTGGGGAGGAGGATGATGACTCTGCTCGAAGTCCCGATGTACTGCAGGGGGAGGGGAATGGCGGGACTGAGTAGGTGAATGTTGCCCTCTGGGTGACTGAACGCCCCGAGGCGATTGAACCCCGCGGGGAGTGTGATTACCGGGACCGCGAGGAGACAAATGTCCATGACGAGCGAGAGTGGAGTCCCTGCGTTGGTGACGCTCAATGTGCGGGGATGCGGGACGTGTGCGCTGGGACTCCGCTGCTTTCCAGGACGGTTGCAAAGCCACCACGGGAGGAGCTTGGTCATCAGACTGTTCGCTTTCGAGGTAATAAGAGGTATTCGGTGCGAGGAAGCGCATTCCTAGCGGTGACGCGTTAACATTAACTCGCGAGTGCACAAGGCCAGCCTCCGACGGAAAGTACGAACCTGTGGGCTGCTGGGGGAAGTATTGCTGACCCGCAATCGACATATCTGGCTGATAAGGGGTGGACGGTCCAGACGAGGGCAAGTCCAGTGGCTGATGGTACGGCGCTGGAGGAAGTTCATGGGGAAGGGGCGTCGGCAGAGGCTCCATTCTCGGAACTTCGCCACCTTGGAGGACGATGAACGCTTGCTTGGGAGTCAAATTCTGATCGGCAGACTGGTCCCGAGAACCTTGCTCCTTCTGTTCCTCCTTGGAGGGCGGCGGCTCCTTCCGGGGACGCATCAAGTCCACACGCCCGTCCAGCGGCATCGACCGGTACTCCCCCACTTTTGGTCGTGGCTGGGCAGCAGCACTGTAACTGCTCATACCCTCCACAGCGATCTTGCGCAAGTCATCGAGACCGAGCGCAGCCCCGCTGGGCGGTACGGAAGCAGGACGCGCGATATCAGCACCATAGCTGGTCCCGGCGTCCCAGACAGAGTCGTAGTGTGTGAACTCGAAATTTGCATAGGTGGGGTCGAGGTCGGAACGATAATGTCTGTCGTACACGTCAAACCAGCGGTCCACCAAGGAGTCGTAGTCGTATGACTGCTGTTGCGTGTTCAGATTCTTGTCAGTCAGCGCGGAATACTTGACCCCAGGAGGCCTGTAGGTGATAGAGACCCAAGGCTTATTTGGTCCAATGAAGTGTATGGCGGATATCTGAGACCCAAACCGCTCGTACGCGGGGGCGTATCTGTTTGGACAGCGTTGAGCTTCATTTGGATGACCCGTGGGGCGACCACTCACGTGTAAACAGCGGTAGGGGTAGTATTATACGTAAAACTGAGCCTGTGCCAGTTGTCGCCTCTCCACTCATTGAGGATACCCTGATCGCCTCCGTCCCATGAGCCTTTGGACTTGAGAAGTTCCAGAAGCTCCTTGAACTTCTCTTCCCCGGGCGCAAAGACTAGGACTCCGGAGTTAAATATGTCAGGCCACCCGACGTCCGGAACAGCGGCGAAGTCGTGGGGAGTCGTAAACAGATGAGACATGGGTCGTACAGGTAGGACGTCTGCATCCAAGAAGATGATTTTGGCATATTGCGTGAGTCGGAAGATGTGCAGTTTGGTCAGAACGAGGTTAAGGTCCGGACGACCTGCAAAAGAGCGTTCAGTAAATGCTTAGGCGGGCGTGGTGTTACGAATGGCAATCAAGAGATGACTATATGCGCGTAGATACCACTCGACTTCAGCAAGATGGCAGAGGTGAACCGTGAACAGAGTGCACCCCTCGGCACTCGAATGCTTCACGCGTGTCAGGATCCCCGGGTAGAGAAAAAACGCGTCGATGCGCGGTACCGGCAAATTCGCAGCGGTAAGGAGCATGGATACTCACCCAGTAGCTGCAATCCCCTTCCATCTTCTTGCTCAATAATTTCCACGCCAATGACAATATCAAATGCTCTCCTTAGGAGCTTGATAGTTGACACGTCTACGCTCTCCGGAGTGACCAGACATACGGTTTGGAAAGGAACTTCGGGAGGAACGGGAGGAGACGGGTGAAGATCCTTGAGAGCAGCGGCGACAGCGAGAGCGCCAGGTAGATAATGGTCCGAGGTGACAAGGGTTACGAAGGCATAAGGAGTGTCCATGAGCGCAGGGCTCGAGCATGGGAGGAGCGTCAGGGACGCTGAAGAAGGAAGACGGGGACAAGTTACATACTCTGAGCGCTCATTAATCTCGTCCCGCCCGCCCGACTGACTATCTGACTTACGTAACAATGACCAGAACGCTCGAACCACAGCTCTCGCCCAAGTCCGTCGCTTGAATTATGCGACCAGGATCGTATCCGTCCACGCCGCTCCCTTCGGTTTATTCGAACGGACGGTGCAGTCTGTTTGACCTTCCCTCATTTGCCGAAAGCTACTGAACAAACGGTAGCAGTTATTTCCAGGAAACCGAAGGCGTCCTGACTGCTCCGACGGCGTCACTTCAATTGTCCGAAGTCTCATTCTACAGAGAATCACGACGTGTCTTCTCAACCAAGGTATATCTCCCATGCCAAAGACAAGCTGCGGTGGGATGATCGATGGGCTGCGATAAGAGACCCGCATACATCATCTTCGGGAGTCCGCGTTCGCTACTAGTGTGCTTGCCCGCTCCGAGAGGCAAAACATTGCCCGCCGGGCTAGTTTTATCACCTGCTACAGTGGCAGCCTGAATATTTTGCAGAGTGCAAGCAGCTTGTATGAACCAACAGATGGTCATTGTGTGGGTCGATATGTGTAGTATCCTGACATAACAGTGGGAGAAGAGGTGTCAACCCAAAACGCGAAGTGGAGTGCGAACTGGCTACTGAATGGATACAGACTCTGTGCTCTTATCAGTATGGGTCATGGGTCACAGTAGAAGCCGTATGATCTAGCAACTATTAGCAAGACTGGGCCAATCTCAGAACTGACTACTAGCAACGGTACTCGCGATACTAAGGCTGAGTTCGACGCAGTTTGAACGCGCTGCAGCTTCAGCGCTTAGCCCCGCGTCCTTGGCTTGAGTTCAGGACGACTCCCAGCTGATTGCTACACACAGCTAGAATAAGTAGCGTCTTTCATTCTGCTCGCATAGCAGACGACATACGTCATGGCGATGGTCATGGGCGTTTGTGGCACGTGGTCGAGCAGAAACACGGGTGATTGCGCCGACACCGACGTTGACCGCGTCTTGACTGTCAGTGCCAGGGCCCCCGCTCCTCGTCCGGCTCTCCCTCACCGCGCTCGTCCGCGACGTCCATGATGTCCTCATGTCACCTATAGCGCTCCGACTCCTCCTTCGGCCTGGCCTAAGGCAGCCACTCCTTGCCCGGGGCGCTTCCACTTTCCGCCAGACTTCGTCCTGGACGCAAACATCTCAGACGTTCTCGTCTCAGTTCTTCACGCGCACGCGCACGGCAGCGCCTAGTTCTTCCTTCTCCCGCAAGCTCCTATGGATAATACCCGTCACTGGAGGAATTGCTTTTTTGGCGGCGCCTGCCCGGAAGGACAACCGCAATGTCTTTGCCTCTCCGAATCTCATACCGTGCTCGGAGGCGGCAGCGGAATCCTTGGACCCGGTCATCATGTCTCCTTACGAGTCTGACAGGACTCTCTTGGGGCGTATTAGGGACTTTCTACGGGACAGGATCCTCGAACCTGTGCTGACGGCCCAGCGATTTGTGTACCTCTGTTTCTTGTTCGTCCCAGTGCTTTTGACAGCCCCAATGCTGCTCATAGGGCCGCCGGAGAGCAAACTCGGAGGCGATAGATGGGGTGCTGTATGGTGGTACGGTTTTCTTACCAGACAGATGCAGTATGCTGGGCCGACTTTCATCAAGGCAAGTACCATCATCTACCTCGACTATGACGCCATTGGCGTCTTCCAGACCGCGATCTCCGTATGTTCTGCGACGAGAATGATAATGTCTACGCCTGCTTGCCGCCTCGTGACGATTGTGTGAAGGACAAAATCTGACAATTTCATGCAGTTAGCTCAATGGGCCGCCTCAAGGGCTGACCTGTTTCCAGCTCTCTTATGCGAACGCATGGGAGCTCTACATTCGCGAGGAAAAGCCCACACTTTGGCACATACCAAGAGGGTCATCGAACAGGTCTTCCAACGTCCGTTCGAAGACGTCTTCGAAGAATTCGACGAGACTCCGATTGGAACCGGCGCCATAGCCCAGGTTAGTTATCTATCCTCCTTCCTTTTGTCTCGTCCGTTTTCACAAAACCTGGCGCCCTTCTTAGGTGTACCGGGCGACCCTGAAACACGACCTCATTCCCCCGTCTCACTTGGCCCCGAAGCGCAGTAAGCGCAAGGCAGTTCTCCCTCCCTCCTTAACGAACGAGCCGCCGCCATCTGTCCCCACTGCTTCTGTGGCAATCAAGGTCTTGCATCCCCGAGTGGCCCAAACAATCAACAGGGACCTACGCATCATGTCCTTCTTTGCAAACGTGATCACTCTGATCCCCGGCATGCAGTGGATCTCCCTCCCTGAGGAAGCCGAGGTGTTCGGTGGGATGATGCACGAGCAGCTCGACTTGCGGATAGAGGCGGAAAATCTCGCCAAATTTGAGAAGAACTTCGAGGGTCGTAAACTGCCCGTGTCGTTTCCCCGGCCTCTCCAGTTGTGGAGCACCAAGGATCTCCTAGTGGAGGAGTACGAGAACGCGCTACCGCTCGAGTGGTTCCTCGCCAACGGTGGCGGCCCGTTCAACGACACCCTTGCGGAGGTTGGACTCGACGCCTTCTTGGTGTGTAATGTATACGGTGACGGATTCCCGGTGGCACTCATCCTGTTATTCAGAACATGCTGCTCCTGGACAATTTCGTACATTCCGACCTGCATCCTGGGAACATCATGATCAAGTTCGTAGAGCATCACAATAGGCTGAAGGCCAGTCCTTCGTGGTTCCCTACCCTCTTTGAGAAAGAGGACGTCCCCACTTCCAAATCAGACAAGCCGAGCTCTAGCGATGCGTTAGTCAACGAACTCCGCGCCCTCACTCACGACCAGGACGCGTGGCGCGCAAGGTTAGCGCAGGCGAAGGCCGAAGGATTCCAACCCGAGATCGTCTTCGTCGACGCGGGTCTCGTGACGACGCTCAACGCCGTCAACCGCAAGAACTTCATCGACCTCTTCCGCGCTGTCGCCGAGTTCGACGGCTACCGCGCGGGCATCCTCATGGTCGAGCGCTGTCGGACTCCTGAGCTCGCGATCGACACAGAGACGTTCGCGTTACGCATGCAGCACATCGTGCTCAACGTGAAACGCAAGACGTTCTCGCTTGGCCAGATCAAGATCTCGGACATCCTCAAGGAGGTTCTGAAGGCTGTACGGAAGCACCACGTTAAGATGGAGGGTGACTTCATCAATACAGTTATCTCGATACTGTTACTGGAGGGTATTGGACGACAGTTGGACCCTAGACTGGACTTGTTCAAGAGCGCGTTACCTATCCTACGGCAGCTTGGCCGACAGATGTCAACGCAGGAAACCATGGCGCAGATGCCTTCGGGCCAAGTAGGAGCTTTCTTGAAGGTACGTCGTGTGGCTCCACATAGCGATCATAATGGTTGCTCATCTCTATATTAGCTCTGGGTGGTGATGGAGGCGCGCGAGCTTGCGTCCGCGGCACTTGTCAACGCTGACGACCTGGTAAAATATGACTGGTAAGAAACACTTTCAGTCGTATCACCGCTGTCTCACCAAGTTTTTCTTAGGCTTACACCGGCAATATAGACGAGTTCGTAGCGACTCTAGATCCTCCTGCACAATACGGACAAATAATCTTGTAGAACTAGACTTCTTACAGCATGGATGCATAATGTGTTACCCACTGCCACTCAATATCGCGAAGAGACTGGACTCCCGCCCAATGAAAGTTTGGAGGTGTCTACTGTAAGGGATCGTCTTGATCGGGCATGGTTTATTGTACAAGCGCTTTCGTCTTCGTTCATCTAGTTTCGATCGTACGTCCAAGACTCTATCTCACGCCTGCTTCTGGTCCAGGTTCTCCTTCGCAGTCCCCTGCTCGCCGCCGCGCTCATGGCTCGTTGCCCCGGCCCGAGCCGGAGTGAGCATATCGACCCACCCGCGTTCGTATTGGTTCGCGGGTTTGACTGCGACACCGAGCTTCTCGGCAGCGCGGATCGCCCAATGCGGGTCTCGGATGAGGGCACGAGCAAGGAAAACAACATCTGCCTTTCCGTCTCGCAGGTACGACTCGGCCTGCTCGGCTTCGGTGATCAACCCGACAGTGCCGATTGGTAAGTTAGGGTGCGCCTTCTTCAATGCTTCGGCGAAAGGAGTCTATTGCGCGCAGGATCGTCGTCAGCACTGCACCAAACACTGAAGGCTAGCGGAGGTAGTGCGGGAGAACTCGCCTGGTATCCCGGACCGACGTCGATCTTCTGCTTTACCCAGTTTCCGCCGCTACTGCAGTCAATGAGGTCGATACCGAGCTTCTCGAGCTCTCCCGTGAAGATCTTGCTCTGCTCGATGCCCCATTGCTTCCATTCGCCGTTGGTGTCTTGCTCTGGGCCCTCGGCCCAGTCGGTCGCACTGATGCGGTAGAACAGCGGCTTGTCCCAGGCGGCCCGGGCCTTTTGCGCGACTCGGAGCGGCCAGCGCAGACGGTTCTCGAGCGGGCCGCCATATTGATCCGTGCGGACGTTTGAGAGGGGGGAGAGGAACTCGTGAAAGAGGTATCCGTGTGCGCCGTGGATCTCGATGAAGTCGACTAAGGCATGTTAGGTTAGTCATCAATATGGAATGTCGAGAAAGATCATTACTGACATCCTACTTGCTTGCAGCGCTCGACTGCCTGGACGAATGCGTCTTCGACGCGCTGCAAGTCCTCTTCTGTCATCGGCTTGGGCTTGGGATACTGGTCGGAGAAGGGTATGTCGCTGGGACCGGGCACTGGGACAATGTCAGTCAGCGACTACAAAAGTCACCCGGAGCGAGCATTACCATCATCCGGCCAACCTCCTTCGTCCTTGCCAGCAACGTATGTCGGTGCCTTCCAGGTCTTCGCAATGTCGGAGTGAACCCATGGCGCATATGTAGAGGCCTTCCGTCCAGCATGGGCAAGCTGCACGCCGATGATGGTACCTTGGGCATGCGCGAAGTTGACGATTCGCTTCAGAGGCACGATCTGGCTATTTGTCCAGAGCCCCTGCATCGCGCCGGGTCAGTTCATGTACTGGTGGCAACAGACATGTATGCGTAACTCTTACCGCATCTTCGGGAGAGATACGACCTTCTGGGACGACAGCGGTAGCCTCTAAGCAAATGGCACCCACTCCCCGTGTAGCATATCCCTGCGTCGTTGTTTCAGCAATGGAAATATCGGTTACTATGGCACTAGAGGTACACATACGCCAATGTGTACGAGTTGCCAATCGGTCGCATGACCGTTGTCAGAGCTGTATTGACACATGGGCGACTGGCAAAAGCTGTGGTAAGCAAGCCGGGTAAGTGAGACACAATACCGCAGCGGACGTACTACAAAGATCCTGTTCTTGAAGGTCACGCCGCGGATGGTGATTGGTTTGAATAGGGTAGGAAGCTCAGCGTTCTGAGGGTACACATCCTAGACCAAGGGGAGCGATCAACAGTATGCAATTGCTCCTATGCGACGATCCTACCTTGGGATAGGGGGACCCGATTGGGGGCTCATTGAGAGGAAAGTACTGGTCTGCACCTGGTACAGGTCTGTTGATATAGGACATTGTGCGAGTAGTGGCGAATGGTGTAGTAATTGGGATCTTGCGAAGGCAGAGAAAGGAAGTAGAGGAGAGTCTAGTTCTCGGAAGACTTGTGGTCACGCTTTGCCTGATTGTGTGCATTCCAAGGCGGCCTATATAGCTCGGGCAGAAAGAAAGGCGGACATGGAATATCTTGAACGGTACTCGCGATGTCGCTTGGAAGCACACTCGCACACGGAGACAGACGGCGAGGAACGACGCTCAAACATGATGACGACATCGGTTCCCATCTGCCTGTGCTGATCAGTTGATTGGGTAAGATACACTCACTTCCCAGTCGCTTCCACCACGGTCCCCCGTCAATCCCGTTTCCACCCTTGCCTGGACTGCACCACTGACCATTTTGAGTCGCGTTGGTTGGTGAATCTCGTTGCGAAATCCAATTGTGAGGAAGTCGAGGTGTTGGTGGGATGATGCACGAGCAGCTCGACTTGCGACAATCTACCAAATTTGAAAGGAACCTCGAGGGGTGTAAATTGTCCATGTCGTCCACCCGGATATCCCCAAGGAGGTATTGAAGGTGGTACGGAAACATTATGTCAAGATGGAGGCGACTTTGTCAACACAGTTGTCTCGATCCTGCTACTAGAGGGAATGAACGACAGTACTTTAGACACTTGGTCACGCGCATTGCCTATTCTGCGACAACAGATGTCAGCGCAGGAACCATGGCGCAGATGCCCTCGGGCCAAGTAGGAGCCTTCTTGAAGGTATGTCGTATCGCTCCATATATAGGGGTGCTATAAGGGTCGCTTATAATTGTTTCAGCTCTGGGTGGTAATCGATCCCGACTCGAAGGCGCGCGAGCTTGCATCTGCGGCACGTGTCAACGCTGACGGCCTTGTGAAATATGACCGGTTCGGAAACGTTTAGTCGTATGACTGCCACATCTCACTCAGTTTCTTTCAGGCTCACAACCGCGATCTAGACGGGTTCGTAGCAAGTGTAGAACGACACTTCTTACAGCAAGGATTCATAGATCCATACTTCATATACACTTCCTGCTCTCACTCTACATCGTGAAGATAGCAGCATCTCGTCTTATGAAGGTTCGGAATCATCTACTATACGAACACTAATGTCTACGTCCGTCTAGTTTCGACCGTATATCAAAGGCCTACGCCCTTCTCATGTCCGAGCTCTCCATCGCAGTACCCTGCTCGCTGCCGCGCTCATGGCTTGGTTACCCCTGCCCGAGCCGGAGTAAGCAGTTTAGCCCAACCGCGTTCGTGTTGGTTCGCGGGTTTGATTGCGACACCAAGCTTCTCTGCGGCGTGGATCGCCCAATTTGGGTTCCGGATGAGGGCGCGAGCAATGAAGACAACATCTGCCTTTCCGTCACGCAGGTACGACTCGGCCTGCTCGGCCTCGGTGATCAGCCCGACAGTACCGATCGCTAGGTTAGGATGGGCCTTCTTCAACGCCTCGGCGAACGGAGTCTGGGGCGCGCAGGTCCGTTGTCAGCACTGCAACGCAACACTCAAGGCCAATCGAGGTAGTGTGGGACAACTCACCTGGTATCCCGGGCCGACGTCGATCCTTTGCTTTTCCCAGATTCCGCCAGTGGTCGTGTCAATAAGGTCGATACCGAGCTTCTCGAGCTCTCCCGTGAAGATTTTGCTCTGCTCGATGCCCCATTGGGTCCATTTGCCGTTGGCGTCCTGCTCTGGAGTATCGGCCCAGTCTGTCGCGCTAATGCGATAGAAGAGCGGCTTGTCCCAAACGGCCCGGACCTTTTGCGCGACTCGGAGGGGCCAGCGCAGACGGTTCTCGAGCGAGCCGCCATATTCATCCGTGCGGAGGTTCGACAGGGGGGAGAGGAACTGGTGGATTAAGTAGCCGTGTGCGCCGTGAATCTCGATAAAGTCGACTAAGGCGTGCAAGGTCAGTCATCGATGTGTGATGCTGATTAAGATTATTACTGACATCCTACTTGCTTGCAGCGCTCGGCCGCCTGTACGAACGCGTCCTCGGCGTGCTGCAGGTCCTCCTCTGTCATCGGCTTAGGTTTGTCATACTGGTTGGAGTACGGGATGTCGCTGGGACCGAGCACTGTGGGACAATGTCAGTCCGCGGCTGCCATCAAAAATGTCAACTCGAGCAAGAGCTACCATTGTCTGGCCAACCTCCTTCGTGCTTGCGAGCAACTTCCTTCGGAGCCCTGAAGGTACCCGCAAAATCGGAATGAACCCATGGTGCGTATGTAGAGGCCTTTCGCCCAGCATGGCCAAGTTGCACGCCAATGACGGTACCATGAGCATGTGCGAAGTCGACGATTCGCTTCAGAGGCGCGATCTGACTGTCTTTCCAGAGCCCCTACATCGCGCCGGGTCACTTCAGGGACTCGGAGCAACGGGAAAGCACACGTAGCTCTCACCACATCTTCCGGAGAGACACGACCTTCTGGGACGACAGAAGTAGCTTCTGCGCAAATGGCGCCCACTCCCCGAGTAGCGTATCCCTAGGTCAGTCTTTCAGCAGCGTATTCAGTCACCTTGTAAATTATCTGTACATACACCGAGTTCTACGAGATGCCAGTCGGTCGCATGGCCGTCATCAGCGCTGTATTGGCACATGGGCGACTGGTGAAAACAACTGTGATAAGAAAGCTGTTCAAGTGAAAAAGTTGCAACGAACATACTACGATGATCCTGTTCTTGGATGTCACGCCCCGGATGGTGATTGGTTTGAATAGGGTAGGAAGCTCAGCGTTCTGAGGGTACAGATCCTAGGCCGAGGAGAGCGATCAGCATGCAGTTGCCCCATACATATTCTACTTACCTTGGAGTAGGCAGTCCCGATTGGGGGATCATTGAGAGGAAAGAACTGGTCTGCGCCTGGTACACGTTTGTTGATGTAGGACATTGTGGGAGTAGTGGCGAGCAAACGGTGCAGTAATTAGTCTCTTTCGAATGCAGAGGAAGGTAGGAGATCCGCCGAGCCTGGTTCTCGTCACACTTAGCCTAAGCATATGCATTTCAAGGCAATTTATATAGCTCAGGTGGAACGAGAAACCGACACGGTGTTCACGAAGCCGCCTGAGAGCTCTGTTAAGTAGAATGCGCGGCAAACGCTCGTACACGATGACGACATTAGTTCCCATGTTGCTACCTTCGCTGAGAAGATTGGTAATATATCCTTGCCTCGAAGTATCTCTGCAATGGTACCCCGTTAATTCCGATTTTACCTCAATAAAGCCGATTCCATCCTCACTTCAACTAGCTAACAGCGTTGTGCAACTCACTAGTCATCGCGGATCTTTGAATTGCGTTCCTGGCGTCCTGCGAGGTTCAGCTGCACCTGGGTCACATCGTAATGTGTTCATCGCATTGTATTGACAGCAAGTGTTGACTTCCCCGCCATTGCAGAAGTATGCATGCCCACCGCCTGTTCACCCAAATTCTGGAAAGGGAGCAGCCTGGAGTCAGCCTATCGCAGGAGCCAGCATTATTTCGCGAAAATCGGAAGACCAGATGACAAAGACCGGTTTGTCGGAGAAGCGGAATCGCTGAAGGCCATGTATGCGGCAGCTCCAGGCCTGGTGCCGAGGCTGCTGAGCTGTGGTGTCATCGACAACGAAAATAAGGAACGCGATGTCGACGTCGGGCGACCTTATTTTCTATCGGAATACAAAGACATAGGGCCTCTCTCCAGCTCCGCTGCCAAGATCCTCGGAAAGCGAGTTGCTACGGAACTCCACGCGTACGAGAGTAAGGACAGATATGGCTTTCACGTCCCCACATATTGTGGTGCCACACGACAAGATAATGGGTGGTTCAACACATGGCCAGAATGTTTTGATGCACTCATCGGCGGCCTTGTGGAAAAGCTCAAGGCACAAGGGGGTTATGAAAGCCTCTGCGAGCAAGTAGAAAAGGTCAGGGAACGGTGAGTTTGCGAAGAGCACAAGCTACACAAAGGGGTCATGGTCCGCTTACGGATATTCACGCATACTCAGGGTGATCCCTGCTCTGTTAGATCCCCTCGACATTCTACCTGTACTACTTCATGGTGACTTATGGGTACGTAGCGACGCGAAAACGCGTGCAATATGGACTAATCCCACTCGTGTACTTCAGAGCGGCAACACAGGGATTGATCGATCCACTGGAGAACCCGTGATCTTCGACCCGTCATCGTACTACGGCCACAACGAGGCAGAGTACGTGTTAGTTACGTGAGAATCTGTAGGACCAATGCTCATTGACCGGCTTCTAGCTTAGCTATCGGCCGCATGTTTGGGGGGATCCCTGAGTCGTTCTATACTACATATCACGAGTACCTGCCCAAGTCCGAGCCGAGAGAAGAATATGGTCTCCGCCAGGATTTGTACCAGTTATATCACTACCTCAACCATACCGTTCTGTTTGGTGTATGCTCAGGTTCACTCTGCGCAACTTCTTGTCATGACTCACTTCTCCCAGGGCGGATACGCTGGCAGCGCTCGTAGCAAGATGGATAAGCTATTGAGAACTATTCCAGGCGCAGAGAAGTGATATGACTCGGAGGCCGCTGGTGTACGTCTACCTTTTTCGAGTTGGCCCTTTCAGCGACCGGAGGTCACATCTATTCACCCGCAGAGGATTATATGTAGGACGTGCACAAGTGTACAAGAAAGAGAATTGTCGATCCGATTTTCGCAAGCGCTTCGACAATACATGCAAAAACATTGTATAAAACCCTAAAACCACGAGCTCGCTAGGTTACACGTTCCTTTTCACTCTAGTACGTCAACCGTCGCACCTCTGGACGATCAGAAGTCAACACGTTGCCATGAGAAAGGAAACCCGGATGTAATGGCACTCACCTATCACTGCTGCTCGGACACCCTTTAGTAAGTCGAGCCGATGGGGCCGAACTTGATGTTCGAGAAGGTGACGGAGGCACTGGCGCTCTGCGACTCGACGGTGGTGGGGTCACCGGAGGTGGCCGAGCAAGGGCCACGGGACACACCAGGGTTGGTCGCGGGGACGTCAGTGGGGTAGTCTGCGTCGAGCCAGAGCATGCCAGCCTCATGGTCGTCCCAGATACTCATGACGAGAGCCATGCCCTGCTGGAACGCGTTGCCCATCTGGGCGAGGCCACCGAGGGACTCGAAGGTGTTGGTGTCGCCGAACGCCTGCTTCTGCGCGTTGCAGAAATCGTCGGTGATCGAGTCGAACGTGGCCATGCCGGGGATATTGGTCTTCGAGTTGGCGATGACCTTGCCGTTCTGGACGTAGAGGCGGCGGATCTCGGAGAGCGAGCCCGAGGTCTGGTTGTTGTTCGTGAGGAACTGGGTGACGACGGTGACCTTCTGGCGGGTGTCGACGGTGAGGCCGGGCCCGAGGAAGGTCTCGTTGCCCAAGCGCCACGAGTTGAAGTCGCAGCCGTCCTTGTCGCAGATGCCGTCGTAGCGTTCGTCGCCTTCGCCGCACTGGGTGCCCGAGCAACGGGTCTGACCCTGGACGCTGCAGACGTGGGGGGTGACGGCAGCACCGTTCATGTTGGCCTCCCAGACGTCCATCTCGTTACAGCAGGTACCGTATTGGCCAGTGCCAGAGTTGGGGTCGGACGCGGAGCCCGTCCAGCCAAGGATGTTAGCCTGCAACATGGATTGGTCAGAAGTGTATACAGCGACTGCATAGATCACGCGTACCTCGCCGTTGATGAACTTGATGTCTTGCGGGCACTGGGTGTCGCAGTAACCGGTACCGTACTTGGAGCCAGCCTTGTTGTTGGGGAAGCGGGACTTGCCACCGTCGGCGTCCATCTCGACGAAGTAGAGAGCGCCGTTGAGACCGCAAGGGAGGTTCGACATGTCGACGTCGAAAGTGAACTCCTGGTTCTTGAGCTGGAACAACTCGTAGGTGGTGTCGTCCGAGGAGAGGAGGTAGACACGGGAGCCGACGTTCTTCTGGGCCGACTGGGTCACGAACTTGAGCGTGAGCGAGTTGCCGTTGGTGGTGATACCGTAGGTGTCTGTGATTGGTTTCAGGACTCGTTAAGTAGAGTGCAAACTAAGCTCCTCAACATGCTTACTAGCGTAGTCGGCACCGTCGAGAGCGCAGTTCTGCGCGCAGGTAACGGGGTCGGGGCAGAGCGACTCGTCCCAGCTGTTGCCGGTGTAGCAGTTGGTGCTGCTGCTGGTGGCGTGGAGCCAGCGCCAGTTAGAGTCGAGCACGATGGAGCGCTGCTGCTGCTGGCAGTTGTTGGCCGACGTGCATTGCGATACCGTGAGGCGAGGGTGGGTCTCGGTCGTGAGGGTGCCGGCCTGCTGAGCGTAGGCGGTCGCCAAGAAGGAGAACGCGAGGAGAACCGCTGCGGGGAACATTTTGCCGTGAGGTATCGAGAGTGCGCTTGTCGAGTGTCGACTGTGAGCTCGATGCAGACTCTGGATGAACTTGACCGCTTTTATAGGCCTCAGGACGGCGGTTGGTACCTGAGTATGTTCATGAGGTTGACGGGTACGTGCGACTGGCCATCTGCAGAATCAGCCTGCATACCCGCCAGAGTTGGACACTCGTATGATTCTGCGTAGCATCGAAGGCGTTGAAACGCACAGGTGTGCATGCTGCCGAAGTGCATCCGGCTAGCTTGGCGCAGGAGCGGCGCTTCACTGCCGTTCTCCCGGGCCAGGCTGGACTGGTGATAATGAGTCAAACCGAGGAGGCACCGAACTTGGCGGGCAAATGGTCTCGAGGGGTTCGCGATATTTTTATCCTCATTTCAGAGCACGGAAACCTACCGACCGAGTCGAGCATGATGCTTCGTATGTGCCCGATAATTACCCCGACATCATCATCTTGGCTGGCATGTCAACGCTTCCTCGCGGTGCGATAGGTCGACGTCTGCAAACAAGATTATCAGCGGATAAAGGGCCACGCTGAATCGGAGCGGTAGAAGAGAGTTGCCTATTGCGTACGTCCAACGAGACTCTCTCGGACCAAGTAGAACAGCTTGGTGCCGAGGAAGGTCTGTCAAACCTACTTACAGGTCAGCATCGTCGCGCAGGTGACAGGTTCTCAATTAGGCAAGTGCAGTAGTTACCATAGCGTGACGCTGGTCGCACTTTTCAGCGACAGGAGCAGCCCAGTATCAATGAGGTTTCGGACATCTACGGTTCCGGACATCTACAATCCCTATGTAGGTGAGATGTAGACGCTAATTTTTCTATTACGAATACTTTCAGATTACAAGGCGGGAGGGCTTCGCCCGCCAGAATGCGCGGAGATCACCAATGGAAGTCCTTGAGTGAATCGACAGATGCCAGTGTCGCAGCTCAGCAGCCTCAGTTCAATGGCAAGAATCTGAAGAAGAACTACCGAGGACGGTCCGTCCCACACCATATGTACGTCGCCTCGGGACGGGCCACCAAAGCGATCAGCTTCGCCGGCCCACCTCGGTAGGCGCATGATCATTCTCGTGAGGGTGGCTCATCGACCCCCGGGAAGGGTGGTCTGGGATGTACATCCCCCGCCCACATCTCTGCTTCTGATGATGTTTTATCTCCTGATATTGAGACGGAGTAAGCAGAAGCTGTCCACCGGCCAACCTACCAACCACAGGACAGCCAGAGACTGCATGCTGTGGACAGCAGTGATGAGAATCGCTCAGCCATCGCAACGAAGTCACCCTTTTGGAGCTCCCGGAATAACCTCGATCACCATGCGCCCATAGTCTCAAACGGCCTCGATCGCCAGCTGGACGAAGATATCTTGTGCACGGAGTCAGATCCGCACGTTTCGTAGCCGTAGCTATAGAATGGAATCATCCGGGGTGGAGACTAAAATTGACTTACTTGCGCATGAAAGACATATGTAGCCCTCCCCAATTATTGTTCCCCCACCTTCTGCCTCCAGATCCGCGTTTGGATTCCGTCAAAACCGTGTGTCGGGTCGGCGAGCGGTAGGTAAATGCCAGCAATCGATCAGTACCAGTACGCATGGCTGCCTTGGATCAAGTAGATGTTACGATGCCCATCATCCAAGTTTCGGCAGTGTTGTGTGCTAGGTGCATCACACATTTGAAATAAACAAAGTGTCTGAAGAGAGCGACGTCGAAGGTGCTGACCCTGTTGACCCGAGCGCCCCGACGGAGGGCTGCTCGTGCGCTTATTGAATCTACCGGCGCTTACGGAGGTTGGTCAGCGGGAACGCGTCCGAGGACGAGCCCCAGCGTCGTTGGCCGCCATCCTCCACGTCCTCCTCTGCCTTCCCGCCTCCAGAAGCATCGTACCGTTCGACTCTGAATCAGCTTACGGGTCTGGCTGATTTACTGGGCTTGCGTGTCTTCTTCCCTTTCTGTCGTCTGAACCTCCTTCGTGTGGCTGCACTCATAGACCGCTAGTTCTGCACTCTTCTCAAAATGAGCCAAGGTAACCGCGCCCTTCGTCTGAGACGTTTGCTCGTGCTCATTATGCATACAAGATTTTGACGCTACGCAATCTTTCTACGATGACGGCTATGGCGTGGACGGCGAGGTGGAGGACGAGTACGAGGAGATCACCCAAGAAGACTGCTGGACGGTTATCACCAGCTTCTTCGACCAAAAGGGTCTCGTCAGACAACAACTAGACTCCTTCGATGAATTTGTGCAGAATACCATGCAGGAACTCGTGGACGAGAACTCGGATCTCATTCTCGACCAGGCGGACCAACATACGGGACACGACGGGGATGTAACGCGTCGCTATGAGATCAAATTCGGGCAAATCTATCTTTCGAGGCCAACGGTTACCGAGGCGGATGGTGCTGTAGTCCCTGTGTTCCCACAAGAAGCGCGTTTGCGTAACCTCACGTACTCCGCGCCACTCTACATTGAAATGAAGAAGAGGATCCTGATTGGGAGAGAGGACCAGGAAGGGAGCGGGGACATGGTCTGGGAGGTGCAGCGGGACGATGACCCTGAAGACACAAGGAAGGTGTGGATAGGGAAGGTGGGTCATATCGTGGCTAAGGTGCTCGTACTTCGCTTCACGTTCTCCCGACTAGGTGCCCATCATGTTGCGTTCCACCTACTGCATCCTCCACGAATTGGGAGACAAGGAGCTCTTCGATCTCAACGAGTGCCCTTACGATTCTGGAGGGTACTTCATCATTAACGGGTCTGAGAAGGTGCTCATTGCCCAGGAGCGCATGGCGACGAACCACGTATATGTCTTCGCTAAGGCGCAGCCGTCCCCGATCAGCTTCCTCGCGGAAATCCGCAGTGCAGTAGAGAAGGGGGGGAAGACCATTAGTCAGTTCCAGGTGAAGCTGTACCACAGGAGCCAAGAACGTTCGGTATGTTGCGCAGAGTGCATGCGACGGCTTCGAATGCCGTTCTCATCATCTTCCCCCAGTTAGGGAACGTTATGAAGGCCACGATCCCCTACATCAAAGTTGACATACCTATCTGGGTCGTCTTCCGCGCTCTTGGAGTCATATCCGACCGCGATATCCTCGAGCATATCTGCTACGATATGCAAGACAACCAGATGCTGGAGATGCTGAAGCCTTGCATTGACGAAGGTTTCGTCATTCAAGATCGTGAGGTCAGTCTGCATGTCTCATGAACAATCTGAATCGAATGCTAAGCGTCTTGGTATAGATTGCGCTGGACTACATCGGTAACCGTGGAACGACAACCGGTCTCAATCGTGAACGTCGTTTACGCTATGCCCAGGAGATCCTGCAGAAGGAGATGTTACCACACGTCTCCATGGCCGAAGGTTCCGAGTCTAAGAAGGCGTACTTCTTCGGCTACATGATTCATCGTCTACTCCTCGCCGCTCTCGAGCGCAGAGACCTCGACGACCGTGATCACTTCGGCAAAAAGCGTCTCGATCTCGCAGGCCCTCTTCTGGCGAATCTGTTCCGCATGCTGTTCCGCAAGCTCACCAAGGATGTTTACCGCTATCTCCAAAAGGTAACACACTTTCTTCAATCGGGCAGGGCAAGCCCTCACCATATTGTTGTAGTGTGTCGAGACGCACAAGGAGTTCAACATTTCGCTCGCCGTCAAGCATAACACCATCACGAATGGTCTCAAATATTCGCTTGCCACAGGCAACTGGGGAGACCAGAAGAAGTCGATGAGCTCGAAGGCTGGCGTATCGCAGGTGCTCAATCGCTACACCTATGCATCGACACTTTCTCACTTGCGACGCTGCAACACTCCGCTTGGTCGCGAGGGCAAGATCGCGAAACCCCGTCAGCTGCACAATACTCACTGGGGTATGGTCTGCCCCGCCGAGACGCCAGAAGGACAAGCCTGTGGTCTCGTCAAGAACCTGTCGCTCATGTCGTGTATATCCGTCGGTACCCTCTCTGCGCCCGTCATTGAGTTCTTAGAGGAGTGGGGTTTGGAATCTTTGGAGGAGAACGCTCACGCCTCAACGCCGTGCACGAAGGTGTTCGTCAACGGTGTTTGGATGGGTGTCCACCGAGACCCTGTGAAGCTCGTTAGCACTCTCCGGAAGCTTCGTCGAAAAGACGACATCAACTGCGAAGTGTCTGTCGTCCGCGACATCCGAGAGCGCGAGCTCCGTCTCTACACGGATGCTGGCCGTGTCTGTCGACCACTCTTCATCGTCGAGAATCAGCAGCTCCTCATCCAGAAGAAGCACATCGAGAGCCTGGTCCGTGCCAAGGACGACCCGACGTTCAACTACAATTGGGACAGCCTGCTCAAGGACGGTGTCATCGAGCTACTGGATGCTGAGGAAGAGGAGACGGTCATGATCTGCATGACACCGGAAGACTTGGAAAACTCGAGGCTGCAGGCTGCCGGTATTGACCCACATGCAGACGAGGAAGAAGACCCTTCGGCTCGCTTGAAGGCGCCGACATCAGCTCATACATGGACGCATTGCGAGATTCACCCGAGTATGATTTTGGGTGTCTGTGCCAGTATCATCCCCTTCCCTGACCACAACCAGGTAAGGCACTTCGCACCTTGAGTATGAAAGCCTATTTATATGCTAATGCGCCCCCCCACAGTCGCCGCGTAACACGTACCAGTCTGCCATGGGCAAACAGGCCATGGGTATCTTCCTCACGAACTTCCTCATTCGTATGGACACGATGGCGAACATCCTCTACTACCCCCAGAAGCCGCTCGCGACAACGCGTTCTATGGAATACCTGCGCTTCCGAGAGCTTCCCGCAGGTCAGAACGCCATCGTTGCCATTCTCTGCTACAGCGGCTACAACCAGGAAGATTCCGTCATCATGAACCAGAGCTCTATCGACCGAGGTTTGTTCCGCAGTATCTACTACCGAAGCTACATGGACTTGGAGAAGAAGAGCGGTGTCCAGCAGCTGGAGGAGTTCGAGAAGCCCACTCGCGACACGACGCTGCGTATGAAGCATGGTACGTACGACAAGCTTGAGGACGATGGTCTCATCGCGCCCGGCACAAATGTCAATGGCGAAGATATCATCATCGGCAAGACTGCCCCCATCCCGCCAGACAGTGAGGAACTCGGCCAGCGGACACGTACACATACGAAGCGCGACGTCTCCACGCCGCTCAAGAGCACGGAACAGGGTATCGTCGATCAGGTACTCATCACAACGAACGCCGAGGGCCAGAAGTTCGTCAAGATCCGTGTACGCTCTACACGTATCCCGCAGATTGGTGACAAGTTCGCCTCTCGTCACGGTCAGAAGGGTACCATCGGTATCACCTACCGCCAGGAGGACATGCCGTTCACCGCGGAGGGTATCACGCCCGACATCATCATTAACCCCCACGCCATCCCCTCCCGTATGACCATCGGCCACTTGGTCGAGTGCCTACTCTCCAAGCTCGCGACGCTCATCGGAAACGAGGGCGACGCAACGCCGTTCACCGACCTCACCGTGGAGTCCGTCTCTCAGTACCTGCGCCAGAAGGGCTACCAGTCCCGAGGTTTGGAGGTTATGTACCACGGACACACCGGGCGTAAGCTCCAGGCGCAAGTCTACCTCGGGCCAACTTACTACCAACGTCTGAAACATATGGTGGACGATAAGATCCACTCGCGTGCGCGTGGGCCGGTCCAGATTCTCACGCGCCAGCCCGTCGAAGGTCGTAGTCGTGACGGGGGTCTGCGGTTCGGAGAGATGGAGCGTGATTGTATGATTTCGCATGGTGTAGCGGCCTTCCTGAAGGAGCGTTTGTTCGAGGCTAGCGACGCTTACCGACTGCATGTCTGTGACATGTACGTTTGTTTGCTCTTGTATTCGCTTATGCCCCCCGTTGCTGACATTGCGCTCCGCAGTTGTGGCCTCACGGCTATTGCCAACCTCGTGAGTACTGCAGCCTCAACTGTTCATGTACCTGCTAATTAATCGCCTCTACAGAAAAAGCAAACGTTCGAGTGTCGAGCGTGCAAGAACAAGACTGCTTGTTCACAGATTTACATTCCTTATGCCGCGAAGCTGCTCTTCCAGGTGAGCCTCGTGCTCTTGAGATCTGTACCCATCGACTTACAACAATGTTTTCTAGGAATTGCAATCTATGAACATCGCAGCACGGTTGTACACGACGTCGACGGGACGAATTCGGGACTAATGAATGCATGGACTCTTCCGTCATCCCAGTCAGGATAGAGACGATATGCGTGTACTCTACATATGCTTTATTAGATATGGATCCATAAGTGTAACTAATCGTCCCTCATCAACCCCTGCCTCTCGTGCTCTGCGCCATCGTGCTGTTCTACTCGACGCTTTTTCGGCGTGGTAGCGTCATCCTCGTCTGCATCCTCGTCACCGATCTCGAACACAACGGCGTCCTCGCCGACGCCGCGGCCCACAAGCGTAGCAGCATCGTCGTCCTCCTTGAAGCCGGGTTCGCCCCGACGCTCCAGAGCTTCGAGGTCGTAGTCCTCTGCATCGGCTTCGTCTTGTGCGAGTTCGTCGAACATCGCTAGCGTAGAGGGAGAAATCGAGGTTAGTACGGACACGTATGCGTAACGAACGAAAGACATATCTTCTGTTGTTCGGCGAAGGGCGCCACAAGTACGCGATCGCGACGAAGTCAACGAGGTAGAGGAGGGCCAGCCAGCCGTCCAACAGCCACCACTGGGACCTCCACGATTTCGAGCCATAGTCTGATCTCGGGTTAGGACAGGCTGCTTCTGTGAAGATGTCGGAGAGACCTACCTTCGGCGAGACGCCCTGAGAATGTCATAGTCGAAACAACGAAGAATATGGCGATGACAACAACGGTCATCAAGAGGATGCGATGCAGCCAGGTGAACATAGACAGCTTGTAGTGCTGCTTCCTGGAGGCGAGCTGCGCGATGGTTGCTAGACGTTTGACGCACCGTCAAGTGACGGGCATGTCAGAGAATGAGATGGACGGACGCACCATTTAGGGAGTAGATGATCCAGAGAAGGAAACCGCTGAGAGTGAGAGCTAAAGGAATGACGAAGAGGAGAAGGACGAATGCAGAGCTGGACTCAAGCTCCAACTCGACGATGCCGACTGCATAGAGGACTGAAACAGCTTGTCAGCCAGAAGTCCCCAGGGAGCGCAATGTTCCAAACAGACCTCCGAAGATGAAGTGTGCGCCTGCCAAGATTTGGCACCTAAGCATAACGCGACCCAGAGACTCTTTAACGACGCTCAGACCAAGAGAGACAATCAAGAGCAAGAAGAAAGAGAGTGCGTTGCGACCTGCGTCGAGGATGGCCACTACGCATGAAGTGAGCAGATTGTCAGGAAGTCGACCGTAGCAAGACCGGACTGACCGACGATGAGGAACACGGTGGACGCTGTCCCTTCTCCGTGTGCATTCAGGTAGCGATAGTAGGCTAGCAGGACATCGGTCAATTGGAGCTTGCATACAGTGAATGGACGCAGCCTACCCCAGTTTGCGAGCATTTCAATTATCAAGAAACCCAGAAGACCGGACAGGTAATACTGTGGAGCAATGAGCTGGCCGGCCAAAGACCCATTCAGGAGTCTGCACAGACCTGTATGGGTAGCAAGTCCTGTACATTCTGATAGCAGAGCCAGCCCCAAGCGATTGCCAGCGTGGAGTACACGAGGAACATTGCAAAGTAGAACTATGGAGAAACAATAAGCATATGCACCCAGATCTGTGGTTGTACGTGCATACGTTGACTTTGGGGTAGTCAGAGGCAGGAAGTTTGCCGTCAAAGGTATTCCGGAAGAGTACAGAGCCGGTGTATGTGGGGTGGTAGGGAACATCAGTCTCCGCTTGTCTTGGGGAGTTGCCAGCGGGCATGACAGTTATAGGAACCACAGCTAGAGAGTGGTGAGCGGGAGGGTGCACGCATGCTGAATTGCGTACGCACCAACGCAGTAGTAACCTGTCTTCCTGACAAGATACTGAATAGGCTCCTTGTAAACAAGGATGGCCGTAGGGCTCGGATTCAGAGCTGCGCCGTTCTGCCGAGCATGCAGTTCGGTATCCCTCCGCCAGGGCGATGTGTAATTCGCGTCTTCTTCAGAGACCTCCGGATTTCCAGCGGGATTGTTCCAGAAGCCGCCGACAGACACCTCTGATCCAACTTCGGCGGAGTTGTTGGCCTGGGAGAAGCTTACTCGCGCTGACCAGAAGCTGGTCTCGTTGATGGACTTGCCACTTGGTAGGTTAATGATGAAGCGACCCTCCTCGGACGCGTCACAGAAGCCAGCCTTCCTGGCATTGGACGTGCAGACATAGGTCTTCTGCTACGTTTTGCACGCTTAGGAGATATGCTGCGGAGAGCAGGAGTGTACTTACAGGCAAGTCCTCGTCCGTCGACGTGTCTTTTCCCAGATAACTTACATCCCCCCATTCGTATATGACAGTGGCGAGCTGGCCTTGTGAGGACGAACCGAAAGTTACTAGTATGATTAAGCTCAGTGGGATGTATGTAGGTAGCGGGGAGTCCAGCCACACCGTTAATATACGTGTTCTTGCCTCCCCACATGCCGGAACATATCTGGCGGTCATAGTCGGTGTCGGATATTGGAACTTCGTAGGCAGCGGCGGTCGAGGCAGCAAGAAGCAAGGAGCAGAACGGGAGCCATGACCATCTGCAGACCATGGCGGTCGGTGTGGAAAGAGAAGGAGAGTGTTGACGATTGTTGACCGAGAGACGCGTGTGGTATGTACTGGCCTGCGCTGTGTCGCGCCTTGCAAGTCTGACGTCGCGCTTGCCTGTCGCACAAGCGACCCGCTCGGCGCACCTCCACAGCGTCTCGGCTTGCCCGTCTCTGTCATTGCGCAGCCCGCGCTCCTTCTCTCCGCGTCCTCCACCCCGTCTACGACATGCTCGGCGACGAAGAGGACGTCTTCGACAGCGTCACCTGGGAGACCCCGACCGCCCCTGTGACATATGAGGGCGGCTCCTCCGCCCCTGCCGGCCCCGGGTTCAGGCAAAGCACGTCTGAGAGCGAGGATGGTCGCGGGCCACACGACCCAAAGTGGGAAGGATACCTCATTACGAGCGTGAAGGATCCCGTCAAGGAGCTCGCGGAGACGAAGGACGCCTACGTCTCGTATCTTGTGTCTGCGAAGGTGCGCACTGAATTGGTCTGTGTCATTGTTTCAATGCTCACAAGGGGAGTAGACCAACCTCCCTATATTCTCCACCCCTAATCCTTCGGCGAGGCGACGATTCCAAGACTTCGTCTTCTTGCGGTCGCACCTGGCCAAGGATTTCCCTGCATGTGTCGTCCCGCCATTGCCGGACAAGCACAGACTTGGTTCGTGTCTCATATGAACATGACGATTCGTATATCAATAAGAGGAATATACAGAATATGTCACCGGGGACAGGTTCAGCCCAGAATTCATGGAGCGGCGACGCTCAGAGTGAGTATCTCATGTCGCGCTGTTCCTGGGATGTTCTCTTACCGTATACAGTCTACACCGCTTCCTCCAACGCCTCGCGCGCCACCCCACCCTCCAGAGGAGTACGCTACTTCGTGCCTTCTTTGAGTCGACAGAATGGGTAGGCCGTTCGCCCCCTGCCATATTGCTCCGCTGCTAATGGCACCTCAGCATGTCATTATGCACCAGCATGTCGCGCACCCCCCGGTCCCCGAGCAGTCCTCGGGCGTGATCGACAGCATCTCGGACAGCCTTCTCAACGCCTTCTCGCGCGTGCGCAAGCCTGACGAGCGTTTCCTCGCCATGCGCGAGCACGTCGACAAGTTCGAGGAGGGCATCTCGCTCTCCGAGCGCCTGTTCACGCGCGTCCGGAACCGCACCAACGGTGAGTATCCTCCCCTCGCGTGTGCGTGCGGGAGTATCTGAGGCTGAAGGAGACGGGAACCTGGAACCGGGTGAAGATCTCACGGGGGACTACCACGACCTCGCCGTCGCGGTGCAAGGCCTCGGCTTCCTTGAGTCAGGCATTACCGACCCGCTCAACCACTTCTCGAATACGCTCCTGGAGTTCTCTGCGTTGTTGCGTCACACGGTATGTCGCTTTTTGTCTTGAGCGCCGATTCGGTTGCTGAACTGACCACGGCATGGCACTCCTGTAGACACAAATGACTACTGATCCCTTCCTCGTTCATCTGCACGCCTTGCTCCAATACTCGCATGCGAACCGCGCAGTATTGAAGCTTCGGGACCAGAAGCAGATGGACTTCGAGGAGCTCTCGGAGTACCTCTCGCAGGTCACTGCGGAGCGAGACCGCCTCGCCGCGGTGATCAGCGGTCGCGCAGGGAGCACGGGGCTCGGATTGGGGGCGTACATCAGGGACAGGGTCGATGCAATCCGCGGCGCGGACGATGACAGAACAAGGGTCGAGCGTATGCGCAAATTGGATACGAAGATCAAGGAGGTAAGGGCGCATGCGTTCTCGTCCTCCCCGTGTGCTGAACGGGGCGAACCGGTGCGTAGCTGCAAGACGCTGTCCAGACCGCGCACGAGACCTCGGACGCATTCAGCGACGAGACGCTCCGCGAGCAAACGATCTTCCAGCGCGCCAAGGAGGCCGAGATGAAGGAGATGTTCGGGAACTACGCCGACGGTCAGATCGAGTTCTATAAGGCGGTACGTCCAAGTCTGTGCCCGCATTGTGAGACCCCTTGCTTATGTTGCTCTATATTAGGCTATGGAGGAGTGGGACAGGATCATACCTATTATTCAGCGTATACGAGTGGACGTCTAATGATGTGGACTCTTGGCTGGGTTATGCCCGTTGTACTATAGTTTGCATTTCTGCGCGCTAACGCCGAGGTTTCCCATGCATTCATGATACCTAGAGCTTGTCGAGCTTTCATCCAGCTGCTTTCTCCTTTCCCTTCGCTTGGGGCTCTTTCTCGAGATTCAACTTGTGTTCCGACTCTTGTACTGCCAGTGCTAACTAATTCACCATCACGGTCATGTCAGTCAGGGCAAAGGGAGCGACGTGTGAACACGCACATTGATGATCCCGGTGTCGACAGCGCGTACCATGTGGAGCTCTGCTGTTTCAGAAACAGCAGACGTGGTATGCTGACTTGCCCCAGGGATCCAAGGCGGAGGATCCTGGAAGGAAGGTAAGTTGACTTGGACAGGCGTCTGGGGGCTCGTGTTAGTCCGGGACATACTTTGCCGTGACTCGCGGAAGGTGCCTTGTCGTCCTGCAGCTCTAGGAGAATCGCGAAGGAGATATCTGTGTTCACACGAAGCGTTCGGCGACACAATGAGAATTGTTGAATGAATGGGTGAGATTACCGTCGAGATGCATTTGGCCGAGCTGCGCCTCGATCATGTTGAGTTTGACGAGAGCCGAGCGGAAGTACTGGCCCATGGCGGCTATCGAGATTGCCCCCTCGACGCTGGTAGCAGTTCGTCAGCGGGCCGACCGCGTGTCGACAACTGCTATGAATGACCTCGTGTCTTTGTTGTAGGACTCAATTTCGAGCGTGTTGCGGACGGCGAAGATGAAGCGCTCGAGAGGTTGCTCTTGGGCGCTTTTAATGACCACAACAACCTTGTCGACATGGCCCTGGGCGAGAATCAGGGCCGAAGCGAAAGCAGATGTTTGTTTATCTCATACGAGGGCGAGCTCGTCGCTGATGGCCTTGACAGCACCAGCGATATACTCGTTAAGGGCTGGATGGCGCGATTGGAAAACGGGGGCATCGTATTTCCTCCTGCGTACAAAGAGTTCGGCGGGGTAGACTTGGCGGACATAGAGAATGGTATGTATTGCCACCTCAACTGCGCGAAGAAAACGTCAGTTAGAGTGTTGCGAGACGGGGACTGTCGGAGTGGACTGACTGAACTCTGCAGTCCCGCGGACGGCTTCTGCGAGACAAGTCAAGAATGAGGCCTGTACTCTGGCAGACACACATCTCGAGCTCACGGTTAAAAGTCAATGGCAATGCGGAAGCCATGCATCATACGGCTAGTCGTGGTCGAGGAGAGGACGAGTCGCGTCGAGTCGCGGCTGGGAGCGCGGCCACGTGGGCGGGTAACGCTCCACATGTGGCAGACTCGGAGCCGGGGTTGGGAGTAGGTTCAAGCTGAGGTTCCGTAACGCAGCCCACCTCCCGGTGATGTCATTCTCAGAGTTGCTCGCCATGCAAGGCTGTCAGCGGGTTCGCACACACTGTCTGCCCTCTCTGCCACCACTCAACACGCGCCCCGTCTGTCTCCGTCCGTCATGTCCTCCGTTCAAGACCATCATGCCTCCCTGAGTCTCTCCGAAGAAGACGAGTTCCCTAACGAACCTGGCTCTAGCAAACAGCCAGGAATTAAGCGTGGCACCAGAGGTACGTACCCGTACCATCTTTGTCCCGCTCCGTGCCTGACGCCTTCCACGCCCCCAGCCTGTGATAGGTGCAGAAGGATCAAAAGCAAGTGCGAACCTGGTTCAGACGATAGGTGTAAGAATTGTGAAGTCGCAAATACACGTGAGTCTTGCGCTGCGACAACCTTATCCATTTTTGCTGACACAAGATCGACCCGAAGCCTGTACATTCCAAGGTATGCTCCAGCTCCCCTTTTGGCGCATGCTTCCGACGCCGGATCCTGAAGCACACCTGCAGGACCTAGCTTCAAGCGAGGGCCTCCAAAGGGCTACATCCACTCCATCGAACAGCGATGGCATCAGGTCGAATGCATTCTCGCCACCATCATGGAGTCGCCTCGCGCCCAGGACATCATTGCCGATCTCCGTAACGACCCCTTCGCCAGCGCGATTCTTGACCGTGTCCAGGCTGGGCCATACGTTCGTTTCACATTGATTTCCGTCCATCGTCCACCTAACCGCATCTCTAGGGCCTAAGGAATCGGATGCAACATGGGCAGCCGACCAGCGAAAGCTTCTACTCGTCCCTCATAGAAGTACCCGAACATACACCTCTACGAGACGATAGACGTTCCCGCCGACAATCTCGTGTATCGCGAGAAATTGTCTCTCAAGGTACATAGGTTCCCTTCACACTCCACATGCACCTCTCCTGACTGACTTCCGAAGATCCGACTGGGTCCGCCACCCCTACGAGAGAGTGGCAAGAGCATCTGGCTCGCAGACTGGCGCAAAGCAATCAGTGGGCGTACATATCGACTCCCGTCAGCCCCATCTCTCGGTCGTCTTCGTCTACTGGAGGTGGGGTAGCCGACTATTCGAGGACGCGGAGGAGACTCGACAATCCTTACGCAAGGCCCATCCAGCAACAGAATTGGGACGGCTTGTATACTCTGCCCGATGCTACGCGTACGCCTTCGGTACATGTTGTAGCCATATGAGATTCGCTGACCTCTCATTAGCGCCGTCAGCTGACGTCGGAGACATAGAAGAGACCGCTGAGGCGTTTGGTCATCTCTCTGTGGATGAGAACAAAGAGGTTCGTCCTTCCGTATGTGAATGAAACGCTGTCCTGACATGAGCCCCTTCTTCAGTTCCGTTATCATGGTCCCGCGTCCGGACTTCCGTTGCTCGCGCAGAGCAGTACTAGGAAAGATAGTGACAATCAGCAAATCCAGAGGATCTGGTGCGTCCACGATTCCAGCTACGTGCGCCACCACTGAGGTCTGCTTTTCGTTCAGGAAGTTCACGGGAAGCGAGAATCCGCAACAGGATCCTTTACATGAAGAGGACGACGTCGAGGTTGAGATGCCTTCTCCCGAGACGCAGAAATATCTTCTTGAACTCTATTTTGCATACGTTCACCCGTTCTTCCCGGTCATTCACAAGCAAGATTTCTTGCAGAACTATCATGCCAGGTATGCTATTCCGTCGTTGTTGCACTGCTCCCTTGTGCAGGTAGCTTTACCTGTCCAACGAGTTCGTGCCGGCGTAATCGCTATATATGTATAGATTGAAACTGACGGCGATGTTTGGATCAGCGTTCTCGACGCTCCAGCGGCGATCCAGTCGGGCAATCCACTTATCCGCACACCGATGCAACGCCCTTGCAAGATGTTGCTGCTTGCCATGTTCGCGATTGCGGCACGGTACTCGAGCAGAAGCGAATACCAGCCAACGCGAGGCGACAACCTCTCGTTTGCTGGTCAACAATATGCTCAGGATGCACACAAACTGCTCGGTAAGCACGTCATATGCTGCGCCATTACCACTGCTTGGCTCATGCCGTCATAGACCGGAAATATCAGAGTAGTCGGCCATCGACTTGTCAGGCGCTCCTACTATTGGCGATCCGCGAATTTGGCATGGGTGCGTACAATGCTAGGCGGTTTTGTGATATGTTCACGAACACGATAACAGGCGCAATGGACAAGGGTTGGTTGTACAGTGGTGAGTCCATTCCTCGCCGTACCGCTTCGTCGAATGCTCTATGTGTTAATCTGACATGAGCGCAGGCATGGCATTACGCATGGTACGTCCTTCCTCAGTGCAACGTAGTCCACCTGAAGTTCACGTTCTGTAGGCCATCGATCTAGGTATGAACCGCAATGCCGACAACTGGACGACCGACGGCAAGCAATATGTATTCACGGAGGTCGAGAAGCAAATACGCAAGCACATTTGGTGGTCTTGTTGCATCTCGGACAAGTGGGTCGACTCTGGCTCCCCACTTATCGCTCTCGCAGGTCCTGACTCTCATTGTAGATTGTCTGCTGTATGGCTGGGAAGGCCCATCACTTTCCGCGCGAACGACTATTCCACGCCGCTCCTCGACGTCAATGAGGTCTGTATATGCTTCACTCGAGCCTTGTATTCTCTGTCTCACCGTTATATTTTGCATAGAATGATGAGAATGAGTTGTGGCAGCCCTATCCTCCAGGAGTCCTCCCCGATTTTATTCCGCGAGAAGCCAAGTTGATGACGACGTTCAGAGAAGCTTGCCGTTTATGTATGTTCTATTCGTATATGCATGTTCCTTCCACTGACATTCAACAGCTATAATTATCACCGATATCATGGACAAGATCTATCCCGTCCAAGTCTCGTCAAACACACCTCGACGAGTCCTCTTCGAGGAGCTTGAGTCCCGTCTTAACAAGTGGTTAATCGAACTACCAGACGATCTCCGCTATCCCTCAAATGACAGGCACGCCACCGTACTGCCTCATGTTCTCATGTTGCACATCGAGTATTACACAGCGGTCCTGCTGCTTCACCGTGCTTTGTACGCACATTTCAGTTTGTCTCCGGTTGTGCTACTTGCTGATTATTTCCGTCTATAGCCTGCCCCCGTACGACGCGTGAGCCAGTCTGCAGTCCTATCCAGCAGTTTCTTACGACCTCTAATAGGAGCGCGCACGAAACCAACCTACAAATCGACCCGTTAGCTCTCAAAGCATTCGATGTATGCGCGGGAGCGGCTGTACATATGAGCTCCATGAGTGAGTCCTGCCCACATATCTCGTGGATCTCGGTGTCGCTAACGGGGATCACAGCGGAGACGTACAGCAATCGGTTTGGGCTCGAGAGGGCTCCTCCATTCCTGTGTATTTTTCTTCAGAGTGCTGGGTATGTTCGTCAAATCTTCTCGTCTGTTTCGTCTCATGCTGACGAGCTACACTCCTTGGCTAGCATCATGCATGTTGTTGCTCGTACGTAGCGCAGTCACTAGGCGATTGGTTGTGCTGCTAACATTATCTCGTGGCGAAGTGGGGCGACGTCCCTCAGATCCTCAGGCATCCATTGGTCTCACAAGGTGTATCGAGGCGTGCAAACAGATCGAGGTTAGCCCCCAATTTCTCTCGCATATCTGCCTAGCGTCTCATCGTCGTAACACAGAGAACCTGGCCGACGGCCACTCGTCTACGTACATTGTTGGAGGGCGCGAAAGTCCACTTGGACAAATCGAAGTACCCCTCGAATGTCCATCGACACAAACGCAGCATCGAGGACGCTGTGGGCGGCTACAGCAATTCCGACGCGCAAGATGCGTATGTCTTGCCGCCCTTGGAAGGCTACCGCGGTACTGCGAACATGGGCAATGATTGGGATACCCAACAAGCACGTATGGCCGCGCATTCATCAGGGGTGGCTGGGCCAAGCACGCAGGCGTCGACTTCCTTCTACCCAGGCTATCAGTGGTGGCCAAGCCAGCTGACCATGGCAATGACAGCTCCTGTGGAGGGACCTCCCGTGAGTGCTCCCATGTCGTACGGCACCCTGCCCAGCTACACCCCGCATCCTCCTACGTCGATCCCAGCGTCGTCCCACGCTCAGCTTCCGCAGAGCATGCAGGGGCCGTTCACGTTCAATCAAGGCCAAATGTCGCAGGACTTCGTTCAGGGTGTCAGCTACCCATCCTTCAATTTCGACCGCTACGCACCGTCGCAGCCGGGGGTCGGGCGGCCGCCTGACCCCGCCCTTCCTCAATGACTATATGGTAGTTCGCAATGGGTTAGTTAGTTCGATAGTAGTCCCGCCTTGACCTCCCCTGGTGTCGCCATATGTCGCTTCTAGTGTATCTATTTCCCAGATACCACCTTCTTGTATCCCCGAGGCCTCCGCCTGTATCTGTACTCTCACCAGACTTGTAATGTACCTCCTGAGTCCTTGTGTATTGTCGTGTATGTGAGCCTGCGATAGGGTTGATCGTAGTCACGTGGTACTCTAGATATGGCACTAATACTACTGAGACGATATGTTATGTGCTAGTATGTACGCATCTACGTGAACCCACAAAGCAATCGTTCCTCGGGTGTTCCTCATTAGCCACCCATCATGACACTATTTCACAGCTTCAGCCGCTTGCCGGCGAGCACGCCGTTGGGCCCTCCATCTGGGCCCATACTTGATCAGAATCCAGTAGGTCGGCGAGAAGACGATACAGATGCCAGAAAGAAGGACGTATGTCCACCCGGTCCCAAGACGCTTCAGAATGAGGTCAATCACAGAAACATACACAGCACCCAGGCTGCAGCGGACCAGGTTGTTCTGCGGTTTCCGGTCAGTACAAGACGACATATGTTAGATGATCAGGACGGCGTACGCATGCCGTGATAGCAGAGCCGTGCTGTGGCGCTAGGTCGATGATGAGTGTTTGAGCACCGTTCATAAGGGACACGGTGACCCAGCCGACTAAGCCAGAAGTCAGAACAGAACCGTCGCAGTGGGACGACGGTAGAGCACTCACTGATGATCTGCAGAATGAGAGGACCCGCGATGTTGACAGAGGAATGCAGGCACCAGCCGTAACCGATGCAGGCGATCACGAAGACGGCGAAGAAGGCAGGTACCGTCCGAAGGCGAGCGTACTCAATGGGAAAGTATTCGTCCTTGGTGGCATCCGCAGCGTTCAGCTTGTTCTCGGGATCCTGCTCCATTTTACGGATGATCTTCCTCTTCACGCGCTGGTAGTCTGCGTCGAGCAACTTGCCCATAGCAACCCCACCGACGAGCATGCCGCCGCCGATGCCGAGAAAGCAGAGCCCGGCGTCCGTCTCGTTCAGGAACGGGTAGGTATCCAGGAAGAGCGTCGAGATGGTCGCGGTGACGGCATAGAACTCTGAGTATACGAGCGCGTTGAAGAAGAGTATGAGCACCACGTCGGGGTAGAGGAACAGTAGAAGTGGGTTCGCGAAGCCCCTGCGAGACCCTCTAGTTGAGTAGTCCGGCTCCTGCTTCTTCCTTCCGATGATCGGGATGATGGGCATGTACGCCTTCGGTGGAGGTACACTTCCATCGCCACAAATAGCACGAAGCGTCTCCGGAAGCAAGCTGGCTCTCCTTTCAGTTAAGCGTGTGTCACTGGAGGGGAAACGACTTACAGAATCATAACCACCGCGCAGACTGCGGAGGAGATCATCAAGAACCAGAAGATAGACCTGAGAGCGGAAGATGAGCTTTGTAAGAGAGCCCGTAACGCGTGTGATAGAGGACCATACCTCCATCCCAGTTTATCTGCCAGGACACCACCCAGTACCGGACCCACACATGGACCAACCATCGGGCCGATGTTCCACATTCCAAAGTAGCTGCCCCGTTCCGCCGGCGCAGCAATGTCCGCAATTACTCCTGCGCCTGTTGTGGTCTAGATCAACTTACTTTTCACAGACCACGCTGGCTACGAGCCAAAGACTCACCGAGTGCTATTGTGCTGGCAGACCCCAGTGCCTGCAAGCACCGGAGGAGCATGAGACCCCAGTAGGCGTCTGTGGGCACGAGCGCGAGTCCGACACATGATAACGATAGTACGATCATGCAACCAACGAACATCGGACGTCTTCCCCATCGGTCAGACATGGTGCCCCAAAGCATGGGTGCTATTGAGGGAAGCGTGCGTGAACGGTGAACGAGCACCAGGCAGTAGCAGACGGTACCCACAGATTCCTTGGACGACCATGTATACGGTGACGGTCAAGTTGATCAACTCTACAGGTTCCTTGAAAGCTGCAGCAATGGTAGGTATCGCTGGGAAGTAGATGTTCGCCGTCAGAGGGCTGCAGAGAACTGAGTCAGCTCGGGATTTACAGAAGGATTGTAGCAAGACATTACCTGAACATAGCGGCAAATGCGGTCACCGCAACAATAAACCATTTCTCCTTAGCGTTATAGATGCTATAGGGTTTGGATGTTGGATGTGGAATATGCGGTGACGGTTTTTCCTCGGCACCTAGATGCGTCGATGTGAGTTTGGTCCGAGATATAGCGGTAACAGATGCTAGTAGACATACCAGATGCTTTGTTATCCTCTCGGTCTGGGAAAGGTGAGTCGTGGATGGTTGTATGATCGTCAAGGTCGTTCTGTAGTCCGCTTTTTAACCTAGGCTGAGGCGTTTGCTCAGCAGCTGTCGTCATCTAGGCGTTAATGGGTGAGGAGGAGTGCTCTCAAGCCCTGGTCATGAGGGTATGGGAGCAAAGCGGCTTCGACAAATAAGAAGGCTCTTATGAGTGCCCTGGGCCGCTCATGAGAGCGTATTCTCTCACAGAGAACACATGCCGTATGTCATCGACTCGCGAACTACGTGCCGCCTATATCGGGACCCAACACAACCCTCGGCCGTCGGCTTCTCCCTCCGATCGTGACAGCGCCTTTCCTTCCTAGGTTCGGACGTGCCTGGTAGCGCCCAATGAGCAACGCTTGATTATGCCCGGCCGAGGAAATGTCGGTCATACTAACCTCCACGGACATGATCGCAAAAGATTCTACTCCAGTCAAGGATTGACTATCCACTTTCTCTGCAAACAAACGCGCGCGAAGGTTGGTGAACCCGCTGTCATGCTCTAGGCATGTCTTGGGACAACGGGCACAAGTAACATGTGCCGCCAAACTTCTTGACTGCCGTTCGATAGTTCGCCAGGCGAATCGTCATACGCGTCTGCATACGCAGAAGTAGTTGAGGTTGCAAACATCTCCAGTGAGTTAAAGCATAACATCGTACACCGTGTACGAACATACTGTACAAAGTCCACGGATACTCTCCTATCTAGACGCGAAGGACTAATCCGCCTCCACACGCATTTGTCCTCGCCCTCGCTTGATGCGATCCTCCAGACCGCCGGCACCCCCGAAAACCTTCTTCTGTTCGTGACTAAGGAACCCACCCATGCCCTTTGACTTCGCTCGTGCACGTTCTTCGGCCTCAGCCTCCTCCTTCTCCCGTTCGAGCAGCTTCGTCAGGTGCTCACGGCGCTCGTTTGTGAGTGAGGCGGCATTAGAAGACATGGCGGCAAGCCGTGCTGCGCGGTCCTCCGAGGCGTCATTGAGCCTCGTGGACGATCGAGGAGGTGGAGGACTCGTACGAGTCCGCTTCGGAGGTGCAGGATCGGATCGGCGGGGGCTACGACTCAAGGTCCGTCTTCGCTTCCTGTTGTCGTAATCGTCTGGACGTGCAATGGGGCTACGGCTGGGCGCACGACGGGGCACATATCCGTTGTCGTCTGACTCGTCTGAGCGTGGCCAAGTCATGACCTTCCCTTCCTCGGCAGACCGTCTCCGGCTATCGCGTTCGCGGTCTGGGGTGCGGTCACGGCTCCGACCGCGGCGACTTGAATAGTGATCATCGCGGCGATCGTCCTCGTAGCGTGAACGCGTAGGAGCGGGTGAACGAGAACGACGGGAGTAGGGGCTAGGCGAACGTTTGCGGGAATAGCGATCCCTCGAGGCAGAACGCTGCCTATCCCGGTCATCGTATGGTGAAGGTGAGCGCGCCGCCCTGTTCTTGCCCTTGCGGTCCTTGTGCTTCTTCTCCTTCTTGTCTTTCTTCTCCTTTTTTGGTTTGATACCGGTGCGCTCCTGCAGCTCACGAAGGCGGAGAGGGTTGGACATGAGGGCCTGGTACGCTGCCTGCTCCTGCTGCTTGATGGCAAGAAGGGGATCTTCGCGGACCTTCGCAGCGGTATCGCGCGCAGAATTGGCGAATTGAGTAGCAATGAAGTTCTTGTGTGCAGCACCAATCTGTCATGTCGTGGTGGAGAGAAAGGATTATGAGCACCGGCAGAGCTGACTCGTAGAACCCGAGCGTACCTTTTCATTCTCGTCTGCTGTGAGGATCTTGTCGACCCGCTTCTTGCCCAGAAGATAGTCTTCCAGCTCATTCTGGTTCTGACCGCTCCCAGTCGCCGGGGTGGCATACATCCAATCTAGCTTATCCTGCCTCTTCTTCCCTGTCTGCTCTTCCTGCAGCCTTTGCAGCTCTTGCAGCTGACGTTCCTCCTCCTTCTCCTTGCGCAGCTGATCAAGCTTCTTCTTCTCTTCGAGCTAGACTACATGCGTAAGAATGGCTGTTCACGATACAGGAAGGCATGAGACGTACCGCTTTCTTCTCCTCGAGCCACACCCGCTCCTGGTTTTTCAACAGGAGCGGGTGCCACGACTTCTTCATGTTCAAGTCTCCGCCACCCATATTGACTAGTGTTGGTGAGTACGACGGTGAAAAGAGGTATAAACCGAGTAGCAGGGAGGACGCGCGGAGTCAGCAACAACCAAGTTGGACGTCGCAGCACGAAGGCAAGTGAGCGAATAAGCGCTGTTTGTGGCTGTTTACCGAGATAGGAACATGGATGCCGAGCCTGCCGCTGCGGAACGCTATAACATAGTGATGTCTAGTCGTCGTCCTCGAGCCGCGTCCTTGCCCCGTGGACTCATGTCTTCTTCTCTCGACCAACGACTATCCGATCTCGAGGCAGGCGAGGGCGAGCCTCTCACTAATGGCGTATCGGCAACGTACGTACCGCCTGTAGTACGAGGCCCTGCCAACTCATGGACACCTAATAGCATGCTTGGCTTCTCCCCCACTTGACCCTGCAGGCCTACCCGTTCCATATACTCTATGACCAAGGATGAAATCACAAAAAACATCGCGAATCGTTTTGTCCACTCCCAGACATACATCATCCTATACCTCGCCATGGCGGCGCTCTCGATTACAACAGTCGTCCTGAGTTTGGTCAACGAGTGTCCCACGCTGCCCTTCTACATCCTGGAATTCATCATCAATGCCGCAATGATTCTTGAGGTTGGGATCCGATTCGTGGCATTCGGCCGGGTGGGTTTTCTCTCATGATGTCTGGTGTCGTCCGGCCTAACTCGCCCCATTAGCAATTCTGGAAGTCCCTCTGGAATGTCATGGACTTGGTCATGACCGCGTTCTGCGTCATCACCCTTCTCGTCATATTCTTCTCCGGATGCGGCAATACAAGCAAAGAAGAAGAACTCATCGATACTTTGCTTCTCGTCGCCCGGAATGTGCTTCAGTTCGGCCGTCTCGCCACGGTTATGCGGCAGTACGTACTCCTTCTGATGCTAACGTCTCCCCAACCGCTTTCTCCGCGCGCGACCCGCGCACCTTATCTCGGACCTTTTCCATTGTGTTTTTGGTGTCGCTAGTCGCTCACAGACTGCCGCTCACAGATCTGGCCAATCAATATTCACGCGCCCCAAACCAATCGACCTCTCTGCCCCTCGGAGAGGTGGGTTCACTATGGACATCGACATGGAGGACGAGGAGGATGCGGGCGAGCTTGCACGACCATTAATACGGAGCGATGTCGTCTTCGATGCTGGCGAGGAGCACCCGCAACGCGCGCCGATGTCGGACATGCCGCGAGCAGTGCAGGCGGCCCAGGAGCGCGACGAAGAAGATGTGTGGGCGTCACTGGGCTGACGAAACGATGTTGTACGTCGGGATCTGATACTGCTCCGTACTTCGCGCATGAGACGAAACAGTAACAGATGAACGCTCAAGGTACCTTATATTCAGATATGGTATCATCGCCTCAAACCCCTTGCATTCCTCTTGTAGCCAGCCTTCCAAGTGGGTGGTCTACTGTGAATGCAAGTGATATCCTTGTGGGATCCAACGCTGATATCTCCGCCTATTTATATATTCTAGTGGACAGATACCATCTTTCGAGCAGTGCAGTTGACCGCGTTCGCAGTCCTTGTACGGATTTTCCCTGGCGGCCACCAGCGGCGTCCGAATTCACTTGGCCCTTTTTCTGTCTGCCATACAGTATATACATTCAGGCCTCTTTACGTCCGTGGCGCGCCGCTATGGCCACCTTTTCGGCGCCAATAGTCCCTTCTTCGTGTCTCAAATGTGCCCCCGCGCACTGACGAACGGGGGTTATACGGTAAGTTGTATTGCCGCTCGATCTTGACGTACAACCGTCGAGTTGCCTGGATCTCCGCCGTCGGTGGTGGCTTGATTGAGTCCGGGACTTCAGACATAGATTGCCCCGATTAGGGGTGCCGAATGTTCTATCAGGACGCTCTGATTGAAGGTTGGGTGTTGCGAGCAGTACGCCTGATGGCCCCTGTGCTCTATTGCGTCTTTTACGAGAGTACTTCCAATCGGCCACAACGCTCGTTGTGCACGTCCGGGTGGGACCGCGCTCATGTGGCGTCGCAGGGGCCTTGAGCGTACTGCATCCACACGTGCAGACTCTCGTGAACAAGGACTGTCGATCATCTGTCAGCCTTGCATGTGGCCAAGGGTCGAACGCCGGTGCTGACCTGCTTGTGCCGGTTAGTCTCACGGCAGCAAGTCATGTTATGGGAAGATGATGAGTGCTAAAGGCGAAGCATCTGCTTCGCCGCTTCTGGCCCAACAGTTGCCTAATTCACAATGCGAAGATGCAGATTTGCTATTGTCTTCCTCTCGACGCCGAGTTTCCGATGACTCGGTAGTGAGTACGCTATTCTTTAGGACCGACGCGTCTGAGAGTGGTTGTTTCGGCGTTACACGCGCGTATAGAGCTATTGATGTCTGCAAGGATGATTCGCTGGGACATCATAGAGTTCGCACCGCACTCGGCGCAGCCCGTCCCAGCGTCCCAGGATGTGCCCGTTTTGAATGTTGTGCAGTAAATTTTTCTCCATTCTTCCGAACAAGCACGGCGGTCGCGTTCAGCTGTCCACAACCGCACGCATTAAAGGAACTATCCGTGAAACGACTTCGGAGCCGGTCTCTTTAACCCCCTCCGCGCTGAGGTACGCGCAGGGGTTTCCATGCCTGTGGACGGCGCGCCCCGACGCCCGGGCTTCTAGGGTTCTGGTGCGTTCCTGCGGCACCGAAAGTCTATTGCTGGTGCGGTCACAACGCCCCTAGGGGTGTTTGCGTCGTGCCAAGCGGGTTGCTGAGCATGAGCTAACGCTGGCCCTGTGGTGTCAATGTCGACCCTGTGGTGTCAATGTCGACCCTGTGGTGTCAATGTCGACGAACGTGGCGTACGAGCCGGGCCCGGCAGGTGGCGCTACAAGCAGTCCATGTGAACGGCTTGCGCACGCGTCCATCGGTGGACCGCAATGAGCGTTAGCAAACTTTGCGATGTGGTAATGCCGGAGGCTGTTTGGGTTGGGGCGGGGGTATCATTGGAACGGATTGTAGATCATCTCTTCACAAACTCAAGTGTGGGGAAGCCGACAAACAACTCGCGGGGTAGGGCCATATCGCGTTATATACTTATCTACTTATGTTCGCGGAGAGCTCGGTCCGGCAGCACGGCGTGACATTGACCCAGTGAGGCACATCAACGTGGCCGAGAGACGAATGAGATTGGCCGACCCTGAGGCAGCCGCCTGACCACTCGCTCGGAGACATTTTGTCCAGAAGAGGGAGCCGCGAGCTGATATGGGTTTGATTGGCGGCGTCGATTGGCGCTATGAACGAGTCCGGCTTGTGAACAATGGGGCGCGTCTGGTGAGAGCGGTGTCGAGCACAATGAGCCCACACCGAGCGTGGACGGCGAGCTTGTCGTCGGATGAGGAGGAGGAGGGAGATGAGATGGTTAGTTGATAAGCTGTGTGTCGTCTGTCGATCCCGTCAGGAAAAGCAGCGAGGGACGACAAGGAGGTTTACATAAGCGTGATTTCAATGAGTGGTGATGCGAACGGGCGCTTGCTGTATACAGACTGGTCGACATCCGCCGTGGCGACGGGCTCGGGCTCTCCGTCTGCCTCTGCCAGGTCTCCTCTGAGCGCAGTCTCCCCTTCCCGCTCTCCCTCCTCTCTGCCACGGCATAACCTCCATCCACACCTCTATGTCGTGAACGTCGCCAGTTCTCCGGTGCGTCCCCCTCGCAGCAGCAACTCAGCTGCCTGCTCCGCCTCCTCCAAATCAGTCGTTCCGAACGCCGACTCCAGCTGTACCTGTTATCAGTCCGACTCCAGAGAAACACACTCCTTTTTCTTTCCTTCCTCTTATGCGTCCGGCCGTACAGTCCAACGCTCCAAGCAGGCCGTGGTGGTCGCGCTCAAAGTCCTCCAAGGATCCCCTTCACCCCAGTCGTGCACCCTCGGGCCTCGGTGACGAAGATGAGAAGTACCCGTCGACTACGTCCAGCACTTCTTCAAAACCAAAAGATGCGATCCCGGCCCTCAAGTTCAACACTCTCGCTTCCGCAATCGGCTTCAAGTCCAAGAAGCTTCCCTCCCTGACGATCCAAGATCCCCCGTCCCCTTTACCTCCCTCTCACTACGCCAAGTCGCGTCCCGGGTCCGGGAACAGCGGGGTCGCTTCCCCGGCCCCTGTGGACCGCGCACCTTTCTACACCAACCGGCCTCCAGCCAAGTCTGTCTCGACGGTGCGGTCCTCAGAGTACGATTTTGATGCCGCTTCAGAGCCACATTCGGAGCCCCGCACGCCGTCCGATCACCCTCGAGATAGGTTCTCCTACCAACACTCTGTGATGACCTTCTCCGAGGTCGACCCCTTCGCTTCGGGTGGAATAATCATGCATCCTATGCCGCAGGACCCCAACAGACTATCCGTGTACTCTGACTCCTCCATGCTCGATCCACAGCATAAGCGGCCAGATATACCCCCGCCAATGACCAACCGAGTCTCATACGGATCGTCCTCGTCCAATTCCCATGGCAATTATTCCGACTCACAGGTCTTATCTCCGCTGTCCACAAGCTCGTTTGCACGGTCGCCCACGGCTAGGTATGCCCTTGAAAACGATTTTTCCGACATGCTGATGTACTGATCCAGCCGCCTCGTACAGTCGTTCTGCCCATGATCTCACGCAGACCAACGATCAGTATTATGCCAATGGGCCGGCGAGCCCTCCTCTGCAAGCACATCGGACACGTCGGACGAAGACGCCCTCTGGATCAAATTCTTCGAATTCGACTGTCACGCAGAATGACTTCAGAAGCCGATTGAGGGAGCCTCCAAGCGGCGTCGGAATGCACATAGCTCGCAAGCGGTCTAGTCCCGCCCTCGGTCGGCCTAGAGGAGCGACCGTCGGTGCTATAGATTATCCACCGAGCCATCCCCCCGCGATTCCCAATTTAGGTCAGCCGACTCCTCCGCTACAGCCCCGTCGCAAGGAGTCAGGTTCATCCTCCCCGTCATCCTCCAACACCCCTTCTCCATCACCGGTAGTGTTCAGTCGCCAGCGCACTACGTCTACGACCTCGAATTTCCCCGTCTCTCCTAGCTCTCCACGACCGCCGCTATCTCGGAAAGCATCCTCCTCTCGGCTCCCTGCGTCTCCTGCCCCTGCGCCACCTACAAGCGGCCTCCCGCCTACCCCATCTCACCATCCACCTCTGCCGTCATCTCCTTATGGTCTCTCTCCCTTAGAATTCAGGGCGTCATCGAGTTCATCGAGCCTGAATTTTGCACCTAGTGTAGACCTTCATGATCTGGATGACGATGATCCTATCTCTCAGCTGCTGAATGGCCATTACGACCTGGGTCCATTTGAGGCAACGGTTCGCGAACCACCGAAGGGGAAGGCTCGAAAGAACCGGAATACGTATATCCTCGACGGAGATCTGAGTCCCATAGCCGGGGACGTCGACACGAGTTTGCCTTCTCCACTGAGCAAATTCCCCCCGGTTCCCACCGCCATTCACGGCGATATCTCACCCAAGGCTGCGAAGCTACTGAAGAAGATGTCGTCACAGCAGAACTTTTCTCAGAGACATTCGGCGACGAGCCTAAATTCTACTGTGTCCGGCCCTCCCGACGATGTGAACAGTCACGGCAGCGGTCACGCCTCAGCCCATGCAGCCAAGACTCCGCGTAAACAGCGGTCCTTCCATACACCTCGTGGCATTCCCCGACCGTTCCCTGGCTTGCGCTCGTCTAGCAACCACCCCTCTGCGAGTGCCGACCCTCTTCCTACCCCCTCCTCTCCGATTGTGGAACCACGTCGAGGTAACGTCGCAAGCCCGAGGAAACGGCTTTTCTCTGGGTCCAGCACACGGAGAAGCACATCTTCGCACGGTCCTGCGGTCCCTGCTGACGTGGACGACAAGCGTTCTGTCTTCAGCTTCGAGAGCGACACGCGACCGTCGTCGTCTTCTGGTGTGGAGGCCATCACGATGTCCTTTGGTACGGCGGGTGGTGGGCTATCGTTCATGACGCGGAACGCCTGCATATCCCCTTCGTCGATATGGGAGGACGGGAGCCAGTCGCGAGGTAGCGAGGACAAGAGGCTGTCGCAGACGGAGTATGTTCCACAGTACATCATGTCGCCAGCCGAGCAGATCAAGCTCGCGGAGAAGCTGGAGGACGAGGAGCCAGACACGTCCGTACGTGCAGTGCCAGAACCTGAGCCGGAGTATTCGGGCCGGAAGCCAATGCTCGATTTGCACCCGGGCGATTTTGGTTTGACGTACAGCCCTCTGCCGGGTGCATCCCGATCGCGCTCGAACTCTGTGCTCTCGAGCCAGTCCACCGGCACTCTGGCGTTCGGCGACAAGGTTGGCCTCAACAGGGGACCGTCCATCCTCTCTTCCAAGACGTCGATCAGTTCCAGGCCGTCGCCGACCAAGCCGTCTCCCCAGAAGGCCGCGCTCATGGATCTTGTGCGCGGCGGTCCGACGCGAGCTGCCTCCGTGCTCACCAAGCCCCTCAACAAGCCGCCTCCCCTGAGCACCCGCCCGTCGACCTCGCAAGGCCCGCTGTCCACTCCCCCGGCTTCGCCCGCGGGCTTCACGTCGGCCACGCACTCCCCGGAGATACCGGCGGCGAGTCTCCCGCCACCGCCTCGGCGCCGTCCTTCGCGATACGATCTGAACGAGGTCGAGCAAACAACGTCCCATCGCGCGAGCGTCGTTCCTATGAACCCGCTTTCGCCACCGCCCATGCGTCCCATGAAGTCGCGGCGCCAGGAGTCTACTGATACCACGACGACGGTGGGCTCGCGCCCCCCGAGTTCGTTCGATCGGCAGAAGAACATCGCGCGGAGGTCGCTCATGAAGAAGCCTTCCTTCCTTGACATCGAGGACGAGTTCGACCTGTCGGCCGAGAACGGCTCCGACAAGGAGGTCGAGTCTGCTCCCGAGTCGCCCACGATGGAGGACAGCTTCCTGGACATGGACCGCGGGAAGAGCTCGTTCGATACCGTCCGGAGCATGGACAGTGCCTTCTATGTGTAACATAGCTCTTGCACCCTGTGCTTGGCCTCTTGCTCGCCTCCCGCCGTCGCTCTTGGATGCCGCCGGAGGCCGCCCACTCGTTCGCTTTCCTTGTCATTCATCCCCTTCCCTTCGTTTCTATCTATATCTCTTTATTCCCTACCATACACCTCACACCACCTCTGCTTCGTGGTACCCTTTTGCACATAGTCTACGCTCTGCTGCAATTTTTTGCTGGTACCGCCGTAATTACTAGAACATCTCGTCTCCGCACAATTGCTGGCCATCGTCATATACTCATGCATATGCACCCCTGCTGTTGTCTGCTGTTGTTGCTCGGGCTCATGGTTTCTCACTCATGCCTGCGCGACTGTACTACTTACATACCACTCGCGCCGGCTGTCATCCTCCGTTGAATACATGAGTCAATCCATAACGGTGATAAAGGATATACGAAGAGTGCATTCCCGTCAGCATTGGACGAAGCAAGCAAGTACATACAAGGTAATTCCGGTATACGTTCGTCATCGAAGGTGAGTATTCCAATCGCATCGTTCCCCTGCTCACTAATCTGTCTCATCCGTGTGGTATCCTGCGCGGCGCATAGCGCCCAAGCGGTGACGCGCAGCGTTGAGCTCCTTCTCGAGGCGCAGGATCTCGACCTGCTGCTCCATCTCTCGCCGCTTGAACTCGAGCACGGCCATGTTCTTGTAGTCGACGTCCTCCTCCTGCACCTGCTTCGCGGCGATCGCTTTGACCTGCTTGACGAGCGCCTTGCACGCCTCCGTCACGGCCTTGGCAGCGAGCTCCAGGCGCTCTTGGGTCTTGGACATCAGGTTCGCCTTGACGCGAGACGCGGCAACGAGCTGAGCAGTCGCCGCGGCCACCTCGTTCGAGGCGACGATGAGCTGCTCGAGGGTGTGCGTGCCAGAGAGTACGCCGTCTGCGCTCTCGATGAGCAGGTTGGTCGCGAAGGCGACGGCGCGGGCGGCGGAGATAAGACCCTCGGTCCAGCGGTTGTTGCGCTTGTAGAACTGCTGGGTCGTGCTCGACCCTTTGCCCTGAGCGACGATCTCCTGCTGCGACTCGGTGGCGGCCTGGATGAGGCGCGCGATCGCGTTGGTGATAGCGAGTGCGGACGCGAGGATGGCGTCGTGGACCTGGATGTCGACAGCGCTGTAGCGGGAGGAGTCGCGCTGGCGAGACTGGAGCTGCTCGAGACGCGCGGTAGCAGCCTCGATTGCCTGCGCGGCGCTCAGCATCTCCTGCTCGACGAGGTCGCCCAGGTCGCCGTTCGTCTTCGCGACGGCGCCGGCCTTTCCGCCCTTCGGCACGAGACCGTCGACGACCTCGGAGAGCTTTGAGAGCGCGCCGCGAACTTCACTGTTGTTCCGCATCGCGACCTCCTTGCGTTGGGTAGGCTGACGGATGAGATCGAGCTTGTACGACTGGAGGTTGAGAAACGTCCTGAGACCGGTGTCGCCGGCAGTCTTCGCGACGTTGATGAGCTTGTCGGAGACCTCGTCGTCGACGAGACGCGTGATGCCCTTCGTGTTGATGAGGACATCGGCGAGCGACTGGGCAAGTTCATTCGCGCCCTTGATCACGTCGACGTGGTCGCCACCAGGCTCGCCTCCAAGATATAGGTTGAAGACAGTGGCAAAGTCGGTCGCGTTGTTGATCGCCTTCTCGATCATAGACAGAGTGTACTCGGGCGTGGAGTTCAAGTTGCCAGCTTGCGCCGGCGACTCTAGCTCGTAGATGGCCTCGTCGACCTTCGCCACGCATGCATTCAGGATAGAGTCTGTAGGAGTATCGTCAATAGGCGTCAGTTGCAAGCAAGCTAGTCGACATACCGATGATCTGGTTCAATTTCTTCCTGTTGTCCAGAATCAAGGTATCGATTTGAGCATTGGTAGCTTCCTCGTTGAGGCCTTGGTTCTGCAAATGCTTTGAGAGTCAAAGCACAGAGATGGAGGGGCTTCACATACCTGCTGGGCTTCCTGGAGCTGCTGGATGGTAGCATCCATGCCCTCCTGAAGGAGGGAAATCTCCTGGTCCTTCTCCTCCCGCAGGCGATCCAGATCAGTGGTAGCATGGTCGAGCTTGGACAGAAGATCGTCGATCTGCAATTGCTTGGCCTGTGCAACCATAAGTCTTACGTTCAAATCTAATGTCATGTCCACGTACCCGCAGAGAATCCTCGAGCTCGTTGAGCTGGCGGTTGTACTTTGCAAGTACACCGGACACTTCCGAGCTCTTTGAACGAGTCGCGTCTTCAGCACGCTCGTTCGCAAAGCTGATCTCGCGACGCAACCTGTCAATCTCGTCCTTGTGTGCAGACTTCTGACGGTCGAGGTCGAAACGCGCACGATCGCGCTCGCGGATCATATCGGCCAGCTCGAGGTTCTTCGCCTTGAGGTCGCGCTCCATGCGTTCCATCTTGTCGATGGCCTCCTGAGCCGAGTTTGCCTTGAGCTGCATCTGCTTGAACTTCGATAGCATCTCCAGATGTTCTGTTCGGAGTTGGCTGTAGAGCTTGGCAAGCGCCTCGTACTTCTTCTGCCACATCGCGACCTGCTCCTGGAGCTGGCGGATGAGCTCGTCTTTGGACATAAGCTGCGAGTTCACGTTCGTAGTGACGCTGCTGAGCTCGCTTTCCAGCGCCTTAACCCTCTGTTTGCCCGGTATGAGCACATGCAGCTACAGCGAGACAACATCCCAGCTTACTCTGTCGTACTGCTCTAGCATGAGCTGATCGCGTTCGTATTGACCGCGCATGGCAAGCAGTTCACGCTCCAAATCGTGCATTTGCTGGGCAGCCTGGTTGCTGTATTGCATCATCTGTTGCTGCATCTGCTGCTGCACGAGCTGCTCCTGTGCAAGCCTCTCCCTCTCAGCCTGTTCGGCTTGCCGCTGCTCGAACTCACGCCGTTGCTGCTCCTCAAGCTCCCTGCGACGACGTTCCTCTTCTTCTCGTGCAGCTACGAGTGCCGCCTGCTGCTCCTCGTATTGTTTGAGCATGCGAGCTTGCTCGGCCACATTGACGCCGTCTGGCGTCGCAGGAGCCGCGGGAGGAGGCGTTTTGACTGTAGCGGTGGTAGGGCGAGCAGGGAGGTCAGGGGCGGACCCATTGTCGAGGAGATTCGGTGGTTCCTGCGAGTTCTGTTAGCATGATAGTAGGGAGCCACAACGGACAAGAGACGTACTTGACCAAGCTTCGGGACATTAATCAATCCGGTAAGATACTTCAGGTTGGAACATTCGTAGTAGAATTTCCGAAGGGCATAGTGTTGTTGACTGTAGCGGGCACGCAGGGGTTCCAGAGCCTCAATATCGTTAGTTCCTAGAGGACGGTCAGGCTTGCATGCATGCGTTTGAAGGAAGGGTCTACCCACGTCGATGCATCGCACGAAGCATGCTGGTGATGAAGCGGTAGATACCCCAGCTTTCCTTCACGAGAGGCACAAGAGCGGATATACGGCACTCGTTGCTCGCGGAGTGACGGAAGTGGGCGAAGATCATCCTCTGGAACGAGTCGATTTGGTCCTGGAGCCCCATGAGATCCGAGATAGTCTCATAACTGAGCATGTCATGTAAGCGTAACCCATAGGAAAGGTCGGGCGTAGACGCACCCCTCATTTGGATCGTCGATACCCTTGAGTGTGATGTACTCTTCGTACTCGAACAGACCATTGAACTCCGGACGAAGCCTGTGGAATCGCAGCTTGGCCAAGAGGAACTGTACATACGTTCTGATGAGAGGGCCATATCCTAGACAGACCATCAGAGCTCGAGCGTAGCGCACCAGGCGGACTCTGACGTACCTCGTGCGGTTTCGTGACCGACGGTCCTTGCACAAGTCTCCAGCCACCCAGTCTGTCCATGCGCTTCCTTGATTGTCTGCACCCGCCTTGTTACCTCCATCCAACCGACAGCGATGGTGTGCACGTACCACGGGGTGCCCCTCTTGTAGCACCTTATGCACCGTGATGAGAGCCTTGAATGTCTGCACTTCATCGGAGAGAATGGGCTGCACTCGGAGTCCAGTCCAGAAGGATATTGACGAATGATAATCCCAGGTATAGACGATGCATTCTGAGCCGGCTTTAGCGTGGGGTAAGGTCATGCGAACGACCAGTATACGCACTGCGGACGTGTTTCTGCTTGGGCGCGGTCTCTTCTGGATTGGTCGCTTTCTTGATGTTCACAACGAGCTCGCCCTCCGCCTTGTCCTTATCCACCGGACGCGTTGGATAGTGGACCTCATCGCCGTCAATACCGTAGTCGGTCTGGCGTGTCCGGGAACCCGAATACCTAAGAGATTGCATGAGAACCCGAGCCTCGCTGCCCGTACCACGAATGGACTAACATGATTCTCGCCTGCGCGAGGAGTTACAGAGGAAGATGAAGGACAGAGGATGGTGGCCGGTCTGGTAGGAGTGTTATAGGCTCGCGCGCAGCTCGACTAGCGCTCCTGACCAGGCGTCACGTAACGCTACCGTGCCCCGTTCACCTGCTAGGCCTCTCGTCTTGTCCCATGGTCCCATCAGTACTAAAGCCTTCTAATCTTGTTGAATCGCGCAACACCTATTCACAAAATGATCCGTCTGGGGCGGCTTCTCTTTCGTCCAAGGCTAGCGGTCCCGGTGCCACGGCCTAATGTGATACTACCAAAAAGAATGCTTACAACAGAGGGCCCTTCTTCATCCACCTACAGGGCTAAGCGGGAACCTTGGATAACCCCTACGATGGTCCTAGTTGGTATTATACCAATATTCACATTTGCGCTCGGGACCTGGCAGGTGCAGCGGCTGAAATGGAAGGTCGCGCTCATCGATGAGTTGGAAGAGAAGTTGCAACGAGAACCTATGCCTCTACCATCATATGTAAAGTGCGGCATTCTTTCTATGACTGGACATACAGCCTATTTCTAACTACTGCCTCCAAGCCTGGCTGCACTCCCCGAATTCACCTTTCGCAAGGTGATCTTGAAAGGTCGTTGGGATACCTCACATGTCATCCTCCTCGGTCCCCGAGTTCGGGACGGCACCAACGGTTATCATGTCGTGGTGCCGTTCGTCCGCACGGACGGCTCTACAGTGCTTGTGGACCGTGGCTTCGTAACAAAGGAGCTTGCACGAAATGCTAAGCAAGCTTTGGCCAACGAACAAGGGGAGGTGGAAATCCTTGGCATGCTCCGCACCGCCCAAGTCCGCAACAACTTCACACCCGAGAACCATCCTGAAAAAGGAGAGTGGTATTGGGCGGATATTGATGCTATGGCCGCATATGCAGGCGGACAGGAAGCGGGTGTACAGCCTGTCTTCATAGAGGAGATCTTCGGTGCGCACATTCATATGAACCGTTAATACCGATCTAATATGCCTCTAGAGGGCCATGCTGGGGAGGCATCCTCGCGTTTATCTCATGGTGTTCCGGTAGGGAGACCACCTACGGTTGATGTTAGGAATTCGCATGTGTCCTACATTATCACCTGGTGAGTCTGCAGTGTGGCGGAGGGTTCTTTGTGCCTCTGCTAAGACGACCATAGGTACTCATTGTCGGCCTTCACCTCTGCCATGTTCCTCCGTCTGCTATTGAGGCGACGAGGAGTACTGGCTCGCATACCTCGATAGGCTGTCCTGTCCATGTCTTTGAATGCTACAGGTGATCTATCATACTTGCCCAAAGCAGTGTTCATGAACTGTAGTCGCCGGCCGCGTGTGTTCTCGGCGAGGTCTAGGAAGAAGTGAGTCGTTCAACAGGATATCAAAGTTTTACTTGTAGGGGGTGACGTGTGGATCATAAGTTAGCTGTTTCACAGATCTAAGGTTGAATGAAAACGCTCTGCGGTGTAGGGGCACGTAAGCTGTAAACAACTGCAAAGGACCGCGCCCACCAATATCTCCGAGTTCGCTCGCTTAGCGGCCCAGGCCGCAGCATAGCAGGTGCCGTCATTCACGAAGTGCTCCTTTGTCTACCAGATCCGGCAGGCGCTTTTGGGGTCGGTTGAAAGACAAGCGCGCGTCGGGACAGGTGCGGTATAAAGCGACGTCTCGTATGGATGCGATTGTTACCTCACTCAACTTAGATTCTCGCAAGCATACTTGTGATTCAACGGTCTCATACTGTAGTCATATCTTGCTTGCTTCCGTTCTCTGCACCCTGGGACAGCCATCTAGCAGCACCGGAGGACCTCCAGAGCACCAACCACCGACATGATTCCCACCTCAATCTACACTCACCCGCGGCCACGCGTTGCTTACGAGCCTTCGAAAGCTCAGCAGCCAAAACCATTCCCGTCGAAGCCTACGGCCGAGGAAAGACTGGCAGCAATACGACAAGCCATCCACGCGGAGCACCCCGTGGTTAGGAATTGGAAGCCTTGTTATACAACGGGCACAAGAGAACGTTTTACGGTTCACTCTCCAGAAGGTATAGCGTTGGCATACCTTCTATTTCTGCTTCCAGTGGCTGATACTGTTTACCAAGATGCCTTCATCACGGAGAACGCGAGCGAGACTTTGCGACGCAAGCAGCGAGATCAAGCGCGCGAGGCTTGGAGGTCGACCAATGTTACTCGCGAACCACAAGAGACTCCCTCGGCCTCTCCAGCAAACTCGTGCACCTCATCTCCTCTCAGCAGCCCTCCCATCACACCCACCTATCTACCTGAGGATATCTCGGAGTCGCCGACGGTAGTTGAACGTCGCGATAGGGTAGCGCGGTCCCACATGCATGGCTCTTCTTACAGTCAGTCCCTTATCCGTGTCCTCATTTTTATAGAACCTAGCATTAACGATCGTTGCTGTCTTTCAGGACGCGCAGTCCCTCACGATCGTGTGCGAGACTCAGTTACTCGGTGGTTAGGCGCCTCCACAGGGATCGATCAGTCTGCTCAAACGGCGCTGCTGAAGAGCCGACATCGTCCTTCCCGTTCACATTCGTCTTCAGTGCGACAAAGTTTGTCGCGACGGTCCTCCCAACATTCGCTCTCAACCGGTCATGCAGCTGCTGGGCAGCAGGAGCGCACATTGAATGCGAGCAGCATACTGAGCTTCGTAAAGCGACTAGCGCCTCTTGCGCGTTTCAATCCGTATCGGCGGGCTCGAGCTGAATCAATGTCAGCTGTCATGGACGATGGTAAAGGAGGGAGGGACGATACATCGAGGGGACGAGCCTGCCGCAGAAGGTGCAAGTCGGATTCGGCCGTTCGGTGTTAATTGAGTGCCGCGTTGCCCCAAGCGAGATGCTCTTTCCCGTGTCCTGCTCAGAAGCGCAGTTCCTTCGGTAAATATTTCATGTGCCATTGGTGTTGTTGCTGTCGAAGCAAATTCGGGCTGTTGCGTGTACTACTTGTGTATTTACTTACTACAAACTCGAACCCGATCTCAATGTAATCTGTAACCTTGCTACTGGGTCGTAGATGCCGGATATGGGCTGCTGTGCAGCGAGCGCTCAATGCGTGGGGGCTCGCCCGAAGTACTGTACTTGTGATTCTTGCGAATTACTGCGTCTCCGCCATCCAGGCTCTTCGCCCTCACCGCGTACTGGTAGCATACACCGGACGACCCTCAGACTGTAGTCCAAGAGGTTTTGATGGCGGAGGCTGGGCCGTCATCTGCTCAGCCTGTGTCTCCAGCTGCCACACCGCCCTCGTCTTCCCCTTCTCCACAGCGAGCTGCACGAATCCATTTCCCTGCTGAACGTCCTGCAAACGGCGCGGACAATAGCTCCTACGGAAGCTTTCAGTCCCTTGGCCTTGGGCCACCTCCTGTCCTCCGGAAGTCAACCAACCAAGGCGGGTCGCTCTCGTCCCAGCAGGATGACAAGAGGCGGCGGGTCAAGTCTGTCGATGCCTCCAATGGCTTTGACCAATCCCCTTCGCGCGAGGTCTACGCGGGACCATCTTCTAGGAGGGCCGTCAGCTTCAGCAGGAGAGCGGAGCAGCGGGGGGAGCTGATGAACAGGGGTGTCTCGACTGGCATAACGGACAACTTCTCCGACGAATTCGACCTATGTGAGTACTCATTCTGAATGCAGGGGTACATTTACTTATAACCATTCCTTAGCACGAGAAGGCAAGCTGCTATTGCTTGGATGCTCAGTTACGCATGTCTCTCAACTACATTACAGATCCAGGCGTATTGGAGGATGTACAGCGAGCTTTACGTATGAAGGCTCGTCGTGAAGCACGTCTTAGGACGCAGACGACTCCTTTACGCGTGGAGACTCACACCGACTCGGCATCACTGTCCTCAGTCTCTGCGGGCTCTTTGCCTGGCCAGCCTATTAGCGGACCCCTTCACTTTCAGCGCCAGCCTTGCCATTCCGGTGAATCCGAGATTGACTTCAGTCCATCTGTCGGTGTCATGCCCCTCCATCCCATCCCGTCATCTTCTGACGGTGGAGCCACGCTCGATTGGACCACGCCTTCGTTAGAAGATGGGAGAGAGCGGCGTTGGTCGCTCTCCAGGGGCAAACGAAAGTCGAAAGAGCAGGCGTCCTTCTCTACAAACAAAGCTGCCGCTGAGAAACAGGAAGCGTTGTATGCCAGTACGTCCTTTGCGTGTTTCGCGAGTCAGTTCTCATGCCATAGCATCGACCAGGCAAATTGGAGCAGATTCGGGCGACGGTTCAGCCTCAGACACATCGAAAGGCCGAGATGGTGCGCGACCAGCTCGCTCGCAAGTACGCGCTGTTGGCGCCGAAAGGCAAAGCGAGCCCTGTGAACATATTGGAGGTGGCTCGCTGGTACGGGAAGCAGGACTCCAAAATGCGTACGAGCCTCGACCAGAGAGAGCGTGTCACCTGGATGAAGCATATCTGGGAGAAACATGCGCCTCCTCCCGGCGGCCATTCGATGTGGAGTCCCACTGCCCTCGTCATGGAGGAATATGTGAGGTCGCGCGCGAGTCCTCATATCATGGACACTATCCCGGAGAATGGAGTGATGCTGCCGCCCTCGCCCCCCTCCTTCGTGGATACGCGCTCTCCTGCCTCCAGCACTTATTCCTGGAACACTCCTCGTCACTCTCTGGAGGCTGCTATCAGTCGCAAACGGTCCTCATACGATGCACAGGTGTCCTTCGGACCGCACGTCGATCACAGTGGAGGATCTATGGAGCTCGATTCTCGGCGGAGCAGCGACAACTACAAGAGCTCGAGGCATGAAGGCGGAGATTCGGCCCATAGCTCCTTGTACAGCATCATCTCCAGAGGCGCCTCCCCGAACAGCAGTCGCAAGCGATTGCGAGATATTGGTAGACGGCTAACCCCGCGTGCCAGCGATGAGGCACTTTCATCCGCCCGCAACTCGATTTCGGAGACCAGCGGTCATAGCGCATCAGAGGATGGGGCTCACTTCGGGCATCGGAAGATGGCCACGATACGACCGCATAGCCGGTCAGCTAGTCTTCATATCCAGGCTCCACCAGCCTCTGTCTCCAGCCCGACTCTTTGGGCGAACGGCACGACACGTACAGATACTTCAGATGTGCCTACGACCGCGACCCAAAGTAGCACTGTCTTTCCTACCCCCGCAGAGACACCACGACCTGAGGCTACACCAGTCCCTTTCAGGGCGCCGGCAACGTTGCCACGCCGTGGACGTAGGAGGTCGCTTCCTTCGTCGAGCGACATATTTGCGCGGGAACGGGAGAGACATGGGCGTTTGGCGGATGAGCAGAAGGAGCGTGAAGAGTACGAAGTCAAAGCGCAGTAAGTGGTGGCTGGTGTTATAGCGAACGTGCGTGTACGGTGCTGACGATCCAATAGGGTCTTGGAAGATACCCTCTCCCAGAACTATCGTATGCGCCACCTCTTGCAACGTGTATGTACGAGCGTCCGGGAGTACGACTCTGTGCAGGCTGGCTTGTCCGCCATCCTCGGGATGCCGTATTTCAAGATACCTCCCGATGTCCTCGACGCCTTCCTCCACGATCCCTCTGCGGTCACGGGCAAAACGCGGCGAGCGCTGAGTTGGCGGGCCGTGGAGGATATTCACGAGCGCATCATGAAACAACAGCAAACTCTCCAGGCTTACCTTCACTCTCAATTGCTTGACGGCGACTCTATTACGTTTCCGCATAAGATATTCGACGAGCCGCTCTCAAATCTGATGCAGATTTTAGACAAGCTTGCTTGTCAACGTGAAGACCTCGCACGTAAGGCCGAGGAAGTTTCTGTCGTCCTGAAGCAAGTCAAGAGCGTCCAGGCTGGCGTCAAGAAGGATTACAACGAAGCGTTGGCCCATACGTCGTTGGTATACCCAGAGGTATGTCGGCCATCATCACCTCCGCATGTTATCGTTGCTGACGTCGACCCAGCTTTCACAAATTGCCGCCTTGGAAGAAAACTACAGAAATCAGTATCAAAAGTTCTGGGACATTGGGCTGGACGCCCTCACACTTCTGTTAGATACCGTAACCCCCTTCTGGCGGAACTACGGGAAGGTCATCGGCGAGGACGTACAAGAATTCCTCATCATTCCCTGGTACCGCAACGAATTTACCGGGGAGGCCAAGCGATACCCCATCAAGCAATTTCCTCGCCGCTCGCTCCGCCATTGGGTGGGTCTCCTCTTCCTGTCTTTCCTCAGCTTCGCCGTCGCCATCCTCCAAACGCGCGCTGCCTGGTCTTTGTCAGCCCACATCAACCTGCCGTGGATACGCAACACGGGTTTACGGTGGACTTTCATCCCTATCTATGTAATCCTTCTCATCATTCAGTGGTGCGCGGTGCTAGTAGAACTTTGCATCCTGGCGGCGCAGGCGGGTATCATCATTTGGTGGATTGGTTGGTTCATTAAGCTGGTTTCGTAGGTCGATCTGTCATCATGCTATGCTTGTATCATTATAGCATACATAGTAACTGTTATTGTACAATCACGTAGTGGATTATGAACGCGCAGTCATGAACTCTGTGTGCTGGGCTTTGAGGAAGGTATTTGATACGAATTAGTTGGGTTGGAGGACGTGGTAGCCACTTGAGACGGCGCCGTCTTGGCTTGTGCCAAGCTCCCGGTGTGCTGTACAGTGAAGGGAACTGCTTGGTGGGACGTGCTGACTGGGACAAAGTAAGGCTGAGAGGACGAAGGCGTTATGACGCCGCGGGGTGCCGCTTGAGCTTGGGGAACGTCCGCCACCGTTTTGCCCGCATCTATGCATGTCCGGCAGTATCCTGCAAAAGCCGATTCAGAGAGCCTTACGCCAAACCGGTCCTGACCGTGGACTCACGTCCTCCCATCATCAAGGGGACATCCGTTTGGCCGCAAGCGTGGCAAGCGATTGGAGTTGGTGGGGCGGACGTTTTCGCTTTCAGTGACTGTCGTCGCTTTGCTGGCGTTGGCTTTTCCGCGCGGGTAGGCGGTGTATCGGGAATGACGAGAGTTGGCTTCCGAGACACTGACTTCCGCTTTGCTCGAGTGCTATCTGCCCCAATGGGTTTGATGGACTTCATCGTATATGAGGGAGCGGTCGCCTGGGAGGAGGCGTTAGTGGTGTACACAACGCCTTCGTTTGGTGCACCCACGTTCTGAAGCTCGGTCAAAAGTTCTCCCTCAGGAACGTGATGTTGCAAGTAAGATGGTGGCGCTGCTGCCCTGACCTGAGAATCCAGTGAGTAGGGGCCTGAAGAGGCATAGCAGGCGGTCGCTCACCAAATCAACAAGTCTTGCCTTGCTTTCTTCCATCTTCTGCAGTCCGCCCGCCCATGTTATGAGGAGCTCCCACAATGAATGTGGCACTCTTGAAAAGCGGAAGCTCACGACCTCTGGAATAGGGCTGTCAGAAGGCTGCTGATTGGTCGGAGGTGGCTCTGACGGCGGGCTGGAGGGAGTGATGCACATTGTGATGATGACGTCGGCATATCTAACCCAAGCACCATCCGCGACGCCTACACGCTCGCAGAATACATCTCCGCGAGGTAGTATCCACCTGTCAGAAGGCTTTTCGTGGAACTCCAGAAGGAGGTCAAAGGGTTTCGGCGAACCCGCTCTGACCGGAACTGATGGTGTCGAGCTTGGGGGAGGGTTACTTGCACTTCCCAAATCCGATATGTCTTCGAGCTGGCGGATCAGAACGCCCAGCCGCTTGACCTCCTCATCGGTCGCGGTATGGTTGATGACCGCATTGAGCAAGTTCGCAAGTGTAGGGTTGGTCTGTGCTGCCAACTGGACTTTGGCGGATAATGCCGGGGTCACGTACGATGATGATGTCGACACTTGAGGGTCATGAGGCACTGTAGGATTTAGGGATGAAGTAGATGGTGTAGCTGTAGGTACGTCCGTCCAGAGATGTATTCCGGAAGGCTAGCGACATACATTGTGCCTCTTGACCGCTATCAGGGTCCATGGCTGGCAGGTAATGGGCTTCATAGAGGGCCGTATTGGAGAAAATGTGAGGTCCTATATGTAGGTCGTACTTCCCGTGGGCCTTGATGGTATGGGGTGGTGGCATATTCTCTACTGCTTTGCCGCCGCGTGCCTTTGAAGAGAACTTGGGGAAAGCAGAGGCAATCCATCTGTTTCGTGCTATACAAGAGTCAAACGCCTTCTCAGGCCACGAGAAACTGAGACCTACATTGCTTCAACGACTGCAACACGACGAGGCTGGAACACAGGTTGGACAAAAGACGCATTCTCTGAGCGGGTATGCCAACCTTTCTGCCACAGTTCTCAGCTGCGCCCCGCCCGAAGGTGCTTCCCGCAGCTCCCATCCTGGTTCCGGGCCGGTCGGCAGGTGTACCAAGCGCTGCATTCTTGCAGAAGTTCTATTCCAAGGTGTGGAGAGGATATGCGAGACCGTGCATGCAAGGTGTGTGGGCAAGAGAGTCGCTCAAGTGCAAGCAGCTGGTGGGATCGGGGTAAGTATGCAGTCTATCGACACCGGTCCGCTCGACAGGCGCTTGGCTTTCCTCACTTTCTCTCCAACGACTTCCATCCCCTTCACTGGCACCATCCATACTCGGAGTGTCATACAGATACAAACTACGAATATTGCCTTAGGGCTCTACTGTGATGTCGCAACGCGTTCGTGAGTGGACCACAACTATTGTCTTCCCCGTCGCCTCAATGTAATACACAGAGAAGGGCAGCACGGTCTTCAGGCCAGTAGCACGGCCCCGCCCTCGCGTTGGCACGGAATCTCGTCATTCCTCCGCTATCCCTGAAACCATACCGGATTCAGGCCCCAGCCGCACACAAGGCAATGCCGGTTCGCGAGCTGCATCCACTATGCCTCCTCCCTCTGTCGTCCCGCAGAAAGCTCCGGCTGAACCTGTCCCCCCACAAACTGTAGTCGCTGCCTCGCACGACGTTTCACCTCAACCAAGACAGTCATTCAACTCCCAATCTCTCCTTCCATCAGTCCATACTTCGGGCTCCGCTGAAGGTTCTCAAGTGGTCCGCAGCGCATCGCGGATGCCCCCTACCATCGGCTCTTCCCAGTACTTCTCTCAGAGCTCTCTGCCAACCTCAGTACCATCATCGCACTCGTCCCACATCTCACCTTCACATAACCATGTCCAGACTATTCCACAGTCCCCTACTGCACTTCCCCCGCCTCTCCCTCCCGAAATTGGCCAAGGAAATGGGTTTTACGACTATCATCATATCACCCCGTCATTACACGCGATGAACCAGCATCTATCTTCCGTGCCATATCCTATAGATGCTTCCCAGATTGACCCACGACTTATGGACGTTCTAGGGCTTCCTCCTGTAGGCCCGCAGGGTATTTCCCTGCAGGGCAATACGCTGAATGACAGACCTCCCATGTCTGTCGACGACGCCTCCATTACCCAGTCATTGAGACCTAGACGACCTTCCGGGAAGCGCGCTGAGGGAGAAATAGCCAATGCAGAGCAGAACTCGGACGCTACGCGACGTAAGTCCACTTTGATCGTGCTAGTGTAGCTGCCTGCCATAACATTTAGTATAACAGAGGATAGCGAATCTGGCCCACCGTCGTCTAGAAAGCGGCGTTCGAGGAAGGCGAACACGGCGGGTGACGAGAATACAGGCGAGCCTGCGACAAAGAAGCGCAGATCCTCCGGGTCCGAGTCGAGATCTAGCCGCGGGCGTACACGTCCCCCCTCCCCGCCTCCGTTCGACCCGGACGCCGACCCGGGAGAAGAGCTGGACCCGACCGTTGTGACGATGGCTGCACTTTGCGACGACACCGGCCGAGGTCGTATAAGCACCAGGGCAGCGCAGATCGTCAGCAATCATGCCGCCTGGCGTGCAGCGAACCGGGAGAAGCGGGCTCGTATGAAGGCTGTCATGGAAGCAAAGAAATACGGAAGGGATCTCGATGACGATGAGGAGAGCGCGGCGCAATCTACCACAAAGCCCCAGGGAGCGGTGTCCGAAGAGACGGCAGAACCAGGGTCCGCGTCGCGTTCCGCAACACCGGCGGCCAACCCAAGTGCCACCTCCGCACAGGACGAAAGCAATGGGGAAGGGGACAGACGCGCGGAGGGCTTTGACTACGCCGAGAACCTTGCGGTCAGCAGATACAACGTCCAGGTCCGTATTGGACCTAACGGCGAGACCATCATTGACGAGGACTCGTTGTTCGTCAACCGGGACGAGGAACATCGGACGGAAGACTACACGCACGTAGAAGAGTCGGACTTCACTAAGTTCGTAAACTCGGGGACGTACAGCAGGAAGGTTCGTGGCTCGCGATGGAGCGCCGAAGAGACTGAGCTATTCTTCGATGTGAGTTCTCTCCCCTGCTATGTGATCGCAGTGTGATCTGTGCTGAGCATGTGCATAGGCATTGTCGCAATTCGGCGAAAATTACGAGCTCATTTCGTATGTTCTGCCGGGTCGTGACCGAAAAGCGTGCAAGAACAAGTTCAAATCAGAGGACAAGAAGAATCCAGCGCGAATCACATTCTGCCTCAACAATCGCAAGCCATATGGTTCGTACCATACTCATAGACGTTGAAGTAGACGCTGACGAGGCGACTGTCAGATATTGCAACGTTAACTCGGATGACCGGGAAGGATTTCTCGGGCCCTACTCCAGAAATCCGAGCACCAACACCGATTCGCTCGACGGAGTTGGAGGCAGACGCACCGCCCACCGCTCCTCCCTCACCTCGAGTCAAACGGAAGAAGAGCCGGACACCTAGTGTCCGCGATGCTGACGTGGAGATCCTGGGAGACATAGACGACGTTGAGAAGGAGGATATAAGTGTACATACGTGAGCTAGCTCTTCTCCTTATAGCTTCATTTCAGTTACTCCTCTATTTTCCGTCTTCTGCCCTCCCGAGTGCGCGTTTACCCCTTATATGCGGACGGTGTCTTATGCTCCGCGCCACCCGCTGTGTCTAGTTGGGGGAAAAGATCAGGGGTGGAGGCTGCAGGCCGTATTCCGAGAGTGGTCACAATGTCCAGTCCGATCATCGTGTTCTGCTTGCTATTGTGAATCACAATTCCCTCGACTGATAGTCTCGTCACCAGACATTCGAGCAGAACAAACCGGAGGTAGTTCTCTCAGCTGAGTGAACAGTAGTACCGTGCGCTCCACTCGCGCATTCGATTGTGCAACAAAATGCATTTCGCTCGATGACAATATCCCGCTCGCACTAATTCGGCATACTGTGTATGTCTGCCTTGCCTGCGATACAATGTTCCGCCTCAAGAAATAGCGCACTCGCCGTGAGCTGAGGAGACACGGTCAGTCCTGGCAAGTGGCTGCCATCGGCGTGTGGCGGACGTACGTTTGCTGATATGCCCACAAAAACTGGAACACCCCCATGTTGCGTATCTGCAAACCGGAGAGAAGTCATCGGTTGCGCGGGTGGACGATCGCATGAGCGCACCTTTCGTGAGACTCATGTCTCCTCAAATAGGCGCATCATCCGCGGGAGGACTTCTGCGAATGCACTTCACTCTCTTCCTCGGAATCCTCCACCATTTCTTCCTCGGAATCTTCCACCATTTCTTCCTCGGAACCCTCCACTACTTCTGCTTCGGGCCTAGCATTGCGCTCCAGCTGACGGAGCCGATTGAAGCGCTCTTCTCGCTCGGTGCGCATATAGGCGGCTACTTCGGGAGCTAGAAAGTGAAGAAAATAATCGATGCACCATAGGACCACCACACAACAACCGCACTCACGGCAAACGTAGGCGTCGAAGGCGCCTCCCAGGACTAACGGGCCAGAGGGGCGCAGTACGGTGGCGATACTCTGCCACATGAGCTCCTCAGCTACAATCGCAGGTAGCTGGGGCTTATTCGGGTTAGAGTCGTCCTTCGGCGCGCCTTCGACTTTGTATTTCTTGGCTATCTCGCAAGCGAGGAACCCGCGCTGAGTGCTGTCGCCCATCACGAGAAGTTCGGCCTGCACGGCCTGAGCCCGCATCTCGTACGCATGACCCCCGGCGTTTTCTAGGAACCCCGGCTCCTGGGAGAGGGTGCCCTTCAGGAATGCTACCTTCTGGTCAAGATTTTCCTGTTGGGTGACCGACATGGAGCCGACGGGCACCGAGCGCGGTTCCGCCTTCTGCGTTTTGCGCCACTTGCCCTCGGCTATATGCTCTTCGTCATCATCCTGAGAACCGCTGTGTGAGTGCGCGCATGTAAACGATTGTCATACACATCACCTTGGCCTTTCGCTCTTGTGCTGCATCCTCGATTATGGCGTATTCGACCCGCGTGGAGTCGCCTTCGTCGCCGGTGCCGGGCACCCGCTCTGCAGATACGTTTTCCTACACGTCTGGTCAGTTGAAGAGCATGCAAAGCCTTTTTTTCGGAAGTCATGGAACTGACCGCTCGCAGCGTCTTGGCCTGTTCCTCATTTTCGAGTTGTGATTCGGGGTCGCGAGGGCTGCACGCTTCATCGTGTTGGACAAACCCTACAAGCGAGCCCGGACGGTTGATTTCCTGACTGGAGTGTTCCATGTCGTGCTGCTTGGGTTCGCTGATTTACCAACTAGGGACGCCGTGGACGTTGCTGCTCAAGATGTGGTGGTGAGACGCGATGGGGGGCTGCCCCACATCATATAGCTGCCTCGAGCTCTTAGCTCACTTCCTGTCACGATCACATGATTTGAATGGTGCACGTTCCTCCAGCGCTAGTGACAGGTCCTCATCCTCCCAACTCCCAACTCCCACCTCTGCCGCATCCCCCAACTACTTCTGCTTCATCATGGTCCGCCGTGCCCCTTCCCAGACTGTTGCAGCTTCTCGTCCTCCAAGCCCTCCTGTTGATGACGCCGATGAGGTGGGCTTCTTTGTACATCAACTTCGCATTTACTCACTTCCCGTCCCAGGGCCCGTATTTCGACAGCGTCGATGAGCTGCAGCAGCATGTAAAGAAGCCCCATTGTTTTGTTATGTGCTATTGAATATCTCTCAACAAAGGGAATCAACGTGCAAGACATCCTGAAATTGAAGGTAACCTGATGACTGAGCTAGGACTCACGGCATGACACGCTTATACTTGCTTCATTAGTCTGCTGCCATCAACACCGTCTCCGGTGTTAATATGACAACTCGTAGGCAGCTGTTGAAGATCAAGGTGATGTCTTTTACATCTGGATTCGATTCTATCGTTGTCCGTCTCATCACAACGCCCTCTTTCATAGGGTATGTCGGAAGCCAAGGTCGAAAAGATAAAAGTCTGTAGTATCATATCTCCCTATCATGAGCCACGTCACTCAACGACTCCCTTGGTACCCCCAGGAAGCTGCACACAAAATATTGGTACGAAGGACGAGTGCACTATAGGTACCTATATGCGGCGCGAGTTGAACTCAAATCTCCTTCAGGGATCATCGTTCGCTACCGGTATCGAAGTGCAAGAAAAACGGAAGAGGGTACTACTGATAAGTACCGGTAGTAAAGCAGTGGATACTGCTCTGGGCGGTAAGCATCTCAATCCATCTTCGAGGATGACTGACGTAGCCCAGGCGGTATTATGTCGCAATCCATCACGGAGGGTGAGAGTTCATGCTTACCATGAGGCGGTAGCTGATGTACATTGCAGTCTACGGAGAGTTCAGGACAGGGAAAACGCAGCTGGCACACACCATGAGCGTCGTTGCTCAGTTGCCCCCCGACATGGGTGGTGCCTCGGGAAAGGCTAGTGCCAGTGCTTTAGGGCCGCATGCTGCTCGGCTACAGCTATTTCCCAGGTCGCATACATTGACACAGAAGGGACTTTTCGTCCTGATCGTATCCGGTCCATCGCTGACCGTTTTGGAGGTGCGACTTTGAAGCACGCTCAGAGATTGAGCATGAGATGATAATGATACGTTTTTACAGTGGACGGCGATATGGCCCTAGAAAACATTCTCTATGGTATGCCATGGTTGCATATACAAAGCGTTCATCATCTTACTTCAGGAGGTAGCCCGTGCGCACAATAGCGAGCATCAGGTAGCAGCCTTCACGCTGTGTGCCTGATCTTTGACGAACATCCCCCAACAGATGGAGCTTATCAACGAATGTTCAATCCGTTTCGCAGAAGATAAAGACTTCAGGCTCCTAGTAGGTGCTCCCCTGTTGCCCGCCCGCCTCACATGCCTTTGAACTGTCTTTAGATCGTAGATAGTATAATGGCGCTGTTTAGAACGGATTACTCCGGCAGAGGTGAATTAAGCGAGCGTCAGCAGAAGGTATGTGAACTCAGGACATCTGTGAAGGTATTAGACTTACCGACTTGTTTCTCTGCAACAAGCTCGCTCAGGTGAGTACGTTCACGATCAGTGCATACAGGGACCCTCAGTTCTGTTCAGATGCTTTCGAAGTTGACAAAGCTATCCGAAGAATACAATGTACAGCGTCTGTTTTGTGTACCTAACATTGCTGATTTACTCGATTATATGAGCTGCAGATTGCCATTCTACTCACCAACCAAGTGCAATGTGAATCTTCCTCGACGTCTTCAACCGCGCTAATTTTGACAATCCTCACAGCTGACCCAGGAGCAACGATGACGTTCGTCGCTGGTGGGGCTTTGAAGCCTATTGGAGGTCATATATTATCGCACGCATCGGCGACTCGGATGTTCCTCAGAAAGGGTTGGATCTCACTCTTTGTCGTAACCTAGTGCGAACTCACGATGCTTCTTCAGGGCGTGCGGAAGAACGTGTTGCCAAACTCGTCGACAGTCCTGATAAGCCGGAGAGCGAAGCTTCTTACAAATTGGATGAAGGAGGTTGGGCCGACGTTTGAAAATGTCACCGGTACCTCTTGAACTTCGCAACAGCTCTCGAACGAATCGTCGCCCAAAGTACGCTCTCACTGATCTGGTCTTCCCCAAGCCGCTTCGTCTCGTATTGCTGTCTATTGTTACTTGCCGGTCCACTCTGTCTTGCGGCTACTCGATACAAGTACATGCATCTGCTCCCTTCCATCCACAGTCGGACTCAACACACGCCTCTAGTACTGTATTTCGCTCTCCGACAAATGTGACTGATCATCATTGTCATCCCATGGACATGAGCCAACACCGCACTGATTACTTTGATTGATGGTGTAGTAAACCACACTGGCGAGCCCGCCCAACGGCCTATCTGCGTCCCGCCACCGCCGTCGTCGTATCTGTTGTCAATGAATAACCTTCGCGAGTGGGCCGCTACGCGCCAAGACCCGGGCGCTATGCTTCGAGAATGGATGCGCACGCTGTTACGAAACTCCGCGTCGGCCGCGTCGGCGACTTCTTGTGCCTTGCGAATCTGTACACCGTCCATGCGTTAGTTCAAACTCCTTATCTGACCTCTGGACGGCGGGAACATGCTTGCTGAACGTTGATGCGGCCCATGGTTCACACACGCAGTCGTCACCAGTGACAGCCTCAGCGTTTGATGGGTAGCCACGTTTGGCTGATGCCCCTCGTCGGCGCCGCGCTGCATGTGGAACACCCTTGCTCGTTCTCGGCATACGATAGATAGCACGTTCGTTGGGGTGAGCATTAAATACGCTCCTGGATATAAGGCACTTTGCGGTCGGCCTTCTGCCTGCGTTCTCTGAAGTAGGTCCGACATGGCAGCTGCGCTTGGTCTCATCTCCGCCCTCCTCGCTATCCAGGGCGCGAGCGCGTCCTTCTCGCTCCAGACGACGTTCCCCAACATCTCGGTATGCGCTAGCGAGCCCATCACCTACTCGTGCGAGAACACGACTGTCATCCAGAATACATGCTGTTCGCCCACGCCTGGCGGCTTGGTCTTGCAGACGCAGTTCTGGGACACCTACACCGGCTTTGAGAAACAGGGGCAGCTGCTGCCCAAGAACAGCTGGACCATCCATGGTCTCTGGCCGGACAACTGCGATGGGTAAGTTTCACCCGCGTCTGTCAGGTACTGAAAATGTCCGAATCTTATGCCCAATGTCTATCCTATTCTTAGGTCTTACGAACAGTACTGCGACTTATCTCGCCAGTACGACCCTACGCCATCGCCGTTGGTCCTGCCGGATGGCACTCCAGTGCCGCCATATACGGGCCCCGGTGTGGACACCTTTGTCGCCGAATTCGGTCGTGTGGATCTTCTGGACTTCAGTATGTTTATTGCATTTGTAATTCCTACGCCAATCGACTGACTGTCCCGATCAGTGAACAAGTACTGGGTCAGCCAGGGCAGTCCGAACAGTGGCTTTTGGGGACACGAGGTACGCAGTGCATACTCTGTCAGTACACATTATTCATCATTTGCTCTAGTTCTCCAAGCACGCGACATGCACGTCTACGTTCGACGTCGCATGCTACGGGCCTGACTACAAAAACCACCAGGATGTCGTGGACTTCTTCGACGCCGTAGTCCGCGCCTTCAAGAACTATCCCACGTTCAACATCCTCGCGGCCTCCGGCATCCTCCCGTCGAACAAGACGACGTACTCCCTGTCCCAGCTCCAAGGCGCCCTGAAGGCCCAGACCGGCGCGGTCCCTTACCTCGGCTGCGGTTCGAACGGAACAGTCCTCCAGGAGGTGTGGTACTTCCACCACGTCTTGGGCACTGTGCGTACACTTCCGTGATCCTGCAAGATGACGGTCGCTGATCGACTCCACAGGAGCAATTCGGTCACTTCAAGACCGTGGACTCGACTACTAAGTCGAGCTGCTCGCCCACCGCTGGTATCCACTACTTCGAGCGGACACCCACGTCGGAACGCGACGTCAGGCTCCTGCCATGAAAAAATTTTCACACAGTCATACTGTAGTGCAGTAATTCGGTAATATACGGTACATAGCTATATTCATGGGGTGCCTAGATTTGGCTCGTACTAGGTTCTGGCCTATCGTTCTAGAGTGGAGCCGTTAACGGTCACAGTTTGGGGACTCTGAAACCTCTTCGACATCGTCTATGCTCGTTCTAAACCATGACCATTCATTTTGTTCAAGCAGAACTGCGATACGCGCTTCTATCTCATGGTTGCTTGAGAAAACCTGACCTCTTGAGGACCTCGCGCGCTGCTACCTGGCGCTTCTCGCATCTCTCTGCGAACATCCATCCCCTGTTGAACCTCGAGATGCCCCCCGACTACGAGCTCCAATCCTATTGGAAAGCACGGTTTGAGAACGAATCGGATTTTGAATGGCTTGGAGACGGTTCCGATACCATCCTCCCGCACCTTCGGGCGCACCTCACGGATCCTCGCGTTTCTGCGCGGTCCTCACCTTCCCGGCCCGCTCGTCTCCTACACATCGGCGCGGGGACGTCATCGCTCTCCGAACGGATACGGGAGCTCTATCACGACGTGTATGGGGCGCAGGTAGACGAACGCGCGATCGTGAACACCGACTTCGCGGAAAATCTAGTGGCAAGAGAGCGGGAAAAGGCCGAGTTAGCGTTTGCGGTAGGTCGATCGAGGACGGGAATGCAGTGGGTATGCGCAGATTTGTTGAAGTGGGGGGAATTGGAGGCTGCTCTGCAGCCGGAGGAGGAAAGACACACCTTCGACCTCGTCGTCGACAAGAGCACCTCGGACGCGATCTCGTGCGGGGAGGACGTCTCCTACAGCAACCCAGACCCCAGCATCCATCCGGCTCTGAACGAGATCCTGGCGGCGCAAGGAGGCAAGAAGATCAGTATATCTCCTGTAGAGCTTCTGGCTGTACATCTTGCGTCGCTGGTTCGGCCTGGCGGGCTGTGGGTCGGTTTGACGTTCTCTCCACATCGCTTCCCCTTCCTGGCCAGCCTGGAGGAGCGAAGGGACACGCGGCATTCGCACGCAGCAACGTACTGGACTATCGACGAAGTTGTTACGGTGGATGCGCCGACTGGGATGGAGGGAAGCGCGTATGCGCCGGTGGTCCAGCACTATATTTTCCTGCTGCGCCGCAAATCACCATGATAATGCGTCCGGTCCAGGTGAGGACTTATTGGGATTCGATCTACTGGACGATGCTCACCCTCCCACTGAATCTGTAGGATTTGCAGTATGGCCCGAGCAAGAGTTATCGAGCTTAGTACGAGAGATGTCGGAGAGATGAAAGGAAGGAGACAACCGGGCATCGTCTGCGGTAGTTTCACATCTTTCCTGTGGTTGACACATTGTATGCATGAGGGAAGTAACAAGGCATTCGGAGAAAGCAAGCATGAATGCGAGACCTGACATATGTACTTATTGCATGTGCACGGAGACGGACGAGCACACACAAAGCGGTCACGTGTGCTACGCGACTTGATACGCGATGTTGAACCTCGCAGGCTCAGCCTCGCAGCCACTCTCGCGTTGGGCGCCAAGCACTCCCCCGCGTCCTCTCTCTAACCACGCAGCACTCCCCCTCGTCATCTCCCACTACTCGCGCGTCGCCCTCTACAGCCCGCGCGATACCCATCATGCTTACTCTCGACCTCGACGCGTCCGGTGCGGACGCGCATGCGCGTAGACAACTCGCGAATCTCTCCTTGGCGGTAGCCAAGTGCAAGAGGATAGTGGTCGTCACTGGTGCTGGCATCTCGTGTTCATGTGGCATCCCCGTACGTTTTCCGTTTCATCCGCGCGAATCGATAGTAATAGTGCGCTCTCAGGATTTTCGGTCGTCCGACGGCCTATATGCACTTGTTAAGCAGCAATACCCCGACGCGGTGCTGAAAGGACGCGATCTTTTCGACGCTTCCCTGTTCCGCGACCCGACATCTACTGCAGTCTTCTATACATTCATCTCTCAACTCAAGAAGTCCATTGATGCTGCGAAACCGTCTCCCACTCATCGCTTTATCAAGACATTGGACTCCAAGCGAAAGCTTCTTCGCTCATACACGCAGAACATCGACGGTCTCGAGGAACGGGTAGGGATCGTTAGTACCTCCAGCGAGGGGGTGAAGACGCACGGCAAAGGGAAGTCAAAGATCAGGACGAAGGACGTTCGCAACGTCCAGCTGCACGGCGACATTCATCGCGTCCGCTGCACCTTCTGCTCAGCCGATTATCCCTGCACCCCTGAGCACCTCGAAACGTTCCTCGCGGGCACACCCCCAGACTGTCCAGATTGTGCAGCACGATGTGAGTGCACGTATTATATGCGTAGGTTTGAGCGCGCTGATCGCCACCATGTCGTAGCCACCGAGCGCGTCGCTCGGTCTGCTCGCGCACTCAAGGTGGGCAAGCTGCGTCCGGCCATCGTCCTTTACGACGAGCCGCACCCCCTTGGCGACGACATTGGGAGTATCCAAACGGCCGACATCGCGCGAAAGCCCGACATGCTCATCATCATGGGCACGTCGCTCAAGGTGCACGGGTTCAAGAAGCTCGTGAAGGACTTTGCGCGCACTGTGCACGAGTCCGCGCCGTCGCCTTCTGCCTCTGCAGGCTCGCCCCTGAAGAAGAACGCGAAGAGTTTCGCGGGCAAGGTCGTCTTCGTCAACAAGACCGCTCCCGGGAGTGAGTGGGATAGCCTCATCGACTACCACGTCTCTGGGGAGACAGACCGTTGGGTGGAGAAGGTCATCGAGGACTGGAAGAAGGCGCGGCCCGCCGACTGGGAGGTGCAGAAGACACTCGTGGCTACGGGGGACGCCACCACTGGTGGTACCTTCCACGTCGCGAAGGAAATCACGAATACCATGGGCACCAAGGCGGCGAAAGGTGCGTCAATATGCCATGCTCTGTGGCTATGGTCCTGAAACATGTGCTGCAGGCGCGAAGCGGAAGCCTGCCCGACGACGCGAGAACGCGCCATTGCCCGAGGACGAAATATTCGATATCACACTCCCTTTGCCCGAGGCACCGCCCTCACCCTCGAAACGCCCGCAAAGCCGGTGCCACTACCACGACGTCGAGTCAAGTCCATCGAAGAAGTCACGCGATGGGAGACGTCCTGTTCGGGAGCCGGTACACTTCGAGGAACGTGGGCTGCTGTTCGGCAACGCCACAAACTCGAAGGCTCAGAAGGCACCGGAGGACGACTTCGACCTTGGGGAGAACGTCCAGAAGCCGAAGGCCGCGAAGAAGGTCGTGACGCACAAAATGCACACTTCGCAAGTTGAAGTGGTCCTAGAGTCCAGGCGGCCAACGAAGAGGGTTGCTCTCGCATGAACTCGTATCATCAGCATTGCTATCCGTTCATGAACCATGTGTATCATTATTCGTACATACGTTAACACGACTGCCCTAGTGAAGCGTTGTGCTTCCATTACCTATGATCTATGCGGACCCTGCACACCAGACCCGCATACACTCATACGCTAGCATAGTTTTGGCAGGCATGCCACAGAGTTTGAGGGGACATAGCGGAAGGGGAGGATATGAGAACACGTCGGATAGCCTGGCAACATAACAAAGCAAACAAAAAATACAGGTACTGCAAACACACCTACATCCCCTCGGACAAGACCACATGCCTATGTCTGCTCAGTCGCTGATGAGCTCGGACACACTCCAGTCCTCAAAACTGCCATCAGGGAGGTAACGTCGGATGATGAGAGGGATTTTGCGCTGGGAGAGCTCCTTGATAGCGATCTGGAGCGCGTCCGTCTCGCCGTCTAAGGGCACGAGAACGGGCGCGTTCATGCTGAACGTCCGCGCTCATGAGAACTACGATATGGCGATCCAGGAGATGCGAAACTACATACCTGATCTGCAGCGCCCTTGTCCCTAGTACTCGTGCACGTTCGTACTTGGTTAGGTACGGCGTCGTTACGCGTACTTTGTTTGGTTGTCGCTCTCCCTGAGCAGCGGGCCGGGCAGCCTCTGCTTGCGCCTGTTCGCCGTTTGTTGGCTCCTGCCCGCCCTCTGCACCGTTCGCGCCGGGGTAGCCATTCGCGTGCTCGCCATCCGCAGCGCCCTCGCCGTCCGGAAGCTCCGTAGCAAGCAGATCGTAGTTTTCATCCTAAAGCCACGCTCGTGTCAGGACAGTGTGTCCTATTAGTGCGAGTCTAGTACACCTACAAAGGCATCCTCGTTAAAACTAGAGCAATCCTTCTTCAGTGGCCGTACGGCAGGAGGCGTGAAGATCCGTGACTTACCCCGGTCCCTCGTAATCGTAGTCATCTCCGCCGCCGCCGCCACCGTATCCGTCGTCAGACATAGCTTGAATTGGCCTCTAGTATTGACTGCGAGAGATACCTAAGTCGAAGAAATGCGGCGGTTTCGGGCAGAAGGCACGATTGCAATGATGAAGACCCTTGTGGGATGCAGGCAAAGTGTGTAGGCGCCTGCAAACAAGCAGGGTCACGTGTGTGACTCTCCGCCGGACGTCGGCAGCGGCGTGGCTGTACCATATACATACTTAGTGTCGGTGCTGGTGCTATGTCCCCAGGCTTCGACTTCTCATCGAGTCTAGACATGCCCTGTCCACGTCGCTCGAAAGTCGGATGTCAGTCAGGTCTGTATGACGCGTGGCGCGATCTGCAGCGACCTCATCCGCTGGCAGCATGAAACAGGCTGCGCCGCCGCCGACTCGCAAAGCGAACATGCGTTGGGATTGGTTGTGGTTCGTCCTTGCTCGGGTTGGTACAGTGGTGTTGACTGCAATCAGGTTGCCCTTTGCAAGCACGACGGAGGACTGTCAGGAAGCTTGCGAATAATCGCATTTTAGCTCTCAAGAGTCGGCCTGCACGGCTCGCCTTCTCGTCTGATAAATGACCTCTGATATTTGACACCTGTTTGTCCATGACGCATTTCAGCCCCAGGGAACGTGAGTTATACTTGCTTCTCTTAGCATAATTGGCTTGCTAACGTCCTCAATACGGTTGGCTTGCAGTCGACTTGACATATTGTTGCCCTCTACTCTTCGATATAAAACCAAGCCGAGTAAGGGTTATCTGCTTCAGTGTTCCCGCTCGGCCCCGTCAGCGAATGAAAGGATTTGGATTGAATTCGATCTTCTACTGTCAAATGGTGCAGGGAAGCTCATAAGGTTTGCCCGCCGGCGACTGAAAAATATCTTTCTTAGGGCGGGTAGGCGCTTGGCCATATTCCCAGCCGTTCTGCGCAGTTCCGCGCTGTGCCCGGTGATTGGGCACAGGAAAGCAATGGGTTCGATATTCGGAACATCTCAAAGCTGTTGGCCGTATCGTCGACTCATGCCCGTTCGTTCTGACCGCTAACAGCGCACTATCAGCCAGGAACGAACGAGCCCCACGTGAGGGACGCGAAAGAATGTACGAGCTGCGGCGCTGTGACAAGGGGAACGGCGATCTGGCTGTATGGGCGGAACGCAACTGGGATCATCCTGGGCAGACCCTTGGACCTGTCACGGTGACGAGAGGATGTCCTTGCGCCCCCCACTACACCACCACGGCCCTCGCCGGAGTTTGTCTGTCTTTGCACGCCGCGGCTGCTTCTTCCGCCGCCGCTATAATGAACTTCATCCCCACCCACAGTTCTCTCTCATACCACCACCATCCCCGCATTTTCTCGTTCACTATCCCCACCTACAATTTTCAATCGTCCATGTCACCTAAACACCTCCCGAGGGACCGCGCCTGGGGCACACGCTATGATACACTTGATATTTCTCCGCCTTCCTCTCCTCCGGCGCGACGCTCTGCGACGGCCGAACCCGCCCACAGCCCTATACTATCCAATATAGCTCATGACCGTCCGCTGGGCTCGCGGGACGCGGATATTCCAATCACATGCACGACCGAGGGCCGCCCCGCGCAAGACGGGACACTTCATGACGCCAGTATCTTCGTTGGGAGGTGGCTACTACGATCCTTGATGAACCGTGGGATGTACTCAAACTAGTGCTCCGACCAGCCTCCCCGCATCCGTCGAGCATGGGGAATTGACTCAGAAATTATCCGACCATCTGTCGGGTTATTCCCATATCAAGACGATAAAGGTTGTACGAGACAGTCGTGGCGGCGTCTGTGCGTTCGTACAGTGCGAGGTAGGCAACATCCTTCGTCCGCCCGGTTACATGCTGCCAATTCATCTTGATCTTAACGCCTACAGACCCCTTCTGCTGCTGGCGATCTCTTACATTCACTGCAAACAAACCCACCAAGACCCTTTCTGGGCCGGTCCCTGCGATTCGAGCCTGCTAAGGCTTTCCGCGCGCTCCTGATCTCGTATCGGTGAGCGGTCGGGCAATATCCCACATATCCTATGAGCGATTTGACTCACCAACGTTGGTGTAGCGCTCCTGTTGGGTCTTTATCCTCCGGTTTCGATGGACGTTCTACAAACTTGCAACTCGCCAGTGCTATGCGAGTATTCCGTCCAAGGTCGGGAAAGTACGTATTGACCGGCAGTGCCTCATGATGGCTACTATATGCGCCTTGTCCAGACACCTCGGACTACTCTACGACGCAGAGGCCATCGCCTACGATGCTACGACCGTTGATGGATTGGCAGCCGATTCTCATGACGATGCCTTCAATGGAGTTGGTCTACTTCTTCATCCCATGAAATACGACACGGAGGCAGGCACATATCTGCTTTAAGAGTGCGAAGGTATCTCACTAATCATAATCTACAGACACTGCAAAAACTCGTTGAGGCTTTTGGCCCCTTGGAGAGCTTTGTAAAGTATCCTGAACAGCCGGAAGGTATGTAGTGTTTGATCAGTCAAAATGCATCATAGGAGTCGATTGTCATCAATATTTTTCGGCAGGGACGACGGTTGTGGGCTCAGTGGCTGTGCGACCTTACTACCCCTTGCCCCACGACGCCCCTCGAGCCCCGAACATGGATCCGGGAGTTTGGGAGGTAAAATGGAAAGATCGTGAAGATAGTGTCGCTGCCCTTCTCGTGAGTTTCACGTCTTAATTGTGGTTTCCCGACGCTCAACCCGACTTTAGACCCTGCGTCGCGTACCGCATCTGACTGTCAGTTGGGCCCATCATCCCGCCGTCAGCACGAATACCGGCCTTCGAAGATCAAGCATGTCCTCATCTCCTAGTCTGTGGGTATCTCCCGGTCGATCGAGGCAGTTCAACGGTCACTCTATCGACGGAAGCCTCCCGCCGACACCCATATCACCCGGTGGACCTCTCATTTTGCACATGCCGCCTGCTCCGGGATCACACGTCTTCCCCTCGCCTGCTGCAAGCCCCAAGGGCGAAACCGTACCTCAATCAACGTGGGCTACAGCTGACTCTCCATCTTTGACCATGCGGTCCAATCGAACTGCAGCGTCCAGTACTCGATGGGCTGATCAAGTTACCGACTTCTACGAGGGCAACATGATGTCGTTGTCGTCTTTATCTCTACACACGCACACCTCGGCGGGCAGCGCCATCAGCGATACCGTTACGGTACTGAATCCTGAGATGGGATCTCCCATTGCTGATGCTCATCACAAGCCGTCGACGTCCTACTCTCCGATCACGCCCAAGTCAGATAGGAACTACCCGCAAGCAGTCGATCCCATAACCTCGACGTCTCGTGAAAATGCTCCACCGACATCAGATGCCGACGGCCAGCCAGACCGCACCTTCGTCAACCCTCATGTAGTCCCGTACATTCCTGGAGATCGACGCAGGGAGATCGATCCATCAACCGTGTTCGTGGGCGGACTTGATATGCCAGGGCGTGATGACTGGGATGAAAACACACTGCGCCAAATCTTTGACCGCTTTGGGGTCATCGAGAGTGTACACATCGTCAGGCCTCGTGCGTACCCTCCATATGTTCCTCTTGCCGTCTAAACCTCATGCAATCCACAGTCAACAAGCGTACGGCATTTGCGTTCGTGAAGTTCACAAGCCCTGAAGCAGCCAATCGCGCTGTCCAAGAAGAGGTTGGTTCTTCCACATGCGACGTACTGCTATTTCGGTTGACGTTTCTATAGCACAATCAAGTACACGACGGCTATCCTATTCGGGTACAGTTACGGGACCGCACTGCTGCCCCTCGTGGTAATTGGCGTCCAGGACGCGGTCGCGGGCGGGGATTTCTTGGCCCTCCTCATCTTGTCAGGGGAGCCTCCTCCGTTGGCGCTGCAGCCGCCTTCCATGGTGGCGCCTTCCGCGCGACCAGTTCTCCCGTTATATCACAACCTCGATTTGCCACCACAATGATGTCTCCTACTGAGGACGTTGGACACAGATCTTCGTGGAGTGAGCATGAATCCCGGTTTGTCCACGCCGACCTGACAGAGGACGCCCTGCGTGGACGTAAATTACAGGATGCTGCTACCGGCAGCACCTCGTCCATATCCTCCAGCACTACAAAGGTTCCATCTTTGCGGTACGAGACCTCCTACGGAGCCATAAGCACGACTGCCTCCCCGACCCCTCCGCCCTCCAGCTCTTCTGTGTCTACACCAACCTCCTCGTTAGGTCCTGTGGCCCCGTACCCACTGAACGTGGGATACTTCCCTCCTCAGCCTTGGGTCCAGCCGTACGCCCCTTCGTATCCTTACGCCGTTCCTATGGTCCCTGGTTACGGGTACGCAGGATATACTTATCCGCCCATGCAGCCTGTGGCCTCTGCTTTCTACGCGAGAGAGCCGGGTCAGGATGCTACGAACCATGTCGCAGGCTGTACGGGACCTGTCTCGGCCGGAGACGGCACGTATAAGGTATAGGATTTATTACGTGTCTCCTCTCGGCGCATATGACTGATGACGGACTGTGCCTCAGGATCCTGACAATCGCGCCACCGTCGCGCCTTACCAGTCTGTGTCCCAGCCACCACTGAGGGCAACGGGCTTCATTCAAAACGAGCATGGTACTCTTATTCCAGTCTATCAACGCGAGGCTTTGGACCAGTACATGGCTAGTGCTTTTGGGGGTCAGGGGCCTCCATCGCAACAGATTCCTCCACACCCTGTCACGCCATTTGCGCCCTCTGGCGGTACCCCTTGGCACCAAGGTCCCGCGTTGCCAGTACATCCAGGTGGCTATCCGGTCGGCTTTCCCCGCGTAACCCAGCCTCCCTCGGGACCACCGGGACAGCATCGGTTCTGGATGCCCTGTCCGGTTCCTTACGGTGGCACAGCGCTTCCAGCACCGAACCTGCCTCCGTTTTCGACTCCTTGCGCGCCTGCTTCCTTGGCCCCTGTGAGTCCTCGTCGCGCCACAACCGTTTGTCGACCTCACGACGGACATCGTAGCGGTCCTCCTCTGAGACGCTTGATGCGTCGGGATCGGTATCACGCGCAGGGGACGTCTGAGAGCAGCCCCCAGAATGACATGGGCAGAGCTCCACACTCTTCAACTCCGACGCGAAGGTTCAGTCCGGATGCACGCATTCATAGACCAACATAGATACCTAAGGAGTGGCATGGGGGATACTGGTGTGAAGATGCTTTCTACATGCAGTAAGCATATCTCTCCTATATGTCCTTCCGACCAGCGTGCAGGGCACGATACGGCTGTCTCTACAGTCAACTACAAAGCAGTGTTTCGCTTCTCTCTCGCGTTATAATGTTATATTGGAACTCGGATAATCTTCCCAGGCACTAGCGAAGACTTGTACGGTACGCAGACAGGCTATTGAGTCCCGATCCAGTTGTTGTTCTCGAGTTTGCCGTAGTAGAAATGGCCGTAGTTGTACATTGTGCAGTCTTACTTTTGTGGTATAGAATTTCGCTGTGGTGCAATATATGAGCGGTTCAGGAACACACTTTGTATGGTTCAGATCGCGATGCATGCGCGTTGTGGCTGAAGGCTCCCGATCGCGATCTGATCTCCCGATCGCGTCACTCCGCCACGGGCCGCAGTGCCGCCTACATCGAGTCTCCTAGGCGGCCACCGCCGCGTTCAGAGTGAGCAACTTGAGTGCTCGCAAGCATGTTCTCCTCTGGCAGGCCATACTGGGTCCCATCTATCCTTCACCCATATCATTCTGTATAGTCCTCTTTCTCCCCCATTGCCTCCCTCTCCCTAGGGCCATCATGGCAGCCACTCCCCCGACACCGCTTGTGATCGTCGAAGGCTTTCTGAGCTGCGCAGGCGCGCTCGTCTGGGGACATTTCGAGCAGTATGCAAACCACGCCTGTCAAAGTAATGGAGAGGACGATCGAAGGACAATATTCACTAGGTCAGTGTATTGTGAACCTGTTTCAGGATCACTCTCATGCGAAGTCCATTTAGCGTGGGGCTTGTCAGCTCTCTACACGATAGAGCATGCGACCTATTCTACGCGCTAATAGGCGGCACAGGTAAGCTCTTTTCAGGAGCAGAAATACCTTGAACTTGTTGTCCAGATCTCTTCATAGTCGACTATGGCGCGAAACATGCACGCGAGAGCGGTCACAGTCGCTTCGGGCGCACGCACGCACAAGGTCTCTATCCAGAGTGGTCTTCCGATCGTCCATTGCACTTCCTTGGACACTCCATAGTGAGTGCTGCGTCTCCTTCCGTTTCACCCTTTCTTACTTGGTTCAACTCCTCTTTAGGGAGGGCCAACTCTCATCAAGTTGCAATGGTTGATTGCCACGGGGTTCTTCGGAAAGCAATATCACCCGGACATGATACTCTCCATCAGTACCGGTACGCGCATAGCCCTGCGTTCTAGATCCTGGCGCTGAGCTGTGCACCCAGTATCTGCGCCTTTCAGAGGAACACAGCTTGTATATACCCTCGGCGAAGATACCCGAGATGCCCCCAATGTCCGCCCGCTCTCCGCGGGAAACCTGCTCGCGAAGGCGATCCATGTGGCGTCGTATTTTGCGCCCTTCTTACCCTTCCTCGATCTTCACGCAGAGGCGAGAGGCTTGTCATTTCGTGACGCCTCGTTTGTTTCCTTTCTGAGGCAGCTGTGGCGGAGCGACTGGGCGGAGAGTCGCGATGCGACGCCGTACGACGTGACCTTCGCTGCCGCGGACGAGCGGGAAGCTGTACAAGAGGGGAAGGTCAACCCAAACACGTACTATCGCAGTTATTGCGCTACAATGGTGGGACACCACGTATCCGTACATTGCCTTCTACACCCACTCACAATCATGAGCAGAGCCACACTCATACCCCGTCCGATGCCAAGAGCACACCAACACTGCTACAGCGAATATCTGGCTGGCCGCTCTACTTCGCATCCCGTGCGATCATGACATTCCGTTTCTCGGACCTCCGACTAGTGCCTACCTTCCTGGAGACGGTTGGCCCCACCATGCCCGAGGACCAGCATGACGCGGACGCCGATCTCGAGGACGGCCTCGTCGACATCGATCAAGGCGGTGGGAATGGCGTCTCTGCGGCGTTGCGTGCGAACGACGGCGTCGTGCCACTATTCTCCCAGTGGCACCCGTACGATTGCAAGTGGGTCGAACCGCTGCCGTAATTGACTGCTTACTTACGTACGGTTGTATCAGGCTCACACGATGCATGCACTATAGCCATAGCGAGAGCGTGTTGAACGGCCCTCCGGAGAAGTCGCGATACCACGAGCCGCCAGTTGCAGGCGTTTGGCATGTCCACCATCTGGAGAACGCACACCACTTCTCCATCGCTCCTGTCTGGCTGGCCACAGAGAGCCAGAAGGCCTTCTGGACAGACCTAGGGCATTGGCTTCGTGCCGTTGACCATGCACGTCGGCACGCCAGTGGTTTTGGTAGCGTCCTTCCCTCAAATGTATGACGCACGTCACGCAAGCAATATCACTAAGGCCCAACATCGGACTGCTCGGAGGAAATGGTTTTCACGAAGTCTGTACGCCTACATTTATTAGGGATGCCGGTTGGATCACGGAATACATAGGAACAATCAATCTCACCAAAGCCGTGATAACAGTGTTGATGGCAAAAGATATAACACGGCACTAACAACCTGCTGTCCGTCAAGCATAACCATTCCTACCAGGGACGACGCCAAAGGCTGATCCGCCCTTGCCGAACATGTCTTGGAAGTCCTTTACAAGGGCTTCAGGCTGCTCATGCGCCGCGAAGTGCCCTCCGCGCTCGTGCTCGCGCTCGAAGACGACGTTGCCTAGGGTGTGCAGCCATCTGAAGAGCACATCATGCGTGATTCAAAGGCACATGAATGGACTAACACATACGTCCTTGGAGACTGGATGAGCTCTTTAGGGAAGGCCGAGTACCCGAACGGCACCGGGGCTCTTACACCGAGGATGGAGTCGTGGCTGCGGCTGCCCGTCATTTCCTTGTATATGCGAAGGCTCACCGCAGGCCCCGCGCGGGAGAACCAGTAGATCGAGACCCATTCGAGCACTGTCGAGTCGCGACTCATCAGTACCCAGTATGCCAGACTTGGTCCTGTACCGTGAAGGCAGATCCAGCTAGGCCATAGCAGCGGGAGACCCACCTTCATCGTCATCCCAGGGGTACTCGTCTGTCCAGAGGAAAAGCTTTTCGTATATCCACGCGAGGAGGCCCGCGGGTGAGTCGGCCAGAGAGTATCCGATTGTCTGGGGTTTTGTGGCTTGTTCGATGAAGTAACCGGACCCCGTCTTTTTAAATGCTGACGTGTACGCGATTCCCTTCCGTTCACGTTCGCTGTGTGGAGTTAGGAGGTGCTTGATATACAGCCAGGGGTGGGCGGATAAGGTAGGAGGGAGTGCACTGCAAAGCCCAAACCATGGTTATGGGAGAAGTCGAATGTGACGAGAGATCTAACGTCAACGCACTCGGTGTTGTTGGACAGCCAACCTTTGACGTGTGTGGGACCGTAGTATGTCGACAGAAATCCTGTGATCTGGTTGACAGACACTCAGCGCATGACTGTGCAAGCAGTCAATGGTGCGCGACGGACTTCGTGACCCCAGTCTCCTCCCTGTGCGACTATTCATCGAAACGGAGTGAGCGGTATTGCGAAGAGGATCGCTATCCTTGAGAAATATACCATATTCGTTGTACCCCAAGCTGAGCATGAGTTTGTTCGCAACCTCTGCATACTGGCGGGAGGCGAAACCTTTCTTCTTCGGTGCCTCGGAGAATCCGAACCCTGGTAGGCTGAGTGCGACAACGTGGAAACTGGGATAGACCAGCCCAGGAAGGAGCTTTCGGACCTCCAGAAAATGCCCAGGCCCTGCGTGAATAGGCTCACGATCAACATCGTTAGCGGCCACAACAAAACTGCGATACGCTCGCGATTCACAACCATGGACGAAGAGGAGCGGAATGGCGTTCTCCAGCTTGCTCCTTTGGTGCAAGTAGTGTATGCTCAATGTCCCGAATCCTTCGACCGGAATGTCGCGGGTGAACTGGGGCAGTTTGTTGATTTCCTCCTCGGACTTTCGCCAGTCGAAGCCAGCTTTCCATCGCACGACGAGCCGCTTGACGTGCGCGAGTGGTACACCATAGCCCCATCCGGCGCCGTCGAGCCCGTCGGGCAAACGGGTGAGGGCTAGCTTCTCGTGCAGGACTGGCAGGTCCGTGTCAGAGACGTGCAATGTGAACGTTGCTCCGGTCCCGCCGACATACTGAGCTAGCCTGACCAGGATACTGGAAGAGTATGACACCGTGTTGAAGGGCTACCGCCTGGCCATTAGTATTGAGATGAACTGCGCTTACTCAGACTCTGAAGGGCTTAGACGGCGCAGTCAACATGACAAAGACGACGAAGGTATCGACATGTCTGATGGCAAAGGCGGACGTGTGGGTCCTGAGTGGAGGACGTCATTGCGCAAGTCTCGTGATAGGGAAGTCTGTTCTTGCATGTCGGGCATCGATTCGTCCTGCTTACTTGGCCGCGCGATGGGTATTGACGTTCGACGCCGGGTACTGTAACAGGGAAGATTCCTTGGGAAATGGTTGCATGTCGGTAAGCAGTAGAGCAGCAATCGACATACCAGCATGTTTGCAGCGTCGACCAGTCATTCATCTCAGAAGCCGGTTTGCATCTACATCGCGACTATCTATAAGCCAGACTAATGGAGCATTGGACTATGGTCTATGGGGGCAACGAGGTGGCGACGGGCGGTATAAGATGGGACTTATGTGTGACGAAGAGACGGGTAGCAGGCCGTGCGCCTGGCAATAGATGTGGGTGCAGGCAGTACTAGTGCAGGAACGATTCAGATGGACGTCACGGGCGCCGCGCCGCGAGGTTAGACTTCTGTCGTGGTATTTTTGGCCTCACTTCTACGAATGAGAAGTTGGCTGCGCCTGCCTTGCCCGTCGCGACTCCTTTGCACGCCTCCGAACATCTAGTGATGAAGCCCTAGTTGCAAGACATGGGAGACGAAATGCGCCGTGGCGACGAGTACAGCGTTTCCCAAAATGGGGGCTACTCCGGAGGAAATACGAATAGATGGCTTATGTAAGGAAGCATGGCGGTAACACTCCTGAGACGGATGGTGATTGTGGTGATCTCGGCCGCCCAGCAGTGCCACGGCGGGCTGCATGCAGCACCGTCCCTGCTTCGTTGCTGTCTCATACAGCCCCCATGTTCCCTCGCCGTCGCTGACGGCTCCTTTCATCTCCTTCCTGCCGGTCTTCCCCTTGACTTCGTGCCCACCCTGCAGCCATGTCCTCTGAAGCATTTCTATACTTTGACGACACAAGTTCCGTTTTCTCGTACTCAGGCAATTGGTTCGATAACACCGACCTAGAAGGCTTCCTGGCCCACGGAGTCTTCAATGACACCATCTCGTCTACAGCAACTCAGGGTTCCACCGTCAAGGTCGACTTCATCGGTCAGTGGTCCTGAAGCACCAACCCCAACATCTCTCTGACTCTCTGGTCTCCGTGCTGCAGCATCCCAGATCGTCGTAATTGGCGCCACAATAGCACCCCCGAACGCACCGAGCGGTTCAGGCCCTATATCATCCTACGTCCTCGACAACTCCCAGAATTCCGCATTCCTCTTCGAGGCTAGCGCGACCAACGCGACCGGTGTCACCTTCTTCAACTCTGGCCCCCTCTCGGCGGGCAAGCACTCACTCGAGATCACCGTCCTTCAAGTAACAGACGGCATCCCATTCTTGCTTGATGCCGTCGCTGTCGGCCAACCCCAGGCCACTCCTAGTACAGCCGTCTGGGTGACGACCGTCTTCGCAACGGGCACGAGCGCCCCGACTTCCGTGCTCGACCACAGCACCGCGACGTCGTCGACCGTCGCATCCTCAGCGTCCAGCTCCAAATCCCTCCCCATAGGAGCAATCGTCGGCGGTGTCGTCGGCGGCGTCGCGCTGCTTGTCGGCGCCGCACTCGCGTTCTACTTCCTCTACTGGAGGAAGAGGCATTCCCGAGATTACGAGTACCGCGGCTTCTCGGGCGACCCGTTCGATACCGGTGCGTGCATACACACTGACCATCAACCCGCCCAGTCCTCCGAGCTGACCCGAACACCTCACCGCCACAGAGAAAGATCATCTAGCACGCCCACCACCTCCACCAACCGCGAGCGAGGGCCGCTTCTCGGCGCGATACTCGCAATTCGAACCCTTCCTTGCCCCCACCAGCCCCACACCATACACCGACGCACCCTCCGTCACGCCGCATACATCGATCTACGGAGCATCCGCGCTCGGAGCAGCTGGAGCAGCAGCAGCAGCAGCGGGCGTAGTGGGAGCAACGGGTGCCGCAGCAGCAGCACACACCTACCCCCCAGCCCAAGGCAGCGTGCTGAGCAGCTCGACATCAGGCGTCGGCCGCACACTGTCGGTCGTGAACGACGCGGGCGACGTCGGCCTCGGCCTCGGCGCCGCCGCCCTCACTCCCGCGGAGCGCAAAGCGGCAGAGGCCGCGGGCGAGAAGGGCGGCGCGGGCGCCGACCAGCCCGTGCAATACCACGCGGACTCGGGTGTGCGCTTTGACAGCGAGGGCAAGGCGGTAGAGGCGTCTGGCTCTGGCTCTGGCTCCGGCTCCGGCTCTGGCCCGCACGAGCCAGAACCGCTGGACGTGCCTCCCGAGTATACTGAGATATGACCGCAGCCGTCTCTGGTCTGCATGTCTGAGATTCGAGGGCAGGGTCGGGTGCGTGGGAGTCGGAAGGGGAGAGGGGGTATGGCGTCGGACTTGGGCTGCCGCATTGGCAATGGACTCCAGAGCACTTGATACTCATACAGTTTATAGCGTTTACGATGATTGTACGCGACGCATTGCTAACTTACGGTTGGCGTGCCTTCGTCAGACCGTGCGGTTCGGGACTTGGTTGGCAACGGCGACTGCGAGGCATCGCTCGTTGTGCGTCGTCTTCCTATCGTATCTCACAGCCTCCTCACGTTCCTTCCCATGGGTGTACGGCATGTCTTGATATGTTTTGAGACCTGATGAAACCTTCTGGACAATGAATTGTATTGTCGAAAAGTCCCCTCGTCCTTGCCGCCCGATCACCGCTGGACTCGATCGGCAGACAAACGATCGGTGCAAACTCGACGACGCGATCACGTGTGGCAACGACTCGCACAAAAAGCCAGCAAAGTTGCGAAGGCTGAAGGAAGGTGGGTATGCATAGTACAAGTCTACAAAAAATAGCGCCCCCTGAGCTGTGCAGCAGGACGTCCCAAACGCGGTCGCGGGGTGGGGTAGTAGGGTAGAAATACAACTAGGTACAATGTGCGATAAAGTCCGTATGAGTAGTCGTCGGGCAGTGTTCTGCGCGCAGAGCAGACGGATATAGCAGGGGCGACGTATGGCAGCAGGGGCACGGGCAGGATGCAGGTATGGTCATATACAGAGTGCGAGTGTGGCGGAACGGAACGGGGCGTGAGATGGGTGCATATACAGCGGACGTCATGAGTGGATGCATGAGTGTGGCATGGGCGAGCCGGGGAATACAATGCGGATTAGGTGTGTACGAGAGCAGCTAGGATAGCACTGTTGTACACTGCCGGTGGGGCGGCACGGTGCGGTGAGCCGGTTGCGGAAGCCATAGGGGTGCAGAGGATACTCACAACAGTCCGTGGGGGGATATCATGGGCGTTTGCCCGTAAACCATGACAGGCAGACGCTGCCGACGCCGGCGATGTATACTCGCGCGTTGAGGCGACATACCTGTTAGCCACGCGAAGTCAGTGAGCGGACACGCGGATCGCCTCGCTGCAGACTCACCGTATCTGCGACTTCGGCTTTACGGAAGTCAATGTGCAGATCCCCGTTCGGCACGCGGGTGATCGAGTTCAGCTCTCCGAACGACTGCGGATCGACGTGAGTCCGTCGCTCGAGGTACAGACGCAACGGCGAAGACGCTCACCTCGCACCACTTCCTAACGGCATCGAAACGACGTTCGTCATTGGGCGGGATGCCGCTGATGATGAGCTTCCGCTTCCTGCGGGCCTTCGGGCTCGTCAGCAGACTCGTGACGCTAGGGAGGGTCGTGGGTGTCGTCGGCTTCCACGTCATAGGCGTGCCCTCAGAACCGGAGAGGTCTCTATCCCGGGCGATAACCGCCGTGGATTCTGGGGGGTCGTTGATATGCGTGGCATCCGTCGGGAGCGACCACAGCGAAGGAGACGAGCTGAAAATAGTCGTGGATGAATGCGAGCGAATGGAGCCGAAGTACATCTTGCGCGGCGCATCGGAAGACGTGCGCGCGTAGGTCGTCGAGGAGCCCGAATGGGTCACGCTGGAGGAGGTGCTCGGGCGCGGAGGAGGGGAACCGTTCTCTGAATCATCGCGCTCGTCCGGGGGAGTAGGGGTAAAATGGCCTGCCACGGACGGACGCTTGAACTTCCATGCAGTGGTCTTCGGGGGAGTCACTGCGGGCTCGGCGAGCTCTGGACGGGCGTTCCGCTGTGATCCTCGCTGGAGAGCGTTCACGGTCGACAGGCTTGAGCCACGGCTGTGGGAGGCGGTGCGCTCGTTCCGGCGGAAAGTGCCTGTGGAGGCCGACGAGGCTGGGCTGTGTGGCCTCTGGGCACCGGCGACAGGAGCAGACGGATTGCGACGGGATGAGAAAGTGAGGTGGAGGCTGCGGAGCGGGGAGGAGGCATGGAAGATGCCCTGCGAGTTGCGGGCCTTGCGTGGGGTCGACGTGCTGCTGCTCGGCGTGTCTGGTCTGCCCGCTGAAGCCTGTCTCCGACCCGCACGGTCAGCGGAGCGCCCGGACTCGTCACGTGCGTCGCGACGTACCTGCGTGACATTCGCGTCGCTGCCTCGGGGCACGCGTCCGTTCGGTTGCTCCGCGAGCACGTAACCTCTACCACGCCCCCTCTCCTCCGTCTGGCTTTTGGCTAGCGACGATGCGCTCATGTGCGGGTAGGCGAGATACGGGTTGCCAGCGGACGACGTGGCGGCGGGCGGTGGGGCTTCGTCAACAGGCGTCGTGAGATGCTGCTGCTGGTCTTCGATCCAGCGGTATGTTCTGCTCGAACTCCGGGTTCTCGAGCTGCGGGATACGGATGACATGCTGGAAAGGATATCGTCGTCGGTGTTCTGGGAGGTCTTCAGTCCGCGGATGGTAGCGGTGGAAGAGGGAGTTGGGGGTTCTATACGTGTATATGTATGCGCATGAGCGTGGACGGCGCGCGAATACCGAGTACGGGGAGTGGGCTAGATGGGAACACACGACGCACCTGTCAGAATTGGGCTGGGATGCATTGCGTCGCCGAGGCGCTTGAGTGGGTATAAAGCCTGTTGGCCAGATACAGGGAAGTCGGTGGAAATTGCTGTCAGAGGATGTAGAGTACGTTCGTAAACGGCGTTTGGGGGCATCGTGAGTGTCATTCCGGTCGTAGGAGGGGAAGGCGGGAAGAGGGGAATCAGGGCGTGCGGATCATTGGGGGAGAGGGACAGAGCATGAAGCGGGGACGAAGGGGAAAGACGGACAAAGAGGCACGGCAGACGTCGACGATAAATATGCGACGAGCGAACGAGGACGGGGCCTATATCCGGTTAGACAACTGCAGCCCAGCACTGGCACGCCTCGCATGATGGCGGGCGTGTTCAGCCTCGTTGGTCATCGTTGACGTACTGCCGCAGAAACGTGTTCTGCCCATCAACCGCCTGCTGTTCCCATCGATACACCGTCCTAGCCTCAGCCACCACCCACGCTAGCCACCGACAGCCTCCTGAGGGGCTGCAGCAACCCAGAAGCACCCCTCTCCATGCTGCCATCTGCATTCTTTGGGGACCAGACTCGGACGTCAATGCACCCAGCGCGCGATGCAGTCGACGATCACAGGGCGTGGCCACGCGCCCCCACCTTCCGACGTCTCTGTCGTTTCGCAGCGCTCGGCAGGCGGAGATGTTCTATCCGCCCCTTCTATCGACGCTGCACTCCCGTCTTATCCAGCATCGTGCGCCCGTCCGCCGCGAAGCCGACCCGGCGTCGCAGCTGAGTTCAACGTATGTACAGTCGACACCCTCTTAACCCATAGCCCTCGGGACAGGCCCAAATATATGGGTTTTGAGGGGTTATGGGCTACCAGAACTTTAGCGCCTCATAAGCGCCCTGATAAGTCCCAGTTAGCGAGGGCTGAACAGGCGTCTACTGACCCTTTGAGGGAGCGCTATGGGATTTCGAACACACTAACCTACCCACAACATTGTCGAAGCGTGGATGGACACTGGGAGGACACTGGGAAGAATGTGTCAAGTATTTTGTGGGTTATTTATGAGCAAAATCTCAGTGTGACCACTATTACCGTATGGGTTTTGAGCCCTAGAAGGCTATGGGTTATGGGGTATTGGGGACCTATGGGTTATGGGGTCGAATTCCCCCTATCCCGACTTGGGAAAGCCAAAATCCTATGGGTTTTCTGAGTTTATGGGTTACCAGGGGTATGGGTTAGGAGGGTGTCGACTGTATGTACTCATATGCCTTTGTCCAACATGCGTCCGCCTTGTTTCTCCGCTGGTCAGGGCACGCTCGCCGTGGCGTTTGCTTCCGCTCGTAAGCGAACCCCAGGTCCGACCTATCGATGCCGTGCCACCGGATGTTCGGGAACGCCTCCGTGATATGCATCCGGGGCCGACGCAGTCCGACATTGATGACGATGCGCTGAGGACACAACTCGCCTGGAATGATGTTGATTAATTCCGAGATACATACTACTTAGAATGTATGTCATTCACTTTTACGCACCCTTCTATCCAGATAGTGGCTCTCGCGGGCGATCCGGGCTCGCAGGCGTGGGGTCAGCCGCCGGTTGTGCAAAACTATACGATCAAGCGCAGTCAATCTGATCTCGAGGCCAACGGAGCGTCGAGCGGACGATCCCTCTGAGTATCCAGATATGATCGCGCACGAGCAGATCTCGGCGTTCGCTTCTCTCAACCGTCCGGCGTCGGCTAATCGCCTGTGGCCAATAACACTCGCCATACACACTTGCGACACGAACAGAGGCGGGACCTCCATGCAACAACGTTGCCCGTCAGAAGACCGCACCTGAGCTACATGTTGCGCGTCCAAACCTCCTGTTGCCGTCATGCGAGGGTGACGCGATGTCCCCAGTGCCACTTGGACGTTTTTGAGAGCGGCGCTCATCTGGTGCGCGGTGATGTGTGGCTGCAGAGTGTAGGCCGAGTTTCGAAGAAGAATGGTATATTCTGCTCGCGGTGAATGTGCGGGGTCCACAGACGGCTGGACTTGCACAGCCTGCTGCCGCACAAACGGAGTGCGTAGAGCAAATGTCCAAGAGCGTCGTCCGAGTCGAGTTGTATCAAACCTTCGTGACCCCGAATGAATATGACTGATCAAGGGACCCCATTTGTCGATTTCGAACGAGAACGAGCGCAGAGGACGCTGACACCAATTCATCAAAGCTTCTTGGGATGATCGCAATACCGACAGACGAGCGCAGCTGACGACACGCAGGACTCGCTTCTATCCCCGCATTGCGATGACAGCGGCGACAGCAGTCACATTGTCGTGCATATGGCACACGTTTAATATGCATACAATATTCCCTGCGAGAACGGCCCTCAGCGACCGAGCAAGAGCCTAGCATTCAAGCCACGTCACCGCACAGCGATAATATCCTCTTCTCCTCACGAAACCGGAGAAGCTAAGACCTGAGAAGCTTCTGACGCTTCAGCCTCCCGCTGCGAACGCGTCCTCGCCAGCTTCTCCAGCATCTTGTCCACGATGTCCTTGAACAGCGGCGCAGTCGGCGTCCTCTGATACCGCTCGAGCAGGCCGAACGACCGCTCGCTCCCGCCCGCCGCTCGCTCCGCGGACTCGCCCGGCCGCTCGCCCTCCGCCGCGTCCAGCAGCGTCACCAGCTCCGTGTCGACCGGCAGGCTCCCCAAGAACGGCAGCCCCTCGCGCCGCGCCATCTCCGCGCCGCCCCCGGTCGAGAACACGTTGCTGATCTCGCCGCAGCACGGGCAGACGTACCCGCTCATGTTCTCGACGAGCCCGAGCACGGGCAGCGCCGTCGCGCGCGTGAACGAGAGGCACTTGAGCGCGTCGAGCAGCGCGACCGCCTGCGGGGTCGTCACGATCACGGCGAAGAGGCGGGCATGCACGGGCGCCATGTGCTCGACGAGGGAGAGGTGCTCATCCGACGTGCCTGTGGAGGTGGGTTCGCAGCGGGCGCCGCGCGGGGGAAGTCAGTCCAAGAAGCTTATTACGCCGGAGCGGGGAAGTGTCTGGGAAGAGCGAGGGGAACGGAAGATAGAAGCGGGCATACATGCGCGCAAAGGCAAACAGACACGGTGGACAGTGGGGGGTATGGCGGCGCGGGGACACGGCGGAGACGGGATCGCTGAAACTCACCGGGCGGGGTGTCAATGACGAGGTAGTCGAGCTCGCCCCACCGGACGTCGCTCAAGAACTGTCGGATCATTGCGTTCTTCTTTGGGCCCCTCCAGACGACCGAGTCCTCCTTCCGCTTGAGCAGAAAGCCGACGCTCATGCATGCGAGCCGTGCCTCGCTCCCGTCGGCGTATACAGGGACCCACCCGTCGCTGCTTTGATGCACCGAGTGACCGTCGAGACCCAGCATCCGTGGTATGGAAGGCCCAGTCAAATCCACATCAAGGATTCCGACTCGTGCTGTCGGGGAAGATGCGCGCAAGGAGAGCGCGAGCTGGGTTGAGACCGAGGACTTGCCAACTCCGCCTTTCCCGGAGCAGACGATGATGATGTTCTTTACGTTGCGTAGTCGACGCGACACAGGAGTATCTTCTACAGCAGTCATGTCGGCCACCGGTTTGAAAGCTTCAGGTGAAGGCAAGGGGAGAGCGATCGAGTCAGTGCTGAGACGAGCATGGGATAGAAAGACGATGTGTAATCGCGACAAAATCCGCCTCCTATGCCGCCTGCCGTTTTTGGACGAGAAGCGGCAACGGAAGCGCTCGAGCGCCCACCGCACTACACTTCCCTCACATCATGAGCCCGCCAACTGTACCATGAAAGCGAATCTGGCTAAGACGGTTGCTGAAAAAGGTGACTCATTCATAGCGACGACAGCAGGAGATCAACGTAGCATATATACAGCGCCAAGAGCCACGCTCATACACGGAAAAGGTCTGGTTTGTAGTTCCTAGGTAATACAATGGATCAGCCAACCGCCATGCCAGGTGGATACAAGTACGCACATCCTACACAGTCGTGCCATAAGGCCGCCAAGCTGGACCAAGGTCCCGACGCCCTCGAGTATTCGCATGTGTGTCCACCCGATCTCCTGGATCCAACTGTAAGCAATGTACAGAGCAGGTGGTGAGATAGGGCAGGCTAACCTTGATAAACTCAAGTTTTGTGTACTCGGGAATCCTGAGAGAAGGACAATCGTCAGGAAATGGATGTCTGAAAATTGGAGTGAACCGTACTCGTCAAACGTCTTCACCACCCGGAATATTGTAACGACGATATCGACAGCGCTGTAACCTTGATCCCATAGCTCATTCAGCCTGTCCATTGCTGCATCAATGTCTCCCTTCAAACATGACCGGATCATCGCTTGAACGGTAATGGGATGCGGCTGGTCGCAAACTTTGAAGACGTTGTCCCCAGACACGAACCCAAAGCCAGACCACGTCGACTGAAGATTATTGATAGCTTGTCGCATATCACCCTCAGCGGTGAAGATGAGTGCTTCAAGACCTTCGTCATTGTATTGTACCTGCCTAGGCTATCAGTATACACTGGATGAGGGCCATGTCAAAAGGTGGCACCTTCTCCATTTCGCATATCTCCAGGAGCCGCTTCAACACCTCCGTGTCTCTGAGCTTGGAGTACCGTAGTATAGCACAGCGACTCTGAATAGGCTCGATGATCTTGTTGGACATGTTGCAAGCGAGCGCAAAGCGGGTGGTATTGGCATAGATCTCCATGGTTCGTCGGAGTGCTTGCTGCGCTCCGGCTGTCATACTGGAAAACGCGTCGAATATATGCTGCCCCCACTAGCAAACAACCCACCTGTCTGCCTCATCCAGGATGACAATCTTGTGACGACCTGATGGGAGCGTCACTTTCTTCTGCGCGAAGGCCTTGATTTTGTTTCGGACGACATCAATACCTCTGGCAGGGTCTCAGAGCACGCACTGACGGCATTGCTGATAAACGCACCTCTCATCAGAAGCATTCAGCTCCAGCACTCCTTCTTTGTACGCGTCTCCGAGCAGCTGGTGGGCCAAGCAATGTATGCTTGTGGTTTTTCCGATACCCGGCATTCCCTAACGACGCAGCGTGAGACACGGGTGTCAGCAAGACCCACAATACTCACAGATATAATAATATGTGGGCAGTTTCCATCCCGCGCAATGACCTTGAGCCGCTCGATGGTGTCTGTGTTGCCGACAACGTCGTCGAGGACCTGTGGCCGGTACTTCTCAACCCTGGGAGGGACTGAGGGCAAGTAGCTGAGGAATAAATACATCCAGCGTACCATGGGAGCTCGTATGGGAGCGTCGAAGCGGCGCCATTAGCGGGAGCCTTGCCCTTGGCGGCAGAAGAGGACATGGTGGTCGGTGGTGAGGGCGCGGCCGTGACCTGGTGCGACGCGTGACGGACGCGTCAAGAGGCGAGACCTGCGTGACACTCGCGAATTTGCGCCGCGCGGACCCTGCGGCAAGTCTTGGACATGGCCAGACCATCTACAACGACTTCCGATGTTTCTGCACGATACCATCTGAGGTCCGCTTCCTTCATCGCGGCTGCTCATCCCGACGTTTTCCTCCCTGCCCAAAACGCCCGACTCGCGCTGTGTCAAACTCGCCTTAGGCTCCTGTGACCCGCAGACCACGTAAATCCCGCAAGCTTGAGTCACTGAGTTGGCCTTACCGCGGACCTTCCTTCGCCCAAGTTCTCAGGCTCTGCTAGACCCACACTATTCCACCGTCTGCAGCTTCGCTCACTTATAGATGTCGGAAGCCAACGTCGGCACCCCTCTGGCCAACTCTGTCGGCCTGGTGACGCAGTCACCTCTTGCCTTCGCTCTTGTTCTCGTTGGACTGTACTGGGCTCAGAAAATCATCCGTGGAGCTGACTCTTCCCGTCCTCCGCGCACACCGTACTGGATACCATGGGTTGGAAATGCAGTAGAGATGGGCAAGGATCCAGATGGATTCTTTAGTAACATGACGTGCGTTCCGTTACGCACTCCCAGTAGGCTGCTACATAACCCTTCGCTGCTCATCAGGAAGACACTCGGGCCTATCTTCCGCGTCACAACGTTGGGCCAGGAAAGGGTGTTCGTAACATCGCCATCGGTGTGTATTCTTCGCCCGGCCCAGGACTTCTACGTTCTGACTCTACGCCAGCTCATTAGTCAAGTGTATCGCGATTCACAGGTACGTCCACTATCTTATACTACACCAACGATAGACAAATGTCTCGCAGAACTTCGACTTCCTTGCTGTTCGCGTCGAGATAGGCCGGCAGGCGTTTTCCATCGACGATCGGGTCGGTACGACTCCATACATGTTCGACAATTACATGCCTGCTCTTCACCACATCTTGCTCCCTGCCAACATCAAGTCCATGACTTCGACATACCTCCAGAGCGCTCATGACACGCTTGTCGGCGCCATCTCTAGCTTGGATGGGGCGTCTGGCCCCCTCAAGACCATCATCATACCCCCAGCATACCGCGCCGCCGCCCATGCCGGTTTCGGTCCAGACTTTCCTGCAGAGAAGACCTGGAAGGGTTTCACAACGTTTGACGAGAGCTTCCACATGATCAACGCTGGCCTGCCCAGGTTCCTGTTCCGCAAACAGTTTAAAGCATGGGAGGGCGTGACAGACATCATACAGGCGTATCTTGAAGAGAAAAAGGACGAGGTCCACGAGCTGAGTCCGTTCCTTCAGGCTGCACTGGATGGACGTCAAGCCGGTTGGGCATGTCGTTTCGCAGTCCCTCAACCGAGCAATCGCATATTGACAGTCGCTGGTCTTCTAGACGGAACGTGACATCTCCATCATTCTTGCCACCCAGCTGTGGGCCCTGCAGGCGAACGCCATCTGGGCCGCGTACTGGCTCGTCGCCGAACTGCTCCAGCAACCTGACGGTCTCGCTCCCCTCGTCGCCGAGCTGGACGCTGTCCGCAAGCAGTGGCAGGCAGCACACCCGTCCACGCCTTTCGGCCCCGCGTTCTTCGACGACATGATCGTGTCGAATCCCAAGGACGTCCCGCTCCTGTCTTCGGCTATCCAGGAGACCCTGCGGTATAGCAGCTCAACGTTTTCTATGCGTCACGTTACGGCCCCTGTGCAGCTCGGAGGCTACGAGCTGCGCCCGGGCGACAAGGTCATCTGTGTGACGCGGCAGACCCATCTGGACGAAGATATCTACCCCCGCGCGAATGAGCTTGATATCCGCAGGTATCTGGACCCCCCACGGCCGGTGAAAGACGGGAAGCCCGTGCCGAATCACTTCATGGCGTTTGGCGGTGGAGTGTCCATGTGCGAGGGCAGGTATGCGCACTGTCTCTAGTCTCATGCCGTACAGACATTCTGACACACCGATGCCTTGCAGGCACTTCGCGATGACGGAACTCCGGCTGTTCGTTGCGATCCTTTTGACGTATGCGACGCTGGAGGTCGACGAGGGCTGTACGACTCGTCCGGAACTCAGCCGGGAGCGGATGGGATTGGGTATCATGCACGCCAACGGAGACATGGATGTCATCCTGAGGAAGCGCAAGCTGTAGAGCGTCGGAGCATCGGGCTGCACGCCTCTCATCTGACCACTAGATACCGATACCTTGGTGCTTTGATCTATCATACATATACCCGGCCATTTGAACACGTTCTGCCTAAGTTGTATGGCTTGTGAGCCCCTCATGGACACATCTAGTAGGGGCACTTCGTTTATGCGTGCTCTGGGCACGCCGAGGCGCTCGTTGGACGCGTCGGGCCGGCGTGACGGTCGTGGCAGTCACAGCAAGCCGCGTCCGCAAGCGCCCCCCAGCACGCTTGATTCTGGACGATCCGCTCCTGCTTCTCGCCATTCGCATCCTATGCGACGTTAACGCACCATGCAACTTAGCTATGCGTCGACTCGGTGGATGCACAATGCATGCCTGAGGCGCTCTTGTTGTGAGTAGAGATACCCATAACATCTTGACTCTGGCTGATGCTTCAAGAGGTCTCAGTCTGCGGGCCTACTCCACCGGGCCCGACCGCGCAGCCACGTCGACGAGTCTGCCAAAGCCCAGGTTGGACTACAGAGACATCTCCGAGAACGTCGTCTTCAAGTCGCACAACGCCTTCAATCGAAAAGCGCCCCTGCCCGTCGGCGCGGTCCAGACCGTAGCACGGCTGTATGAGGAGCAGAAGGACCTGTCGCAGACATTGAACGCGAAGAGGCACGCGCGTTCGGTTTTCGGTGAGCGGATACGCACTCTGGCTCAGGACCCGCAGAAGAAGCAGGCCGTGCTGGACGAGGCGAAGGCCCTGAAGGCGGAGATCTCAGAGCTTGAAGACCGCGTCGCCCAGCTTGAGGACGAGCTGCACACCCTCTCCCTCGCAATCCCCAACGACACACACCCCGAAGTTCCTATCGGCCCCGAGTCCGTCGCAGTTACCCTATCCACCCACGGCCCCGAGCCCATCCCCGCCTCCCCCGCACGCGACCACGTCTCGATATGCCGCGCCCTCGACATCCTGGACCTCGAGGCCGGCGCGACCGTCACGGGCTCCTCGTGGTACTACCTCAAGAACGAAGCCGCGCTGCTGGAGCTCGCGCTGACCAACTACGCGCTGAGCATCGCGCTGAAGTACGGGTACACGCCTGTCACGACCCCCGACGTCGTCCGCGCGGACATCGCGCGGCGGTGCGGCTTCCAGCCGCGTGATCCCGTCGACGGTGCGGCGTCGCAGATGTACCATCTCGCGCACACGGCGGACCCTGCCGCTCTGCCGAGCCACGGTCACCCGGAGCTCGTGCTGGCGGGCACGGCGGAGATCCCGCTCGCTGGGATGTTCGCGAACAGGATCCTATCTGCGAGCGAGCTGCCTGCGAAGGTCGTCGGGCTGGGGCATGCGTTCCGGGCGGAGGCTGGCGCCAGAGGGGCGGACACGAGAGGGCTCTATCGCGTGCACCAGTTTACGAAGCTGGAATTGTTCGTGGTCTCGGGCGAGGAGTCGAGCGGGGCAGTGATGGAGGAGATGCGGAAGATGCAGGCGGAGATCTTCGAGGGCCTCGGGTTGTCCTTCAGGTACGTCTTGCTCCGCTTGGCTCGCCTGCACTGTGGTCATTGAATCGCTCGCTAGGGTGCTCGAGATGCCCACGGAGGAGCTTGGTGCGAGCGCGTACCGAAAGTACGACGCCGAAGCCTGGATGCCTGGCCGGGGCGGCTGGGGAGAGATCTCGTCGACCTCGAACTGCACCGACTATCAGGCGCGTCGCTTGCACATCCGCTACCGACGACAAACACCTCCGTCGACAGATGGGTCTTCACATCCTGCGGAGCAGGCACAGGCAGCTGTTACATTCGCGCATACGCTGAATGGGACAGCGGCTGCCGTGCCTCGCTTGATCGTCGCTTTGGTCGAGAACGGCGCTGTGTTTGATGGCTCCGGGACGGTCGTCGGTTTGAAGCTCCCTCGGGCTTTGCAACCGTTCTGGGTCGGCGGCAACCCTCGGGGCTTGGTTCAGTGGGTATGAGGGTTGGCTGGTTGTCATTACGGAGGCCACGGTGTATCGTACAGACTAATTCTAATGGGCAGGGATGGCGACTCGCACGCCGCTCACATAACCACATAGTCTTGTCCGGGGTATGTCGGTGTTGTGCACCGCGGATCGCGGTTGTATCGAGAGAAGCGTGCCTTGGCTTCGACCGGCTGTAGTGTTCGAGAGCTATGCACGATGTATCCAGCAGTTTATAGACGTCTTGGGGGCAGAGCAAGTGGCTAATCAGAACGTGCCTCGGTGACGAAAGAGTGCGGGTTAATGTCGGATGCGGCATCGGGACGGTCGCGTGGTGTGGACGGGGATGGCAGTGATTGCAGGTACTGCCAATAGACATGGGCGCCTGGCATGTTGTGGGCGAGACGTCACTGGGCCACTGGCAGCTCAGGACATCCCGGGCGGTGCCCCGGCCCCAGCCCCTTCCTCCTTCCCTCCCACTTCTATCTGCACCATGACGTCTCTCTACAAGCAGGCCTACTCCGCCTTTGTCAACGAGAAACCACGCGTGAGTCTTGTATCTGTGCGCCAAGCGTTATCATTTCCGACGTCGGCTGCCGCAGTCCTCTATCACGGAGTGGGTGGAGATCCTGACATCCAGCAACTACGACGCAGAAGCATACGATGGGTGAGTGGTTCGTAGTCGCGGCGTGTACCCGCGATCTCACCTGGCTCGCGAACAGAATCCCTGAGATTGTGGAATCTATCAATATCCAGGCTACCGGGTGAGTTCCCTGCATCGATTCGTGAGAGCCCAGCTTAGCCTTTCATCAGGCCCGCGGAGGCCTCGCGGGCCATCCGAAAGAAGATTAAGCATGGCGACCCACACGCGCAATACCGCGCTCTCCATGTGCGCAGCGAAGCCATCCTGCCCCGCGCGCTCCCCCGTCTGACCTTTGTGTGGTTAGATACTGAAGGCGTTGGTCGAGAACGGCGGCCCGAAGATCCAGAGTATGTGCTGCAGTGCTCATGCGAGCGTAGGCTTCTACGCGTATTGACCACCGCTGTATGCAGGCTCCTTCAACGACCATATGCTTATCGACGCGATAAAGCATCTTGCCGCAGACCCCGCCACGGACTCCAAGGTCAAGAAGAAGCTCACGGCCGTCCTCGCCGGGTGGCGCCGCCAGTTCGCGGACGATCCGTCGATGCAGTATGTCGCCAAGTTGTACGACCAGTGCAAGATGGCGCAGGCAGATCGTATCAGCGCGGACAAGCGGGCGATTGAGCAGGTGAACGCGGGCATCGGCGTGGATCCTGATTACATAGAGAGAGAGAGGAAGAGGAAGGAAGCGGAGGCTAGGAAGAAGAAAGAGGAGGAGAAGAGGAAGGCAAAGGAGGAGAAAGAGAAGAGAAGGCGGGAGGAGGAGGAGAGGAGGCGTAAGGCATCACAGCCGAAGACGAAGAGGAAGCCGTTCAACTTCGAGCAGGTGTGTTGACTTGTGCTCTATGCCGTCTCTCGACAGGAGTGCCAATGTCCCGATGATCTTGCAGGAGAAGCCTCAGATCCTCACTGCAATTGCGAATGCCTCCCAAGCTGCTAGTAACCTAGTGAACGCCATGACCGTAAGATGGCCGTTCAATGCGCTCTAATGTCTGCGTCCTGATTTTGCTACAGCTCGTCAACCCTCAACAAGAGAGTTACGAATCCAGTACGCGGGTGCAGGAATGCTTGGTGAATGTCAAGCAAGCCCGGAAGCAGATTGTCCGTTACATTCAGGTAAGTAATCAGGTGATGAATTGTCAAAATGCGATGTTGACCCGTTTCGACAGCTCGTGGAGAACGAAGACATGATCGGCGTCCTCATTGAGACGAACGACCGTATCATTGCCGCAATTGAGAATTACGACCTGGTGGGTAAACCCTCCCCCGAGTGTGGCCTCGGCTCACGGCTTGTCCCAGCTCACCAAACCAGACACCACCGAGGCGCAGGTGAAGGAGATCCAAGAGGGCCTCGCTGCCGCGAAGCTTTCCACGGGCGAGCTCGCCAAGCTGCAGGACAAGCAGCGGGCAGCCATCAACCGGTCAATCGGACGTTCAGGTACTTCGAGCATGGGCCCAGGTTCTGGGGACGAGAGCCCGACCAGTCCCTCGAGCCCCTCATATGTCCACCCTGACCTGCAAGATCTTCAGTTTGGCGCACTGGGTTCCGAGCAAAGGTAAGGTCTGTTTCCATGGCTGTCGACGCCTAACTTACTCAACTTGTGCGCCGCCGCCACAGGGGGCTCCCACCACCGATACGACCCACCTCGGCTCGTCGCTCTTCGTCCGAAAACGACGACACGTACCGCCGTGGTTCTCTCTCTGACTATAGCGACTACCAGTCCTCGGACGAGGACACGCATAACCGTGCAGGACCTTCCTCGAGCGTGCAGCCTCGACGCGGCTATGTCGACGTCTCGGATGACGACTCGTCGCACGACGTGCGCCGCGACCCCAAGCAAAGCTTGTTGCGTGACACCGAGGATCCTTTCGCCGACCCCTTTGCCGATTAGGAGCACGCAGGAAGTCGACTTTGTTTCAGCGTGTTGTACGAGCTGCGGAAGTCGTGAATGAGGAGCCGAGGCGTTATCTCCCATATGTATCATTGGTATCTGTGCTTTCTGCGCTACTATATTCTGGCTCCAGGGCCCTGCGACGTATCCTGATATCCACCTGTCTGTCATAGTGTTGGATGTTGTATGACATATGAAGGCGCGAGTGAATAGAACCAGATTCACGAAGACCTCAGAACGACTTCGCGATGAGGTTCTATATCCGTTAAGCAATTGCACTTTTGAAGAACGGGTCGCATCATGAATGACATGGCATCGAACGAGCACTATCGCTTGCGCTCCACGCGCCATTTGTACACTCGCGGCTTCCAGGTCTTCTCGTCTACCTTCTTAGGCCTAGGTGCATCTTCGTCATCCCCGTCGTCGTCACCGTCGTCATCGACCTTCTCCACTCCACTGAGTTTCCTCGTCGCGCCCTTGCCCATGAGCAGCTTTTGCATCTCGAGCTCGCGCTCAGCGTACCGCAGCTGCTTGTCGCGGAAAAGCCGGGCAGAGAGCTCTTTGAGCAGGCGCGTTCGGTGTTCCTGCACGTCACGCAAGCGGGTATTAGCACCGGTTACACACTCCCACACCGCGGATGCATAACCGACCTTCTTCGCCTCCGTCGTCTCGAGCGCAGACTCGTTGGCATCCGTGTCCATCTCTTCCGTCGCACCCTTCGACTTCCTGCGCTTGCGCTTCGTCTCTTCCAGCTGCTTCCAGCCCATGTCAACCTCCACCGCTTGTTCGACGTCCATGCGGTCTTCCTGTGATTCTGCAGACTTCCTGCTCGCAGAAACCCGCTGTCGTGCTATTGGACAGGCGCATTACTACACCGCTGAAGAAGAGGGCAGGGCACGGAAGCACGACAGGACGCACCTTCTTCCTCGTCTTCGGCAAATAAGATATGTCTCCCCTTCTTGTGATGCGACTTCCGCCGGGCCCTTTTGGATGCAGGCGGGACCACGCCCGCTTCACGGAGAACTTCGAGCTCGTGATCGTCCAGCTCTTCCGCGCCGCCATCGTCGCCCTCTAATGGACTAGCCCGGAGAAGGTTCGCAAGCTGACTGAGCTGGGCCTTCAGCTTGTCTATTTTCTGGAAAGGCCTTAGTTCAGCACCAGCATCGGCATCCGGATGATCAGGAGCAAGAGGGATGGTGTTCACATACCTTCAGCCCGGCAGCCCTCATGGTCCGCAGATAGTTCTCGTCTTGCGTCTTGAGCACCTTCACTATGTCCGTAGGCAGCGCTTCGTTTCCTCTGTCTTGGACGTGCACGCCTCCCTGTTGAATCAAGCGCAGGGTTGAGAAAGCCTGCGGTAGTTCTGTAGGGCGACTAGATGCGCACCTCGGTCCTCTCCCTCGTCATGGAGAAATAGAATTCATCCTTGTTCCTCGTAGCCGCCTTCTCCCGCAGACGGTTGATCCTATCCTGCTTCGAGTGGTAGTCTCGTGCACGGAGCACGTAGTCTTTGTGTTTCTCGAGGATGCCAAGGCGTGTACGGTGAGAGAGCTGAGAACGCTCTTTATGCGAACGTCTGTGGAGTGAATTCTTGAGCGATGACATGGTGATCTGAAAAGCGTTGAGACGGAGGAGAAGCCGTGTTGTAGGAAGGTGAGTGGCAGACCGAAAATGGTTGCATAGGCGTCTATGCAGCATTTCTTGATCGACGGCCCGAATAGCGGGGTCCGCGCGTACTGGCCGAAAGTTGAACTGGGATATGTATGTGTGTCCAAGATATCGAGGCAGTGCCAAGAGATACACGTCTGAAATAGTTGCTAGGTGTTTTAAAAGAAGACAACTGACTACGGCCTATGTCCCCGCTCCATGGTGGTTATGACGACCGTCCATCGAGGGTCCACCCATTCCGACCCCTCCATGCATACCATCCATCGCGGGAACACTTGCACTTAATCCCCCTCCGATAGGGCTCTCCAGATACAGACGGATGAGTACACTCTCCAAAGCAGCCACCGACGGTGCTGGGAATTCAAACGACCGTGCATGGTCCCGGATACTTTGGAAGAGCACACCCATTCGATCCCACCGCTCCTGCGAAATCTCGACTCCAGTCTGCTGCACGTGAGCCATAGAAGGAAGAGGAGCCAGCATGGCGATGCTCGACTGGAACGTCTGCTGTGATTCGGGCATCTGTGGCGGAGGCTGCTGGTGCTGCTGGGCGATCTGCGGCGCGGAAGAGGGGCCCGCGACGGCATTCTGCGCATCGTCCATGAATGAGACAGACTGCGGGCTTGATGACGACTGCTCAGGCTCCTGCGGCCGGTCCTTGCGGGGTCGACCTCGTGGGCGTTCTCCTGTAGCACGCGCATCCATCTCAGCCTGCGCTTTCCGCCCACGTTTCGTAAAGGGGAGATTGGCCAGGCCAGTCTCATGCGAGTGGTCAGAGATGTCTACACTTTCCATGAGGATCGTCGCCCGAGATGGATACAGAAGCGTGATTCAAGCTACTCACAGCATGCGCGGACCTCCTCCGTATCGAAGTACGTCTTGTAGCTGATCGACGCGGGGCACCCGATGCCTTCAAGCTACCTGAACGTCATCAGCCCCCGCCCTGACGACAACACCGACAGCAGCGAACAGCACACCGTGTCACACGCACGCGTGCACACCGGCCGCCCCGACGAACCTTCCTGCTAGGCACCTTCCTGACCCTGTCCGGATACTTCTTCACGTACTTCTTCCTCCCCCCGCGCGAATGGCGCCCGCACACGAGCTTCGTGTGCTCCTTGAACCGCGGCGGGACCGCCTTGGACGCGTGCGTGTCGCCCTTGACGAACTCGACCATCTTCTCCTCCTCCTCGCGCTGCCGCCACGCCTCGAACGCGTCCATGTTCTCGAAGATGAGCGTGTAGCGGTCGTCCGCGTCCCCCGACCCGTACAGCCCCTTCCGCGAGTTGTCCGCAAAGTGCGTGGCCGAAGAGGGCGACTGCACGCGCGTGCCCGAGTCGCTCGACAGCTGCCCGAAGGGAGGCGAAAGTGACGACGACTGTCCCGCAGACAGCGTGGAGTGCGGGGGCGTGTCGATCTCTGAGAATGCGTGGTGTGGGGGCGGGGGCCCCAGCCTGAAGTTCTGGAAGCTCATGCTGGCGAGCGGCGTGAGGTCGTCAGAGGAAGGGAGAGGAGGATGGGGCGGGACAACGAGCGATGTTGGGAGGCAGCAGTAACTTCGTACCGGTGGCTCCGGACGCGCGCTGCATGGTCAACGCGTGGCTGTCCACTCGCTTCTTCCGGCCCCGTGGGGACGTCGCTCAAGGCACACAATGCGGTCCGAGTCTGAATGAGGTCAATGAGCAAAAAAGCAAGTCCCGGTGCTGTCATTACGGCTCCAAGGCCTGCTACTAGTGATGTCCATGGGTGGAATAGTACACAATGATGTAGTTATGTCCGATTGTCTATGAGCGATAGCAAAGCGTGAACTAGATGTTTGTAGATGGAAGCGCAACAAATCAGAACAAACTCAGCGCGCCCAGCATCATACCACCAGCAACGGCGAGAGATGCGGCGATATGAGCGGGGACAATTCGGAGTTCCAGGCCTCCATTCGGGGTACTCGTGACGCTCCCGCTCGAGCTCGAGCTCGACCCAGAAGAGCTTTTAGGTGAGGCGATGGGTGTCGTCGGAGTGTAGGTCACTCCGTTCGCATCGGCAGCGACTTGGAAGACCGACCCGTTCCCGTACTCGTAGAACTGTCGCAAGTCAAGTCAGAAGGCGAGGACTAGGGGGCATCGGCATATTGCAAAGGGTCTTACATCAACTAGCATGAAGTTGGGGTTCCTACTGTACTGGGACGCGCATGTTTGCACCTGCTGTCCCAAGGAGCCCACCCCACTAACGCCGTTCGTCGTGTCAGCATCTTCCGGGTCCGGTGCTGGGAAGCCAGCGACGAGCTTGTCCAAGAAGTGGTTGATCAGATACATCTGTGTGCTGGTATCTCCATTCGTCCGGTTGACATTGCAATCGAAGGTCGTGTCGGTGACATCGAATGCCGTTTCCCAGATGTTGGTGAACTCTACACATAGGTCTCAGTGGAGGGCTCCAGATATCCGGATATTGCTCGCGCTATGCACTTGGCGCTGCCAACTCACCGTCAATAAGGTAAGGGACCGTGTTGAAGTCCGCTTCGGTGGTCAGGAACGCGACCAGACGCTTGCCCGAGTCGATGAGCGACCCGAGAGTCGGCCAGCCGCTTGCAGGCAAAGACGCCGAGGTGGGCGCATACGCTAGAGTATCCAGTCCAGCCGCTTTGAACACGGTGTCATACTCCGAGGGTGCAATGTTGTCGGAATTGACGATCAGCAAAGATACGACTAAGCGTGGGCGGTACGGTCAGCTGGGCTCCGATATCCACCTGGGTGACATTGCACCCTGTTTCATGCTCACCATCGTTGGGATTGGCGTCCATCCATGTCTTCACTGCAATGCATCGTTAGCTCTCGGCGGCCCTCCAATCCTGATAAACTGTCCAGGGATAGATACCTTCTGCGAGGTAGTCCTGCAGCGAGCCGCCGTCTTGGAGAGTCTGTGTGAAAGTGGAAGTTCCGTCAATACCACAGCGACATTCGCCGGCTCCGAGCGTTACGCACGCAACTAGTGTGGCACAGTTCGATCACACCACTTTTGTTGTGTGCCTGCGACTGGAGCATCCGGACACCGTCGTTGAGCTGCTGCGTGACTACCGGACGCAATACCTGGTTCAGGAAGAGCGAATGGCTATGACAGCGTGAGTACGCACTGTTGTAGTCTTGGTTCACGAAGACTGCGGAATCCATATTTAGCTACAGCCAGTAGCGCGAGAGTGCCGCGAACGTACCACTGTTGGTACCGACAGCATAAGAGTCGTGGGCTCCGACAAAGGTGACGTTGCCGAAGCTCCGGTCGCATAGCTATGGTTGTCGGAGGCCCGAGAGTATTCGTGAGCCCCGTTCGTGGCCAGAAGACCGGGGAAGAACTACGTAGAAACACATACCTCAGCATGACCATTGCATACTGTTGCCCTACGAGTGGTAGCAATTCCGTAGGTCCCCGAGAGGGAAGAAAGTAAGGTAAGAACGACCGGCGTTGCAAGCTGAGAGAACTTCATTTCCGTGACAGTGTGGGACCGCGAGCAGGCGTGGTGATGAGCTCAGCGGAGGGTAATTCAGTAAAGAGCGTGAAGGGTGTCCAGATAGTCGTAAGCTGGACAAAGCAGAGACACAGATGGTGGGCTAAGCAGGAGTGCTGGAGGGAAGAGGGCTGGAGAGAGCTCAGTGGATGCCTGGCTTGTGCTCGCTAGAATTGGCGAAGGCGATCTCCGCAGACACGTGCATATGCACTGCTCGCTCAAAATAGCAAGGGCAATTGTACTTTGTGCTGCGTGAAGGGCAGGCTATTGTCAGCCTCTCGTCACCCTGCTCTCCTACAGCCACGCCCCATAACTATCTCGACCCATTATACCGCTGAGCGACGTCGTACGTCTTAGCGGTGGCGGGGCGTAGCGAAGAGTTCGCGCAGTAGGATCTCCCGGCTTCCGGCCTCGAACCCGAAGAAGTTGCTCACAGCGGGCGCGTTGCATTATGAAATGTAAGCAAGACCACGAGGGACCGTCTGGACTCGAAGCAATGTATGCTGCCTTCTAGCTAACTTCTTAGTGCGACTGTGGATGATGGCCATGGTGCTTGGCCGGACCCATGTTCTTTCATAACCCTCTAGTCGGAGTTGGGTGGGAAAGCATGATATCAGCACGATGAGTGGGATGATGATAGCTTCCAAGTCAACGCACCGTTCGAGCATCACCAGAGGTATCTTTATCCGCTAATTGCTCCGACGCGAGGGCAGCTGGTGACTGATTGCTGAAAACACTGCGCTGCGCGCAATTGAGGTGGGGAGAGAGCTTCTATACGCAGCGACCTGTGGCCGGGCACCATTGCCTCCGTTTCGAAGTTCGTATGCCAGCCTATAGAGCACTGTCGGTTGACCAATAGTCGCAGTCAAACTAGCTTTCGATTCACGTGCACTGTGAGAGAAACATGCCAGAAAACCTCACAGAACGCGATTCCCCGCCAACTCGAGCGACTATCTGCTAGTATCTGTGTGGAGGCACTCATCGAACCCACTGCCTCCCCGACCTTCGATTACGTACCTAGACGGTCCATATCCACGGTCCATATTCAATGCAGCGGCGGGGAGGTCTGGCCATCCGATACTATAGGCTCGAAAGCCTGCCGCAGTTTGCCCAGACGGTGGCGTGCCCGATCGTTTTCTATGTCCGAAGTCTATAGTATGTCAACGTGTTTCGAGCGCAACAAATTCTATTCCGAGCCTTGGCTGTATGCTGCGGCCCTTGTCCACGCCAGCGACGTTCTCGGCTATATGCGGCCATGGTTGTGGCATCCTGATACTCCTTGCAACATGCATAACATTACGACTCTTGTGACGTTGGTTTCATCATGATGACAATGTTCCTCACTTGCTGGGGCGTGTGGCTCCAGCCTCAAGGTGGCCGGCGATGGTGTATCTGTTGTGGAGCAACGGGCTCTTCGACGTAGATGATAGACCGGGTCTAGGTTGCCCGCTGGGCTGGCGCCTCAGGAAAGAATGATTATGGAAAGGGGCGTGTGGTTTACGAAACGAATCAGGATACAGCCTCGGGCGACGCGCTGGAGAGCCAAGTGCACGCCAGATCTGGGTGGCCTCATACCCGAGCAGTTGATTGTTGGAGAAGCCAAGGAGATCTGGCGCCGCGGCTGGGCACAAAGCACGACTCCGGAAAGCTTCTCGGGTCTCGAGGGTCTGTATGGCATCTATTCGGAGCGAACCCTCTCGATCTGATTCTGCGCTCGCTGGAACCGAGACTGAGGTCGTTGGGGCTTCCAGCGTGTTCGCGGTTCTCGACCGCCGTGGGGCAAAGCGTACGTGATGCATAAGCCAATGAAATACGGCACATTTTTTCCGTGGTAATCGCGATAAAGGGCAGCCGGCGAGCAAGCGGATTGGCTGGAACGCGGCATGCAAGACATGTATCTGTAGAGGGGTCTAGCCTCCCGGGACCGCTCGCTGCCCATCATCGGACATGCGGACTGGAGGAAGTGAAGCACGGGCATCCCGAAGCGAAGGAGAAAGAGCCTGTGATGTAGCGCTAGAACGAGGCAGACGCGTGCCAATGCGAACGGTGGGCCAAAAGGCAGCGAGGCGGGTCAAAGGCTGACGGTTGCTTGGAATCAGAAAATTTGTGTGGCACAAGGCGGAGGCCAGGGGGCCGCGCACTGGCAGCTCTCGTGCACGAGAAGTTTATCGAAGCGACGGACGAGAGTCGGATGACTTCACTACCAGGTCCGGACGCTGCCACACCATCAATCGCGACTGGCCTTATCGATCGTAACCATCCGCTAGACGTGGAGTTATCACGATAATCCTCTTCTTTTTCGCATTCCGCCACGGCCCCTCGTGCCGGCATTGCCGGCCATCTGAGTAGATTGAGGCGGAGAAGGACGATTGAGCGGTTATTTAAGGTGTTCGGGAGAATGAGAGGGAAAAGTCGAGTTTTCTGATTGGTGGCGACGGGAGAGATTATGTCATGGAGCGGGGAGCGACGACTGAATTGCAGAAATGCACAAAGTCCTGCCGGCGTCTTGGGCCCGGTCGGATATAAACCAATTGCCCTCTGCAACTTTTCAGTCACGACCGCTGCTATATACCAACTTCCCCTCCATCCGTCCCGCTCTCAGCTCTCCAACCACACACCATCCCCTGCCCATCAACCATCAACCATGCCGGGCCTTGTCGCAGACGCCACTCGCATCTGGGAGCTCAACCTCTACTGGCCACTCCACGCGCAATGTGGAGTCTGGGACCCTAAAGGCAAGGGCGTCGACGTATGGGAGTGTATCCGTCCGCGTGAGTATCTCTCTCTTGCTTCCATTGCGCGCAGCGACCTCATACCATGCTGTGTTGCAGACCATTCTACGCCGGGCACCCAGGTACGTTGTGGATCGGAGCGTTTCATTCCTTCCGGTCTCCGATCCTGACTCCCTTGTTCTCAGCCCCCAAACAATCTCTACTGGCGCTATGTCGCGCGTAGATGAGCTTCAGTCGCCCATCCGCGTCTGTGCCTTCGCGTCCGAGATCCTCATCCCTCGGAACACCCTGGAGGCTCGCCAAGAGCCCCACTTCTTTTCTTCCATGGGCCATCCACCGACCGTGCGTTCCCCGCGAACGCACGTCGAAGAAGCACCCCTCTCTCGTAAACTCGGGCGCCGTCCGGTCTTCCATGCGGGCGCTCGCCCCCACACCGTCCTTCTGTCCTCCACACCGTCCTTCTGTCCTACCGACGCCGCTCACTTCGCGGATCGCGCGACGCCCCCTCCCGGTAGCCATGTCGGCCCATGGCAGGAAGTCGGGGTGCAGGACGCGTTTCCTTCTTCCGCGACGGACGCGAAGATACGCAACAACTCTGGGATTCATTCGCTGCTGTGCACGAACCAATGGGATTTCCTCGTCTCTCATGTTCCATCTCGTTTCGCCTTTCCTATGTAATGCTGCTTCTAGGTTTACCATCCGTGTCGTCGGAGTTCGTCATCTTCTCGCTTGGGCACCCTCTAGTTCACTTCTCACTGATCCCGCTCTCTCTTCTGTCTTCACCACATGACAGCGTGTGTATATGTGCGCTGCCGGGAGCCGAGACGTTCATCACCCTCGTCCCCCGCTCGGATAGTTTTCATGCCCGCTTTTCCCCTGTATTTGTGCTGTGCCACCTTAGGTATCACCCGTAGTATATAGAGTACACCCACCGCTTATCGCTAGCTCGCTACTGTAACCGCATAATAGCAGACCATGACGCACCCTCTATGAGGAGGACGCTGGGCTATCGTGTGGGGTCGATCTGTTGACGTCACAGAAACTATCGGGCAGACGGTCATGAGAACGGGGTGCAGAGAACAGAAGGCTCGACCCGTGGATGCGGATGCAGATGAGAACGCCTCGCGTGTGTCTTGCCGCCGGACTGTGATTTGGTCGTCCGCGCACTCGTTCGGGATCAGGCATCACTCAGTGGCCCGCCTGCACGCCTTAGGCCAGGGCTCGGCGATGCGTGCCACGCCCAACACTTTCGTGCGCCGTATCTCCGCTGGCGTCGCGCTAGACGTGCCACGATTGCCCAGGATACCCTGTCCTCCTCATGACAGCTGCTGTCTTCCTGTGCGTCGTCTGACACAGAAGCGAACGAGGTTTGCACCCTCGATGTCTTCCCCGTCCGTACAGGCATCTCCGGGGCTGGTGAGGCGCCGTGTTCGCATCCCCCAGAAATCTTCCAGATCTCCTTCCGCGCCTCGTGATACATCCCCCGCCTTCCCTTCTCGCATTCAATGAGATTCGCGTGAGAGGTGCCGATGGGACTGCGCACAAACATGGATGATTCAAGGTTCATGACATTGCGTGGGACGTAAGCGTGCATCTGCGCGATCGCCGTAGAATGAGAATACAACAGTGGGAGACGAGAGGATGCTAAAAAAAGACAGGGTCGGCTGATAACACAAGTACAGTGGGACACATTGGCACATCGATGGACTTCTGCACTCGTACAACCTCCCTTCTAGAGCTTGTCGTAGTAAGTATCCAGGGGAGGAATGTCGGGCTAACCGCACGGCATCAATAAGCATAAGTTCATCAAACTATTGGATTTGGAACTGACCTTGAGACCCTTGCGCGTACGGATGTTCTTGACGAGCTCCTCGGCCTTGCTGCCCTTGTCGAGCGGCGCTATGGTCGAAGGATTGTCAGCACGGAAGTCTGCATACGCTGATTAACGCGGGGACTCACAGCCGTTCATCACCTCCCAGTGGTCCATGACGCACTGAGGGAACGCTTGACCAGCGGTCTGCGAACGGAGTTCCCCGTTGAAGCCGAACGACTCGTTTACGGGCAGGTACGCCTTGACCGTGAACATGGGCGTGCCGACACGCTGCTCCTCGCTGAAGACCTGACCACGACGCTTGTTGAGCACAGAGTAGATACCACCTATCGCGTTCTCGGGACACTGGATCTCGACTAGATAAGGAACCGAGGTCAGCCGGCAACAGGGGCGCACTCGCAAGGGGCGCACGTACCAAGGTAGATCGGCTCTTGGAGCGTGGGTTCCGCGAGCAAGCACGCAGCGTACGTGACACGCCGACACGTAGGGATGATCTGTCCACCTCCGCGGTGAATGGCATCGGTGTGAAGCTGTCATAGACCGAGTAATTAACCTTGGTCCAGGCCTTTGCGATTCTCCCGCGAAGCTTACCGTCACATCGAGGATGTTCACACGGACACCACGCATGTTCTCCTCGCAAAGGACACCCTCCTTGGTCGCCCACTGGAAGGCAGCAACACACGAATCCTTGATTTCGTTTAGGTATTGTACACCCTTGGTGATATCGACGAGGACGTTGGGGCCAGTCGTATCGGGACCGAAGCACCAGATCTTACGGGCGTCGGTGACGTCCCAGCCGAACTCGTCGGCGAGGATACGAGCGCGGACCTTGTAATCGTCGCGGGCGCTGATCTTTCCGGACTCAATGGCCTGCGTGAGCTCCTCGTCGATGGGTTGTGCCTTCGCGTAAAGACGGTTGTGCTTGTTTTGCGACTTCGAGAGCGCGACGATGGAAGACTCAGCCCTGACGGTCTCACGGTAACCGACGACGGGGTCCGAGATCTTGAGGGGAACACCAGCGTGGTCCTCTTGGAGATCCTGGGACGTACAACGTGAGTCCGGATTTCGATTGGAAAATATGACGGACGCATACCTTCAAGCAGATCTCCAAGTGAAGCTCACCGGCACCGGCGACGATGTGCTCACCGGATTCTGAAATCGACGTTTGCACGCACGGATCCGACTTCGAGAGACGCTTGAGACCCTCTACGAGCTTAGGGAGATCCGCAGCATTCTTGACCTCGACAGCGACCTGCACGACAGGGGACACGGAGAACTTCATGACCTTCATGTTGTGCGCGGTCTCGGAGGTAGTGAGAGTACCGCTCTTGAGCAAGAACTGATCAATGCCGACGAGACCGATGATGTTGCCGGCAGGGCAGTCCTCGATGGGCTCGACGTAACGGCCCATCATGAGCACCGTGCGCTGGATCGACTTGACAAACAAGTCGTCCTTCTTGCCCGGAACGTAGTTGGGGCCCTGGATACGGATCTTGGGACCAGCACGGACGGTACCGGAGAAGACACGACCGAACGCATAGAACCGACCCTTGTCGGACGTCGGCACCATCTTAGAGATGTAGCAGACGAGGGGACCGTTAGGGTCGCAATCGCGGATACCAATGGCGGATTCGTCGTCCATGGGACCCTCGTAGAGCGTCTCGACACGATAGCGCTGAGCGGTCTTGGGGGAGGGAAGGTTGATGACTATCATCTCCAGGAGGGAGTCACCAGCAGGAAGGAACTTCCTCATGACGACCTTGAGGAGCGCCTTGCCCTCGAGCTCGCGCTCGTCCTGAGCGAGCTTGATTTCGAGCTTCTCGCAAATCTTCGTAACGTCGTCCTTCCTGAAGTTCATAACGGCGTCGAAAATGCGGAAGATGGGGTCGAGCACGAAGGTGTTGAAGGCACGCTCGAGGGGCTTGCCGTCCGCATCGGTGCTTTTGGTCGTCCACTTCTTGGTGGCAGGGTTGAAGTAGTTGTCGCCCCAGAGCTTAAGCATCATCTTCTCCTTGTCTACACCAAACTTCTTCGCGTAGCGAGAAGCGAACTGACGGAGAGTGAAGCCCCATCCGTGGAGACCGGAACCGAAGGCGACGGTACCCTTTTCGGGATAAACTTGTACGTCACCAAGAGCAGCATCGTTGTATGTCGAGATGATGACGTTGACGGACTCAATGGTACGCGAGAACGACTGGAAGAGGTCCTCCTTCGACACCTGGAGCTCAAGGAGAGCACGGTCGACCTTGTTAATGACGACGACGGGCTTGATACGCTCGGTAAGGGCCTGACGGAGCACAGTCTCGGTTTGCACACAGACACCCTCGATACAGTCGACGACGACGAGGGCACCATCGGTGACGCGGAGAGCAGCCGTGACCTCTGAGGAGAAGTCAACGTGTCCAGGGGAATCGATCAGGTTAATCAAGAACTCGGTACCTGCAGGAGTAAGCGAAGATTGATCAGATCCACGAGGCAGAAAGTAAAGGAGTTGGTGCGCACCGTCGGTCTGCTGCTTGATCGCAGAGACCTCCTCCTTATCGACCTCGAAGTACATGGAGATACCAGTCGACTTGATCGTGATACCACGTTCCTTTTCGTCTTCTCTTGTATCCGTGAACCGCATATCTCCAGCCTTCGCGCTCGCGATGATACCAGCTTTCGAGACGAGGGAGTCGGTGAGGGTGGACTTTCCGTGGTCGACTGTAGAGTAGCAAGGCAGACCAGATTAGCTTATGTCCTGAGACGATCGGCAGGTGGACGTACCATGAGCAATGACACTCATGTTACGGATATTGGTGGGCTTGTCCATAAGGGCCCGGATCTGGTCTGCATTTTCCTGGCGTCAGCACAACACAAGCCAGGAGATACCTCTGTAACGTCGTGTACGGACCGACGGTGAAGTTACTAGGATAGAGAAAATCTCGATGAGCACTTAGGAACGATATCTAAGCGAGAAGAGTCGGTACTCACACCATGGTGACTAGTTTTGGGAGAAAGAAAGAAGAGGTTGGGGGAGCGACACCCTGAGGGTTGTCGCGTCAAGTAGAGAGGAGAGTTGAGTCGAGCAAGCACGCCGGGGCCGCAAAACTCTTTGGGATGCGCAAACTTTCAGAGAACTGTGGATCCTATGCTTATCGATCGCTTTAGGGCAGGCATTTCTCCCGCGATCACGTGCGCTACTCCCTTTGCTGCTCCTGCCTGGCCTGGTCTCGAGCCCCACCAGAGATCCGTGGCACGCTATCTGGTTTGTAACTCACTTGCACCAATCACCGTGGGCATATCACAATGGTTTGACCCTTCGATATGCCAAAACCATGTGAATCATTGTCCAAATGATCTCCGCCTGAAGTAACTCGAGACCTGGTAGAAATATGCGGACTAGTGACTGCTTGTTTGAAGCTCAGTAAATCACGGATCAACTGTTCAGAATGTTTTGTTACAGATCTGATGTATATTCATGCGGAAATCTTTCAGAATGCGGAGGGTATAGTGAATGGTTGATTAGCAAATGAACTCCGATACAATCTTTTACATGGTTCAAAGGCTTCAATACAATGGGAGCTCAATGCTATCGGATTTTGGCTTACAAGATAAATACCATTCTATGACAGATCTTTCAACCATGCGAGATATTTAATCGGAGATCCCCTGCGAATCAACCATTCAGCATACCCTCCGCATTCTTAACGATTTCTGCATGGATATACACTAGGTCTCTAACAAAACATTCTGAACAGGTCATCCGTGAATGACCGATCCTTGAGCAACCGGAAATCAGTCTGTACGGTTCTCCCATATCTCAGGTGATTGCAAGCGAATCTCATTTGAACAATCATTTCCATAATTCAGCATACTGTAATAGGGTCGAACCATCATGATATGCCCACGGTGAATGTTCTTGCCTTAGAACTTACATCGGGGTCACAGATTGCTGCAACTGTCCGCGTCATAGGATACAGGCACCAAGGCAATGCGTTGTTGCGCGTCTGGAACTCCCGGGAGCGGTGATCACGCATAGATCCCAGTCATCGTGACTTGGCTTCTGGTACTTAGGTCGGTCGCGCAGCGCGCGGCAGCCAGCTATATGAACGAACTTTGATATTGGTTCCGAGCAAGCCTCGAGTCTGCTGCTCTACCACCATGTCCAAACCAACGCAGTTCCACCCTCTAGAGTTCAACCCCAAGACCGGAGAGCCGTTCCTGCGCCTCCCAGCGCCGCATGAGAACATCATCATCACGCCCCCCCGCATGTCCGACGCGCCAGCCGTCGTGTCCAACATGGCTGATCCTGCGATCTACACGTTCCTCGAAGGCCCGCCGTTCCCCTATCTCCCCGAGCACGCCGACCAGTGGCTGACCAAGATCAAGAACGGAACGGACGCCGCGTTCGAGGTCCTGAAGCGCGCGAACGAGGAGAAGCCAGACGAGCCGCCGATCCTCCTAGAGGAGCCCCCCGTGCGCACCATACGGGAGATCCGCCAGGATGGCAGCGAGCTGTTCCTGGGCGACATCTTGTTTGTCCGCGAGCGGTATCCGGATATCGACGACAAGGAGGTGAAGAAGACGCTTGCGCAGCCCAACGCGGACAGGACGCTTGGCGACCCCGAGATCGTGTGGTGCATTGGTGGTACGTTGCAGAGCCGTGATTCTGTTCGTTTGCTGTGATTGAAGAGGGAGGCCAGACTACCTCGCTTCCTCTCACCATGGGAAGGGCATCATGACTGCGGCCATCAGGACGTTCATTCGCGACTGGGCTGTCCCTCGAATGGGTGCGCGACGGATACGCGTCGAAACGTTCGCGGACAATATAGGGAGTAGAAGGGTGTTTGAGAAACTAGGATTCACGTATGAGAAGACGGTTCCGGTACAGAAGATATTGAACTCGGGGCGTACCGTCGACGGCATGGATATTCTATGGTGGAAAGCCGAGTAGTGGCCTGATGATGCGTTGGTATCGGGATCCGGCCGCCAGCTTGTAAGTTCGGTGACCACGTAGCCCTTTGCGCTGACTAACTCGGCGGATGGGGATAGTTCGGTCTCTATGATGCATCATGCACAGTAGGCACGGCAGGATTGTTTTCACACTGCTACGGGGGAGTGCCTGTAAAAGGATAGCACGTTACTCAGTTCTCTGCCATGTCTCCACTAGGGCCACCCACCTGCCTAGCTCGCAATGCGAGATCACACTCACACTCTGTCGTGATGCATGACAACGAGCACTTCCATAGACACTGACAACGCGAAATGATGCGAGCGAATACTCGCGCCGACATGGACCTACGGGTGCCAACGGATAATAATGGTCTTGAAGGAGATTCGGTCGAGACTGGACCCTGCCGACGCACGACCCACCTATCCCGCATGTCCTTTTCTCAGTTCCATCCACTAGAGCGCCATCCACGTACTGGCGAGCCGCACATTCGCCTCACCGCTCCATTTGACCGCATCATCATCACACCACCGCGACAAGACGATGTTCCGCATATAGTCGCTATTCTGAACGACTACGCCGTCAAGAAGTGGCTGGATGGTCCGCCATTTCCTTACCTCGACATGCATGCCCAGGAATGGGTCGCGATTGCGAAGGAGCAGTCGGACGCAGTCATGCACGAGCTGCGTGTCGCCAACGAGGGGTATCCTACAGGGCCTTCCGTTGCAGTGAGCGGATGTCCGGTTGGGTGTCTGCGGGGAGTAGAAGAGGACGGCTCCGAAGTCTTCCTCGGTGCCATCGAGTTTTCGCGGTGCAATTTCCCGGACTTGCTGAACCAGCAAGAACAAGAGCGGCTAGTAGCCAGGAACGATTGCAGGGAGCGTGGGGATCCGGACATAGTGTGGTGTATAGGATGTGAGTGAATTTAGGGAACGCACCTACTTGAGGGTCTAGTAACGGCTCAACGCGACCCATTTCTATCGCCTACAGATTACGTCGCCGCACCGCTGCATGGCAGAGGCTTGATGAGTTGCGCTGTACGAACCCTGTTGGAAGCGTGGGTTGTACCGCGAATGGGAGCAAGACAAATACGAGTCGAAACCGTCATTGGGAACCACGGGAGCATACGGGTTCTGGAGAAGCTGGGCTTTCGGATAGTAGACACGGTGAGGAGACGGAAGGTGACGAGTGCAGGAGAGCTGATTGATGGATTCCATGTGTTATACTGGCACTTGAGCGAAGGGAGGCAACCATAGCAACTGGGCGGAGTGGTAGACAGGCACATTGACGTACTGAGCACCAGCCAGTGCCACCTGGTCCACATTCTCAACTGATGACGGTTACACTCCGACCAACTGGGTTTTCGGACGGTGCTGGATAGAACACGGCGGAGCTGACGAGACAATATTGGCAAGTAGCCTGTGCAAGAAGAGATCGAGTGCAATGTCGGGGACTGGCAGGCGGTGCGGCGAAAAGCCACATCGGGCATGGGCTGTGCGCTTCGCGCCCGGACTGGCCGAGGAGAATGGGCGTCTGTCCCGAGTATTGTCCTGGCGTAGCATCGCCGCCTGTGGGACTTGTTCGGCACAGCCCGTCAGTACTCCAGTGGCCATATTGGCCATACCTAGCGCAGTGCGCTCATCATCCAGCTATCTCATTTCCTTCCTTTCGCCCATCCTCCTTGTTCTTTTCGTCCTCCCCGTCATCTGTATCTACCGCCATGGGCATCATTCGCCCAGCTACTCCGGGCTTCCTTGTCACCCTCATAGCAACCGCCCTGCTCGCCGTAGTCTCCTTCAATGTACCCATCCTCAAGTCTATCTTCTTCCTCAAGGCGACCATCACCGAGTCAGGACAGACGGGCACTATTACGCTAGGAACGCTAGGCTACTGTCTGGACCTCAATGGCAATCAGACATGCTCCAAGCCGTCAGTAGGATACCAAATTGGTGAGCTGGATATGCTACTCCCCTTTCTGGACGCTACAGCTCGCATTGCCTAGACATAAATGCTCTCCTCGACAACACTACTAAGATCAAAATTCCGGAGGTGCTGGTCAAATGGGTCACCTACGCCCTCGTCCTCCACATTGTCGCCCTAGTCCTCGCCGGTATCTCCGCCGTCTTCGGTCTTCTCGCCCATGTGCGGGAGATGTCCATGACCTACTGCAGTACCTGTGTATCGGGTTTCTCGGCTGCTGTGGCCATGGTCGCCTTCATCTTCGACATCGTCCTCTTCTTCCTCACCAGGACCCGTGTCAACGACAGCGGAGGACACGCCGAGATCGGTATGGCCCTCTGGCTCACTCTCGCGGCTTGGATCCTTCTCTTCTTTGCCGGCTGCTTCTACGGGCTCGGCAGATGTTGTATCAGGAGACGTCCTCGCGGTCCGGACAGGGAGGCTGTCAGGCCCACCATGGACAACGGCTATGCGGAGCAGATGCGTCTGGAGGCTGTCAAGGCGGAGGCAGATAGGAAAGCCCGTCAAGCTGCGGGCAAGAACGAGATCGGCCTCCCGGCTTTCCAGGAGTACGAGCGCCAACCGCTGACCTCCAAGGTGGACGAGAACGAGCATTACATTGAGGACGGCGACTCCGTAGTACCCTATCATGCACAGGCCCGGTCGGGCGGTGCGGGTGTCGGCGCAGGAACAGCAGCGTATGCCCGTCAAGGTAACCAGCAACCTGCGTACACTGGCGGATACGCTCAGGCGACACCTGGCACTCGCGCTGTGGACGCCTACTACAACAGTGCTCCCACCGCGCCGGCCCGCCAAGGTAGCACTCACACCCAAGCGCCCTCTGCGGTATACAGCGACCCCTACGCACCCTCAATTGCACCATCTGCGACCGCTGGTGCCACTGCGGGTGGCTACTTGGCAGCGAACGCCTACGGCCAATACGGTCACCAACAGCAGCCTAGCGGCGTCTCTGGGTATGGACACATGCCTCAGCAAACTTCTTGTGAGTAGTTTGATCACCTGCCCTCTTCTCCGATGCTGAGTATCCTCTCAGTCCACTCGGCGGTCTCACACCAGCGAGACAACACTGGCTACAATGCAGAAGATGACTACAGCAATGTTGTCGACCCCTTCGCCGCGCAGCCTTCGCAGACCAGGTTCCAACCTGACACCTACAACACGTCGAGCTACATGTACGGCCAGACCTCGACGCCACCTCCAGCTAATGCAGCGGCCGTTGCAGGCACTAACCCCTACCGCACGACGCCTGAGCGCAACTACACCCTCGGCGGTGGCGGGTACGGCGCGAACGTCGTGCCCGCGCTCGACTACGGTCGTGGGTCTCCTGCACCTACGGCTACGACGTCGGTCTACAGCTCCGGATCTGCGCCTCACACCATTAACACTAGCATATCGCCCCCACCGATGCCTCAGCCCGCAAGCCCACGTGGGCCTCGCGACCCGACGCCGTCCATGCATCAGGCAGTGACGCAGTCGCCCATACACGAAGAGCCGCAATACCCTGACGCCCCGCCGATGTACGACGCCGCGACCTCGCAGCCGCCAGGGCAGTGGGGCGCGAAGCATTGATCCCTCTTCTCCTCTCGGCCCGCCCTTCGCTATCGAGTTGACGCGTTGACGTTTTCGATTGTTTATGTCTTCTCATGTGCTCTGCACGGACTCTCTTATTCGGTATTCGTACGATGCGGACATGACACGAACCCACTCTCCTGTCCTCTACCACCCAATCCGACTAGTATATGCGTAATTATTCGCCCGACCTCGGGCACTCGTCGTGAGTTCTGCATGGGTTCACAGTCGCACTGTTGCAGTCTGGCATTGGATGTACACTAGTCACTAGGATGCGCACGATGGCACCCGCACGAAATACACAGACGCATGCATATATACCCACGTTCATACAAACCGGTGCGGCCATCTGGCTCCTTCGATCGACATTGCCGGTCATGCGCAGGTAACTCCGCACTGCGGCCGTTCATCCTCTATCCGTATCGCACCGCCCCCGAACCCCACATTGCACATGACGTCGTTCGCCATCGATCGCGGCCTCCTGATGCCCTTCGTCCATTCAGAACTCGTCCTTGGCAGGCGCAAATAGGCTGTGCGGCGCAGGCGGCTTGGAGGACAGCAGCATGGACAAGAAGTCATGCACGATGTCCGCGGCAGCGATGCCCGTAATCTCAGCTGCGGAGCATGACACGAGGACGCGGGTGACAAAGTATCAGCGAACAAGCTGGCCTCGAGGAGACGCGGCTAGCGGGATGTGTGGGGACGCACCGTTGTCGTACGCTGGAGCCACTTCTACGATGTCTGCGCCTCTGGATGCAAGCCGCACGTCAGCAGTGGCATACACAGGACAGGTGAGGCGAGGGGCTGCGGCCAGGCTGTGAACGGCTGAGACTGCGGGGGTGGGGACTTACACGAAATTGAGACCGGCAAGGCCGCGGATGATTCGCTTCACCTCGCGAGTCGTCCAGCCTCCTGCTTCCGGTGTCCCGGTCGCAGGTGCTAGACCGGGGTCTGGAAAGTTATACGTGCTCCTTGAGGAGGCTCGTTCAGCCGATAGACAGTATGTCTGCTAACCTATGACATCGATATCAAGGCTAGAGCGTGAATCAGCATGATGAACCGTGGAGGCGCAGTATGACTCCAAACCTGAGGTAGACAGGAGAGTCCCCGACGCGCTCACGAACGCGCTTGATGATTTCAGCAACGCCGTAATCGTCTATGTCATCGGTCGAGATCAGCTGGAAGCCGACGGATGCGTCATTCTCCAAGTCCGCCACGCCCTGTTCCAAGCTGATACGTCAACTCAATGGTTCCATTGGCTAGGCCGAGGACTGAAAGAGCGTACGGAGAGCTTGCACCGGATACCAGCATGGATGCTAGTGTTGGTCATTAACCCTTCCTCCCTTGCAAGGTAGAAGAAGGTCCCATGCGTGACCCGAGACTGTTCTGACGTGGGACCTGGGTATGACGGCCATGTGTCCAGGTGGGCGTCGAAGTGGATGACCGACACCGGGCCGTATACTTTGTTGAGGGACCGCAAGATAGGAAGTACGATAGTGTGGTCACCGCCCAAACTGCGCGAGGAATAGTCAGTCGTATGAATTTAATCACGCAGCGGCTGCTTGGCTATCACCTCACGATGCGAGGATGCTGCTTGCCATCCTTGGCGAAATGTTGAGTGATTGACATGACAGAGCCTTCACTGGCCGGTGTTCGCCCCAGAAGGGTGGAGTATGCAACCTCCATCTGGTCTATGGCCAGGGCGTTGTCGAACGGATTCACGGGAACCTTCCAGCGAGCTGCGATCAGTCGTTTCATCCACAGGTCTATGTTTGGCCTTCGGACTCACGTCCCCACAGTCGATGATCCTTGAGCCAAGTTCATAAGGGTTGCTCTTCCAGGAGAGAGTATAGCCACGGCTCTCGCGTTGTCGCCTGCTCCCTGAGCGGATGGCGTACGGTCCAAAACGGGCACCCGGCCGGTAGGTCACCGCGGTATCAAACGGCATACCGAGAAGCGCGATGTCAAACTGCGCATTTTCATCCTCTAGGCAGCGCGAGTATGGAAGATGGGAGAACGACAATGGGCCGGAGAAGACTTGGTCAATCTGCTTGCCGTACTTCTCCAGCCATGTCTGCGAGCCTGACGAGCTCGGCTGAGCGAATTCCTCAAGAGGCAGTTGGACTTGCTCGTGGTGATGGCCGTCGCGATGCGAGTGCGTGAGTGGTAGGTTGGCGAGAACGATCGCCGTTCCTAAGAGCGTTGCGAGAGCTGTCTTGGGCATCTGCATTATCGGACGTTAGTGGTAGTGCTGTTACTATACCTGCGGTGACCCTGCAGATCTTGCAATGCGATCACGAGCTTGAGCGAATGCGTCTCAAGTCAAGAACTTTACTTGAAAATTGTACCATTCTCGTCCCCACGAGTGCTTCGACGATAGGAAAGACTTACGTTCCGGGAGCCACGATCAGAGGCTCTAGGCGTCCGAGCTCTCACGTGGCCGGCTACGCGAACCATCCTATCGGACCCCAAGGAAATGCTCCTCGTCCCGATAGTTGCCCGACGAAGCCTGTTGTACATATTTGGATAAACCACAAGCTGCCAAACGTATCGTACAGTTCCCTGATAGACGTAACACAAATGCGAGGATCATGGCGCCACCGCAATGGCCTAAAAGGTCCCGAGAAGCTTAATAGACCACAATGCGACTGGCATGCGGGGGCCGGGATCAGATACCAGCCGTCAGACGCCTCGTATGTCTCAACGGCAATATCTCCCATTGACGTCGCAGCTTCGCCTTCTCGGTCGCGCTCGCAGCCTCTTCCGCCGTGAGGCCAATCGCTTTCACCGGGCGCAGCCAGTTCGGGGAGTCGTCGATCTCCTCGGCCTCGTTCCTGTCTTGCTCCGCGATCTCGCTCTCGTTCAGGTCGATCTGCCCGTCGAAAACCTGTTCCGGAGTCGCGTTCGTCTTCGGACCCCCGAAGAGGGACATCCCTCCCACCACAGCGGAATTGAGCAGCGTGGATGCGTTATCAATGAGCGTGGGGGGTTTGCGGAGGGGAACGGAGCTAAGATAGTACGTCTTCGTCTTCCAGACACTCGACGTACTCTCTCGCCGAGAAGTCGGCGACGCAGGGTAGGAAGGATCGTACGCGAACGTCACAGTGAGCTCTCTCGTATCCGGATAGTAAGCGAAGCGCGGGAGAGGGTGCGATTCTGCGTTTGGGAAAGGATATGTGACCGGCTTCCTGTGGCGGATTACCAGGTTCTCGTCTACACAAGGTTAGACATCAGTCGGGCTCTGGTCATAGTCATGGGATGCACCTTGGACATCGATAGCGTGCCCCGCGGATCTAGAGCACAGAGCACCAGAGGTATCGATGAAGAAGACCTATATTGAGGAGCTCTGAGCTTGCTCCATGCTGTGACCCCCTTCTACGAACCTGATTGTCGCAATCCGGCCTCCTCATTGCTGTTCCCAGTTTATCAGCGATCACGCGGTGAGACGATCGGATAAGGGCACATACATTCAACGAGCGATGTCTCATTCATTGGCCACAGGATGATGGGTGTCCCATCGTCAGACAGACCCTCTGATACGTCCAGGACGCGGTTGGTTCCTAGAGAGCGAAGCATGAAGTAACCTTGAGGAAATCCGTAAGTGTTCAGTTCTGCGGCGAGCGGCGGGACTGTCTGCATCGCCGCTTCCTTATCAGAGGTAATGAGCATGGTCGTGAGGTTATTTGGGTTTCGTTCGAAAACAATTGCAAGTGGAGGTAGCGAGACAAGCCGCACGTACAGCCACAGCCGCGCCTGCGCAGCTAACGCGGCACTCTGCCATCCATATAAGTCAAGAAAGGAGAAGGGCAGATGTTACGCACTACACCCAGAACGACATAGTATGTTCTCTGGCATGTGCAGCATAGCAGTCTGATAGCGGACATAGCGTACGGATCTCCCTACAAGTACAACATGGGCTACATTACAGTATCCGTGTAGCCAGATTACTGCGACATTCAAGAGTTGTCCGTGAACAAGAACAAGCTTCTTCCATCACAGGTCCTCCATATCGACATCATCATCAGAAGCATCAGTCGGCGATGCAGGGGAGGCGGGTTCGAAAGATCCGGGCATGGTACCTCGACGCACTGCGCGCCGCTGTGCCCTATCAGCTCGTTCGGACTTCTGCTTCTCGACGTAGTCCTCGAGCTTGTTGCGCAACTTCGATAGTCCCTTCCACTGCGAGGCGTTAACGATATTGCTTAACAGCACTATGATCATCTGCTTACCTCATGTCGTGCGATGACGCTGCCCTCTGACAAGCCCCATCGGCGACCAAGCCAGCCAGTGCTCATCAGGATTGGTTCCTGATGTACAAAGTTTAGACGGTGCTTTTAGTATCGGGAGGCACAGAAGTCCCCTACCTGTGAGTGCCAGCTGACATCCCGTACGCACGGCCGGATGCGGGAAGGCGTGATGTCAACAGGTTCAGGAGCGGAGGGGTCGAGCGCCATGGACAGGGTATGTGATCGATCAAGGACCTGCACCACCCGCCCGTCCAACGACCAAATCTTAAGAAAAACAAGCATTACCAAAGGATGTTGTACACTATGTGGTGGATAACGTACGTGTATTTTGCCGTCAGCTGAACCAGAATAGATATACTGCTGGCCGGTAGTCTCCACGGGACTGAAATGACATCGAATGAGCGTACGAAGGACCTCGTGTCCCGTATACTTCATAACGCTGCAGTCAAGTGGGTGCTGTCTATATCTCGGACGAGGATAGTTGTCCCCACTATGATGACTTGAGCGCCAATGACTTTTCGCAGAACAAGCACGCACTCACCGATAGTCGAAGTGGGGAATACCATAATCTTGCTTCGCCACGGCCTCGAATTCTGAGTTACTCCGCATCATACGCAAGTCCCAAAGTCGTAAGATCTGGTCCTTCCCGTTGGAAATGACATAGCGACCATCGCCCTTCGCAGAGACGTATGTAATCCCCTCGGTGTGCCCAATGAGGACGCCAGAAGGTTTCCTAGTCGCAGCCAGAGAACGACGATCCCAGACTTTGACGAACGTGTCATCAGACGCACTGATGAGGACATTTCCGGATGCAGTATCTGCCCAGCAGCAACTGTTCACGTCGTCAGTGTGCCCGGAAATCTTCACGGTTCTCTTATTGGCGATGAGATCGTAGACTGTTGCATAGTCAGAGCTTTGTCTCGCAAGATCCTCAGAAGCGACATACCGAAGATCATGCTGCTTCCGCCGGCAATGACTTCGTTACCATCGGCAGAGAACTTGCAACTCCATATGCCAAACTGTTCGTCATCTTCCCAGTCATTCCAGGCACGGCGACCTCGAGATGGGGCAGGATCCCGGAAAGATATGGGTATCTGTTCTGTGGACGCATCCAACGTAGAACACATATATACTGTGCTGGACTATATTGAATTCAGCAAGCGTCACTGGGGACCAGGAATCTCGCTCCTCACAATAGATGCATATATCATCCGCTGGTTATCAGGACTCAAGTGAGAGTCCGTGATAGTCCAGCGACCGGGAGCGGCTTGAATTGTCTTGATGACCTCCATGGTCGTTGCATGGCCGTCACTCGACTCTTGCGCAAGTTGCCGTCCAACAGTGGGGGCGGTCATATCATACACATGCAAGCGAAAATCTGTGCAGCGTCATCAGCACGCGCACTGCATACGTCTGAAGTATATCGTACTCACTTCTCACGCAAGTGTAATAGAACGCCGAGTCTTGCAACTCATGTCAGACGCAATGCGCACGGTGCACGGATCAGTGCAATGAACGTACCAGAGGAGAACTGTCCGACATAGGCATTTGCTGGATAGGATGCTACGGCAGTCCCACTAGAATTCGGAAGTATTTCCTGATAGGCCATGAGGGCCGGGATGGCTCAAGAAGAACGAGAGAACGCACACATGTGATGTCCTCCTTAGGTGTCGGCCGTGCGTTCGTTCCTCGATTGAGTAAATTACGGGCAACATTATGCTGACCTTCCCGGGCCTGGATTTGGTGCAGCAAACGACCGAATTCTCCGCTATACAACAGCTCCAAGCCCTCTTTCTGGGGTTCTGTTCTCTTGGGCCACCATTCCGAGCGATTCCAAGGTCGAGAATGCGCCTGTGACCCTAAGCCGTAAGTGTAGTACCCGACATCCTCTTCTTCGTCCTCCTCCTCGTCAACGTAGTCCGGATCATCGTCATCATCCTCCGCTGCGGCTGCGGCTCCGATGGTAGACACCTCGTTAGAGGCAAAGATGGTCATGAGACGCTGCAGCTGATTTAACCTTTCAGGTTGAAACGCTTTAGTAGAGTCCTTTCGCAACCAATTCAAAACCGAATTGGATCTGCCCAATTTCTTTACTGGTGGTGCAGTGGCTACCTTGTCAAGCGCGCTATTGCACAACGATTATTGGCGGTCGAAGGGATGTGCGAGGGACCCACCTCAGCTGATTCTGAACTGGGAGCGCTGACAAATCGAACTACCCCACCGGTTTCAAATTGCCTGCGAAAGGACTCTATTGTCTGTGGGATTTAACCTTTGAGCGCTTGGTTTTGTCCATGAGTGCCTATATTAGAGATAAGATAAGGGGGATCGGACGGGTGGCCGCGGCATGATGGCTTTCTCAGCAGATGTATTCTAGTAGTCCGGCCGGACTTGGTCCCATAGCTCTCACCCCCCGGCCGGACTAAAACAACTCGCTTTGCCCTTCGGTGTACGCTACCCCACTGCCATGGCTGACAACGATGATGCGATTCAAGAGAGCGCGAACGGCAGTCAGGACCTCCCTGGAGACGGTAGCACATCTAGTCGGGAGAGACTCCAAGGCATCCTAGATGGTGGAGTTCCGCTCTCATCGCCTCCTGTCCATCTATAAAACTCACGTGCGATTCAGCCATTCTGGACATTCAAGGTTACCAGACTACAAACCGAAGCGGACAGCGAGTAACGGCTTCGCTCTCCGTACAGGCCCGTCATCTCCGCTTGAATAGCAGGAATTAGTGGGATTGTTGACACTCGCGTGGACAACGCCCTCTGCTGTTGCCCTCTTCCCGCCTCCAATTACTCTATGCGACATGGTCGACCCTTTCCATATCACTGCGGATGAGATCAACTGCCTCATATACTCATATTTCAAAGATTCAGGTGCTTGTATGCGACATCCGACCATTTTCGTGGCTGACTCGGGACGATTAGGCTTTGCGCATAGCGCTTTCGTTCTACGTGCTGAAGGACGACTCGAACACTCCCCTCACTACAGGAAACATGTCCCGCGAGGCGAGCTCGTTGAGCTCCTCAGCAAGGCGCTTTTATTTAGCGAAGTTGAGGCCCATTGGAAGGGGAATGCCATGACAATGTCCTGCACGAATCAGTTCAGACTTCTGGAGCCCCATACGTGCTCATTCGACCCTAAATTCCCCCCTCCACCTCTGCCTGATGCCCAACGTCACCATGTGCATCCAGAACGCGTACAGCCACTCCAAGCGGAAGACGAGAACGCTGCGCATGCCGGCGTGCCTCAGGCAGACGGTTCGCTGAAGAGGAAAGCCAGTGGCACCCCCTCGGTAGACGAGCCACCGAAGGAGAAGCGGCCACGAACAAACGGGCAGCTTGAGGATGAAGTGGAGATAAGATCTCCCTCCGTTGTAGAAAGTATGTTGCTTTGTCTTTGTATCTCTTTGGCAATCCACCCAATATATACCCTGTTCAAGCTAGACTCCCCGCGGCGAGAACGTCAGCTGTTCCAGCTACCCCAGCCTCTGCAGCTGCTGAAGAGGCACCAGCTAGCAACGACATGATAAGGACCGCAAGCAACGAGACAGCCGCTTCTGAGCCGAGCGAGCAACAGGACGATGCTGTTCAGCTGCTCGAAGCACATAAAGCAGCAGTGAGTCGACTTGTCATCAAGGTTCTCCCGTCATCCGTCTATCTCATCCTCTTAGGTATTTGTTTGCGGATGGAATCCGGTTCACCATACAATCCTGGCATCTGGGTATGTTCCTGTATACAGTTCAAAGCCACCGGTGACTGATCGGGTTTACAGCTCGAAAGACAGTATCGTGCACATATGGGACATTCCCGGTCCAGACAAGGACGGCGTTACATTCGCGAAGGTACAACCACCGCTAACCTGCGCATATACTGCCAAGGGCAGCGATAGCGATCTCACTTCCCTTACGTGGTCAAACGACGGTTCTCTCATTGCTGTGGGCTGCTATGACTCGGTTCTCCGCATATGCGACTCCGAGGGCAAAGCGTACTTCACTCACACTCAACACGATGTAAGCCGCCGTTGGCAAGCACCTGCGCGGAACTTCCTTACTGACCGCTAATTGAGAAGGGACCCATATTCGCCGTTCGATTCTCCCCATCAGGGAGATGGTTCTTGTCTGCGAGCCTCGACGGCTCAGCTTGTATATGGGACGTCAAGGAGAAGAAGCTGCACAGGCAATTCTCCCTTCACAGACGTCAGTGGCATACTTCTCTTACTACACAAGTGGCTTACCTTCCCTTGTCTCAGAATGTTGTCTGGACGCCGACTGGATATCAGATCTACAATTCGTGACAAGTGGATCCGATGCTCGCATATATGTCAACGATTTGGACTCTCAAAAGCCACTTAGGACACTACTGTGAATAGTACGGTTCGATGGTTGGTGGGGTCGATCGCTGACTCCAAGCGTGATAGTGGTCACCAGAATGAGATCAACCAAGTGAAATGCAATCCCTCAAAGACAAGACTGGCATCGTGCTCGGACGACATGACCGGCCGCATCTGGAATATCGAGAACGTCGACCCGCTACGACACGTACAAGACAGTCATTCCATCGTCCTAGAAGGACATACTGGCCCAGTCAGTCATATCGTGTGGTCTCCGATTACGCCTAGCGGGGAGCATGAACTAGTGGCAACGTAAGTCGGTTCTCTCCTATCCTATTTGACCCCACCTCAACCCCTACCTCACCACCCCTCTTATCATGCCTACACAGATCATCGTTCGACGGTACTTCGCGAATATGGGATAGTGTCACTGGCGAATGTCTCTGTTCGTTCGACGACCACAAGAAGAACGTGTACGCGCTGGCGTTCAGTCCAGACGGACGTCATATTGCTACCGCAGGCGGCGACGGATGTCTACATATATATGACATACGCGTAAGCTTCGGTGATTCAGAGTTGAAGTGTTTTGCGAGGCTAAACGTGATGTGGTCAGGCCAAGGAAAAGCGATGGTCATGGAACGCTGGTACGCCGAATTCGAGCATCTTCGAGATCGAGTGGCAGCAGTCCGGCAACCTGAACCGGATAGCAATGGCGATGGAGAAGACCACAGTTGGCGTGGTCGATTTGACGAAGGTGCCAGAGCTGCAATGATGCATCGCGTCTGGGGCAGCTATGAGGAAGTATCACCATGCTAGTGTATCACATCCGGACCTATGCTTTGCTTTGAGGGTTATGCTTACATGTAGACACCGTAATTATTGCTCAGCTATGTTTTGTGCCCATAGTGTAGCCGTACGAATACATGCTCCATAATGCTGTCTGCATAAGCAATCCGGGTAGTGCGGCGAGTGAGCCGGCGGAAACCATCTGGCGCTTCTGGACAAGTCTGGATGAGTGACGTAATCCATGCCGGACGGCCGCGCGCACGTCATGTCCGTGCAGTCCCCGGCTACTTCAGCAACTGCTCTTTTCTATCCTCACCTACATCCCTTTTGCCTCGACTCTACGCTTCATCTTTTCACGAAATGCTACGTATGAGCTTTATTACGGCAATGCGTCCACTTGGTCCCTCTGGGTTCGCACAGGCAGCCCGGCAGTCTCAAGTGCAGAGTATCCGGTTCTATAGTGTCTTCCGGCCAAACGTTCTTTCATCCCTCAAGCGTTCTCCTTTGTCGCCATCGCCATTCGCAAGACAGTCTCGTAATTTCCTGACAGATGCAAAGCCTGTTGTATACAGGCCAACCCAATCGGAGGCGTGGAGGCGGTATGCAATCACGGGAGTCAGTATAATGCATACTTCCCATTCATGAAGTGCCGTACTGACATTGAACCCAGGCAGCGGTTGCAGGAACAATCCTTGCTACAAACGCTATCCTCAACCGCGAGACTCGCGATGCACTTTCTCCAGCTGAGCGATCGTACCTACATGAGAGTTTCCAGTACACCGGTGCAGGTCTTGCAATCACCGCGCTCGCTGCCCGTACAATGTTCAAGAACGGCGTTGCGTTCCGCATAATGTCTGCCAACCCTTGGCTTGTCCTCGGGGTGAGCTTGGTCGGCTCCATTGGTACAATGATGGGTGCCATATACACCCCACCGGAGAACACCGTCTTGAAGCACGCGTTTTGGCTGGTGAGTGCTCGAATGTTCGGTGCTTCGACATACCGTGCTGAGTATGCGTAGGGTTTCAACGCTTGTCAAGCGGCCACACTTAGCCCGCTGTTCTTCGTGAGTCCAGCCATCCTTTCGCGCGCGGCGCTCTACACATGCGGTGTTGTGGGCTCCTTGTCCTACGTTGGTGCTACCGCGAAGTGAGTACTTTGGAGCTTCACCACTCGCTTTCCGCATGCTCACACATTGCGTAGGAACGACAAGTACTTGTACATGGGTGGCCCTCTCCTCGCGGGTGTCACCGTTGTCGCGTTGAGCTCGCTTGCTCCCATGGCTCTTCCCCTCGGAATGCGTGGTCTGGCCATATCTGAGGCAATCTCACTCTACGGTGGTCTTGCAGTCTTCAGCGGCTTTGTTCTCTTCGAGTACGTCCACTGTTTGCGCTTCCTTGTTGATTCGCCTCGTCTGACATCCTGAAAAGCACCCAGAAGATCCTTCACAATGCTCGGATGGCCGAGCAGGGCAGGGCGCCCCGCGACCCATTGAAGGAGTCCATCGCCCTCGAGCTCGACATGATCAACATATTGTAAGCTGAGACGATTTCGCTGGTCAAGAGCGTAGGATTACTGACTGTGAATGGACAGCATCCGGCTTGTGCAAATCCTCGCAAACCGTCAGAACAGCCGGAAGTAAGAGATATGGCTGCGTGCATTGTACTCTAATCGCGCTTGTACATGTATTTTGCATAGTATTCTACTTGGTAGTAAGCATCCCGGACAATCCAGCTCAGTCTGTGTCTACACATGTCCTCCGAGTCATCCGAAAACCAGCAGGGCATCCATTGCAGTATAACACGACTAGTAACAGTGGGTAAAGGGGCATTATGTCGATAAAGCCTACGACGAAGCCTTGCCAAGGGCTTCCAATACCTGCACAAATCCTCCGGGGTCCACGATCTCAGTGCCGCCATACGTCACGCGCTTGCCCGTCCTCTTAGCCCACTCCTCCAGGTTGCCGTACTCCACATATCCAGCTCCCCCTACGACGAAGACGATCCCTTCCGAGAAGGCCATACGGCGTGCGCGACCGCTCCCTGCGCCCCCGGGGCCGGGCGCACCGACACCCGAGATGCCGAGTCCCGCGTTGGGGTTTCGCGAGGCGCGGGGGTCGAGGAAGATGTAGTCGTCGGTTTCCTGGAGCGACTGGTTGGACGCCGCGGACGGGTCCATGAGCGCCTCGGTCAGGCGGGTGACAGGGAGGAGCTTGTTCGCGGGCAAGAAGTTCTTCACTCCCGAGATGAGGTTCTCCAGACCTCCGTCCTTCAACCTGTCGGTGAGCTGGCCATCGTCAGATATGCCACGGTCACGGTCGCTCGGTCAGTGACTGCTCGTGCAACGAGAGGTCGCGAGAGACCCGGCTTACCCTGTTCCCTAGGGCGCTGAAGCCCTTGAAGAGCTCGCCGCCCGGAGTGGTGTTGCCCGGAACCGGAGTGGAGGACCCGCCGAGCGCACTGGGCGCCATCATCTTGGAGATCTCGCGCGTCCGTCGGACGTAGTCGAACGCGGCGACGTCCGCGCCCGCGGCCTTCAGCTCCTTCTCCAGCTCTGCCACGTCCTCCTTCGTGATGGCGCTATCTGGCGCGGACAGGTACCACACGAGGACGAGGCGGAGCTTGTCGGTGGGTGTCGGGGTGGCGCCGTTCTTAGGGTGGCGGAGGGCCTCGAGGATCGCCTGGGCGGTCTGCTTGCCGATCGCCTCCTCGGTGGAGAAGAGCTCGTCGAGGCCGCGCTTCTTGATCTCCTCGAGGAGCGCGGTCGCGATGTTCATGTGCGTGTCGAGCACGGCCTTGCGCGCGGTGAGCTCGGGGAGCGCGGTGATGGCCGTCTTGAGATGCGCTGCATTTGCTGAGAGGTCCCTAGATGTCGCAGTATTAGGGTGAGCGAGCGGGTAGAACGTATAAACCGAATAGGTGCAACGCAGACCCTGGCGGTGAAGTCGGACACTTACATCTGTGCGATGTCGTTGACGTCGCTCACGCCGGTCGAGCGCGTGATCTCTGCAGCATCCTGCTTGTACTTGTTCAGCTCGGTGTCGATATCCTCCGCGACTTGCGGGAAGGGATTCGCAGCGTTCTTGGCCCAGAAGAAGTCTTTGGAGTCAAGGTCATATGAACGCTTTTGTGGCTTCGAGATGACAACGCGGTTCAGCTTCATCTCCAGACAGTCGGAGGCGAGGGCTTGGTATGTCCATCCGTGCGAGAGTATAGGTACGAGGTCGACATTGCGGTCGAGGATGAGAAGGACTTGTTGCGGGAGGCGTCAGTGTACTGCAACGTCAAAGGCAAGATAATGGAATGTCACTTACGGGGTCGTTGGAGGTTGGAGAGGCCCGAGGCATCTTGGGCGAATAGTGAAGGAGTATGGGATCGGGCGGAAGATAGAATGGCGTCACGAATCTTCTGCTCGAGCTTCTTGGCAACCATCTCGGCAGCATTGCCGCGGGGTGCACGGATGATCGGTACATGACCTATTCGGAGGGGTTCAATCAACGGAGTGTACTGTTGCTCACCTGTATACGGACTTACCCATGGTGACTACCACGCTGAAGATGCCAGACGCCACGCGTTCGATCTCCTCCTCTATTTGCTGCTCGGTGGAAGAGGGAGAGTTGAGGAGCGCATATGAGGAATGTGGCTGGGATGAGGTGGAAGGGCCGGCGACCGCATTGGGGGCTGAAGGGGATGCAGCATCCGCAGGAGGCAAAAGGGAGAACAAGGATGGTGAAGGGGAGATGAAGGACAGGTATTGGTCGAGCACCTGCAAGCGGGACGTGTGTAGGCATCAATGGGGGGAAGACAGCGCAGCGGTTGCAACACACCTGCTCAACCAGTTCCCCAGTCCCGTCTCGCGCGACTGCAGCTGCGAGTTCCTCCAGCAGCGCTCTTGGTAGCGGTTCGACGAAGTTCAAATGGTAGGACTCGTATAGGCCCTTTTCGAGGTCTTGCGCTATTCGTCGGACGTTGGTGAGGTTCGGGGAAACGAAGTAGACTGCGGGCACGTCTGGCAATGGAGGTCGATTGGAGTGCAATTGACTGTAATCTCACGATATGTGAACATTGATTTGTTCATGTAAGGATAAACGCACACATGTAGAGTCACACCGACGTCCCGGAGATCTTGTACGCGGAGCACGGTGGCGAGGACGTCCTTCGTATACTGGTCGAGTACCAAGACTTTCCAAACTGGAGGACCGGCTGGCGACGCAACCTTGAGAGTAGCGGTGCCTTTTCCGGAAGGTTGAATCGGATTGCTTGAGGGCTCGACCGGATTATTGAGGTTGAGCAGAGTCAAAAGGGCGTTGGTCTGGGACTCCTGGAGAGTTGGCGGTACTGCACTCGCCTGGGCCGGTATTCAGCTTCGACATCGTTCGGAACGCTAGTGTCTGCATACCTGTTTGAGTGCGGTGCTTGCCATTGCAGGACCCGGTAGCTGGGTCTTGAGCCTACGAGACCGAAGCTGATTGGCGAGACCGAGAACGAGAACGGACGGTGAGCCCGAGCGATCTATGTAGAAGCGTTAGCGCGTACACGACTGTACACGGCCATGAGACGCGTCCAGGCGCCCATAGTATCTGGCCACGTGGCAGGCGGGAACGGCGGGGCGGGACGGCGGTGGCGGCATATTGCGCGCCTAAGGCGGATGTGAATGTTTACGACATGTCGCCCTCGACGACGACAACCGATCCTCGTTAAATTCTATGCTGCGGTAACGCTGAGCAGCGATTGGCCTCATCACAATCAGCCAATGGCGATACCTTCGTCTCTGACGACCGCCGACGCTAGGCCCCTGGAGCAGGAACCTGCTTATCATCCATGCGCACCGGTTCCATCTGCATCACTTGCTGAAATACAAGGACGGATCGTAGATCGTGCCGCCCTCGCAACACTTGGCGGTCTCCTCAATTACATGAGCACAGCGAGAGACTGACGATACTTTCTCCTCTTTCTCCCTTCCTCTTCCAGTACTCGGGTCAGCTACGGTAAGCCTATGTCTATCACCCCGTGCATCCCTATTGAACTGTCATGCTAGATGGGTTGCATTCCTAGCAAAAACAAGGTCCTTGAGGCCGATTCATCAGCGCCCCTTGCGATCAAGACCCAGACGAAGAAGCAGAAGAAGCAGAAAAGGGGCCTTGAATCACCAGAAATAGGGGAGGATGCGGCACCTTGGGTCCACGGACCAGGCCGAGTGCTGTCGGAGAAGGACGGAATGGTCGTCATCACCGACTCCCGTCCTTCATGACATCTGGCGAGCGAGACGATTCTTACATCCTCATCCATTGGTCCTGGAGGCGAGTTCGCCATTTACGCTTGCCATATGTAGCTTGTAGCTAACCTGGCATGTGCTCACGCAGATCGCTCTGTACATATTTCCCATGGACATACCATGGAGCACACTTACCCATTCGCACATTCCTTTGCTCGTCCCTGCCGTCGCATGCATTCGTCTGTATATCAGCTCACATGTCTCCCGGCCGCTCTATACCTGAACTTTGTCGGCCTTCCCTGCGTGCCTGTGTGAAATTGCGGCCTGTGCGCCACGGTGCGCGTCGTGCGCCTGGATAAGACCGGGGAGTGCGAGATGACGCGGGCCCTGAAGGGTGCGTGAACGTTACCATATTTGGCAGGAGGTTGGTGTTGTGCAGTAAGGACGACGTCGGGTGCAGAGTGGCAAGAACTCGTCCTCGCGCCTTGGAGATCGCAGCTTGTAATCTCTTGTGTATACCACCCCTCGGGGCGTGCATGACCACCCTTCTTACATCCTCCGTCATTCATTCGACACCACGACTGCAACGACCAGCTAATGATTATAACATCCTCATGCCCTCTCAATCTCCTCAAAGTAACTGGTGGACGACTAGCGGAAATTCCACTTTCCTACCCACGGGAACTGGGACAACCTCGCGAAGCTTGTCATCTCCGTCTTCTCCTCTCTCTACCGCGATACCCTCCACAATATTCCCATCGACATCGTTGACCTCGTCCTCTACTACGACATCGTCTACTGCTCCCATACCCGCCAGCGCTACCTCCTCATCTGTGTCCCTCACTTCTAGTCTTACTACATTCACTACCTCAGTACCGATCACTGTTTCCAGTCCTTCTACGACTTTTACTACCTTCTCGGACTACCTCGTGACATCCACACGTGTTGCAACAGCATTTCCCGATACCTCGACTATTCAAGCAAATGCAGCTGGCAATCCTGTCTGTATTGGTCATGGGGTTGACGCCACGTCCCTTGGCTTGCTATTTACTCTCGTCGTCCCGTCTGTTGTCGGCCTATTGATATGGGTGAGTCGTCACACTCTAGCAGGCAATCATGGAGGCGCGTACACTGACGTCTCACAAGCTATTGTTTGCTTCCCTGCGACCCCGCTATCGTCAAGTCTATGGTCTTAGGGAATGGTTCGTTCAGCAGAGGTGAGCATCGCACGCATTGAGGCAGGGACGTATGGTTTGACGCATCTCAGCCTCCGCCCTAAACCCCTCGGCCGCTCGTTCTGGGCATTCCTCTTCCCCCATGTCCCCCTCGTTCCCTCTCTCTCATCCGATGTGTCCGACGCTGGACGGTCGCCCGCGCAAGACGCACAACTCTTCCCCTCGGACGAACAGCTGAGCCAGCGCGTCCTGTGGATATGCACACTCATCGTAGCTGGCTGGACTGTTCTTGCACTCGCCGCGTTTCTCCCTCTGTACATGGTGTCGACGCCTTGCCTCGCCGATTCCTTACACCCAGCGCGCTTCACCGGAGCCTACTCTGTGCTACAAGACCTTAGTTTGCTACGCCTATTGCATCTCCTTGACCCGGGTCAGGTGACGACCGTCGACCTACGCGTCTTGCTCTCCACGCGCGAGGTCGTGAACGGAAGCGACGCGGCGCCCAGCGCGCGCACCCGGATTATCATCGTCACGGTTCTCGCCATCGTGCTCGGTCTCCTCCCGGTCCTGTGGAAGATTCTGAAGGAGTTCAGCAGGACTGTGTCGTACCGAGAGCGATGGGCCGAGGTCCGCTGTCAGGGTATCGAGATGGGCTGGCTTCCGGCACGGCGTGCCCCTGGATTTGTTGGGTTCGGGGAGAGGCGTCTGAAGGACTACATGGTCAAGATCGGCCTCAGCTCTACGCTAGACAGCAACAACGAGCGCAACGCGCGTTCCAGGCGGAGGCGACGCGCTCAGGAGGCCAACGAGGAGAAAGGCAACCTGGAAATCGACATCCAGTCTCTATTTTCGATTGTGTGCGTGCACGCGTTTTTTACCTTCCCCGGATGACATCTATTTATGTGGATCGGCTGTAGCGACACAACTCAGCTTGCCATCCTCATCGAAGAGCGCGACGTGATCCTTGAAAACCTTGAGGTTGCGGAGACGAAGTACATCGAGAGCTTTCGACTCGCCACGCCAGACCCGTCGTTAGCGGACTGGGAGCCTCCCGTTCCCCCCAAGGTCGAGCCGGGGAGTCCCCCCAGGCCGTCAATTAGCCGGCCTCGGCCACTCGTCAGCTCCAATGTGAGGAGGAATGTTATCTTATCTCCCTATATGCGCTCACTCTCTGTCAGGATCACCGCCACAGCCGTAGGCGCAAAGGCAGGAATCCTGCGTTCGGCTCGTCTTCTCTACCTCCAACGTCATACGTCATGCCTTCTCACTTTTACAAGATCACAGAGCTCGGGGGAATCACTGGGGGCGAGTTCGCCGACGCAGAGCGGGACCTCCCATCGCCTTCGCGTCGTTCTCAGCAGACAAGCTTTTCCGACTCAATCAGCAGGCGCGTCGTGGGGAGCCGCTTCCAGGAGGTCGATCGGAACTCCGCAGCGTACGGTCGGATACCCCTGGGCAGTCCGCTCCAGGTGGACCCCAGCGGCCAGCTTGGACCTATCGACCTCCAAGAGACCCCGGTTCCCACCGCGGCGCCGTACGCACCGAATCAGCGCTATTCTTGGGATACGGCTGAGTTCAACGAGAGCTTGTCGCAGCCACAATGGCCACAGCACCACCAGTTCCATTCCGACACGATCCTCGAAGCCGACGAGCCTGACGAGGAATGGCACGACGTCGGCCGTGAAGACCCCGAGGCGTTCCAGAACGCAGAGGAGTATCCAGCCGAGGCGCGTCGCCGTCCTCGCCCGCCTCGCACGCGAGGCAGGGCGGGGACCCCGATCGAGGAGCACCGCGAGACGTTCCCGCTGCGCGCTCGTGTGCCTGCCGCGCCCGAGGAGGTGCCGCCCCCACACCTGCGCCTGCAGCCCCGCCAGCCGTTCGTGCGTCCGCTTTCGGGCGTCGACCATGATGCGCTGGGAGTGATCTACTCGGACATCAACCATTGGCGGTGGAAGCTGAAGGTCATCAACAGCCAGATTGCTGACGTGCAACGCGACAGCTACAACGATATCGCGGATGGCGCGAGGATCAAGGGCTGGCTCTTGATTGGCCGTGGCATCCGTCATATTCCTGGCGTCGAGCTCATCGAGGGGCGTGCGAAGGAAGATATTCGGTGGGACGAGCTGCAGAACGCGACTGAGTGGGGTCAGTGGTCCAGGAGGCTTGTGTGGTGGACGGCCGTCGTCATGGTTGGCGTGTTCCTCAGCATCGGATGTAAGTTCTTACTCCAACTGTCGCTATCCGCGATCGGACGCTGACGGGTTCGTTAGTGCTCGCCGTCTCTGGACTTGCTGTCGCCTTTGCCCCGGACGTTGCTCATTATATTCCCTTCTTCATACCTCTGACCGAGACCAACAAGCTTGCGGCCGGTCTTGCCACAGACCTGGCACCAGCTCTTGCGGCAGCACTGTTTATAGCTCTAGCGTACTACGTCTTATACCGTGAGCCGTTTTCTCTCTGTGATCGCCGAGTCTTAACTGACATACCTACCTGCTTTGCTTAGAGACGAACCGGACAAACAGCTCCGTGTCCCTGTCCGGCTCTCAGCTGAAAATGTTCAAGACCATGTTCTGGGTTTTCACCCTGGTCGTAGGCGTCTGGCTTATGGTAACTGGCGCCGTCGTCTTCTCCTTGGATGCTCTCAGCACAAACAGTGGCGTGTCCACGTCTATTGCTAACGGCGCTATTTACATGAGCGCATTCGCAATGGTGCTTGTCTTGAACGTCGCAATCGTCTTTCCCGGGTTATTGCTGCTCCAACCCATCCGACTGTGGAAGGTCGTGAGAGCAGAGAGGACGGCTGTGACACCCCGACAACGTTTCCGAGGTAGGCCTGTTGTTTCTGTGCATTCCTTTCGCAGCTGTTGCTCATGCCTGTTCAGCCGTCTATCCCCGGACCTATGACCCGTTGTACGCGATCAGTTGTTGTTTGATCGCCGTCATCTTCGCCTCTGCATTTGCTTTGATCTTCCCGTTGCTCGCCCCCGCTGTTCTCATTTTGCTTTTCCTCACATTAGTCGGTGAGTCGCCTCTCTTGTGAGGTCGTCAGGCGATCCTGACCCAATACCCAACATAAAGCCCATAGATTTCTAGTCGGTTACGTTTACGGCCGGACACATTCGTCCACCGGCGGTCTGCTCCAGATATGGCTTCTGCACCGACTTGCAACCGTCCTCGCTTTCCAACCCCTCACCATGGGACTCATCTTCCTCACCCGACGCCTCTGGATCGAAGGAGGCATCCTTGTTGGAGCAGCCGTCCTTGTCATCATCGTCGCGGAGGCTTTCTGTCATTGGCGGACACGTCTTCCTAGCCGTTCCGCGCTGTCTCCTATCGCTCAGGACTCGCTGAAGACTTTCGAACAGAGTGCCAAACCCGGCATAGGCCGCGACTTGGACGAAGAGAGCACCAGTCTTGTCAGCTCCGCCAGAAACACCCGCGCGAGAGGGTCATTCGCATCCGTGCTGGAGATGATGTCGCTGCTCGCGGTCACCCCTTCCCCGTCGGAAGCAAGGGGTCCCGTGCCATTGGGTGAGTGACACCTCCACATGCAACGCGACGCGGCACTGAACTCATTTCTGATAACAGAGACGGAGACCTTGGATGATCTCACGGCGACGGAACGCGCTGCTCGCACAAATCCCGACGCGCCTCCCCATTTACCTCCCCTTCCATTCGCCGATCACGCCGAGGAAATGGCGGGCGTACTCTACCCACCCGAATTGCTTGCCCCTCCCCCGGTGATCTGGCTGCCGAACGATGTGGGCGGCATAGGTCGCTCAGAAGCGTTCGACCTCCAGCGTTACCATGACTTACCCGTGACACTAGACGTGCGCGCAAGAGACGACGTACAATGGTCACGGCGCTCACTCTCGTCGCATACACCTCAATCTCCGTAGCTGATAAGTGAACTGTGTACACTGATATCACTTGCTGTAGACATTTGTGCTGGACCTTTACGAGCGTGCTGTACCTACGATCATGCTGTATGTTGTACTGCTAAACGGACTTCATGATAATGTTCGATCAGGATCCCGACCTGACTTATTACATGCTGGCTCAAAGTGCTTCCATGAGCACCATTTGCAACAGATGATGATAGCGCTCGGGATAGGTTATCAATCAGTCCCTGGTAGTATATCGGTTAGTACACGCGCCTGTCACGCGCGAAAGCGGGGTTCGACTCCCCGCCAGGGAGTTTTTGGTAACATCGGGTGTCATCCATATCGGTCGCTGCATGTTGTGGCTCATCACCTTCACGAACATGTTATTCTAGCGAAATACTTGTCCAAGGCTCTGAATCAAATACGCTATCTACTACAGAAACAGGAAGAATTCAATAAGAGCAACCGGGCTGAGGGAACCAAAGTGGACTAGCAATAGTCAGAGAATGCCAATACGAAAATCAGTGGTAAGGAAAAAGGACTAAATGCAATCTGAATACATTGCAGTATGCTAAAAGCGACGACCAGACAGGGATAATTGACAACGTCTCCATCTTGATTTGTTTAAGGCCTCGAAGAACAGAGCGTATGGGCGAAGGTATATCATCAATAACACCGCTAGCGAAGAGCTCAACACTGGCCCAGGAAGCTGTTCTTGGGGAACGGTTGCTTGAAGTCGTCACGCCACGTTGTGAGGTTGGGGTTCGTGTAGGCCTCCAGATACCTACAGAAATCGTCAGATACTACCGCACATAAGGGAAAGACGTTGCATACTCGTTGATGTAGGCGGCCGTGGGGAAGTCACTGGGGTCGCAACCGACGTTGATGTTGTCCGGGTCCTGGTATACGCGGATCCAGTCAACCTTCATTGTGGTGGGGAACTTCAAGTGCTCAATGTCGACGAAGCCGAAGTTGGTAGACATGCCCAAGTTGGCGATGAGGTACTAGGAGCGATAGGTGAGGATTTCAATTCGACACTCGCTGTTCAAGATACTGAAAGACTCACCATTGGTTCTTGGGGAACAGGACGAGGACCAATCTCCACGACAGTATCCGCGGCAAAACCAGCCTGCTTGAGGGTCCATGCGAGCTTACCATCCGAGATCCAGCTTATGTACTACGGACCGCTTGTCAGTTAGCGATGGAAAAAAGGTGGCCGGATACAACACTCACAGCGCCATCGAAACCCGGTTTATACTGGATCCCGTAGGTGGAGTACTGGTTACCGGTCAGCTCATATGCTTCCTGGTCTGTCATACAACGATTAGTGAAGCAGGGTGTTATAAGGAAGGGACGCTTACTGGTCTCCGTGACGACGGAACTCGCTTGCTGGAAGGCGGCACCCTTGTAGCCGTTCAGCGCACTGATAGTGGGATCCGGGATGATGAGGTTATCCGTAGTATTGAACCAAGTGTAATCTTCGTTGAAGGGCTACAGGCCGAGTCAGTGAGGCGGATTCATGTGACTTTTGGTGCGCAACTCACAGCCCACTGTGCGGACTGTGACACTTGGCCAGTGAGCGGTTGGCCGGTGATCTAATGCGTAGAACATAGTCAGCATACACATGTAAAGCGACGTAAGCAACTACATACCTGCGCTTCGAAGATATCGATTTCCGGTGCGGAACGGCCAACATAGGTACCATCAGTGTGGACAGGGCCAGGATGGGACTCGCCAGGGCAAGTGCAGCGGGATAACTTCTGACCCGGGAGGTACGAGAGCTCGTAATTGTAATCCTTGGTACCGGTGTTTGTGGCGGCGATGGGCAGGCCGTTGAAAGTCTGATTGGGAGCTGTACCTACATCACAAGAGTCATAGGTGTAGGGCCACTATAGAAGGATTGTGAGAGTAGATTAGAACAAATACCCGTGCGAATCCGTGGTAGACGCACCATTCCCTCGAGACTCGCGCCATAGCCGGCACGGCCTAGATTGCCCATCGTCCAGATGGCAGGCCAGAGACCGACGACATTGTTGATGCCAGGAAGCACAACAGAGGCGAGAACCATACCGCCGGTGAAGCAGAACTTGTTCCAAGTAGACATCATACCACCCGTGTAGTTCAGCCCATGGTTTTCCTTCTGTGAGAGCGTGATCTCGAGCGACCCATTGCGGGTCGTGATGGCTTCGGGGTCGTACCATTCCATGTTGTTCGTCTGCCAGTAGTGCAGATCCACGGCCTCCCAGTAGGGGTCATCGCCAGGATAGAACGTGCGACCATCAGTGTTGAACTCGTCGCTGAAAATGAGATGCCAATTCTTGCCAGACTGGAAGTCGGGATATGTGCGCGCCTCCTGCGGCGTGTCAATATCAATCATACCCCAGTTGCCAGGCATGGACGGTATCTGTCCGGAGGCATTGATTCCTCCCAAGTTGAAACCACCGAGGGTAGATGGAGTCGAACGGGTGAAGTATGTTATCAAGGGGTAGCCCGCGCTGCGGGAATAAGATGAACTTGCGTTCCCACAAAAGAGATGGCGACCCTTACAAGAGAGTGAGCATCCCAGCGCAAAGGATCAACAAGCAGCCGAGGTTCGCAAGACCTCTCGAGGTGAAGATGTGGCCTCCTTTGTCGCTCTTGTAGTCCCTTCGGGGGTCGGGATTGTGGAGGTAGTCATCGCCCTCTTGGTGCTCAACCGAGAGATCCGCCCCCCAAGACGTAGGATCCGGGGCAAGTGAAAACTAATGCGACCCGTCACTCCCTGTCGCGGTCGCTCGCTGCATACTACGCACCTTATCGGAAAGCGAAGGGGGCATGGAATCATGCCTTCCGGAGCTAACATATCGGGAGTCGTTCTGGGATGCATTGGAGCCTGAGAACGAGGTCTCACAGCGTAGCAACGAGGTGGAATACTGACCAGAGATGCCGAGCTCCCGACGCTGCGTAGCCTGGGGTCTGCGCGAACGCTCTGCGTGCTGGGACCAAGGAGGCTTGCGGTCGAAGGAGCTGCCGACTGGGCATACGGTGTTTGGCGCGTCTGCGACGCCATGGCGAAGTGATTGGATTAGAGGCGCTTGAGGATTGCTTGGGAGAGATTGAAACAAGCAGCAGGGTATGTGAGGAGTGCGAGGTGGCGATCTGGTGGTACAGATGAGTGGGGGTAAAGAGCGGAAGGGTTCGAACACCGAGACTGTGCTGGCGTCGGGAAGGGCGGTGGTGACACTGACGGAGAGCTCGGTTTCGCAGGCCACCAACAAGGGTCAGCGTGAGAAAACACTGGCTTACGTAAGCCTGCCAATGGTGAGCTAAGAATAAGCGGTTCTGGCGCGCGCAGCACCGCCGTCTCCTGGTCGGAGCGGCCGGCGTTCGTCGTCGCTACTCCGTCCACCTACCGTGCACCCCTCTCCACCATACTCACACTAGGCCGTTGGCACGTCATGTACCGAATCGCAATATATTGATGAAGAAAGTATGCAAATACATAATCTGGACAGAAGGAATGAGTTCCGCGAACGAGTATTCTCGTCGCGCGCCATGTGACGTAAGAGCGGTCGGTGCCGTACTCACAAGATGCCAGCACTCGAAGGGCTAATAGGTATCATCAACGGAGAGTGGCTCAGCACTGTCCAAGCAATTTGCTCTTCGGAATTGCCTGCTTATAGTCGTCCACCCAAGTAGTCAGATCAGGATTCGTGTACGCCTCGATGTACCTGGGTACGGGCGACGTCAGCCGTAATTACCGATCGCACGGATTAACAGAGCCGCGACATACTCATTGATATATGCCGCCGTAGGGAAGTCAGGGGGATCACAGCCAATATTGATGTTTTTCGGATCCTGGTAAACACGAATCCAATCGACGCGGAGCGTAGACGGGAACTGGAGGTGGTCGTAGTCGACGAAACCAAAATTCTCGGAGATACCCAAATTCATAATCAAGTACTAGGGGCGGCCAGAGGGAAGCTCAGAAGGTGGCCCAATCAATACAAACACGTATATGCTCACCATCGGTTCCTGAGGAATGGGCCTATCGCTGATCTCGACAACGGTGTCAGCACTCATGCCGGCCACGTTCAGCTGCCATGCAAGCTGTCCATTGGCGATCCAGCTTATGTAGGCGTCGCCGAACCCTGGCTTGTACTGGAAACCATATGTGGAGTATTGCTGCCCGCTAAACTCATAGGCGTCCTGATCTACATAGACTGCTCAGTACCCGTATTCCGCAGAGGTCTGACAGCACGCATACTAGTCTGGGTGACAACGGAGGTCGCTTGCTGATAAACTCCTCCGCGATAGTTGTTCAATTTCGAAATATCCGGATCAGGAATGATCAAGTTGTCCGTGGTGTTTTTCCAGATATATTGGTAGTTGAATGGCTGTATGACATGTCAGCCCTGGCGAATAACAGCACAGCACATTGAGACTTACAGCCCACTGGCCAGACTGGGAGACAGCGCCCTTATTATCGCTGATCTAGGATATCGGAGACAACCCGTTCAGTCACAATCGCGGGGGCCAAAACTGAAACGATCAACTACTCACCTGTGCCTCGAACATATCAATCTCAGGTGCCGCACGACCGACATACTCGCCGGTGTCCCGGTGTATAGGACCGGGGTGCGACTCGCCAGGGCAAGTGCAACGCGACAACCTCTGGCCGGGAAGGAACGACAGCACGCCGTCGTTCGACTTGTCGTTGTCGCCTTCGGCCGTCGCTGCGAGAGGAAGACCGTTGAGCGTCTGGTTTGGCGCCGTGCCGACGTCGCACTCGTCGTAGGTGTACGGCCACTGTGTATCATCAAATCCGCCCATCAAGAAGGGCGCTGATCTCTGAGACAAGATGCCTCACCATGCCATCAAGCGATGCTCCGTACCCGGCGCGACCCAAGTTGCCCATCGCCCAGATAGCGGGCCAGAGTCCTGCCACGTCGTTGAACCCGGGGAGCATGACGCTGGCCTCGACGAGGCCACCCGTGAAACAAAACTTGTTCCACGTCGACATCATACCACCCGTAAAGTTCAGCCCATGGTTTTCCTTCCGCGAGAGCGTGATCTCGAGCGACCCGTTGCGGGTAACGATAGCTTCGGGGTCGTACCACTCCTTATTGTTCGTCTGCCAGTAGTGCAGATCCACGGCTTCCCAGTATGGGTCATCGCCGGGGTAGAACGTGCGGCCCTCGACGTTGAACTCGTCGCTGAACACGAGCTGCCACGTCTTCCCGTTGACGTAGTCGACCTTCGTGCGGACCTCGTGGGGGGTGTCGAGGTCGATCATGCCCCAGTTCCCCGGTATGGATGGGATCTGGCCGGAAGCATTGATTCCTCCAAGGTTGAATCCGCCCAATGTTGACGGCTTCTTCTTTGTGAAGTACTCGATAAGAGGGTATCCAGCGCTGGATGGTTCGCAGACGGAGGGGGGGCGTCAGTGAGCATGCTCGGTGGCGATGCACGCTCGAGAAAACCACACTCACAAGAGTGCAACAATGCCGGCAACGAGGACGAAAATGCACCCCAGGTTCATGAGACCACGTGAGGTGATGATCGTGCCCCCCTTATCCTGGCGGTGGTCCCTCACGGGGTCCGGGTTGTGCAGCTTATCGTCCGCTTCTGGGCCATCGAATGCGGCGGGGTCGAGTGGCAGGACATACTGAGGAGTCGCCGTTGCGTCGTTAGCAGAGAGGAACCTAGAGAAGATGGAACCTTTGTCGTCCTGCTACGTACCCTATCTGATATTGAGGGAGGGACGTGCGTGGATGCGGTGTTCTGGGCCCGGACGGATATGTTATGTCAACTAATTCCACGATGGCGAAGCTCCGATACAGTCGATCACTTACAATGGAGCTGTTGCTGGTTGAGGCACGCAATGAACGAGCGAGAGGGGGCCGTACTTCATCGTGGCCATGAGGCTGCAGCAAGGACGTAGTGGATGGCGCAGCGGAGGAGGGGTAAAGTCGTTTCTGCGGACCTGGGGCCTGTCGGTCCATGGCCAGCAGGACAAGGTGGGTCAACTAATAGACACGAGAAAGGACCGTCTGGGACTAAGGAGCGAGGTGATGATACGGAAGAGAGAAGGGGTGCCGCTCCGGTCTGCCCAACGGCTGATCAACGGCCCCGCAATCGCGCTGCCCTGGGAACTCAAGGCGACGAGTGGCCGTGAGGCGCAGTCTGGAACGCACTAAACCAATCATGGGCGGGACATGTAGCTGTCCCACCAATGATGGCATCTCACCTGCCCCACATATACCGAATCCTCTCGGAAACGTGCTATTGTGGTCGCCGTTCCACAGAGCGTAGAGCGGCAAGGGCTTCCTCGACTGACGCAGTGGATCTGTGGGCAGGAAGAACACTTTCACTGCAAGATGCTCATTGGAAGGGGGGTCATAGTGCCCAGGAGTAACTGCGATCTAAACAACTACATTCAATAATCAATATTCAGTCAACACCACATACAGCGTTTCAACAGACACACTTTTCTCCCCTGCCACATTGTTAGGGTCACAGACGGGCTCATGCAGTTGCGGACGCCGATTTCCTCCGGTGGTGCTTCTGCGAAGAACCAGGTACATATCTGGTCACGTTATTGATGTGTTCGGCGTTGAATGCCTGATTGATCAATGCCAAGCCTTTTCTTGAACGTTGACGACAAGTTAATAAAGTACGCTGTAAAGCAGTCCCGTTTAGCTCAGTTGGTAGAGCGCGTCACTAGTAATGACGAGGTCAGTCGTTCGAGTCGGCTAATGGGAATATTTTGGTACCCTGTCCGCTTCCTTACAACCTGAGCTGTCACGTTGGTCAGGGTTCAACCATAGATATGAATTCACGGCTCGTTGAGTCTGCCATGGGCACTGCTTTGGCTATCATTCATGTTGAAGCTTCCGAGTAGAGTGGTTCCTGTAAAAATTTCTATCCAGTCTCAGGCATTGCGAAGCGAATTCAATGAGGTCTATAATTAGATATACATCAGCGCACCTAGTTATTCGAATCCATGCCCGCGCCCTCAAGCAAGCTCAAAATGCCTCCGCTAGCTCCAACTCCACTAGACTGGCGAAGCTCATCCACGGCCCTCTCCACACGACTGAGTCCCGTCTTCTCGCCCCCTTCGCCGCCGACTTCTAACCCTTGCTCGGCTGCCATCGCATCGATCTGTTTCAGACGGAGCAACACGGCTTCATTGGCACGCTGCAGCGCGTCTTTTGTGCGGGACCGTGAGGCATCTGTGGTATCCGCGCTGTCGAGACTATAAGCGTGTACTGCTGCCAGTAGCTCGTTTCTGCGGTCAACGTAATTGTTGAGGGTGGCGTGAGGCGCTTGGCCAAAGACGACGTGGGTACTATGTGGGTGCGTGGCGATATTGTCGGGACCAAGAACGTGAGGAGGATGCTGGCCAGGCAGCGCAACGGCGTTCCGGTCGATGTATCTCTCGAGAGATGCCAGGGCCTCTTTGACCTTTCGCGCCTTGTCGCGCTTGGATGGGCGGCCTTTCTTCTTTGGAGCTGCATTGGGCCCCTCCTGTTGCGCCGATTCCGTAGCAGCTGTCATGTGGAGGGCTTCGGACGGACCTTGTCCTTCCGGTACGAATATTTCGCGAGGGAGCCGTGTAGGATTCTGGGCCCGTAATGAGGAGTCCGGCAAGATATAGAATGTTTGAGCGTTCAACAGGGTGGTTAAGATATGTACGACGTATGGCCGCAAGCGAAACAGAGGCTCTTCGTGCAGCACAGCAGGGAGAGAGACCATGGCCCTGTAGATGTCTTTGTAATTTCGGATAAGACAGCGTTCAACGGACGTGAATGACATCGCAGCGTACCCATAGGAACAGCTATGTTGGCCACAGAATAGAAGGGCGGAGCGGATGTCGACGGCTGCGTGTTGTAAAAGGTGTATAAACAAAACAAAGCGACGACTCGGGCTATAGGGTCTTCCGTATCCGCGACACGTTCTGTCCATCAAGGAGCATCAATACACACTCAGACACAAGCATTCCGGCATGCGCTCCCACCAGCAAATACTCTTTCGGTCGTGCAAATGAATGACTGCCTGGCTCGTCCATCGTATGCTCGCATATGCAGCCAGCACCAGCCTTGATCGGTCCATAGTTTTTTGAAGAGGGCAAAGGGTTCGATAGTGTCCTTGAATTGATCATCAAACGAGGCAATTAGCTTTGAGATGTCCTCTCGTAGGGGATCAACGTATAGCGACGATGTGAAGTAGCTTGGCTGAAGAGTGATCTCTCCCCTCGATGCGGACGGCTCTGGGGCGATGGACATGGCTGAGGCGTGGAAAGTGGTCACGAAGCCAAGCAGGGGGCCCACGGAGGAGGCACTCAAGCTGCGTCCCTAGAGCCAAGCAGGCAACAACAGCGCGGACGCGTCGGACGCACGTGCCGCGGGGCGGACGGGCGCGGAGCCAACGAAGCTGACGGTGCCGCGCTCTCCGCCGCAATACACCTCTTGCTCTCTGCCACCTACTTATGCTCCTCTGCGCTCCTCTCCGTGGACTCCTATAGCTTTCACCCGAGCCGCACTGGCGATGCCCGCGCTCTTCAAGCACCCTAGCGCAGTATTGTGCTTCTATTGCCAGTCCGGCGTAACCCCCGTCCCACGGAACCCGCGTTCCTTCCGATGTCCTCACTGCGACTGTTGGAACCGCTACGATGCTAAGGGAGAGATTGTCTCGGACGAGCCTGCGATGCATGACGAGAATTTGAACGCGCGCTCGTTCGCGCGACGAGGTATGTGGGGTATTCGGTATCTCGTGGGCCTATGGACTGAACTCCCGTCGCGTTCGCCACTGTAGCGTCTCCACGAAAAGACCGGCTTCCCACAACGTACGGGAATGCCTCCTTCTGCCATACTTGCCAAACAAACCAAATGCTACTCCAAAACTTATTGGCAAATTATTTGCCACCGCCCGATGTACGTTTCTCAAGTGTGGTTTCCTCTCTGTTCTCATGCCCACCCTTTCCTTCGCGTCATTCTAGGACCCCGAGTATGAGAACCGCTTGGAACTTCTGCCAGAGTATCAGCGCTCTATTGAGGTCCGATATCCTCCTGTATGCACGAACTGCATGCCCACCGTCGAAGAAGAAATCCGAAAGAAGGACCAGATGGCTCGCGTTCGTGCTCTCGGTAGCGCCCTTCGGAATACCAAGGGCACTGACAACCGGAGGCGTACTTCAGCGACGCGGAAGGAGAGGGACAAGCTGGAGCGCGAGTTGCGACTGTGGCGTATACGTGGTTGCTTGTGGGCAGCGAGTGCGGCGTGCGCGATCGCTGGCTACGCATCTAGTGAGTGAAACTGTAACAAGTAACGCGACTCTTGTCTCACACCACTTGGCAGTCACTGCAACGTACCATCTTGTCTCCCTTCCCGAATCCTTTCCTCCGTTTCTTTTGAGTCTTGTGCTCATCTCGATCTTCTGGACGGGATGGGATCGGACATACGCGACTGTCCGGAGATACCAGTTTCAAGGTAGAGCTGTTCGTGTGCATGGCAAACAGCAGTACAACGTGGGTATTTACCACGAGTGACGCTACGGATATCGATCTCACTCATAGATCCTACTTGCAGGCCTTACAGCTGATGGCCTGGTTTGCCAGATTGGCCACAGCGACCTTGCTAGTTCTACCAAGACTCAAGCCGAGTCTTGATGCCGTTCACTTATGGACAGACCCGCTGGCGCACTGTGCGCGTATCTATACCGGCACAATGCTAGTGTGCGAGATATCGGTAAGCAACAATGTAGTCACTATCATTCATGCATATTGAAAGCTCATGTTCGCCACTTGGCTCTGAAGACGCTGCTAGCATGCGCTTTTGTATTGAAGGTGCAACATCCTCCGCCAGTTCGGCTGGTCGACTCGAAAGGGCGTCTGCGGCAACTGTCCGCGACTCCTTCGCTGTCATCATCTCGCGATGTGACCCCCGTCGCCCCAGAGCCGGACATGCTCTCCACTCTCACACTCTCCAACAAACCCGTCCTTAGTGCCCCTTCGGTTCAGAACCCCATCTTCGGTATGCCGTCGCTGCATACTGCGGCTTCTCAGGCATCACCTCCACCCAGAACAAATAGTGCCGCGCCTCGATCACCTGATATGGACGTTGACATGGACGATGATGACGACCGTGAGCCTGATCCGGACGCCATGGACATCGACCGTGCTTCCCCAGTGAAGCAGAGGAATGACGAAGGCTCTTGGCTTCGTCCTCAGCGCTTCTTTGCTCCTGAGGAGCCTACGGGGCTGGAGACTCTGTTTGCACGGACTATTCGCTTGGTGGACACATCTGATCAGAACGAGCGTGCGGCACGGTCTGCTGACGGTCGCAGATATGCATCGTCTCGGAAGACGGGACGCTTCCTCCGTAACTGGCGGATATGGCTCACTCTGTCTGTTGTTCCATTATTAGCTGTTGGATATAAGGCATGGGACGTCTATAGGCGAAGAAGTAACGTTGCTACTCCAGAACCGAGTATATGAGTCTGTACTGCTTGACTGCTATGAGATCGTTATTGCTGTGTTTCGCTTTCGGCTATAAAACAAAGAGACTGTCCACTTTGTCACCTCCCTAAGCGATGTATAGAAGATTAGGCGTTGTCGAAATAGCTTGTAGATGGAGCACGGTGGTAAGGATGATGAGTAGTGTGGAGATCAGTGTCGTGTCTACAGTGAATAGTGAGAAGGTCGTAGGGTTCGCTTCAGCCGACAGACTCGCCTTCTCTGCACCAAGCAATCTCATAAGGCCTTCGTATACCCATAGAGCGGAGGCGTTCACCGGGAAGGCACGGAGTAATGTGGGTCCTAGCCCACGAAAAAAACCCCGGTAGCCGCCTTCAGCGATGATCTGGCGGGCGGTGGTTCTAAAGGATGGCTTTGGTTGGTCGTGTGGAGTCGCCATCATACGACTTACAGTAGGCGGTCAGTATGAGAAGCATGATTTATGGCTGGGGTGACGTACTTCTTGATGTTGTCGGCCGGGATGGCCATGATCCAGTAGACGAACGACCCGAGACCGCCGGACAGGAAGTTGGCTGTTGGAGTGCTCACCTACCCCAACATCAGTCACACAATATTGTGGTTTCATATCTACGACTGACTGCGTAAGGTGTCCCGTTCAGATTCGAAAATGCCCTCATGAGCACCTCAAAGGAGCCGAACATCCATAGGAAGTTGCTTCGGAAGGCGAGGCTGCCCGTAAACCCAGACCAGAGGCCGAGCACGCCGTGGGATCGTACTATCTGCTTCGCGCAGTCTATGGGACCCTTGTACACGCGATCTGCGGCTGACTTTTGCGTCTGCAGCTGCAGCTTGACTGCGTTGGTCTTCGGTTAACACTTCAGTTGGGCCCCAGCGACAGCGTGAATTATCACCTTTGAGGTGCTCCATAGGAGTTGCAAGGAGGGCGCTGTGGGTTTAGTGCTCAATTGAGCTTCATTTCCGGACAAGCTTCGATATCGGATGTGGACTGATTACCTCGTCCATCCAGCAAACAAACCAGCAATGCCATGTCCGACGATCGTCAGGCGTTTCCCATCCGAACCAGGAATGGGCTCTGTCAGGCCTTGTCCTATCAAGAACAGACGGTAGTTGTGTAGAGACCCCAGAAGAAGGGAGTCAATGGCAGCCCATCCGACCGCAGGCGGCGTCGCGCCCTTGTACAGAGCGAACACGGACTGCAGACCATACGTCGATGAATGCTAGCAATCCATATAGATTCGCACTGAAGTTCACCTCGTTCCGTACGATCTTCGAGAAGCAGTCCACAGCATTTTTGTATGTTTCAGGGGGCGAACATTGCATACGCGTCTTGACAGTGTCGAACCTTCACCTCGTGAGCCTCAAACCATTGTCCTCAGGTGACTCCAGCCTTACCCATGGCCTACGGCGACCTAAAGTTCGACAAGCGATAAGCATGACTGACAACGGTTGCAGATGCAAGCTGCACGATCTGCAAATTGTTACCTTTGTGAGCCCTACGAGAACGGGCGTAGGTCGATGTCAATACGATTCTATTTGCCAGCTCACTATGACTCGGAGACCTCACCACTACCAACGCCCGCGATAGCGCCTACAATCCTGACATGTCCACTGTCAGATTCAGCCGCCATATGATAGGTCTTCAAGTTCTCCAAACAACCCCGCGCAGACGCTAGTACTTACTGTCTGCCCGGAAGGTTGTCTGGTTGAGAGTTCGCATAATGCTTCCGGAGATGCCGGACTCCACTCCGGCCGCTCCCCGACACAGCCACAAGGCCATCATGACACGTTACTTAGCGAATAGGCGGCGCCTACTCACCTTCCCCACAGTCGTTCTAGGGGATTCTAACTGCTACAGCTGAAAGCACGGCTGCGTACCGATTCTCTACTCTTTATCTATGACTACTCATGCCTGAACACGACGGAGTAAGGCAGACGGCAGCGGAGACGGAGGCGGAAGCAGAAGCAGAGGCAGAGGAGGCTAAGCAGTGCCGCATCTGTCTCGACGGTGAGGACCCGGAATTGGGCAGGCTCATTCGACCTTGTCTTTGCAAGGGATCCATCACTGTATGTTTATAGGACTTGTACGCCGAACATACGCTCACTTGTTCTCATGGGGCTCTAGTACGTTCATGTGAAATGTTTACAACGATGGCGGAACACCTCGAGTTCTCGAAGCGCATTCTACGCTTGTCCACAATGTGGATACCACTATCACTTCGCACGCACTCGTATCGTGGGCATTGCAACCAACCCAGGTGGGCCCCACTAACATTGTCGACGCATCATCTGGCTCATTGAACTTGCCAGTCGTCATCGCCACCCTGTCTACGATGCTGTTCACGATCATCGTCCTTCTGAGTTCATTTGTGACCACCTGGTTCATCGGAAACGATGACGACACCTACTCATTCAGCTTTTACTACCCATACGAAATATTCCGTAGCCTTATCAAGATGGCCGTTGGTATCCTTGCAGACGATGGTTTGGTCGGAGATACGATTCTTCGACAGCGCGCGGGCACATACCGAACCAAACAGCCGCAAGGCCCGCCGAGCTTTCTTGGTCGCATCCTCCGCCGGTTCTTACTTGGTCTACCTGTTGTGGGCGCGGGCTCAATAGCGCACATGCTGCTGTCAATCCCACTCCCGTTCCACTGGCTGCGCTTCCGTACGCGTCGTACAGCGCGCCAGTCCAAGGATCTCATGGCTCTAATCATTCTCGCAGTTGTTCTTGCTGGTGCCGCTAGGTAAATATTTTCGCATTTAGACCCTCAGCAAGGGACGCTCATCGTTGACTCACGCAGGGCGCTGTACAAAGTATACCAGTTCACGGAGAAAATGACGAAACGGCTACTGTTGCGTGCGGAAGACGCTATTCTAGAGGTTGGCTAGGCTGGCTGTTTCGATCGGTTTCCATGCATCGCCATGATTGTAGTCGCACTGCGGACCTGAGATCTGTTGTAATATGATATCCTGTGTGCCATATCCAACTCTTGGATTCTCGTGTTGTTGGATCTATGTATATCTCCTGAGCTCAGAAGGGCCATGACGTGGCTGCACATCTAACCTTCGGGCATATCTACGGTGACTACTGGTGTGCGGGAACGAATTTGCGTCGCAAGCACGAGTACTGAAAGCTTTCAAGCGGAGGCGTCGACGTCGAAGCGCACGAGGCTGCCCGCGTGCGCTTCACAATGGTCAGCCACTTATGTTAGACTACATATCGCACGGTTTCGAACCCAACCCACGCTCACCTCCAAACCTCATTGCGCACAACACTCTGCGCACAACCTGACGGTGGCGGCTGGCCTTGTCTTCTGGCTTCGATCCCGCCACCTATTTCTCCCCGTCCGAGGATCCGGACATGGCACCAACTCACATCCTGCAACGAGCACTCGACGATGCGATCAATCACCCTACTTTCGCCGCGAGGCTTCCCCCCTTGTCGGAGAAGAGATGGATGGAGATTCTTGACAGTTCGTACGAGGCGCGCAAGGAGAACGACAGGCTCGAGTTTGTCGGCGATGCGCTGATGTACGCCGCCCTCGCAAGGCAGATGTACCAGCAGTATCCCCGAGGGAGTCCCCACTTCTACACGGTGCGTCGTCTCATCTTTTACATCTCGCATTTCCGGTAGGTCATAGGTGGGCGACACAGTGCCTTCGCGCAGCGTTGAACTCGAACGCCACATTCTCTCACATTGCGGAGAAGATGGAGTTCTACTGCGTCAGCCAGATGGTTTTGCGCGCGCTGACCGAGCGAACGTTCGGGGAGGGAGTATTGGCCCCGTCGAAGTCAAGAGGGGCAGTCAAGTTGACGGCCGACCTGTTCGAGACCATGGTCGCCGCATATTACTGGGAAGCCGGATTCGAGGAGTTGTTCAAATGGGTCAGGGAGATCTACCAACCTCTGATCAGCGCCACCGCCGATGAATACTTCAGCTAGTAAGCAGCTCCTCTACCGTCATCGCGCGCGTCCAATAGCTGTCAACATGCGTTCTGGTGTCGCAGCCGCCGCCAATATGGGCCGGCCCCGCTTGAACAGAGAGACATCTCGGCTCAAACCAGGTTTGCTCCTGGCCGTTTATATCCGGGGCCTCCCCGGAACGCTCCCTCTGTGTATTCCATGAAGAAGTCCAGCAAACAGGTTACTCCCATCAAGCATCGACTACACACGGCGAAACAGACTAAGGCTCGTTCCCCACGCAGCCTAAATATGAAACGCGCCATTCTCGGTAGCTCCAATAGTACGTTGTGTATATCATACGTCCGAATACCGTGTGTCTAAACACGAGCACAGTCGTACCGAAGGTTGTCCCAGCGAAGAAATGTCTCAAGCCTGCGCCAAGCGCGAACGTAATCCAGGGCGTGCAAGTGGCCCCGTCAGCCAAGCGGGCCATTCTGATCGACCTCACGCAAGACTCCGATTCCGAGAGCGATGACGAAAGACCATCTGGCAGCCATTCTCGAGCGACACCACTTCGATCGCGTCGCACCGTCGCGGTATCCAAGCAGCCGACAGCTCCTCCCGGTCTCCCGCTTCCTCGCACCTCGGCTGTGCAAGGCGCCGGGCTCACGATGACCATGGCCAACCCTGCTGGCTATGGCTCGTTGGATACAGACTCTGAGTCGGACGACGAGATGTTGCTGGTGTCGATGCTCACGACGGACAGTTTAGGCTCTGATATGGACTGCACTTCGTCTGACGTCGAACTGCCCATAGGCGTCTGGCAGGTCGGTCGCAGTCGTTGATCCCGGTCGGACTGGTGCACGAAATTCTGGAAGTGTTATTGTATCTCAGAAGTGACCGCACGACGGCGACGCTTTCTCACGGAGTTTTCGATATGCACATGTGGACAGCATGGTTATCCCCCTACTCTATTTATTCAGCCTATACCCGAATATCATAGCTACTTGTAATTGCCAGTGCATGCGTACCGCTTCATATCGTTTCATGTATATGATCTTTCAAAGTTGCTTATGCGCTACACAGATTCGCTGTAGAGGACGGGCTATCGCGAAGCGAACACTAAGTTGACGCGCGCACGTGGACTTGTGACATACGCGTAGGGAACGCGCGAGCCGCGTTTGTTCAGGTGCCACTGGCGTGTCTTGATTGTCTGCTCTCATCCACTACGTCTACTTGCCACGCAGTCCCGTAAACTCGACACTCCTCTCCAATGCCTCCCACGAAGCAGAAACAGGCCCCTACTCGCCAGGCTATTACCCTCAAGGGCTCGACAGCCCTAGTTACAGAGTTCTTCAAGTTCGCTGCGAACACGTAAGCCCGTCGACAAGTCCAACAATGACTGAAACTGAAGGACGGGACTGACGAATAACAGCATTCTGTTTCAACGCGGTGTCTATCCCGCGGACGACTTTCACATGGTAAAGAAATATGGGCAGACCGTGCTCGTCACTCAGGATCTGGCGCTCGAGAATTACCTGGACAAGTGCGTTCGCACCTCTCCCCTCACTGCGGGCCAGATCCTCACAGATTCGTCGGCATCAAATCGGTTACCACAATCAGGATATTGAAGCAAGTGAACGGTGGGTTGATCCAGGAACCGGGCGCGCCCACTCGCAATGCTGAGCGCACCTCAACCTGACAGAATGGCTTCTCACGGGCTCCATAACCCAACTTGTACTCGCCATCATCTCCAAGGACTCGCGGACGCCCCTCGAGCGCTGGGTGTTCGACATCAATCTCGTCGAGCCGCCCGCGGGCAGCTCAGAGCCGTACGTGTCCACATTGTTTGGTGGCAGCGCGAGTGTATAGAATGGCTGACGCTGATGCACACATTGCTTCATCCTCTCGGACCGCTCCAGAGCCCCGCCGAAGCCGGAGAGCGAAATCCAGGCAGAGATTCGGAATATCCTGAAACAGATCGTGTCGACGGTGACGTTCCTGCCTGTGATCGACGAGCCGACGGTGTTCAACATTCTTGCGTACACGAAGGAGTCCGCCGACGTGCCCGCGGACGAGTGGGTGGATACGGACCCGCTCGCGATCGAAGCTTCGAAGAGCCAGCAGGTGAAGCTGAGGAGCTTTAGCACAGATGTGCATCGGATCGAGGCCATGGTCGCGTATCGATATGAGGGGTAGCGATGCTGACAGCAGGGGTGATGGAGGCGAGGGCCCGCGGAAGGGGATGCCGGACCCAGAGCGGTGGCCATGCTTGCTGTAATTGAGACCAGTGGCATCTTTGTGGGAAAGGCGCGACATATGTACACGATTGGTTCCCGAGACCGAGACTGGGAGCGGCGCAAGACTCAAACAGGAGGCTGATGATTGATCGACCCGCTCTGCTGGGCAGACTGACAGATGAGGGGGGTCGAGGCAATGCGGGCGCATGGTGGATGTGCAATGGACCGGAGGGCATTCGAGAGTGTTAACGAAGGCGTTGCGGCCAGTACATAGATAGGTTGCGGTCGCAGCCTGGGAGAAAGAATGGATGTGGATGACGGCTGGGCGGCGGAGGGCGGGAACAGGCCCGGCCGTGTCGAGAGCTACAGCCGTGTTAGCTTCGCAAGCGCTGGCCGGGGTACGTCAGTCACACATCTCCATGCCACCCGGCCGGTCTGATACTTGTCGCTTGTCCTCGTGGGCGCCTGTAACTCTCCCTCCCTTTTCTTCCCACTCATCCCTCGCCCAGCTCCTGTCCCCGCCCCTCCGCTTCTCTCTCTCCCCTGAATTCATTCCTTTGTCTGGCCGGCCGGACGACGCTCGTTTGGTATTCTAAACTATCTGGGACAGTAATCCTGCACAATGGGCGAGAACTTCTTCCAACGTGAATTTCTCCAGCCTCGTCGCCTCGCCTTCAATGTCATCTTCTATGGCCTCCATCTGTTCTTCTTCGCGTACGGATGGCATAGCCAGGTTCGTTCGTCCTCACCCATCTGGCGCGTGGTGGAATTTCACGATCGTGGCCTGCTCTAGGAAACCAACAAGAAGTTGTCGGCTCTGAACGCGCTAACGTGGTCGGTGTGGACCTCTCGGGGTGCTGGTCTGGTTCTCGCCTTCGATGGAGGTCTCATCCTCGTCCCCATGTTGCGGAACGTTATCCGTGTTGTCCGCCCCCGCCTCGCGTGGCTCTTCCCCGCCGACGAGAACATCTGGTTCCATCGTCAAGTCGCCTACTCGATGGCGTTTTGGGCCATGGTCCACACTACGGCGCACTACGTCAACTTCTTCAACGTTGAGCGTACTCGTACGTATATTTTATTTGCCTCTCTTCAGCCGTTATAGAGCATGCGCCACTCGTTTCTAACACCCCTCTCTCTCAGAGGTCCGTCCTGAGATCGCCCTGGACATTCACTACAAGCAGGCGGGAGGCATATCTGGCCACTTCATGCTTCTCATCATGGTCCTCATGTATACCACGGCGCACCACAAAATCCGCCACCAGTGCTTCGAGGCGTTCTGGTACACTCATCACCTCGCGTTTTTCTTCATGATTGGTCTTTACGCCCATGCCACCGGATGTTTCGTCCGTGACTCTCCTGGTCCCGACTACATTTCCTCGTTCCCCTTCTACTCGACGGAACACTGTTTGGGATACGAGAGTTGGCGGTTCACCATCTGGCCCGGCATCATCTACTTTGGAGAGAGGGTCTGGCGCGAGATTAGGGCAAGGCGTGCAACTCGCCTGTCCAAGGTCCTCGTCCACCCGAGCGGTACGTCTATTTTTAGAAGCGATAACATGCCGTTTCTAGGGTATTGACGCCGCTCCCTTGCTAGGTGCCATGGAGCTGCGTATCATCAAGCCCAGCTTCAAATATGTCGCCGGCCAGTGGCTGTTCATTCAGGTTCCTGACGTCTCTGGCTGGCAGTGGCACCCGGTTAGTAGGCACATCCTCCTGATATGAGGGGGGCTACGCTGACAGATGCCCCAGTTCACCATCACCTCTGCCCCCGAGGACCCTTACGTCTCTGTCCACATCCGTCAGGTCGGTGACTGGACCTATGCATTGGGAGAACGCGTTGGTGCTGGTCCCCAGGTGGTCGCGGCCATGACCAAGGCTGCGTTGAAGGGTGATGAGAAGGACGATCGCGCCTATGGCTCCCGCGGTGACTTCGTCGAGATCGACTCTACGGGTCGCGCTCTTCCGGCTGTGCGCATCGACGGTCCCTACGGTGCTCCGGCCGAGGACGTCTTCAACGTCGAGGTCGCCGTCCTCGTTGGTGCTGGTATCGGTACGTGACGACGGCTCAGTATTCATTTCCGTGGTCATTTACAGGAGAACCGCAGGTGTCACGCCGTTTGCGTCCATCCTCAAGCACATCTGGTACCGCCAGAAGAAGGGTACCCTGGGCTCCCTCAAGCGTGTCGAGTTCTTCTGGGTCTGCCGTGACGCTCCCTCCTTCGGCTGGTTCCAGACTCTCCTCCAGGAGGTCGAGGCCGCTCAGGCCGATCGTGAGTCTTAGCAACGTGTTCCCGGTTTGACATAGCCTTCTGACATTCGGTACCTGTAGCCAACTTCCTGCGCATCAACATCTACCTCACGCAGAAGATCTCCGAGGACATGCTCTGGAACATTGCTGTCAACGACGCGGGCGCCGAGTACGACCCGCTTACGCTCCTTCGTACGCGCACCATGTTCGGCCGTCCCGACTGGAAGAGCATCTACGCCCGCATGAGCCAGGCCATCCAGAGCGGCCAGTACCTGCCCGGCACCAGCGCGCAGCTCAAGACCACCGTCGGCGTAAGTAGCAATTGTAGTGTGTGCCCGAGGTGGCCGGATCGCTTACGGACTATCGCCCGCCACAGACGTACTTCTGCGGCCCGGGTGTCCTCGCTAAGGCTATCAAGGAGGCGACTGTGGCTGCCCAGTGCTCGTCTATCAACTTCACGTTCGCGAAGGTGAGAAGGCTTCGCCTCAGAGACGGGCTTTCTGTCGTCGCTATGCTCACGCCGCTGCGTTTCTCCAGGAACACTTCTAAGCTCCGGATGATGCCAAGACCGTCGAGGTTTACCCGAGTTGCCCGCTGTATTACTCCCACGATTTGTTGAGATGTTGTCGAGTTCCCTGCTGTGTATACGATGAGCGGTGCTTTATATTATTCTTGAACTGCTGTCGAGAGAGAACGTGCGAGCTCGTGGCGCAAAGGCGCCGAATTCCGAGTGTAAACAACGCGTAAACAAAGCGACACCAGTAGACGCCCTCTGTGTGAGAGTTACTTACGCGGTCATCTGCTGCACCGTCCTTCGGTCCACGGGTCGTTCTGCGTGTACCATCTCATATAGTCTATCTCTCTCCTGCTCATGCCAACATGGGAGACGTGCAGCACCCGATGATGGAGAAAGCACATGAAGCGCTCAGAGATACCTTTGGATTCTCGTCTTTCCGTCTCGAGCAGGAAGCCGTACGCGCTTTTTTGTCGAGTCGAGTGTCTTGGAAGCGCGTTGACCGCCCAACTATGTCAAGGTCATCCGTCGTCTCCTCGTGGACAACGAGAACGCGCTCGTATTGTTCCCGACCGGAGGTGCGTGGCTCAGGTACTGAGGGATATAGCGCGCTGTCTTTAATGTCGACGCGCCATTGTAGGAGGAAAGAGTTTGACGTACCAGATTCCTGCACTATGCCTGGAGGTCAGTACTATGCGTCTTTTAGACATAGAGTGACGGTTTACACGCGTCGGTATAGGGATTGACTCTGGTCATCTCGCCTCTCATAGCGCTCATGAAGGACCAAGTCGACGCGCTTGTCATGAGGGGCGTCAAGGCGGCGAGCCTGGACAGCACGCAGGATGCAAGCAAGTCCGGGTGGGTCAAGAATGAAGTTATCACTGGGTCTATGAAGATGCTATACGTCGCGCCGGAGAGGTGAGTGCCCCACGCGTTAAGGACTGTGGCAACACAATCCACACGGTGCTCCAGGCTGAACAACGAGGGGTTCATGGCCATGATGCGACGCGTCCGCATCTCGCTCCTCGCAGTCGACGAATCCCACTGCATCTCTCAGGTTTGGCGCGATCTGCCTTGCGGTGTGCACGTATTCACTCAGGATGTAGTGGGGCGCGAGCTTTCGACCGGAGTACCTCAAGATCGCACGCTTTGCGGAGGAGATGGACGTCGAGCGCGTTCTCTGTCTCACTGCGACGGCGACGCCGTCGGTTTCCCAGGATATTTGCGGCAGCTTCTTCATCGACCGTGATGCGGGTGTCTTCCGCATACCTGTGTACCGGCCCAAGTGCGTCCCTTGCGCTAGGTCTTGCTCACGTCAAGCTAACGCCGTCATGCCAGTCTCGCGTTGAACGTGGAAGTCTTCGACACGATGGCTCAGAAAATCAGTCGCGTCGTTAGTATTCTGCAGGGGCGTACTGGGCCGGCTATCGTATACGTCACTCTGCAGAAACATGCAGAGGAAGTGGCGAATACTTTGCGCTCCTACCAACTGGATGCTGCGATCTATCATGCTGGTTTGCCTTCAGAAGAGCGAGGTCGCGTCCAGCTGCAGTTCATGGAGTCTGATAGAGGTATTGTTGTGGCGACTATTGCCTTCGGTATGGGGATTGACAAGGGTGAGCTTCTTGTGGTCTACACGAACCCAGTACTTCAAGTTCATCTTTTCCACCCCAGCAAACATCCGACAGGTGAGCGCCGAACATATACACGTGGTCCTTTTTTCTTGACGCGGCGTAGGTCATTCACTTCCATATGCCGAAAACACTGGAGAACTACAGTCAAGAGGTCGGTCGTGCTGGTAGAGATGGCTCGCTCTCGCACTGCTACATGTTCCTCTGCGCAACCGATCTACCCATCCTCGAGGGCTTTGCCCGAGGCGACACTTGCGCCAAACGTGACATTGAGCTTTGGATTCAAGAGGTGTCCTTGAAGCAGCCTGCTTCGGACAGTACTCTTGATTTCAACTTGTACAAGCAGTCCAAAGAGTATGTCTCTTACGGCACCCCTTCGGACATATTTTCACGCCGTTCTGTGACAGCTATGATATCAGGGTGTGTCACAGGCAATACAAGTTTCCTTGTCGATGTGGCTCACTGTTCGTAGCAAAACGTCCTGAACCTCTGTTACGCACAGCTGGAACTGGATTATGGCTATATCCGTGCCACGACACCCTTCTACTCTATCTATGACATCTCTCGGTGCGACGAGAATGGATGGTCCAAGGTTCTGGCCGACTCTTCCCCTGCAGCGAAGGCCATCAGGACTTACTGGACGTCGAAGGGTACCAAATGTCAGGTAAATTCATGCCATGACATTCGCGTGTCTCATAGCTGACGTCTGTAGATTGATACGATGCTCACGGCGGAGAGGTCAGGAGTCGAGCGTTCTGACATCGCTCGAACTGTCAACGGCTGGGAGTTGGATGGTCGGTCTCGCTCTGACAGCTGTCTTCAAGGCTCTGACGATGTCATGTGGCAGGCCATATCACAAGCAAGGCATCCCAAGTGAGGGCGGTGAGTGTCTTGGCGTCGAGTAGCTGTGATATATCCTCATAACTATTGACGTAGCGATTCATGGTGACGAAGCCCTTGCCGACGGGCACAAACGACATCAAGCATCTGGCAGACCAAATTTATACCGGGATGGTCGGACGCGAAAACGAAGCGGTCGAGAAGCTACGAAAGGTGGTCGAGTTTGCGACGAATGACGACTGTAGATGTCAAATGAGGTTTCGCATTGAGTGGCATGTACTGAACGATGATCATTCCCAGGTTTGGCCCAAGGTCTCGCCGTGTACTTCGGGGACGAAGACGCCGTCCCGGATGGCATGTGTGGCCAATGCAGTTTCTGCACAAGCGGCGCTGGCGTGGAATTTTCGCCGATTGCGCAGTCGGTCCCTGACGCCGCCCGTCTCAACAAGATCCTCGACGCATGCCCGGAACGAGACGACCCCCGGCTGCTCGCTCGTATGGCCTTCGGCATCACTTCTCCCCGGTTGACATATGGCAAGTGGTCGACAGCGCATCCCCTCTTCGGGAGCATGGTCGACGTCGACTTCAGCGCACTCGTGGCGGCGTTCGATGAGGAATGTAAGAAAGCGGGGTATGAGAAGGCTGAGACGATCGCACCAGCTCGGACGGCGCAGAAGCGTACATACAGCAAGACGACAACCACGACGTCAAATTACTCTTCCGGCAGCTCTCGCGGAGGTCGTGGTGGTTATGGCGGTGGGAGCTACAAGCGTGGCCGCAGAGGATGATTCTATGAGGCTATCATAGCTGCATATGCATTGACTGTTATAGTGCTGTACTATATACCCGTATATTCTGTGTACCCTACCCGCTGTGTAAATAAGCCTGGACCAGTCCAGCCAACTACGCTGTAGCCGACGCGCGACCGTGACCAGGCGCGGGTCGTGGACGCGTGACGCGCGCGGGGTAAGTTGAACGGACGCGTCGGCGATGTGGCTGCTACTTCCTCCGCAACCACGCCGCCTCGCGCTCTCGTGTACCACTCGCTGCCGTCCCTCCGCTTTCGTCTGTGCTCTCTGAATGCTCCACTGACAGTCTCTGACCTTGCTACTTGCTTGCTATTGTACGATTATCTGCCATGTCTGCTGCAACCCCTGCAGCTTCCACTCCAGATGGAGCATCCACCCCTGCCGCGAACCCTGCCGCGGAGGGCCCATCGAGCAACACGTCCGCCATCGACCGAATGGTGCTTGAGTATCTGCGCTCGCGCGGACACAAAGACCCGGAGAAAATCCTTGAGGAGATCGAGCGCAGCGCAACCCCTTCGGATGACCAGGGCAAGCAACCTGAGACTACACCAGCGCACTCTATTTCGCAGGAGGAATTAGTGAAGCAGCTCGCAATCTTCGCGCAGAAACCTGCCAACCCGGACGAGAACGCTTTGAAGGATGGAACGAATGTCCTACAAGAGCTCTCTACCATGGGAAACCCTCAGAATATCCAGAACCTCATATCGAGCATAGGGCCGGTTGGAGCTGAAGAGATTCTCTCGCTTGACCCTACGGATAAGCATCAAGGATTCAGGGAGTTGCAGTCGTGGGTGGACGGGTCTCTGGACATGTACCGGGTAAGTTAAGGCTCGACTTACTGTGGCGTCGTATTCACGTATGTCTATAGCCCGAGTTCAGACCTATCTTATTTCCCATCTTCTGTCATTTCTACCTTGATCTGGTTCAGCAAGGTTTTCGGGAAGCCGGTCCGTATAATTCGTTGCCGTTTGCTCTGCGCGCGACTCACATAGTACCATACAACTCAGCCCAGGACTTCTACACTACGTTCTCGCATTCATTATCCCCTATACACCAGACCACGTTACACCACCTCTCAACAATCACTTTGCCATACCACGTCCAGACGGACGAAGTCGCGCAGCGCTTCCGGTCTGAGAAGTATACTGTACGAATGAGCCGATCCGGGTTCAGCCTCTTGATAGGCTGGTTGACCGAAGGCTTTGGTGGCGAACCGACGGGCACAGGAGAAGGCTTCTCTGGAGACAAGGGCAAGCGAGGACGAGCGGCTATCATGAGGGTGGTGAATAATCACCTACGCTTCGACGGTGTGTAGAGTGTGACAGCTTCTCCAACGTGCTCTAACGCACGAAAACAGTAACGTCTTCGTCCACAACCTCTGTTTCCCCTCGAGCATGGGAGGAGTCGACGGGCTTCCTTTCCTCCGTGGTGCCACAAACTAACGGAAGCACGACTGATGCTTCTACCTACAATGCTTCCAAAGGAGAGCTCAAGCTTGGCCCTGCACCTATCGCTGAGGAGCTGCGAACGGAAACTGAACGCACTCTCAGGGATCAGGCGTTGGTGGACCACGACCCAGGAGCTCAGTATGACATCCACTATGCCCGACAAGCACCACTAACAGGTTTAGTGTCGCCTGCAATCTCGGATCTCCCTCCACACCCACCGTCCTTCAGGAGCGTGGACGTCAAGCGCGAGGTGGAAAAAGTCCGTGATGCACGAAAACGAATTCGGTATGACCCTTCTGTACTCAACTCGGCAAACGCGAATACCCCGCAAGGCGCGGCCGTACGAGCGCGTGCGCTTCCTAGCATATGTGCATATACATTCCATGATGTCGGCGAGGGGTGCGTGTGTCTCTGCGATAGTGATCAGTTTGTGGACTCACAAAGCGATAGAGTGCCGTGCTGCGAGTTCTCACCAGACACGTCCCTTCTGGCGGCAGGCTTCTCAGAAAGCTACATCCGCTTGTGGAGTCTGAAAGGCGAGAAGCTGAAAGGGATGCGGAGCGATTTCCAGACAACTTCAATACGCGACGGTCAGTGGCTGCTTCCATGTCTCGCCGATACGTTTTCTGGCTAACGTAGATTCAGTCTCGTCACTCAACAAGATCCGAGAAAAGGGCGGGTCGACAACGCGCAAGCTGATCGGGCACAGCGGACCTGTGTACTCCGTCGCGTTCGACCCTGTCGGGGGCTCTGCGAGTCCGCCAAGATACCTCCTTTCCGCCTCCGCAGACGCCACGACGCGCCTATGGTCGCTTGATACCATGACGAACGTCGTTGCCTATCGTGGGCACCAGAATCCGGTGTGGGACGTGAAATGGAGTCCAATGGGCATCTACTTCGCGACTGCATCTCGGGACCGAACTGCACGACTGTGGTCGACTGACCGGACATCAGCTCTGCGCATATACGCAGGGCATCTTAGTGATGTCAACGTGAGTACACAGCCCTGTGGGTCGATGCACGGAAGCTGACGTCGGAGCTTGGTATTGTAGGCTGTGGGGTTCCACCCCAATTCGCTGTACCTCGGCACGGCATCTAGTGATGGCACCGCGAGGCTGTGGGACGTACAACGCGGGGCGTGCGTCCGTGTCTTCTACAGGCATGATGACATTGTGTCTACGCTTGCCTTCAGCCCGGACGGGCGCTATCTGGCCACAGCTGGTATGTCCTCGCCGAGGGCCGTTAAGCAATAAGTTTCGATGTTGACAAAGTCGGCTGCAGGGGAGGACCTAGCGATCAGACTTTGGGATTTAGGGTCGGGTAGATGCGTCAAGAAGATGACGGGCCATACTGCATCGGTGTACTCCTTGGCCTTTAGCGCGGAGTCTAGCCTGCTCGTTAGCGGCGGGGCGGACTGGACAGTCCGTTGCTGGGACGTCAAGGCTGCTGGAGGACTGCCCACCAAGGCACGCGAGAACGGGGCGACGGTCAACGGTACGTCGGACGAGCATCCGCCTGAGAAGGAGGAGACCACCGAGAACATCGAAACGTATGCATCCCGTTAATGCACTACCCCGTGAAGCGTGGCTCATCATCGTGGGATTTTTCAGGACTGACCTATTGGCAACGTTCCCGACTAAACGGACGCCTATCATTGATGTGCAGTTCACGCCTCGAAACCTTTGCTTAGTAGCTGGCCCGTACTTATCTCCTGAGACACGATGAATACATTGCCCTGATGACACAACACTATATGGGAACGAGACTGTACATGAACCAGCCTAATCTCCCACTATTGTCTGGTCCACCCGTAAAAATCCCTCCACGACTGTTCCCAGGCCTTTACCAGAATCTCGCTGTCCTCTTTCAGGTCGTTCCTCTTGCCGCTGTCTTGCGCCAGGTATTTCGCGAGAGTCTCCTCGTTTTCCCGCACGAGCTTGACCACGACGTTCCACTCCTGATAGCTCAATTTGGCCAGACCGGAAATATATCTTTCGATGAACCTGGGTATCGGGCCATTGTACTTCTTGCGCCTCCTTAGCACTTCAAGCAGAACATCAAAAGTGAGAGCAGGCGGATAGTCGGGGACACCGGGATCTTTCTGCAAGCTGGACTTCTCAGTATCATCACCGTTGTCTTCGTCTTCTGCGGCGGTGTCTGACCCGTCGTTGTCAGACCCGTCGTTGTCAGACCCGTCGTTGTCAATGGCGGTAGCCTGGGGCGTATCGGGATTGCCTAGCTCGTTCCCCTCGTTGTGCTCTTCGTATTCAACGGACTCGTTGGACTCTTGGGATGAGGAGGGCGTCCATGTCTCGTCGTCTGCATCTTGCTGAAGAGGTGTCCAGAACATCAGAAACATAGTGGCGGCGACTCAAAGCATGCTTTACCTCGTTTCGCTTCTTCTCCACGGCTGCATCGTCCTCCGCCATTGCCACACTGGCTGCCTCCCGATCTTGCGGGTGGCACTGGACGAGGATGCGGTGCTGGCTTGGGCCAGGGGGAGGAGGAGACTCGTTGCGGTCCATTTGTTCGAGGCTCTGGTTGTCTGGTTGAGGGAATTGTTCGTGCTCTCGTCGTTCGCCTCTCACACCCTATATACATCAGACAGGGAAGCATCGGCTTGGAGTTGTCTTGCGACTTTGTGGTACAACGATTCGTTGGGTAGCCGTTTGGGATCAGAACCCTGGTTCTCAAAGCAAGAAGTCTACACACAAAGGCGCAATGGGAAGATGTTGGCATGGAGCACGGACAATGCACGCCAATTGCGCTTAGCCGAGTGGCAGAGGTCGCGGTGGTGGCTGCCAGTCGCGTCGCGTTACGCGTTTAATGGGTCACGTGCGATTTAGCCGCCCCATAGTGGCCCGTGTTCAGGTCGCTGGCCCTCGCTCCTCTTCCCTCACCGCTGCTAACCACTGCAGCATCCCTCGTCCTTCCACCCTTCATATTGCTACTCTCAATCCCTCTTTAAGGCAATGGTGAGCTCACATACTCCCTCGTCGTGCGCATTTGCTGACTCCAGTCGTCTATAGCACGCAGAGGATCAGAATATGGAGGACGTCATGGACGCATCCATGGACCTCGGCACCACCTCCCATCAGCACCCTCAAGGTCTCCACCACGCATCCAACACCCAATATGCAAACCTGAACGCAGACTCTGGTGAGTCCTGGCCTGCGTCGCATGCGCGCATTTCCCTTCATGTCCCTCGGCTGTGCCAGTTCTAACCGAAATGGACCGCCTATACCGACAAATGCGAGCAGTTGTCGCCGGCGTGCCTCCCCCTCGCGAACAATTCAAGGAAATTGCTGTCAAGGTTCATATCCGAAGGCCAGAGAGAGATACTTGGGCCTATATGGGTCGCGGTATTGTCACCCAAGAACTAACCGGACAATCCTCTCGAGTCGGTGCGCACGCTTCCCTCTGCTCGTCTATGCACGCGTCTCTGATATGGTCTGCTCTTCAAGTCGTCAGAGCTCAGTCGTCTCATAAGATACTGACCGTGTTTGGCGAGGTGCGTCATCGTCTCTGCATTCCCCTGCCTTGCCAACCATCTCTTCCTGTCTAGGGCGCAGCCCTCCAGGCCGAGCGGCGCGGTAATTTCGTCGTGATTGGTTGTGTCGATGGAGGTCGTGTCGTGTCATGGTCTCTCAATGTGAGCCTTCTAGCATTTCCACGGAATAGTTGACTGACGCTCTCTGCGCTTTCCGCTGTACTTCCACCGACGCCGCCTTGGACCCCTCTTGTCAATCGTGTTGGTTCGCGCCCTTTTCGACGTGATTCATCACTGCTCCATCCAAACTGCCGGACAGGCCCTCAATAACTCCGACACAGTCCGACTCCTCGCGAGCATCGAGCTCGCGTGCTACGCCTCCAAGCAGGCCATGGTCGACCCAGTCATGCACGGCGCATTCCGCCGCCGTGTCGCACGCATCATCAAGGACGACCGTCGCCGCCGTCACAGGCGGCGCAAGGACCAGGACTCGATGGTTGACGCATTCGCACGCACAGGCCTTGGCGGTGGCATGGACGCGGAAGAAGACTCGGAGCCAGGGTCGGTGCAAAATGCAGGCGCTCCGCCCCCCGCGGAGCCGGTCCCCATCCCTGCCCCGGTGGTGATGCCCATCCCCGAACCCGCCCCCGCTCCCGTTCCTACCTCCGAACCTGCGCTTGGAAGCAACCTGTTCGCAGGCTATTCGCAACAGTGACGCGACCGCATCGCCATTCATGTATACTTGGTGCGCATCGTTATCGCTGTCGTGTTGTCTGTGCAACAGTGTTGCTGGTCCCCGGAACATTTAGAGGAGGGGAGGGTGCCGGAAGCGCACGCGTTATTGCTAATGTATTCTACCACATCACGTCTCGTCTCTTTGCGTTCCTCGTTCCCGCTGTCAATGTCGTCTCATACGTCCGCCCACCTACTGGAGCACTGTCCCATGTCCGATCATCTCACGTCGTGTCTGCCTGATTGCTTGTGCCTGTATAACCACGTCTACGTCTCTTGTTCTAGTACGTTCGCCGATTGCTTAGTTTACCACACGTACCGCTTTCCCAATAAATCGCGACATATGGACTATCCACATGTTTCCACATTCGCCCATCTGCACATACCACGGTCAGGCGACTGACCTGCGTTATTGTTTTGTCGTCCCACAGGTGCTCGCATGTGGCCCAATGTGGAGCACGTCGGGTGGCCAGAGTTCAGCGGGCGCACCGGCTTCAGACACACAGGTGGACGGATGTGGAATACGTCGAAGTTGTACTACACGGCACGCGGCCCACGACTACCCTACACAAACAAACTGGTATCCTTGGGTCGGTCGGCTGGAAGGTCTGGAAGAAATGTGGGGGGGAAGGCAGGTGCGGATATGACTATAGCATCATAGCAATAAGGATGTCGATGGATTCGACGCGCTGCGCGACGCCAGCACGGCGACCGAAACGGAAGGAGCGCGTCCCGCGTGTGGTATGCGCACATCGGTACGAGAGGACTCCCAGAGCGGCCAGTTCGGTGTCGGCGCGGGACCTGCGCGTCGGTCGGACTGAAAGGGACGTGCGGATGCGAAGTGTATGCGAAGTCGAATGAATGTGGGAGCAAGGAGCACGGGGTCGGAGAGGGGACTTTCGTGGCGATCGCGAGATGAGGAGCGGGGTCAAGGGTATGGCGAGGTGAACGACGGGGGATGTTATAGAAGGATAGTAGTGTTCAACATGCAGCTCAGGGGGAAAAAGCGGGTGAACCAAGGAGACGCCAGCTCCAACCAACAGCCGACCACCAGACAACAACAGCAACACAAACGCAGCCATAGGAACAACCACCAGGGCCTCGAGGACGGGGGGCATGGCTCAGCGCATATAGATACCGAAAACCCTATATACGACAGCAGCAGACAGAAAGGAGCGGAAGAGGGTCGCGCGAACGCCGACTATGACGGCTGCGAGCCGTGCGAGTCGCGATACGCGAGGCCCGGGGAGGACGCCGACACGCGTGAGCCGCCCGATCCAGGTGGAGGCGGTGCCCGTCGCTCTGTGTACTGCGGCGGAAGCTCGATGACTTCGTCCTCTGGCGGTGGCGGGATGTCGTCCTCGAGGTCCGTGTGGAGGATGAAGCGCGCAGGAGGTTGGTACGCCGATACGCCAGCTTGCTCAGCCTTGCGGCGAGCAGCACTGGACGTGAGGCTCTGGTCCCATGACAAGATGCTGCCCTCAGGACGAGGGGCTGCGGCTGCTGCGGCAGCCGCTGTGCCGTAGCCGTACCCAGAGCTACCGTAGCCAGACGCGGCGACGCCGCCGTACGCAGATTCGGCGCCGAACAACGAGCCATCGTGCATGGTGTCAGGGCGGGCAGACGGAGGGAAGTGGGAGGACGTTGAGTTAGGAGGACGAGCGAAGTTGACCGTGGAGGCAGCGCCGAACGCCGACCCGACGTCGCTCGGTCGTCCCATGATGAGGCTTGAGGTCGAGTTAGGGGTGAACACGTCGCTCGCAGCTTCTCCCGCGTGATACAGCGGGTACGGGCTTAGGGAGGCGGGAGGGGGCAGGTTGCTGTCCGATTTCATGAGGTCGACATCCTTCTTCTGGAACCGACGCCCGAATGTGCCCTTGAACATGGACGTGCCGCCGTTTCGGCGACGGAGGTAGAACCAGAAAAGCGTGCCTAATACGAGCAGAGCGACGATGGTGCCGACGATCGCGGCGGCTATTGTTCCACCGTTGGATGTGGTCGTCGGATCTGGGGATGCGGTTGCGGTTGCGGACGCGGATGGCTGAGAGCCTGACTGAGTCGGTTTGGTGCTCTTCGTCTGAGTTGCCGAGTGAGTAGACGACGTCAATGAAGGAGCGTTGGAAACGGAAGCGGGGGAGCTCTTGTCGAGACACGTCGCGTCGGCGGAGAGGGCCACAGGCAAAAACTGTGAAGCACCTCCCTGTCGTCCTTTGGCGTCAGTCATGATGAAGGATACCGTCGTCCCAGCCTTGATATCCACGATCCAGTCGAAACTGTCACCTTGAGGGGGATTCAGGACGAAGGAAGAGCCACCCGGTATAACGCCCTAAGGACGGTCAGTCAACTGGTTTTAACATACGTGCATTCGCCAGCATACCTTAATCACTATAGGCTGGACGGCTCCTAGGCTGTAACCACTGAAGGTATAGGTACTGCGCCGCTGTAAGACCGATGATCATGTACCAATCCAGACGGACTTGCATACCTGCATTGCGCCAGAGCTAAAGGCGTTTCGTAGGTAAAGTCGGTACCTAGTCCGCGATGTCAGTATGGCAGAACATCAGGGACAGCAGACGGACCTACCAGGGTCAGTGGTGTTGCATTTATTCCCGCTCAATGAAGCGCCAACAGTGATCACTGGAGAAACTCCCCCAGAAGCGAATCCAGTGGAGTCTGACATGATGGCCATAATCTGATTGCCTTTTGGGAAAAGCAGCGTCGTTGCGAACGTTCCCTTGTTATTACTGAAAGCGTTAGTAGGGATAGGGAGTGTTTGCGGCGTTCCATAAGACTGGAAGAGCGTTTCAATTTGAAAATCGTAAGTATTCTGAGACCGTGCGCAAAGAACATACGGGGACAAGGGTTAGACTGAAAGGCGCCACGCCACCTAGGACACGCGCAAGTTGAGTACGCGATGGACGGATAGAGCGTGAGCAGCAACAGACCTTGCCATGATACTTGGAAATCATCGCATTGCGTTCCCGGCCCGTAAGTGAAGGTGAAGTTGGCCGCGTAAACTTGCTGGAGCGGCCATAGTAGGAGCAAGGACGGGATCAAACTGGAGGGGATCTTCCACATGGACAAGAGACCAGACACAAGGAGTGCAGAGCGAGGCAAGTTGGCGCCAAGAGGCGATAGGGATGGGGCGTGGAGGCGGGGAGGAGGTAGGGGGGTGTGAAACGAGTGGAGGGGCGTGCTACACGCTCTGCACAGCGCTGGCCGCTGGGAAGGATGATGATGAGCGCAAGAGGGAGAACAGAGAAGAGACGCGGTGGAGGTCGCGAGTCCGACGCCGCCCACACCTCTGACGGCGCCTAATTCATATGTAGCCGGATTTGGTCTGTGCTTGGCACGCCAATCCCGACCGATGCGATCCCGACTCGGACGTCCCTGACACCCCGAGCTATGTAGCCACTGCGTGTCCTCTCAACCAGCACTCCTCGACACTGCTAGCCATTCGCATTCCCAGAGCCTCTCTAGAACTCAACGGCCACGGAGGGGTCACACACGAGAAGCAGAAAATATATCCCGACCCTGATGGCGCTGTCAACCTGCCAGACGTTTGCATGCTGGCGCCTAGGCGACCACGACACAATCACCAAAAACGACTGATCTCGTCTTGCACCGCCTCCGCTGCTCTTCAACTTCTTCTGCCGTCTCACCGGCATCACTGCACCCCGAGTTCCTTGCGTATGTATACATCGGCATTGCTCTGCGTCCCACATGCTGCGCGTACACAGTTCGCCCAGATCAACGTCATGCGATGCGCGATACTGATCTTCGCGGCACAATCGGCTGCTTCGATCCGTAAATGCCAACTTGATTAGTTGTAGCCACTCCAATCGCGCTCGAAGATTACGGCCAGATATCGTCCACTCTTACATCGTCCAAAGGTCATTGTTCACATCTCACAGCACGTCCAGTGTATTTCTGCTCGCGCTAGAACGCTATATTAGCCATTACCCTGCAAACGACATGAATCATCCTGACGAAATCATGGGGGAGCACTCCGAAACCGAAACAAGCTCTACCTTGCCTACAGTCCGTATTCAGCTCCTGAGCGACCTGCACCTGGAGATGCCTCGGCCTTATCATCCAGAATCAGGATACAGCGAGGACGGACATGTTTTTGAATACGACTTCCCGGCACGCGCCGACGTCCTTGCATTGCTTGGAGACATCGGTGTAACGCGAGACGACCGTTTCTTCGCCTGGCTTCGTTCCCAGCTGAAGCGGTTCAAATTGGTGCTCTTCCTCTCCGGTAACCACGAAGCATACCACTCGTCTCTGGTCAGTAATCTCGTACATGTAATGTATCTAATTGGCCCGGCGGCTCACCCACTCGATTGAAGGAAGCGTCAAACCGCAGACTCGTCGCATTCGCCGCACAGTGCGACGAATGGGCAGCCAACCCGCCCGCCGGCCAGTCCATCGGCCGTTTCGTCCTCCTCGACCGCACGCGGTTCGACCTCTCCGATACGGTCACCGTGCTCGGCTGCACGCTGTGGTCCCGCCTCGACATGCTGAACGCCGAGATGCTCTGCTTAGGCCTGAACGACTTCCGCCTCATCTCGGACATGAACATCGCGACGTACACGGCCCTCCACCGGCGGGACGTCGAGTGGCTCGAGCGGAGCATCACGCAGATCGCCCGCGACGAGCCCCATCGGCGGATCGTCGTGATGACCCACCACGCGCCCACCGTCGCGGACACGTCCGAGGAGAGGTTCGTCGGGGGGCCGCTGAACTCGGCGTTCGCGACGGAGTTGACGGAAGGGCCGTGCTGGAACGAGCGGGTGAAGGTGTGGATGTTCGGACACACGCACTGGCCGTGCGACTTCGAGAGGAAGGGTGTGAGGGTTGTGAGCAATCCGAGGGGTTATCGGCATGCCATGGACGGCTTTGAGCCTCACATGGTGGTAGAAATATAAGTTGATCTAAGTGAGCTTCCAGCGCCATGGGCACTGCTGCTTAGACTCAGCCGACGGCGGTGATTGGACGGATAACGATACAAGACTGTTCTCTGTGTGTACTCTACGCGGGCCTTCTAATTCAAGGACGAGTGCGCCGAAACAAGAGGTGTCTCTCGAAAGAAGTGCGGAGTAAAGCACAAAGTAATAGTCCGCATTTGAAAGTCCATACTGAGCAATACTTTGCCACTCTCATCAGTTGTGCTAATACGATGATCAATCGGTGTCCATATCCAAGTCGACGCTCAGGCTGTGTACGAGACCGCCGCAAGCTCGGTGCGCGCCCGTTGGAAGTTCCTGCCTCGTGCGGCGTGGGACCTGCCATGCTGGGCAGCGAGCGGTGTATACACCTGTTTGTACTGTGGCTGCTAGCGATTCCAGATCCTCGAAATACCGCCTGGGCTGCGCCGTTAGTACATACAGCACAGGCGGCGTCGCCAATAATCCCCACCCCCTACGTTCCTCTTCGCGCCAGCCGACCCCAAACATGGGCCTCCCGCCGACGCAAGTCTGGACTCGCGAGCAAGTCGCGGCCAGAATTCTCGCCGGGGATTCAGTGTTCGTCTTGAACGGCAACCTCGTCCGCGTCCCTGCGTCCTGGCTCTCTCTGCACCCCGGCGGCAACCTCTCTATCCTGCACTTCGTCGGGCGCGACGCGACGGACGAGATTGGGGCGTTCCACTCGCAGGAGACCCTCCAGCGCATGAAGGGGTACGTGATCGGGCAGGTCGATGTGGGCGAGGACGGCTGGGCGCCCTTTGTGCCCCCCATCGCAACCGGCTGGGTGCGTAGGAACGGAAAGGATGGCAAGACGGAGTGGTATAACGAGGCGCGCGCGGTACATGCGACAACGGAGGCCGAGCCGTCGATCCTGCTCGTGAAGGGAGACGGAACGCCTCCCGCGGGGCCCGCGCCGACGCTAGCGGACTTGCAGCCCGCACCGAACTCGCTATCGCTCAAGAACGAGAAGCTGAACTCGGAAGCGTACCAGGAGCTACACAGGCGGGTCAAGGACGCGGGCCTATACCAGTGTCGGTACATCACTGGGTACGGGCCAGAGATCGTGCGGTATACGCTGCTCGCGGTTCTGTCTGCCGTCTGCTATTCGAAGGGCTGGCTCATTCCTAGTGCTCTGTTGCTCGGGCTGTTCTGGCAGCAGCTTACTTTCACCGCGCATGACCTGGGCCATGTCGGTGTGACGCACAACTGGACCCTTGATCGCCTCATTTCTATCTTTATTGCGGATTTCTTGGGTGGATTGAGCATAGGCTGGTGGGTAAACGTGAGTAGACCAAAATCCAATGTGCTTATTCATTACGCTCACGGCATGTCCAGAATCATAACGTGCACCATTGTAAGTCATCTTGTATCTCTCGTCGGGCCATCGTAGTGACAAGCCCCCGTATACGAAGTGGTACCTAACCACCCCACTCAGTACGTCTCTTACACCCACGCGTCCTATACAGTGGCCTGACGTTCTCTGCCGAACAGTGATCCCGATATTCAGCACCTCCCCTTCTTTGCCATTAGCCCCGTCTTCCTCAGATCACTCTGGTCCTCGTACTACAAGCGCGAGATGACTTTCGACGCACCGGCGAAGTTCTTCATCTCCTTACAACACAAGCTCTTTTACGTCGTCCTCTCCCTCGCCCGCTTCAACCTCTACGCCCTTTCTTACGGTTACCTCTTCAAAACCGCCTTTGAGCCCAAGAAGGCTCGCGGCGGCCGCTGGTGGTGGTGGGCCGAGGTCTTCGCGCTCGGTCTCTTCTTCACCTGGTACGGCGCCGTCCTGAAGGGCTGCGGCTCATGGAAGAACATCCTCGTCTATCTGCTCGTCAGCCATATCGCTGCGAGCCCCGTACACGTGCAGGTGAGTCATCGTCGCGACGATGTGTGTCGCATGCCCTCCTGAGCCTGTCATTCTAGATTGTGCTGTCACACTTTTCACGTTCAACGGTTGACCTGGGGCCAGTCGAGTCGTTCTTCGCGCGCCAACTGCGCACGACTGTCGACGTGATTTGCTCTGAGAGCATTGAGTTCATCCACGGTGGGCTGCACTTGCAAGTGACGCATCACCTCTTCCCGCGTTTGCCCAGACACAACCTCCGGCAGGCGAGCTTGATCGTGAAAGAGTACGCGAAGGAGCGCGGGCTGGAGTACGCCGAGTTCGGCTTCGCAGATGGCAATGCGGAGGTGCGAGGGGTGCTGAAGGAGGTCGCTGACCAGATCAAGATCATCGGAATGGTGGCGGACTCGGAGGTTAAGGAAGCCATGAAGGGCTGATTACAGCTGCCTTGCTGCCTCAATTGTGCTGGAATTGTATAGAGAAACTAGAGCGATAGCACGCTAGATTTGTGATGTCTGTGACACAATACCCGTTGCTAAGGCTCAGTGGCCATATTCGTTAGTAGAGTTGGGGTAGGAGCCCAACCAAAAGTGCAATCATATTGATGCATGTGGCATATGATGCTATAAGACCCATGGCGTGCCAGCTTTTGAGTACATGAGATAGGCGTGCGGAAGCATGGTGGAGAGGTGGTACAGGAAAGGAAGAAGTCGTGTACAAGTAGTTTACTTCTTCTTGTTCGCCTCCTCCTCCGCCTTCTGCAGGATATCGAGACTGTGAGTATGCAACCGAAGAACAAAACGTGATAACAAACCTTCGCTTCCCGGATCTTGCGCTTGCCCTCGTTGCGGGCGGCGGCACGCTCGTTGCGGAGGGTGCGATAAGCCTGGAACTCGCGCTCCTCTTCGGTAATCTTGCGGGGAGCCTCGGGAACGAAGGGGGGAGGGAGGGGAATGGAGGTGCGAGAGATGGGAGCAGTAAGATCCTCGCCCTGACCTCCACGTTACAAGCTGCTCAATACATGATAGAAGGATAAAACATACGGTGGAGTCGCCCTGCTTGGGCTTCTTGGCGTTGCGGGGGAAGACAATGAGGCGGGCCTTGTACGCCTTCAGGCGCTCAACATTGACAGCCTTGCCCTCCTCGCTCAGGTTTCGCCTCCGGTGGTCGACAACAATGCCGATACCACGAGCCTCCTTCTTGCCAATACCAGCCTCCTTGAGCTCGGCCAGGGTGAACCCACGACCCTCGCGGACCTTCCTGTTGTAGCGCACGGTCTGTGCGCGAACGGCGGGGCGGAGGAGGGTGAGGGGGCGAACGCCGAGCTTGGCGGCCTTCGCCTTGCGGGCCTGGCGGCGACGAAGCTTGCGACCGGGTTGGTCGAACCAGGTACGGACACGGCTCTGCCAGTCCTTGCGGAAGTGGTTGGCGTGAAGGACTGTAGATTACGAGATGCCATTCAATTATTTAGCAATCTGGCACGCTCGGAGCCCTTTACGAACCGTTGTTGTAGCGGAAACCCATGTCTTAGTCTGGAGATGAAGATGGGAGATCAGCAAAGAGGTCAGAGGGGAATACACAGAAGTTGCCAGATGAAGGTCCGTCGGTACATCCGTCCTAAGTATGGTCAATCCACCCGTTTCCAGCACTTCCTCCAAGTAAAAAATGCGATGGACCATACAAAGGACATCCGTAGAGACAGTCTAGCAGCATTTCGAGGTTGTAAACGGGCATACTCACCTTGAAGGGGGTCTTGAGGAGGCGTTGACGGATTCTGCCCTGTGAGACTGAGGCGCCTGTAGAGCGATGCGGAGTTCCAACACTGAGAAGCTGTTGTTCCGGAACAACCCCCCGGTCGCCGGCCGGCACGGGAACCTCCCTCCATCATCAGACGCTCATTCTCTTGATACGGAACATCATGGTTACCTGCTGGTTACAGCTGGCTTGCCTTGATGCAATTGCGCTAAGTACTTGTCTTGACCGCTCGGCTCAGACTCATGTCTGGCTAGACGATCTTGTTCTTTGCATAACCGACATATCCCGGATTCGCTCATGGTCCCAACCTGACCTCTGACATCGTGTCGTGCCAAGGTTGAGCACGAGGCTCAAAAGTTTGATATTTCTCTGCTGCCGCTTCCCAGCATCTAGTCGATGAGAGGTTAGTTCCAAGGCATCCCATCGTGAAAGTTCTCCTTCCACCTAATGACCATGCACACCTTCGCAGGCTTCTTTCTGTTCGAGCGTGAGAGCTAGCGTCACCCCGAAATGTCATATAACGGCATTATCAGTCCACGCCGCGGCCAATGTGACCTCACGATTAGAGAGTTGGCGAATTCTGCCGTGTAGAGTTTATTCCACGTGGGATTCCTCTCTAATGTTTCGGAGCCTGACTGTCGAAGATGGTCCAGAGCCTTCACACAGAGAAGCTGACACTGCCCAGATTTCTACCTTGATATACTCAATCGCGACGGACTCTCCGATTTCAGCGTGGTGCTGGCGACGTGCATCGACATCTACAGTCTTCTAGTTTGCGATAGTAATCGTTCTAGAGCCACAACACGAGGACAGACCCGACAGCGGCTTCAACGTACAAAATGGCCGCGTCTTGACCGGTCAACGGGTACATCTCCTACTCGCGCACAGATACCATGGTTTCTCCCGTTCTTGCGAAGTACTTCCCTCGCGCCGACCACGTCGGCTCACTCCTCCGCCCCCAGGAGCTGGTCGAAAAACGGATTGCTTTTCACAGCGGCCAGTGTACAGCGGAGGACCTCAAGGCAGTCGAGGACGAGGCTGTGCCTCAGATTGTCAAATTGCAGAAGGATCTTGGCCTGACCGTCCTCACGGACGGAGAGGTGCGCAGGTATGAGGAGGGCTTGATAGGGTGATATATGCCCTGACCCAATTCAACTCAGAGCGGTTTACAACCACGGCATGTTTGAGCAAGTCGAAGGAATGACTGTCATTCCGGATCGTGAGTGTGCTTCCCTCGCCTCTTGGTGACACGACACCGACCCTCGGCATAGGTCCGTTTTCGGAGTATGTGGTGCGTCTCCAAGTTCTCACCGAGTTTCCACTGTAGAATTAAGCTCAGCTCCTTTACTAGCCCTACCTACCCTACGTGCAATTGTTTTCATCCATGGGCATCAAAGGTTTTACGTCAACCAAGACCACGGTCAGTCGAGAGAATTTCCACCTCGTCTATCACACCCTGACCCTGATTAACGCGCAGGGAAAGCTGCGTCGGACCAAGCCTGTGCACGTACACGAGTTTTTGTCGCTGAAGCAGCATGTGTCTCCGGAGGTACGTAAAGCAGCCATAGGAAGAAGAAGTTCTTGACAGTGGGGCGACCGGACACAGGATGTGTCTAAACTCAAGATTACAATGTGTTCGCCAACGTGGATGCACTTGCGACATGGCTCGGAGCATACCTATGATCACGCAGTCTACAAAGACGACGGTAAGGAGCTCTTCGCATGCCCGAGAGCCACCAGTCCACTCTAATCAGTGCCGTCGCAGCCGAATACTTTGCAGACCTTGTGAAAGTCTTCCGCGAGGAAGTCCAGGACCTGTACGATCATGGTTGCCGGCGCATTCAATTTGACGATCCCGGTTTTGCATTTTACTGCTCGAATGTGTTGATCTCTGGGATGGAAGCTGCCGGCGTGGACCGAGAGAAGCTGCTGGATACGCATATCGACGTATACAACCAGATCACGGCCGGCAGACCGGCGGACCTTGTTATTGGGGTGCATACTTGTCGCGGGAACATGAAGGTCAGCTCTAACGCCGTCCTCACATGTGGACATATCTCGCGCTGACTGTGTCCCGGACAGGGCATGCATTTCTCTGAAGGCAGTTATGATCACGTAGCACAACAGTTCCTAACGAAATTGGACGTAGACGTCTTTTATGTGAGTGACTCAGAGCAGCCACGAAACAGGAGCGTTGATGACCGAAATGTCCTTCGATTCCCCAGCTTGAGTATGATACCGACCGTGCGGGTGGGCTAGAACCCCTACGATACCTTCCTCTGGGAAAGCACGTCGTTCTTGGCCTTGTCACTACCAAGAGTGGGGCGGTAAGGCACCCCATCGACATGCGGCCTCCCGTGACTGATGGAGCCTAATATACCAGCTTGAGGACATTGAGACAGTGAAGGGGCGTGTCCGTCGCGCCGCTGAGATCATCTCTGAGGGGCAACCACGGCGGTCGTACGAGCAGGCACTTGGGCAGTGAGCGCCAACCGGCTGCGAGTGTGAGCGTTGAGGCTGACTGTGGCGTTGTGCAGGATTTCCATTAGTCCGCAGTGCGGATTTGCGTCGGTGTTTGAGGGAAATCCTATCACTGAGGAGGTGGGCACCCGGCTGCTGCTGTCTATCACTGCCGAAGCAGCTGAAATGATCTGTGCACAGGACGAGAAGAAGAAGCTGGCGTTGGTGGTCGCCGCGGCGCGGGAGCTGTGGGGCTAAGGGTGTTGTGGGCCGCAACCGGATGATATCACAGCTGTGCAAGCGCGCGCAGCCAAGGCTGCTTAAACTAAGTGTACTGTACGCCCGAATGCATGATGACGACGATGTTTGCGCTGCGATGGCCTAGATTGGGGGGTTGTGGGACAGCTGCGGTACGGGAATCCGAGGACGGGACATATACGGAGGGGCGTAGATATCCGCCCCTGAGCCGGGGCCAGTAGGTGGATGACTGTGCGTCGGAGGCTCGGGCTCCTTGTCCAGTGCCTCGACCCCGGACGCTGGGCTATTTTCGCACCTCTCCTTCCTCCTCCCATCATCTCGTCGCTTTCCTTCCGCTTTCTCCATCTCACCCGTCGTCTTCTGCATCGTCTCCCGTTCTGTTGTACCACCAGTACTTAGCATCTTGTGGCTTTATCATTCCCGTCCATTGTCTTGGCGTGGGAAAACCGTGTTGCCGGATAGAGAGACCTCCTGATCCTGGTCACCCTCACCCAGACCAACAACCGTAACAGCATGCAAGTCTCGAAGCATCACACCCGGCACAGGTCGGCCAGCGCTGATCCGTTCAACGACCCCGCCAACGTCTCCTACTCTTCATACGGCATTCCAACCCTCTCTAGGAACGCCCCGCCTTACCCTGCTGCTGTCCAACCTCCACCACCTCCCCCCAAACACACCGCGAAACCGCACTCTTCTCGCCCCTCCACCGGCAATCGCCAGAATACCATGGACGCCGTTCGAGACACCGTCACCGTGCGGGGTACCCCAGATCAGATTCCCCGTGCGAGGGTCGCTCGGAGCCAAACCGAACTCCCTCCGTAAGTTGTCCGTTTCTGCAGCTAGCCGCCGATTAGGTCTGATATCAACGCTTTGCATCGCTTGCCCGCTCCTTTCCCTTTTCATCTCTTATCCCAACCACACAGTCCTACCCTCGTCCGTCCCTCCACCGCGCCCGTCTCCAAACGCTCGCAATCTCAAGACTCCGTCGTCCGCACAGCCAACGCCATGGAGAAGGCCAAGACCGGCCGCAAGAAGAAGGGGTCCTCTCATGCTGATGTCATCGATAGACTGGACTTTTCTGGTGTCGGACCCAGTGCGTTGTCTCTGTCTCCGTTGCTCTTGCTGCACGCCTGACCCTTGTGCAACCAGTGTTCCACCATGACGGCCCATTCGACGCATGTGCGCCCTCTCGCAATCGTCACCGGACGAAGGCACCCATGCTAGCTTGGAGTGCGGGCCACGAGGCAGATCAGCAGGCCCTTAACAACGCTCAGCCGATTCAACCCAGGTCGCCCGACGTCTTCATTCCCTACGAAGCCCCCAAGAAGAAGAACCACGACGCCATTGCGGAGGCGTGGGGGATCCACGAGCCAGAGCCGTTCGAGGATTTCTCCGCGGGCGGTGGAGCTACCGCGCGACAGAGCGGTGAACACGCTAGGAGTGGCAATGGGTCCTCAAGGCGCACTCGGGACGGGCGAGATGCTCGTGACGTGTATCGAGAGTATCTGGAAGAAAACCACCCTTCCCCTGCGCGTCGCGCCGCGAAGCGCAGCATCCCGCCGCCGCAGCCTATCTTCGTCCCAGACAACGAGCTCGGTAACAACCCGCCGTCGCCTACCAGCGCTGGATATGATTCCCCAGGCGGAAATGCCCCTCGACGAAACAAGTCGCTCATGCAACGCATCCGCAAGATGCGTGATCAGCCGAACGTCCCAGTAGGCGCATACGATGACGACGGTGGGAGGCGTGACATGTCACCCGGACCTTCTGGTGAGCATCACCGACATCCGCAATACTACCCTTCGCAGCAAGCTCGCGTCCCCAGCCGACCGACACATCGCTCACAAGGATCTTTTATAGGGCGTTTCGGCCGTGGTGCCAACATGGCCTCTAGCCCCTCTGATGACGCCTTCGTGTACGTGGACCACGTGCCAATGACGAAGAACAAGTCCCTGCCTAGCCCTCCCAAGGATGGCACTCCTGCATACGAAACTACAGATGAGTACTTCGACGGAGCGGAAATGGGCATGGGTGGTGCTAGTCTTGGACGTAAGACCAGCCTCCTCAAGAAGGTCGGGACGGTGGTGAAGGGCCGCGCCAAGTGAAGTGCTCTTTCCCACCCCCCATGTCACGATCGTACGCCTCAATGACCGAGTGCCGCAGTTGTATGCTTTCCCCTTCGGTTGACTGTATTTGTTTCTGGAGCCCACCTCGTCCTGCTTGCCATGCAGACTAGCTTCACATGGCTGTATATCTCTAGAGGGACTTCACTACCGTGTTACCAGCACGCGACTCCTCCTCTCCTTCTCCACATAACGATTGTACGTATGTACTCGTCGCGACAGTCCGCATGCCTACCGCCGTTGTCTCCTCGCCTAATGATTCCACGTTCCCTGTCACTTGATACCAGTCTCGACGGAACCTCTCCGCTGGTTTCCCTGCTCCCTGAATCGGTGGTCTCACCACCTTCGTCTTACCGTACTGTGTCACCAATGTTTCCCATCCTGTCAAATACTACCCTTTGTATGTACACCGAGCTGAACGGTTGTCCACAATGATTACGCTTAAGGTTGCTCGGAACGCATAGTGAGAGCCCTTGAAAATTGGGACGTATACGGATACATTAAATTGTCGTCTTCGACCTACATCAGACCGTCCGCACGTTGATTTTGGCCGCCGTCAACGTGGCCTTGACCTCATCTATGCCAACCTCGTTACGGTGGAAGACCCCTGCAGCCAACGCCGCCTCAACGCCTGTCTTTTGGAAGACTTCAACGAAGTGCTTCGCGTTCCCCGCTCCACTGCTCGCGACGACGGGTATCCGCACATTACGTCGCACGAGCGCGATGAGGTCGAGATCATATCCTGCTCCCGTCCCGTCCCGGTCTATGCTGTTCAGCACGATCTCCCCGGCTCCAAGCTTCTCCACGCCCTTGACGAGCTGGACGACGGAAAGCGGCCGGTTCTCCCGCCCGCCGCGGACGGTACACTGGTACCACCAGGCCTTGCCACGCTCTGTCTCTGGTCCGTCGGGCTTCCCGTACACGAGCTCGCCCTTGTACGGGCCGTCGTAGTCGGGCTCGACGTACACCCGTCGCGGATCGACGGAGACGACCACGGCCTGGCGGCCGTATGCGTGGGCGATCGTCTCGATCGCACTCGTCCCGTCGCCTTCCCCGATGCCATCCGTGCTGGGGCGTTCGCGCATCCGCTCGACTGCGAACACGGCCTCGGTCGCGATGCTGACCTTGTCGGCCCCCGCGCGGAAGTACTCGCCGGCGACCTCGAGGGCGGAGTGGGGCGTACCATCGGGGTCGACGGTGTCCTTGATCCCGCCACCGATAGTGAGAGGGACGAAGACCGTCTCCGCCGCGGCGCGGACGACGGCCAGCATGGGTTGGTCGAGGAGCGGCGAGTGGCGGAACGAGGTGATGTTCATGAGGCAGATCTCGTCCGCGCCCTCTGCGTAGTACCGCGCCGAGAGCGAGACGGGCTTTCCGAGATTGCGCACCGCGCCTGCGACGTTTGCAGAATTGGCCGTCCGTTCCCGGACATCGTACTGGTCGCCCTTCGTCACAACGAGGTCTCCGTCGTCGTTCGAGCGGACGTCCATGCAGGCGATGATGCGCTTCGTGAACCCGTCCTTTGGCTTCGGATGACGCGCGACGCGGGGCGTGGGAGGGCTCGTCGCACGTTCGGCTTCTGACTGCTTGAGCCAGGCGTCGAGAACCTTGAGCCCTGCGGGCCCCGACTTCTCCGGGTGAAACTGGCATGCGAACACGTTGCCCTTCCGGACAGTAGCCAGGAACACCTCCTGGCCGTACTGCGTGGTGGTATGCGCCCATTGGCCTACGTCGGGGCGCTCCCAGTCGTACGCCGCGCGGAAGGAGTGGACGAAGTAGTAGGACGCGCGCGGGTCGAGCCCCTCGTGCGCCTTTTCGTCCGGATCGAGGAACTCGACTGAATTCCAGCCCATGTGCGGGACGGACTTGTCTGCGTTGGCAAAGACTCCGATGTCAGACGGGATGATGCCCAGGCCTTTGGAGGAGGGCGATTCCAGGGACGAGCGGAAGAGGACTTGCATCCCAATGCAGATCCCGAAGTATGGTTTCCCCGACGCGATGTAATCGCGGAGGGGCTCGTAGAGGCCGCGTAATACGAGGCCATCTATTGCGCTGCCAAAAGCACCCACTCCAGGAAAGATGAGGCTCTAAGGGAGCATGCCAAGCAGAACATAAGCGGCGAAATAATTCGGGATGGAGAATAAGTGACTGACTGTAGCTTTGTCGAAATCAGCAGGGGATGCGATCCATTGGAAGTCGTGGCCAAGCTTCTTGAGGGTATTTGCAAGGCTTTGCACGTTGCCTGCGCCATAGTCGAGGAGATATAGACCCATGGTGCGCGGAAGGCTTGCGTGAGAGGCCAGGGGAATGTGCGCGCAGCCAACATCTTGGGCGTTGGACTGGGAGGAGATTTGAGCAGGGGCGATCGAGTCAAGAAAAGATATACCAAGTGCATCTAATCTAATCTTTGCATTGAATGACACCATCTCCGCGGTACATACCAAAGTCCGAGTTGTGCATCTCGCTATAACTCGTTCGAAGGAGCTTCACTGACTCCTCCAGACTCCCCTCTCGACGGTCGACTCAGTCCTCAACCATCCCTTCCACCCTCGCCATGTCCGCTGCCATCAACATCCCGAGCAGTCGCTCTGCTGTTTCGACGTCTCCCATTGCGTCCAGCAGCCTTCATGACCGTATGCTCCTCCGCAAGGACTCGGTCAACTTCTCCATTCGCCTGCCCAAGGTTCTCCACCCCATAGACAATGAAGACCTTCGACTACTTCTCTTGGAAAATATCAGCCAGGAGGCAGTGAGGACTTTCCGTGCACAAGGCTTCCATGTCGACCACTCGACCAAGGCCATGTCGGAAAATGAGCTCGTGGAGAAGATCGGCTCATATCACGCCATTGGCATCAGAAGCAAGACCAAAATTACCGAGCGAGTCCTCCAGGCTGCGTCCAAGGTGCGTGTCCTCATCCCACCACAACGCACATGCGCTAACTCCTGCTTCCCTGTCTCACAGCTCCTGGTGATCGGATGTTTCTGCATCGGCACCAACCAGGTCGACCTACCTGCCGCGGCCAAGGCTGGTATCCCAGTGTTCAACTCGCCCTTCTCCAACTCCCGGTCGGTCGCGGAGCTCGTTATATCCGAGATCATTGCGCTCGCACGGCAGTACTTCCAGCGCGCGATCGAGGTGAAGTCCGGCATCTGGAACAAACAGTCCAAGGGGTGCTGGGAGGTCCGCGGAAAGACCCTTGGTATCGTGGGCTACGGGCACATCGGCTCCCAATTGTCCGTTCTCGCCGAGGCCTTCGGAATGCGCGTTCTCTTCTACGACGTCGTCAACCTGATGCCCCTGGGGTCCGCTCGCCAGGTAGAATCCCTCTCCGCGCTCCTCGCGGAGTCGGACTTCGTGACCCTCCACGTCCCCGAGCTCCCGGAGACGATGAACATGATATCCACTCAGCAGCTAGCGCAGATGAAAAAGGGCTCCTACCTCATCAACAACGCGCGTGGCAAGTGCGTCGACATTCCTGCACTCATTGAGGCCCTTAAGTCCGACCACCTCGCCGGTGCCGCCCTCGATGTCTACCCCGCCGAGCCCGGCGCGAACGGCGCCCCATTCGACGACCAATTGAACCCTTGGGCCAGCACCTTGCGTTCGCTGCCAAACGTCATCCTCACCCCGCACATCGGTGGTTCTACGGAGGAGGCGCAGAGGATGATTGGAGAAGAGGTGTCGTCGGCCCTCGTCCGCTACCTCAATTACGGTGCCACCCTCGGCGCTGTCAACTTCCCCGAAGTCGACCTTCGCGCCATCACACTCGAGGAGCCGAACCACATCCGTGTCTGCTACGTACATAAAAACATCCCCGGTGTGCTGCGCCAGGTCAATGAAGTCCTCTCGCCGTTCAACGTCGAGAAGCAGTACTCGGACTCCAAGGGCGACATCGCGTACCTCATGGCGGATATCGCGGACGTCAGCGGCAAGGACGTCAACTCGCTCCGGGAGCAGATCAGCAAAACTCACGCGAACATCCTCACGCGCCTGCTCGCGTAGAGCAGCCACCCTGGTTGCTTATACCTCGCTACGCATAACCCCAGGCATGCCTATTCCCCCTATCGCCTGGTGCTGAAAAGCCCGCGCATGGACGGTGCATCTTGCATTCGTAGACGTTTTCCTTACCCTTAGCAACTTACTCGCGATTCCACTCAACTGGTCTCGTTTGTGCTCATTCAACTGGCATTCGACTGTCCAACCGCTGTAGACTAACCTTCTGTGCATCGTCGTTGTATTATATCTCGCTCGGGAAGGGAAGCGATGGAAGTGATGCATCAATGCGTAACATCCGTGAGTATCTATACAGAATAAGGTAGCGTCCGTGCAATACAGCGATGAACGAAAGCCTAAGAGTATATCCGAAAGGGACCGACAAGAACATTGGACAAATATCTACTCTTCCTCGGGGTCCCCGATACCGCTGTTAAGGATAGCGAACGTTGATTCCGATTCTGGTAGACACGGGGAGTCATAAATTTTGGCTTGACGATTCGCTCCTCGACCCTTCTTTAGCTGCACACTGCAGGTATTAATCGAAGTGAGCTTGCGCATAAGTAAACGTAATACCAATGGGACATACCGCGTTGTCGAGGCGTGGGCCATAATATTGCCACCGACTGGTTTCTTCTCGTTTGCAGCATACGGCCCTGCTGCGCCGTCTGGGTTGGACATGACCTGATTTGTGATAACCACTGCGATACCAAACTGAAGTCAAGGGAACGAGGACGATGTGTCAAGATTGTAGTTGACCGAGCAGGCCGAAGGATGATTCACCTCGTCTGCCAGTCGCTGAAGCGTACGGAGGAACTTGCCCAGATGTGACTGTCGTGCGGAGAGCTCACCACGACCGTTGAAGTCCGTCCGGTAAAGCGCGGTGGCGGAATCGACGATCAATAGGCAGAACCTGCCCACGAGCTGTTTAGGATTCTCGGAGAATGCGCATATAGTTGCATTTGGACACTGACCTCGACTCAGACATCAGTGCGCTCGCGGCTGTGAGCAGTTGTTGCTGATGGTCGGCGTTGTATGCACGCGCGTAGGCGACGTTGTCCAACACCTCTTCTCCGTTCAAACCCAACCGCTCCGCAACCGACAGTAACCGTACGGGACGGAATGTGCCCTCTGTGTCGATGTAGAGACACTTGCCCTCTCCTCCTCCCATGTTGATAGGGAGTTGGCACGTAACGGCGAGTGTGTGGCATATTTGCGACTTCCCGGTACGGAACTCACCAAACAGCTCCGTGATCGCGCCGGTCTCGATGCCTCCCCCCAGGAGGGCGTCCAGGTTCTTCGAGCCAGTGGTTATGTGTACGAGCTCCGCACGGCGTGCGTGGACCTCGGTAGCACTTTGGAAGCCAAGAGGAATGATCTTCAAAGCTGCAAAGAAGTTTGTCTTCCTGTTCCCCATCGGTGCCGTTAAGTCAGGCAGAGAGGCCGCACCTTCAGCTAGAATCTTTTCGGCTTTCTGTTCTGAGATGCCTTTGATGGACATAAGGTTCTTCTTTGGAGTGTATGCAACGGATTCGACGGTGTTTAGACCAGCTTCTGTCAGTTTCTTGATGTCTTGCGGTGTGATGCCGCATTCTGCGAGCTTATCGACAAGGAGGGGTCCGGAGACGTGGACCTCCTCCTCTTCTTGGTCCTGCGAAGGCAACGGCGAGCTCATAGTAAAGTAGATGTATCAAAAAGTGGGGTATCGGGCCGGAGAGGGGGGAGCGAAGGGTTCCAAGGGTGGTGGACAATGGGGGAAGAGTTCAGTCAGCTCGGCGCGTTGCAGCGCCCCTACGGAACCACGCGTCGCATCACGTGAACGCGTGCCCTTGTATATATGGGCGCTTAAACATGATCGCTGACAGCCGCGGAAAACAGAAACATACGACCCTATAGGTTCGGCGTAAATCCTTCGCAGGGAACGCGAGAGGTGGACGGTCTTTGTATTGTACCTCTGGGATTTCGGACAGCCGGGAAATATAACTTATGCGTATCAACTATGTCGCGATCAATTGGACCCCAAGATGTGGGAGAACTGAGCATTTGTAGTAACCAGTATGCTACCAAAGCGACTGAAATCCAATGAAAGGCATCGTGCAATCCGTGGATATGAGCGACAGGTGTGATATGAGGACACAGACGTCATGGTTATCGGGCAAGCACACGGTGTCCACAAGGCGCATGTTGCGACGCAAAGATCATCTAGTGAATTAGCATTACCTGTAGTATGCGTGCGTACTAACATAATCACGGCTTGTACTCCCGATGTGCGACGCCCTTCGGTCTACCCAAGGCCTGTTCAAACCACTCCACAGCCTCAAGGTCCAGCACGAGGCGAGGCCACTTGAGCGTATGGTAAACGTCAAGGTCTTCAGCCGTCACCATGTCCACGCCCGTCAGGTTGGCACCCGCTCTCCACAGACCGTCCGGGATCTCCTCATGCCCTGTGACGAACAAGGTCCTCCTCCAACCGAGCTCCTGGATGCGCTGGTCAAGCTCCCTCGTCTTCGTCCCAGGCCACTCCAAGCTCCTGACAACGCCGAGTGAATTCTCCTTGACACGTGCGCTCAAGGCAACTCGCATGCCCATCGCGATGACCTTGCGGTTCAGCTTCGTCGCGAAGTCACGAGGCTTGGGACCGAAGGCGACACCTCCGCCGCGGAGCATGGGACTCTGGCCATCACCGAGACGTGCCCGACCGGAGCCTTTCTGGGGACGGATTTTGCGACCGGAACCGCGGACTTCGCCACGCGTCTTGGTGCTCGCGCTTCCTTGTCGTTGGCAGTCGAGGTAGTGGACGACGCACAGGTGCAGAATGTCTCGGCGAATGGGGTGCGCAAAGACGTCAGGGTCAAGTTCGACGAGTTCGTCGGAGGGGTCGACGTTTTCCTCGGGGCGGATCAGGGAGGACATAGAGAGGTATAGGGGACGGACGCCTGATAGCTCGTCAGCTGATGCAGACCAATGACTCGGGCGAAAGAAATCTCACCCGCGAAGGAGACGGGGGATACTCCGGACGCATTTGGGGCCAATAAGGATGAGCTTGCGTGAGCCGTCTCGCGGAGGCCCTGGTTTGCCAGGTGTTCTGCAGCAGTACTGTGTGCCGCGGAGGGAACGGCCGTGGAGAGGTGACGACGAGCAAGCTGAGGGGTCTATGCAAAAATGAGCGTAATATGATCGAGAGAGTCACCCTAACGAACCTGCCCCAGTGCACGCCGGATTGCAGACAGCATGGCCGTCACTGAAGTTGCTCCGGTCGTCCTCGGCGTCTATGCCTGCCAGTGAACAGCTTGTGACTGTGATCTTACTATTTTGGGCCCATTTGTTACGCGTGATCCTACGAGATGTCTGAAGCAAATCCCCAGAGCCGGGCACCGTACTAGCCGTCCAGCAAACCTCAAACCTCCGAGGGGTGAGTCTTCGTCAGTTCATATCCTGATACTGCAGGAGGGTCCTCCTAGTCGACCCGGATGATGTAGGGGAGGAGAATTGCGGGAGGGGACGGAATGACGGCTGGATTGCACCCCACCACTTCGGATGACTTTGGATGACCCTTCCTTGCACTGGACTCGGGCGATGTCTCCGGACCTCTGAGCTGAACTTCGCCCTCTCATTTAGCCTCGCAACTGCCCACTTCTACAACAAAATGGCACCCGCAACACAGGCCGTCCAGACTTTCGGCAAAAAGAAGGTATGTTGGTGGATGTCATTGCATCTCCCAAATCCGTGTCTTCACAACTGGTTCAAGCTATTGACACACTATACCCTTCCTCTGCTCACAGACCGCAACGGCTGTCGCGCATGCCAAGGAGGGCCGTGGCCTCATCCACATCAACGGCTCGCCCATCTCTCTCCTCAAGCCCGAGATCTTGCGCTTCAAGGTCTACGAGCCCGTCCTCGTCGCGGGTGAGGACGCTTTCTCTGCGATTGACATCCGCCTCCGTGTGAAGGGTGGTGGACACACCTCGCAAGTCTACGCCATCCGTCAGGCGATCGCGAAGGCAGTTGTTGCGTACTACGCCAAGTACTTCGACGCGGCGAGCGCGCTCGAGCTCAAGAAGAAGCTCGTTGCGTACGACAGGACGCTCCTCATTGCCGACCCCAGGAGAGCAGAGCCGAAGAAGTTCGGTGGTCACGGTGCCCGTGCCCGCAGGCAGAAGTCGTACGTATCTTTGTCCTCGTCGTTCGAGAAGGCGAGAAGGGCTAACGGATCTTCTTTGCAGCTACCGGTGAACGGTCTGGTTTGGTCGCTGTCTTCGTTGCATTGTCATGTTCTATTATCTCCTCCATACGCTATGCCATGGCAACATGCAGACTCTATGACGGGCATATATGTGCTGGTGCAATCGATATCAACTGTACGAGTACGCACAAATGTGTGACAGGGTGACGTCGTTCGACAACCCCCGGTCGACGGGCTGAGACCGTGGCTGCGTCCTGCATATCCCGTCGCGTTAGTCGGTCAAAAGACGCTCCTTCCTACCGAACCCGACATCAATCATCACGAAGCTGTCGGCAAAGTGTCCATACTGAGTATGTGTTGCGATTCGCGTCGATCCTTAGGGCGCCTATGAAAGGAAGCGTGTCACATCCCCGTGGGCACCACGTATATGCGGCGAAGAGTATGTATGCTCACTACCCGCATGGCGTTCTCGCTGGAGGGCGATCCATACGTGAGTGTGGATGGGCTGCAACCGCGAGCAAATTAATGCAGCGTGGATCAGTGGCGCGATAGTTGTGTTGAGTTTACTGGATCGGCGACCGTTCTTATAGCGATGCAGCCGCTAAGCTTGAACCTGTCCACAACCACACCTAGCTCGAGTCGCTGAACGCCGTTCAGCCTTGGGAAAGACGTTATCTGCGCGCATACTCTACCCTTACGGCACGCTTGTACAGAACTGGGCACGATCTAGTCGGACCTTCAACCGACGCGACGGATTTGCCGGTGGCCGAAATGGACCAAGATCCTCCTCCTTCCACCCAAGTTGTGCATCGTGTATTCGTGGACTCCGCGGACCAGCCTCTCAAGGTCTTCGTCGACGCCGCGGTATTCAACCGTGTCAAGATTGGACGTACTCTTAAGGTGAGATTCCTGATCACCCTTGTAATCTTCCACTCTAAACCTGGGCTGCAGAAGGGAGGGGCGAACGTCCTACAGGAGATCAAAGACGCAGATATCATCATCGTCGACCCTGATTCGCAGACTGGCGAAAGAGCTGTCGCGGACTGGAGCTCTGAGAAGGCAGTTCTTCAGTCACATTGGGTACAGCAGTCAGTGCAGCGGGGGAAGGCGTTTCTTGCAAACGAGGATTGGGGAGGATTTCTTGCCGCTGCGTCGGTGGAAGGATCTGTAGCGAGTGACACTGGCCCAAAGTGAGTACTGCATGTCTTCTGTATCTATCATCGCGCGTTGACCGCACAATCAAGCCATCTGCCCACGCCTAGGGTCACTCCACCTGACGTGAAGAGTCCTCAAGGCGAACCAGCCATGCAAAGTCAACACGTCCCAGGGGGCACGTTTCAACCAGCCCAGCCTATGTCTACCTCTCCTGCCCCTCAAATACCCCCACAGACACCCCTGCAGATGCCAACCGGCCAGCCTATTGGCGGGATACCCATGGAGGCTGTCCTTCAGAACTACCCTAACGCCCAAGTTACCCTTCCTGCGTCCGTAGCTGCTGCGCTGTTGGCTTCGTACGCGAGCCAGCAGCAGCAGCAGCAGCAGCAACAGCGAATGCCTCTTGGATTTGGCCAAGTGTCCCAAATGCCGAACCAGATGCCCATGGCCATGCTCCAAGGCCAGGGCTTTCCTCCGCAGGGCATGCCATACCTGCAACAGGGCGGGTTCCCCCCGGGCGCTCAGGCTAATTTCTCACAAAACATGATGGGCATGCCTCCTTCCCAGCCTATGGTTATGCAGCCTCCCCTGCAGGGGCAATACCCCGGTTCCGCGTCGCCCGACATGCACGGCCGGCGGAATAGCAGCGTCTCAGGTGTGTTGCATGTTACCTAGATGCGTGCGTCCATCTGACAGCATGTCATAGCATCTTACCGGGGCAGTCCTATGGATGAGGATGAGAAGTCTCCTCCCCTCAAGCGAAAGACGAAGTCTGCGGATCCATCGGCCTCAGGCGCAGCTCAGAAAAAGGGAAGAACAGGCGAAGAAGGGCGTCCCTCGAAGCATCGTCGCGTTAGCGATCCCTACGAGCTCCCGCTACCGTACCCCCACTCCTCTCCGCCGCCTCCTACGCAGTTGCCTGATACACGCCGAAGGCTCTTCACCAAAGCCAACGGCGAGCCATCTCAATTTTGGGTTCCGGTCCCTGTTAGGAATCGCTTGAAGATCGCTGAGGCTATCAAGGTCGGTTGTCTCCCACACCTGTATATAATCCATGACTCACACTTCCGGTGCCGTTTCAGAGAAACGGCGGTAAGCTGATACCTGACATAGCTGTAGCAGACTACGTAATTTTGGGGAACCCTCTTGATGCGGATTGGCTGCGGCAGTCCGCTAACAACGGCAAGGTCCCAGTGAAGGCTGGATGGCTGTATGACAGCGTTGATGAGGGCGAGATCCTGGACTTCGAGAGGTACCGCTTCGAAGACTTTCATATCGTCAAGAAACGTGGTCGACCGTCTCTTTTGGGCGCGCGACATATCCTTCAGAGGTCCCCGGCAAAAGGTGACACGACGGATTCGGAGGAGAGGGAGTCGGAGGACGACGAGGATGAGAAGGTTCAGAAGTCGACGCCTATGAACAAGGGGAAAGGGAGAGTCGCGGTGAAGAAGCCGACTATAGGGAGGCCGGCGAAGCCAGTAAAGACAGCGGAGAAGAAGTCAACTGCAAAAGCTGTAGACCACGACGAGTTCGCGAAAAGCAAAGGCAAGACCAAAGCAAAACGCAAAGCGTCTTCGCCGACACCTACTCAAAGTGGCTATTGGGAACCGTCCCCGCCGCCTCCGACTCACGTCGCGCCCCATTTCAGGGGCAATCTGTACACGAAGGAGGATGATGACTATTGCGACGAGTACATCCCAATCCTCTTGAACCGCAATCCGACCTCCACCCTGTCTCAAATTGCGGAAAAGCTGTATGAGAAGGTCGGTTATGAACAAACTCCTAGGGATGCTGCTTGACCTTCAGCATCTGCAGATGCCTCATCACACCCTTAAGTCCTGGGCGACTCGCATATCGCACGCCTCCCGACGCGAGAAGCTAGAGAAGTGGAGACGGCGGGCAGAGATCCTCAACCGCAAGGTTCGCGAGGAGCGATCCGCCAATGTGGATGCCAGGCAGGCGACCCATCCCGACGCCAGCCTGTCGGACTCGCCTATGGCTCAGTCGGCAGGGCTTGAGGAGGAGAGCACCCCTTTTGATCCGCTGACTCTCTTGGCCTCGTTCTTCGCCGATGGATTGGCGGACAATCTCAGTGACAGCCAAGTGTGGAACACTATGGCCCAACAGGTACGCCTGCATCTCCGTTTTGGACACCTCATCCAGTGACGAGCATCCTTCCAGTATCCGCAAATGTCCGCTCAAGAATGGGAAGACTATTGGATGGAGCACAGCGAGGCGGTTAACCAGGAGGTCTCGCGCCTGAGTAACTTGCATGGAACAGATGAGCACGCCCCGAAGACTGAACCCGAATGAAGAATTAAGCCAATAAGGAGTTCTTATGCGTTTCGTACAATGGTGGTAGTTCTGTATGCCCGACTGTCGTTATACTGTATGCCGTCAAATTCTTATGTCACTATGGGCCTTGTTCATACAACTGCAGTTGCATAACTGGCAAGGCTCCTAATTTTGGCATATTGATATGCACGTACCTTCTCGGTATTGGTCAGACGCAGGATGCAATTCGACCGGGTGTGAAGCAGGTGATAAATCTCTACATTAGCCAACAAGGATCTACTCAGCATCCGACGCAGGAGAAGGTGTTGGTCGAGGCTGCTTGAAGAAACGTTTTCTCCTCTCCTCTATCGACTCAACGTCTCTGGGTGCGAAGTTCCTTCCAGTGTAGTCAAGGGTACCAATGGCCGTACCCAAGACGGCGCAAGATGCGAGTGCAATTGGCAGAGAACGCGCTACCCACCCTCACCTCAGTAACAAGTCTCGAAGTAAGTTATGGCTGACGCACCTCGGATTCCAGCCAGGAAGCCTGCAGCGCATCCACCTGCAGCACCGTTGAGGGAGTCATCGACCTCCCGTTGGTTTGCCACGACCGACTCGGTCAACGCGAAGGTCGCGCCCATGGCCGCTATGCAGTTGCGACTGCTTCAGCCAGAGCGCTGGGCGTCACGACCAACACCAGACGCACCGAAGAAACCGATAGTTCCGCCCGTTCGCGTGAAGAAACCTGCTGCACCGCTCGAATGGGTCCCGAGGGCGTTTTGGACGGCGCTGACCAGGGCACCGATGCCAGCAGCTTGAAGACCGACGGCGGACGCGTATTGTAAGGAGGGCTTTGGGTCGTACGTAGCCACGTCCGGTGTTGCACCGGAGGCGGTGGTACCACTAGGGTCGGCCATGGTGTATGGTGGCCTGGTGAGGTCGTGTATAAAACGAGAGTTGGACAAACTGGACCGTTGCCTCTCTCGGCGTCAGTTGTTGCGGAGGCCGCCGGGTCCTCCGGCCAATCAGCCGCCCACCGTTGCACATCGTCCTCGACGGGCTGCAGCACGTCCGAAATGCTCCTCTCTCCGCGCGCAAGGAGTGGCTCACAATAGACTTTTTCTGTTACGTTTCTCTCCCTCCGACTGATGCGACTCAAGCATGGATCCCGTTCCCCAACCTTGGTTCAGAGGATCGACAGACTCGCAACCATTCAGCTTGTTCACCGTATTGACTGTCTGTAATCGTGCAGGTCCAGTCGCGAGCTGATCAGCATGCTGAATGTCTATCTTACTAGTCCAATGGCGGCCCGTTTAACTCCATCGCATGCTTCCCTTGGACCGCCAAGTCTCTGGAAATTTTATGGAACGGCAGTGCACTACAAGAAACCTTGGTGCCGCAGTGGCAGGACGTTGTCACAGAGTGGATGGGAGCTATCGCCGCCGGCGGAAAAGGCCGCTTGTGTATATTTCCTAAGTTGGGGACGAAGAAACCAATTGTTGTGAAGCTGAAGGAGGTGAGCGAGCTTCTGCACCGCTTCTTCCTGCTATGTGTGGTTCACGACTCTCTGCCATCATCCTAGGCCGATGCAGAGGTTGAGAACGTCGCTTGGGCTATCAATAGCAATGAGCCACTGAAGCCGCTCATCGTCTTCACAGTCACAAGTGTCATACTGATATACGATGTAAAGAGGCGCGAGATTGTTGGGAAACTGCGTGGACACGGCGGGGTAAGTATCTGTCTTCGCTCGCGATTGATTTGGCTGAATGTCTGCACCTCTCAGCCCATCACTTGTTTGGCGGTGCATCCCACGTCTCCAGAGCTGTTCTGCACAACATCGAAGGATTTTACCGCCCGCATTTACGACCTCACCCTGTCACCCGTGCAGGTGCCGAACAATCCAAACTGGCTCCCCCACACGAAAGGGGTGGGCAGCCTTGCGGGGCCTGCTCATGGCTTGCACATGTGCGAGCCAGAAGGCGAAGGTATTGGTCGAGCGGTCGCTGTGATGGTCGGTGGACGCTCAGGAGGACATCGCGGGGCTGTGTTGTGTTGCGTACGTTGTTCCTCCTTTCCAGACGTTCGAGCGCCTCGTTGATCTCCATATCAGGCCTTTCATCCGTCCCAACCTCTCATCGCGACCGGAGGCGTGAGTATCCTGCGATTCTCTCGGCGACATGTGAGATGCTCATGAGAAGTGATGAAATATCAGATAGACCGCACAGTCAAGATATGGCGCATCCCCCCTTCGGTATTTACGGTGCAGCCATCAGCCACGCTTGCCAGGGAAGATAAGCCGTTGTTCAGTACCGATCTCATCCACAAAGCTCGAGTGCTTTTCCTGAGCTGGCTAGTTGTCATCATGAATTCGAGACAGCTCTATTCTCATGTTTCCACTAGGCTAGACGACGACATACTGATCTCTTGCAGCGCACCTGCTCTCATGCGACGGAACCCAATGGAGGTTGACAAGACATATTGGGAGGATGGTACTGGTATGTTCGTCGAAACAGTAGCTGTTCCAACGGGCCCCTAAAACTCAGACAGCGATGACATGGCAGTGGCTTGGGTTCAACCGATTTTTTCCGGCCGGTAAGATTCCACAGAAGGTTATGAGGGGTACAGCTAGTGTACGTCCACTTCTTCTTCGGTTTCTCTAGCCATCACGAACACTCACCATTTGAATTAGGATTGGCGCAATAGCGGTACGTTCGTACCATTTGAATGTGTGTGGATAAGCTCTTCGTCCTCACACCGTGCGCCTCAGAATCCTTCAAGATTCTGTCCGGATATCACATTCCTTCAGTAGCCAAACACTTCCAAGTCTATCGCTCCTTCTCGCACGATCCTCTACTACTCATCCCGATGGGAAAGATTGTACGCATCTTCAACATCTCGCAATTCTCTCCCCGTCAGCCACCGAAGTTCCCTCTGGACACCAATATCGCATCATTGACGAGCAAGCTTAGCCTGGACGATGACGGGAGTGACCCGGGCACACCGCGACCTAGGAGCCCTCGCGGGGGTGGGAGCAGCACCGAACAGGACGACGACGAAAACGAATCTGCCAGCAGGGACAACCCGTCACAGCAAGAGGGGGACCAGGACGAGGAGGAAGATGGCGAAGACGATCCCATTCCCACGACGACATACCCTCCCCCTGCTCCGCTCACCGCGTTGTTTGACAGCGTCGAAGGCTACGACGTCGTCGCTGAGCTTCCGCCAGGCAATGGTCCCCCGGAGATGGCAGACGTCACGACATGTGCCATGGGATTTGAGGGCCTGGGCATCGCAGGTATCGGAGAGAGGGGTACTCTATATGTCTGGCGGCTGAGAAGATGATCGGCAGACACGATGGCGTGGAGCATATCGAGCGTACTGCGCTTATATTGGGCGTTGGTGAGAGCGTGACTACTGTAGCGATATTCTCACTAGGCGAGAAGGCATGTTGCCTTGAGGTCGTGAAGTGTCGGAATGTCAGCGTCAATAGATCTAGAGACGGCCCACTCCTCGAAGGTCGTTGTGGAACAAGCACAAGGGCAAGTCCCCTGGGTTGCTTTGAGATTTCAAAGGCGGTTTGCGGGTCGTTGAACGTGTCCACTCTGTCCGAGATGCCCATCCTAGCAACCTGCTGCACAGTAACCCCAACTCAGGGATCTGCCCACGCTGTTTGCCCGTTGGTCACAGTCTCACAACATTATCTCTCAAGAAACGGGACGGAGCGGTGCGGAGTCCGGCTGCCGCAGCATTGAAAACCAGATTGTATGTGACAGCACTAGCTGAGCGGCTGAAGAGTATGCATTATGTATTTGAGGGCAATTAGAACGGTCATGATATCTTCCGTCTCTTGCCCACTGACGGCGTGTTCACTGCTGCGCTCTTGCGCTTGACGCTCTCAACCAGACTCCGCAAGCTTGGTTGCGACCCATCCGCGTTAGTGAATTGTTTGACCACCGTTGAATCACGATTGTCGGAGGCTTTCTCCTGTTGCCGGCGAGAACGCTCCTCCAGAAGAGCAGCCATGCTTTTGGTCTTCTTGAAACTATATCAGAAGTGTCAGCTGCCCTTGGAGGCGACAACGAGCGAGGTGGAACGCACTGAGGATTGGTGGGATCGATGGCGAACGTGTGATCCTCGATAACAGCCTTAAACCGGTCATCCTTGACGTCGATCGAGAAGTCTTCCTGAAGTTCATTCTCCCCATCGTCCGCACCCTTCTTGCTTTTCTTTCCCTTCTTCTTGCCGCCCCTCTTCTCCGCACGCAAGACGGCCTTCATATCGAAGTGCTTGACTTCCCCATGCGGCTTGTCCGACGCGGCTAACAACGCAAGCTCCTCCGCAGTGGACTCGACGCGCGCAGGCCGGTCTTCGTCGTCAGCTCCCTTACTCTTGCCCTTGCCCTTCTTGTCCTTTCCTCTTCCCTTCTTGCTTGTCGTCGCCGCCTCCGCAAGCTCCTCGGCACTCTCCTCGTCACTGCCACCGCTGAAGAAGTCGTCATCGAGGGGGTTCTTGCTAGACTTGCTCCCTTTCTTCTCCTCGGCCTTCTCCTGTCGCCGTTCGAGAATCTCCTCCTTCCGCTTCTTTTTCTTCTCCTTCATCTTCCGCTGGTACTTCTCGAGCGTCGTCTCGTCCTTGTCGTCCTTGCCCGCGCTCAGCCCAGGCGTGAACGTGATCTCCATATCGACGTCGTCCTCATCTTTGCCGCCCTTGCCGGTACCCCAGCCCTCTGGCATCGTGTCGTCGCCGCCCCCAAGGAGCAAAGCGCGCAGCTTCTCGCGCTCGGCGGCCTTGGCTGCCTTCTTGCCCTTGCCCGTTGACGCGGCGGGGGCATCGTCAGACTCGGATTCGGACGAAGAGGCGATGTAGGCGCGGAAGTCGTTCTCCTCGATCTCCTTGCGCGAGAGGACGCGCTTGGTGACCAGCGCCCGCTCGGGTTCGTCTTCATCCCAAGTCAACTTGACTTTGGAATGCCGGAGGGCCTGGGGACACGTTATAACCCATCAGCTGCGTGCATGAGCTCCGACGGCTGGCATACATACGTCTGTGGTGAACTCGAGTGGCTTGTATGGGACGCTAAGGTCATCCTTCGCCTCATCACTGTAAGAGACATTAAGAATGAGACCATAGATAGATGCCGAGGCATCAGACGCACTCACCGGAACTCATCGTCAAAGGTCATGTTGTCGGGAACGAAGCTGAGATCGAAGACGTTGGCGGAGCGTTCGAGCTCTGTTCCCTCCAGCTCATTGAAGATATGTGAAGCGGCTTCGACAGTATCACATTCGACGATAGCGTAGTAGTATCTACAGAGACATGAATGGCGAGTCCGCCTATACCGCAGGATGCTAACATACCGTAGTCGCTCGAGCTGATACTTCCGAAGCGCGTCCTCGTCGTAGTCCTCGCCCTCGCCGACGTCATAAACGGTGCGCTCGTTGATCTCCTCAGGTGCCAATTCGCGCTTTTTCTTGAAGATCTCTGGGGGAGGTCCTTCTGTCTCTTCCCTGGCCATGCGCTCCTTGCCAAACTCGCTGGGGTAGACCCGGACGCTGAGAACCTTTCCAAGCGCCACAGAACCAGAAGTGCTCTTGGATGCGCCATTGTCTCTGGACCCCGAGGCAACGGGTGCGCCCGTAGGAGAGACGAGGGACGAAAAAATCTTGTAGAGATGTATAGCACGTACGTGATCCCAGTCAAGATTGACGACCGCAATCCGCCGGGTGCGCTGGACCTGCGACTCCTGATCGCCGTCCTGGTTGGCTTGGGCATAGGCCGCAGCCTGGGCATCCAAGTCCGCATATGTGTCCTCGTCGAGGTCGACTTCAGCGTCATCGGACACAGGTATGGGTTGGGTCACATCCCTTCCCAAGGTGATGATGCCACCGGTGTCGCTGTCATCATCGCTTTGTGCGTCTGGCAGGCGGTCGTCTTCCTCGTCGGAAGACTCGAGGAGGACCTCTCCGCGAGCGTAGTCTGGACCGGGCTTGAGCTCTAGCTGAGCTTCGTCCTCATCGTCGAGACGGTAGAATCTGCGGAGGTTGTCGTGTTCGTGATCATCCGCGAGGGGGCGGCCATACTTGTCGACACGCGCTGATCATTTCCGAGCATGTGTGAGCGACGATGTGAACAGAAACCGGAGGTTTCGGCTTACGTTTCCCCTTTTTGCTTTTCTTCTCCTTTTTCCCGTCAAAGAAGTCCTTGAACCGATCGTCTACTACGACCCTGTTCTTTTCCTTTTTGATGCGCCGAAAGCGAGGGTCTGTCTTGAGGCGAGCAAAACGAGGGTCGGACATGGCGCAGACGGTAGAGACAGAGCAAAGGACGGCAGACACGAGCCAATCAGCATCAAACTCTGTGCGTGACAGAGTAAAAGCGACGTGTGACAGGCATTACCCAATATGGGCGGTCGTAAATAGCCAGGAAGCAAAGTTGCTTGACGACGAAGCCGGTATCAGATGATACGGCCGCGTGCATCCGTCTCCTGTCAGCGCCGACGGGCACAGCGTTCGAGCCTACACGTCTTATACGCCCATCTCTCTCCTTTTCCCCATTCCCCTTTCTCGTTCCCTTCTGTGCGTATGCCCCCTCCTGCGCAATTTGTGTCTCCCTGTCTGACCCTGTATGATTGCTCTTCCAGATTCCAACCTCGCGCTAGGCCGCAGGACGACGCATTTCTTCGGTTGAACCGATCCACGTCAAGCACCTATACTCTCAGCACTCGTTCTTTAATATCACGTCGAGATGTTCTCCAAGCTCCTTTCTGTCGCCGTCCTGGCCGCCTTCATTGGGCAGGCGCTGGCCCACCCTATGCCGATGCCGATGCGTGTAAGTTGTCTCCTCCTGCTTGAACCATCTGACTGGACTGAAGCTGTGGATGCAGCGCGAACTCGAGAGCCGCCAGGCGGCCTCGTTCGAGACCATCGCCGCCTACAGGCGCGCTGATGTCAACACTGTTCCTGTCGAGCAGCCGTCGATGTCGCAAAACGGGAAGATTGTGCCCTTTGTCAACACTGGCAAGGTCAACCCCCGCGCGATCAAGTCCCGCGCAATCAACTCCGTGACCGACAGCGAGCCCACCATGGCAAAGGACGGCCAGATCGTCCCCTTCGTGAACACTGGCAAGACTAAGCGCGCCGACATCAACACCGTCCCTGTCGAGCAGCCTTCTATGTCGCAGAACGGCAAGATCGTCCCCTTCGTTAACACTGCTGCCGGCAAGGGCAAGCGCGCGGATGTCAACACTGTCCCCGTTGAACAGCCCTCGATGTCCCAGAACGGCAAGATTGTACCGTTCGTCAACCACTCCGCGAAGGGCAAGCGCGCCGACGTGAACACAGTTCCCGTCGAGCAGCCCTCGATGTCGCAGAATGGGAAGATTGTCCCCTTCGTCAACACGTCTGCAGGCAAAGGCAAGCGTGCCGACGTCAACACTGTCCCTGTCGAGCAGCCCTCGATGTCGCAGAATGGCAAGATCGTCCCCTTCGTGAACACTTCCGCCGGCAAAGGCAAGCGCGCGGATGTCAACACTGTCCCTGTTGAGCAGCCGTCCATGTCCCAGAACGGAAAGATCGTGCCATTCGTCAACCATGCTGCAAAGGGCAAACGCGCCGACGTGAACACCGTGCCCGTTGAGCAGCCTTCGATGTCGCAGAACGGCAAGATTGTGCCGTTTGTCAACAACGCCGCCAAGAACTAAGGTTTGTTCGTTGCTGTTTCATCATGACTGCATCGCTGACAGATTGTACAGCGGCTTCCTGCCGTGACTGTCGGGGACAGGCCATGACGGCCGAGCATGGACACTTGACACTGACAGGACGATGTGCTTCAGGTGTTCTTGGCTATATCTTAGATTTGCGTGCTTTGTATCCCTACCCTAGCACTACCTTCGCTTGCGAAGGTTTTACGTTCTTTCTGGAATCCATGATTGGTTCGAGATTGGGAAACCCACAAATTCGCCTGAGAAGATAGATCGCACGAGTGAAAATGGTCCTTAGATGTGGGACAGGACGGAACGACGCAAGGTACTGTACACTTATACATTTCAGAGCAACAGATAGGCAGCTGGCTTTCTCTTCCTATGATTATGAGATCTTCGCTTTGGAGAAGTCGAGTTCCGGGTGAGCCTCTTGGAATTTCTTCAGCGTCTGGACAGACGGGAGCGTTCAATACCTCGTCGAACTGACTGAAGTCAAAGACTAACCTCCATCTTCTTGATTTCGTCCGACGTGGGCTTCCCCATTTGCTGCGTTCTGTTCAATAGATGGGTCGATTGGGGGAAGACTATATATGCATTACCTTCTGCTGGTTGTCGAACTAAGGCGAGGATCAGTGGACTGAACGATGCCTGACCTTGAATGGTGGGAGGCTCACCATCATCTTCTCCACCATAGCCCTATCCGAAGGTGAGCGGTGCACGGGTCACATTGTCATTCATAGCGCACCTGGTCTCCCCATCAAGGTCACTGAGCTTGCTGTTCTCGGGCTGGATCTTTGTGGTATCAAGCTTGGGGTGATGCGTGAGTACGTTCTCCCACCATTGCTGCTGGTTCAGCTTCTCCAGGTGGATGAGTACGGTCTCCTGATCCTCTATTGAGCACGGTGAGATGGGGCGCATGCTCTTGATATAATGTAACACCGCGTCGCATACCAAGCGTCCAGGTACTATCGTCGAGCTTGACCTCCTTGCAAAGGTCTCCGGCCAGGATGGGCTCCTTGCCCTTGAGGCCGACGCTGAGCTTCTTCTTCTGTATTACAACGTTGAGGTCGCGCGCGCGCGTGCCCTTGGGGACTGGGACGGTGATATCGACGTCGCCTAGCTGTTGCGTCCACTTGTAGGGCAGCGCTGTCCAAAGACATGTCGATACGATGTACGTTCGGGTATTTGATCAGAGCATAGGATCGCACCAGCTTGCTCGGCGGCTTCGCGCGCGCGATCTGCCTTATCGCGTGCTTCGCGCTCTTCGGGTGTGAGCTTGTCGTAGTCGTCGTCAGCAGACATGGTGGACAAGGTTTGAGTCGCGTTTTTAGGAATCCTGGTAGAGCGTATGGGGTTTGAGGATAACTGGCAAGGGCGGGGCGGAAAGCACTGCGATTGAGTTCACTTGAGTAGAGAGCTGTGCGGATTCCAGAAAGCGTCATGCCACGTGATGGCAGGGTCTTCCGGAGGTTTCCCACGCGCCGGACAGTGAGCAGCAGCGTTTGCCTCCGTCGTCCACCACGAGAGAGTCGCTCTCCTGACCATCTACGCCCCATCCGGTACGTCCCCATCATTCATGGAGAGCCAGGATGTTTGGTCAGACTTCGAGGTGGGTTTTGTCTGGCGGACTGGGTTGTCCAAATATGGTTAAGGAGGCTGACCCCGCCTGCTCGGCAACAGACGCTCCGACACAACGTGAAGCACAACAAGGTCGACCAACTCAAACAGATCCTGTCCGCCTTCAACGAGGAGTGTTACACGAATCATACTAAGACCGGCAAAAAACAGGACCTCATCGACAAGATTGTCCGGTCGCTCGACGAGTGGAGGCGGGAGAATAACAGGGAACGGTGGTCGCGGGCAAAGGCCATTATGAATCGGGTTCGAACCAACTCGTGAGTCCCCCGCCACCTTTTGTCCTCCTCCACCCATCCTATCGTCCGCCGAGCCACTTGGCTGTCTTCCGCGCACACGACAAGAATAATGTCTGGCTATCCGGCGACGACTGTGTTGCTTACCCGAGATCGGTTTGGCAGATACCACGCTGGTGCCTACAGGCCCAACGGTGACTCGTCCTCCTACTCCCACTCGCACTCATTTGCCCCTCCGCCACCAACTACAGCCTACCAGTCAGGGAGTTCGCTCTCTGGCGCGATCCCACGCTATGATCCATATGCACCTCCCCGACGACCGACACAACCAGCGTCCGTAACACCTACCTCTACTGTTCCCGTGCCACAACAACCTATGCCTGTCATCCGCTTCAAGTACTCCCCTTTCTTCAGGATGGAACGAATAGTCTCTGCCGTCGTGGAATGTCCAGGTATGTCCGGCGTCTGATGTGGTCGTTTGACTTGTGTCTCATTGTTCTTTAGAATCTACAAGCTCCATGGACCGCCGCTCACAATCCCTCACCTTCACTATGCAGCCAGACATCATTGCCAAGCTGAACTCTTCCAGGTGAGTAATACCGCAGCCAAAAACATACCCCCTGGGCTTATCCCGCTGCCGCAGCCCCAAGTATCAGCTCCGACTTTACTGCACGTCGTCCACATATTACACTCCGAACGGATCGTTCCGCTCACCCGGGGCAACCCCATGTCCGATTGAATTCCCACCAACCTGTGAAGTACGGGTCAACGGCACGCAGCTGAACGCGAACCTCAAAGGTTTGAAGAAGAAAGCCGGCACGGCGCCACCCCCTGACCTGGGGAAGCTCGCTCGTCAGACAGCCAACGCGTCTAACCGTGTTGAGATGATCTACGTGAACAGCCAGCAGCCCACACCGGCCAAGGTATTGCATTCGCTCCAGATGTATATTCACCGTGTACTCACTCCCGCGAGTAGAAGTTTTATCTTGTGGTCATGTTGGTCGAAGTTACCTCGGTGGATCAGCTAATCGAGCGACTCAGGAAAGGCAAATATAAGCCTAAAGACGACATTCTTGCAGAAAGTGCGTAGTTTCCTCGGTTCACTATTCGCGCAAGAACTGAGGATCGTTGTGCAGTGAACAAGGCTGCATCGGACGACGACGACATCATCGCTGGTCACCAGAAGATGTCCTTGAAGTGTCCGGTGAGTGCCATCCTTCTTTCGTTGCTGTCTTATCAGGCTGACCTGACTGTCCCCATAGCTGAGCTATATGCGTATCACAACGCCATGCCGATCCTCCGCATGCGTACATCCACAATGCTTCGACGCCATGTCATGGTTCTCCGTCATGGAGCAGACAACAACATGGATGTGTCCAGTTTGCGAGAAGGTGCTGAACGTTGAGGATCTCATAATCGACGGGTATGCGCCTTCAAGTCTCTTATCGTATCTGACGCTCATCGGACGGAACTCAGGTACTTCGATGATATCTTGAAGCACACACCTGATAGTGTCGAGGACGTGATCGTCGAAGCCGATGGACAGTGGCACACTGAGGACAACAAGTTTGCTTCGCCTGTGTGGAAGGCGACTCATCCTACGGCTCCGCCTGTCAAACCTCCGGTTCCGAAGCGGGCAGCCTCTCCAGTCAAGCATGCCGCAAATGGCATGAACGGAGTGAATGGCCAAGAGAAGCCTCGTCCTAGTCAAGCGGAGATTGTCATCTTGGACTCTGATGACGAAGACGAAGATGAAGGTCGGGTCAAACGGGAGCTCTCTCCTTCCACTGACGGCGTGCTCCCTCGACCAAGTCAGTCTATAGGTGGCTCGCAGCCGTCACGGTCTACAACAGCTCAGGCCGCTGATATCATAGACCTGACGTTGGATTCAGACGACGATGAGCCGCCTCCTCCACGACTGTCTGCACCGTCGACGAAGAAGCGGAAGGAAACAGACGAACTGCTCTCTCCTACGGAGCAAATCTGGAAGAAGTCACGCACGGAAAGCGGCTCCTCATCTTCATCTCCAGGATTTGATACTCTGGTAAATAGCAGTACGTTACGCATGGCAGAGGAAGCGGCTGCGCAGCGGAGGCTGGGAGCACCTTCTACCTCGCAGCCTCGATATCAGCCTTCGTCGCAGCGATCTCCCCCATACCGTGGGTCGCAGCCATTCAACCCGCCTGAGCGTCTTCCGCCGCCGCCTCCGCCTCCGCCTACACTACCCCGTCGTCTGCCGTCGTCGCCACACGACGGTTACCGGACCACCTTGCCTCCGCTCGCGTATACATCACAGCGCGGAAGCGGTGCGGGAAGCTCTTCACCTACGAGTTGGCGGTGACGGGGGGATATATTTGACGTTGATTGGCCGGTTATTGATGGGTTTTTCTTGCGGTCGTCGCTTACAGCAGTTTGTACAGTGGCTTATCATAGAGTATAATCGTAGCCTTGTAGTGTTCGCCAATGGCCATCGTAATGTCGAGTGTTTCTTTGGGAGCACACCTAGTGGTGACGGACAGAGAAGTGGTGGTGGCGAACAGAACAGAGGACCTGCCGAGGGAGCAGGCGATGCGAGATGGGATGATGCCAGGCGAGTCGGCTCGTCATTCGCGAAACGTCGCGGGTTTCGTCCGTCATTTCGGGCAGGCATATGATTGGTCCAGCGCAATTTTGACGGGCCGTCATGTCGGCCGGACTCGGGGTTCCAAATCCCGGCGCTGTCCGAAAACGTACTTAGGCGTTCGCACGCGAGACTTTTTGCTCCTCCAACTTGTCCTCCCCCTCCACTCAGTTCCTCTTCCTTCCGGTTTCCACTCCGTCAAAATGGCCGACGCTAAGAAGGGCAAGACTCCCAAGGAGTTCGCAGGTGCGTATGCGCCTGCGACGCTGCGTCGTTTGCGGCGTGTGCCTTTCATGCACGAAGCTTGATTGCTGACCTGGCACCCGTGTGCAGTCGATTTCCTGATGGGTGGTGTGTCTGCGGTATGTTTCGTGTTCTAATGGGCTGTCGACGTGTCACTGATCAGCTTTCGTGCTGTTCAGGCTGTTGCCAAAACCTCTGCTGCCCCCATCGAGCGTATCAAGCTTCTCATTCAGAACCAGGATGAGATGGTCTGTTAGATTTAAGGATGAGATTCTGTGCACTCCCTGACTGGCTTGTTCTCTTCAGATCAAGCAGGGTCGTCTTGCCGAGCCCTACAAGGGTATCAGCGACTGCTTTGCGCGTACCTACCGTGATGAGGGTCTTCTCTCCCTCTGGCGCGGTAACACTGCCAACGTCATCCGGTACTTCCCCACGCAGGCGCTGAACTTCGCCTTCAGTGCGTTTTTTCTTTTACCGTGGTGAATCCTGATTTGACCCATGACGTGTCAAAAAGAGGACTACTTCAAGTCCCTTTTCGGCTTTAAGAAGTCGGAAGGCTACTGGAAGTGGTTCGCCGGCAACGTCGCGTCTGGTGGTGCCGCTGGTGCCGCATCGCTTCTCTTCGTCTACTCTCTCGACTACGCTCGTACGCGTCTCGCCAACGATGCCAAGTCGGCCAAGGGTGGAGGACAGCGCCAGTTCAACGGTCTCGTTGACGTCTACAAGAAGACCCTTGCGTCCGATGGTATTGCTGGTCTCTACCGTGGCTTTGTCCCCTCGGTCGTCGGTATCATTGTCTACCGTGGTCTCTACTTCGGTGTCTACGACTCCGTTAGTGAGTATATTCAATTAACATGTGTTTTGTGTCGTTTCTCATCATTTGCAGAGCCTGTTGTGCTGGTTGGCGCTCTCGAGGGCTCCTTCTTGGCTTCCTTCTTCCTTGGCTGGGGTGTTACCATCGGTGCTGGTCTTGCGTCGTACCCTCTTGACACGATCCGGTAAGTCAATTCAAACTGGACAAGATGAGTTGTCTACTGACCACGGAATCCTTTGGTAGTCGTCGTATGATGATGACTTCTGGTGGTGGTGTTCACTACAAGTCCATGTTCGATGCTGGTTCGCAGATCGTCGCCAAGGAGGGCGTGAAGTCGCTCTTCAAGGGTGCTGGTGCCAACATCCTCCGTGGTGTTGCTGGCGCTGGTGTGCTCTCGCTGTACGACAAGCTCCAGGAGGTCCTCTTCGGCAAGGTCTACTCTGGTGGTATGTAACTTGAACTTTCAAGGCATCGTGCATCTCATTTAACGCTTTGTGCACAGGCTCTGGCTAAGCGTATTTAGAGAGGACACTTTACGTAGGATCAACTTAGTAGTACTACCGCTTACCTTGCATGCTACTCGACATCCAATAGACAGTGTCGCTATTTCCTTGGTAGTGCCATCTATATTGCGTTGGGCATATTATCTTAGTATACGTAGAATTGAAATCGATGGATTTCGTATACCATTGCGATCGAGCGCCTACAGCTTTCGGTGGATACGCACTCAGCCGAGTACATGCGCGTCGGTAGCGGATCTCCGCTACTCTGTTCTATGCTACGTTTATGGCGGCTGAGGATATCGACGGCCGGTCACTGGAGATGCTATACTGCAGGCGTTGGTAGCCCAGTTGTGCTTCGCCCCTACCAGGAGACGTGTCTGCAAGCTTGTGTCGATGCTCTCGAAAGAGGTTCTACACGAATTGGTGTCTCGCTGCCAACTGGTGCTGGCAAAACCACAGTCTTCATTTCCCTTCTGTCGCGACTCCCCGCTCCAAAGCAAGCCCCAGATGCAACAAGGTCACTCGTCATCGTCAACAGCGTTGAGTTAGCCCGGCAAACCGCGGAGCAGGCTCGAAGGCTTTTTCCTGAGTGGACAGTAGAGATTGAACAAGGGAAGCAACAGGCTTCAGGTCTCGCGGATCTGTACGTCTCTCCCTTGACTGTATCTGGACGCCTGTCTGATGTTTTCGAACACAGCACAGTCGCGACCTTCCAAACGCTGCTGCGATCTCAGAGACTGGGCAAGTTCAGAGCGCAGTATCTGAAGGGCGTGATTGTCGACGAGGCGCACCACGCTGCCGCACCTTCGTGAGTTGCCTCGGATCTCGTGCACGGGTGCCTTGGTTGAGTCTCCGACCAGATACCGTCGCATTCTCTCGCATTTCGACTCTGCAATCAAGAGCCCAGACGATGAATTCGAGCCTCCGGCCTTGAGCCATCGCATACCCATACTAGGATTCTCTGCGACCTTCAGCAGGCATGACGGCATGGCCCTCGGTTCGGTGTTTGAGGAGATAGTCTACCACAAGGATGTCGTTGAGATGATCAAGGACCAATGGTGCGCATATAGCCTATATCGACTTGGTTGGCGCGTAGCTGAACGGAACCACCATTGTTAGGCTCTGCGAGGTTCGATTCACCACCGTTCAAGCGGACCTGGACCTCAGCGGAGTGACGGTCAATACCAGCAGTGGAGACTTCAACCCGACAAGCTTGGCACACGTCGTAAACACTCCAGTCGTAAACGAGCTTGTCGTGCGATCATGGTTGGATAAAGCAGGTCAGTCTCGTGCTGGTTGGAACGGCGTCCCGAAATAACAATTGTGCGTTACCGTGCAGCGGACCGCAAGTCGACCCTCGTGTTCTGCGTCAACCTCGCGCATGTCAATGCGCTCACGACGACGTTCAGGAACGCAGGAGTGGACGCGCGGTACGTCCATTCGAAGACTCCTGCGGCCGAACGAAAGGCCTTGGTTGAAGACTTCAAGGCGGCTATATTCCCGGTGCTGGTGAATTGTGGTACGGTTTGCTGCCCAACGGACTATCGCTTCGCCCCTGACGCGTCGCCTCGTAGCGGTTCTGACGGAAGGCACGGATATCCCCAACATCGATTGTGTCATAGTGGCACGGCCGACGAGATCTCGCAACGTCTTCGCGCAGATGGTCAGTCTTGAGCTTGTTTTTGTCTTCGGTCTCATAGTGCTTACTGCGGAGGTAGATCGGCCGCGGTATGAGGTTATCCCCGGCTACTGGCAAGGATTACTGCCGCATCATCGACTTCGTCGACTCAGAGGCGCGTGTGGCTGGTGTCGTCTCTACACCCACGCTCTTCGGATTGGACCCCTCGATGATATCGGACGGTACGTAGCTCAAGGTCGATATTATACCTCAGTCTCGCCTCTGAACAAGAAGGCAGATGAGACTATCGAAAGTCTCGAGGAGCGCAATGCCGCCATGGTCGAAGCCGATGAGGAAACCGGGTCCCCAACCGGTGCTGTCACGGGCAACATGTCCTCCCCTACAGCTGTGAAGTACATTGACCATGATGACCCTTTCATTATCGCCGATCAAGGGTCAGGAGACCCTAGCCTTCATCAGCTCACCCGAAACGCTTGGGTATCCTGCGGTGGTGGTGTTTACGTGCTGGAATGCCTTGGTAAAGGGTATATACGTATCACACCAACGGAAGGCGGGGACGAGGATGATGGCGAGAGGGAAGATGGAGGTGGAGGCGAAAGCGAAACCACAGGCGCAGTTGCAGGCCAAGAGCAGAGTACGTCCGGAATTCGTGCTCATATTAACGATGTGTTCAAGCCTTGGCAGACGCCAAGTTTGTCGCTCACTATACCCCGCCAACGCTCGCCAAGCAGACAGCATGGATGTTGAAGATATCTCCTTATAGGAAGAGTAGGCAGATATTGACCGCGGCCACGTTGGGTGATGCGATTCGCGGCTGCGATACTTACGCGCTGAACGAGATTCTGCCCGGGACTGTTGCCCTCGGTCTACTGCGAACATCGAGATGGCGCTGGGAGCCGGCTTCTGAAACGCAGAAGCAATTCATAATCAAACGCTGGAAAGATCGCAAGGTCATCGCCGCTGCGGACGGACTAGGAAAAGTCAGGCATACCACGGAAGAGGGCTTGAGGGCTCTGAAGAAGGGCGAGGCTGCGAACATTATCACTCGTTTGAAGCATGGAGCACTGGTAGGTTCAGTGCAACATTTCCCTCTGACCAGTCTTGCTAAAGGAACTGTACACAGACTCGCTTTGAAAAGAAGCGCAAGCAGCAGGCTAAGATACATCTTGCTCAGCAGAAAGAGATTCGTAGGCGGGCAAGGGAGGACGTCAAGGTCGGACGTTTACCATTGACCCATTGACATTACTATCTCTTGTAATAGACTACACATCGTAGAGTACATATTGCCATCGAAACTAATGCAACCTCCCGTTCGTGCCCAAGTTCGACAACCTCGGAGAGACAGCATGCTCGCTTTGCAGAGTGTAGACGGCAGCCAGCTGCGCCTGTGCGACCAGCTGATCCAGTGCTTCTGGACTTTCGAAGGCGTTGGGGGCTTGGGAGAGCGTAGCTAACATGGAGCCGACCAAGGAATCGCCTGCACCCGTAACATTTACGATCTTCTCGGCTGCGACCCGAATGGGAGGGAAGTGTTTGAACACGACTATGTGACTGCCTGTCCTGTTGTGAGCCACAACCTGGCGGGCGTAGACATTGCTACTCTGGTTTGCCCATGCAGACGACTGCGCTTGCTCGCCAGAGATCCGGAACGCAGCGATGAGCCCTCGCTCCCCGCACTTGATGATGAGGTGCTGGAAGAACGGAAGGAGGTTGATGGTCATCTGCGCGATCCCGTTCTCGACCAGGAAAGAGAGATTGCCTGTGACCGCCTCGTCCTCGAACGCCTGGCGCCGCGCCAGTTGCTCGAGCTCCATGCGGAACTCGGAGCCGAGAGTCATGTCGTCGATAACTTGCCACCAGTACTTGTGTGCGGTCAGCTCGAGAGGTGACGCGCACGCCTCTTGATACATGTGAGCCAACTCAAGCACATTCGGAGTGGCGAACGTCACAGGCGCGTGAGACAGAGATGCCGAGCTCAGCGATGCAGCGATGGCAGGGAAGATCGTCGTCGACTTTGGTACAGAGGTGGGCTCGCTGCAAGGGGTCAATTGCGGTCAATAGTAGAGGCGTATGATAACTCACAAGAAGGCTATTGGTGAACAAATGAGAGGTGGGCCGAAGAGAGATTAGTAGGCATGTGTACTCACTAGAGATATTCCGTTTCGTGGCGTAAGTCAACAACGACTTCATAGTCTCCGGAGACATGTTTGCGTCCAGAGCCAGAAGAGAGGGTTTCTGTTTGTCCAGGACCTCGATGACCTTGCATGCGCATGAGTGCACTGAGCTTGGTCTCCGCGAAAGAACGACAAGCTCACTTTCGCTGCGTCAAGCGTTCGAATCACGTCCATGTCAGCAACACCACCGGTAAGTTCTCCTGCGCTATCCAGCACCATATTACAGACGGCTGTCCGCGCATCAGGGACACGAATCAGGCCGTCTGTACGCATGCCGATCCGCTCTGACTCGGAAACCAGTAGTTGTCCGAACGCATCCTCGCCGATGGGAGAAACCAAGACAGCAGAATGAGCCAAGTCCTTAGAGAACGAGCTCAAGATACGGTAGGCGGCTTCCGCAACGTTACGACCAACTCCGCCTGACGTGAGGGAGACCACGCCAGGTGAGGTAGTATACAGATTGTTGTTCGAACGCGCCCCGCCAGGAACAGGATCTGCTCGTGCTGTGACGTCGACGGCGGCGGAACCTACGATGACCAGCTTTGCGGGGGGCTGTAGATACTCATCAAGTCAGCCCGAGCATAGAACATACAAGGATACTCGAGAATCCACGCACCACATTCGTCCTCTCTGGTTTCGACGCCGCGGGCGTCGATTCTGGGTGAACTACATGGGGATGGGAAGCACTGGTCTCCCTTGCTAATTGTGAATACGCGACAGCAATTTGGCCACCTGTAGTCCTATGAGGGTCGAGCATTCATGCGTATTGTGCGTGATCACTGACCGATAGTGGCCGTATTCTCGATCAGCGCAATATCTGTGAGTAGGTGTTTGTATCTCTGTTACAGCTCTTTCTCATATAATAACACTACTCACTGCTGTTCAAAGACTTGCCAGCCGTCAGTTCGCTGACACGTTTGAGCAGCCATGGGGTCGCTTCCTTTCCTCGTCGGCTCACGCCATTGGCTTCTGACTCTTTTATGGCTTGCTCGACAGCGCGCTGGAGCTCTTCGCCGACAGACTCATACTCTTCCGGGATTGGCACAGCAAATAGCGCACCATTGGACATTCCCAGCTGCCTGTGAGTGTCTGTTGGCAGTATGAAAATGCGATGACACGGCACGGCTTAAGACGCAACGTACTGAGAATTCGAGCCGCAGACTCTGGGTCGTCTATGCGCCATGGACTCTGCAGCGAACAAGTCGGTACGGGTAACAATAACCGGTAGTGCAAACTCACCTTGAAGCCGCTTCTCCTGGTGTAGAATGCGGGGAAGTCGTCTGTAGGGCCATACGATACGACCGGAACACCTAGGGTTTCCTGCATGCCCTCATTATTGGCCAGGCGTGGCAAGATATTCCTGTCAGACGAACCAGATACTCAAGCGTTCTGTGTTCCATATAATGAACAATTTGTAGTGATGTATGCGTAGGGGATCTCACCGTCCAATATCCAATATAGACTTCACTCCAGCAGAAACCAGCCCAACCGGGCACCGAGTAAGCTCGTGAAGGTCAGCGGATATGTCCATAGCTGCGTGTCTGCTCGTCAAAACAGCGCTTCCTTCATTCTACAAGGACTCACTGGACTCAGCCCCGCGATGAACTCCACCGAGACTGTATGTCGCACGAAGACGAATCAAGACATTGGCTTAAGGGAGGAGACTGCCCTTACCCTCCGGTGGAGAAGACCTACGCGCCAGTCAACGGGGTGTCCACTCACACCTAACATGAGTCTTCACCTTGATCCCAGCTAACGCAGCGAAAATGAGGGTAGTGCTGCATGTTGTCCCCTGGTACAACCCGTCGCATTCACTATCCCCACTCCCCCAGGAGTGATGTGCGCACTCACACCGTCTTTCTTGAGAGCGATCGCCGTGCCGAGATCTCTCCTCGACAGCTTCACAACAGAAGGATTTTTGCTCACGTCCGCGAGCCGTTCCAGCTCGAGTGGCTCGAGACCGATCTTCACGCGTCCTTCTATAAGTCCGATGGTTGCAGGAATCGCACCCGCCTTCCGGACATTGCTCTCGACGGACAGTGCGGTCTCCCGGTTCGTTGGGTAGGGCATGCCGTGGGTGACTATGGTCGTCTCGAGCGCAACGACCGGCCGACGGTGCGCGAGGGCTTCCTGGACCTCGGGATGGACGTCAATCGGCGCGTGCTCTTTAAGCGCGACCGACAAGGAGATGGGTCGCTTGCATCTCAGCGAAGCAGTCGTGGGTCTCAGGAGAGGTGCAGCACGTCGTTGGAGGAAAGACATCAGCCAGTATGCATCACAGTGGGAGTCGGGAACAGGAGCGGACGCTCGCAGCGGCACGGGCTCTTCGGGCGCGACCCGGGAAGCATGCGAGTCATGGTCAGGCGTACTTGCAGGATTCAACAACCGATGGTATGTAACCTCTTGTATCATGACTTCCACACCAGCCGCTCCTTCTGCATCGGTCGAAGCGCATCTCGAAATTCCCGAAGGAGTATGCGTCCTCACATACGAGAAACTCGACACCCAAGCCATCATACAATGGGTGGCAGATGACGGAGCGGGAGCAACAGCAGTCTTCATTGGCACCACGCGGAACTCTTTCAAAGGCAAGGCCACTACCATGTTCGCAGGTCGTGTACTACTGTAATGATGACTCTCGTACAGGCAAAGTGGTCACCCGTTTAGACTATCAGGCGTACAGCAAGCTTGCCATCCGGACGATGGCCGACATTGTCCGCAACGTTCACAACGCACACACACGCTCAGCACACCAGACCGTCGAGAGCGGTGGCACACAGGCCCGTTCGCTGATTCGATCAGCGGTACATCACCGACTGGGGACAGTTCCCGTCGGCGAGCCTTCAATCGTGATCGCGGTCTCTTCGCCTCACCGAAAGGAAGCGTTCATGGCGTGCGAGCAGATCCTAGAGGAGGTGAAGCTGAAGGCGCAGATATGGAAGAGGGAATTCTACGAAGGGGAACAGGAAGAGGATGCCGAGTGGAAGGCAAACGTCGGTCATTGAAAGCGATGATATAAACTGTGTATATGCGGAGTAGCCATGCGTCTGGAATCCTGTAAGGACTTGCAGTGAGTAGAAATGTAAAACGGAGGTACTCACAAACATCGTGCAGGTGTCGTGAGGAGGGTAGTCCGTGCGCTCGCAGAGAATCAGTCGACTTTCCATTTCTTGGTAACATCGTCGTCCTCGTTGCTCACAAGGAGTTCTATGGACCAGATAGCCAGCGTGAAGAAAATGTTCATCCATCTCCACCAGACCTGAGAGGAGTGATCCAACACTGAACAGCAATCAGTGATATTCTAATCATGCGAAGAGGGTTCACGACTCACTGAGTAGGTGTGAATAAACTGTCACGAAGATGGACTGCCGGTAAGTCAGTAGGAGGTAAGTCAACTTGGAAGTCTGACACCCTGATCAGCGTAGAACAAGTCGGAGAGTAGTGGTTCACTTACTGGTCTGCCTTCCCATCCGTCGTCCACACCTGTCTCATCTTCCCAACTGTCTGCTCCGATAGTGGGTAGGATATGCGAGGCGAAGTGGAGCACACATAGGCGGTAGACGAGGGCGAATAGAACGGGCTTTGGTACCGTATTGGACACGAAGTTGGCAAGAGTTTGAAGATGGGGAAGTATGTTCGAGACCAACGGCGTACTGAAGCAGTAGAACGTGAGCGGATCGTGTGACATGCCGCAAGAAGAATGACGTACTATTGGAGGCCGGTGTCGAGGACGAGGGCGTCGTCGACGCCGCACAACCATACGTTGTACGCCACGATCAGGGCAAGGCAACTGGTCTCGATCACGTTCGTGCGGCGCAGCGCGAATCCGATGAACGTGAGGAAGATCAAGGTGGTCAACGCGACCCCCAGCAGAGTAGAGGAGAGCGGCGAGTCCGCGGTCGCGGGATAGGACTACAAGCCATATATGTTGAGTTGATCCACTCATGCGAGTTGAACGAGAACGCACCACAACGACCCAGAACGCCGACGCGACATATGCCGCTGCGGCCGCAACAAGGAGGCCGAATTGATAAGCTTCGCCCTCGCCGACTAGCTCCTTTCCGACCTGTCCTAGCCTTTGAGCCACCAGTAAACTCGACATGCCTTCCAAGACGATGAATCCCGGGCCCGACCACTGGAGGATCTGTCCCCACCAGGAGGCCGCCATCGTGAGCCACGGGTGCACGCCCTCGGAGAACGCGTTGAAGCACACGAGGAGGAGGAAGGGGTGCATGGGGACTTGCATAATGCTCAGCGCGGGCGAGCCCCAGAAGAGCACGAGCGTGCCATGGATCAGCGAGTGCAGAAAGAGGAGGAGCGAGAGAAGGAGGAATGCGGACTTGGAGAGCGTAGAAAGCGTGAGGGGGAGGAAGATGAGAATCTGGAGAACGGTGGACAGTCTGGAGCGCGTCGGTTAGCACCAGTAATGTGCTACTCACCTTGGCGGACGAGAAACTCACCTCGCTGTGCTGGACAACGCGTGCCAAAGAAACCAAGGAGACATAGCTGACCAGTATCACCAGAGGGCGATACGGGAGAGCTCAAGAGGTTGGCCTGTGGCCAGAGTGGGACGCCGCGGATGGCGTAGGGAGCAAACACGGACAGTCGCGCCTACCTTCGAGCGCACCCATTCACACGTGCAGCAGCATGCAGTGTGCACTTCCCCACTTGCCCCTGCGCCACCGACGTCGACACGTACACAGCGAGGAACAATACGACTCTAAATGGTGTATATTGCTCTAAGCTAGGGGTGCGGGTACATGTACATGTAATAAATTATCCGATCCGGTGTCCTACTGAAGAAAGCGCTGTGCTGAAGTGGCAATTGGCTTGGGAAGTGGCGGCATCCATTGGACGAGAAATCGTGTCTCGCCTCAAGCCTGGGCTCAAGAAACCCTTGGCAGCTGCAAACTCAACATCTCTGTGAGGAGCTGCAGGATCTGAAGGCTTGACGTAGAACTTGTCAACAATGGGGATTTGAAGCAGGTTCATCTTCGGCGTTATGACCACCATATGGTTCGTCCGTATCTCCATCCAGTCCGCTGATCATGGTAAGTGAGACATAAGTGAAGCGAACAACGCTAGGGTAACTTACCCTTCTCGAAGGTCAGAGGTTCACTCGCAATCTAGTACGCGCATCTCAGTACTACTAAGCAGAGTTGTAGTGCGGTGCCGTACCAATATCAAATTCTCGCGCTTGTCTGTCTTTGACATTTTATAATGACCACCTTCGGCATACTCACTAAACGTGCTGCCAGAAGAGAACCACTACACAGAGGTCGATTGAGCGTATATAACTTATAGGGACGGTGTCACTTACCAGCGATGCGGCTTCATCTGTCCGTGATGAGATGTAACGCGTTGCGACAACGGTCTCACCGTCAGTGACGCAGAAGTTCATGAGACTGGGCTGTGTTCGATTATGAGCATCATGAGTCAATATGACCCATGGTTCAAGAGACCGACCTCAGTGATGTCATATTCTTCCAATAGAGAATTGATGTGGGCAATCGTGTCCAGCATCGCCCGCTGGAGGACCGCTGGTGTAAAACTCTCTGCCGAGGGGTTTGGTAACTACGAGACGGGTCGATGTTAGACGGTGCTTTCGACGCCGTCATTGTGGATTGTAACTGACCTTGGACAGAAACAGCGCAAACGCCCATTGAGAATCTGGGGTAGTCAGATGTGTTGTTCACCCTAACGTGCACGGGACTGACCTGTGTTACCGGTAACCCAGTTGAACACATCATCTCGTACGCTCTGCAGCAGCTTGCGCTTCAGCTTGTGAAAGTCTGATATGCCACCATTGTGCATCCACTAGAGAACGATTGTCTGAGACTCATCACAACCGCGTCGCACGAGATTCACCCACCATGAGTTTACCATACGACCAAGGATGGCAGTTGTCGAGACTGAGCGTTCCAGCCGTAGTGGCACGGACGTGAGCACTGAGCCATAAACCGTGAGATTCTCCGCGGTCATCGTGCCAAAGGAGTCTGCTCACAAGACCAGAGGCGACTTGATCTTCTCTGCCAAGCGCACGAGATTTACGTTGTTCCACGCCTGCGTGTCGAGTTAGACGACGCGTGCCCACCGGGTCATAGCACAATGACATACGGGAGTGACAGAGGTAAAGATGCAAGGTTGAACACCCAGCTCTTCGTCGTACACAGAGTCATACCAGCCTACGGGAGCAGTCGCAGGGTGTGAGCAACTGACGAATTGCACATCACGCGCCACTCACCAACACCGAAACCATCGCCATTGATAGGTCTCCGATGGTCCAAGCGCAACCGGGAGTCGAAGGCTTGGTTGATGATCGAATGGCAGGGCCGCGTGAGGAGATGCGATAGCTGTACGGGCTCTGTGCCTTTGTAGATGACAAACCGGCACATTGTGAGAGGAAGGTTGGGGACTGCGAGGAGGATTAGGACGTAAGCTTAGCCGGACGAGGCGCAGTTCAAGCGGTAGAGGGGATGGCGATATCTGGCAGCGGAAGAGCGCAATGGGCTCGGGGAATGGGGCATGGCGACATAGTGGCTCATCTCTGCCTATAACCCTGGACGCCGTCGCTGCAGGTGTTGCCCCGAGTTTCGACCTCGCGCGCGCCCGGCATGCGCCGATGACTCAAATTCACCCAACCATTCTCCAACGATTTCCGAATGCCCTGGTTATGCACACGTAATATACAGACAGCGATACACTTCTTTCCTTCCCAGAGCGATGTCATGTCCGTCCAGCCAGCCAATGCAGTGACCAGTATCTACAGGAACTCGGAAGGGCGCTTCGCCGGATCTCCCCCGACCTCGTCGTAGACTAACCCCGCGACGCGGAATGCAAGCTCTGCACGGATACGTGGTCCAATCAGCAGCACGATATAAGGGCATAGGACCGTAACTTACCATCTGCCTGGCTTCGGACGGTGGCCTCGGCATAGACGCGGACAACATCTTCCGTGCCACTGGGCCTGACGAAGGAACGTCCCCCTTCGTAACGCCGCACGAGCTCGTCAAGTTTCGCCTGCAGCCCTGGCGGGCTAACCAGCCGCCGCTCAGCGTCCTCAGTCTTGAAGATGCTGCGGTCCGGCACCACGACCTTTACAAGACGGTTGGGCAGGTCGACGTAGAGCGAGTTCCATTCTACGCCGCTGTACGACTTGTGGGCCAAGACCGCCTCCACAAGGAGCATATCGGACAGCCCGTCGCCGACAGTCTGGTTGATGACGTTGGTGAGGTTCCTGAGGTGCGTCAGCGCTGTCGATTGAGCGGGCGTTGAAGGCTGGTAGGTGGAAAGCGTCTCCAGCGTCTCAGGAGAGAACAGGACCGTGCCGTGTCCGTTGGCCTCGAAGTACACACCGATGTCATAGTGCTCCGCTGCATGGTGGAGGTGCTTGACACCTGTGGGGACGCACTTGACGGGGAGACGCTATACTGCGGTGAATATGCGGGCTATAGCTACATCTGCGACTTCAACCGGCGTACCTCTGACAAGTACTTGGTCGAGCCACCATTCGCGTACGCTGTTTGGACAATACCCACTTGTATCTTACCCTCCAGCCCTGCGGATTTGGTCAGCTCAACGACGAAGGCTGCAACAAGTGCGGCGATCTTGTCTCCATCGAGCATGTGGAACTGGCCATGGTCATCCAGATAAAAGTAAATCAGCCGATCCGCATCGCCGTCAAGACTGCAAGCTCTCTGGCCCGGTGTCAGGACAGAAGCGAGGGAAGGGGGTAGTTTCTGTTGCGTCTTGACGAAGTCCGCGCCACAGGCATTGTTCAAGGCACCAAGTGTGTCAATCGCGGTGTTCGCTAACTGAAGCTCGAGTGAATTGCCAAGGTGTCTCGCTAGCTTTTGGCCCACAATAGCACCAACTCCGTTGGCACAATCTATGACAAGGGAAGGAAGCGCAGGCTTCCCCGCCTGATATGACATGAGCAATTGATCGTCATTCAGTACGAGAGTCTTGACGCACCACGAGCTGCTTGAACGCGGAGCTGAGTTTTTCCAGGTAGCCCTCTTCCGTGTCGTCACCGTACGAGTCTTTGGTGCCCTTCGTGTTGATGGCCCTGACGAGGTAGTGTAGCACCGGCGTAGTCGTAACGCCAGCATTCCGAGCATCAGCGCCTAGTGCCTTGAGACCATCCTCGAGCGAAGCGACGAGAGCGGGTCCCGATGGTCGAGTGTCCCGAGCGTAAACCACCTTCGCAGGCTTCGAGAGATCGATCTTCAGGTTCTTCACAAGAGTCTCCAAGGCATCGATGAGCGCGTCGGTGGTGGGTGCATTAGCGACGTTTGTAGCGTGGGTCTCCCACGATGCCTCCAACATCTCCCCGCGGGGGTCGACGAGTTTCACGCCGTTGTCCTAAGCGATCGAGGTTAGTCTGATAGATATTAGTCTAGCATGGATGGCTCGCACCGGCTCCGGGTTGTGAGAGGCAGTAACCATGACCCCGATGGTCTTGCTATCGAGCTTCTTGCTCCTGAGCGCAGCCAGGACTCCGACTCGGAACATCACTGGGTCTAATGCACTCCCGCTGATGCGCAGATCAGTAAACCATCTACTGCATCGGCAAGCGAGACGTACAGAGTCCTAAAGCCCGCCGTCCCATACTGGAACAGGACGTTAGCGGGCTTCTGGTGTTGATCGGCGAGTGCCCGGATGGCATCCACAGGCAACAAGGTCATGACGGATGTCGACGAAGAGCTGAGTGGGGATGCGGCCTTGCTGTGGAAGGTATTTATGCACGGACTGTGAGGCCTAAGGTTACGCGCTCTGCTCCTTGTATCGAGCAGATCTCGATCGCGACGGCGCGCAGGCCACGTGCGACGCGATGCACCATGATGTCTCCGCCGAGGCACTGGCACTTGCCCTCGCACCGCCAGCTGCTTAGCCTCACACCGCTGCTCTATCGTCGTAGACACTTCGGTGCTCAAATCCCCGCTTTAGTTATCTCTACTCACGACATCCATCATGCCCGCCAAGTCACAGGGTCAGACTCTGCTCGAGAAGGCCGATAAGAAAGCCAATTCCTCCACTGGCTGGTTCTCTTCCGCCTCTACCAAGTACGAAGAAGCAGGCGATCTCTACCAGCAAGCTGCCAATGCGTTCAAGATTGACAAGGAGTTCAAGCTGGCGGGGGATGCACATGCGAGGGAAGCGGAGTGCAGGGAGAAGTGCCAGGAGAGTAACGAAGCCGCTAACGCCTGGTGGAATGCTGCTAAGGCGTACAAGAGGGTCGATCCTAGCCGTGCGTTCCTCTATGCGAAGCATTGGTTGCTATATGCCTCATACTTGCCATAGTCGCTGTCCAAGCCCTCTCACAGACCATCACGCACCTGACAAAGGCTGGTCGCTTTAGACAAGCCGCCGACCGGGAGAAGGAGATTGGCCAGATATACCTCCAGGAGCTCAACGATCTCCGGAAGGCCTGCGAGAGCTATGAACGCGCAGCAGAATGGTACTCGCAGGAGGACGCTACCGCGTATGTCGTTGTTTATCTGACTAGCAGGATACTCGCCTGACATGCTTGCCCAAAGGACTGCGAATGCGTGTTACAAGGATGCTGCGGATCTCCACGCTGAGCTGGAGGAATATCCGCAGGCCATCGCTCTCTACGAGCAGGTGGCGAATGGCTCGTTATCCTCTCCCCTAACGAAGTACAGCGTCAAGGAGTACTGGTTGCGGGCCAGTCTATGCGCTCTTGCGATGGGGGTAAGTCTGATGCTCTTTCAGTCACATTAATCACTTATGCAACTACGCTGAGCAGGATACGGTAACTGCCAAACGCAACCTGTCGAAGTATGGTTCTCTCGATACTACCTTCACTTCGACCAGGGAAGCCAAGTTCATCAACATCCTCACTGACGCGATTGAGGGTGGCGACCTGGAGACGTTTACTGGCGCGGTCTTCGAGTTTGATCAAGTTACGAAGTTGGATAACTGGAAGACGAGCATATTGTTGAAGATTAAGAAGACTCTAGATCAGGAGCCTACGATCCTCTAAGACACTGTGGAAGGGAGTCCCTTGTACTACTTTACGAGACGCCATGTATCATCACAATTATTAGTATCGGACATTGCGCGGAACATGTATCAGGATGTCGCGCTGGTGGTTGGGCGCGTCCGCAGCATCCTTGTGTGGCCTGGACTGATCTCATTTGAAAGGTGTTCTGAAGTCCGAGACAGGCCGGACACGTCGGCGGTGACGGTGGTCTATTTTCACGTGACTTTGGGATGCTATTCGCAGCAGAAAGCTGTTGGCGTTGTATCCTACTCCTCGCACTACTTCAACGACTGCGTCTACTCAACTCTGTACCACTACACGTCTGTGAACGCTCCTTGGTAGCCGACGCGTCGCCCGACGTCCCCGACGCGAAGCGCGATGTCCTGGCTGGCCACTGTCGTGCTCTACCTGCTCCACGCCCTCTATAAGCTGGTCCTTGCAGTCAAGTCTTTGGTGGCTCGTTTCGACAGGGATCCCCTGCCTCTGGTTGCTAAACGTACCAAAATACCTTCACACTTGGCGTTGAACCTAATTCCTAATCCGGAGGCGGATGAGGAAACTAATGAAAAGTACATGCTTAATAGCGTGGAGAAGGTGGCCGCTTGGTGCCAGGCAACTGGAATACGGAGGTTGACGGTATATGATCGTAACGGTACGTCTCAATCTTCTGCAGGCTCGAAACAGTCGTAAACGAAGATGGAACGGGCTTCCATAGGTATTCTTGCGAACTCTTCCTTGGATATCAGGAAGCGCGTAATGCCACCAGCACAGGAAGAAGACGTGGATGATTCCCCAGTTGAATGCGACATACGCTACCCCCTTACACCTCCGCCATCGGACGACGCGGAGTCTAGACCGCTCTCTCCGCACTCTGAGCCGTCCATCCCGAAGCTCAGTGTCACTACAATACGCTACCCCACTAATTCTCCCAAAGCAAAACGGAGGTCAGGCGTCAGTAGAACAACATCAAAGCGCCGACGTGTCAACCGTGTGTACTGGCATCCTTTTTGGCCGCTGTTCGCCCTGACATTATCATGCAGGAAACGACGAGAAGGCTGGAGAGACGCCATTGGTCCTTCACGTCGTATCATACAAGTCCAGCAAACCTGCCATTGCAGCTGCAACTGATACGCTCCTGCACGATTTCAGGAAGACGAAGGTTGCTGAATTTGTATTCACCACTTCGGCGCGACTAGCAATCCAGCAGCTCCATGAGATACTAGAAGGTTCGCATGCGTGAACCGCCCTTCAGGACAACACCAGCTGATTTCAGAACGCGACAGGCGAGTATGGGTTTCCTTCGCCGGACCTGATGATCGTCCACCGAAAGCCGCCTGCTGGACAGTTGCGTTCACCGGTGGAAGTTACTGGATTCCCGCCGTGGCAAATGCACTTGACCGAGATACAGTGAGTCCTCATCTATGGCCTTTGGTAAAGTGTGGACTGACATGTCGACCAGCTGGACTACATACCCTAGGTTCGGTACGTGGTGGACTCGGGAAGCATCTGAACAGTCTTCCATAGAGGAAGTGGAGTTCAGAAGAGCTCTCGATGAGTATGCGGGCGCTCAGATGCGTCTTGGGAAGTAGCGCGTTCTTGTGTCGAGTAGGTGTAATACGTGTTGGGACTATACGTTGTGCAGCCGTCACGCCATTGGGCCTGGGATCCCGGGGACAGTTGGAACTTTATGACTAGATGGACATTGCCAGATACTTGGACTGAACAGTGGACTTGTCCACACTAGACCCCTTTGTCAACGCAAGGTATGATGTAGACTCCGACTGCAACTTTTGCACTTACACTGGCCCTCTGCATCGCACGTTTGCACCGCCGAGCACTGACATGCAAGCAGTGCACGCTCGGCTATTTCGTTCCTGGACGCGTCCAGATGCAAGGCAGGTCTATTCTTATCGCCAAGTGTCGCTTCCTTCTCAACTGTTTCCCACTGAAGTAAGCCACCGAGTCCGATCAGTTGCATGGGTTGCGCTCAAGGCCCGCAGTTTCTTGTCACCGGTCTGACGCGCTTCGTACTGAAAGCTCCGGCGTATATATTCAGCGCTACACATCCTTCAGCTCTGCAAAACCGCCTCGTACCATGACTGACTACTACCCTGCTGCGGACTCCTTAGATCCTCGCGAGTTCAACACTGTAGAGCCAGGGTTGGCAACGGCTTACAAGCGAATTATCGTCTGCTGCGACGGGTCAGTGTTGCTTGTGCATGGCTGTAACGTCATTCCGCGTAGGTTTACGTACTGACTGCGTTCACAGAACATGGGACGACGCCTTGGATGCGACCGCAAGGTGGAAGTACTCCAACGTCACTGTACATCTCACGCAATTGCTGCGCTGTGGCTCTCAGGCTTACTGTCGTCTCGTAGAGGATCGCTCGGGCTATCAAACACATCGACGACCGACAGTCAGTGGTATTGCAATTGCCCGCGCGCCACTACTTACTATGCCATTGCAGCGGTTCGCCAATCCACCAGGTCGTGTTCTACCAGTCTGGCATTGGGACTGAGAACCTGTACGACAAAGTCGTCGATGGTGAGCTATACTGTTAGCGACGGTCAAACTGACTGGGGCTGACTTGCGTCCTTCCAGGCGTTACCGGTGCTAATCTGGGTGCGCGGTATATCCCGCGCGGACTGCTGGAGAGATTGCAGTTGACTAACGTGGGGCCGTACAGCGAACAAGGTCGAGGAGGCCTACGGTTTCATTGCTCAGTAAGACGAAATGACCCACAGTTCCCGAAGCATCTCGATACTCATACATGGATGCATAATTACATAGGAACTACCAGCCCGGAGATGAGGTACAGTGGTATAGACTCGCATACAGCATAGCACATGCTGATATAGTCGTAGCTCTTCCTGTTCGGTTTCTCTAGGGTTCGTATACTCTCACATAGCCTACGTCTGCTCCGGCGTTCTGATTAATCGTCCCACATTAGGGCGCGTACACCGCCCGGATGGTCGCTATGTTCATCGTGCGTTGTCGCCTACAGTTCGAGCTCCCGTGACATGTGTACTAAACCCTCATGGCTGCAGGGAGCAATCGGGGTGCTGAATAGTACACAAATGGACCATTTCGCTGATATCTTCCTCGCGTACCAGAAGCGAGGAAAAGCCGAGGACCCGGAAGGTACACACGCATTGAAGTCATCGGTAGCCCCAGTCTCTGAGCCCGGGCCTCCTAATCATAGACATACAGAAGCTGGACGCCCAACTTGCGCCTTGGACTTCTGACCACGGTCCCGGCAAGAGACGCGCTGCCATTGGGCCCGAAGGCTTCTCTATCAAGTATGGGAGCTGTGAGCTAGAACGGAACCGTCTGGACCCCTCTGATGTGCTGATTATAGAGTCATCGGTGTCTTCGACACCGTCGGTTCCGTCGGTTTGCCGGAGGAGTTGACCTTGGGCAACGAGAAGATGAAGAATATATTCGGGTTCCCGGACCACCTCCTTGGAACACATGTCGAGCGAGCTTACCATGCTATGGCCATCAACGAGACTCGAGCGGACTTCGTCAGTGCATGACAAATCTCACACTACGAAGTTCAGATCTCATGTTATAATTTAGGATGTCGCGAAGTTTGAGCAAACTCCCGAAGGACGTAGGAAGGGTCAGGTGCTCAAGCAGGTATGTCCCACGGTTCAGTAATCCGTATAGCGGCAACTGACTCCGGAATAGTGTTGGTTCACGGGTACGTCGCCTAACAGACGATTTCGAGTACAGGTGGCTTAACTATTTTCGCTCACGTTCAGGATGTCACAGTGACGTGAGTAGATGTTTCTTGTCTGCTCTAACAATGTCCTGATACTGGACAGATCGGCGGTGGCTATAAAGAGCATGACCTGATGGAGTTGACTTTTAATTGGATAGTCGTAAGTTCATCTCAGACCACGTACATCCCAGGCCGTATAGCTTACTCAATTGGAATGCCAGGCCAACATCGAGGATGCCTTGTCGCTCGACTTCGATTACATCGCTTCGCTTCCCAACCCGGGTAAACCCTGGGGAACGGAACCCCCGCACAAGTGCGTGCTAAATGCTATATTTTCAAGACTGGACTCCTCATACATTCGACAGCCCTCTCGTTGGTATTTACTCTCTTGCGAAGTCAATCCAGAGGAAGCTGCCCACCCAAACGGATGATATTACCCATGAAGTCATCCACTCCTCCGTTCTGGAGCAGAAGCAAGTGGTACCTGAGCTTAGAAAGGTTCTCGATGCCAATCCAGCGATTGTCGCCACGCTGCTTCCTTGGGAGACGAAGATGAAAGAGTACTGGGCTGTCAAACTTCATACTCGAGCTCCCGGAGTCCCCGATTCAGAGACTGTCGTCACAGCTGCCGACGCTGATCCTGCGCACCAGACACACCATGCATCGTTGCTTCACAAAGCTGGGGAAGCGATCAAACATATTAAACATGGGGACGTCCACAAGGAGCACGTCAAGGACTGGTTGGGGAAGCTGGTGCATGAGAGTAACATTGGTCCTGTGGTCAAGGAGTTCCTGTAGTCGGCCATGGGGAGTGGAGCTACATAAGACAACATCATTTTGCTTGTACTACGCTTCGATGTATGGAATGAGTGCCTGTACGGGTAGTGTGCGACGTGACCAAATTGGGCAAAGTAGGCGGAAGAGCTGACCCACGTGCGCGCGAAGGTACTCCTCGCCGCGACGCGTCTTCACACCGGGGTCTGTCGCGCGAGAGTCTGCCAACGCTCGTCCACCCACGCCCGCCCCTCCGCCTCTGGGAATGCGCTCCTGATAGACCTCGTTACGCTCGAACCACTTGCACGCTACCCGGAGGATGGCGGTGAAGGACATCGTGGGCCTCTTCGAGTCGCGCTCCCCACCATCCTCATCTCGCACTCAATCTGCACAAGACCGCAAGGCGTCGCAGCACGGCACGTCTCCTTCACCACCCACACCCAAGGCACCCTCGTCACATTCCGCGCTTGGCCTCCCCTCACCAAGTCCTGCCAGGTTCATCGCACACCCTCTACTGCGCAGGCGGGAGCCCAGCTCGGCAGACCAGGAAGATGACCCAACTCTTCCAGACCCTTCTGTTTCCGGAGGATCGTCGACAGCCTATGCTCCCCTCAGTAATGTCGATGACGAAGAGACAACACCCTCGGCCGGCGATGCGGATGTGACTGATGAGCTCTTGTCTGTCTCGGGCCGTCAGCAAAGCGTCTTCGCTCGTGGCAGCTCTCGGCCACACGCTTCTGGCTGGGCGAAGAGGGTGGATGATCGCGATGAAGACTCAGCCATTGAGCTTGGCACACTACTGCCCGGCAACACAGGTTCGTCGCAAACGGTGTCTATCCCTGGTACCTCCGGGTCTTGCTCCGAATCGCGGTCACGATTCCAAGTGGAGACGGCGTCCGTCGCTTCTACGTCTACAGTGTACAAGAATGCACCGCTCTCCTCGTCTACGGTTACCCTTGTGCAAACTTCGCGCGTCCTAGGACCGCATACACCCATCCCTCTGTCGCAGATCTTAGCTCGAAATGCTGCTCCGGTATCGCTTCCCAGGTTGGACGAGTACATCTCGACCCTCGAAGCACCTTCGTTTCCCATCACCCATGCAGCAAACGGCAAGGGGAAGGACAAAGCTCTAGATATCGCGCCGTTTCCGCCACTGGAGAAGCTCAAGGGCACCACTATCGCGGACCTCGAGAATAATTCTTCTGTCGCACCTGCATGGAGGAACCGAGATACCATTTTCTCCGGCCTACTCAACGTTGCGCTCAGCATCACAGTCAGTTGCCCGTTTGATCACTCTGGTTCAATGAGCTGATATTGCCCCAGGGCTCAAGCGCGATAGCCTCATTCTACAGCGTGCAAGGGCTGGTGGACACGCTTCAAATATTCGCATTGCTCCTGAGCACCTTCTGTACGTACGACCTATCCTTGATAAGATAAACGGCGACTAAGTTCCGACAGTCTCACACGGGGTGAAATCGGAGGGCAACGTGCGAACCATCCTGTTGCAGACAATGTGAGTTTCTTTGCTCCGTTTGCTGGACAAGCTGACTGACATTGGAACCAGCCCGAACATCCTTGCCCTCAACTTCGCTTCGACCTTGGTGCAGTCCTTGATCTTACTCATCATCTTGATGGTCATAGCGGGCGTTCTGCTCTATTGCTTCATGAGGATGACGTCTGCCTGCTGTTCCGCCGTCGTGCCAGAGGGGATACAGCCCACCACGTATCTCAAGAACACGTGGGCTGTTGTCTTAACAAGTTTTGTCCTGACAGTCATCTATCTTCCCTTGAGCACGATGGCGGTCCATGTTCTTGTCTGGTCGGACGACTTGTGGGCAGTCCAAAACCCGTATACCAATGCGACTTCCTTACCTCCAGTCGTCCTGCCCCTAGGCCCACCGGATGAGTTTCGTGACCCTCTGGACTTCTGTTATACCACCACGATGCTGCGCAACGAGATCAATTGGGCTCCTGCTGCAGTGATACTCGCCCTGATATGTTTTCTTGGAGTAAGTCACTTACCACGCTTCTGCCCCACTGACTACAATCTGACGGCTTGCAGTTAACGGTTTGGTATCCGATCCACCTCCACCGAACCATCAACCTTGTGTATCCGAAGGTTGACCGCTATACCGAGCTTGGCGGATTGCGAAGCCAAAGCGATATGGATCGCGAGTATCAGCGGCTTCTGGACCGAGACAAAAACCCGCTGTCCTTCCTTTATAGTGGTATGTTGCCAATACTCTGAGCGACTTGAACTTGTCGTGTGACATATGCTTCATCCACCAGGATTCCGACGAGGCTGGGCGACGTATCAATCTATGTACCTGTTTGCCAAGCTAACCACCCTTCTCCTCACGGCCGTCGTCAGCCCGGATAACTGTCTATTCCGAAATATTCCTTCACGAAATAACGTCGCTGTTGCTCGCCAGATCTTGCTCGTTATCGCGATGCTTGTGTTCTTCATCTTGCAATGCGTGTTCGCTCCTTTCTTGGACCCTGTCAACAACGCCAGCGAATGGTTCTCTCGGCTCAACTACGTCTTGACTTCGGCAACTTCTCTTGCTGTCGCACTCAATATACCCGGACAAGCTATCTTCAATGGACCAGTGCTCTATCTGTATGCATTTCCTTTGCGGACGTGTCGGATATGTGCTGAAAAGCGTATCCCAGAATCTATATAATAACTTATGGCCTCAGCTTCTGTAGGTCGCTGGCTTCTGAATTGCTCCCTACAGTGTCTCACTTTTCCTGTCTGCAGATTTTATACTCATCAACATGGGCATTGTTCGTCGATGGGTCAAGAGTACGTGGCTTCTTTCCGCCATTGCGCGTCGTGCTCACGCTTATATCCACCAGAGCTCGCGACTAGGATTGATTTCAGTAAGCATGTGGGCCCCACAATCTCAATCAGATGCTCATTGGCACCGTGTTATAGGCATCGATATATTTTCACCTAGGCTGGATTTGTCCCCTAATTCCCCACACGCGAAGCGTCGGATATGGCAAGAGGCGATTACCACATTGCTCCTCACGGATGAGCATTGTCGTATACCCAAGGAGCAGAAGATGCAGTTCAAGCAAGCGCTCAGCAGCGAGTATCCGCCGTACCTCCTCAATTTCAAGGGTAGTCCAGGAGAGAGGCATGTCGAGAATCTGAAGGTATAGTTTTCTTCCTCGCCGCTAGCCAAGAACGTACTCGTATAACAGTGCTGCAGATCCTGCGAGAGGTCGGAGGACTGGCCTACACCAAAGCCGTCAGACTGATCTCCGGTCCTGACTATGAGTGGTTCCGATACTTGGAGGAGACCATCCTGGAGCACTTCATTGGCCCGGACTGCTATTGGAAACCTAAGGGGACTCTTCCTCGTGGCTGTACGAGGTTCTTCGGGAACGCTTGGTGGATCCCCTTCCCCCCAACGTTGGTGAGTGCCAGTCTAACATGGCTCAATCGCGTATGCTTAACCCCCTTCGAGGTTATCGAGTACGACGACGGTCCTGAGGCCGTTCTCAGTGAGGTGAAGGACTTGGAGGCCTATGTCCGCCAAAATTCCACCGAGGACATCATGCGGAAGCGACAGCTACGCATGGCGCTTCGCGCTTTGGACGGGCAGTTCGTCAGGTGGCCCTACGACCATGTCAAGGAGGTTGGCGACCACGACCTCTTCTGCTGTTGCGGCAAGCGCTACGGAGCCCAGACATCCATCCATTACCAGGCGGGAAAGCTCACTATCAAGCGCAACGGGCACCTGGCCTGGGAAGGCCTCGATCTGGGCAGCGGTTTTACCGTCGAGATCGCATACGCCAAGGAGGTCAAGGTGAACGGGGCCGTCATCGGGCTCACGGACGACTTCGACCTGAACCAGCCGCTCGCGCACTTCCTCGCGATGAACGAGCAGCTCATCCCGAGCCGACTGTCGTACATCGAGGCCGTGCTGCACAACTACCGGCGGCATAACAGGAAGGAGTTCGAATGGAAGCGGCACACGCTCTCGTACCGGTTCTTGAGCAACGTGTACGACCAGCCGCGGGAGCCTGCCGGTCTGTCGGCGAGCGCGGTCGAGATGGAGAGGGACGCGCGGGTGCGGAAGCTCATGGCGGCGAGCGTGGACGTGTTCGGGATCTCGTACGAGCGGTTGGAGGCGGTGACGAACTCCGAGCTTGCGACGTGGTGGTATATCTTCTGGGTACGCATCACTTCGCGAAGCCACCGTGACGAGATGTTGACAACACATGCAGGATGACCTATGGCGGCGGAACTACGATGCGATCAGTGGACTACAAAAGTATGAGACGGACTTCAACCCGCACTATCCCACGTCGATCGCGTACACGCCTCTGCCTAGGGCCGCTCTGGAGAACTTCCTTACGCAGCGAGGGCTATTGAACAAGAAGGCCAAGTTTTTCGACTTTTTCCATGCCGGATTCCTGAACAAGATCTACCTCCGAATGAATGATGTAGTCTACCACGGCATGGATGGGGTAAGTCACATTCTGGCGAGCAACCCCATTTCGTGAGAGTAGATTCTTATGCACGATGTGCACAGGCTATCATCTTCCACCTCGGCGACGATACTTCCGAGCTCGACATGGAGGAGATCGACCTTCAGACGCTCCCTCGACCGTCCACTCTCGGGACCGGGGGAGGAACGGAGTACGACGACGACGAGATCCGCGCTCGGCCGGTCTACCGCTGGGAAGGTATCCTCGATGACCCCCTCCGCGCGAAGAAGAGCCACCAACGGCGGTTCCTGTCTCGGCTTGCAGTCTGGTTTGGAGTCAGTCCGCTCTGGCGGAGTGGTGACGCGTCTCAGGGTCTGTCATTGGATGTCCGTCTGGAGAACGGGAAGTACGTGCTATTGGAGGGGCAGGGGACGATGAACGCTCGGAAGTCAGACAAGTGGAGAGATCTGGATGGGCAGGAGAAGTCTACGAAGTCGACGACCTAATGACAGCCACGACACCGGACGCTACATTATCATGTATATACCAATCTGGGGTATCTGGGGACGATTTGCTTGTATGACTATGACTTGACGCGTTCGCACACTATGAGCAACTGAGCATCTGCGAATGATTTTGAACATACCAGCAGTTCGTCATGCGGCTGCGTTCTCTGCCACTGAAACCTTGAACTCCTCTAGCGCCTCCAACACCTGCGGCTCGAAGGATTGAAGCCATTGCGGCGGCTCCCCTTCAGATGGCACATGCCCCGAACCCTTCGGCCACTTGATTGCAACACCCTTCTCAGCCACCTTCATCTTGAACGGCCCTCCCAACAGCCCCCGAAGCTGCGCGGCGACGCGCAAACCCCCGCCGCCTCCGTACGTGACGAGCAAGACGGGCTTTTTGTGCCATTCCCAGTAGAGGTGGTCGAGGGTGTTCTTGAGCTCACCGGGATACGAGCCGTTATACTCCGGAGAGAGAACGACGAAGCCGCTGCACGAGCTCACGAACGTCGCCCACTCGCGCACGTTCGGGTGCAGGTACTTCGTAGGGTCGCGGATCTCGGCGGGGACGTACGAGCCATCGACAAGGGGGCCGAGCGGGAGGGGCGGCTTCGTGGAGTCGACGAAGACGACGTCCGTCTTGGAGTTCTCGAAGCCTTTGCGGAGGATGGGCGTGAGCCAGTTCGCGATGCCGATGCCGTTGCCTGGTCGGCGGAGGCTGCCCATGATGAGCGCGACTTTGGACATGGTAGGGTGCTGAGGGCGTTGAAGATAGCGCGTGCGCAGGTGGCAGGCAGATCAGGCCGCTCTGTTATAGTCAAGCATGCACTGATTATGATAGGCGAATATGGGTGTTGGGTGTCGCAATTGGACAGGGCTGCCGCAGCTTGGGTTTGGGTTCAAAGCAAGCTTACTGAGCAAGCCGTGGACGTTATATAAAGCTGATGACGAACATGATGTGCCCTCGGAATGCGCCTATGTCCTGTGTTGGCGCACGTAGAGTCGGCATAGTCGACGATTGACTGCGAACGAAAGCTACAAGCCTTGTGAGTCGAGGACGGACGATCGCGCGCAACGACGCGATCGGGACGCGGTCACGTCCGTGCGGGCGCCATCTTATCTGATAACGGCAAAATAACCTCTCCTGCGATCTATGCAGCACCGCGCTGAGCAGCGGTCGAACCTGTAGGGTCACAACCTTCCACTTTCCACAACCTGCCCGGATTCCCTTGACTCGGAATGCCTCGTAGACCGCGCCCCGCTTCTAGGAGGACCTCGCAACATGCCGCCACATCCTCAGTCAAGGCAGCGCACACAGCTACCCGTGCAAAACCTGCTCGAGGCTCTAGGTCTAAGGCCAACCATACTCAAGAAGAATCCGAGTCGGACGAGTCGGCAGTAGCAGGCTCAAGCTCCGACGGTTTCTTCGAAGAAGGAGCCTCTGGTTTGGGCACGTCTGGCCCCGAGGATGAAGAGGATGACCTTGGTGGGGGCGAGAGCTACGTAGGAGAATTTGACGACGCGGAACCGGACGCTCCTCGGGTCGCGCAGTGGGTGGACGATGAGGAGTTGGACGAAGAAGAAGTCTTGGAAGAGGCATCTGAGAGCAGCGAAGACGAAGAGGGGACTAAGTCCCACCTAGTATGCTCTCTCCCTTCTGCCTCCCAGGATGGCTTGTCTGAACCGTGTCCTCTTAGCAAGCGAGCTTACGGTCGCTATCGTTTGGTGCCCTACGCAAAGCACAAAAGGCTTTAGCTAAAGTATCAGCTGTTGCTGACTCTGAAGAAGAGGAGCGCTCTGCGGTATCAGAGACTGAGGCTGAGTCCGACGGCCCTGTAGTTCGTTTCGACAAGGGCAAAGAGAAGGAAGAAAATATCCGACCAAAGAAGGTAGTGCCAAAACGCAAACACAAACATGCGTGAGTATGCTGTCAATTCATCGACTTGTGGACCTAATATCTGTTCTAGACCTATGGAGATGTCCTCGAAGAGACCCGTATCTCGCTCGAGGTTTGTAGCCGAGGATAAAGTTGTACGTATCTTTTGTCGATTTGCAGAATTGGCTGTTCGTACATTCATGCCTCTCCGCAAGGTACCACGCGATCCACGCTTCCTCCCAGTGACGGGCGAGTTCGATCCCAAGCGCTTCCAGAATCAATACGGCTTCCTTTCCGACTTACACCAGGAAGAGCTGAGCACACTCAGAGAGAACCTCAAGCGCGCGCGCAAATTGCTTGCTAACTCTCCTCGAGACCTCCGCGAGGAGCGAGCAGCCGAGGTCGAGCGTCTGGAGCGGGCTGTCAAGCGTGCTGAAAGCGCGGTCAACAAGGACCGTCGGGAGAAGGTGGAGATGGAAGCTCTCGGCAAGGTTGCTAAGGAGGAACGAGAGAAGCGGAAGCAGGGCAAGAAGGCGTGGTTCATGAAGGACGGTACGTGTTCGTCACGCCTGTCACGTCTTGAGTATGAGCTCACTGCACACCTTCACTGCACAGCGGACAAGAAGGAACTGCTGCTACGGGCGAAATACGATGCTTTGGCGGAGAGAGGCGGAAGAGGTGCAGTACGCAAGGCGATCGAGAAGAAACAGAAGAAGGTCAACCAGAAGGAAAAGAAGAAGATACCGTTTGTCCCAGGACAGCTGTCGAACACCGGAAGTAGGTCTACACGGGAAGGAGGGCCGGCTCGGCTGAAGCGTGCACATCCTGGAGGCGACAGTGGATCCAGGAAACGTCCTAGACCCAACTGATGCAAATCTAGTTTTGCTTCTGCCCGGTGTTCATTGTCTATAGTGTTATCGAGAACCTATAGTGCCATTCATGCAAGTTACAAACGTCATTATATTGAGAGGCTAGGATAGGCTGGTATGGTAGAGGCAGAGTGCGCCACAACGTTAACGAAGTTGCACATGTAAATAACGAGCGTCTGTGAGAAGTGCCAGGAATGGCCACCTGGCGGCTACGGAACATCTCTTTTCACTCATCGTCCATGTAGCTCCCTCACCGCTGCATACCCCTACTGCGGCGCCGCCTTCATGCACGCGAAATTTACCCCCATCTTTCCAGGCGGACTTAGTCTATGTACCATCCCCCAGCATGACGCCCCAGGACGACTCCGGCTGCCCCCCCTTCCAACCGCCACCGCCTGCAGAAGTCTATGGCCATGTCTCAAATCCCGCAGACCTCCCGGACGGCACGGACAACGAGAGCGAAGATAATGACATCTATCGCGGCACCCCGCCGACTCCTGGGCCTGCCAGAACACCCTCACCAGCTCCATCCACCTCTTCTTCCAGCTCTAGCTCAAGCGCATCTGTTTTTGGAGGCCGGCTTGGAGCGATCTCTGCGGGGGTCGAGCATGCGATAGCGCGATGGGCTCGCGCATGGCGTTCGACCTCAAGTCTGTCCTCCTCATCGTCCACCTCCTCCACGTCGTCCGCCTCCATCAGCCGCGGCAAGTCCCAAGCACCGCGCAGGCGCAAGCGGCGCCCACGCAGCATCGCGACCACGATACAGAACGCGCGGTCAGAGCTCGAGATCGCCGCACGCATACGGGCCCGTGAAGACCTCCGGAATATACCTCGCGGCTTCGTTTTGTATGTGCCCAAGCTCCCTCCGGCCTCTGCGAAGTCGCACGCTGCCGCCGAGCGAAGGGCGGCGCGGATCGCGCTCGTTAACCAAGACCCGATGTTGTGCACTACGGACCTTCACGAGGTCACTGCACGCTTGAACGTCGTCTTGAGGGAACGCGCGAAGGCTCGTCGTGTCCGCGCGGACCCGCAGCCTTCGGTCCTCTCCGCAGCATCTTTGGCACCCACCTCCAATGCCTCGCCTCCGCTGCGACCAGTGTCGCTTCCCGTGCATGACTATATGCTCTCGGACGTGGACGCTGTCGCGCGGCCGACGCCGACTCTCCCGAGTTCAAGCACATCACGCAAGGAGAGGGAAGGGAAGGGCAAGCAGAAGCAACCCATGGTCCAGATACCCCAAACCCCATCTGCCCTACCGCCGCCGAAACCCCTCACTGTCAAGCTCGAGCCTCAGCGCGCGCCGAAGGCATGGTGGCTGGACGTATCTTCTCCTTCGTGGGAGGATATGTGCGAGATCGGCAAGGTCTTTCCAGTAGTGTTCTTTGACCGACTGATAAGTTCTAAATCGGACTCTATGATAGCTGCTAGGGCTCCACCCGTTGACACTGGAGGATATTCTGACGCAAGACCCACGCGAGAAGCTGGAACTGTTCCCGAAGCTTGGGTACTACTTCTTGTCGTTCCGCGCCATCGAGAGTCGGAAGACGCGGGAGCGACTGCGGAACATACTGAGCGCAGACGTGGTGAGTGAGGATGACGAGGGTATCGTTGCAGAGGTCAATATGTATTTGGTGGTCTTTCGTGAGGGGATATGTTCTGTAGGTGTCCTAGTGTGCCTGCTCAAAAGTGAAGGCATTGCTCACCCATGCTCGTCAGTTTCATTTCGCGGATGTTGAGGGTAAGTCACAACGAAGGGTTTATGGGTGAATGTTGGTCTCAAGCGCTTCGCGTGTAGAGCACGTAGACCGGGTTCGGCATAGAATCATGCTGCTTGATGAGAGTACCAACGCTTCATCCGGTACGCGACACTCTGCCTTCAGCATAGAATAACGAGCTTATTCGTGATGAACAGATTGGATTGCCCACGGCCTTCTGGATTCGATCGTCGACTCCTACTTCCCGTACCTGGACATTATAGACAAGGAGGTCATGGAAATGGAACGAAGGGTCTTCTCGGCTGGCCGGCCTGATGGTCTACTTCGAGGAGATCGTTCTGAACGCCCTCATACACCCCCCGTAGCCGAAAAGCAACCGTTCCCCGAATCCAATCCTTCTAGGTCGAAGGAAACCTCCCACACAGAGGTGGACGAGATAGATTCCCCGCCTTCGCCGGCCCTCGCGAAGACAACGTCAACCAAGACCATTCCCCTCCGACCCCGATTTGTTTCGCCTGCCAGCGTCCCCTTAATGATGCGTCGGGCAAGACGTGCCATCGTGGACGTTATCGCCTCTATACCCCGTTTCAAGGCTGTCGACACGACCGCCCCTGGATACTACCACCCGACAACCACCGTGTCGCGTATGGCGCGTATTCGGAGGCTCGTCACATCTTTATCGCGCTTTATAGCCGTTAAATCCGAAGTTGTGACGCAGGTGAAGAAGCGGCTGCTGACCAAGGGCGAGTGGAGTCTCGGCTCGGGGACGGAAGATGATTTAGATATCTTCGTGTATATGGGTGACGTCCAAGGTAAACATGACTTGTGTGTTCTGCAGATTCCAGGAGTTGACAGCAAGCTCTAGATCACATTCTGGCTCTCCAGCAGTCGCTCGCTCACTACGAACGGATGCTCAACCAGTCGTATCCGACATTCCTCCAACAGCTTCGAATGTCAGTCAACAGGGCCAAAAATGACAGTGACAAGGCCGTGACGTTCCTGACCATCATTTCTCTGGGTGTTGTTTGCGTGCAGACTCTAATCGGTGCGTGGTCCTGGCACCCTGCGTGAAATCATCTGTACTCATCCGAGCGTAGGTCTATTTTCCATGAATGTTGGAGTTCCCCACAACAATCTATCTGGAAACAAGTACACCACATTTGCGGTCGTCGTCTCTGCCGGAGCTGTCATCGCTACCATCTACTCCAGCGTCGTCCGGTACTGGTGGATCCAAGCCAAACGGCGCAGGCTTACCTCGAAGCTGAAGGCATAATTTATATCACAACGGACGGATTTCTGGTTTGCTCTCTAATATTGTTCGGTAATCGGCTTACCAGCGTTTTGACATGCTATTTTGCTCCGCTCTGATCCTTTGACTCAGCACCGTAGACTCTCCGAAGTTGCTTTGTCTGCATTCGCTTTCTGTAGCCGTAGTACCAATTGACCGGATTTAGCTGCGCCTCGCTTAGAGCCGAACGATCTCCGACCCGTAGTAAAGCAGTGTCACGACCGGCTACTTTCTATTGTCGGCCAGTGGACGCGTTGAAACAGAAGGTGTGCTCTACTTCCGGTGACGGCTCGTCGCATGTATGGCTGCAAGGGTCGCATTTATGGCGATCATCAGCGGGCTGTGTTGCGGGTGCGATGCCTACAGATGCTATCAATAGCCTGAATGGTTGCAGGCATTGCAATCGGTGGTTATAACTTTGTTTGAGTTGTTACGCACGGTGAGACAGCCTTGTGCTTGGAACAGTGGGTGGTGCAGGGGCTAACGTCATTGCACCGTATACAGTGTCACTATCACGAAGCTCATCGTATCGTGTTCCACGCTAGACAAAGCGTTGTCTCCACTCATGTGACCCGCGAAGTCTCAGTCAAGCGCCCTTACAATGCAATTCCATAAGTCCTTCGTCTCATAGCGGCTTCGGATGTGATGTATCATCACACGAGGCCGAAGCACCCTGCATTGGTGAGCAAATCAGGCCTCGGCGAATCGCTCGTCTCAGACCTTCCAACGAAGCAGCGGGCAACTGCATATTCTGGACAACTTGTACGCACGACGTCCCCACTGATGCCATTAGGCGGCAGGCACATGGTCTCTTTGTGAGTTGCCTCACTGGTCAAGTTGTCAACTCGAATTCGGGGCATAATCACACGGGGGAATTTGACGGCGTTGGCTTGCCACAAATTCCGGAGGAAAGGCCTCCACATGCTTCTTCTGATGACTATTGGCTGACGGTCGGGAATTCAGTGCGCAGGTAGTATCCCACTATACGGCATACTGTTCGCTTGAGCTCTGCCTTGATGCGCTGCACGGCTCACGTTAGTATGTCAGTGTTGGCCGCATATTGTTTCCCGCTCAAATATTCGCCGGTACTTGACCAACTCTTGCTAACACCTACTGTCCCTACAAGCTGCTTCTTTGCTTGCATGTCGCCTCCTTCTCCCACAATCCGCAACCGATTTCGCCAGTCCAGCGACACTATGGAGTCCATGGCCAAACTCGTTTCGCCCGACGTGAACGGACGAGGCAATCGCTCTCCTTCAGCCGTGTACTCCCATGTTCCTTCCTCCACTCTGCCTCTTCGCGCGGCTAGTAGTAATTTATCCCTTGTGAGTGATACCGTATAAATCTAGCCTAGATTATGAACGACGTCGTTGTTATAGGTCGTCATGACTGAAACATCGCGTCCGTCAGTCTCCGATAAGGTACGTCAGAGGAACCTATGTCAAGTTCGACACTGATGTATACGAACAGTATGTCCTACCCCTGGATCCGGCTGCCTTCAACGGCCTGGAGTCAGACGATAGCCTGCACACCCCGGACCCTCGCAGAGATCGCAGGCTTGATGGGGGCGGATATATATTCACTGTACGTGGACTCATGAACCTCAGCTGCATTATTATCCTTGGGGCTGGCATTATCGCGCTTTGGTACGCAACCTCTGTTCTATTCTCTTGCTCTTCTATCCTAATAAGCATCCTCATAACTAGCGTCGGTTATCCCTTGATTACCTACTTCGCCAAATCCCCCCAGTCAACTCTGGGAGGCTTCGGTCTCGGCGGTATCAATGCTTCCGGTCAAGTTCCTGATATCCCAGGCATTCGTGGCCTGATAGACCGCGACACGCCCCAGGAGGCTCGGACGAGGGTGGACCATGTGACGGGACAAACTTGGCAGCTAGTCTTCAGCGACGAGTTCGACCAAGAAGGCCGAACTTTCTACCCTGGAGATGATCCCTACTGGGAAGCTGTTGACCTGCATTACTGGGCCACGGATAACCTGGAGTGGTATGATCCAAAGGCAATAACAACGCGTAACGGCTCACTGGACATCACGCTCACTGAGGAACAGAACCATGGGCTGAACTACACTGGTGGTATGATGGCTACATGGAACAAGTTCTGCTTTACCGGCGGCCTCGTAGAAGTATCGGTCGTGCTACCAGGTTCTAATAATGTCAAAGGTCTGTGGCCTGCCATATGGGCGATGGGTAATCTTGGTCGAGCTGGCTACGGTGCCTCCCTCGACGGCATGGTGCGTGTCCGACACATGGTTGAGAATCACCGCTGAATCCTGTTTCCATAGTGGCCTTACACTTACGACGCATGTGACATCGGGACTGTAGCCAACCAGACTTTCAACGGCCAACCAGTCGCAGCTACTGTGGATAATGACAGGGACTATGACGGCGCCCTCTCTTATCTGCCCGGTCAGCGGCTGTCGCGATGCACTTGTCCTGGTGAATCTCACCCGGGGCCTGTCCACTCCAATGGCGAATGTGTTGGTCGGTCGGCCCCTGAGATTGACATGTTTGAGGCTCAGGTATGTTTTGATCACCGCTGTTATGCCAGATGCCTCCCTCATCGGTGATGCGGCTTCGACTGTCCTGTAGATCGGAGGGACACCAGAAGGTGCTGCGGCAGGCGTATCTCAGTCGGGACAATGGGCGGTAGGAACGGTTTCTGGTATGCCATATTATGCACTGACGCTGCCATGGTAATAGCCATTCAATATCAATTATGTCTGGAACAATTCATCGGATAACCTGATCATCGCCAATGCATCGAAGAGCGTTTTGAACTCCTACAAGGGAGGGATATACCAGCAGGCCACGTCCGTCATAACCGCCACTAGTACGTTCTGAAAGTCTGGAGCTGACGTCGAGTGGGCCGAACACTGTCTAGACCAAGAGGGATATGAGTTGAATGGGAGACAGTACTCTGTCTATGCATTCCAATACAAGCCCGGCTTCGGCGACGCAGTGAGTAGAAGCTACTGCTACTATCAAATAGGGGGCCGTCTTTGCTGAATCAGACACAGTACATCGCGTGGATCACCGATGGACAATTAGCCTGGGCTTTGCGCCAGCCTGGTATGGGACCTGACGCGGTCGCAGAGATAAGCGACAGGCCTGTCCCCCAAGAGCCGATGGTGAGGATCTCCCTATGTATAATATCGGACCTACTGACACCTTCGGATTAATTTCAGTATCTCATCATGAACTTGGGCATTTCTAAGAAGTTCGGGGATGTGGATTTCGCCCATATCCAGTTCCCCACTAGGATGCGGGTCGATTACGTCCGTGTGTATCAGGATCCCAGCGCGATTAATATTGGGTGCAACCCTCCTGATTTCCCGACAGCGGCATATATCGAGGAGTGCGTGGTCTGTCGCCATCGCTCAGCGTAATTACATGACTCACGTCTCCGTTGTGCAGGTACAAGGAGGCCTACAATAACCCGAACCTGACGACTTGGGTTGATGACTACAAGCGGCAGTTCCCCAAGAACAAGTTCCTAGGGGAGTGCTGAGAAAGGATCGGTTTGCGTGCCTTAGACTGGATCAGCCCTTGCTGCTTCTGCCTTCATCAGCTCGGACTTCAATCGCATACTAGGCGCATATACCCAGCCTACGTTGCAGGTCGTGTCAATGAAGTCAGTGCTGAATGCGCATACCAAGAGCTGAGGTGTTGCCCCCACGCCATCCACCGGCACAGTTATAGCGTGTATATCGAGAAATTCAGATGGCTACGAAGGTAATACGATGTATATTCCCTCTATTGGAAGGTATTCTCTGCAAGGGGGGATGGTGATTACTCTACAATGCATTACATCCAGAACAGTCGAATCGGGGACTGCAGTCTTACATAGTTTAGGCGCATGCTGCAGTAGCGCATAGATACCCATGGCGCAAGAAACGAAAAAAGGAGTCCTGCAACCATACGGATTTGAATGGGCCATATAATGGTCGTGGAAAGGTCGTCCAGCAGGACGTCATGATGTTTCATGCACGTCGCGCTTCTTGTCGCACAGCTGCACGACACGCTTGCTCTCCTCAAGGACTGCGAGAACTGCAAAAGGCGTGAATACGCCGTGGACAGCATGGTGAATGAAGCACTCACCCTTCGCCTGGAACTCGGCCTGCTTCAGCTCGATCTGCTCGCTGCTCGCCAATATCTTATTCTCCTGTGTCTTCACGGCCTTCTCGTTCTCGCGCAAGTGCTCCGTCTCTACCCTGACGCGCTCCTGCGACTCCTCAACCTTCAAGCACAGTGCGCGCATGGCCTCGATCTCGTCGTGGTACTCCAAGCGCAGCTTCTCGAGCTCGGCATCTGCGAAGGGACCCTTCCTTTAGCACCTCCACACCGCGACCCATACCACATCCACTTACTCAGCACCTCGGCCTCGTTCGACGTCTTCACGTACTGCGACATCTGATCGACCCAATCCTTGTCCATAGCCCATGCGACCGACTTCGACTGGCTCGCGACGCTCAGCTTGCTCATGCTGTCCCGCTTCTTCAGACTGCTCCGTCGGCGCACAATGGGACGGTGCTCCGCCTCCTCCTCATGGATCGTAGGAAGCCCATTGGGTGGAGTCGACACTTTCGGCGGCGTGATGGACTCTCTAGGCGAGGGAACCGGACTGCTGGAGACGGGGAGCTCGAGCACCTGCCCCGTGGGCGACCCGACTTCAGTGGCCTCCGACGGGTCCGGTTCGGGCTCGGGCGATGTGATGGGCGGGCGCGTTCGGTAAGGGATGGGTAGAGGGTCTGGGGAGCGTGCCTGCACCCGCGCGGCGTGGTCCGCGCGCAAGTACTCGGACGGCTTGCGCCCTTGCGACGGTCTTGGGGGGTCTGGGTGATAGCCGGGGACGGCAGGGGCGGACGGATAACGTACGTGTCCTCGCGCTGGCGCGGGGCCGCGCGCACGCTGCTGGTCCTGTCTGACAGGCGGGGCGGCCGGGTGGGTGTATGCGCCCGGCTGGCCCTGCTGCTGCGCGGCCTGCCGTCTCGCCATACGCATGCGCTCGGGGGTGGAGCCTCTGGGAGGCGGCAGTCTGCTGGAAGATGGGCTGCGGCGCACCGCGGCTTGTTGCGCGTACGCCTGGGTCCGCGCCTGGTGCGCCATGCACTCCTGGCACTCCTTGCAGTACGGCGCCGCGGCGGGTCCTCTGGAGGACTTGCCGAGCTCGCCGCCCTGCAGCTTGTACCAGCGCTCCATCTCCTTCAGCCTGAAGTCGGGCGGGGCGTGGACGGTCTGGAACAGGACGCGCGGCGCGGGCTTGTCCTTGGGCTGGCTCGTACGGCTGAGACGGGTGCATTTGCGGATCATGCGGTCCTTGAGGTGGCGGATCTGCAGGATGCGCTCCCAGTTGGCGGCCTTGCCCTTGGCCAATTCGGCGTTCTCCGCATTCAGTATGTGGCCGTAGATTTGCGCGGTGTAAGGAGGAAGGAGAACCTGGTACGAGGTCGTCGATAATGAACACGAGGATAGAAGAACATGATATAGAACGAGGCATACCCGTAGTTCATTCGGGGTGTCCGTGCATTGGATATAACGCCAGCCTGACCTCGTTGTTCCATCTGGGTTCTCCAGCTGACCGCGGACCGGACTCTGCTGATAATAGTTGAGCCTGGGGTCGGCTGGCGGGAGATAGGCCATGGGTGCAAAGGGCGCAGTCCCAACCGCAGACGGTCAATGGTCGCGAAAGAGTACAGACGAGGGAGACGCAGTAGCGGAGGGCAGGAGGAGACAATTGGCAGGAGGAATTGGTGCCGGAGCGGGTGCGAAAATATAGGCGCGACGACGGGGCTCGTGCAGTGATCTGGTATCAACGCGCTTACTCGTCTCTGCAATTGCAAGCCCCGTGGCTGCCCCTCATCCTGGGCCGCGTCGTGGCTCGCCATGCGGGGCGTATAAGACCTCGTTCCCTATGCCAGGTCAGCCATCCCAGGAAGATGTTCCTTGGGGAAGTCGCCGGGTTCGGGGGAGAAGAGGGTGTGCCCCCTTTCAGCTTACCATTCTCTGTACGTCCTCGGCGGCTCCTGCTTCTCGATTCACGCCATCGATGTGTCTCGCCCTCTCTCGTCCCGATAAATGCGACCGCGAGCTTCCCATCTGTCGGAAAGCGGTCCTGAGCTGTCGAGGATTTACATTATAGACGTATGCGGTTTAGATGACTGCAGTCGTGGTGGTCGCGGTAAGTGGTGCGGCAGCATTGAGTGGGCCAAACAAGGCATGTTTGTGCACGACGCGCCCACATTGCGTTGCAGGGCACAGTGTTCAGCCACCGATGGGACTGCAAGTTGGTGTCAACATCTGAATAGAATAGGAATAGCAACCTGGTGCATGCATATCGAGTCCCGCGAAGTGTACTGGATGCGGCTGAGCACGCTTTAGCACATGCTCCGAAATTGCCATATACGGCAATCCAACCGGTTACGGTTGGTGGCCGGGATTCCCACAGAGCATGGATGGTGCCCCGCGCTGGCTGGACAACTTGTCTTATTCCCGCTACCTCCAGTGCGGGTCGGCACCAACTCGCCCTCCTCGTTCCCCGCTCTCGGTTTCCTTTTCTTCTGTCTTTACTTTCGATGTCGTCGGTTTTGGCTCAATATGAATCCTTTCTTGTCGCCCATGTCTCGACTATCTCCAGCCTCGAGTCCACACTGAGGTCCATTACGTGGATTTTGCCCGGCAGGTTCAAGGATGCGGAACTCGCTTCCGAAGCTCGTCAGTCTGTCCACCTTGAATGACCACGCATGTCTTGTTTGACTCTAGCCACGCAGTCTCGGCTATCCTGAATATCATGAGCATGTACCATGACACCCTTCTCGCAAAGGTCGCGCACTCGGATCCGAAGTACAAACCACTTCTACCGTCTTCACCCCACATGCGCTACACAAGAGCATGGTGCGAGAAGGACGCGCGGTACAAGTGGGCCGGACGTGCCTTGGAGCTGATCAAATTCACCGAATTGCTTCTCGAGATGGGGCTGCGTAGGAAGGTGTCGCATAAGACGCGCTGGAGGAGCATCGTTGTGCTTGAGGCCCTGAAGTGCGTACCTTGACATGCATCTGCTGCTGAATCCAATCCAACTACCTGCCCAGAGCTGTCCTCCGACTCGCCCTGTTGCGCATCACACGACGGCCCTTGATTACTCCTCCTATCCCGGAGAGAGAATTTGACCCCGAACACATTCCTGCGGGCTCGGACACGTCCTCTCCGACTCTCGCTGCCTCTTCGCCACCGTCCTCCGTCCCATCTACTCCCGACCACCTCAAGAACAACCACGTCGCTCTCCCACCGCATCCCCTCTTGACACTTCCTCCGCCCACGCACTCGCCCACTCCGGTGGAAGACTTCCTCCTTCCCAAGGCCTTGACTACCGCTTCGGTCAAGGCGCCGACTTCCCTCGTCAGACCACTTTCGAGTCCGAAAGACTGGCTGTCAGAGATCACCTACATACTGCGCCCGCTCGTGTACGGTGCGTTCGCTGTTCCAGACCTTTCCTTTCGCACGTTCTCTAATATGCTGCACAGCTGCGATGCTGTCTTCCGGAAGGAAGGACAACAGGCCCCTCATGACCGCGCTCGCCCTCGAGCTTCTAGCGCTCAATCTCCGTCGGGTCCCCTCCCCGTCCTCGGCTCTGGAGCGCTCCGAATATGCGCGGAGGGACCGCGATGTCGTCTGGTACTTGTTGAGAGGCTCCATCTGGGAGACCTGGACTCGGTGTGTATCGCCTTCTTGCCTTCACGGTGCTCTCGCTGAATGCACATCTTCCGCTGTAGGCCCAAGCTGGAGGGTATTGCAGACAAAACCGCCCACACGCCGTTCATAGGCATATTCAGTGCTTTCGTGAAGGATTGGATTCCGCTTATCGACGAGTATTATTATTGTGCGTACGGCTCATTCGCCCCTGGGCTATGACCGAACCTCATCTTACTGACCTCTCTCCGCGCATAGACACTGCTCCGTAATGCTAGGGTATCGTGGACTGGATATCATCCCTGTTTGCTGTGCATATATACATGTATTATGCTACCACTGGAAGAAGCTGAACGTGTTTGCCGCGAAATGCCGTTGCAACACTCGACTGTGTACAAAGATGAGCGGAAGACAGACGTGTCACGATGCACAGACTTCTGAACAGCATCGACTTGCGTTGATCTTACACGGGTCTCTTACACCTGATAGGAACCTCCCACGATAGCAGTCATGATCGGCCCGCTAGTCTGGGCATACGGACATCTGACCACATCGATGCAATCGGGTAAAGTTATATAGCCCGGGGTCGTGAAGCACAGGTTCGTCATACCGTCAAGGTTGCCCTTCTGCCGCGCTCATTGCACTAGTTAGAGTTTTCGGATATTGAGCGATATGTCTGCGGCACCTCTCCCCGGAGTACGGCGCATAGTTACCGGGCACTCCGCGGACGGGGTAGCGGTCGCGAAGGTCGACGGCATCGTAGACTCGCTCGAGGTACGTGGCTGTTCCATGAAAGAGACAGGCAGTGCAGTGCTGAGTGGCCTTCACGTATTCGTAGGTAGGCCCCAAGATGCCTGGAGTCCGAGTTGGTTCTATGTGGAAAACCGGCGCGTTGCCCGTGAAGGACAATAACGACGAGTAGTATTGCATTACTGACCCGTCACCGCCGCGATTGATGCTGGATAATTGTGCAGGACGGATGGTGCGACTCGTGCACCTGACGGTGACTTCGGGATGATCATGAAGAGCGGCACGAACCTTCAGTACACGGACTTGGCTCCTGGTGCCTCGGCCCCCATGGTGGGTCTGCATCAATTGTTGTAGGATGTTCCAGGGTCTGAGCCGTACGTTAGCACAGGACGTCTTCTCTTGACCATAACATCTTGCGTCAGTCCTGTATACGACTTGCTAACAGGCATAATGACTGACCTCTTGCCTGAACAGTGAGCGGGAAATTAATCCTCATCATGGAGGACGGCTCAGAGACTCTTTTGGAGAAGCCAGGTGATACTGTAGTGCAGCGCGGCACGATCCATGCTTGGAGGAACCCAGGACCGGAGTGGACGCGGTGGATAACAATTATCATCGACGCTGAACCTGCAGTGGTTCATGGTAGACCCCTTCCCGCCGAGCTCAAGCATTAGGTGACTGAGATTGTCCCCTGTGTGCAGCTGGACGCTGACGATCCTACAAGATACACATTTCACTAATGACTGCTTACACGTGCTTCAATCTCATCTCATTGCAAGTTGACGAACAACCCTCCGTCCGTCAATATCTGAGCGCCGGTCACATACTTGGCAAGATCACTGGCCAAGAAAACGACCGGTCCCGCGATATCGTCCGGAGCTATTCCGCGGTCAGCTGGCAGACAACGGACATCGCTAGAAAACGTACCTCCGAGCCGGCCTAGCACAGTTCTCTTGATCATGGCTTCTCGTTTGGCGACATCCGACAGGTCCTCCTTGTTGATGTCCGTTTCGATTGTCCCTGGTAGGACGGCATTGGCCCGGATGTTATACTTGCCCAAGGCCACCGCGCAGCTCTGCATGAGCGATAGGATGCCTGCTTTCGTCGGCGTGTAGTGGCTACGGAGTCTCACGTTAACGAGGTTTTGTGTATAGTGGCACGCCGACGCAGCTTACACCTGGTACTCTCCGCCGACGAGCGCGGAGATGGAGGAGATGCCGATGATGGAACCTCCTTGTGGTGTCTGGTTCTTCATCTGGTTCGCCACGGCTATTGCAATAGGTGTGTGGTTGGCATTTCTTCTGTAACTCGAGTTCTCCCGCTTGGCTTACCTTGTGTGATGTAGAATGCCCCATCTAGGTTGACTTGACGTGTCCGCTCCCAAGTCTCGGGCGACATGGTCAGGAACTCCGAGAAGGGGCAGATGCCCGCATTGCTGACGAGAACATCTACAGCTGATTTGACACTTGCCTAGCAGGAGAACTGACCAATCTCGTACCTATGCGATCGAAGGCCTTCACGCCCTCCTCGACAACCTGCCAAATCACATGTCAGTTGCCGTTCAGTCTGCGGTAGATGGCGGGGCGCCTGTACCTTTAACGATGTCTCGCGCAGAGCGATATCTCCTGGAACAACGACGACCTTTGCATGGGTGTAGGCGCCTTCGATTTCTTGCTTCAGCGTCTCGACCTCCCTCGTCGTTGCCTCGTCTCCGAAGTAGTGAAGTACAAGCCCCGTGGCCCCGTGCTTCGCAGTTTCGATCGCACAGGCGCGACCAATACCCCGAGAAGCGCCGGTAATGACGACGACCTTGTTCGCAAGTAGTGCCATGATCGCCTTAGCGGAGCAGAAATCGATTGCATTGGTACCCATGAGCCATCCTTTTGTACCGGTGGACCTTCGTCATCGCTTGATCGGCGCGATGGTAGTCCAGCGACGAAGCGATCTGGGGTAGCCGCAGCCTGCGGACCGCCGGTACCGGCTATCCATGTCACAAGGACGATGGGAGATGCCCCGGCGGACGGACTGGTACGCATCTGCCACTGGGAAAGTAGTCACAGGATGGGTGAGCAGTGGAAATGCACGGGAAAGCGGATTGCATGATCGTCGGGGGCCGGACCTCGAGCCAAGGTAACGTTAATCTGCGGGCTATATAAGTGAACGAAGAGCGCACGAATGAAGTTATCCCACAGAGGATATCAGATCTGCCGCTGTCTCGTTCGAAGCCTTTGACAATATGTCCGCCAAGATGTAGATGTTTCGCTCGTCGTTTGTGCACCTTGGTCTGTGAGACTGACGTCTCAACGCTAGCTACTACGATTCGGACGCGAACCTCGACGTCCTCGGTGGCAAGACCATCGTCTTTTTGGGGTATGTTGTCTACTTTCTATCTCAAGCCAACATCTAAGGCTGATAGCCATGCAGCTTCGGGAACCAAGGTGCCGCTCAAGCACAAAACCTTCGTGATTCTGGCATCCCGAACGACAAGATCATTGTCGCGAATCGTCCTGACTCCTATGCGGAGGACGCTAAGTCCAAGGGCTTCAACGTCGAGCACAACTTCGCTAACGCGGCTAAGCAGGCTGACGGTTGGTCACTACTATCTCCGTACTAGACGCTGCGGTTCTGATTTGCATTCGCATACTCCGCCCAGTTGTTTTCCTGCTCATCCCTGACCAGGTGCAACCTCGTGTGTTCAACACGGAAATTGCACCAAATTTGAAGGACGACGCTGCAATCGTCGTCGCCAGTGGCTACAACGTCTTCTTCAAGCTGCTGAACTTCAAGCCCTCGCAGGATGTCGTCATGGTCGCCCCTCGGTATGACCACAATATGAATGGGCTGGCTAGTACTATGCTCATGAATACTTGTAGAATGATTGGCTCCTCGGTCCGAAGTCTGTTCGTCAAGGGCAAGGGATTCCCCTGCTTCGTCTCCACAGAACAGGACGGAACCGGAAAAGCACTCGAGATTGCCCTCGCGCTGTCTCGCGTGATTGGTGCGACGAAGGCTGGCGCCATCGCCTCGTCAGCTCGCGAGGAGACTGCCATGGACCTGTTCGCAGAGCAGGCACTGTGGCCGAACATTATTATGCTCTTCAGGTGGGCAGTCACATTCATGGTCACTCGCACAAACGCTCAAGGGATTCAACGCAGGGAAGCATTCAGCGTCCTAAAGGAGGCTGGCTGCTCGGACGAAGCTCTTTGCTACGAGATGTAAGCAGGGAAATTCGACGCTCATCAAGCTTGCTTACTGATATTCCTCTCGACGCAAAGGTGGATGTCCAAGGAGCCAGCGGAAATCTTTGAGCGCGCTGCCGAGGACGGCTTCATCCAACAGGTTTGATAGTAATCCACCTTCCACCCGTATTCGACATGCTCAGGTATGCTGTGCAGCTCAAGCATCACTCCACGGTTTCGCAATACGGCCAGTTGAACGGTGCACTCGCTCTTGATGGTACTGCCGCCCGGGAACACTTCAAGAACATCCTTTACAACCAGGTCCTGAACGGCAAGTTCCAGAAGGAGTTCAGTAAAATCGAGGACGACCTGGAGAAGGAGGGCGACGAAAACCCACTTAACATCTTGTACAAGAAATCTGAGGCGTCCGAGCTGGGTCAAGCAGAGAAGAGGGTTCGCGCGCGGTTGGCCGGCCTTCTTTAGAGGGTCGCATACTTGTCGGAGATATCAATTAGAACATCGCATACCAACATGTTGGATACCTTGTACTCTGTACCATAGACGCCTAAATGAGGACATCCAGGAAACTAATGCGTGGGAACATATCTATTTTGGGGATAAGTCAGGCAGCGACTGGGGAGGAGTCTGTCCGGACTGTCGCGAACCACTGGCCGAGTCGTCATTTGCGCATGAGCTCGTTGCTCCTGCCATCCAGCACGAAAGCTCTTGCTTCCTCTACCATGTCCTCCCCGAACGGTAAGGTGGAGAGAATGGATGTTGATAGGCCTAGGTCTCTGGACAGGCGATCCAAGGCGTACGTGGTTTCATTGTTTTTGCTGTTCCATACTGGACTTTTTCCACAGATCTCGAGACCACTCCACCGAAACACACCGAACCCGGCGTTCTCATCGCTCCCGCTCGCGAGACAGAGACAGGGAAAGGCGTCATCGTGACCGCGACGACTACGACGATCGCCGCAGGAGGAGCCGCAGCAGAGACAGAAGAGATAGGTCTCGCGAGAAGTCCCACCGCGATAAGGACCACGAACGCGACCGTGAGCGCGACAAGGACAGGGAGCGACGAAGGGACCGTGACGGTGAGCGCCGTCGTAGTGAAAGAGATAGGGCGGAGAGTCGACATAGCCATCGAGACCGTGAGAGGGACAGGGACAGGGATCGCGACCGTGAGCGTGACAAGGACGACCGGGACCACAGGGATCGCCGCAGAAAGCGTGGCGACGACTTGGAGGAGGGCCGTGACAGCTACATTGCTGATGAGAGGGCCAAGAGAAAGCGGTCCGATGAAGGTGGCGAGGAGTCCTCTCTTCCCGCTCCTCCACCGTCCGCTGGACTACCCCCGCCTCCTCCGCCTTTGGCAGACAGTCCGCGTCGTGGAACTCGTTCCCGTGAGCCGGATCGCAGGTACGGTGACAGGTTGCCTAGGCGTTCTCGGGACCCTAGAGATGACTTCGACGAGCCTCTTCCGCCTCGTCCAGAGAGGGAGCGCAGCCGTCCTGTGAGCCCTCCGCGCAAGTACGTGTCCCCCGCTTTCTGCCAGACATTCAACACAAACGTGAACTCCCATAACAGACGCCCATCTCCTTCGTACGAGCCACCTCAAGACGACCCCATGAATGACGAGCCCAGCCCAGACGACTCTGAGGCTCGATCCGTCTTTGTGTCTCAGCTCGCAGCCCGTCTCACAGCCCGTGACCTGGGTTATTTTTTCGAGGACAAGCTGGGCGAAAACACTGTCATGGATTCCAGGATTGTCACAGACAGGATCTCTCGTCGCTCCAAGGGGTCAGTTCGTATCTGAGTTCCTGGGATCACGACTAACGTGCACCTCACTAGCATTGGTTATGTGGAATTCCGCTCCGTTGAACTCGTTGACAAGGCTATCGCGCTGAGTGGAACTGTAGTGATGGGTCTACCTATCCAGATTCAGCACACAGAAGCCGAGAGGAACAGGCTTCATCCTGGCGACGGGTGAATGTTACTTAGCTACTATCACCTGGATATATGCTGACATCTCGCAGCAATCTCAACCTTCCGCCGGGTGTCAGCGCTCCCCATGGCGGCATGCAGTAAGTCATACGCTATATCTTCATACTGGTCATTACTCATGTATGACTTAGACTCTACGTCGGCTCGCTCCATTTCAACCTTTCAGAATCCGACATCAAACAAGTGTTTGAGCCATTTGGTGAACTTGAGTTTGTCGATCTTCATCGTGATCCGGTGACTGGGCGCAGCAAAGGTTATGCATTCGTACAGTGAGTGTCATATATCGCAACTTCCCTTCATTCCCGGCTGATGTCATGCCCCAGGTACAAGCGCGCGGAAGACGCGAAGATGGCTCTCGAGCAGATGGATGGCTTTGAATTGGCTGGACGAACTGTAGGCGCGACCTAGGCATATGATATTCTCAGATGCTAATTGTGCGACAGCTCCGCGTCAATACTGTCCACGAAAAGGGCTCTGCGAGATACACTCAGCAAGATTCCCTCGACGAAGCTGGCGGTGCGTCTTATTAGACTGGTGCAAGAAAGGCTTTTATTGAACACCTTACTAGGTGGTAACCTGAACGCAGCTTCACGTCAAGCGCTGATGCAGAAACTTGCCAGAATCGATCCCACCCCTGCCAAAATGGAGCCTATGTAAGTACTTTTCGCCACCGGTCTACCACATCGTCTCAAATGGTTTCTAGCGCTCGGCCCAACATTCCTCAGACCATGCAGTCGAGGTCCGTCCTCATGAAGAACATGTTCAACCCCGAGGAGTACGTACCATGGTAGTGGTGTTGAGTCCTGTGCACTGATGTCCGTGCAGAGAAACCGAACGTGACTGGGACAAGGACCTCGCTGAAGACGTCAAGGGCGAGTGCGAGTCGAAGTATGGGCGTGTGCTCGCCATCAAGGTTGAGAAAGAGTCACAGGTTCGTTCAAACGCACCCTTTTTCATTCCGTACCAAGCTGATCTTGTTCAGGGCGAGATTTACGTCAAGTTCGAGACCGTTGATGCTGCTAAAAACGCCATTGAAGGTTTGAACGGTCGTTGGTTTGGTGGGCGACAGATCACCGCTGCTTTTATCTCCGATGCCATCATGCAAGCTCACCAGTGAACGCTCACTGATTGGGTTCGCTTCTGAAATGCAGCCGTTCAGGTGTCGCGCCAGCGAATAATCGAAGCAAAAACCGTTGTATTCTCATGTCATCGAACGTTTGTGGTGTCGTTTCTCAAAGCTATATCTTGTTACGCAGATTCGAATACCGTCGTCTTGCTAGGCTAGGGTTCAGACGACTTTGCTGTCGTCCTATTGTCACCATATAGGCAGGTTATTACTGACGTCTGGAGCGTCGTGTCGCTACCGTCTCTCAATTATCTCTTCTGCAATAGATATGGCTTGACTGCCGTGCCTCGGGGACCGTTGTAACGGTATGATCAGACTTCTGACTTTTGAGTTGAGTAGGTCCAATCGACTTTGCATCGCCACGACAAGGGATGCCCTGCCAAGACGTAGACCATTTGGAGGTCTCAGGTGATATCTCCGCTTATGCTTGATGCGTCGAATGTTTTGCCTGAGTGCTTGTGCAGAATGTCCGACCGGCCCGCAACAGCGTTACCACCTAGTGCAGTGCTTATGCTCTATAGCAGACGCGCCAACGGGGACAGCTATGTCCCTGAGTCCATTCAAGGGTTCTCGCGGCATCCGACCTGCAGGGGTATATGGGAGCTGTCCCTGAAACTCTTTCTTACAATGCTATGTTATCCCGCTCCTTGTAATCATTACTGCACGCGTTCCATCAGTGGACCCAACACTACATTCGATAACATTCTCTGCGTATATGCTTCTTCCTATCCTACTCATTAACGATTTGTACTGAAACCTCACTGCCACTCAGGGACGCCTATGAGGTATAGAGTGCCTTGCGCAAAGCGTTGGCGGCATCAGAAACGAGCTCCCTACCTATCTCAAGGGCGCTAATTACGGACTGCTCAGCAAACGATCCAAGGGGTGTGAACGCGCAATTGCTTACCCGTCCATAGCCATGATCGGGTGGGGAGCACCCTTGTACACCTTGACCTCCGCTGGGATACCCGCCTTTGTGAGCTTCTCGCCGTAGGCGATACCTTCGTCACGGAGGATATCGAGCTCGGCGACGCCAATCCAGGCGGGAGGAGACTTCTTAAAGAGCTCCTCGGGCGCGAAGATAGGCGAGTTGTCCCACTTGGTATGGTCCTCCGGGTTGGGCGTGTAATTGTCCCGGAACCAGAGCATCCTACCTGGGACAAGTGCTACGGTCCGCTCGTTCTCCTTCCAGGACGGGTAGCGGTCGTCGTCCACCTGCGCGGTGTTGTCCACGACGGGGACGACGAGCAGCTGGAAGACGACGGGAATGCCGAGCTCAGCTGCCTTGTGCGTAGCAATGGCAGCGAGGTTTCCGCCGCTGTTGCGTGCGAATGTACGTCAGCGATGACAGTGATCGGACGGACGGGGCGCGTTTGCTATTTGGGTGGACAGGAGGATCAGCTGACCTGGAGGATCCGCCCACTGCGATGCGCGAAGGGTTGACACCCAGCAGCTCTTTGCCCTTGTTGTACACCCATTGGAGGGATTCGACTGTGTCTTCGACGGCGGCGGGGTAGGGGTTCTCAGGGCCTAGGCGATAGTCGACGGATACGACGACGGTGTTCGCACCTGGGTGAGATGGGCGGGAGAAGCGCGTTAACCTGCTAATAGCGCGAGCCTGCGAGGGACGATCGCTGCTCACGCTTGCACATGTTGCTCGAGAACGAGTTCTCTGTGTCGATGCGTCCCAGTGTCCATCCCCCTATAGAAGCACGGGAAGCGGTACGTAAGATGTAGTTTCAGAGTTTAGGGACAGTGCGTAAGTAACATATAAAGATTGGCTATCTCTGGAGACGCGCGAAACGCACCTCCGTGGAAGAAGATAAAGACAGGCCAGCCTCCCTCCGGCGCGTCGCCTTCTGGCGTGAAGACGCGCACGGAGAACTTGCTGAGGGCGTAGTCCTGGACATTGCCCACGGGGAGGGGCTCGGATCCGCCTTGGACGGCAGGTGCAGCGCGGACGGCGGGGTCCCAAGGGAGGTCGTGGAGGAATGGCGTGTGCTGGATGTGCTGCCTGTGGAAGTCGGCGTACTCCTTGAGCAGCCTCGCCTCTGTTTGGGGGTGAATGGGCTGGAGGACGGGGCGTTCGGAGGCCATTTGGGCGATGTAGCAGGCTGTTAGCAATCTAGCAGCTCTAGGCTGTGAACACGGCCAGGCACACCCTATATACCAACTTTTATAGAAGAACAGCCGCGAGACGGGCCGTTATCTGCGCTGGGCATGTGCTTGGAAGAGTATGACTCGAGAGGGCGATTGGTACCGGCGCTGTTGCAGGCAGCAGCCTCGTATACTATCTGCGACGGTCTCTGGCGGCAGGCGGACCGCGTCAAGGTACGGCGGGCGCCAGATGAGGCTCAATATATATCCGATATCGGATGTGTATAGATCTAAGCGAGTGCGCTCCGAGGGAATCCCTCCTCCGCTGTCTTTCTGCCACAGGCCTCTGCGCCAGCCACATAACATCTCTCGACTCCACCTCCCACAGCACACGCCCGACTCACCCTCCTTCCACGACACCCTCTCCCACCATGGGCGCAGAGGAGCATCCCCAGTCCAACCCGCTCGTCCCGAAGCAATCTCGGACCCCGTACCATATCAGCGGCAAGCCCGAGAAGCAGGATCTCGTCGACGAGTACAAGGGCCAGAACCTCGATGTGCTCAGGACGCCTGCACTCGTCATCGACCGCGCCGTCTTCGCGCGCAACTGCGCCAAGATGCACCAGCTCGCACAGAACCTTGGCGCCAGGTTCCGCGCGCACGTCAAGTCTCACAAGGTCTGTCCTCCGAGCGTATGTCTCTCGCCATGGCTAACCGCGCAACGTAGACTCCGGAGGGAACCAGGCTCCAGCTCCTCTCTACTGTAGACGAAACCCACTCCATCGTTGTGTCAACCGTCATGGAGGTCTGTGAGGTCTTCCGCGCCGGACTTATGGCCGACGGAACGGTCAAAGATGTAGGTTTCCTCGCTCTACATACCCGTCACGTGATGGCACTCGATCCCCACACACCATACAGGTCCTCTACGGGCTGCCTATGGCGCCAAATAAGATCGCAGATCTATCTGCCCTAACCGACGAACTGTCCGCAGTGGGCGCGTCTATGCGCATCCTCCTCGATCACCCTGACCAAGTCAAGGGCATCGAGGACTGGGAGGCCACCAAGACAAATCACAGGGAATGGTCTGTGTTCATCAAAGTTGATAGCGGCAACCAGTATGTGTCCGAATTGTCTTTCTCAAAGTGTGCACCCGACAAATCGCCAAGCAGGCGAGCAGGACTCAAGCCCGGTACCCCAGCCTTCACGACACTGCTTGAGGCCGCCCTTGCTTCCCCCTCTATCTCCGTTTACGGCTTCTATACCCATGCGGGAAACTCGTACGCGTCGACATCCTTTGAAGAAGCGACGAACTATCTCTTGTCGGAGGTAACCGCCGTCAATACCGCGGCAGCTGTCGCGCTCAAGCTCATCGCCGCGAAACCTCACCTCTCGCAACCTAGGGAACCTTATGTTCTCTCGGTAGGCGCCACACCAACGGCTCATGCTGCGACGGAAGAGCTCCGAGCCAAACTTGAGGCGACTCTGAACGGTGTGCTTGAACTCCATGCAGGTGAGCTGGTTGAAATACGCGACTACTTACTGGCGTACTCAAGGACAAGTCAGGCAACTACCCCCTCAACGACCTCCAGCAACTGAACACCGGCCTGATCAGCCCGCGTGATATCGCCTCGCGTGTGCTCGCGACCGTCATCTCGTATTACCCTGGTCGCGGTGAGGACGGGTCAGACGAGGCGATGTGCGACGCAGGTGCGATTGCCATGAGCAAAGACACCGGTCCGCGACCCGGGTACGGCGACATCATCGGCAAGCCCTGGAGGATGGGTCGGTGCTCGCAGGAGCACGGGATCCTCGCACAGATGCCGCCGGAGCAGTTCGCTCTCGGGCCCATACAGGGCGACGGCAGCCTGAAGCTCGGCGACATGGTGCAGATTGTCGGACAGCACGCGTGTTTGATCCTCGCTGGCTACCCGTGGTACTACGTCGTGGATTCCGGTGTGGGCGACGGTAACACCGTCGTCGACGTGTGGGTGCCGTGGAAGGGCTGGTGACTGTCGCGGCGCGTACGCTAGACGCGCCTGCGTGCCATCTTGGGGGCTAGTATGCGAGATCTGAGAGGCAGAACGTATCAATACTTACTCTGTACTTGTAAAATGCGTATGAAACTCGAGCCTGGCGCTAGCTGTGTATACGCTCTCTGAAATGCTTTCGTCTGAGTCCGAGGAGATGACGACACGGGGACTAAGTAACTGACGATGTTCTTATGTACTCACTCCGCGATGGAAGCGCACAGACGCCCGAGATTGCCTGATTGCCACGTGCGGTTGCGCGTTAGGCCTCGGAGCCACAGTCGTCGACCTCTGCGGCAGTGGCCGGCTCCCTTCTGCGGCACTGAGCTCATCATCCTCGCCCCCGACCACGACCAAGCTGCCATGGCGTACGCAGACTACGACGCCGATGCTACAGAACTACTTGAGACCTACGGTGCGTGGCGTATACTGTCTCCCAACACTCCCTCGGTTGACAATCGGTACTGCAGATTTCCTCATGAAGTTCATCATAATTGGTGCGCATAGCGCGTGCGCTGCAGCGGGCGCGAGCTGACGATGTTGTTATCGCGGCAGGGGAAGCTGGAACGGGCAAGACGTGTTTGCTCCACCAGTTCACGCACAATTCATGTGAGGAGCACTTCCTTCGGAGCTCGTTTGCCTTCTTTATCTCATCCAGAGGGCAGTCAAGGAGCACTCTCAGCACACGATCGGGGTCGAGTTTTCCAGTCGGACAGTCAAGCTAGGGGAGAAGCGGATAAAGCTGCAGGTGAGCTGCTCTGCGTTTGGATGCGTCGTGTTGGTTTAATCCACTTGTACCCTGGTAGCTGTGGGATACGGCGGGACAGGAGAGATTTCGGTGAGTGTGCCATAATCCAAGGATATCTTGACGTCAAGACCGATATCTTCTTTCGCCACTCAGTTCCGTGACGCGAAGTTACTACCGAGGGGCCGCAGGGGCTATTCTTGTGTACGACATCACCAGGTTCGCTAGCATGTCGATTCTGCGCCGCCGTAAGTATGCACCCACGCTGAGACACTTGCCTTCTAGTCGCGCCTCTTTCTCGAAGCTTTCTCGGTGGCTTGAAGACGCCCGCGCATTGGGAAGCCCGCACCTGGTCACGGTCCTCGTCGGGAATAAGTCGGATAGAGAGGAAGAGCGAGAGGTGGAGTGGGCAGAAGCGAGTCGATGGGCAGCAGAGCACGGTGAGCTCGCTATAGGATCATCCGCCGTAGTAGCGACCATCGCTCACCTTACATCAGATGTGCACTTCTTGGAGGCGTCTTCGCTGAGCGGCGATAACGTAGAGGCGCCCTTTCTGCTCTGTGCGAGGTCGATATTGCTCGCGATCGAGGCGGGCACCCTCGATCCCGAGAAGGCAGGCAGCGGTGTCAGCTACGGCGACCGTGCGTTGCGGAGGGTCAACAGCTCAAGTCGGCTGAGCTTTGGGAGCCTGAGCGGGTCCCGGCGGAAGAGCACTACAGTAAGGCTCAAGATCCCCGGGACCGGCGTACGATGTTGTTAGGCATCATCGCGCAGTCGGGCACTTCTCCTCTTGGTTCTCTCGCACGTAAGTCTCCACCGCTCGTTCCTTATTCCGAATGTTCTCAGGATAATTGACTCATATTGACGTTTGATGATAGTCGGAGCGGATTGCGCTTCATCGGACACATTTGCGCAGCGGTCTGCGCCGATCATTCTCTCGCTTCTTCCGGCCGTCGTATTTGTTCGCAGCATACCCTTCCCATCGCCTATACCTCTCTCATCGGTACTCTCACTCCGCATGCGAGTGTCGCCCCACGCTTGTCTGTTTGACCGAACGGAAGTAGACACGCCGTACAGCTACACGCTAGTTACGCTTCACGTCAGGAATATCTTGTAGTAGTCGTGTTTAATCTTCTGGCAGCTCATGTATCGGATCATCTGTACTTTTACCTCACGCCATTGGTAGTAGATATGATCTATTCGTGGACGATTAGGCATGTTTCGACCACTGGATTCCAGCGGACTACTCAGTGGAGCAGACCGTGTGACTAGGTCGGGCGCGTATTCGTTACATCCTCGCGTTTCTTCTCCCCACATGCTGCAAACCTCCTTTGATCGCAGCTCACGAGGTGCAAGCCCGCCTGATACACCGCGTTCATCATATGTAGCGGCTCATCACCGCAAACAAGCTTCTTTTCGTAAGTGCTCGACCCCACGTGCACGCAGTCACTTGAACGCTAACACGCTTCTCTGCCGTGTACCATACGCGACCTTGCATAGGCGTAGAGCTACGCGGACACTATCACCACCAGACGTGTCTCCGCCCATTTTGGGCAGTCCTTCGAGTTATTCGCACCGGCCTCTTGGGCATCCTTCTCGCTCTTCTGGGAAGAGTCCCATGGCAATCCACTGCGTGCAACCGCGATAGGCCTCTTTCGGTGGCGTGCGCGCGTCGTGGCAATGAGTCTGCTGACGGAAGGGGCATAGGTGAGAAGCCGACCGAAGGCCGCCTCGGATTGCGCCTCCCGCACTACAGTCGAGATTTCCCCGATCCCACCGTATGGCATGCAAAGCCATAGTCTTCCCGACGCCGGGCGGTTGCGCTCGGAAATATAAGCACTACGGTGTGGATGGCCAAGACCTCCCGTGCGCGACTGAACTGCTGCACCTCTGCCACGCCAGTCCCCAGGCCAAGGCCCCGTCTGCGGTCAAACCAAAAGCGCCCGCCCTGGACCTGGAAGGCAAAGCAGCGTCCGTGGGACTGTAAAATAAGGCTGACGCGGTAGTATGACTAGCTCTGTCGGTGAGTATCATCAATCATGTATTGCGTGCCTTCGCTTCCCTTGTCGTTGGCCTACATAGTCACTAGCGTCCGCCATCGGACGTCGGGCATGGACTGCGCGACGGCATTCGTCGTCGGTGACTGTGCATATCAACGGTTTCACGTTATGCCGGAGTTTACACGGGGCGCTCGCAGCTACAGAGGGCGTAGAATGCGGACGTGGCGCTATCTGTCGCTTCGAGTGCTCCTCGACCCCTCTTACAACCGCTATCCGGCGCGGCGATTGTAGCGACACGTCTACGTGACGCGAGGTTCCTGGCGTTCATCGCGCTCTTCCCCTTCCATACTATATGGGTAGGAGGACTTCGATGGTGGACCTGGGTACAGTCACCCGACTTGTCAGCGGGGATATTTACGTTAGAGGACCTGCGTAGCCCTGCCATTCTCCCCCTCGCTTTGCTCGTCTTTCGTTTGTGCTCGGCTTTCAGTGCTTTCCACCTGGTGCCTTGCGAGCCTCCGCGTGAGGACAGTGTCGGTTAGCGCCCGACGTGCCCTTTAGGTAGCAATCTCTCCGAAGTTTGAAGCGCTTTGCTGATTCGGACGGCAGGTGTACGTTCGTCGACGCTGCTGCTGTCGACCTCCGCCGGTGCTAGCTTGCCGTTGTCGTCGTCCGACAGCGTCAGTCTGTCACTGCCTTCGATTGGTGGCGCGAGCAACTCGTCGGTGGCATCGTCCACTGCAATTACGAGTGTCTCCTCAATCAGCTCATCGGTGGCCTTGTCTACTAGAGTTACCACTGCCGCCCCAGTCAGCTCATCGGCGCCTTCGTCTATCGTTTCTACAACTGCTGCCACACTCAGCTCTATATCTCCGGCGGTCCCTGTTGCTCCAGTTACCCCCAGCTCGGCCGCGTCGGGGAGTTCGTCGTTCGCGTCTTCCATCCCCGTCTCTTCATCAGCGTCGAGCGGGACTGTTCGCTTGACCTCTCCTGTCGGTTCGTCTACGTCGATCTCATCGCCTGACCCAAGTCTCTCGTCCGTAGAGAGTTTGAGGCCTTCTGTCACGTCGGCGTCTGGCTCTACCGTTCATTCCCCTGTCCATTCCGAATCATCCACCGTCAAGCTGAGGTACTTTCGCGACCAGCCTTTCCGAGGCGTATCTATGCTAATGTATATCTCATGTAGCGCTAGCAGCTTCGTGATGGCTGGGCAATCCGTCAGCAAAGGGGCTACACCCACCGGCACTTCTGCGACGGTGTCTGCTTCGCAAGGCTCTACAGCTGACGCGACCACGAAAGCATCGGCCACCGCCTCCCCTGACACCTCTTCATCGCAGGCAGCCCATACAAGCCAGGATCCTGCTCCACCAGTTTCTCCTGCATCAGCAACTTCTTCAGCCGCAACGCCCAGTAGCTCAGCAGTCAACTCCGCGACGGCATCCCCGTCGCAGACTTCCACGGAAAAGGCAGCGACGACCACCGCAGGAGGCGATGCCACCCGAACCAGTGGCAGCGGCTCAGGGACCCAAATCGCCATTCCGAGCCAAACAACCAATAGCGAGACTGACGCGCTGACCACTTCGGTGCAAGGGGTTAGTTCGACTTCCTCTCCTTCGTCTACTTCCCAGGGCGATACCCAGCCCTCCCCTGGTATACCCATACCCCTCCCTCTCCCTTCTAATTCAGCTACTCCTTCGCGGACGATACCATTGTCTTCTGCATCCTCTGTGATATCTCCTGTTGCCCTTCCTTCGTCTACCGCGGCGCTCCCCTTCGATTCCACGCGGAACTTGGAGATTCCAGCACCCTCTAGTTTCACAGTACCATCGTCGTCTCAACCCGTTCTGACGTCGCTTATCCAGGGTACTGCGGTCATGGGGGCGTCTGGGACACCTACGTCCGCGACCGTAGAACAGTCGTCCTCTGCTCCTTCTGCTACTTCTGCTACTTCTCTATCGAATGTAAACAGTTCTAAAGGCACATCTGGCGTTGCACAGGCACCGAAGCAACAGGCACCAAACCAGAATCCCGCCGAGACCACCAGCACGATCACCGACAAACCGGAGACCACGTTGTCTACCCCCGTGTTTCTCACCGTGACCAATGCGCACAATCAGACGACGCTTTCCGAACCTCCTGTGTTCACGAGCGTCGGCGTCACGACGTCGAACGGACAGGTCGTCAGCATCACTCATGTCATCGCCAACCCGACTGGCATTTGGGGCGTCAATGCAGCAGAGTCATCGCATGGGTACGGCCATCCTAGTCCTACATTGTACATTCTGAAGGTGACCATTTTCGTGCAGATTCTTTTCGAACAGCGGGGCTGTCGCAGGCGTTTTCCTCGTCGTCGGAATTGTCATTGCAGCGCTCGGCGTAGGAATATGTCTTTTCATCCGTAGACGCAGACGTCGCAACCCTCGTTTCATCGAGTCAATTTCGCGCCCCCTGCCCATGCCTGACAACCCGTTCGAGGACCCGCGCTCGCTTTCCCCAGCGCCACAGATGCGCTACGCCTCAGGCTACACGGATCGGACACTCGTCATTGGAGGCGCTGGTACCCCCACTCCTACCCCTGCGCGCAGTCCGTTTAGTAGTGACGTGGACCACGGATCATTGACCAGTTCACAAACGCACACCAGTGGTGAGCCACTCAGCGGACTCGGTCTTGCAGGCATTGGCGCTGGAGGGGGGCGGAGGTACAGCAGCGGCACTCAGTCGTCCTCCGGCTCGCGATCTCGTCGGTCCAGTCAGCAGGGTTCAATTGGCCTTGCGATTACTTCTGATCATGCTAGGGATGCGTCTCGCTCGGCACGGCGTGAGACATCGTCTGCTCAGTCCTCGCCCTCCATCTACCCGCCTAGTCTTCCGGCGCTTCCTGGGGAAGAGAACCGTAGCATGGTCAACGTCCCACTCAGCAACAACAACAGCACCGCGCACTTATCGACCACCAGCACAAACCGCATTTCCTCCCCCACCACGCGCAAACCTGTCCCCCTGCACGACTTGCCAGAGCCCATTGCGCCTAAGCCGCTTTCGCCTATGCAACGGGAAGCTCAGCAGACGAAGCCCCCTGTGATTCCTCCTCGCAGTCCGCTTCGGCGCAACAGCACAGCGAACTCACGCTCTCTTTCGCGTTCTCCTCCACCTCCCGCTCTCGCGAGCATCCAAACGCAGCTCAAGACCCCCGACCTGGGCAACCCATACGAGCCGCTTACGCCCCCGATATCTTTCGCGTCCCTGTCTCCGCCTGGTTCGAGCTCAGGTCACGAGCCGCCTACTCCGAACACGCCCGCTGGGGTCAATGCTGCCGCGAACCCTTTCAGTGACATCCACGCCCAGCAACCCACACAGGTGGATATTGTCACCGCGTTCCCGATGGTCAGGAGTGGGAAGCGAGAGACGTTCTACACGCGGACTGGTGGATCACAGGTAGATTCCCACACCTTATACTCACAACCAAGCGAAGATGCTCACACGCTTCTTCACAGCGTCGCCCCAGCGTCGAATGGCGACACCGCGATTGAGAGACCTTTAGACATGTGTTAGGCTGGTCTCACCTACCTAATGACTTACGTTGATGGGCGAGGGACTGCTTCGCACACTCGAGGCCGGCTCCTCTTGCCATGTATTCCTACGCGTAGCCTCTGCACAATCATCTCATCCCTAGATGCTACGGCAGGTTTACCCCATGTATGCATCCATTCGTATAGGTCACGAAGAGCTTCCATTACAAAGCTCGCCTTCCACGACACCATTCACAACGTCACTCGTCTGTACCACTGTGCATGCAATGTATGTATCATTCTGAATGAAGCACTGTATATTATACACTAAATTGACTTGTTCTGACTTCTTGCTTCCCGATCGTATGCGCGTCTCGGATATATGTCGCCCATTCAAGAAGCGGCCTTGATGATCCTCTCTGAACTTGTGACAAAGCCGTAGCTCTGTCAAGGGAGTCAGCGGGAATTGGCCGACGCATGATCAATCGGACGACGCACGCCTCCAGCATTGTACAATACGCTTTCCAGGGCCCCTGCAGGGGAAGTTGTTGCAATGCAATCTTCCACTGTGATACAGTCGTAGCCACGGAAGTAAGCGTCGACAAGGGTCCCAAGGACGCACTGGAACCACGTCAGTCATGAAACATCGGGCTGCGGCAAGAGACGCAAACCTGATCGGCGTTGACGCCGGCGAAGAACAGGGTGCTTATTCCATGCTCTTGAAGGTAAAGATCTAGCGCGGTCTGTCCGCCCCAGATGCCGCTCATCCTGCGCGGGCGAAGCTCCGTTAGCACATCGACCATTTCTGCAGTCGAAGCTATCGCAAGATAAATGCTCGGAAGCCAGGTGCTTCGTACGGCAACGTCCACGCGCAGCGCGGGCAGATACGCCCGGACATACCTATTCTTGTGAATCCAGACGTCCGTGCCTTCCTGCCGGCCTTCTTCGTATAGGCCTTGGAGGGGCCCATACAGCTCAGAATTGTACTCTCCGCGCATGAGCAGCCTGCCGAAGGGGCCTGGCAGCTGCGACCCGAAGCCGCCCCGTCCACTCTTCATGAATCCCCGGACGAGCGAGGGAGGGATGGTGGTCAGTTCGTGGTCAGTCAGTCCCCAGTTCCTGTACGCAACACGAAAGTCGACAAGTCAGTCGCGCCAACATACAATTTAACTTAGTCCACTCACACCCAGAGTATCTTGACATCATGTGCACGCAACGCCGGCACAAGGTTCATGAGCGGGACGACGCAGTCCAACCCCGTCAGATGGTCGCGCAAGTCCGGGTGTAGAAAGAAGCTATGCCACAACACAAAAGGTACAAGGCGTCAGCATCGCGGTCGAAGAGCCGCGAGCGCGGCACGCGCCGGGCCAGCCCGCGCCACCAAGCTCACTTCTGCATGTCGATGATCACGATCGCGCTCTTCTCCTTCGCGATGCGGACGTGCCTATCCCCGTCGACGGGGATGTCGAGCTGCGCGTTTTTCAGCAGAGGGGGGACCGGCACTTCACTCGCCACCTGCTCCTGCGCCACGTCCCCGCTTGCGAGGTGGCCTTTCGGCAGGTGCGTCGTGCGGGTGACGTCTACGAGCCCGTTCGGGTACTCGACCCAGAACGACAGCGGGTTGCCGTACTCCGTCGCGACTGTGACCTTTGGGCGCTGAACCATGCCGAGGATAGGGGTGTCGAATTTCGGGAGTGCGTTACTGGTGCTAGTCGCGGCTTCGGTGGGGGTGGTTGCACTGGAGGCGGCAGAGTTGCCCATCGGCTGACGCAGCGGATAATGTCAAGGGATTGGATCGGACGAGAACGCGGGGGAATGTTGAAGCTTGGAAGACGCGATGCCACAGGCCGACGGAGAGCGGCGAAAGCCATTAGAAGGGTTGAGCGTGTGTGGCGGCGACAGGGCACAGCGTGGATAGGTGCGATAAGGTGGGAGTGGGACGGCATCCGCAGCATAGACCGGACCGCACTGAGATGTCAAGTACAAAGTTCGTGCTCACCTTGCGCCAGCCCGGGTCACGTTATCGCGTCTGCTACACACGTCGCGTCGACGCGACCTACCGCCCCAACGCGCCGAGCACGACGCAGGCTAAGACAAAACAGATAGTATAATCATGAGGTATCATCGCTACAACTATAGCCTGGTATACTGAAGAACACCCCATACCACACGAGTCAAACGGAGAGAGGGCACCAAATTTACCATGCGGAACATTTCACTCTGCCGTAGGGTCTACCTTCACAACCACCTTTCCAGTCGCCCTGCTGGTTTTGATCCGCTCGTACGCTTTGAGCGTATCCTCGAATGAGAAAACCGAATCGACCAATGGCTTCACTTTGCCTACACACATGTCAGCGACGCCTAGCGGGATAGCACTAGTCCGGCAGCTCACCCTCTTCAACCAGCTTAGCGAAGGCCACCAAGTACTCTTTCTTCACATCGAGAGCAATAAGCCTACAGAATTGTTCATTAGCGACGATCTTCAGTCGGTCGCGCCCGTCTCGACACGTACTTCCATGTCCGCTTTGTTCCACCTAACCAGGACGGTTGCAGGAACACCTTCCAGAAGAACTTGAGGTATCCGCCTTGCGGCCCGACGTCCAAGAACACGCCCCCGGGCGCGAGGTACTTCTCGCTCTCAACGAAGAGGGTGGGGTCGTTCATTCCTACCGCCTCCAAGAAAACGTGATACTTCGGGTTCGGGTCGGCCGCAATGAGCTGCTCGTGTAGCGGGGCCTTCGTGTAGTCGAAGAACTGGGCAGACGACGTTCCACATCAGCGCCGGATACAGCATGTGTAGGCTCCAAAGAGAATACCAACCTCGTCCGCGCCTAGGTCCCTCACGTATTGCTCATTCTTCCCCGACGCGCTGACCGCGACGCGTGCGCCCTTGGCCTTCGCGAGCTGGATCGCGAACGAGCCCACCGCGGTGCTGCCCCCGTTGATAAAGACCGACTGGCCCGCCTCGAGTTTGGCGATGTCGATCAGCCCCTGGTATGCGGTGAGGCCTGCGATGGAGAGACCCGCGGCCTGCGTGGGGGTAACGTTTTTCGGGCGGAGGATGGCTTGCTGTGCGGAGACGGCGGTGTACTGTGCGAGGGCCCCATAGCCGTTCTGGAACACAGACACTAGTGTCGTGTGCCGGGTGGTGGAGCGAGTTGAGGATCCACCAAACGCCAGGCGCGACGTGAGAGGCGTAGGGGAGAGAACGGACAAAGGTTTATGGAAGGGACAGTCATGAGGGTGCGGGGTTGAGTTACGAGAAAGATGCAAAGGAAGTGCGACGAACGGACGGGTGTGGCGCCGAATATCTCGCCGCCCTCCTTGAACTCGGTGCCGTTGGCGTCCACAACTACACCCGCGATTTCAAATTCGTGCGCCTTGGCACGGCGCGCGATGAAACCGGGGAGGAGTTTGAGGACCTTGTGACCACTGCACGTATGGTGGATATGAGTTCGGTCCGTATATGCGCCACAAGCACCCGCTTTGCGGTGATGAAGATACGTACACTGGGTTGAGAGCGGCCGCCTGGACCTTGACGAGGACATAGCCTTTCTTCAGCTTCGGCACCGGGACGTCCCCGAACTTGAGCACCTTGTCGATGTCGCCACTTCCGGTGACGCGCCACGACTTCTGCGTTGCCGGGATTGACTTGGAGGAAGCTTCCGTCGTGGGCGCGGCAGATGTAGCTTGTGCTTGGCCTGCGGACATTATGCGCTAGGTAGGATGGAGAGTGGTTTCTACAGAGGGAGCGCGGATGTGGATAAAAGAGCCTGATGGTTCGTAATGGGAGAAGGCTTGGACATGTTCGTACATGTCATATATACCGCAAGTTGCGCATGGAGTGCTGCGTGCGGCCACAGGATTGACCGAATTTGGGACGCGTATGCCATCGGCGGGGGTCGAGACTTAGTGAGCTGTGGCAGTGTAACAAGCCGACGCTATCCGTCATTTCTGAAGAACCGTGCGACATTGATTTGCGCTCACATCACGGTGGATCCATCGACTCGGATACCCGGTAAGGTCAGAACATGTGCTTAGGACCACATGAGGCTCGTTTACCTGCTCGTGTTGGACGGAGTATACAAACGCGATGCTTACATAGTACATAGGTCAGGGACGAGAATGGCAAACAAGTTTGGTACTAGTAGCAGACGTGGGCAATCAGAATGAATAAGAAGCAGCGACGGTATGCAAAAGCAGGGTCAGCTCATTGTCCAGAAGACGCGATAGGGGATGGAGAGAAGAGGGCCGAGCACTGTGTGGGATCGTTGATTAGGCCATTTGAACGGTACAACACGCTGTCGGAGCAACAGGACGGAGATATTACAGACAAGAACGACACCAGACGGACAGTCGATATAGAACGATCTCAAACACGGTACTCACAAGGTGAAGATCGGAGACATTTCTACTGCCCTTGTACAGCCTCTGGCCCGGCCTGCAGGAAACATGCATCCGCTCTGTACCAAAAGGGCAAAAGCTGGAATCTGCTAGAGGCATGTTGCGCTTCAACACACGCCGAACACGACGCAGGCTAGGACAACACAGACAGGACAACCATAAGGTATGAATAAAAGACAAAGCGATACGTATCACTCCGCCGTAGGGTCCACCTTCACAACCACCTTTCCAGTCGCCCTGCCAGTCTTGATCCGCTCGTATGCTTTGAGCGTATCCTCGAACGAGAAGACCGAATCCACCAACGGCTTCACTTTGCCTACACACATGTCAGCGATGTCTAGCGGGACAGCGTCAGTCTGGCAGCTCACCCTCCTCAACCAGCTTAGCGAAGGCCTCCAACTCGTTCTTCTTCGCATCGAGAGAGACAAGCCTACAAAAATATTCATCAGCGAGGCTCTTCAGTCGGTCGCGCCCGTCTCGACACGTACTTCCATGTCCGCTTTGTTCCACCTAACCAGGATGGCTGCAGGAACACCTTCCAGATAAAGCTCAGGCATCCGCCACCTTGTGGCCCGACGGATAGGAACACGCCTCCGGGGGCGAGATACTTCTCGCTCTCAACGAAGAGTGTGGGGTCAGCTGTCCCCACCGCCTCCAGGAAGACGTGATATTTCGGGTTTGGGTCTGCCGCGATGAGCTGTTCGTGTAGCGGGGCCTTCGTGTAGTCAAAGAACTAGGCAGATGACCTCCCGCGTCAGCGCCGGCTGAAGCATGTGCAAGCCCCAAAGCGTATACCGACCTCGTCCGCGCCTAGGTTCCTCACGTACTGCTCGTTCTTTCCCGACGCGCTGACCGCGACGCGTGCGCCCACGGCCTTCGCGAGCTGGATTGCGAACGAGCCCACCGCGGTGCTACCTCCGTTGATGAAGACCGACTGGCCCTCCTCCAGCTTGGCGAGGGTGAACAGCGACTGGTATGCGGTGAGGCCCGCGATGGGGAAGCCCGCGGCCTGCGTGGGGGTGACGTTCTTCGGGCGGATGACGGCGCGTTGGGCGGGGAGGACGGTGTACTGCGCGAGGGCCCCATAGCCATTCAGGAACACAGACACTGTTCACGTGCGCATGCAGGTGGAGGGCACCGGTGGCGGGGAGAGAACGAACGAAGGTTTGGGGAAGGAGCAGGGCCATGAGGGCGCGGGGTTGAGTTACGAGAAAGAAGCAAAGGAAGTGCGACGTACGGACGGGTATCACGCCAAATATCTCGTCGCCTTCCTTGAACTCGGTGCCGTTGGCGTCCACGACTACGCCTGCGAGATCAAACTCGTGCGCCTTGGAGCGACGCGCGACGAAACTGGGGACGAGTTTGAGGACCTTGTATCCACTAAAGTATGGGAATTATCAGTTCGGTCCGTATATGCGCCATAAGCCACCGATGGTCGACTCAAACGTACACTGGGTTGAGAGCGGCGGCTTGCACCTTGACGAGGATCTCGCCCTTCTTCTGCTTCGGCACCGGGACGTCCCCGAATTTGAGCACCTTGTCGGGATCGCCGCTTCCGGTGACGCTCCACGACTTCTGCGTTGTCGGGATTGACTTAGAGGAAGCCTCCGCCGCGGGCGCGGCTGTTGCAACTTGTGCCTGGTCTGCGGACATCATGCACTAGGGTGGAGCAGTTGGGATGGAGAGCGAGTCCTACAAGGGGAACGTGGATGTGGATAAAAGAGCCTGAGGTTCCGTCATGGGAGAGCTTGGGACATGTTCGCACAGACGCCATATATACCGCAAGTTGCGCACTGAATGTCGCGTGCGCGTGTTATCCCACAGACATATGACCGAGAACGGGACGCGTATGTGCACGACGGCCTCGAGCATGGGGCTAGTCAGTGGTCGGGAACTAGTGAGCCGTGGCAGCATACTGAGCCAATAATGGTGGGCAAAGTTGCGGGGGCGCTGTGCACGGCGGTTTCAACGGTGGCACGGTGACGCGCAAGGGTACGTAGCATTCAGCTGCGATGCTACGATGTGAGTAGCATCAGCTACATATAGGCACGCATACATCGTTAGTGTTCAAGTGACCATCCAGTCTTGACGAGAACCGCGTGAGATCAGACATGTACTTAGTACTATATGGATACACTCGTCTTGAGGCTCGTTGACCTGGTCATGTTGGACAATGCATTAAACACGAACAGTCAGGGGCAAGAGTGGGAACAAGCTCAGTACTAGAAGCAGGTGTGAGCGATCAGAATGAATAAGATGCAGCGATGGTTTGCAGAAGCACGGTGAACCTAATAGTACTGGAGACGCGATGGGGGGAAGAGCCGAGCACCGCCTCGCGTGGGGTCGCTGGTTACGCCAATTGAACGGTACAACACGCTTTCGAAGTAAGAGGGACAGGATAATCAGAACGGAGTAGAGGCAGCCAATGCGTATGTTCTTCCCTAAACATACCTTTGCAAACGCTCTGTCATTTGTGATCCTGCCGGTTCGCGTCGTAAGAGGTGACCGATACAGGAGTGGGTCTGCTAGCCTGTCCGTGAATGTGACGGCGAGGCAAAGCTGTAGCTCCGTGCTGGTGGTCCTACGAAAAGGTGACGGACCGGGAGAATCCAGACAAAAGCCACATCCGGCGAGCAGTCAAAATAGAATAGAACGATCTCAAATCCGGTAAGGCAAATCTACTGCCCTTGTACAGCCTCCGCCACGGTCAGCAGGAAACATGCATTCGTCCTGCAACAAATAAGCAAAAGCTGGAACGTGCAGCTGGAGGCGTGTTGCGCCTGAACGCGCCGAAGGCCAACACAGACAGCGTTAAGATGGGGTATAAGCAAAGACCAACCGATACATATCACTCCGCCGTAGGGTCCACCTTCACAACCACCTTTCCAGTCGCCCTGCCAGTCTTGATCCGTTCGTATGCTTTGAGCGTGTCCTCGAACGAGAAGACCGAATCGATCAACGGCTTCACTTTGCCTACACACATGTCAGCGATGTCTAGCGGGACAGCGTCAGTCTGGCAGCTCACCCTCCTCAACCAGCTTAGCGAAGGCCTCCAAATCCTTCTTCGTCGGAACGACGAAAATAAGCCTACAGAAACGTACATCAGCGACGGTCTTCAGCCGACCGTGCCCGCCTCGACGCGTACTTCCATGTCCGCTTCGTTCCGCCCAACCAAGACGGCTGCAGGAGCACCTTCCAGAGGAACTTGAGGTATCTGTCGCCTTTCGGCCCGACGGAGATGAACACGCCCCGGGCGCGAGGTACTTCTCACTCTCCACGAAGAGTGCGGGGTCGGCCGTGCCCACCGCCTCGAAGAAGGCGTGATACTTTGGGTTCGGGTTGGCCGCGATGAGCTGCTCGTGCAGCGGCGCCTTCGTGTAGTCGAAGAACTGAGGGCAAGGAACCGTCCTCATCAGAAATGATCGGCGCGCGGGAGCCCGCAGCAGACACTGACCTCGTCCGCGCCCAAATTCCTCACATACTCCTCGTTCTTCCCCGACGCACTGACCGCGACATGTGCGCCCTTGGCCTTCGCGAGCTGGATCGCAAATGAACCGACAGCGGTGCTGCCCCCGTTAATAAAGACCGACTGGCCCGCCTCGAGTCGGCGTTGACGAGGCTGTCGTGAAACAGGTCAGTCCCTTACATTCACGTCCACCTCGCGCAGCTACTCACAGATCAGGACAAAGCCGACGTACCGGGAGGCCATAATCTCGGTCGTCTTTGATTGTCCTCGACGATGCAGGGAGCGTTATGCGGCTCATCAAGAATGATTTCGACGGCGCACAACAGACGCGCCGATCAACCGCGTAGGGGCAATGACCAAAGTCTCAGCGTTTTCGGTTCTGCAAGGTCATGTAGCCTTCAGCTGCGATGTTACGCATCTCTAGTACGGATACGTATCATTCCTGGAGAATCACTCACTATCAGTCTGCTTCAACATAACGACCACGAGCTGGTTTGCCTAGAGGCTCGTTGACCTGCTCTTGCTGGACGGACGGTGTACCTGAATATGATGAGAAGAGAAGACCTGCTCATTACTAGCTATAGAAGGTGTGAGCGATGAGGATGAACAGGGTGCAGCGATGCATGTAACAGAAGGGCGAGACCATTGTCTAGCAGACGCGAAGGAGGAAGGAGAAATAGAAGGCCGAAGGGTAGCGCGTGGACTGGTTCGATACGCCATAGAACGGTTTCCGAACCGGATATTCAAGAACTGAGTACGGAAACAGGGTAGTCGATGAGCACATTGCCAATGCTCACGCTCTTTCAATCTGTACAATTGTGCGCCACAGCGGTTTCGCAGGACAAATGTGCCATTGTAGCAGTTGGTTGAAACAGGAGATCGTGAATGTGGCAGCGAGGCAAAGTTGAAGCTGTGCTGGCGGTTGTATGACAGAGTGACGGACCGAAGGGTCTAAAACGATCTCAAACGCGGTACAAGAGGCAATTCTGCCGCCGTTGTACAGCCTCCGGCCCGGGGAGCAGAAAACGTGAATTCTAAAAGGGAAAAAGGTGGAATGTGCTGGAGGCGTGGTGAGAGATGCCGGCGGCGGATAGCTGGAGCACGTCGAGCTCAGTGCTGGTTCAATCGTCTGATCGGACGCCTGCAGGCGGCCAGCCCGCGGAGATTTCTGGCCGAAGACGGTGGTCGAGCTTCCCTTCGGAGGAGAAAAGAGCTGGGATGCATTTGCGAGCGATGCGCCGCCGCAACGGCGACGATAGGGAGACGAGAAACGACGAGCAGACGGGGAAGAGAGAGCAGTCAGGCCCTGTGAGGGAATCCGCAGACGATAAGCGAGCGCAGGCGTGGGACACCAAATGACGCTTCGGCTAAATGTGTGTGTGTGGAACGAGACCGAGTGCAGCTGGCCGTGTCGTCGCCGGTACTAAGCAGGGCTCTTCCCAGTCCACGAATATATCGTCGTTGACTCCGAACCACGCCGTTCTTCTCCACCATGTCCGTCCGTCGCTCTTCTTAACCATGTCCCTACATAGGACTCCCGACAAGAGACAGGCGTCATTAGGTGAGCGCGTCTTCCTCCTCTCACCACTCCTCGCCCCGTCCCCGTCGCCCCCACCGTCGTCGAGCCGATCGTCCCTTTCATATCTCTACACCGCGCATCCCCGGCTGCACGGCTCATGCCTGGTCAGTCGTTTGCCCTCTCTCCTCCGACTGCGCGAGCTCACCTCCACCTTTAACCTCCCCATTACACAGTGCACTCCCCCGTGCGTCTTTCTCGATATCCTACCGTCGACTTTCCGGTAGCATACCGCTCCTTTGATGACGACCGTTCCATCTTCTCCCCCAACGACCGTTTCTTCTGTCGGCTCTGATTCTCTGAGTGGCACTGACACTGTTCTTGGTACGTCTGCCGCACCCGCACCCTCCTCAACCGATTCGCCCACCGCCCCCGCGTCCACCACCGCTTCATCCATGACCTCCGAAACAACCGGAAATACACCCACTGCTTCTCAATCTACCTCGCCCCTTACGACCGACTCCCTGCCCGCAACCTCGGCGTCTCAACAAACAACTGCGTCCTCACCGCAAATCGCCACTCCAGCATCTACCCAAAGTTCTTCGACTCTCCCGACTCCGACGTCTTCAGCCATAACTACTGAATCCGTTTCGGACGCTTCCGTCACGCCGACCTCACGCACCTCGACGACCACGCCTCCTCCAACATCAGAGTGAGTTCTCGACGATCCTTCACTGCGCTTGGATTCTTGTTAACTCCCACGTGTCTAGGGCATCTTCCACCTCCGCCATGCCGTCTACTTCGACGGATTCCACCCCGGGTGACGGCGCGTCGTCATCTTCGACGACTTCTACGTCTGCTTCACATACGACAACATCCACGTCCTCTACGTCTACTTCCTCTACATCTAGCTCGATATCTAGCTCCTCCTCGGCTTCTACCTCGACATCCACCTCGACGTCCACCTCGACATCCACCTCCACAAGTACCTCAACAACTTCCTTGTCGTCAACTACGCCGACCTCGGATACCTTTACGTCGACTACATCAACGTCCTCGCCTCCGCCGGATTCCTCCACTTCAGTATCCACGACGGTAGTAGACTCGGACACTACCACCACTGTATCCTCGCTCTCTACAGATAAGAACACAGTCACAGCAAGTGAGACCGCCTCAACTACTCTCACCTTTCCCAGCGAGGTTGTCACGTATGTCAAATATCCAAGCAGTGCTATACAACCCTGACGCTTCTGGCATCCCTCAGGACAACTCTGCAATCCACAGTATTCCTTACTACCACTAATAGCGCGGGGCAGACCGTAACCAGCGCTCCGCCGTTGGTGACTGAGACTCTGACGAGGACAAATAGTGATGGTTCTCCTAATGTTGTCACTATTGTCGCCGACAACCCTACGCCCATCTCTAACAACAGCAATGCGACCCAGACGTCACAGTAGGTGTTGGGCTATGCACATACCCGCGCGCTTGTTCTTTCTCGACGTACTTCCTCTGACGCCGTGTGTGATAGGTTCTTCCGTAACAAGGGCGCAGTCGCAGCGGTGTTCGTTATCGTCGGCCTCACTGCGGCATCGATAGCGCTGTTTATTTTCTTCTATGTACGGCGGCGGCGGCGGACCCAACGGCTCGAGCACGATGCGGCGGTCGCGTCGACGCTAGCAGCAGCAGGATACAACCGCCGACCTCTGGACGATGACGACGAAAAGCAGATGTCGCCGCACCGCTCCTCGGTGCCCTCGGCGACCACGCTGCCGAACTCGAGCTTCAGCTCTGCCCAGCAGCTCGCAATGGCCGCCGGTGGTCGCACCCCGCCCGCAGATGGCGGTGGTGCCACGACTCCTCCGACGCCTGGCGCTGGCCCCGAGTTTGACCCCTATGCTGCGGTCGGCACGGTGCATCCCCCGCCTGCGGCCTTCCCTAGCCAGGCGCGGAAGGATGGCTACGCGCCTGCTAGGACGTCGAGCCCGCCTCCGGGGGCGTGGGACCGCACCAGGAGGCAGACGCAGAGCACGAGCACGAGCGCCAGCTGGGGGCACGCGGCCAAGGGCAGTGTCGCGAGCACGGAGCCGCTCCTGGCTGGGTACTACAGTGGCGCTAACACGGAACCTTCTACGCCTGCGATGGGTGCGACGCTGAACCTCGCGGACGAAGGCGGCCGACGGGGGCGGGAGTCCGGCGCGTCGTCGAGCAGCCAGTACTCGGACGACGAGCCTGAGGTGGCCGAGATGAAGCCGAAGCTGGAGGTGCGTTGTCGGGCTTCGTTTTTGTGGCGCGTTGCGCAGTTTCATTTGGGGCTGACGTGCGCGCGATCGCCTCGCCTCGCCTTGCCTAGGTCCGCAACAACACGCCGAGCATGAGGATAGCCCCGTTATCAAGGCAGTCGTCTCGACGCACGGGGCGGCCGTGAGTGCTCCATGATCGCCATGCCGGGCTAAAAAGGTCCTCCGTACGTACTGCTATACGTGATATCTCATGACAATAACATTCTGCCCTTTGACATCGTCATCCATGACCCTCGCTTTGCTCGTGCTCTACCGCATCCCCGCATATACAGTCATTTTCATTCCCTGAATTCCATCGTCACTCACTCCATGTACCCGTACACGTTCCCAGTAGCTTATCTCATCACACGGACCCGTATGGTGTGCTTCCGGCACCTCCCCGTTCAGGACGCGCTGTTTACCGCTGTTGGTTCTGGCGATCTAGTTTGTATCACTTACCTACCTACCGCATAGCTTGGCTCCCATTCATCGTCATCGTATCATCACCGTCATCAGCTCTGTTCTACCATGATTTCATCTTCCACGCTCTTGTTCATGACCACCCCGGCCTTCGCGACTATCTGTCGCTCAGGTACGAGGTGCTATATAAAAGGACACATGCCCGGGTGCGACCATTTTCGAACTTTATTAGACACACACGTTGTAGAAGGACCCCACGGGTATGACACGCTCATGACGGACTAGCGTAAATGTTCCATTCCAATTCAGGTACAATTACAATAAGCGTCACTACGCATACAGCGCCATCACTGTATTACACTCGTACAGCTCTCCGTCGGCAGGTGCGTATATTCGTCGTCACCAGTCTAGAAGTTCTCCTGATTCAAGCCACCGCCGGTCTGTACAGATGCCGATGGTCAGCGCAAGCTGTCTAAAGCGTACATCAAGAGGGGATGACGCCTACCTTGCGAGCTTCGCCGCGTTGGACTAGTCCTGCGCTCCCGGACACCTTCCCGGCGAGCTTCTCGGTGTTACCTGACGCATCGAAGAACAACTCGTCAGCGCCTCGTGTTTACCGTCTATTTCAAGGAGCGGGACACGTACCGATGATCCGTTCACTAGCACTTGGCTTCGTCGCCTGAGCCTGCACGGACGAAGGGGGAACCGCAGCACCAGCGCCGCCGCTCCCGGACGTCCGCGCGTGCTGTCCGGGAACGTCGTGATCGAACTGCTGGTGCTGGTGCTGGTGGCCATGGCCAAACGGTCCACCGCCCGGGGTGTTGGTGATGCCAGCGCCGGTCGTCGAGGCGGGGTCACGGAGCTGTTGGCCCGACGCGCCGAGCTGGCCGCCGTGCCCGGGGGCGGCGGAGAGGCCCGTGGGCGGATACTGGTTGCTCGTCTGGCCGTACTGGTCTGAGTTCAGGTCGTCGCCCGGACGCATGCTTGTGGGCTGGAAGGCTTGGGCGCCTTGCGCGTTCTGTGCGTTCCAGTCGGCTGCGAGGGACGCGGTCAGGACGTGATACTATTACTATCGGATGACGGTGAGGTGAACGAATAGAGTGACGTACCGGGCATTTTGTTCGGCGGCTGGTTCTGCCAGGTTTGGTCGGCCTGCGAGTAGTTGTTGCTGGTGCCTTGGAAATCCTGCTGAGCGCGAGACATGTTGGATATGATATGTGGGTCGGTAAGAGTTTCGTGAGGTTTGTGCGTGTGTGGTTGTGAAGTGCTGGTTCTGGATTATGGAGACCTACCATTGGACCCCCTTCGATTATATAGCCGAATGAGCAAGAGCAAGGCGCCAGGGAGTCGAGTTGGATAGCTTGACCTCATAGTTGCCAGCGTGGGGCACGCAAGCGCAGGCATCTGGAGTTGTGGCTACTGTGGAGAGCCTAGTCTATGATCGGCCATGCGCGCTACTATTCACTCCATGGTACCGGTGTCGAGTTCCACGTCAAATAAACCTTCTGTTCTGGTGCAAGTTGATACCCTAAGTGCTCTTCCTACCGTGTCATTACGTGGTTCTCGCACGTACAAGAGCGAATTATCAGAGCAATTGTTGTTGACTGAAGCGGGGACAGTAGCTGTTGGTGCCGGTAGCATGTCGCTCTGGCGAAACGAACTCTGAAATGAATCGTTTACATAACCTTCCGGAGCATTGAGCCACGGCAGAATAAGAGGACGTGATGACGTGACGTGACCAACGCATGTAATTAGGCCAAGAAGAGTTGTTCCACCTTACCCATATGTTGAGCATGTTTTACATTCCCCGGCCCAGTCTGTTGACCTCCCAGCAACCGTAACTCGGGAATCGGGATGAAGCATATCGGTTGCCGCTCGAGTCGGGGTTGGCCAGGCGGCACAGCCACCGCTGGCAGGCGCCCCAAGTGATCGCCAACGTGTCCCTGCCGCTCGTGCCGAACTGAGTCGTGTTCCAAACCGCCTTTATCCAGGTACCGGCCAGTCCAATTCGTCTTTCTCTATTCTACCACGATGGCTGCTCCTACGGACAAGAAAGACCTCTATGGCTCCACAGAGCTGCTTGCGGTCGAGCCCCAAGTAGCGCCGGGTGGTCCATCTCCACCAAGTCCGCAATATGAGAACCCCTCTCTTCCAAATGACCCTGAGGTGCTACCGCAGTACACCGAACGCGCCTTCGAAGGCGCGTATGTCCCTACAGGAGGAGAAGAGCAACCTCCGCATTTCACGCCGTACGAGGCCGAGTTCTTCCTCTCTGGGGGGGAAATCGTCTCGCACGATCCGCACCTGAACCAAGATGGTGAGTGCTCCTTCGCTCGTGACTCCTGCATCCCGGATACAGGGAGACCCTTGAACAATCGAGATGTAATGAAGTCACTTCGCTCATGTGAGTCACCAGGCGAAGCACTGTATCGTTTCCTTCTGGCAAAAGCCGCCGCGTTCCCCGATTACAAGATTCATGCTCGTGGAACACACACAGAACATAAGACACGCACGGTGTATAGCAAGGATCAGAATGGGAACTACAGCACTAAGATCGAGAATTACAGCGAAACCGTGACCGGTACGTGACCTCACGAACATGCTTACTCGGAACCTGAGACAAGTATGGTAGACTTCGACTTCTACATCGACCTTACGCCTCAAATCGTCCATGGACCTGTCCATTGGAGCTTGCCCGACGCTGAGCCTGCATATCGAGGCGAGATGTACATGCAGATGGACTCGAACGATCTAGCAATACACGATCCCGAAGTCGCGCTTCCGCCTGGTCGCCGTAAGGCAACGAAGGCTGAGCTGAAGGCTGCGAAAGGGAGGAAGGAGCTTCGGAAGGAGTATGGACTTCCTCCGTGGGTCGCACCTGATCCCGAATCGTGGTTCCAGCAGTCAGGTGCACCACCACGGCCCGCTGTTGTGCTTCAGTCATCCAAGACTTTGCGGGAGTGGGCAGATGAATACTGCGCGAGCGATAAGTTGCTGAAGGAGTTCACGTATACCAAGGTATGCCCGTCCGTACGTCTTGTCCCGAGCCTTTGTGGTTCTGAGAATCGCTTGGCGCAGGTCGTATACGGTTGGAATATCTCCAATTTAGAAGAGGCCATCACCGCAGCCATACGCTCGGTCTACAGTCACACCATCCAGCTCTCCTTCGACATTTCTAATCACAAGATCCGGATCCGCCCAGACAACAGGCTATCTCGCACGCTCTCCAACAAGTGGCTCAAATTCCTGCTTTGGATCCTCCTCATCTACCCCTTCATCTGGCTCTACAAGCGTTTCAGTGCCCATGGGGGAGGGCGATGGGAAGTCTGTGGTGGGGCGTACGCGCTCAAGACGTGGCATATGCACCCTCAGGGGACCTCGGGTCCCCCTCCCAACGTCAACAGACTATGGCAGCAGACTCCAAACGGCTGGGCATATCTCGTCGGAGACAGGGAGGGCGAGTGGTTCCAGCGGTGGGAGGGGAGGATTAGGGCAGCGGTCCGGGATCGGATACAGTCGAGGACTCCCCTCGAGCTCGTGGCCCATGCCGCTACAAGGTTGGACGGGTATCGGCCGCAGTACGTGGGCCCTCCGCCGCCAGAGTACTGATAGACTCGCCTCTACTGTACCGGGGTTGCTACGCGTCATCGGAGTACTTTCCAGTTTGCTTGCCGTCTATGATGACGACATCCAGGCTCGCTATTCATTCGCCATCCTACCCAAGGTTTTCAACAGCCCGTCTCTATTCATTCCCATGATGTGACCTGGGAATGCTTATATCATGGGCGCGTCTATCTATTGGTTCTGGATGTACTGGTACCGCCGCAGTTCATTGACAATCGTCAGAACTTGACCTTCTTGCACAGTCCATTGCGATCCGATGCGAAGACATCACAGAGATGTGCTATCTCCTGTGCTATTACCTATGCTATCTCCGGCACTGCTCGTCGCAGTGTATCATGGTAAACATCACGGAGACAAGCCAACATTTTCCCAGCGCGTCACGACCTTGGGATTGCTGTGTGTCTGTCGGCCGCTCTCACGCCCATGGCGAGGGCCTAAATGCGGATAAACTGGGTTTGTAACCACACTAGCGTCGCATTGTCCTCGGATGTCCGTCAAGAGCACTCATATTCGTCCCCGAAATGCTCTCTGGCCGCAAAGACCGATGTGTCATGTGTGGAAAGTCCTGCATCATCCTAGACTGGTACTTGCTTTACTCCTTCGGTGGGCGACCCGCGCAAGACCCAACCAGCACAACACCGCCCATCATAGGTGAATTTCCAACACCTGCGGAAGCACTATGGTCAAATTCGATCGGCGGGGAAAATGGCGGAAGATATACGGGGATAATTTACACAAGGAGCATTTCAATGTATGAATAGTGGGAGAGCCTATTAGCAGTAAGATGTGTGTGGCCTGTGCACCGACGTGGGGCACGGGGCACTGGTAAGCGTCAGAAGTGCAATGGTACGACGGGGACTGGGCGGACGTGCGGCGTGGTAATGATAAGGTGGTAAAGCAAGATGCGGACGCGGCAAGGTATACACAGAACGTAATGACAGAACGGTTGGTGGTATGCAAGGGCGAAGATAAAGTAGAATCCAAATTCAAGCCGCCGGGGATAGATTAGATGGAAGGTCTCCCCTGTACTGTGCTAATGCGCCGTACGATCTCTCGCCAGCCTGCGAAGTTTTGTCCGTGCTTTCGTATGTGTACTCGAGTCCAAAGAGTTCCGTCGAGGGGGCGGAGGTGTGGGGGAGGTCTCCGTCTGGGACCCTACGGATAATGATAACGACGAATCTTGCCCCTCCGCCGCCTCGATAACACCGTCCACTGAGCTATCGCCCAGGCCCGTCCGCAGCTGCTGTTGAGCCCTACGCGTCTGCCCCAGAGCGCGCTCGAGCGGAGTCACGTCCTCTCCGTGCAGCAGTGCCGCAGCAGTTTCGAGGAACCACATGTTCTTCTTGATGAAGTGTACGACGACAGTCCCGCCGACGCGCTGGCCCAGATAGCGCTGCTGTCGGCCTTCACGGTATTGCCATGCGAGGTCGGCTGTCATCGAGCCATCTACAGAAGCACGGATGCAAAGTCGACGATATCAACACCCGATGACAAAGGGTTAGCAAAACGTCAATATGCACGGCCTAGGAGACGAACGCCCACGCACCATCGTGTACCATGGACATGTCACTGCCCTCGACGAGGGCCTCGACGCTGTAGTCCAAGTTCAGGTCAGCCACGGGCGGCGAGTACCGAACATGGAACTTTGACACGGTCGAGTGCGTCCATTTCTCCGGAGGCGCGACATGCTGTCCCGGAAGCGTGTTTGCAACCGCTGACGACTCGGCGACAGCTGTCTGCTGCGCGAGCCGCTGAAGGTCTCGCAAGACACCCTCTTGCACACGTTTCATCTCAGATGGGAACAGGAAACCGTGGGAGTATCTGTCAACGCCAGTGTGGTCAGATCGAGCGTGTCAGCGCGGCGAGCCCGCGAAGGACGGAAGCACACGTACACTGTACCCGCGCGTGGATGATCGTATATCCAGCAGCGCTCGCTGGTCCACCGCACTTGCCCCGCACGTGGATGAATGCGGATCCACTTCGAGGTTTGCTTGTCTTCGGCGCCACGGGTCATCGTCTTGACTAGAGGGTCCTTGGAGACCCACTCCACGAGCGACCAACTGAGCGCGTACAGCTCTCCAGCCATGAACCGGTTCTTGACCAGGTAGCCCCAGAAGATGAGCGGATCGGGCGAAGGCGGCTCCTCAGGTGTTGGTCGAGATGCGACCAGTGTCGGGAACCCCGTCACGTACGCCGGCAGTGAGAAATTGAAGTACGACGCGATCTGGTTGTAGTCCAAGACCGAGGGCTCTTCGCCGCTGTCGTCCCGCGGTTGCGACTGCTGTCTCCACTGAGGGCTGCGGACTGGGGGCGATGGAGGACGGGGAAGGGGTTCCTTGTACAACTCGACGCGTAACCGGGACTCGAGCTCCGCGAGCATCACGAACGAGTCGTCATCGGCTTTAACCACAAAGTCCGGCCTCACCCAAGGTCGAGGGGAAGCACTGAGTTGATCCCGGTGCGCAAACACAGGGTCATGCTGAGCCAACGCGGGAGCCGGATTGGTAGCGTTCAGGTACGTGAAGTTGGTCGGGACCTTGTCGTGGCTGTCAAGATATATCGGAGGGACCCAGGAGTGGTTCGCGGCCCAAGAGAAGAACGCGTGCGTCTTGCCATCGTTCATGTTCTCCGTGAGCGGGAGGATCACCATATCCTTGTACACTGAACGACATCACCACGAAGCTCCGTAAGAAAAGAGAGGAACGGCGAAAGACCACGGCGACTCACTCTCCATCTCCAGCTTCACCCGCCGCTCCCATTCCTTCTGCGGCTGCGCCAAGATGAACCGCACGATCGTCCGCGACGTCCCCACGCCCCCATCGCCAAAACCTGCTCCTTCCCTGCTCCGCACATGGCTCGCCCAAGTCGACCTGATCAGCATCCGCCGCTCCACCGAAGTGTCCATCGAAAACACCCCAACGAACACGCCCGCCGGTGCTAGGGAGTCCAAACCGTCAGGCGGGAACGACGGCAGCGAGAAGTTGGTCGGCAGAGGCGTCTGGAGAAATGCTGTCGGGGACAGCGACAATGATGGCGGCCCGGCGGAGCGTTGTGGAAGGGTGCAATACCCACGCCACGGCAACGGCTCCTTGTCTGGGTTGAGGATGTAGATGAGCAGGAATGTGAGGGACACGCCGAAGATCGCGAATAAAAGGAGCGTGAGCAGCTGCCAAATGGACTTCGTCAGTTTAACTGAATGGTGAGGTACAGATACCATGTCCGGAGCGAGAACAAGTAATGATGAGACCGCCCGTCCGACTACAGAGGCAGCTATCGTTCCTGAACGCTGTGCGCGCGCAGGGAGGACCGGATGCTGATATCGCTACCCGACGCGGCGCGCGTGCACTCGCACAGGGCACACACAGCAGCGCCGACCGACACCCGAACAACGGGAAATAGCCGCAGATGAAGAAGACTAGGCGACAGATGTGCCTGGCAAGAGACAGCGAGAAAGGTAGGAGGACGTACAATCGTGACGGGCGTCTTGGGAAAGAACGGATGTCGGACCAATCTGCGCAGGAGGCGTTTGGACGAACGGAGCCCCCAGACGAAGTCCCTCCACCGCCGCCGCCGCCGACGCCATATCTCGCCGTTGGCGTGAACGTTGGCGTGGCCCCCGGCACCCAGGCGAAACAGCCGCCAACGCGGGCGCTCGTCCTCAAGCCAACCCGACCGCCTGCGGATCCCCACCTCGCCGAGCAGCGGCGACTCGGGCTCGCTCTCGCTGTCCGAGTCGCACGAGGACGTTCCGGAGTAGTAGAGGAACGGCGACGGCGCGCGGGAGGGGATGGGCGTGCTCGTCGCGGTCGAGCAGACCGAGTGGGACGCTGCTTCGCGGGCGTCTGGGGGGTAGAGACGCGACCTGTCGGCGGATCTGCGTATGGCACGGGAGTTGAACTCGTCGTCCTCATCGTATGGGGGCGCAGGGGTTTGCGGGAGCGATGTCGTCCGACGGGTGCCGGGTCGCGCGGTGAGCGTGGTGGACGGCCCTGGCTGGGTGGAGGGGCTGTTGTTTTGGTGATAGTCGGGGTCTTTGGCAGACGTTACGCGGGTCAGCGGGACATTAGGTCGTGATGGTGGTGCAAGGAAGTCGCGGACAAGTGACATGACCAAGCTGGGGTTCTTGCGATGATAGAACGACGCCAAAATCCAGCTTGGCTGTCAAGACACGCAGTGCGGCGGTTTAAGAGGTATCGATGTCGGGCGCTGGGGGGGCGATGAGGTAAAGAGGTCACGACGCTCGGCCAGGGAAGCGGCAGCGTTCGAGACTCGGAATTAGCGGGGATGGAGGCGTACGGAGGAGGGAGAGACGGACGAAGGATGGTGAGGAGAGCAAAGAGAGGATTCCGCCGTCAGCGATTGTCGACACTTGCTTCCTGCCCAGCGTCTCTCGCCTCCACTCCTCCTCCTCTTAGGCGCCCACCTCTGCCATATGCCATGGCTGTGCGCCTACTGCGCACCGCACACCATCTCTCGCTTCCGCGCATCACGCAGTCCCCATCTTACTTGCCTACTTACGGCAATGACGGGGGAAATCATGCAAGATAATCAGCCTAGGCCCCATCTACGACGCCTTGCAAGTTGCAATTGCAACACCGGTGCCCGCGATGCGGGATGTTTCTATCTACCTCGCTCGCTGTCAATGTCCCAACGGCCGCCCTAGTTGATCAACAACTATCACGCCTTGCAGTAATGCGACAAGCACAACAGCTGTGAAAGCGTCGACGGAAGTATTGTCCTCATCATGAGTACTGTTACAACTTTGATCCCAAACGTTTGGGTATTTCATCGCGCTTCTTCCACACCCCCACAATTGGCAAATGCAAATGTCGCCCATTAGCCAAGAAAGCCACCCCGCGCTCCGGCGGCAGCGATCAGTGCAAGCCCGCACCGTACACCTTCTTCCAGCTCGGCCGCTCCTTGATCGCGTCCCAGAACGCGGCGAGCTTGTTCTGTCGTTCAGAGGGCTCGATGTTCCCGGCGACGAGTCCCGCTCGTCTGCGCGCCTCGACGACAGAGAACTCCTTGGGCAACGTGAATTCATCTCCGACATGAGCTTCGATTTTCCCAAGGACGCTCGTGCCGTCCTCCGCAGGCGTCGCGCCAGAGAGGGAGGCGATGCGGGAAAGCCAGGCCGCCAGGTGGAGGTCGGCTATGGACAATTGATCGCCTGTGAGACCATAACGCGATCATCGTCAGTATTACGCCGAGGTAGGTCCTTCTGCCCGAGGGTTTTCAGGACTGGCTTACCAAGAGCATACGGTCCGATGATTTCTTTGTTCAGCGTGATGAGTACGTCCTTCAGCGCAGTCCAGGCGGCGTGCGACGACTTCAAATACTCTTCGCGCCGCTGACGCGCGTCGTCCGATAGCTCCCCTTCGCTCTTCTCCGCTTCCTCGAAGACCTGCAGGAACTTGTCGGTAGCAATCTTCTTCACCTGCCAAAAGCTCCTTGTCTTGTCAGATGCTGAGATGTTGCCAGCATCGCTCTCGGTGAGAAGCCTGGCGAGGGCGTCACGCCGGCCAACAAGGAACGGGATAAGCTTTGTGGCAAGGGCTTTGAGCTCGGTCTCGGAGCGGGCGTTCATGTAGAAAAGCGCATTGGGGTCAGCTGCCTGACTGTGAAGAAGGTCGACGATTTCATGAGATGCTGCGTTGAAGGCGATAGTAGCCGGAGCCAAAGAAGGGGAAGGCGCTGTAGACGTAGTATGGGTGCGTGACTGCGCGGAACGCGATTTGTCGAGGAACTCTACGATCGACTGCGGATGCACTGAGACGCAGTCGAGGTTTGTGATGAAGGGTGGCCACAGACCTTGGTGTCCTGGATAGCCTTGTATCGAGACTCGATCTCCGGGGATAAAGTCTTCTGCAGAGGGACTACGAGCGTAGGTACGGTGCCTGTGGGACAGCCGTGAACGGGCCGGTCGCGGCGAGGAAGCTGGATAACGCACCGCCCGGGTTGAGACGTAGGTAGGTGGGTTCGAAATTCTCGCCTTTGGCTGTATCGCGCGCGTATCGTCATCGATATGCAAGTCAAAGCGCTGCGTGAGGCGATACACTTACAGATGTCGACTACTTTGAGGTCGACCTCATCGGCACCGTACCCCTTCTCCTCTCTAGATCAGAAACCGATACGTGAGGAGGCTGTCTGTTGGGCTGATGACGATGACGTACAATGCAAGGAGAGCTATGTGGCGAGTCAATGAGGTCGTTCGACGCGTGGTGAGGCGTGGGCCACTCACGAACAGAGGCCCAGATCGAATTGGGGCTGTAGTAGAGCGCAGCCTTGGGCAGGGCAGACATGGCAGATCGAGGAGGGGTGAAGATCAGTAGAGTGAGGATGAGTGGTATATGTATGGATCGAGAGCGAGAGAGAAGAGGCAGACGGGAGATGCGGGGCTGGACATAAGTGGAGACCGCGTCTGGATTGGGTTGGATGGATTGTCTGCCACCGAGTTTGGGGATGACGTCGGGGACGAGTCTCGAGGCCCGGCTCTCCCGCAGCCTCAGCTGCCCCGCCCCGATCCCATCTCCCGCCATTTCCCCGCGTGATCACCGCCGCCTTTGAGCGCGCGTCGCGTCCCTCACGTGCATTGCTAGAATATTCGCCTCCTGCCGCTTTCGTCCATGTATCGTCCTAGGGGCTATGTACTATGCTCGTCTTGTTTCTCCTTCCTTGCACTCTCCGTACTTTCTGTGCTCTCCGGACTCCCTCAGACACTTCATCGGGTTCATCTGAGCCATGACGACTCCACGGTGCGGCTCGATCTGCGCTGGACTCTTGCAGGGCTAGGCTGATAAGCCTTGGCCCATCTAGACATGAGTTCTACGAGACCGAGGACAAGCTCACCCTTTCCATCTTTGAAAAGGGCGCGGATCCAGAGCAAGTCAAAATCACCTTCGAGCCCAGGAAGGTAACGCTCCCATTGTACATCGCTCCATGAGACGAGGATTCACCGGAGACGCTCGCGATTGTGGCACAACTAGTTCACCTACACCTACGGCGACAAGTCCCTCGTTCTCGAACCCCTCAAGGGCCAGATCGACACGGAGAAGAGCGGCTACACCGTAGGAAAGGTCAAGATTGAGGTCCGCTTCGCCAAGATGGCGCTGGGACGGTGGGGAGCCCTCACCGGCGACGCTCCAGATCGTATGTTCCCCTTGTTGCGTCTGCGACACCAATACCGTATGTCTGAATCGCCGTGCTGCGTGTAGCCCTTGCTTCCTTCCCCGCCAGCTCCGCGCCGACTAGCACGACGGTGCGCAAGCAGCGGAAGAATTGGGACGGCATCACCTCCGAGATCCTGTCTCAAGAGAAGGAGGTTACAAGCGACCAAGACCCCAATGCAGGCGGAGACGCTGCCGTGAACGAGTTCTTTAAGAAGCTGTACGCCGATGCCGACGAGGACACCCGTCGTGCGATGATGAAGAGCTACTCGGAGAGCGGCGGCACCACCCTCAGCACGAACTGGGACGAGGTGAAGAAGGCGCCGGTTACGGTGAAGCCTCCAGAGGGAAGCGAGTGGAAGAAGTGGGCAGTGTGATCTCTTCCGCGCGCGCGACGGTTGCTGGCCCGTTCCAGGAAAGATCATAGTATGCCACGATCTACAATCGAAGGGAAATCTCAAGCTGTTTTTTCAGGTTCCAGTGCTGTATCAACCGTTCATCATCGTTATCGAGCTTTCGATGTATCCACATTGTTGTATCAGAGAGGATTGTTCTACCGAGCTCGTCATGCAAATGTGTGATCATCTTGCTTGCTCTCATCGGCCACAAAGTGACCAATGCGACTGCTCAGTGCGCGCCTTTCCTGTATGCTGCCAGTGCGAGCTACTTGACATATTCGAACGTCTACCGAAGATGCTAGGCGGTTGGTAACACCCACCGCGCCTGGCAATATCAACTCACTAGGCAGTCATCATGCGTGAATTATAGTCCATCCCAGAAGGAAGTCAACGTTCACGCTACGCGACCATGAGACCATGGAACTTACTATGCTTGGAAGCCGGAGACGGTGGAATCTGAAACGCATGCCTAAAGCAGAATGGCTCGCATTCATCAGCTCCGGTCATACGGCTTCTACCGGGACACCTTCTCCGACGCCAGTGGATAGCCGCTTCTCGTCCGTTCATCGTTTTCTCTCGGGCTCGTGCGCATCCCGATTGACGTGCATGGCCTACGGCTAATATCAATTCTTGCTGCTCTGAGACAGGCATCGGTGGTCCGAGGGTCCATTTGCCTTAACAGACTGCCGCCACGCGACACCTATGCGCGCCCGACTACACAGAATCAGGTGAGTCTCGAACTATTATAGTCGAAGATACGGATTGGGGGCAGATGGATGGATTCGTTTGCACACTGAGATCATGCTACGCCGTGTATGTATCTCTCGGCGTCGAGTCGTACACGTAGCTGTAGTACGTACGGCCCACACGAAATCTTACTCCGGTGGGGTGGGTCTCATAGCCTCCGATCGCGAGCTCTGAACCTTCGGGGCCTTTCCGGCCCTCTGCGACTCCGTGGTTTCAATATGCAATTTTCATACATGGATGGCTCACTCGCTTCCGGGCCCCGTAGACATCTATGCACCATTCATTGCGTCAGTTGGTCAGATCGGTAAGTTGCCACGGTGATTACCTTGCATATGTCCAGCCATGGCGGCATAGTCCCTTGGGTTCATACAGTATTCCGGCGTCATTGTGCATGCAGTGTGGTACTAGGGGAACTCTGATTTCTGGGCGAGAGTTCTCAACCCGCTAAAGTTGACGGTATCATTAGCATGGTGCAATCTCAACGTACGTAAGTCTCTACCTCTGATGCATTGTCGGCCTATTCGATTCCTAGACCGCTGACAGCTGTTGCTTATAGGTGCCCTCCTCTCGCAAGGTTCTACGACAGTTGGCGCGGTCCTACGCACTGTGGCTTCTTCGGCGTTTGCTAAGAGTCGCGTAGCCGATGGCATCGAAATCGCTCTCCAATGCATCGTCCAATTTTCTCTGTCCAATTGTGCACCTTTTACGTTTCGCGAGAGCTGTGCGTCCGCATTGGAGAGTATACGCGTCTATGTCTAGTCGATAGGTGGGATGTGAGTTACCCCTTCTATCGTGCGCGGTGAAGCTAATGACAGCTAGTCCCTTAGGTGGCTATGCATCACCTGGTACAGGGGGCACGGGTCTTGCAGCGAGACTTGAATCTTGCAGTGCGACTTCGGCTCGCGTCCTGATATGTCTGCGTCCATGAACTTTTCGGCTCCTTTGCGCTATAGATCTCTGTGAGTCGAAGACTCACGAGCCGATACGTCGTTGGCGCAGCCTCGCAGTCAGGATCCGGGTCTCACCTTCGCCGGCCGCAAAGCCACGGGGGACCATGTCGGCGTCTCACGTCTTCGCCCGAGTGGATATATTCCAACCCACAGAGGCGTCGGGCAGGGCATCGGAACCCTGCTATGTCGCCAAGTCCCTCGTCGCTCAGCATATCGGCGTCGCTTCTCGCGTCGGTATCCGATGACATTCCGGACGTACAAGTCACTCTTTCCTGGGGCTTCTTTGCCTTGCTTGTCGGGTTGCTGTATGTTATCTGTCTATGTGGGCCTCGTCGTGACCACTGACTTCGAGCAGGTTCTATGGTGTCTTGTTATGTCAAGCATACTGGTACTTCCACACCTATAAAGACTGCGGTGTGCTTAAGGCCTTGGTAGGCATTAAATATTTGTTCTTCGCGGTTATCGCTGAGATATTAGCCTCTAGGTAGCTGCATTGATGTGACTCCCTAGCGAGATATACATGCATGCAATAAACTGACATCCTGACCCTCTACAGGACAGCAGAGACGGCACACACGGCGTTATCTATGCATTGGGGGTGAGTACACGGCGTTGTCTGACATTTCGGAGGAAACCTGGATGCAAGCATTGATTACAGGTACTACTACTTGGTCGTCAACTATGGCAACCCAAGTTCTCTATCCACTCCAACTTTGTAAGTACATCTGGAGATATGAGTCCGTACCCACAGTTGCTCATGCATGCTACAGGTCTCTGAGGGTATGCATCAGCATTCATGACACGACTCCACAATGATGCGAGCGAGTAGCGTGATTGTAATCTCAGCTCCTGCCTGTGACTGTGGTGGGTGATCAACGTGGTAGCTATCGGAGAGAACGTATATGGTGCTAATCATGTGGTGCAACAGGTCATGATCGTACTGCTCTGCCAATTGTACGGTGGTCGTCACTTGTCAGGTCGCATGATGAACTCAACTCCTATCGGCTCACAGATTCTACATCCGCCGGGTCTACCTCGGTGAGGTTCTCGACTCAATATGAAGACGAATGTCGGATCTCGCTTACTCTACTCAGTCTTACCTCTAGGTTACTATAAGCAAGCTGTCATCGCAGCAGTGGTAGGGTGCTTCGTCATGACTTTCCGTCGTAATCAAGCAGTGATCGTTGTTCTATGTAGATCATATTGATTCTATGGGGAATCGGTGAGTATGTCTGTAGGAATCTGTGTATATGCAGCTCAATGCCTGGTATCCAGGCTTTGCCACAGCTCTGACAGCGCAAATGTACGTTCTACAATCATCTTCATGAGATTTTGAGACCGAGTGTACTCTATTACAGCTTCATGCACCCCACCTTCAAGAGCTGGCTTCACTATAAGGTACGCAAAGCATTGTATGTCGACGTGCTCGAGACTTATCAGATGACCCCAGTGGCTTGTAGCCGGAGTCTACGCCCCTCTTGCGCTAGGAGATGTTACAATAGCCATAATCCTTGTTACCGCCTTATACAAAAGACGAACTGGAGTGAAGCGGTGGGTGGCCTTACCACACTTTGCCACGGAGCGTCATTGAACTCACGTTACATCAGCACTGACGCTCTCCTGAAGGTCCTCAGCATCTATGCCTTTAGTACAGGTAATGCACCGGTAACCGCTTATACTATGCACTTAAGTCGGTGCTGACTTGAATGTTTAGGGACGCTCACCTGGTGAATAAACCTCATTTCAGTTGGACTGAGCAAACACTAATGGCTGGGATTGGGCAGTCTGCTGAGCATTGCTTGTCTATGCATTGTAAAGCATCCCCATCTCCTTAGGCTTGTCATGGTGCAAGGTTCATTCTGATCATACCACCAGGTTCTGTTTGAGGATACCAACCTCATTCTGGTTTCATTTAGCCTCACTACAGCACATGGTGAGATGGTCTAGGACTGTTTCAGACTGAAGAGTACATGTCTAACCGTGCACGACCAGTGTACGCATTTTCGGTGCTTGCGACGTGAGCGGACTATGCAGCTTGCTAGTGACTTGATGGCTCACGGATAACCACTTGAACAGACTCAATATCCGTCAGACATTAGCTCAGTCATTAGACAAGGACTTGGATACGGAATGGGTTGGATTCAGCGCGTTGGAGCGCGTTCTACCAGCAAAAAGCCGCCGGTTCGTCGACCCAAGCAGCATGAGTGTGGGTACCTGTACCCCATCTGCATCATATAACATGGACAGACCTACAGGCGTACAAATATGAGATGTCAATCACGTTCGTCATACCACCAGAATCGGCGGTAATTTCCACAAACTCAGACAAAGTTCCCGTTCATGTACCGGAGAGCCTGATTGCTGCATCTCGAATGTACGCATGAAGCAAAAACTCGCGTGTACGTCGTAATATTAATTGTATTCCCTGTGCCGGCCGTCGATACGAATTCCGAGTCTGGCCGCAGGGACATCGATCTTGAAACGGCCCGCTGCTGGCATTGGATAGATGCACGATGAAGGTACCGTGCGCTGGTCGGCCTCGGCCTGTTTACAAAACGACAGGTGTCTCATTGGGTAGAGATGAGCTCACACAAGGGCCGCAACAAGACTGATAATGTCGTGGATCAGGATGGAGGAATAGTCGCAAGCGTGTCGCTCAGGTGGCGGCGCGCGCTTGAGTCCGCGTGGCGATGCAGGAGAGAGTACTGTCTCCTCCTTTCACTTCCATCACGGTGAAGTGAACAACTTCCACCAAGCTGATTTACCTCCCTAAGCAATACAGGTGAGGCGAGTCATCTGTTCGCGTCATTTGAGCCAGTCTCACCAAGCCCCGGAATGGCTATCTAGATCACAGGGGCTCGCTGTGGTTGCGATCAATCCGGAGCACCTCGCTGTGGCTGCGGGTTATGGGGCGCAGCGACTTCCACGCACTATAGTTGTATCGTCTCCGCAATGGATGCCGGTCCGTGAGCGCATCGCCTTCACGAAGTCTTGGCACGGCCACGATGGTTGTGGTCGGTCGCGTTCTCTCAGATTTGATGGCAGATTCCTTATCTTATATTTCTGCGCAGGATCCGTAGGGCTTGGTCATCGAATTCCAAGCTGTTCGACGATGTCAGCGGCGTACTCATTCTGCAGATCTCCAAGCCTTCGGGATTAGCAACCAACATCTTGGTTGCTGGGAGCCGCCTGTGGCTCGCAACTTACTGTGTCCGCGTTTTGCGCTTGCTGCATGAGAGACCGGTAGGTTTCGCGATATTCACAGTGGTTCAACCGCCATAAACGTACGTGTAGGATTGAGGCCGTGGCTGTCGTGTCTCAAGTGATGCCTCCATGCAGACACTCCTTCCGACTCGGAGTGGCGCCAGCTCACCGCGAGACGAAATGGTGCAGGCCCAGCGCCGTAAAGGCACCCACGATTATGAGGCTGAAACATGTGCACCGGTATCTAGTTGCGCAAGCGAGGTGCGCGTTGAGCGCTGTACCTCGCGCAAAAGTTTGAGCATTCAGATACTTCCATGCGCAGTGCGGCTGTGTTTGACACTCTCCGCTTCGGTCAACATGAGCATTCGCTCCCGCTGCGCGATTCTGAGCGCATCAGCTCGGCGACTACAGGGGTGGGTGCTACCTCACAACGCTCCTACTGATCTAGGAGCTTTATAGGCTGTGGCAGCGGCCATTATATAGCTATACATGTCCTCCGTATTGTACGCCTCAGTGTGAAAGCTGATGAGCCAGTATTCGAGGAATATGTGGTACGAGAATGGTCAGGGAAGTTATGAAGCAACATAATTTCGATCCCCTTCACTGCCTCATCTCACCGCGAGGAGCGCAGCACGTCAACCTCGGCAACGCCGACAGTTCCGCAATGACTTACGTAGCGCGCAGCACTCTTCCAAACTGGTCATCAACGAATTAAAAGCAGGAACATGTACCTCCTAAGGCATTCCTCGTCTTCTCTTCCAAGTGCCTTTCCAAGCGTCGATTGTCTCGTCACCTTCATAATTTATCACCCGGTTAACAATGGGCCACACAATGAGCTCCAACCTAGGCAATGGTATGTATTTGATAAATCATCCGTAGAGGGTGTAGCTGACTCTGAGGTGGGCTAAAGATGCTGACCCTGAGTACGACTCACACGGCAACCTCATCTCACCGTTCTACGGTTATATGCCCACCCAGTGGGTGTGCTACATTTTCGCCGTTCTCTTCACCCTGTCTACCCGTGAGCAAATTACTTTTGGACAGATGTTCATCGACCGCTGACCACTGCTATGGCCTTGACAGTGCTCCACTTCGGGCAAGCCATCCGGTATCGTGCTTGGTGGCTTCTAGCGACGGTGGTTCTTGCGGGTGTCGGCGAGATGATCGGTTGGGGTGGGCGGCTGTGGTCGACGTTCCAGCCGCTTGCTGAGAATCCGTACATGATACAGTACGCACTCTACAAACCAGGTGCGAACCTGACGCTGACTGCGGGCCCTGCAGAATTGTCTGTACCATCGTTGCCCCCACGCCGCTCATTGGTGCCATCTTCATCTCGTTCGGTCGGCTGTCCACTCATCTTGGACCGCAATATAGTCGTCTCAGCGCCCGCCTTTGTGAGTTACTCACAGTTTCCATCTTGACGGCGCTGACTAGGAGCGACTTTGCAGACTCTAGAATTTTCTTTACGGCTGTGAGTGAACCTACTGTCTACAGGGTGGTGTCACTAGCGTGTGGAATACTATTGACACTGAAATACTCAGGACTTCGTCGCACTGCTGGTCCAGTCTGCCGGCGGTGGAATCGCCGCTACTGCCGACGACAGTAAAACCGGTCAATTGGTGAGTGATAGCCACTCGGCGAAGTATACCGCCTAACGACTTCCTTAGGGATCCAATATCATGCTTGCTGGGATTGTATTCCAGCTAGGTAGGCCTTCCAGCCCCTTGACGGCATGGTACATTGCACTCACTCACTTCCTGTCTCATCTAGTGTCTCTGTCGATATTCTGCATCCTAGCGATAGAGTATTTCATTCGGTACTTCAAGGAGAATCCCGCAAGGCCACTCTTGCTCAACAACATCTCGAACGAGTCGGTTGTGGAACATTTCAATCACCCTCCCATGGACCCCGCGGCGAAGCTTTTGGTTGTTGGCCTTTTCTCCCAGTCGCTCTTCCTTTTTATACGGTATGTCCACTAGTCGGACCGGCATCCGAGCTCCGAACTTGACTTTGGTGTCCATCAGCTCCATCTACCGTACTATTGAGCTTTCAGATGGATTCCACGGTCGCATCATTAGAACCGAGGTCTACTTCAGTGAGCATCGTACACACTTACTCGACGATATGAGCAGTGGCCTAACGATCCGGTCTAGACGTCCTTGATGGCGCCATGGTTGTGTTGGCAATGTTCTCACTGAACTTCTTCCACCCCGCTCGTCTCCTTAAGAAATTGGATGAGCGGTTCACGGCTGGATCGACGGTCCGTATGACGTCCAAGAACATCTACTCTCAGGAATCCGTCTGAAGTGCGATAGCACTCCTGGATTGACATAGACGGTACCTTTGGGTTTCTCCGTCTATCTCCAAGTTCGTAGAAACCCTTTTCCATGCGTTATCACATCACATGGACTTGCACCGGACTTATACGCATGATCCTTACGGCGACTCAGTAATTATATAATGCTCGGAGGTTGTGAACACTGAAATCCTGGAATATCATCCTTCTGACATTAGATCGTGCTGTGTGTCATAGCTTAGGCTGGGTTCTAACCGCCCTTCTGGAGCACGAGGACCAAACAGTAGCGACTCGGAGTTGAGCGCCGCAGTGTCGTGATATCACGCCGCCCGCTCGATTCAGCTCACGAGCATCGTAGTAAGTCGACTCGTGTATAGACTTATTGAGTGCTTCGGACACAGGCTGAAATGACTCAATACTGCTAGGCGTGCTTTATAAGCCGAAGCTGAGGCTCTGGCAAACACCGTGCCCTACCGTCTCTCTTTCATTCTCTTGCTCAAATCACCACAAAACACAACATTAGGCTTCTCCAAGATGAACTTCGCCTTCGTCACCCTGGATGTCTTCACTCGCCAGAAGTTCACCGGCAACCAGCTCGCCATTGTTCTGGTCCCGGTGGCTACTCGTAGTCTTCTGACCGAGGAGCAGAGACAGAAGATTGCGACAGAGTTCAATTACTTCGAAACCGTCTTTCTGCACGAAGTAGGTCAAGATGACGAAGTCGCGGACTACGACATATTCACCGTACATGCAAGAATCCCCTTCGCTGGCCGTACGTTATCAAGACAAGTGTTTCCCCTGGGGTCCGCATATGCTCACGTAGATGCCTCAGATCCTACGATCGGCGCTGCCATCTACGTATCGCACTACGCTCAAGATCGCTACCCACAGGTCAAGACGCTTCATGCCCTGGCCAGTCACATCCCATTGAGCTACGACGCGGCCAATAGCATTGCCTCCGTCGCCATACCGCACGTCGCGCACGACGTGCGCATCCATCGCAAGCGCCTCGTCCATCCTCTGTCCTCCGCCAACCCCAACGGCGAACCTACTGTTCCCCTAGTCTCCATCGTGAAAGGCATCACTTCGTCCTCGTGCATGTAACAACCCTCGAAGCTCTTGGTTCGTTCACACAAGACGTGTTTCCTGGGGGGGGAGTCCTACAATCATACGGACCTCCTAGATGCCGATGGCTTCAATGTTGGCCTGATCGGCACGTTTTACTATACTCCGAGAGGCCTCGATCCCGACGCTCCAACGGGCGCCCAAGTGAGGCTGATCCGGACGAGGATGATTGGCACAGCGGAGGATCCTGGTACGGGGAGCGCGAGCGCAGCATTGTGCTGCTATCTGAGTCTGTTGGAGGGGAGGGAAAAGGGAGTCGGTCCATTTGAATATCATCTCGTGCAAGGGGTGGAGATGGGTAGGCGGAGCGATATCTTCGTCCAAGTGCAAAGGACAGAGGATGGTAGCGCGATCCGAAGCGTGAACCTGAAGGGGACCGCCGTGAAGGTCATGGTGGAGGTTGATGCGGAACGAGTCCTAACATAGTTGCCGAACCTGAACCAAGTGAGATTATGAGTACATGTAACGTGTAGGCTAGGCGTACAGAGCACAAACCTCACCATATCAAGTTCAATTGACATATCCAAGTCTTCTCTAATGGACCTCGGTCCTGCGCAGGGGGCGGCCGGATCTGTCCTGCCATGCGTATGCCGCAAGTACATTCGCAAACACCAAGGTGAGTACGATACGACAGTGCAAGCTGGCAGGTGGCAGCGTACCTACACGCAGGGGGCCGCCGCCTGCTGGCAAGACCCCCGGCAATAGGCCCAAATGTATGATGCCTGATCCGGACGAAATTGGCCCCTCAAAAAGGCCTATGCCTGGTCCAGTCCGGTCAAATCGAACAAAAATTTGCGGATGGCCTGCGCCATACTCCGGACAAATCTGACGTGCTCAGGTCGAGGCCTGATCCCAGGCGGCTGTCGGGAGAGAACCGGTCCGGGGAGGCCTTGAGGATATTATGTCGTTGGCGCACTTACTTATACGTCCTTATAACTACGTTTATCTGTTGCTACTTACTTCGTGTCACAGCCATCCATGTGTGTAATATAGGTTGTTGTACATCTAGCCTGAAGGCCTGAAGTGTGACACCTCCTCACTCAGTCTGTCTCCCAATGTCACACCTGTGCAGGCGGCGGACAACGTCAGGAGCATTTCGAATCGCAAGAAGACAAACGAGCTATTGCTAGCCTACGCCGTCACTTAATACTGCTCGCTATAATCCCTATGTCTAGAAGCTCAACTATATTCATCTCCGATGACGACCCTCCCAGCAGCGACACACGAACCTTCGATCCATCTGAATGGATTGCCTGCGGAAAGACATACCCTGCTCTTGAGACCCAGTGAGAACCTTCCCTATTTCCTACGATTTGTGGCTTTTGCCAGCGAATGCCATCTTTTGCCATCGTTTTAGAGCTGTCGCAATGACATCTTGGCATCTATCTGTTACAGCGAAGCGTGTCAGCACTCAAGGGGTCGTGTGCAGGTTATGCACAACGAGGACGCAGACTGATGACAAGCTTAGCACACTGGTTCACTGGGGGTCTGGGGGTTTCGAGGTCACTAGGGGTCTAGGGAGTGAGAACGCTTGATTGGTACAAGAGGTCAAACTGGGGTGCCCAGTGCAAGACCTGTCCTTATATACTAAAGTACACGGTCGCTGACTAATCGGAGAACAATAGTCACAGGACAATAACGATGGAGAACAATAGCGAATGGGGACAAAGGAGTCACGTGGTGTTGTGACCACGTAGTACAATGGACGAAAAGAACAATAGCGATGAGAACAGTGGGATATGAAGC